CATGGACTTTTACATTTTTTAAGGAAAAATAAGAATCATGTGCATATGCAAAATTATTAAGCTTTCAACTTCAAAGTGTTCACACCTAAAACTTTAAGGAATAATTTGTAAAGAAATTCTTTAGATTTACATTTTATATAAGTGTTTTTATTAAAGTGTTATCATTAAAAGCATGTGTTGGTGTACTCAAGCTTATCTAGAGCTATGAATCTAAATTAGCAAGCTAATGCTTAATGTTCTGCAAGTGGCTAATAAGAACCATAAACCTAGTGGTGTGAGATAAATTAAAAACTATTTTGTTCAATAAGTATACTTAATGAAAATTTTATTTCAATTCCTATTAAGCCACAAATGAACCATCAAGAAGGGATAAATTAGCCATTTTTCCTATTAAGATTTACATTTGTGTGCTTGTTAACCTTTTCTTGTATCCTTATTTTGAATTTTCTCTTGTTTATGAAAAGCATGTTATAAATCATCTTTTCTTCACCTTTTGAAAAATTTGCATTCAATATTACTTTGAATATAGCTTGCAAACACCAAATAAAGAGCTTTCACTTGATCATAGTAATGTTATTGTTTCTTTCTAAATTTGGTCTAGAACCAAATTCTTCTACTAATATTGTCTAGTATTGATCTTAGATGATTCCATGATTCAAAATGAATATAATGTCATGTTATTTTATATTGCAACATGAAACTCTTAAGTTTTATGTATTTAATTTTAAGATCATATACTAACGTATCATGCAATGTAAAATCTATGTACTAAAATATTGTGCTTCATATACAATACAATTTCACAACAATTCTTATGAATTAAAATATTGAGTTTGATATGTATAGTTATATATTACTCATTGTGTTCATTACTTATAATTTCAATAAAAATTCTAAAAATCAAGATATTACACCTTAGATGCTATGTTATTTTATGACATAATTCTCATATACTAAAATATTATATGTAATATACGAATTTATTTACATAATGGTCCTTAGATTGATAATTGTGGTTGTAATGTAAATATTTTTAGATTGAAAAGTTGATATTATATTTAAATATTTTTACATTACAACCACAATTATCAATCTAAGGACCATTATGTAAATAAATTCGTATATTACATATAATATTTTAGTAAATGAGAATTATGTCATAAATAATATTTTAAGCTAGATGAACACCCTTAAAATGATATGTAACCCTTCATAGATTGAAATATCAATTTTTATGTATTGTAATAATATATAATGTAAGTTTTCTTACAATGAAAAATCAACTTTGATATCATTTATTATTCCACAATATGACTTTTCATTTGCTGGCATATCAACTTTCATATGTGATGTTGTTCAACGATATGAATTTCATATGTTTAAACATCAACCATGATAGACTATGATAATAAAAATATCAAAGCATATTTTTTTGCCATCATAAGTGTTTGTCAATTTCAAGACATTCAAGGTTTCAGAAGTCAACTTATGAAAACTTATTATAGTAAATAGTAAGGAACCCAAACAATTAGAAAATTTTGTATTATTTTTGTTATTGAGACATGTGTACGCAAATAATTCACATAAACTAAAACATAAATTGATCACCTAGTTGTGAACTAAGAAAATACTAGTTATTTCCCACCCCTTTCTTGGTTCTTATTTGGTTATAATGAGTTCAACACAATACTAGCAATTGGGAAATGCTTTGTTGTAGTCACTTGCTAAAGAATGATTCCCAATGTTAGAGAGAAGAACCTAAGTATTTGTAACAATGAGTGAGTGAGAGAGAATGTGGAAGCACAAATAGAAGGTATTAGGTTGATATTTATCATTTTGTTGTATAATTAGCAATTAACCCTAGTTTGCTCAATTATCTACAGAAAAATCATAACCGAGGGGCTAAAAATAGGGACATTGAAGGTTTATGAAGAGTTTGTAGGTCATGTGGAAATCTAAGATTTATTAGTAATTGGTCTAGTAATTGAGATAAAATAAAAAAACATGTATATATGAAGTAATGTTCATATACGGTGACTAAAATGATATAGGCATGCATGGGCCAAAATTCAAATTGAACTATGCTAGAGTTTAACTCTAATGAATGACATACTTAATAATTGACCTAGTTTATGGAGAGCTAAAATAAAAGAACATATAGATATGAAGTAATGTTCATATAAGGTGGCTAAGATGACATAAGCATGCTTGGGCCAAAATTTAAATTGGGTTTAACCCTTCGTAATGGGTCAACTTTATTTTGTTGCATGTTTGAAGGTGGTGGATTCCAATATCCATAGTAGCAAGTCACCCTCATTCTATTACAATAAGGATGATATATTTTATTTGATATATATGTCTAAATGTTCACATCTCCTTGGCTAAATTCAAATATTTGGCTTTGCTAGTTGGGAGAAAACACAAAATAAATATCTTCAACAATAACTAGCATGCTTTAAGCATACATGGTAGACTAAAATATAAATGGTGTTTTGACTTTTCTTGATGACCTTGATTTATTTTTTTCATTTTTTTAATAGTATTTGTGGCTATCCCAGGTTGGTACCAAGTCTCATCCTTTATCATAAAATAAATATACATGTTTTTATTTGATACATCTGTGTAAATAGTCACATCTTGCTTATTGCCTTTGAACATGTGAATATCTTTTTTTCACTTGGAACAAATACACCTAAAACAGATTTACATTTAATGTGACTTTAAATTGAGGTGGATTTGGGCTTGATGTTTCTTAATTGACATTCTTTATTTTATCTAGTCTCCAAACACTAATGATCAATTTTAAAGAACACGAGGATAAATGCATGAAACTAGATATGATATTGGACATACTATAACTTTGAAATTGGACAGTTGTCTAGGATATTATAATATCAAGATGAATAATATTATTTATCTAACAACTAGGCATATGATACTTATTCAATTTATGGATCCCATGTTTATTTCATCAATCTCACTCTGGTTTTGTTTTTCTAGCAGTGATACACAATATGATTAAACTTGGTAGAATTAACTGTGGCATTTAAATGCATAATCTAAATACCATAGTTCATCGACCATCTTACATGATATTTGATTAAAAAAAATATATAGCATCATAGATAGTTAGACTACATTCATACCCCTTCTCTTGGAGACTTCCCAATCAGATACCACTGTTAGTGAGTCAAAGGCATCAACTTAATTTAACATGTTTATGTAAATAATCATTGACCAAGAAGATATTTCCAATGGAGTAGATTAAAGTACGTTAGGTACGTATTTTCAAATCTCATTAGAGTCAATAATTTTATACTCTGTAACGAGCCACATGAATAGTGTCCTTCTTGGAATGTATTAATAAACCCATGTTAGTGAAAGATCATTTTGTAAACGTGGTACAGGTCTAGAATGGCCTTGTCAATCGAGGACCCCACACATCTTCACGGCCTGGCCCAAGTACACCCTTGACCTTGGTATACTAAACTCAATGTTCATTAAATGACTTCGTCCTTTTCCCACCCGCACCCCCGCCTCATTTCTATCGCGTCACTTTCTTCGGCTTATACCGGGCTTTATGCTGCATCTAGTTTCTAGCGTTGCTGACCTATCACCGGTTTTGTTAGTATTATTATGGGGGCCAACATCTTGTTCTTCTCGTCCACATTACCACGGAACACCCTTCCGAACAAAGAAAACTACTGACGCTTCATGGGTAAACTACATGGACAAGGGCTTTAACCAATTCCATCCCCCAGCCTGATAGCACCCGTGAAAAGGCTCCCCCTCCTCCCTCCCCACCCCCACCCAACCCCCACCCCCCACCCCCACCCCAAAGAGGAGTGTGTGTGGGGGAGGAGGGAATTGGATACCACGTGGGTGATAGTAAGACAGGAAATATGACAACAATAATGAAGTATCGGTTAGATGCTGAGTTATTGACGGGCCAGGTTCAGGACCAAGGTGATGACACCTGGAAGACCGCATCAACGGCTCGTCGGTCCAATAAATCTTCGTTTCGTCGGAGGCGATCTTTGGCCTCAGATCCTTATCTCCTGTGGTTTCACCGTCTCGGGTCAAAGCCTTGTGAACGGCAAGCATCATAATCGACGCACAATAAGAAAAACGAAGGCCGTCCGTCCCTTTTCGGCGTGAAAGCGCTGTGGGGGGGGGGGGGGGTCGATCCTTTCCATTCTTATCGAAAAGGAAGATGCCACGGTGACGTGTTGATTCCGAAGGGCCGAGCCGCCTCGTGCCCCACCGTATTCTGCGTCTTCTAATACGCCAGTGCTCGCCTGACAGCGACCTCCCAGCCAACTGCGGAGGGCGACGGCCCACTGACCCTATGGACTGTAGCTTCTCTTCTACCATTCGTGGGCCCCGAGGGAGGGGGGGCAAGGTCAACGGGCGAGGGGGCTCGTTTACCCATTCGCCGATCTGCGGCCGTCCGCTTGGTCAAACTCTTGGCTTCGCAGGGTAGTTTATTCCGTTCCACGGCGGGAGGATTAACTGGCGTCCTCGAGCACGGAGCTCCTGGTTTCGTATTAAACCCGGACAGAAGAGTCGTCGTCGGCACACGGGAGCTCCGATCTGACGCCGCGGAGACGGCGGGAGACGCACGTTTGCCAGCCATCTTCTCCGCCGTCGTCTCCGGAGCCTCCCGCCGGTGGGGTGGAAGAGGAGAACGTGACCAGCGTCCTCGGGCTTCTCCACTGAAGGTATACACTTCTTCGAGAGCTCTGTTTTAAGTGTCGTCCCACTCGGGCTCCGGCGGGGGAATCCATTTTTCTCCGGCCCTCCGCTGGCCACTGCTTTCGACTCACAGTGGTGCTGCGGCGGCGTTTTCTAGATCCTCGGGGAATTCGGCGGCGCTGAAGCGCCGACGATGGCTCCAATGCTGAGGAGCGACAGGCGGTTCTGCTGGTGAGGCGCTGCAAATCCGGTATTCTCCGGAGGATTCACAAGCAGAGCAGAGGATAGTGAACTTTGCAGACACGATGGTCAATCAGCAGATTGTGTTGACCTACCTCTACTTGCTGCTTTACGTGTTTCTCTCCTCAGGAGTAATCTTGTACAACAAGGTACTCATCCAGTGATCACGCCTCCCTCTTCTCAATTTTTCTTCCCGCGCTTTGGGCATTTTTCAGCGGATCCGACGGCAGAGTTTCTGCTCCAAATTCCTAGGAAGAGAAAATACCGAATTCACGAAAACTGTGTTCGCTGGTAGACGGCATTCCCATGACCCCTCCCCTTTTCTTTTGCCTGGGATTCATCTTTATCACGGTCGCGCTTCCTCGATCACGCGATTCTCTCCCACTACCTTTCTTTTTTGGCCCCCCACAAGGAGTAATTTCTAGCCTCTGTGACGTTGAATTCCTACCTTTTTCCTGCGGCTCGGCTCGCCCACACACTCACCATCCACCAAAAGACATCATTTCAGTCACGGTCGTTTCTCTCTCCATTCAATTAGTTATCGCCTTCAGCGGCCGAGCTTTTATGGAAATGGGTTGAGTTTTCGCATTTCTCAGTTCACAGTTCTCTGTAAATCAAAAAATCCAAAGATTAGAGCTCGGAGTTGTATCAAGACTTGGAAAGCCGGAAACTTGAGTCGGAAATACTGACGCCTCACAGGCCGTCCATGTATACAGATAGTTGTCGTTCAAGATCTGCTGGGCACTACGGCTCAGATCCATTCCACTCTGTCGAGTTGGCGGATCGGCGTTTCCACCATTCCATGGCTCCCCCACCTGAGCTCTTCGTTTTCCCTCTCCATTCTTTGTCATCGACGGCGTTCCAAATGAGAAATTTCCAAGTCTAAAAAGACGTATGCTTAGATCGATTATGCAGGAAGCTTCCAAGTGTCTCCGTTCAAGCATTGTGCATACATTGTACGATCCTACGGAATCCAGAAATAAATCTACAAAAATTCCTCAGCTCTGATTGCGAGATGGATTGATATACAGCAGCAAAACATCGCAATTTTTTTACCCCCCTTTTCTGGGCTTATATGAGATTGTCTTCCTTTGAAATTCCACGAAATTACTTGATGTTGTTGTTGTTGTTGTTGTGATTAATTATTTGCAGTGGGCGGTTCTGACATATTTTCTGTTTTTGACCATTCGCAGTGGGTTCTTTCCCCAAGATATTTCAATTTTCCGTTTCCCATTACGCTGACTATGATCCACATGGGATTTTCTGGCGCCGTCGCGTTCTTTCTCATCCGTGTTTTCAAGGTAAGCTCCCAGATGCTTCAACTCACCTTCACGCCGTCATGTTTTCCATGTCGCAACTGGTTTTCAGCGTAATGCCAATCTGAATCTCTTCTCACGCACGTTTCTTTCTCTTGGCCTGTATCTGAAGGTCATTCACTTCCCTGTTCCTGCCGACATTTTTTCCGGCAATTCATCGATTTCATGGAGACAATCCGGAAAATTATAAAAAAAAAAATGAGCCGAGGATCTCGTGTAGAGACGTATTAATCTTGAGCGCCTGTCAGAAATCTCTCTGTTCACAGATCCCATATTTTACGCCTCCCTTCCACAGATCTAATCCTTCACTGGCTACCTTCTGGGAATCTCCCGCATGATGATTGAACACATGCGTTTAACCTTGCATTGGAAACACCGCAGGAGTGCATATTCCTTCTGACAGCAATTTCTTGGCCTCTTCCTCGATGATTCGCGGCCCTTTATTAATTTAGTATCTCTAATATTATACAGGTCATGCCGCCCGTGAAGATGACTGTTTCGGTGTAAGGAGCCGACTCCTCTCGCCATGTCCGCACACTCGCCAGCTCTCCTCTCTCTGACTCGTTCCAATAATTTTGCAGATACTTAACGTGCATTATCCCCATAAGCGCATTCTTCGCAGCCAGCCTGTGGCAAGTCCCTTGATCCTCAATAATACGGAGGCCCAGTTGTTATTTTTAACCTCTGGAAGATCTTTTTCTCCAAACAAATCTCATATTTACTGTTTTTCTTCGCCAGAACTGCGACAGATCGACGGGATTATGCTCACGATGATGCCTTCTCTGATGCAGGCTTGGGAACACTGCCTTCCTCTATCTTTCAGTGGCCTTCATTCAGATGCTCAAGGCCCTGAGTACGGAACCTAAACCCACCCTCTTCCAGATGAAGAACAGCCGAATAATCTTTTAGGCTTACTCGGTTTGGTAAGATCCTCAAGGTCTTACGGTTGACTATCTTCTGCTGCAGTGCCGGTGGCGACTTTCCTCGTGGCAGTCATTTGTGGAACCGATAAGCTGAGGTGCGACATGTTCTTGAACATGTTGCTGATCAGCGCCGGGGTCGTCATAGCTTCATATGGGGAGATCAATTTTAACGTCATTGGCACAGTTTATCAGATCACGGGCATCCTCGCTGAGGCTCTTAAGCTGGTTTTGACGCAGATCTTGCTTCAAAAGAGGGGATTATCCCTGAATCCCATCACCACCTTATATTACATCGCTCCTTGCAGGTACTTCACTTTCTCCCCCTACCCCTTCCCCCCCCCAAACACACACAGAGGCATGACTGTCCCACCCATGTGCCACTCTCTCTCTCCTCTCTCTTTCTCTTCTCTCCCTCTTCTCTTTCACTCTGTCTCCCTCTGTCACTGGTAGGTGCTGGCCCCCGACTGTAGCATGCCGACAAAAGGGTCTATTTAAAGAGAAATAATCATGCGCGGCCATTGATTACAGTAGGACCATTCGTGCTGACGGTTATTTTCTGCTTGGTGTAGCCTCTTCTTCCTGTTTATACCGTGGTTCTTCTTGGAGAAGGAAGGACTGGATGTCGACCAGATCCAGTCCAACCTCTGGATCTTCCTGTCCAATGCGATGTGCGCCCTGGCCTTGAATGTCATCGTGTTCTTGGTGATCGGAAGGACGGGAGCGGTGACGACCAGGGTCGCCGGAGTCCTCAAGGACTGGATATTAATTGCGCTGTCAACGCTCATATTTCCCGAGTCGGTCATCACGGGCCTAAACGCGGCGGGATATACCATCGGTAGGACCGACGAATCCGGAAAACCTTTCGTTGACCAACGCCGCTTATTAATGGAATCACGAACTGAGTCTGTTATTGTGCAGCCATCTGCGGGGTCGCCGTGTACAACTACCTGAAGGTCAGGGACCTCCGCCTGTCGAGCCAGCTCCCCGGGGACGGCCTCCCAGAGAGAACACCGAAGGTGCCCTAGCCATCCCGGTGATTTTCCCTGTGCCGTCTGCTCTACGCGAGTTGACGTTCGGTTTTCGGGATGATTCTGAAACTCCGCAGGACTGGAAGCAGGAGAGGAAATCGACAGATGCCTACCCGGGTGAGGGGATGAACGGCAGCAGCCTCAACTCAGGGAACAGCAACGACTCCGGTAAAGACGAAGAAACGCCCCTTCTTCCGCAACCGAGGCTTACTCAACTCAGTCGAACCCAAGCTGGAGCCTACAATGGATAGTCAACCGCAAGTTTCTTCCTTTTCTCAGCATATCCTCCTTATAGTCAACGGTTAAAAGCCACGTCAACGTATATAAATTTTTTAGGCAGAGAAATGCCTACACCAGCCGCCAGTCCCTCATTCTGAGACCTGGGGGCAATAGGTTAGACGTTGAAATCGTCTTATCAGTCATTCGAAATCCCTCCTCTTCCTGTATCCCAAAACCTTCTTCTCTTGCCTGCTCTACAGTGTTCTTTTGGATTCTTGTTATCCATTCATGGAAGGTGAAGTTCCATCAATAAGAAACTGGAAATTCGATTTACGGTTTACGTCGACCAAGGATGTCTCTGATCAGAAGGCAAAGGTCCAAGTGACGCCGCAATTCACTCTTGTTCAGCCACAACGGCTACACGTGACCTTCCCCTTCTGCGCCCCACCGATGTGTCTCCGTGGCACTGTCGCGACGGAGCCCGCCGGTCTCTACCACCGGCACCCACAACTGGGTAGGTGGAGAGATCGCCGTGCCGACCGAGGGGCAGGTCGTACTCGAGGACCGCGGCTCCTCCGCGTTGTCGGTGAAATTTTCGATGGCCTTAACGACGCCTGGTGTGTGGGGATTGGGGGGAACAGGGTTGGTGAAGAATGGTGGGTGGTCTTCGTCCGAGTAGCGGGTGACACATCTGTTGCCCTCAAGAAAATGGTATCCCCTCAAGACGCCACGTGCGCGGGGACTGTGGGGAGTAGGGTTGGTGCTGACTGGTAAGCGGGCCCCGTTCGGGAAGACAGAGGCATTTAGTTGTGCCCTAGAAAATGGCAGGGTGCCCTTGTGGTAGGCTCTGCCGTGCCGTGGCGGAGTTGTGGAGGAGTTAAGGCGCTGCACGGAGGAAACGCCGACAACGACGCTCGCACTCCACAGCCTCGTCTGGGCTTGCCGGACCCCGGCGGTCGGAATATTCCGATCTGAGCGGCTCGAGGAATCCCAAGATATGGCGGCCGTGAAAAGGGGGACGAAGAGGAAGAGGGGAATCACGAAACTGGTGAGGCTGCGGGAGAAATGTCCGGAGATTGGACAAGGCTGAGAATTCATACGGGAGCTACTAGCGGCGGCGACAACAGCGTCTCGAACTAATGACCCCATAATCGTGGGCATTCCTCTACCAGTGGGATTTACGGAAAATTAAAAAAAATATATCACTCGTCGTCGGCTGCTTCTGTGATTCTTCGGGCATATTCACGGTGAAAGAGGCACCAGTGAGATGTGACTGATCTTCGGGCATATTCTCCTAGGAATGAACTAGCTTAGTGGATTGGATTTTGGTCCTGGAACTGTAGCTCCGTCGCGTGAGAAATGACAGGGGCTCTAGAATCATGCAGCCGACGATTCAAGCCTGCCACACTATTCACGTTCCTCTTTACGGGCTCCCCCGCTCGGGGCCGGTGACTGAGTAACTGCGGCGGGAAGACGGTGGACATCCTTCAGCGCCGACCCACCGTCGGCTCTCCTATTGTCCGTCGCATTTGCACGAGAGGTCCTGGAAGGATGCCGGGGGTCTAGACAACCTAGCTCAGACTGCCAAAATCTATCCACGAACGGTATGGTGGCCGAAATCCGATTCGGCGGCGGCGGCGGCGGCAGCAGCAGAAACAGCATCGCCGTTGCCGCTGCTCTTGCTCTAGGAAGCCCCATTTCCTCAGGTTGCGGGCCTGCCTGGCAGCATTATGGGCTTTGCGGCGACCTTTGGAATCCTACGCTCCTATCTATGAGAAAGTTTATGCTTCCGCCCATGATGGCCATTGACTTACTAAATTTCTTGCGTGGCCGAGGACAGCGAGAGAGGGAGGGAGAGGATGACGCAAGCAACCACTTAGAAGAGGAGCAATGATGAACGATGAGTGGAGAAGTATACAATGGAAAGCGGAGAGCACCTAAGCGGCGGTTAGGGGGGGGAGGGGAGGGGCGGAGAGAGAGAGAGAGGACTCGATTAACAATGCGGAAGAAGAATGACGAGACAAGACTAAGGACTGCATTCCCCCGCATTGACTGGACTCCACGAGTACTAGCCAATGGATCCACTAACCTAACTGGATCAAGAGATTAAATTAAACACCACAATCAATCCAATGTTGTCTCAGCTACTTGACCTAGTTGTGCAAACAGCTCTCGTACATGCTGCTTCTTCCGGGTTAACTGGGCATTACACGTTACTGAAGATCGATGGCAAGGATAGATAGTTTGCTTATTTTTAGTGATTCGGTATTGAACCACTCTTCAATCAAACTCTCGCATCAAGAGGACAAACTGAAGGCCAATTAATTATAAAATAGACGAGTAAAATTAGTACGTTTTTTTCTCGTCTCCATCAGTGGAGGACTAGTTTATCGCCTTCAATCCGGTGGCATCAACACTGTAGGAGAGATTTGGGCCTTGGGGCCATCCATTGCTCCCTACTACTTGACAACTGACTAAGAAATGAAAGATCTCAACTGGACCAATACGGGCCAAGCCCATTTGCATCGCAGCCCGTGGAGCACAACCTAGAATTCTCTTTACATTTTTAGAAAGCTAACGTATGTGAGGTAGGTAAGTTAAGAGCCCAACCAGCGCAGTTTTTTTCTTAAAAAGCCATTTGCTTCCCCACAAGTTCTCTCTCTCTCTCTCTCTCTCTCTCTCTCTCCTCCCTCCTCTCCCCCCCCCCCATTTCATCTCCGATGTTTCAAATGGGATATAATAGTCATGAGCGATTCCGCGATTATGGTAAACAGAAATTAAGGCATTTCTTTGAAAAGTGAATAACCTACGGCGCTGATTTGCGTCGAGATCTCATCCAGGAGAGAGTGCGTCAGCTTACAAGGCCATCGTTTTATCCCACGTCATCCATCTGCTACGTAAGTCAAGCACAGTTTAGACTGAGAAGTGGGAATGACGAGGGACGAGGTGTGGGCCGGAAGAAATGATGTGGATGAGAACCAGGAGTTGCCGCGTGCTAATCATGTGACAGTAGAGTTAGTGATGGGCCTTAGCCAGTCGAGGTGGGCTGATTTTCGTTCTATGTTAGACTCGAATCTTCAAGAAATCAAGCTAACTCGGAGCTCTTCTTCTCCACGAACTGTGACACTCTTTCGACGGACTCGTATCATAAATGCCACTACTACCGAGAGAGAGAGACAGAGAGCATGCAATTCCAAGCGTCCAAATGATCGACGGAGTAGTCTTCCTAAAATAAACGTCTACAGTCACTTCCTCCGGCTACGCTTCCAAGTGCAACCGGAAGAGACTACAGGACCACGCGCCGCAGAGAATGGTGCCATCCGCGAGGCGCCATAGTGCTTAGAGTTATTGTGCTGCTTGGCCAGGAAGGGGGGTGTCTCATCTGGCGTTATAATGGCGGAGAGAAGACGAGTATGGGCATGAGCCGTCGCCATCCGAGGACCAAGAATATCCGCACCTGGAAACCCAAGCAGCCGCGCCACGACGTCGTTCGTAATTGACTACAGTGCGGAGAAGAGAAGAGACCGTCGTCATAGGGCAGAGTGGCGCGCCGAGAGCGGCGTCGTTAATCGCGGCGCGCGGGGCTTGCACGGTGAAGCGCATCGAGAGATTTGAATCCTCTGCGCCCCCAACGTTCGACCGAGCTCGCGACGCCCGTGAGGCCTACGCGCGAGGCTGAGAGAAGGTGGCGGAATTTTCAAACATTCCCCCCCCCCCTTCGCAGGCCACCCACCACCAACCCCCCTATATATAGCGAGACAGCCCCCGGCCGGAAACCATGTCGATGGCCTTATGATTCCAGCTCCCCTTTCCATGGCATCATCAGGCCTTCCTTCCTCCCTACGTGAAGAAAGAAGCCCAGCCACTCGCCTCTTTACCAACCTTCTCCTAAGCACTAGCCCCTTCCCCGAGCAAGGCATTCACTTCAGAGGTATGAACAGCCTCACCAAGATGATCCTGCTGCTCGCTCTGGTTTTCTCCGGCTCGAACCTGCCGGCCGCCGGCGCCGGCACCACCCCAGCATGCTCGGCGGCTGACCGGGCGGCGCTGCTGGGCTTCAAAGCCAGCATCTTGAAGGACACGACGGGCACCCTCTCCACATGGACCGCCACCGACTGCTGCGGCTCCTGGGCAGGCGTGGGGTGCCACCCGACGACGGGGAGGGTCACCCGACTGGAGCTGCAGAGGCCCCTGGGAGGGCCCGCCGGCGCCGGACTGTTCATGGAAGGCGTCCTGTCCCCATCGCTGGGCAACCTCGATTCACTGGAGGTGCTGGTGATCAGCGGAATGAAGCGGATCAGGGGCGCCATTCCCGACGGCTTCTCGAGGCTGAGGAACCTCACCCAGCTCTACCTCGAGGGGAACAGCCTGGAAGGGGCCATCCCTAGCGGGCTCGGGGAGCTTCCCCTGCTCAAGGCGCTCTCCCTCAGCGGGAACCGCCTGCGGGGCCGGCTCCCTCCGAGCCTGGGGTCCCTCACCAGCCTGGTCCAGATCAACTTCGGGTCCAATCTCTTGACGGGTCCCGTCCCCCTCTCCTTCAGGAACCTCCGGGACCTGCAGTACTTGGACATCAGCAACAATTTCCTCTCAGGGGCCATACCCGGGTTCCTGGGGCTGTTCCAGGGCATACGGCTCCTCGACCTGTCCAACAACCAGTTCTCTGGAGAGATACCCGCCTCGCTTTGCGGCCTGCGCAACGCCTTGGACGTCTCCCTGAGTCACAACCGGCTAACGGGGAGAATCCCTCTGCAGATTGGCAGCCTCAGGTCGCTCAACACCCTCAGCCTGAGCGGAAATCTCCTCACTGGGCCCATCCCAGACTCCATCGCCGGGCTGCGCAAGCTGTGGTACCTGAACGTCTCCAGGAACGGGATAACGGGCCCCCTGCCGGGGGCCATCGCCACGGGCCTGCCGTCTCTGCTCTCCGTGGACCTGTCCTACAACAGGCTCGATCTGGGAAGCATCCCGGCGTGGGCGAGGGATAGGCCGCTCAGAGATGTTCATCTTGCGGGCTGCAACATCGGAGGGAACCTGCCATCCTTCAACAACGGAGACTCTCTGAGCTCCCTGGACCTCTCCGACAATTACCTCGTGGGGGAGATCGGGCATATCCTCAAAAACACGTCGGCCTTGCAGGAGCTGAAGCTCTCGGGCAATATGCTGAGGTCGGACGTTTCAGAGCTGACGTTGCCGGAGACCTTGTCCACTCTTGACCTCCACTCGAATCGGCTCTACGGGTCCCTGCTGCGCTTCCTACCGAGAATTGGAGGCTTCATGGAGATTCTGAACCTCGCAAATAACAGAATCAGTGGCGGTCTGCCAGAGTTCGGCGAAGACCTGAGCTTGAGGTGGCTTGATTTGTCGAGAAACGCCATAACGGGCGTGATCCCTACATCTGTGTCGAAGTTGAGGAACCTCGAGAGGCTAGACTTTTCGAGGAATCAGATCAAAGGAACCATACCTTCGAGCATGGGGGAGATGACCAACCTTCGATGGCTAGACGTGTCGAGCAACAGCCTCGAGGGGAGAATTCCAGAGACCTTCCTGCGGATCAGAGGGATGCAACACGCCAACTTCCGCTCAAACAGACTCTGCGGCCAAATACCTCAAGGTCGCCCGTTTAACATCTTCCCAGCTTCGGCATATGTCCACAATCTGTGCCTCTGTGGCAAGCCGCTGGCGCCGTGCAAGCACATCGCTTGACGGGCATGAGCAAGGTAATAAGCCAGCGGAGTGCTGACTTCACATCGTCCACGATGAAGAATATCTTTGGTTTGGTCGAGTAGTTCCTTCTCATTTCCAGCGTTGAAAGCCAAATTGCCATTTGGTTTATCTGTAACACGCATCCTGCGGTGCCTGAAACAATGGCTAATATCAGGGACGGTGTCAAGATGAAAACTTTCCTCATTGAGACTGGGCGTGTCAAAAAGGGAAGCCTAAAATGCTCCCTTAAGCAGAAGACTAACGGCGACACTGGAGCGACAGCGAAAGAAATGAGGTAGATATAACCAAGGACTTCCAAATCCTACAAGCATGGCGAGTCTTTCCCCAAGCTTAACAAAAATTAGAGAAATCTCTGATTACACATTGCCGAATCAACTTCACATAGATCCGACTCGGAAAGGTCACTCTTCGTCTGCAGCCTCTTCTTTCTCTTCTTCCTTCCCGGAAGCAGCAACTTCCTGAGCCCACCAGATGCCACGGAGAAAGAAGAAAAAAGTAAATACAATGTTAGGAAAGTTGCTAAGATGGCGATAATGGGGCGGATGAAGTTAAACAAATAACGGACCTCATCACCGGCACTCTGTTTCCCAATAGAGTTCCCATATTCTACTTTAAGTTCCGCCGCTCTATCGACATACGGCTTCTTCTCCTGCTCCCCCAAATAAGTAATAAATTATTGCATTACTAGGCATCTCAACGAGATAATGAGATTGTATTCCGAGATCGTACGTAATCTGTGAATAAAAACACTCACTTCATCTGTCATCGACTTCCATTTTTCGCCACCTTCCTTGGCGACCTATTAGTTTACGTAATCCATCAAAAGTCAGCAGTGGACAAAAGAGTATCTAGTGAAGATAAAGACGGGACAGACGTAGGTTAGAACGTCATACAAATGAAACACTCTTGCAATCAGGGTTTGCCGATTTGAAGGTCTTCCTAAAGTCATCCCTGCATCCAAAAGTCGTGGATTGCTCAGAAGATATGAATAAGACGTGACGATTTCGCAACGCACAGGATGAGGGCGTCAGACATTACATAAAGAGAAAGAAGGCTGTCGGGGGGCGTTTAGGCTTGCTTGAATATTTTACTTTCTTCTCTTTCTTTCTCTTTCCTTCGTCCTTGGGAATAGCAGATGCAGCTCTCTTCCTGCATTCGACAATTTGTATGAGATATCCCATTAAATTATTGAGCTCAAAACACATTAACGTCACAAATATAAAATCACAATAACACACGCTTGGAAGGAATGAAACCAGTATCGAATAAAGCTTACTTCTCAGGCGGCTTCTTGACCTCCGCGACATTTTCCACAACCTGAGCTTCTGTGATTGCACATGATATGCATAGTAACCGCCATTACCGATCCAGATTTTTACATACAGCAAAGAAACAAACAAGCGGAAATAATTCTATGAACCTAGATAGATAATCAACCAAGTAAGAAACGATTGAATAAGCGACAAATCCATACCTAAGCTCATCCTGATCTTAGAATCCAGGCTGCAACTATGCATGTCAATGAGCCCCACCGGCACATCCTTTCCACAAGCCCCACTGGATCCACAAAAACAAAGCCATTAACGAAAAAATACATTCAACAAACGAAAAAGTCTGCACCACATTGGGATGATGCATCTACTCGATAACGCACGAAAACCGTCCAACGATCACGGAGAGAGAGGACAGTTCCATAGATGCGTACCATTTGGTGAAAGCACTGCCGTCCTTGGCGCGCTTCAGCGTGTTGTTATCTACCTCCACCCTCTTCCTCGCCCTCGGGGGGTTCGACTTGGAACCGGCCATTCTCCAGCAGCTCGACGGTGAGCGAGATCTTCCTCGGGGAGCAAGAGGGAAGAAAGCGAGCGCGCGAGAGAGAGCGAGAGAGAGAGAGAGAAGAAGAGGTTGAAGAAGCGGGATGGCAAATGGCAGGGCGGGCTTTAGAAAGAGGCGCGAAAATAACGAAATCTAAAGAAGCGATGCTCTGTGTTTCCCGCCCAATGCAACCCCCGGGGGAGGCCACGAAACGCCTCCGCAAAGACGGGCTTCCGCCGCATCCTAGCCGTCGATCGAGTGGGCCGTGGAGGGAATTATTCAGCCCGCACTATATAGCCCATTCCCAGCCCACTGACCAGTTCCAAGCCCATATATAGAAAAAGCCTTGGCCGCCCCCTCTTTACATCCCCAGAAAGAGAGAGAGAGAGAGAGGTTGCAATCAACCAAAGCCCACACCCAATCCGGGTTTGACCGACATGGGGCCCCATGAATGCAACGCGTGCGTAAAACTTGCCACATCAGCCGATGAAGTCCGTGAACTTGAGTCGCGGCTGCGGCACAGAGATTAGGTATGGACCAGGGGATCAAGATCTGGGGTTTCCTCGTTCTTTTATCACCGACATATTCGTTGTTCACTCGTATTTTCTATATGTAGATTCCTCCCTCTTCGATGCTGACGACGGATACATCGCAGGGTATGAATTCCAGCCACGTTACCTCTCGTGGCTGGGCTCTTCCGGCCACTTGTAGAAAGAAGCCTGCGACAGGTAGTAAACAATACGCCTTCTGCAAAAAACTGGCGACGTCCGAGGATGAAGCCATTAAAATAAAGCTTAAGTAGCAGTGTCTTAACCCTCTGTACTAATGATTGACTTGAGCGATCGCCAGTCTGTGAAGAGCCAACCATGCGTTCACAGTCAACCCAACAAGAGCTATTGCTTTACTCCCGGCCGCAAGCCAGCAAAGTGGCTCCACTTGCGCCACATATCGTATTATAGGCACGTGCTAGGAAGAAGAATGGATAGACCAAAGAGGTAGGATAAGGCCGAACCTCGCCAGCAACACTTAAAATCGAGATCAAGTAACGGTGATCTGAGTTTCTTACACGTGCCTCTTTATCTCGTGAATATGACATTACAGGGGAGAAGAATGTGAAGGACCATAACAGCATGCTCTTCCGGGGCTTTGCTCATCGGCCCGATTATGTTCCTCAACGAGAAGGCTGACTTCATTGAGATATCAGAGGGAATTACTTCTCAGTAAGTCGTAAGAAAGTGTCCATCAGGCCTAGCTGCTCTCAAGGAAAGCCTCTAGTGCGCAGCACAGGCTTTTCCGTAGGGAAAAATCAGTGGTCGCCGTCATTGGTAGATGTCTCTTTTGCTATATCCACCGAAACAGCATCAATCGCGGTCATTGTCGAACTCTCGTTCTAAGATAGTTTCGGTCATGTTTGATAGAAAACGACGAAAAACTGTACTGGATCACAAGGATGGGGTGAAGGTGACGCGGAATACGATACAACTCGGAGATGGATGGGTGAAGGATATTCTCAATGAGTAGAGTGGTGAGCGTGGTAAATCTTCGCCGCTGTGGAGCTAACACGGCATTGAACGCGGAGACGGCCACGTGCATTGCCAGATGTTCTTCCGGGCTGCGTCATCTAACACGATGGGCGCCGACCTGTACAGCCACGACGGGTGCTACTGAGGAGTTTGTCAACGAGGGACCTTCTCATGCATGCGTACCATGGTCGTGGCCTTCGAACGTTCGTCGTGATATATACTACAAGACAACAATACAATCCTTTATAAATTGAACAAAAACTCCTAAATGTTATTTATTTAACCTGACACATCTATTAGAATATTCATCTCTATGATATGATCTAATGACTTTAATTTTTTCAATTAATATTCTCGAACATGATTAAAACACCTAAAAAATGACTATATTAAGAAAAATCATTTGTAAATGTAATAACATATTATCAACTACAAAATAACTCGTAGAAAATCACCTATTGATATTTATAAGTACTAATTCCATGAGGTCTATGTTACATATTTCCGTTGAGTGGGCTGCACATACCATTGTTGTGCATGTTGGTTATTGCAATGGCTGTTTTGAGGCGTTATGGAATAGGGTATGGAGGAAGATTGTGTAGAAACCGGTCAACGGTTTCAATCCTTTGATAGAAGGGATTGAAACTGTCGAGTCTCTTTTCGAGGCTATAAATCCAAGGGTTTGGCCCCTGCTTCATCATCGTTGGAATCCTCGAGGTCCCCATCTGCCAGAGGAGTAATTTCTCGGTAATTGAAGCAGAAGATCATCCCGTGTCATGAATTCCGGTGGTACGCTTCCATAACTTCATTTCTATCAATTGGTATCAAAGCTCATGGTCGTCGATGATTATTTTTTTTGTTTGATCGTGCTTTCCGATGCTTGAATTTGCTGCGTTTTTTTTGTTGTTGTTGTCTTTGACATCCTCACGTCACCAGAAATGGCCACACAATGGTGCGAGGAGGCCTGACAGCGTCGCTGAAGGCCACGCAACTCGCGACGGTGCCTTGTGGCCTCTGGAGGCCATGCGCCATCGCGACTTCGCCTGAGGGTGTTGCGGCGCCTGCCGATGTTTTTGGTGATTGCCGGATCGCATTCGGGTGTCGCTGTGTAGCGCCTCCCGACGTTTGTTGGACCCCGGTCCTGGGCACTCATTGGTGCGGCCCATTGAGTCCACCCAGCGATATGGGCTCACGCCTAGCAGCGGCCAACTAGGCTGCTCGGCCTTTGTGTGAGCTGGCCCTTTTTTTGGCGCGGCCCACTAGGGCCGCCAGGCCAGGCGCAGCCCACTAGATCTGCCGTGCCAGGCACGGCCCACAAGGCCGCCCTGCCAAGTCCGGCCCAACATGGGTTTTAAAGGGTATTTTCTTCCATTTTAATATTCTCTCATTACTATTTCGACGATTTAATTTATTAATTCACTTTATTTTCAATTTATTTTTCTTGATTTTTTAGCAATTCTCAACATTTTAATTCAATTAAATTGTGCCATGATAGTGTATTATTTTATTTGAATTAGGATAAATATGACATTATATTAGTTCATATGTCATAAAATCATATGTATTAAATTCATGTGAACATCTATTGGCCCAAAGGAAAATAAATGTTTAGCCAAATTTAATATATGCATGGCAATTCAAACATATATATTTGTCAAGTATTTTGTTTTAAATAGACTTTAGTAATCAATATGTTGATATATTAACCTCTATTATTAAAAGTGTTCATTTCAAAATACTATGATGACTATGTGATATTATTTATGCAAGCAATTGTTGGCCCAAAGGAAAATAAGTGTTTAGCCAAATAATAATCACATCAATACTAGTAAACTTTGCAATTATTGATTTAGATGAAAAGAAACATAGTCGACCCAAAGGAAGGCTTATTATTTGTCATCTTTTATTATTTAATTATTTTGACTAGCATGCAAAGATGATCACTTGCAAATTAATATATCATTCAAAGATGAGCATTAATGTTGTATTAGATCTCTTGAGACAAAAAAGATATCATTGTTTAAATTTTTATTTAAACATTTTACTTATGTGAGTTATTATTTGCATAGGTTCGAAAAAGGTTTTAGATATCTACATAAATTTGAATTCCATACTAATGCTAAGTGGTACAAATTTTAAGAAATAGAAAGAATTTGTATCACTATACTTGGGTGCTTCAGATCTTGACTATGCCTTGTAGAATGATTAACTTGAGGCCATTAAGGATTTTTCTTCCATCGAGGAAAAGAAAACCTATGAAAATTGAGAGAGATCAAATTATATGTGCTTAATGGTCATCAAGTGTATAATTCCTTATACCCTAAGGGATACCTTAGTTGACGAAGTAATCGATGCCAAACTTTTCCTCCAAGAAATTGAGAAGAGGTATCATAAAGAGGATAAAGTACATACTAGTACTTTCATGTATCACCTTACTAACATGAAGTATAAAGGAAAATAACATAAAAAAATACATAATGAAAATGTCTCACATTCATTCCAGATTAAAGGTATTAAACTTAAAACTTTCGAAAGAGTTCATTATTTACATGGCTTTGAACTCTCTTCTTACACAATTCAATCAATTTAAGGTAAGCTATAATTGTCAAAAATACTTTTGGTTCCTTAATGAGCTCATTTCACATTGTGTGCAAAAGGAGGAGAGGTTAAAATCAAAACGATGTGAAAGTGTTATTCTCACTCTATCCTCATCAAAAAAGGTAAAGAATAAAGGAAAATGCAAGGACAAACAAATTGTTAATAGTCTATCTAAGAATAAGTAACAAAATGAAATACGTTATTTTTTTTATAAGAAGGTTGGACACTTGAAGAAAGATTGTGTTAAGTGTCTTGAATAGTTAAAAAAAAGATATATTTATCTCTTTTGTTTGTTCAGAAATTAATCTAGTGCTACTACTCATGTGAGTGTATCTATGTAAGATTGTCTTAGTCATCGCAAGCCAAATGAAGATGAACAATTCATCTATCAAGGTGATGACAATACGAGGAAGGTCGAGACTACTGATGTTTTTAAAGTTATCATGAAAATCGACTATCAGTTGTATTTAAATAGGGCATTCGTTGTACCATCTTTTGGGCGCAACTTGATTTCTATTTTTATTTTGGACAAAATTGGTTATTATTGTTCATTTGGAGATTAAAAGTTCAATCTTTTTCAAAATTCAATACTTATAGACACTTAAATTTTTTATGCTTATAATAACTTATATTTGGTTGACACTAAAGTATATTTAAAATAATCATTTCAAATAAGTTTTATTAATACAAAATAAAAATTAAGAAATAAGAATTCATTCTCTTTATGACGCAAAAGGCTAGGTCATATTTCTCAAAAGAGAATTGAAAGACTAGTGTCAATTTTTTTTTTGATTCCCTTGATTTTAAAGACTCTGACATATGTGTCAAATACGTTAAGAGAAAATAAACAAACATAAAGAAACTATGTTCTAATCGAACTTCACAAGTCTTGGAATTGATTCATATGAATATTTATAGACCATTCTCTACGACATCTTTAAATAGGTAGTAATATTTTATCACTTTCATTGTTGATTATTCTTGATATAAATACTTGTATCTTATTCACGAGAAATCTCAAGCCTTTGATGTGTTCAAAAACTATATGGCTAAAGTTGAAAATCAACTCAAGATAAGGATTAAGGCTATAAGATCTGACCATGATGGTAAATATTATGATAGAAATGACAGATCGGGTAAACAACATCAATGACCTTTCACTAAGTTTTTAAAAAAGTGCGGAATTATCCCTCAATACACCATGTCAGGTTCTCCTAACATGAATGATAAGAAGTATGATCAATCAAACTTCTTTACCTAAATCCTTTTAGGGTGAAGCACTAAAAATATTAACTTATTTTGTTTAATAGAGTATCAACAAAAGTAACATTGAAAGCCCTTTATGAGCTTTGGACATGTAGAAAATCTAATTTAAAGTATTTATGGGTTTCTATAAAGACAAAGACCTTATAAGCCTAATGAAAGAAAACTTGACTCTAGGACATTAAGTCATCTCTTTGTTGGTTACTCTAGACGATCTAAAGGGTATAAATTTTATGATATTACCACTAAGATTATTTTTGAAATTAATAATGTTATATTATTTGAGGATGATGAATTTATGATGAGAGATAAGATTAGAGATATTATATTTGAGGAGTATTATTTATCAATACCTTTTATTATTTCTAAAAATATTCAAGGTAAAATTTAACCACTTGACATTGTTGAAACAATAACTCATAAATAATGTGATACTTAAGAAATTTCTACTTTGGAAGTTCAAACTCAACAACCTCAATATTTAATACTATTAAGAAGATCTACTAGAAAGAAAAATGAAATTTCAAATGACTATTTTGTGTATTTTCAAGAACATGAAATAGATTTGAGCTTTGAGAAAGATGATCCAATCAACTATCGTCAAGCCATAGAAAGTTTTGATTTTTAAAGTGAATCATAACAATGAATGATGAAATCAAATACATGAAGAACAATGATGTTTAAAATCTCATCCCGTTATCTAAAGGTGTGAAACCCATTGATTGTAAATGAATATTTAAAATCAAAGAGAATTCAAAAGGTAACAAGGAGAGATAAAGTTCGTCTTGTTGCTAAAGGGTTTACTCAAAAGGAAGTAATTGATTATAAATAGACTTTTACTCTAATTTCAACAAAAGTCTCTTTTCGAGTAATAATGGCACTAGTTGTACATTACGATCATGAACTTCATCAAATAGATGTGAAGACAACTTTTCTCAATTAAGACATTGAGAAAATCAAATATATGATGCAATCTAAAAAGTTTGAGTCTAAAGACTCAAAAGAACTGATTTGTAAATTAAAAAAAATCATATATGAACTCAAACAAGTTTCTCATTAGTGGTATCACAAATTTCATCAATTTATTATTTCATATGACTTTGAAATGAATAAAGTTGATGATTGTGTATATTATAAGTTTAGTGGAAATGAATACATATCATTTATTTTATATGTGGATGACATCTTACTTACATGTAATGATTTGGTTATCTTAAGTGAAACTAAATCATTCTTGTCAAGGAACTTTGAAATGAAGTATCTTGGTGAGACCTCATTTATTTTAGGTATATTGATACATCGAGATCGTATTCAAAACATTTTAATATTGTCACAACAAGTCTATATTAAGAAAATTCTCAAAAAATTTGGCATGTAAAATTGTAAATTAAGAAATACTCTCGTGGCTATAAGAGACAAATTTTGTCTTAGTCAATGCCCTAAAAATACATAACGTAAAAAAAATATAAAGTAAAAAAATACATAACATTCCTTATGCATCAGCTATAGGATATATGGTGTATGTCTAAGTTTGTATGCATTCAGATATAACGTATATTATTGAAATGTTAAGTAGATACTTGAATAATACAAGAATAGATCACTAGATAGTAGAAAAGAGAGTCATGCACTATTTACAAAGAACTAGACATCACATGTTTACATATAAGAAGTCAGATCAAATAGAGATCATCGGTTACACTGATTATGACTTTGTCGAATACCAAGATTCAAGAAGATCCACATCAAGTTGTATATTTCTACTAGCCGATTGAACCATCTAGAGGAGTGCGAAGCAATCACTTGTAGCCTCCTCCACAATGACTGCAGAATATATTATAATGTATGAGGCATCTAATCAAACATTATGATTGAAGAATTTTGTCACTGGGCTTTAAATCGTGAATAGTATTCATAAACCTCTCAAGATATATTGTGATAATAAATCAGTCGTGTTATTCTCCAATAATAATAAAAGTTTGACAAAGTTTAAGTATATAGACATTAAGTACTTAGTTGTTGAAGAAATGATTCAAAATGGGGAAGTATCCACATAACATATTAATACAAACTTAGTAATTGCGGATCCACTTACCAAAAGCTTGTTTTCTAAGATCTTTCAGATCATTTCACTTACATGGCGTTCTTCATTTAGAAGAATTGTGATTTGAGTAAGAGTTTATATTTAGTGTTCTTCATTGTGGACTTGTAAAATATTTATGTAGAAATAAAATTTAATCTTATTTTTATTCTATTTTGAATGTTGATCTCCATAAATGATGACTCTTTAGAAATATTCAAATTAAATTTTATTTAAAATTTTTGTGCTACACATCTATACTTAGTCTATGTCATTCATCATGAGAACATAAATGATTTGTGTGGCTTAGTTGCATGAAATCGCAATGAAAGCTGTTGAAGTCTTATATCTGAGTGTTGATGGACAAAATTGATGTATTTTACCTTATGTGACAATAACCAAGTTCTGAGCTCATAAAAATTAAAATGTACAAATGATTATATAGTCATAATATGCAGCCCAAGTGGGAGATTATCGGATATTTCCGTTGAGTGAGCTGCACATATCATTGTTGTGTATGTCGCTTATTGTAACGATCATTTTTGAGATGTTATGGAATAGGGTATGGTGGAAGATCATGTAGAAATCAGTCGACGGTTTCAATCCTTTAATGGTAGGGATTGAAATCGTTGAGCATCTTTTCGAGGCTATAAATCCAAAGATTTGGTCCTTGCTTCATCATCGTTAGAATCCTCAAAATCCTCATCTCGCAAAAGAGTAATTCACTGGTGATTAAAGCAGAAGATCATCCAGTGTCATGGATTCCACCGGTCGTTTTGGCAGCTTCATTTCTATTAGTATAAACTTGATTCATACATAATCTCTTTATATTTACTTGGTTTTTTCAATATGACTAATATATATGTTAAAATATTTATAATCAAATGGTCAAAATTTATTTTAAACGTAAAGTATGTTAATTATCTTTATAGAGATATGACCTAATTTCTTGTTTAATAATAAAATATATATTAATAATAAGTAATCATAAATAAATAAAGTATTTTAATTAATGCATTTTTATTTTGAGAAGCTAAACTTTATATTACTAAATATAATAATCAATAATATATGTCTAAATTAATTCTAAAAACTAAACTCATTTTATACACATCCAATCTAATTTCTCATTAATCTACTTATAAATATTCCCACACATAACTTTATTTGATTTTAAATCTTTATCACCTTTAAATCATAGCCAAAAAAATGATTAGACATCTCTATGGTTTTAACATTTATTACTCTTACACATAGTGTGATGTGAGTTCAGTGAGAGTTAATTTATCCATTTGATGAATATACCTCACCTGAAATTTATTATAATGTGCAAGGAAAGAAATTAAAATTTGACGAAAAAACAAATATTTTGATATATTTAACTTGAGTAAAAATAATTTTAATAGATATAAAAATATTCCAATATTATTCTCCATGACATTTTCCTTACTTTTGTAACTTATAGACAAAAAATTACTAAAATTGGACTTAGTTTGACCTTATGTTTCTTAACAAATCTTTTATGAAATTCCTCAAATAAGACATTTATTTTATGACCTTATTAAACATAATGTCCTTAAGAGTTTTTAGAATGAAGTGTTTCATAATCATAAGACATGTAATTAAATCAATTATACTTTTATGTATCTCTTTTGTGCTCATGAGCATTAGAATGTGTAATATTCATAAGTACATCAATGCTTATTAAGTCAAAATTCATAACATTGACAATAATAATACCATTTTTAATTTATGTATCAAAGTTTGAGCCATTAAGCTATAGAATATGATTAATAATGAAAAAAATACTATAATCCAATCTTAAAATTATATAAGATATGTACCAAAATTTAAGACATGAAAGTTATTTGATATTTAACCATATTTAATGTGAGCATAATAATTAAATAAATTCATAAACAATTTCTATAATAAACTTCATGATAATTTATTTTCTAACTCAAATGATAAGTAATGTCACAAATAAACCAAATGATGACATTATCATAACAACATCTTTGATACAAACTAGCACATCAAATTGACATGTGTTGAGTTGGCATACTCAATACTTAGAATGACTTTTTCTCATGGAGTAATGAGATGCTTCAAGAATGACTCTTACAATATGTGACTTAAGTAACAATACCCCTTATTTATAAACAAATGATAACTAAATCTTGATGTATTTTTCTAATTCTGTTCATCATAAAATTAGATAATGTCTTAATATCTACACATATTTAACCCATACTGAAGTGAGATGTCATAATTCTTTATTTGCCCCATCAAACTATTGAACACTAAAATACATCAGCATCACAAATATAAAATCACAATACATGAGGTTCTAATGAAAACGGTCACTAATACGAAAACACAGAAATTTAAACCGCTGAAACAGAAGAGCGAAAAATGAGGTTCTCCCCTTCACTATTTGTCACTCGGAGAGAAAAGAGAAAGTGACGCCTCCCATAGTAGGGAAAGGATAATTTGTTTTCATATCTAGGAGCCCATGTGAAGCTATCTAATGAAAGACTTGCAACGGGAAGCCCTACAGACTGCAGGTGTGTCGCTATTTAGTATTCACTGCGTTGAAAATTGAGAAAACTGGAAATAACCCCATAAATCGCAGACTTAGGCACGGATTCATTCACGCCGAAACCGGATCCAACACACCCGTGACAGAAAGGATATAAAATAAATTTGATATAGATGTCACATCTCGCTCTCCAAAATACATTAATTCATACAACGACTTGATTCTTGCCTTATTTATTAGGCAATAATAGCACGTCCTATCCACAAGTCCCATTGGAACAGCGCCATTAACCAAAAAATGCATTCAACGAACGAAGAAGCTTACATTACACTAGGACGATGTACAGTATGGCTTATCGATAACGCATGAAAACCCTCCAACAATGACGAGAGAGAGAGGACAGCCGCAAGGATGTGCACCATTTGGTGAAAGCGCTGCCATCCTTGGCGCGTTTCTGCGTGTTGTTCTCTACCTCCACCCTCTTCCTTCCCCTCGGCGGATTCAACTTGGAACCGCCCATTCTCACCTACAGCTCAGCGAGAGAGAGAGAGAGTAGAAAGGCGGATGGGAAATGGCGTAGGAACGCGGGCTATGTTTCCCGCCCGCCCAATACGATCCTCGCGGAACGCGACGAAATGTCTCCGCGAGGGCGGACTTCCGCTGCATCCTAGTCGTCGATAGAGTGGGCCTCTCGGCTTGAGATGAGTGAGTGACTTAGGGAATAAAAACAAAAGAGGATGGGAGTCGTCGTAATAATCAATTGTAATGACCTCCCGATGAGGTGAATATTGCCTTCTTTCATTGACCACAAGGAAAGAAAGAAAAGCGACAAGGTTAAGATTTGTTGGGGATTAATGAGCCCACTCTGTGTAGCACACCTACCGCAGCCCAGGTTCAATCCGGGAGAGAGAGAGAGAGAGAGAGAGGGAGAAAAAGATGTTTCATACCTACCAAAACCCAGATCCAATCGGGTTTGACCCAGTTAGGCCCCATGGATACAACATGTGCGTAATACTTGGTACATCAGGCCGTGTTCGGTGAACTTGATACGCGGCAGGGGCACATAGGTTACGTGTTGAGCACGGAATCAAGATCTGGGGTAGTTTCGTTGATCTTTTCTCCCCGACCCACTCACTGTTCGCTCGTATTTTCTGTAAGTAGATCCCTCCCTTTTCGGCGGCAACGGCAGATACGCTCTTAGGGTCATAAATTCCGGCTACGGTATCTTTCGTGGGTGGGTTCCTGCGGGAGAATATACGAGAAAGAAGTCTGCGATTGGTCGAAAACAGTAGGCCTTGTGCCAAAACTGGCGACGTTCGGGGATGAAGCCATTAAAATAAAGTGCATCGATGTTCTGTTATTGGCATGTTCTAGGAAAAAATATGGACAAATAGACGTAGGATAAGCTGAACTTCGCTGGAAATCTGATTTATCTTCCTTTTGTCTCTTTATCTCGTGAATATGACATTGAAGGACCATGAGAGTATGCTCTTCCCGGGCTTGACCCCCCAGTTTGATTACCTCTCAAAAAAGAGTCAAACACTACACATAAATCATTACTTTAAAGTCGTAAGAATGTGTTCGTTCGAATAGGTGGCTGCTCTTAAGGAAAGCAACTATTGTGGAGCAGAGACCTTTCCGGAGGGAAAGTTCGTGGTCGCCGGCATTGGTAGATGTCACTTTTGCCATGTCCACCGACCACTACCAATCGCGTTCATAGTCAAACACTCTTTCTATATTAATTTCGATCATGTTTGATGGATAAACGACAATAAACCGTGCCTATAACAAGTACGAGCTGAAAATGACGCGGAATACGATACAACTCGAATTGGATGGGAGAAGAATGGATCCAGATCGCCGCATCACGGTTTGGTCCGGTGAAAAGGTTGTCACCGAGTACAGGGGCAGAAAGTTTGCAAGCGAGCAGATTCAACACTTCAATGAAACCCTATTCAATTGTTCACAAACAGAAAGAGACAGAGAGAGGTGCGGCAGCCCGTTTGGTGAGCATGCCGAATCTTAGCCGCACGCAGATCTATCATGGCCTTGAGTCAAAGAGACGGCCTTGGCCAATGGGGGGAGGTTTCCTGCATGTGGGAGTTGGCTAACACAATGGACGCCGACCTCCATAACTACGTGGGGTGCTACCGGGGAGTGGTCAACGCGGGACCTTCTCATGATGGATACCTACCATGGCCGTGGCCTTCCCAGCGACGATCATCCGGCCGTCAGCGTGCCATCGTCGACCAGTTCTTCTCAATAACATTGGGAGGAGAAGATTCGACGTCGTCGGGATCATTGATCTGTGAGAGCTATAACAAGACTTTCTGGGCGAAGCGTGCTCGAGGGTGAGGATGAAGGGGGAAACTCTCATTATCTGTTCGAAAAGAATAGATGAATTTACAGAATTTTTCATTGACTCCCGTTTTGTCCGGAATCGTAGGCTGTTTTGCACGTAAAATTTTACAATCGCATAGCATATAACAAATAAACATAATAGATGGCGACGTCAAAGCAAGAGACGGCGGCGGCCAGAGGTTGTGCGACCGGAGTTGCACGCTGTAGCTCCGACGAACAGTCGAACCTTCTCTCTACGTCCTCGAGGCGAGGACCTCGCCGGCTTGCTTTTGCACCAGGTGCCAGGTCTTAGTCACGTGCCGCTCCTCTGTAAGCGTCGCCCCCACGGCGAAGCGGATCATGTAAACGCCGCCGACCACCGCGTGGGTCATGTAAGCCTGCCCCGACGCGTTCACCGCCTCCATCAGACGCTGGTTGAGTTCGTTTGCCTTCCCACTCTCCTCCGGCTTCGGTGGGAGGAGACGGAAGCAGACCATGGCGAATGTCCTGGGGACTACTACCTCGAACCTTCCGTCTGCCGCGACCAGGCCTTCGAAGTGCTTGGCCATCTTGACGTGGCCACGAAGGAAGTTGCGGAGGTTGGCGACGCCGTAGCTGCGCAGGACCAGCCAGAGCTTCAGGGAGCGGAAGCGTCGGCTGAGGGCGATCTGCCAGTCCTTGTAGTCGACCACCTGCTTCGACTCGGTGGCCTTGTTGCGGAGGTACTCTGGGCTGGTCGACAGGGCCTTTACCAGAGCCGACGGCTCCTTCACCCATAGGCAACAGCAGTCGAGGTTGTTGAAGAACCATTTGTGGGCGTTGAAGCTGAAGGAGTCCGCCATCTCCACACCGTCGATGACGTGCCGAAACTCAGGGCAGATGCATGCGCTCCCGGCGTAGGCGGCGTCGATGTGGACCCACATGTTGTATTCCTTCGCCACAGCACAGATCCCCTTCACGGGGTCAACGGCTGTGGACGAAGTGGTGCCGATAGTGGGGCAGACGAAGAACGGGACGAGGCCCCGGGCAACGTCAGCCGCCACGACGTCTCGGAGTGCAGCGGGGTTAAGGGCAAAGGCGTCTTCCCGAGTGGTGGCCACGGCGCGGAAGTTGACGGGGAAAATCCCGGCAATCTGAGCTGCCTTCTGGAGAGCGCAGTGGGTCTGATCGGATCCGTAGACGACGAGCTTCCCAATTTGCTCGCGACCAATGCGGTTCAGGACCCGGTCGCGGGCGGCGGTGAGCGTGCAGAGGATAGCCTCGCAGGTGGTGCCCTGGAGGACCCCTCCGCCGCCGCCTGAAAACAGGAAGCACTCGGGGAGCTTGAGCATGTTAGCGAGCCAGTCCATGACGATACTCTCAAGCTCGGTGGCCGCAGGGGAGGACATCCAATTGAATCCCACAACGTTGAAGCCGGTGCTCAGCATCTCGCCGAGGAACCCGGCGGTGCTGCCGCTCGCCGGGAAGTAGGCAAAATAGTTGGGGCTCATCCAGTGTGTGATGCCGGGGAGGATGTCGTGGGTGATGTCGCCGAGGATGGCCTCGATGGGTTCGGGGTCGTTGGGAGCTGCACTGGGAAGACGCTTGCGGAGGTACCCTGGGTTTACCTGGCTTCGGACGGGGTACTTGTGGATATCTCGATAATAGTCAGCCAGATAGTCGATGACCATGTGGCCCTGCCGTCTAAACTCCTCTGGGTCGAGAGGGTTGACCTGGAAGCCATCGGCGTTGACGAAGTCTAGGGCATCGGTTTGAAGGCTTCCCATTATATCTTCTCAGTTATTGAACTTAGGGTGGATGCCGGCGACGGACGGAAGGCGAGGAGGAAGAGGAGGAGGAGGGTTTGCTCCGGGAGCGTCGTCTATAGGCCACCTCCGGGGTAGTGAGGCGTCTATGGTTTCGCTTATCGGGCAATTCCGTGGTGCGAAGAGGGACGGTGGGATGGAAGGGCCTTAAATAAGCTTTGGGGGGTTGGTGAGGTAGTCGGTGGGAGAGATTCCTGAGAGAAAGGAAATAGTCCAGCGCATGGAAGCAGTTATTCATCGACCAGCGACCATGTCCAACGCCGCTTCTCAGCCGATGACGAAGAAGTAGACGCGGTGCCATCGTGCGGCTGTCTTCGTGATCTTGCGCGTATAATCATGGCGTCTTATAAGCATGGTGTCGTAGAAGGGAAAAACTCTGGATGTCATCGAGTTTTTTACGCATGAACTTAACCACCTTGCCGGAATCTGTTGAAATTTTAGAATGCTTATTCCGATTTATGGAAGTTCTGGATAATATAACCACTCCATTCTGAACAAAATGATGATCGACTCTAAATTTGGAGTTACTTCGAGGCATACCAATAATAGGGTGGTAGATCACAGGGCAAATATTGTTGGAGGTCAATTAACCTTTAAAGCGCTCACCAACCCACCATCAGACATCCCTCTCTCTCTGTCTCCCTCTTTCTGACACGCGTACAGAGACGTCGACATGTTCACACCGGCGCTGGATCCCGGTGTATGGTAGACTGACGATGCGTCAGCGGGCTAACGTTGACGAGGCCTGAATTTTAAACAGAAGCTGCGGATCTGGTCCGATGAGCACCCTATGGACTCTTACAGATCAGGGGTGTGATTGCTTTCTGTGATTTCCGGCTTCGGGTTCCTCCGGATTGAGAGAGACTTTAGATCCCCAGGTTTTGTGATTGCTTCATTGATTCATCCCAGGATGGTTCGAGTCCTCTCGATTGGGGAACGGTGTTGTTTCTTATGATCAAGAAGGAGGCTTAGACTTCTCTCTGATATGTGCCAACCCTTCTAAATGCGTAGGGTCCTGTACCTTGGACGATTTACAAGATCAAAGATGGTGTGCAGTCATCCTCTTTCAATATACTACTGTTGACATTAGGACTTGTTCAGACTGGAAGAGAGTCAGGTGGATGATCGATGCTTTAACCATACAGATCTCCGCGACGCTCAAGTTTTCAAGGTGAGCTGCGGCCCATCGAACTCGTGCTTTGCATCTGGGCAGTTCGATTGTCCCTGTCAGTCACCATCCCAGTATTTGCTGGCTCTCTTTCAGCTGGTCTCCTCCACTAGACTCCACCACCAACAATTCAACGTGGACAGCGTTCTCGGTGGTTAGGCCAGTCCATTGTCCTCACCAATTACGACCACCGGGGGGCTTCCACGATGGCATACACGGGCCGATCAGATAATGTGTTAGGGTGTGGAGGGACTGGTCCCGTTTCTCCAGTTAGTTCTTACGTCGATCTAGGATTATTACTTGATTTGTGTTATTCAGGTCTCAGAGTATTGGATTACCGTCGGGCTAGAGAGTGCTTGGACCTATCTGATTCATTTATTTTGATACGCGTTTTAAATGTTTTCTTAATATTTATAGCTAGTAATTCTCGAAGAATTATTGCCTTGGCATTAATGAATTAGCCGCCACATAATCTAGTTCCTCCACCGATCAATTTTATCATTTAACTGATATCTGAGTGTTTTATTCTCAAACTAGGTACAGATAGGTGCTTGGTTTCCAACCACGTTTCTCCACTTCCGACTTCACCTCCCCTCACTCTCTCATAGGTGGCCCTACAACACTTTAAACGGGGAAAACCTGTTGAGAGAGAATATCATGCGCTCATCTCTTCTTCCCTTATCGGCCTTGTTGGTGCACGATTCATTGCTTATCGGCATGAAACCCATGTTCTTGCTATTTCCAAACCTTCACTGGACAACTTAGGAAGAAATACATTTGCAAAAAGATTTTTTCTCCAGATTTATCAGTTAAATAATCACATGAACTTATTTATGCCATTTTCCAACAATTAATATGGGTTTGGTCATAGGTTTGCTCATAATAAATTTTATAATCTAACTTTCCTCTTGATGTTTCAACTGGTTTTAAATAAGAAAATTATCCCTTAAATATCACTACAATCGAAGTTATTGAGACTCAATGAAGCTGATGTTGAATAAAAAATGGTACAAAATGTTAGTATTAATAATATTTCTGAAGTCTGCCATATTGTTTACTATAAATGCATGCTATTTGAAAAATAAATAATTGTCACGAAAAGTTGAGTGAGAAATTGAGAAATAATTTATGTTGGAAACTCTGAAGTGGTTGAAGATTAGTACACTAGACTAATAGACGCACGTTATTCAGTGTCCTTGACATGATCTATCACGTGTTAGTATACGTTTTTAATGCTTTTTTAAATGTCTAATAGACGGTTCCAATTAGACATATGCGTACAATAAAAAATTTTGTACCATGTGGGATGGGCTGACTTTTTTTAATAACAATTAGTATACATCCAATATTTAATCCTTTTTTTTTGCTCAATTAGGTAGAGCTAGTCCACACACATTTAGTGTTATTGATAAGCATGCCACAATATAAAATAATCATGATACGTGGAACTCTGCTATGATTATTTTAACAAAAGGTTGATTTAAATCAAGTTAAAATAATGTGAAACAAAATGAAAGTATCTCTCCTTTGTTTCAAGTCTGCTATTTGTGAAGAGAGGTTAGGTGAATTAGTTTTTTATATTGTTATTTGAAAAAAAAATGATGAGATTTTTTTTTTTTAGAGTCAATCTAATGAAAGGGCCTCATTATATATATATATATATATTTCAATTCCAACCTAATCTTGTTCAACTCTCCCAAAATGCCTTACTAGTTGGGTGCTAATAATCTTACTTTAATAATATTTTCACAAATCTTAGATACTCTTTGAGTCTCCAGTCTGCTATTTGTGAAGAGAGGTTACTTTAATAATATATGATTATAGTAAATCTTACATATTGGAGTCGTGCTTCTATCCAATTCTACAACGTTCCTATATGTAGCAGTAGTCCTTTAAGAGCTTTGTATGCGAGTGAGATGGTTGATGAATCTTCTTTATTTCTTTCACTTGAGTTGGGCATTTACTTCTCAAAAAATACCTTCACATACTTTTCAAGGTATCATTTGCATTACAAAAAGTGTTGGCCTGATAGGAGATTCAACATGTCCATCCATTGGGCCCCTATTTCAAGAGCAGCTAAAGAATGCCTATTGTCCAGTATTGGGTAATATTTGTCATTTTTTGCATGTGAACTCAATTTCTGAAGTCAGCTCCTTGTAAAGTTTTGATGTGCAAAATAAAATTTGAAATATCTCAAATCCACAAGCTCACTTCTAGAAGGCTAATGATGGAACATCAAACATTTATTTTAATGATAAGTTAAAAATGTTAATTTTGGTTAATACAATAATATTATGATTATGGTTGTTGTATTTAATTTTTCAAACATCCAAAAGTTATACATAATTAAATTTTATTTAAAATTTCCAAAGAAACTTATGAGATTATCTATAGTGCCACACGTACAGTATGTATTCCATAGCCACATCAATGCTTGAAATGAATGGTGATGAAACAAGGAGAAAGATCATCCATGAGTTTGGCTGACTCCATGTTTATCTGAACAATTTTTTTCTTTCTTGCCTGTCAAAATCATGGGTCCATAATTACTTTTGCGACGAACTATAATCAATATTGAGACAATTTAAGATTCAGTTAAATAGGGTTTAGAAACTCAAGAGACCACAATCATTATCTAACGACTATTATAAAATAATGCATGTGGCATCAAATTCCATCCATTCATCTCTCTCTGTCTCTCTCTCACTCTCTGTCTCTCAGTCAAGTAGGCGCACATATAAGGGAACAAGTTATTGATGGGGCAAGAATGTTTGGGATTATCCAAGGTCCAAGGTGGAGCTTGTTTTCACGCTAACTCAGGACATGCATGTATTGAGTCCATGTAAAAGAAACCCAGACTTAGGGCGAGTAACTCATGCATCAAGTGAACATATTATGATAATGATAAATAGATGGCAATAAAATATAATTACTGAATTTTTCGTGTCTATCTCTTATTATTAAGCAAAATCGTCTGCAATAGTCTTTCAGTAGAATGACATGATAGGTAGTCACTGCGTTAACATCTTCTTCGATCGTCATCTTACACTGGAAACTTAAACCTTGAACCTTAAATGATGATCGCTGTATTTTCTAGTTGAATGACTTGGCCTGGGTGAGGCCCTGGGTGACTACTCCCAAGAGACGCGCAGTGGCGTAATGGGGTTGTCCGCCGATGAGCCACTGCACGAAGAAGATGATGCTAGATGCTTTAAGATCGATAGATAGATAGATAGATAGATGGATAGAGAGAGAGAGAGACATTCGCTCACCCCGCGAATGTGGTGGTCCATTCGAATTTAAGGAGGACCGGTCCAAAAACAATATCGGGCCATAACATATAGGAGAGCCGACAATGGGAGGAAATTTGGGCCGGCCTATCTGGGAGAAGAGCGTCAACAGAAGACTTCCCGACAGTGCACCTGTTTTAGAATCCTTCTCCCGCGACGTCATCGTCAACGCGAGACTCGCCTAGTGGCGAATGACGATCGCCGCCGTTCTCTGTCGCAGGTGAGTATTCAACAGGAAGCTGCCATTTTTTTATTTCGTTTGAGGAAAAACTATAGTATTTTTCTCGCGAGATCGGCATTTTTCTGTCGCTTTCGACATTTTGATTCGGCAGGAAGAAAATCCGAAGAGAATCTGATTCGCCCCCGGAAACCAATCGGTCCCCGATCGCCCGCAAGCCACGTAGGAGATGTTAATCTTCTCATTCCAATCTCTTTCAGGGAGGATGGTCCCCCGAGACCATCCGGTTGGCAAGAATGTCGTCGTCCCCTATCTCTTGTGAGTTGTGAGATCGTGTGGAGAGAAGGCTTTCAGTGACGAGTGGAGATGATTGAAGCCGAAGACGTTCTTGACTCTTTGAAAAGCTCCCTTTTGGGCGCCACTCTTCGTCTCTCTCTTCGCTCTTCCTCTGTCTCGGCCGGGCCGGTCGCAGCTGCAGCCCCCACTCGGAACTCCTCTCCACCCACAGTAGTCGCCGTTCTCCCCCCGCCTTCCCGGCGCACTGCAAGGCCCCCAGCGATTTTCCATCTTCCACAGATCCCTACGATGCTCAATTTCTCCGTTCCCCCGGTCCAGGGCTGTGGCGGAGACGGATAGCTGGACAGGGGAGTGGCTCGCCTTCTCGATTGGTTATCGTTCGGACAACCGCGAGTAATCTCTCTCTCTCTCCCTCTCTCTCTCTCTCTCTCTCTCGCTCTCGCTCTCGCTCTCCCACTGTACTTCCCTCGGTCTAATCTTTATGCATATTCTGGTCAACTGTGCGGATCTTTCTTTCTTCTCTCCATGTTAGAAGAATTTTGACTATGTCGGGGAGTCTTCGCGACGATTCCTCTCCGAAATCGAAGCACTTCACGAGTGAGGAATACCATCACTAAAAGTTAACTACAGCTGCTCCACGCCTATCTGACTTCAATTTATCGTTCAACCAGACCCGTTTTCTACCTCTTCTGCGAGACTGTCTTTCTTCTACGATTATCTTCTTCTTCTTCTAGAACGACGATGCCTTCTTAGTCACTTGTTCTTGGTTCCTGTTTTCCCAGTCGTTTGGATTTCCATACCCTTGGAATCTAAGACAGTCTGTCTTCACATTTGTGGTGACATACAGCAGGGAAACCGACCCATATCCTTATCATCGTTCTCCAGTGAAAATCTCTCTCTCTCTCTCTCGTTCATTCTCTGTCTTCAATCTCTGCCGCATTGGTTGCGTAGACTGAACATATTCCAGGATTTCTCACTTCTGGTTGCGGTTTCAGGGAAAATCTGAGAACGAAGTTTCGATCTTGCCTTTCTCTTTTATCAAGGCTGGCGAATTCTGGGCATCGTTTCAGATCCTTTCTGTTGTTCTCCGTGCGCACGCGGATCCAGTTCGTCGGCATTGAAGCTCTTCTTCTTCTCTCGATCGGTCGACAGCAAGTTCTCTGTCTTGCATATCCTCTCTTTCTCCTCTCTGAATCCTCCCTCACACTCATCAGAGTGAAACTTTCGAAATATCGCGAACATAACAGAACCTTCTGGCTATATATGCATCAGAGAAGCTGGTTTCCCATTTCCAAGGTAGGAAATGGGATGTCTGGTGTCCACGCCAAGGCATGGCAGAGAAAGCAAGGGAAGAAGCCCCGATAGTCTGGGGGAGGTGGCGGTGTTTCTTCCTGTACTACGCATTCCCAAGTCTGCGGATCTCTCTGTTCCTCTGGGCCACAGATTGCCAAAGAAGTACCTGGAGCGTCTCTCTGCTCTGAGAATTCGACTTGTCGTGATTGCCACCGAGGAAGCTCCCGCTGCCCTGAAGGCGAGACGAACAGAAACTGAAACACAACTGGGTTTGTAGAGTCTAATCATGAAAAATTTCCCATTTCATTTTGAAATCTAAGCTGAATGAATATGACAGAAAATATTATGGCAGGTGGCTCTGCTCTATCCGATCTCTGGCAATCACTTGAGGAATACCTGCCTGTTCTACTTCGACTGGTGAAAGAAGGTGAGGGAGATGGGTTCATCATACATCGTATTTCATTTCGCTGCCAGCCATTGTAATATGTTTACTCGTGTTCCTGTGGCTCTTGACAGTGCATGAACTATATTCCACAGGAAGCCAGACCACAGACAAAGTGCAATTTGTGTGGATAAACCAGAATACTGATTCAGAGGTTAGACAATCATCATCCTAAATTTTTATGGAGTTTTCACGGATATTTAATAATTTATATTTAATCAGATCATCAATTCAGGATTAGACAATAATCTTCCATGCTGAAATTTTTTTCTCCGATTCCTGACGGTTCATAGAAGTCGTAAACATATGCAGGAAACCTGTATATCAGATGCTTGGTACGAGGTGCTGTCAGTGCTGCACTTGATGGCCATTCTGAGCTTATCAGAGGCCAATCTTTTACTTCTCCCTAAGACGACCGCCGAGGGACGCCAGGCAACAGTATCCGAAGGTGGGCATTCACGAATCCTTTCCACATCAACCCAGGATTAGCTTATGAGTCTTGAGTTCAAGGCTTAATTTAGAAGAGGATCGACCGCCGAGGACAAAACCAAATCATCGACGAGTGTTTCTTCTCTGATACTCATGGCTGCCTTAAAATTTTGCATTCCTTTGCAGAGAACAAACGGAGTTCGATCGATGTTTTCTTGAAGGCAGCTGGGTATCTGGATTGCGCTGTCCGAGACGTCCTCCCTCAGATTCCCCTTCAGCTCAGGTTCTTCTTCTTCTTCTCTCCTGTTTGTAGCGCCAACCCCTGTTTCCAGTTCACTAGCTGTCTTTATTAATTTTAATCTTGTAACATATATTGCTATCACCTGTGGACAATGTTTCTAGGAAATATCTTCCTCTCGATCTATCTGAGGGCTTGTTGAGAGCTCTTTGCCAACAAGCTCTAGCACAGGTGTCTATTCTTTGAGTAATTTCTCACGGATACGAGACTTCTGTAAGATTTGTGCGTTCTTTCATTGATCATCCTCGGTCCATCTCTTTCGTTGGGTGGGTGTTGGTTCAGGCTGTCGACGTCCAACTCGGAATGGCCATTGACTGCCCCAAGGCCACACTGGCGGTGAAGCGGAGGCTTGCGTGTGAGATGGTAAAGCACTGGCAGCAGGTATGAAGTTCTTCTTATCAGGGCCAATTTTCAATCTTGATAACTATAGTTCGCTGCAGGCTCAGGACAACGTCTCGCAGATTCCATTAAGCGGAGGTTGGGGGTTTAAATACCAGCTCTATATTAAGTGGAAGCATGTAGAAGCGAAGGTACATCAAAAATTGATGATGGTTTATTTGATGATTATTTTCATGAGGAGGGTATGTTCCCCTGTGGTAAACGACGTTCTCCGTGCGACAGGCAGCTGCATATTACTTCCACGGGCTGATTCTTGACGAAGGCAACACGGAGAAATCTTACGGGATGGCGGTGGTCGCCGTCCGAGCAGCGGAGGAATTTCTGAAGGAGAGTAAACAGGGATGCGAAGCCTTCAACTCGGCTCCTCCATTATCAAGGTCACGTAGAGCTTTTTTTATTTGGTATTTGGTGCATGTGGTGCTGACTAAGGGTGTACACAAAAGAGAGAGAAAAAAACCGGGGTCAGAATAGGCACGCGTACCCCGTCCATTGATACCCTTAGTATGTATGCAGTGACTTCCTGCCATCCTGAAACATGTAACTTCTCTGCAGTAACCCCCCCCTGTGGGGAACTATGAAGTATCTGTCGGAGAAGATCCCAAAGGATGCACAGAGCATGATGCGAAGGAACCGGGAGTTCTACAGTCATGGGACGTAAGTGATCTACGAACGACAGCTGAAAGGGTGGTGTCGGTTATCTACTCTCTTTGAGCGACAGTTTCATAGAGAATGCTAGAGCAAGCTCCCAATGGGTCTCTCGCTTGCAGATTCCCGCAGATGGCTCCGCCGCTGCCGGACTTTGTCCTGGCGCTCAATCCTGACGAGTACCAACTTCCGCCACCAGACCCATCGTGGGATGAGGAGGATCAGCACCGGGGCTGAAGGAGACGAGCTGGTCTGTCGTCGTTCAGGCTCCACTCTTCATCAGAGAGGGAGTGACTGGCCCGTCTGTGGACCCAGGGAGAGCTGGGGAACGATGGAGAGTCCCTGAAGACGTATCTGTAAAGTCTAGTAAATCTACAGGCGTTTAGCCCTTCAATCGCCAAGAAAAACTGTGTTTTAGACGTCCAGAAAACAGCACATTCCATTGCATTAAATCTCGCGAGCAGAAGAAGAATTTCCATCCTCACTTAAAGGGATATTCGATCAAACTTCATCGCCAAAACCCTGCAATCGTCTGAGCTACAGGTTTTCTGGGTCCTGGTAATCGCACTTCATTTCTCCTAGACCGGCGGAGACTACGCACTCATCCTGGGTACCCAGCTCTTCCTCTACTGCAGAAAAGAGCGAAAATTTTAATGCTGAGTTAGGTGCCTATTGTTCATTAGCAGTAAGACTACAGGATTAAGAATTTATTAACATCGCTCTTTGATTCCCGCTCGTTTCTCTTCGACATGAAAAATACGGCCGCATTGAGGCCGGTCGACTCTATTTCTTATCCTCATCATCAACAACTAAATGCAGCAATGTGTGCGCGATGACTTAGTTGTTGAGGGGAATTCCTTTTATGATGATTATTCGCCGCTTTTCATAAGAGATTTGATTTGAATCCTTCTCGTCCCATTCTTCTTCGAAGAACGCAGTGCCCCTTGGCCCCAGATTGACAAGCTTCAGACTAGTTTCTAACCCCAATCCTTCTCAATGGATCTGTCAATTTATAATTATATAATTGATAATAAAGTACAATACTATTCAATAATAATAGTTTTAATTACATAATAAGTATATAAATAATATAAAATAAATAAACTAATAAAAATATTTTTATTATAAAATAAAAAAGTAACATGAAAATTTTAAAACGAACGAGATTCGTCAATAAAAAAGGTAAAAATCTAAGGCATGGTTGCAACCAAGACAAGAGCTAGCCTCTAAATGTTCTTCGCCTTCAGATATAGAGGACCGGCTCTTTTCAGCCTCTGCTTGCTAACTAGGGCTTTTCCGCGCTGAGCGGCTTTGCTCATGCACGAAGGGCGGGAGAGGGGAAGAGCGGAGCTCCAACCGGAGCGCCTAGCGGCAACCTACGTGCTGGTCCTATCACGGCCAGGTCCGCTTCTCGAGCATCGGCTCCAAGAAACTTGAAGCCCTAGGCTTCCTCAAATTCGTTACTTCCCTTGGGAGAAGCTTCTTGTCAGATTCGTCATCATCGTTCAGCGGCGGGTCGCGAGGTCCCCCCCTTAGTTTCCTCTGGACTCTACAATTTTAATGTACCAGCGTGGACAAGTCTCTGGACTTGACACTGAAGCTCCGCTACGCCGTCGTTCTGACGCAACATGGTTGACTGGCAATCTCGACGTGGACGTCGTATCAATAAGCAAGCGCTAGCTAGGCCGTCGCCGCCGTACAGTTTTCTGAAACCTTGATGAGCAAATACCGAGAACCGGAGAGCGGAAAGCAACGACCTCGGAAGTCCGGAAGTTCACAGGTCCGACTCCCCTGAGACGATCTCGGAAGATCATGGCTGCTCATCAGGAATTTCCTGCTTATGCGGAGGAAGTGGTCGAGATGGCCTGAAGGCAGCTGTTAAGGCCGAATGAATGGATGATGGTGGACGGACGTAAATTTAGGGATAAGGAAAGGGCCTCTAACTCGTGGCGAGTGCAGTGCGAGGCCCGAGAGATAGGCATCGCTACGCTTTGTCAAACAGTTTTCCATCCTCTGGTTTAAGTTATAGCTCTGAAAATTAGCATAAGATATCTCTGTTTCGTTAACGGGCTGAAACTCCACAAATGGGAGAGTTTAGGCAGACAAACAGTTAGATCAATGCGGGAGCAGAGCTTAGATTCCTTGGGTTCTGTCCACCGTTCGGTCACCCACAATATCTCAATCAATGCTCGTTTTCTCACGTACGCATCGCAAATCGGCTTAGAGTACGATAACAAAGTTTCATGCCCTCGAGGGGTATAGCAAGATATGGAGTTGCCACGTGATTCGACGTCCTCAAGATAGAGGACCTCATTCAGGATGAACACTCTGGTGTTCTTCTCATTTTCTAAAAGGTCGTCTCACCATAAAATTATCCCGCCCGCATGGGTTTGTGCAGATTGACGTTCACTTATGCGTAACTAGCAGGGCTACTCTCACCACTGAAACTCTGCAACCAGGGGGAGGGATTCTCATCGGCCGCAGGATTTACGTAACCATTTGCGTCAAACGGCAACCGTCCCTTCACCCAACTACTCTCTCTCTCTCTCTCTCTCTCTCTCTCATTTTCATCCACGAGTGCATGATAGTACTGCACAACGAAAGTACAGCGCAGCCTCAGCGAGTCTCGTCGAATGACTAATCCGAAAGTGAGAGTACATTTAAAACTGTAGAGACAATGTGTCGGCAGAACTGCGATGGGGACCTCGCGACATGAAGGAGAGAAACAACGCCGACGAAGGTATCAAGCTCGTACGAAAGCAAGAAGGCAAGAAACGAATTTGAAGCAGTCTTAGAGTAGCTCTGATGACCACCCAATTCCTAAATTTAATTGTTGCTGCAACAGAAAGAAAGAGAGACCTAGACGACCTCACGGGGTCAATTTGACCCATTCTCTCTTCAAGTTGCGAGGAAGACTTTTCTTCATCCAGGGATAACTTATATTTTCTCTCATAGAAAATAGGAGGAGCAGGTGGCCCGCTTCTCCTTTCCACTCTTGAATCTCCTCTCGATTTATAGGGTAGAGGCCACCCAAGACTTACTCCATTTTTACCCTAGCAGGCAACGATCTGGGCCGCCCGGAAATCCCGTCACTTCCCAACGGTTGTGCCACTCCTGCCGAGATGGCTACTAGGTGGCCATTGACAACCCCAAGGCTACACTGGCGGCGAAGCGGAGGCTGGCGTGTGAGATGGTAAGGCACCGGCAGCAGGTATGAAGTTCTTCTTTTCTGGGCCAATTTGGAATTTTGATAACTCTAGTTTACTGCAGGCTCAGGATAACGTCACGCAGCTTCCATTTGGCGGAGGTTGGGGGTTTAAATATCAGCTCTATGTTAAGTGGAAGCAGGTTGAAACGAAGGTACATAAAAAATCTATGATATGAGCTCTGGGCGGAACTATTAAGTATCTGTCGGAGAAGATCCTAAAAGATGGACGGAGTATGATGCGAAGGAACCGGGAGCTCTACAATCATGGGACGTAAGTGATCTACGAACGACAGCTGAAAGGGTGGTGTCGGTTTTCTCCTCTCTTTGAGCGACAATTTCATAGACGAATGCTAGAGCAAGCTCCCAATGGGTCGCTCGCTTGCAGATTCCCACAGATGGCTCCGCCGCTGCCGGATTTTGCCCTGGCGCTCAAACCTGACGAGTACCGACTTCCGCCACCAGACCCATCGTGGGATGAGGATCAGCTCCGGGGTTGAAGGAGACGAGCTGGTCTGTCGTCGTTCAGGCTCCACTCTTCATCAGGGAGGGAGAAATGGGCCCGTCTGTGGACGCAGCGAGAGCTGGGGAATGATGGAGAGTCCTTGAAGACGTGTCTGTAAAGTATAGTAAATCTACGGCGTTCAGCTCTTCAATCGCCAAGAAAAGCAGTGTCTCAGGTGTCTGGAAAATAGCAGATTCTAATGCATTAAATCTCACGATCAGAAGAAGATTTTTGCTTCGCTTAAAGGGATATTCGATCAAACTTCATCGCCAAAACCCTCGGGACTCGACTACTGTTCTACTGCAGCAATAATGAAATCTTAATATTGGATTAAGTGCCTATTGGTCATCAACCACAATACAACGGGATTAAGAATGTCTTAGGTAATGTGACCGGATTTGGGGCTTAATGGGCCTAAGAATGGCCTGATACAACAACTGAAGTAAGAGAGTTTAATGTGCTGAGAATGTGCAATACAAGTTTAATGTGGTCTAAAGAGGATGAGAACACCTCACGACCACTAAACAACAGGATTAGTATATAGAGTTAATGAAGCATTGATACCAGCCACCAGACGAGAGTAGAGGAGGAGAAGCCGGAATCCTGTTTCCAGCCGCCGGAAAGTAAGGGTTTCCCGTATCCTTACTTTCTCTCTCTCTCTTTTTCTCTCTCCCTAAGCCCTCCCTTAATGTCTCTCTCCGACATGAAAAATACAGCCGCATTGAGGCCGGTCGACATCTCTCTGTCTCATCTTCAGCAGCAACAACTAAATGCAGTGGTGTGTGCGCAAAGACGTGGGTGACCCTAAGACTGTCAAGTTTGTTTCTTGACTTGGGAGTAGGTTCTTGTCATCTTCGTTGGCATCGTTCAGATGCGGGTCGCGAGGTCCCCCGTGGACAAGTCACTTGGATGTTTGTTTGGGAGAAGTTTGTTGACTTGGGAGAAGTTTGTTGACTCTAGCCTCTACAATTTTCATGTTCCCGCGTGGACAAGTCACTGGATGTCACTCACTGAAGCTCCGCTGCGACGCCGTTATGATGCAGCATGGTAGGCAGGCGTCCTCTATGTGGACGCCGTTTCAAGAATCAAGCGCGAGCTAGGCCGTCGCTGCCGTTGAGTTTTCTGAAACCTTGACGAGCAAATACCGATAACCAGACAGAGGAACGCGTAGCAACGAGGGACTCACGTCCCTCCCGTCCGAAGTCCGGAAATTCGCAGTTCCGTCTCCCCTGCAACGGTTTCGAAAGATCATAGCTACTCTATCATGAATTTCTTGCTCATGCGGATGAAGTGGTCGAGATGGTGTGGAGGCTGCTGTTAAGGCCAAATGAAGGATGATGCTGGACAGACGTAAATTTAGGGATAAGGAATGGGCGTCTCACTCATAGAGGAAAATGAAAGAGATAGCGAGAGAGAGAGAGAGAGAGGGTGGTTGGGGGGGGAGGTGTCGGTTGGTGCAGCTGGCTTACGTAAAGTCTTGTGACCGACGAGAATCCCAGTCGATGGTTGCAGAGGCTCAGTGGTGAGAATCGTCCTGCCGTCGTCAGTTTTGAAAGTCAATCCGTGTGATAACTTCTGGCGAGACAACTCTTAAAGACAATGACAAGAACACCAAAGTATTTGCTGATCTCCATCATGGGCGAGGTCCTAGAAGAGGATGTCGAATCACAAGCGTTGACTCCATACCTTGCAATGCCTGTCGAGGGCGGCATGAAACATTTTTTCTATAGATATTTTTCTACAGCCGAAGTCGTTATTCCTTACAAAATCAGTTCAATTTTGGTAAGTATAGGCGCCCAAGGACGACGCGCACGAGAGAAATAGAGCCATGATGCTGAGGTTGGGGTGTGAAATCAGAAACCGCTGTGAAGTTCACTGTGGCATAATCCTTCTGACGTGACAATCTGCGGTCCGATGACTCTTTTGAAACGAAGCTTCAGAGACGGAAAATTCTATCGCATATCGCTTACTTGGAAAAATCAATAAAACATAAGTTGAAGAAGACGAACCGCATCCCGTGGGCATCGGGGGCCAGGTCAACCTTTTCCAACTCTGTCATCTGTTCGGCTACGTCGAAATCCAAGTCTGAGACGGCGACGTTGACATGCTCGGGCGTGGGAGATAAACATCTCTACCATATATCGGCTATAAGAAGGAGAACCCAGTGATCCGTTTCCGTGAGCTACTATTCCGAGGAGAACCTCATTGAGAGCCGGCGGAGGATCGTACTCCTGGTGTCAACGGGTGGGTGAGGGGTGTGTTCATGGGTTCGGCTTCGGAGTTCTTCCTGGGCATGGCGGCCCTACTGCTGATGCCCTCTATCGCCCACATCGTCCTCGCTCAGAACGATCCCTCTGACTGGGTTACCCTCCACAACGACGAGCGTAGCAAAGTGGGTGTCGGGCCCGTCTCGTGGGACGAGGAAGTCGCCGCCTTTGCGGAGAGCTACGCGAACCAAGATATCACCGTCTGTAAAACGCGCGGACACTCCGAGAGTAACATCTACGGGGAAAACATCTTCTGGAGCGAGGACCGCGCCGCCACTGCGAGCGATGCGATGAGTTTGTGGGCCAGCGAGGGGGACGACTTCGACAAAAGTACGAAAACATGCGCCGAGGGCAAGGAGTGCGGACACTACACCCAAGTGGTGTGGCGCGATTCTACAGCGATCGGCTGTGCTCGCGCCGTCTGCAATGACGTAGTATTCATCATCTGCAACTACAGTCCCCCGGGGAACGTCGACGGCCAGGATCCTTTCTAGTGGAGGGCAGCGTCTGCTCGTGGAGACGGCTCCTGTGGTCTACGAATAAGCATGCTCATGCGACCGTGAGCATCCAGAGTGGAGGTCCGTCGATCCCACTCTTTTGTGCGTGTTTTTCTGTGGGTGTTGTAACGATGAAACTGTGTTAGGAGTGGCGTCTCCATGTATCAGAATAATACGTTTAGAACATAGTTCTTAACGTCACTCCTGTGTCCTTCTAGTGACCACCGGGTTAAATTACTTGCTTCAAATCAGATGAGAGGGAGAGAGAGAGAGAGAGAGAGAGAGAGAGAGAGAGAGAGAGAGAGAGAGAGAGAGAGAGAGATCTAATGATAGGATGCTTTCACGTAAGGAAAGCGCAGTGAGAGGCCCGATAGATGGGCATCGCGATCTCTATGCTTTGTCCAACAGTTTCTCATCCCCCTGGTTCCTGTTAGAGCCCTGAGAATTAGCCTGAGAAGTCTATTTCGTCAACTTGCTGAAACTCCATAAATGGGAGTGTTTCCCCAGACAAACAGTTAGATCATCGCGGGAGAGGAGATTAAACTTCATAAATGAGTAGTCCATACCCTCGGTCAAGTATTCGGTTGCCCACATATCTCCATCAGGGCCCTATTTCTCCCGTACGCATCGTAAATAGCCGCCTATACTTACGAAGATTGAACTGATTTTTATGGAATGATGACTTTGACCCTAGAAAAATATCTAATCTGGTCTCATAGTAGAACAAAGTTCCTCGCCCTCGACGCTCATTGCATCGCAAGATATGGTAGTTCACACGTGATTTGCCGTCCTCATGTCGGACCTGGTCCATAATGGAGACCGGCAGAGACTTTGGTGTTCTTGTCATTGTCTTTAAGAGTCATTCCACCATAACTTATCACGCCCGTATGGATTACTGCTGATTTGTTTTCACAGATGACGTAATCGGTACTATGAGTCTCACCACTGAAATTCTGAATCCAAAGGCCCGGATTCTCGTCAGCCACAAGAGTCTCGTCAGCAAATTGCGTCAAACAAAACCTCCTACTCCCCCCCTCCGCCACCAACAACTCCTCTCTCTCTCTCTCTCTCTCATTTTCGTCCACGAGCGGATGATGGTGCCGCACAACTAAAGTACAACGCAGCCACGGCGAGTCACGTCGAACGACTTATCCGATTGCGAGTACATTTAAAACTGTAGGGACAATGCGTCGGCATAACTACGATGGGAACCTCGCGACAGTGACGAGAGAAACGACGCCGACGAAGATAACACAGTCGGAGGAAGGCAAGAAACGAAGTTGAAGCAGTCTAAGGGTCCCTAGCTCTCTACCGCTCACCCATTCCGGCATTTAATAGTTGCTGCCAAGAGAAAGAAAGAGAGACGTAGACCACATCAAAACCGCAGGTCTACGGCTTTCTGGCCCTTCGATTGTCAGCATAAACACTGCTTCAGGCGTCTGGTACCAGCTGATTCTCATGCATTAAACTGACGAACAGGAACAGTTTCATTTTCCTTACAGCGATATTTGATCAATCTGCAGTGTTAAGAACCCCTTGAATCTCCAGGACTATACTGTTTCTGGGTCCTCGTAATCACGCCAGAATTCCAACATATGGATCTCAAACTTCCTAGGTTGTGATTGATTCAGAAGCATACAGGGGAAGAGATTATGCACTAATCCTGGGGGGGTAGTTCACCATTACCCTCCAATACGTGCCTCTCCTCTTGTTCCACTGTAGCAAGAACAAATTATTAGTTGGTGAATTACAAAGAAAAAAGGGAAAAATAAATGGAAATGGTCTGGGTACTGACTATAAAGCTCGTAAAGGGCTTTCTGAGTGCGCCTCTCGAGCTTATCGAGCCTCTTCTGCACATCTCGGCGGAGATCCCAATTTGGCTTCTTGGGGGCAATATTTACAAATGGATCCTGCTTTCCCATGGAAACATAAAGAACAGTAAGAAGAAAAATTTCTGAGAACGGAAAGGAAATAGGCTCGTCTTTAGAAAGTATTTAGATCATTGACGACCAACGATCACCTCGATTTTCTCAGGTTCGGCAACAGGAGCTACTGGGTCTTCAAACTTTGGTAAGGCTGGTGGAGCTAGCTTGTGCTCTTGAAGTCGTTTGTCAAGAGGGACATAGTTCCTGAACTTCACGTTCATCCTGCGACCATGTACAGGTACGGTCATTCTGTGATTAGGGACTTGACTGAACACTGTATAGAAGGGGGGGTTCTGCCAGTCCTGTTAGGTAAATATAGGCATTCATTCTTATGCCAGCCTTCACAGTTCTACGTAGACCCGATGCACATATCAATAGAAAATATCAATTAGCAAACCCTAAAGGCAAAACCACTCGATGCACGAATCAAAAATTATATGGATTTTTAATGGGAAAAGGAAGCGGAATAAAATTGTTCTTGGAAATGTTCTCGCCTACATGGAGAGGAAATTATTAATAGTATGGGATTTTCTCGCTTTAGGCTTCACTGGTTCCATATAGTGATATTGTGAGTGATATGCTCGGACCTCACAGATGGGCACAAGGTGGAAGACGGAGGATACATTGTGCCACGCCAGCCGAAGTGGCAAGAAGTATGGTGCATCCTTAATTGGACTTGAATTGTGGAAAGCTTCTCAATCGGAAATAGATCCTTCTTCGTGTTGGCAGTCGAGATCAGCCTAGTTTGGCAGAATCAGCCAATTCATGCCTGAATTGTTTTGCATAGGAACAATCCAAGGTTCTTACATAAAATAGATACATACCTAATTACTGCCTGACCGTGCCTGTTGGCATCAGCCATATAAAAGCCAAATTAATGGTATCGATACCCACTTGTTTCTCTCTGCGACATGCTTTTCCTTATAGCAGTCTGCACATTCATCTTCTTGTCACATCCTGTCCACATATGGTGCCTCGAAATTGCAACATGGAGACTACAGAGAGACTTTGGGTGACAGTTTGGTTTGCACCGGTATAGACCCTCACCCTCTTTCATGCCCCATTCTTATAAAAGTTTCAGGAAAAAGATGGTACTTGTCAATTGGAATGGAGGATCAAAAGGAACTTCTACTGGAGACATGGCGAGGAAGAACCATTCCATAAAGTTCATTTTTAAAAAGTGTTCTTGTGCCTCAACAGGGGGGAGATTGAGATCCATGTGCTGCATTTGCCAATCCTAAGCCCTGTTCCAGCCGTTTCTCTGTACCATTCCAACTCTTCCATGTCCATCCAGCATTCAAAAGTTCCACTTGCGTAGGACCTATTGCCATGGGGTATCATGCTCGACCATGTACAAGCTGTAAACATGCTTGACCTCGATGCTGTTGATTTGCACCTCCTTGTCTTCAATCTCATGGGGTACCCACATTGACGTGGTTGATCTTTTTATTTCTTCTCTTGGTAGAAATCACGAAATGAAAAAAACAAAGCTTGCATTTGACGTTTTTTCAAGCTTTTTTTTTTAATGATACTTTAAATTGATTTCCTAATTTTCTTTTTCACTTCTTCGTCAGACTAGTTCATCTTTTGTCAGTCTTCAGCAGTGAGGATCCCTTGGTCTTCCCCAAGATCTTCTGTTTTCTTCAACAACCAATAAGGCCTTCTAATTCTATAAACTTTTTTTCACAATATTCTCGTTCTACTCCCTTTGCGTTTTCTCCTCATTTGAGTTTACAGAAGGTAAGATACTACTTTCATGGTGCATCGATCCTTGTTTTAACCTATCTGTACTACTTTTTCCAAAACCTCAGCATAGAATCCAGAATTTCAAACAGTTGACTTTACTCAAGTAAACAAGTTGAGATGGGCATTCACTTAGAATGGCCTTTTGACCCCCAAAGCTCTTGGTAAAAGTTACCAGAAACATAAACCTGTCCAACTCAATTGAACGACTCTCTCCAAAAAAATAAAATTCACAGAGGCCGTTTCCCAACTTCAAATCCATCAAACCTGTCAGACAAGCTAGGATTTTTTTATGTGTGTTTTTCCTTATGTAGTGCCTCTTTTCTATTTGGACCCTTAAGTAAGTCAGTTATGGACTACTTAATGGGCTCCTTTCTTTCGTCAAAATAAGAGGGCTTGGCCCACTATAGATGTAACCGGTATTTAAACCGGCGTAGAGGTTAATTGAATAATGACTTTTCGGAAATCTACTCTAAAGGGATTTCTGGGTGGCTACAGTGAGAGGGGAGGGTGAAGACCTGATCAAGAAGATCAAGAAGAAGATCGAGATCCTGGTTTGACAAAACCCATTGCTTTTGATCCACTGGGAGAAACATCTATTTCCAAGATGTACGGATTCTGACTAGTGCATGGAATTCCTATAAAAGCTCCACAATTTTTCAAAGGTTTTTTTCAAAAAATGACGATAATGAATATTCCACAGAGTATCTCTTGTGTTGAAAGCACACGTCTTTTTCTTCTCTCTCTCTCTCTCTCCATCCACACACTCACACACTTATATCAAGGGCATAAATAAACTCAATTAACTGGTTAAATAAAGAAAAAGTAAGATGATATACGCTAGCTAAAAATTCACACGGTGCGACATCATAGGCACACTGAGAGCGTAAGTAATTGTAACCATACACATGAAATGACAGAAATGAAGTCCCAATCTTCAAGTTTTATTTCTAACCGGTGAAACCAAGAAAAGTTAGAGTCAATTGCATATAAAAGCTCAGGTAAAAATGGAGAAAATCCTGCTAATCAAGGTTAACTTAGTTTAACCTCCCCAAAGTCCTTTTGAATCATGGAGAACACCTCTCTTTGTACTTGACTCTTAAGGTACAATAAAATATATGCTTGTTAGAGATAACTCAGTATATCATGGACGAAGGTGGTGGATCTAGACTAATTATAAGAATACCATATCTTCCAACCAAAAATTACCTTCCCCCAATAGCAACAGTCACATTTCCTCTCCAAAAATATCTAACCCGCTCTCTCTCTCTCTCCACCATTGAACACAGCACCAAAAAAAGTTCTCTCTTTTCCCACTGAGGGTGTATTATTATGTTCCAAGAAAAGTGGACGCAGATATTTAAACTGTATGATCATCTTTTTCGAACATTCCTCATAGTTAACAGAAAGCTAACTGAGGAACAAAATACTGAGACAAGTATAATTTGTGGAGACTTGAAGGAGCAAGTGAAAAAGAAGCGTTTATCCATAATTCAAGGGGCTTATCCATACCCTTTACCCAAATAACGGAAAAAAAGAACAAATGAGAAAGCACAAGTATAATACTCACTTCTCTTCTTCAACGTCTTCAGAAACTTCCACAAGATCGTCTGGTGCACTTGGAAGTTCTTTTTCATCTTTAAGAGTTCTTAACCGCTCAGAATGAGCAACAACAGCAGTTTGTGAAGCTGTACCTTCATCACTGATCACCCTATTGCATTATATAATAAAATATTATGAACTTATGCCAATTGAAAAGACGGTAATAGTTTAAACAAAAAACAGTTGACGCCTTCTTGACAAAAGGCAGAACCAATCAACTCTACGAAACAAAGACAATCATGACCACTATAACCTCTGGACTTCGTTCGACGAAAATCTCACCATTTACACTATGAGCTAATATGAAAAAAAGCGTAGAGAATAAGCAGCATGTCATGTTAAAGTAGAAGGGTTGCGATATAAGCAACGAAACGCAATGTGAATCAAGAGCGATTACTACAGTGACTCAGTCATTCTCAGTGTATTTCGCAAAATTTTGTACAATCCATTTTTTGGCCAAATGGAGTGGGCCACCTTGATCTAGAAGGTAGCATTTTAGTTGTCAAGAGGATCAGAAAGGCAGCACGACAAATCAATACTCTGTAAACTGAAAACCCATGCCCTAATCGATGCCTGGAGATATTGGCATCATGAAAAATATCTCTCTCCTCTCACTCGCTCATTCACTATCTACTTGTGACGAGTCATTCTTACTCTTGCCAGGCAAAGATACCTAGCACTTGGACAGCAAGCAAATAAAACATCTCTATAAGAAAGACGTCGGCAGCAGTTCGAGGATTCATCAACAACGTGAGGCTGCAAGAGCGGGAACTACGATAACGAACTCATCGAGAGAACGCGTCCCCTCACATGCCACAAGAAAGCAAATTTTCCAACCAAATGCGGTAAAAAAGTGACAAAGAAAAAAAGAACAAAAGCAGAGAAACTCGAGCTCACCGCTTTCCATTGGGTTCGTCGAGATCACCCTCTCGATCATCTCCATCGCCAGTCTCCTTCTGCACCAGAACCCTACGGTCAGAAACATTCCCAGCCGCCGCAGCAGATTCCTCGTCGGGAGTACTCAGAAGCTCTTTAGCGGCTCGGAGGGCTCTCAACCTCTCGCGGCGGGCTGCTGCCGCCTGCTCCACCGATTCTTCTTCCGCTCCCATGTTTCCCCAAAATCAGAGCCAAAGAACTCCGTATTTAGATTTATATATAGGCAGCTACGTGTCACTGGGCCAGTCAAACTTCACAATGGGCCGAGGCTGACTGGGCCCAAACCAAAGGTTCTATACATTGCTGCATGACTCGGTTTATTGGGCTTTTTAATAGCTACATATTACTCTCTGACTCGCAGCTACGGGTCACTGAGGAATTTGGGCTATTACACATGGGCACTACATGCTCCTGAACATCTCGCTGACATCTCTGTGACCTTACTCAAGTCAACGACCCGTTGACTTTCTAATTATGGTAAAAAAAATGAAGAGGGGCTTAAAAAATAAAATAAAATAACATAAAGCCTTACCCGAGTAATTATTTTTATCAACGTTAGTTTTAGAGTCATTGAGTCAATACAAGCTTTCATAAGCATGTGATACGAAATCAAGCAGGCAGAAATCCATAAAGGCGTGGTGGCGACCAAGTCAGGATCCGGGAACTGGGATCATGTCCAACGCCTTGAGAATAAAAGCGTAAGTGAATGCGTCTTCCTGCAGCTTCTCGAATCTGTACCAAATCGGGAGGAAAAATTACTGAGAAAACCCACAGAAAGGATCCTGATTGCCACCGCCCATAATTATTTATTTATTTATTTATTTATCGAGAAGGCGTCATTCAGTATATATGGCATTTTTGCCATTTTCAGTTTTTTTTATTAAAAATAACTATTTCTGGATATTACGAGAGGGGTTACCTTCCCGACTTGGAGAAGTGGCCGGCGCCAAGCTCGCACTTAAACAGGAGAAGATTGTCATCTGTCTTCGTCGTCCTCAGCTTCGCCACGAATTTGGCAGGTTCCGAGTACAGAACGCGGGGATCTGGAGGAGCATGAGAAACGCAACGGGAAAGATCAGCGTGAAAACCATGAGAGGAGTGGCGAAGCTCGAACCAAAGAGGGTACCGTTCAAGCCGGCAGTGACAAGAATGTCTGGGTACTTCTGTGGTCTTATCTGCGAAAGCGGAAGAAGGTCAGAGTCAACTATAACAAAGTCAACCAGGCCAGAAAAATAATATTTTTTTTCTACCCACATTGTCGACTGGAGAGTACGACTTCATGTAGAAGTAAAAGTCCTCCTTTCTGGGATCGCCCCACTCCTACAGGGATTATTTTCAAGGGAATTAATAATTTTTTGAAAACAGAAAAGAAATTTAAATCCAGCCGCCAAAAAATAAAAATAAAATCAAGGTCCAGACCTCCCACTCAGAGGTTGTCAAAGGGATTGTTGGATCGAGCATGGTTGTCAAGACGTCGACAAATGGAACCCCAGCTACCGCTGCCTTGAACAGATCCGGACGCATGTTCAGAACAGCACCAATGAGCAAGCCACCAGCGCTCCTTCCATTTATGCAGAGTTTCTCCTTTGAGCAGTAGTTGTTTGCTATTAGGTACTCAGCGCAGGCAATGAAATCCGTAAAGGTGTTTTTTTTCTTCAACAGCTTCCCATTTTCGTACCACTGCCTCCCCATTTCACCTCCCCCACGAATATGAGCAATTACATAGATAAATCCTCTATCCACCAAAGACAGCCTAGAAGCTTTGAAACTGGGATCAATGCATACCTGCAGGCGAGAGAAACGTCCGCCAGTTAAATGGAGCTTAAAGATGATGACAGGGTAATCTCAAAGATAAATGCCTGTTCATTGAGAATGCTTTCTTCGGTATATTAAAAAAAAACAAAAAACGGAGTAAAATGAACCAAGCAATTTTCTTGAGTAAAAAGCTTGAGCAGAGACATTAGTTGACTGTCGATGATACGCAATGATACGCAATAAGGTGGCTGAAATGCATTCTGTTGGAAGTTATAAGGGTATTTTGGGAAATTTTCTGTAGGGTTTTCTTCCCTTTTAAGGGATGTGAGAGGTCGATGATGGGTTGAGGCAGTTTCCACGGTTCCTCCCTTTTGTCCTCCGTGAGAGAGGAAATCTCTGTGTTTTCAATCGATCTATGTTTCTCAACACATTCCAATAACTTAGAAAGAGGTATGCTAGCCATGAGTTTTGATCCAATTGTGGAATAAAAAAAGAAGAGAGTGTGCCATGTATTGATACGACTCTGGAAGAGGATGGGCCCATGCATTACCTTTGATATGATGATTCTAAGCTAGGCCAAGGGATGATGGAAGAGAATTAAAAAAATAGAGGGAACGACAACAAAACGAAATAAAACGAAGAAATAAATAAATAAAAGCTTTTCCGATCAGCTTTTTCCGAATCTGTCTGGGTCAATCCAGATCCAGATCTGATCAGCATTGGCACATAAAAAATTTATCAGGCTGATTGATCCTAGCAATCTGTTTGGCCATCTGAAGTTCTGGATTAGCCAATTCTGAACTCCACAGGTAAGGTATATAACATGTTCCAGTATTACGTATTGGATGCGGGGAAAGATTCTAGGATTTGAGTGAGCATTGACATTTAGATTGACTATCAAAGAAATTAAAAAAAAGGATGGTGATAAATACAGGTCGTAAAAATAATTTTACAAATAAAATTTGAGCATAAGCTCATGACCTTGATGTTCTTTTTTTCAAAACTGGATAGTACCACATAATTTTCGTATTAAGAAATGACTAATGCATAATGTCGAGATATAGAATCATAAATTACCTCATAAGAGCCGTATCCATAAAGCAGTAAGGGATCAGAACCATCGAGCTTAACAAGATTCTTATGATAGAAAATCGAAATGGGTATCTGGGTACCATCTGAAGCAGTTGCCCATTTCCTCTCAGTCACGTAATTTGATGAGTTGAAGCCACCAAGTACCTGCATTTTACTTCGTTCAAATATGTTCATCGTTCCTGAGCACATTATATAAATAAATCATGATGTCACAAAACACACATTGACAACCATGCATCATTCACAGAGGTAGAAAAAGGCGTGAATAGTGGAATAAGTCCATAAGAAGAGCACCCTGTTGGCAGCATCAAGTGAATCAGATATCATAATACACTGGCCATTTATCTCCGAATACCTGTCGACTGTAGTATCGAATCATGTCTCAAGCTAGACTGCATTCTTTACTCGAGTGCTTTTTTCGGTATGCCATGGGTTTTACTGGAGCTAAAATGATTATGCAATGTTCAATACAGTCTTTCTACAAAATACAAGCGAACGTGGTCAGGCATAGTGAAAGGCTAGGGCATACTTACTGTCTCAATCTTCTTGAGAACAGAAACACCTGTATCCATGTCGTAGTCGTAGACGGAAGGTGGAGTTCTCATCGAACTATAGGAAAATCTTAAAATGGTAGACGAAAACTGTGATTCTTCAGGATCCAATGAATAGGCAGGATCAATAAAAGCAATGGCTCTGCCATCTCCAAGACGTTCAATAGATTCGCTGATTGGTAGAAGTCTATACACGATTGCTTTAGGTAAACCATTTTCACGCTCATAAACCACAAGATGTTCTTCGAAAAGTTTTATATCCTGTATTTTCACACTGAGAAACTCACGTTAATAATGCTTTAATAATGAAAAATAATCTCATGAATAAGTAACAACAACCATAGAAGTATCACATCTTCACACAAAAAGATTCAGAAAGAAATCAAATGAACAAAAGATATTATATGAAAACTTAACCGACATATATGAAATTGTCATGACAAAAAAAAATAGAGAATGTAATTGTCGACTATAGAAAATGGTAGACAGGAGAGAAACTGTTTTTATTAAAGACCAGGTGATGGGACCTGGAGCATTATTGCAAGTTTGCAACCATGGAATCTCTTTGGAATCTTCTTCTGCTTTGGACGAGGAAAAAAGTGGTCAACTGGTAACCTTACCGAATATTATTAAAAGAGAAAAAGGACAGGGGGGTGATTCACCATGAATTAAGTGTTACATCAATGTAATGACTTGATCTTCTTCTTCTCAGTGGTCAATTAAATAATGAGTTTCAATTTTGGAACATATTTGAAAATTCAGGTTCTGCAGTCCTGTCTACAGTCTCTCTTTTCGGTCAAAGGAAATTACATATATAATAAAATTAGGTAATTTTATCACACCTATCGTAGGAAGGCTGTCAAGCAACTATCCATGCTTTCAAAGTATTAACTGACTTTTACAACTTACTATTCAATAAAATCATAACTAACATTATGATGTGACACTATTCGATAACACTATTATTTTGATTTTAAAGTCAAATAAATTATCATACACGACATAAAAATTTTATTATTTTAATTATAATTTATTAGCATTATTTAAATTTTAATCTCTAAATTTACATATCCAAAACAAAGGTTCTGTTGAAAAAAAAAATTGGAAAAAAAATCAGAAGAAGGTTCATGATGTAGGAAGAAAACAGGAAAGAGGAGAATATCCCTCATATGAAAAATGTGCTACTGTGAGTCAGGGCTCAGTCAACAAAGGTAAAGGTAAACACTTTTGGTCATAATTGGACGGTCTGTTCTACAGAAGCGAGGTGAATAGTCACGGTTTATCTCTTTAGGTGTGGAAGCAATACTTGAAGTGAAGAAATCGATCGTAAAATTGTTTATAACGGGTATGCCGTGGCCATATAGGTCCATGAATTGACAATTTCACAATACAGCGGCTTGTACAAAAAATGAACTTCAAGACAAGTTCTCTCTTTGGGGTAAATTTGATGAGAAAATCCCTATTTTCTAAATCAAGAGCTATTCCTGCTCCACTTTCATACCTGCTATTAATATCAAAGTACTTATTTATAGAAACATCAAATCATATCTCAAGAAAGGCTACGTGTGCTATATGAGTGCTTGCCTATTGTCTGTGACTGGTGTCACAGGAACTAACGTGATCACGCTATGTTCATCACAAACATTTCTGGTATGAACGGGGACATATCTTAAGCTCATCTAATCCTCGCTGTTTAACCGGAACTCAAAATACCCACATCGCTCAGATGTAAAATCCATATTGTACAAGAGAAGATAAGATATTTTGACTGAAACAAGTGGGAAAGGTAGTTACAGCATGTCATCGGTGAAAGAAAAGTACCTTTCTCGATGTGGAAGCAGAACAGTAGTTTTAGATGGATCATCCAAGGGGCAAACAAGTAATTCAGAGTTGTAGAGTTCTTCAGTTCTTCTCAGGACGAAAAAATGGTTTCCTCGATGACTGACTGATGTGTCAGTACCATTTATACGGGGTGTCAAGGCCACAAGCCCCTGGTCTTGTTTAAGAATATCCAGGTAGAATACAAACCGTGTATTTTTACTCTCAGATGCAACAAACAAATATTTTTTACTTTCAGATGCTTGAAGATCAACAGAGAACATGTCATCTTTTTCATGATAGAGGCAACGATCACTTGATTGATCAGATCCCAATGTGTGCAGCCAAACCTATAGAGAGCACCGAGTGAGAATCAAGATGACTAGTGATGAATGTCAAGTAGCGATGAGAATTATAAAATGAAATAAGCATGACACATTCGTCACCGATTCAGACAGAACGGTTGTCAATTTACGAACTCAAAAACCACATTCTCCCATTTTATTCCTTAATCTAAAAATTGAAATAAAGAAAGTAAATTAAGAATGCACGAAGAATCATATTTTGACTAGAAAAGTATGGCAACCAATTTACCTTGCTTGGTAATGGCAGAAGTTACTAACAGAACGTAATTTTTTAGTATGTTAAGACTATACTATTGCAAAGGTCGAGCGACCAGCAGGATATGTGACTATGATAGAGAGAAAAAAATTATCGCTTTATTATAGAAGAAGATCGAGTGTCTTTAAAAAAAAGGGTCAGTAATTTATAGCATTACAACTTCGGATAAGTATACACAGGCATAGGTATCAACAAATATTTATTTTACCAGTGTCCCACAGGGACAGGACATACCCACATACATAAAAGATAAAACATGATTCCCATCCAATAGACCAAACGGGCATACTCTCAATTGCCTTAGGAAGTCAAACCTTCCCAGAATCTGAAATTCTCATGATTTAGTTTAGTCCCCAATCTAAAACGTGGAAAATCTTTACTATGAACGTGGATAAACAACATGAAAGAAAATAAAACAATCAAACATAAAAACGATGTTTATGGAAGAGTAGAAGAATAAAAGGAATATTGATATGTCTTGGTTGAATAATTAGAGGTCATTCAGACAATATCTAAGAATAACAGAGACATTCTTTCCCCGATTCCACCAGCCTCAACTTGATATGGTGAAATATGAGGCCAAAAGAAATAGATAAGTAGATGGATAGACAGCATATAGAAGAGAACAAAATAAGTTTTAGAAATTAGTTATATTTTATGCCTAGAGCGTAAGGTATTAACATAAAATTTCAAACTATGGCTACTGAAGGAAATGTTTAACACAAAAAACCAAAACCAATATCTGAGCTTTATCAGTTTGGAGAGGGCATACAATAGAATCTATCGGGGTACTATTTGATGTCATAAAATAGAAAGAATTCGAGTTCGAGGAGGTAATATAGAACTGTCTACGAACATCTTTCAAAGAGCAACAACCAACATGAAGATTAAGGACTTGTTTGGTTACTTCTTTTCGTCCAAATAACACATGCATTGACTGCACATAATCAAGCGGGGGTAGAATAAGTATATGATGCTGCACATATACAATTGGAACGCATTGTGAAGAATATAAAAGGACACATTGTGAAGAATACAGTTAGGAACTGTGAAGAATATAACCAAAGGATTTTAGGACTTCAGATAATAGAGACACATTGAAAAGACGAACCAAGAGAAACAAAAAACTATGGTACATATATTATGTTCTAAGAAGCATTGCATCTAGATTTGAGAGAATGAAAAAAAAAAACCTTATCAGGCCGGAGGATCTCATCCATTGTTATGTAAACTAATGCTTCATCGCCAGCCCACTCAACATATGAGGTTACGCTAGTCAGAGGTTTCCCAACGGTAACTCCTGTCTCAGCGTCAATGACATAAACCGTGTAGATCTCATCACCCTTAGTATCTTCAGCATATGCCACGAGCTTATTATTGGGGCTTACCTGAGAAAACCAGGGAACCAAAATGGTCAAATACCAAATGAAAATCCACACCCATAAATGAATAATTAATCGCAATACTGTACTTTGAAGGACCCGATGCTGTAGTAACCGTGTTCCTGAGCCTTAATATTCTCATCTAAGATAACGTGCTCCAGTGCATCAGGTCCGGTGGCCATTATGTCATGTACAGAGGCAGGCGCTCCAGCACCAGGAATAAGGCGTCTACAGTGCTGAACATACTCTTTACCCTTCAATGTTCGTTCATAATAGTAATATTGACCTCTCCTCACAGGTGCAGAGATATCATCTTCCTTGATTCTTCCTCTAATCTCCGCATAAAGCTCGTCTTCAAATTTTTTTGTTCCTGGTTCAAATACATGGCAGTATTAGAATATTGTTTCAGATAACAGACGAAAAAGTTTATTGTCATGGAGTTTAGCAAAAGAGAGTCGCTTTTATGACTGAAGTGAATGCCATTTCAATAATTCTCATACATTCGGGCAAGCATAGTGAATAATATACTCGGTAGAACACATCACAAGCATTGCCCAATTTGAGCTAGAGAAACATAGTGAAATATTTTTATACATAAATCTCTCCGTTCACAAACATGAAGCAGATCTCTGTAGTAGAATGCGAACTTCGCTCTATGCAGTCTATTTAACCCTCGATAATAGCACAAATATCATGTCTCAAAGAATGCACCTGTGGCTCTAAAATGTGTCGGTCGTCCCTGAGTCCCCACAGACAGGAGAAAAAGGACCCGAAGCTCAAAAGTCAACGCGACGACTCCTTTTGGGGGGGGTGAGGGGAGGGGAAGTAGAAATGATAATGATGGTCAAGAAGCTAGATCCTGGAGAAAGCTCAGTCCCCACCCAGGAAAGACTTTGTCGACGTCTCAATAAGATACTCAGTGGACTACATCGATAGCAAAGGAGATACTCCAATCAAAACAGCACAAGAAAAGCACCATGGAGTCCACATTTGACCTGTCGGAAGAAAAGGTCTAGCCCCACATTTGACGCGAGAAACCAAAGCTCGGGATGCCATCACGTTCCTAAAACGACGGCCAAGAAGCGAACAACCAAACGCCATTAAAATCCGTAATCTCACCGGACATAACGTAGTCAACGTAGTCGTTCTCCTCTTTGAGGTAGGAGAGGACTTCGGGATTCGCCCGGGAGTCGTCCCGGAGCCAGTAGTAGTCGTCGACCCTGACGTCCCCGAACAGCTCCATCACATGGTTGACCTTCTTCGCCACCGGTGGAGCTCTCATGACTGCCGTCCCTACTGCCGCCGCCGAGAGGGAAGACGAGGTGAATGGGGAACCAATCCGGTTGAGATTCGCCGCGGCAATCGATGCGGGGGTGTGAGGAGCCAACAATAGCAGCCGACTAGTAAGGATCAGCGGAAGGCAAAGGCAACCCCCCAAGCGGATCATCTCAGCCGGAATTAACGGGACTTCTGAGCGACGACACTCCGATGAACTGGCGCGTCTGTGGATCCACCCGGGAGGGGAGCATACGATAAGAGGCGCTTGCCATTGCTGATTCACTAATTGGTCAGCGCCTTTATTACGCTCAGTACCAGTTTAGGAGGAAGATCCCCATTAGAGGTCCTTAGGAGCTTGGAGATCTGAAGAAGACGATTGGAATATCTTCTCATGGGCCGAAATACTGAGGCCCATTATCAGGCCCCCGCGTGGTCGGTATTTATATCTCGGAATGGACTGGGCTTCTGAAATCTCTGCAACTTTTCGCTCCTTCGTCTCGGTGAGGAGGAGATGGAAGACTCAAGGAAGAAGATGGCTCCGGATCCCTCCTGCTGCGACGCTGGAGGCCGCCAAGTATCGGTGCCTCTCCCTCCGCCGACGTATCGAGCGTGACCTACCTCCATCTAAGCTCTCCGACGCGTGCCGGCAGACCCTGCTCAGGCTTCTGAACGCCGAAATCAGATACCTCTCCCGCCTTTCTCCTTCAGAGCTCTCCTCCCCCTTTAGGTTCTCCCTCTCTCTCTCTCGCCACATATCTATATATATATATATCTGCGTTGTGATGTTGTGCTTCGGAAAATTGATGATGGATTATGAACAGAAGTTATTGCAGTTTGAACGTAGGTTATTTGGAATCCGTCGTTCAGGTCATCGAACAGCCTTCTGTAGCGGGAGTATCACGCGTATGTAAGCCCGTTGGACCATCACCGCCTTCACCTTCGTTACCACAGGTGGACTCGAAGCCAGTACATATTGATATCGTGTGCACGCTCTGTCAGAAGCCTGTCTGGTTCCTCGTTTCCGACAGAAATCCCAAGTTCATCACCTGGATGGGTTCTCATCGGAGCGATGACGGATTAAGGGCGAGGGTGGAGCGAGTCATCTCTGTTGCACGCTCCACAGTGTCCCTGAAGCCAGACTCCATTGTCCTCTTCTTTTCCAAGGGGCTGACCGAGACCATTTCCAAAAATCTGGTTAATGATTTCGGAGCGTCAGAGTTGGGGAACCAGTTTTTTTTTCCAGAGTTCCGTACTTTTGAAGAATTAGAATGTGGATGGATTAATGTTGTTGGACCAGGCAGTTGCGCATTTGAGATTAACATTGACGCAGGCAGTATTATAAATCGTTCTATCATCAAAGTTTCTGAGGGAGGGTGCAGGGGAGGTGAGGATGCTTTGGATTCAAGCAGCGAGTTCTGGCATCTAATGTCTTCTCTGAAAGAGGCTTCAGGTGACACATCGAATGAGCGACTGATAAATTTTGATACAACAGCTTTGATTGCCATCGTATCTGGGATAAGCAATGGTGATACTGATCGCCTGCTTAAGACAGCAGAGGTTGACTTGAAAAGGCAGTTTAAGGGCAACTATGAATTTGTTATGGCACAGGTGTGTGGCACTTTAATTAGAATAGTATGATTGCTTATCTTGAATACAATGGTACTGATAGGTTTTTGACGAAGCCCACTGATTGATGGTGCATTCCTGCTACCGGGGTTAATTTACAAGAAACACATAATACGAAGTCAGTTTTTCTGCTGTATTATTGAATTGATTTGTAGAACTTAATGGTCACTCATTGTGCAAGGATTTGGGCTTTTGGTGAATAGTTTTATGATACCAGCACAAAGTTTAGTGTGTTTGGTTCATTTGTTTACGGCCCTCTTCATCTTCACTCAGTTGCAACTACCTTTAATCCTGGTCTCGGTCATTTCTACTTTCAGTGCCGGTGAAACAGAGTAGATGCATCTTAGGTCGTGAGAAGTGACATGGTGAAAAAATAGGGTTTTGGAGATGAGAGGAATAGAGTGCAGAACCCTTGGCTAGGATGAAATAAGCTGCTACTTGTGGACTTACGTGGGTATGGTCATCGGAGCTTGACCCTAGATTTCATAGGTCGGTAACTGGAGGGATGTCACTGTGCTTTTGTTGCTCACATTGAGCCGTATTTTTAGACGTCCGTAACAAAATTTTGCGTGTCTTTGAAACCTTGAAAACATCATCCTTTCAAATATTGCATCCTTATTATGACGCTTTCTCTTACTACGGTGTGTCAGATGGTTAGCGACTTGCATTCAACGATTTGTAGGCTCATTACGAACACTGCGAACAATCAGGACTCAAAATTTTGTTCTATGATTAGGGGCAGTATTTAAATGTATATCTCTCTGAATATGTATCCTAATGATATCCTTGAATTTTGCCTTTCTTTTGTTTGAGAGATAACTCTATTTAGCTAATATATGATACTGGGGAGGACTCATTAATTAAAGTCATTTTTCATCTAGTGTGTTCATTTTTTTAATCATATATATGCCATAAGATTAATCTTGTCTTTGTACCTCGCAATCTGCTCATTTCTCCTCTTTTTTCCGGAAATTTACGCACATTCTGCTGACTAGCTTCTTAAACATAACAGGACTAATGCAGCATGTTTTCCTAACAAACACCTAGTTTTATTCCAGGTGATGTCAGAACTTCGAGACCCCATTCTACCTGAATTCAGTGATGTCATTACTGGAAAGAAAGGTATTATTTGTGAAAGCGTTCTCTCTGAATTCAAGGAGCTTGTGTCAATATGTGGAGGCGTGGACGAGAAAGCAAGAGCATGTCAACTGCTTCAATCACTCCTGTAAGTTGACTTTCCTTATCAGATAACAACATCTCATGGCTTGCATTAGTGATACGACGTATAAACCTGTACCAAAGGAAGCGTGAAACACAGTATGATATGATTTTTCCTTTACTATTCTGGTTTATAATGGAAGCTAAAGATTCATGCTCGTCTATCTCTGTGAACCACCACGTGGCTGGGATGCTGCGCTACCTAGATAAAGGATTGTCTGCTTTTATACTATGAAGACCAGCTTGACAGATCAATATTTTCCGAACCCAAATCTTGGATCAAAGCGAACTGATCTAGGCTGAAATATGATGAAATCAATTGAAATCATCCGATTTCAAATTATTTTACCGAATCCTTTGAGAAGTACGTTCAATGGTGAGAAAAATACTTCAACCACATGAAAGAATGGTTCCATTTAGACTCTTCAATTTTCAGATAATTAGGGTTCCGTTGCTCCATTCATCTGAACTGCTACTCACTCAATGATTTCCTAGCTTAAGCTTATAGAATTTATTTCTTCTGCAGATGAAATTTATATATAAGGAGATTCCCCAATGCAGGCTTCCTTGGTAACTTTTGGGTATTCAATTTCAAACTATTGCGTTTTTCAAGAAAATCACTTAAGAAAGAGGCCCGATTGCTAGGTTGAGGGATTTCTTCTCCCTATAGTTCCTAGGGCAGCAACATGGGAATATGACTCACATAATGGCAAATTTGCAAAAAAAAAAAACTTAAACTTTGTTTATTTTCTCCTTCATCACCGCAAAATGATTTTTTTTCTGCAGTTGTCCCAATTTTATTTTATTTTTTTGGGAAATTATTTATCCCTGCTCATCATCATTTATGGGATGCGTATCATCTGCCTCTGCTGATTATATATATTTTTTGGGCAGAGTGGTCTCAGATAGCCCATCAGCGCGTGTTTCTGCTCTTCCAACCACAAGGAAGCTCGCAGTGAAGAACAAGACTATATTCGGAACGGGGGATCATTGGCGTGCTCCCACATTAACCGCAAATGAGGGTTTTGTCAGAGCCATTTCCCAAAGCGGGATGTCTTTATTAACCATAAAGCACAGACCCCGTGCACTGATTGGTGATTAGTGGTGCTCCTCTTCAATGGTAAGCTTCATTCTTCTAGTAGATTGACTTCGAGCCTAACTTTGACTAACCTAGCTTGATCTGTTCACCGCCAGGCTGCAGTTTGACCTAGAACCTCATCTCCCAAAGCCCCAACCTCTCTAAACCTTATCTTCATATGGACGTATACGCTTACAAAGAATCAGAGGAAGTGCCAAAGTCAACAGGCGATTATAGATCCGCGGCCGCCGCCCTGATTCTCTGTTTGACCTTGCCAACGCTGGCGTTGGACATTGAATCCATGGTTGACTCCGAATGGCGCGACCTGCTTGCAGTTGACGGACTAGAATGGAGACTCAGGCCGCAAAATGAGATGAGAGAAGCCCCGACTTCGGCAGCGAGGATCTCAGGAGGAGATGCATCAGCTCAGAACCAGCCAGCTTTCTCTCTCTTGCCTACTAGAAAACGCAAGGGGGGGGGCAAGGGGGCAACTTTCTCTCTCTAATCACTGTCTTTCGATCTTCGTCCATCTTTCCGGGCGCCCAGGAAACGTGAGAACTGCATAGAAGGCGCTAATACTTCTTAGCACGTCAGCCCAATTTCTCCTCGTGAAGGACCCGACTTGACCAACCCATCGACCAGAAGAGGGAAAAAAAAACAGTAACAAAATCAACTGAATGGCAATATACAGCAATCATGTCCAAGAATCCGGGAATAGAATGGGGGAGGAGAGAGAGGATGCGGGGGGGAAGAAGATTACAGGGAAGATGATAAAAAGCCCTAATGACTCCTCCACAGGAGAAGGGGGGAATAACCTTAGAATCAGCAGCAAACAATGCGGGCAATCATAGGAAGTAAGGCACACCGGATCTGGGGCCTCTCATCTGCTGGTTTTCTTCCGTTTCTGTGAAGAACTTGACATCTCTCTCCTGAAACAAGGGAGAGAAAAGACAGAGCACACGGTGATTTGATTTAGCAAAAAAAAAAAAAGAGATTATTTGAGAAGATGAACAAGATCATCAAAGAAAACACAGATTAAGCAGGTCGTAGCGTCTCTCACCATGTTTTCACTGAAGCTTAACACAGCGGCCACATTCCCACATCGGTAGCAGTAGTTTGGTGCCGACCACACCTGCAGTAACCAAGTGGGTAGCCATTAAATCTCCATGAACAGGTATTTGATATGAATTCTGTAGCAACCGATAGAGAGAGAGAGAGAGAGAGAGAGAGAGAGAGAAAAGAAACAAAAGAAAAAAAATAAAATTATGTAGCAACCCAGCACTCATGTTCTTAATATTCTCATAAGACTTACGGTGACAAGGCCTTTGTCCTGAAACATGTACTTGAGACCCTCTTGGACCAGTTGATGCGCACGGCAAACCAGAGCTAGGTTATTGATATGATTAAACTGCAGAACGGCGTTTCCAAGGGGGGTGAGGAACAGATTCGACAAGAGACAAAAACAACATGGAATGGAATGATATGATGGTTATTTTATCGGTACCTCAGAGGTGACTCTGGATCCGAAAAGCCAGCCGGCCCCACGCGGGCTGACGGCCCAAGTCTCAATCTCCTCAGGGTCGCTCCACATGAGATCACAGAAGGGTCCTTCATGAGGAATCTCACAGTTCCTTTCGATAACCCTAATCTGCAGGAGAGTAAATGTTATGGTAAGGCAAGAGATCAGGGGTACAAACGAAAACTAAATTTAAGAAATAAATCAAATAAATAATTTTGTCACAAAATGAATGGCTTTTTCATAAAGTGAAATGGAATAGTGAGCAAAGGCATTACCTGATCAACTGTTCGAACATCAGGAGACAGACCACCATGAACACAAAGAACCTGGAATGCGCATTGGGTAAATTTTGTTAAATTTGGAAAAAAAAACACAGAAACCACCAAAAAGGAATAGGGTTTGGGGAGCATGCCGTTCCGTCAATGATGGCTGAAAGGGTAAGGTAGTCAAAAACGTCAGTGCAGTATCGCCAGGCATTAGCGTTTCCATACTTTCTCTGGCATTCATCATAAAATCCGTATACCTGTCAAATATAGTTTTTTCAGAATTTGTCGACCAAACGCAACCAGGCTTCCCATTTTCTGGAGATGATATCAGGTTCGTCAAATAGAAAGAAATTGACTCTTGCTTCAGGAACCACTACTAATGAAATGAAGACAAAAACGTACATTCAGAACAGAAGGAACAGACTGAAGGACGAAAAATTGAATAAGAGAAAAAACCTACTATATTGCCATCATCAGGCAACAGGTGACATTCCAATTTCTCCAACCCCTCCTCTCTTTCTGTTTTGGAAAAAAAACGTACTTGAAAGGCAAATGAGAGACAATAATGCACTGTCATGCATATTCATTCATATCACCAAATGCGAATAAGCATCCCATCATTCAAATTCTCCCCTTCCCTTGTCTGGGCTTATCATATGCTTTTTACCTATTTTTCTTTTTCCATCCTTCATTCCAAAATTCCACAATTTTTCTCTGCAGATTGAACCAGAATCAGGATCATGAAAATACCTAATTTTTAATGCCATAACCGCCCATCTCCCCAAGAGCACAAACTTAGTGGATTTGTGTTACGAAGCCAACCGTCGTCTACACAAGACCACCTAGACCCCCACGTGGAGAGGGGACCACAACAGAATAATGTACTGAGGCCTATAAACATAGAAGACGCCGAAATAAGAAGGTAGGAGAAAACAGAGAGTGGAGAGGGAGATCTGTCCTTGGAGAGGTCCGATTCGGGCTCTCCTGTTCCTGAGGATCGATCCGACCCCAGGAACTCACCCTACTGTCTCCGAACCTCTATTGTCTTTCCAATTTCCATTTTCAATTGTTCAATCTGATTCTTCTATACAATAGAGAGCTGATTCCCTGAGTGAGCCTCGTCTAAGGTAAGATTAGGGTGAAGATTTCGCCCCAAATCTCAAGAGGTTCGTAACAATTTGTTACCTTGCCTGAAATGTAGTCAGGTTTAAAATATGCCTATTTTCAGGTAGAAGGTTTTGTAATCCTTGTGACTGATGCCAGGAAATCTTCCAGGGAAAATGGCAATCTAATACAATTTTCCATAAAATTTGCAAGTAGCCTCTTGGCCTAGAGTCGATTTACTTGAAGAAAGTTATCCTTTTTCTTCACTAAAAGGTTGTTTGGTGTTGGCAGGGGGGAAGCAACCGACTCTCAATCTTTGCTTCATAATCTTACAAGCACATTTCCTTGAAAAGGAAAAGCAGAATTATAACCCAACTAGATTAGAATTTGAAAAATGTCATACAGGAAAATGGTGATGTCCTAAGACTGTACTGTAAGAATTTACCGGGCTTAGAACAAATCTAGAAAAAAAAAAGATTTCCCTTCAGAGTAGCTCACAACCTAATGTCAACCATTAACAATCTGTCTCAGTTTTAAGACTGGGAAGCAAAGGACAGCATGGGGGAATGGAGCCCCGTCAAATACTCTACACACGCACTCAATGCACAGGAAAAAGCGTTCGTATCTGAAATTTAGTTTTTTCACATGTCTTAAAACATTTTTTTAGAAATGGGCAGACTAATATATGCCTAGTTTACAAAAATTTCGAACATACCTGTACTGAAAAATGTTGATGTAAACAACCTAAAGGTAACATTTTGGTGGCATTTCTTTCCAGAAGTCAGATACATAGTCATCTAAGTTTGATGGGTTTAAGTGACTACCTTTTGTTTATCTTTCATCAACGTGTGCACCTCTTCAGACCATAATTGAAACGCCTTATACAATTTGAATTTTTTGGTCGAGTTGAGATCTCTATGTAGAAAGACTGCACTCCTTCGGATCCTAGGTCACTGTTCAGGCTACGCAGAATGATAGGCTTCACTGTTTTTCACTAAGTTACATTTCGGAAAGAGGTTAAGAAAAAGCGAAACACAAGTAAACCAAGGTGCCTTTCGTGAGGCTTTCTTAATTGCATAAGATAGATAAAATATATTAAAAATTCTGTCATCCCTTACTAAGAAACGAATTCACTTCACAGCGACGATTATGACATGTAAATACCTGTGTTAATTGCCTACTTTCGTGGTTCCCACGTAAAAGAGTGATATTTGCCGGATACCTGAGACAAACGTAAAGAGCAAAAGAAATAAGGAATTTTCCTTAGTGAAATGCACATTGAACATGAATAAATATGAACTATTGCGGTAATCTTCTTAACAGGTGTAAGAAAAAAAAAACCACAAAGAAGAAATAATTACTACTATAGCACTTATATCTAGAATTCAGAATGAGAAATATCAGCAAAGAACTAGAGTGATTGATACCACTGACAAATACCATCTTACAAAAGAAAGATGACCAACACAACAGTCAATTGGAGCTGATACATCAACACTCCCAAGACACGTAAACAAGAAAAATCCTTTTACATGTATAGAGAGATGACGCAGCATGCCTGTACACATTGGAGAAGTACCTGGCCTTAAGCAGTAAAAGAATTGTGAATACTTCGAGGCTGTTGTATCCACGATCCACAAAATCACCCTAGTAACAATTTAATGGTTCCACTCAATATCTGTACAGCAGTTAAAAATTAAATAAAGGAAAAGAAACCATCAGCAAAGCATTCACCTTACCATAAAAATATAATTTGTCTCAGGTACATGACCACCAGTCTGAAAGAGCTTCATTAGGTCATGAAATTGGCCATGTATATCACCACAAACAGTAACTGGGCTATTAACAGGCTGGACATTTGACTCCTCAATGAGAATGTCCTTCACCTGAAAGGAAGTAATATAACACACAGCAATCTCGAGTGTTACTAACAAAACTCAGGCAAGAGAATGCTTCAAGGCAATAATTATAGAATAAGAAATCTGCAACAAAGCAATTTTCACACACGTCAAGGCGTTAAGTGACAACTATATCAAAATTTGAAAAACATCTTTTAAGGAAGCAAAGGGGTTTGAGCTAAACAAGCGGCCAGGATCTTAAACACTTGTACCATTTCCATCATTATTTTGGTTCGGAATGTATGGGAGCTGTGGGCGTCCAACTAAAGTTTTGCGAAGCAGCTTCACAATTTTGATAATTCTGGGCTTCCACAGATTTAAGTGAATAGTCGCATCTGCATACTGATCACCATGCCATTGACTGCTCAGTAAATTTACAGGTAAGCCCCCATCCAACCACCTCCAACGTGGATAAAACGTTGTTCTGACTGAGTGAGAACATTAAAAAGCATGAGACTCGATAATTTTTTATAATATCTTATCAAGGAAGACGCCTTTGGCAGGATCGTGATAAAGTCACAATGATCTTGATACAATCTCACGTTCTTCGTGAAACCTCTGGTCCATCCGATGCCAATTAAATTTACGGAATTTTCCTATTCTCAATCTGCTAAAATCTTGACAGTAAAAGAAAAGACACGGGAACATTCTTGCCAAAACCTAGTCCTCACAGTCATCTCCGTTTCAGACGGCAGCCTCATGAATGATTACTCATTTAATAGGACTACCAGTGAAAGCGTGGCCCCCTAGAAACACGCCAAATGACTTGGGAGAGGGAGGCAAGGTAAAAAGGAGGGAAAATATTATACGTATTCGCAGAGAAGCTGCAGCTCCTCTTCCGTTAAATGTTGGCCATCCTTGACCTTGGAGATCCACTGATCCAGATCCATGGCTCCGTCGCGGAAGGTTTCTCACCCCCTCCTCTCCCTCTCTTCCTCAGTGCGCTATAGTTTCCGCCGCAGACCTTCCTGCGCGACGCTTCCCGGCGGCGTGCCGGAGGTGAAGGAGAGATGAGGAGTCGTCGTCCGGAGAGTTTCGAAAAGGGGAGGGAGAAAGAATGCTCCGCCGGGAAGAACGAGACTGATGGAGAGAGAGAGCCACGAGAGCCCCACAGTCTCTTTCGTCATTTTTTGCGCATCCCACCTGAATTAATATTATTAATACTATTAAAGACTCATTAATACTTTATTACTAGAAGTACCCCTACCACATTTTGCACCCTAGCTTCGCGTGTATTTTTTAATATACCCGGAGAAGATTCGATCAAACTTTCAACGACACGAAACTACTTTATTATCATATGTAGCCTTGTAAATTCTTCCACATCACGCAACGCGACCTCGTTAAAATCCAAGGGACTCGACCGGGAGCATCTTCCTCCTGCTCGTTTTCTCCGTTTCTCTCCGACGGATTCGCGACGACTAGTGGGCCGATCGGCTGGAGAAAGACGGGAGATGTGATGGAGTCGGGTTCGGGAGCTATAGGATCTTCGAACATTGGTTTCCAGGTGAGTTCTTCCGCGATTGTCCTACCTTACCTTCGCCGACTTTCCGTCGAGAGGGTTCTAGGGTTTTGGGCCTGGTTTTCCCTTCACCTTTTGGCGACCCCGCGAATGATCTCTGGCATTTTTCTGCAGTTGCTGAAGAAGTGCGGTTGGAAGGAAGGTACCGGTCTAGGGGTTTTTGAGCAGGTAAGCGGCCGGGATGAAGATTTGTTCCTTTGCTGCCCTCTTACATGTCGATCTGATACTTAATTCATATTTTCATTTGCTTTTTATTTCTTCCTTTTAACCTGGTGTGGTAGCAAAAATTCGTCTGTTAATTGTTGCCCATGTTCTTCTTCCCCCTCTTATGATTGATACAATCATCTTAACCATTGTCAATCGCTGCCGCAACTGATCCCATGAGCCTTCAGAAACCAAAAATATCTGAACAAATTTTCGGGGTGGATTTTATTCTGCTTAACATTCTTCCGATTTACACGCCAAAAACTTCCAAACATTAAATTGTTGGGCTTGGGAGGGATAGATTTTTAACAAATTATAGATAGCAACGTGTGAAATTGCAGAAGAATTGGGGAAGAAAACACAGTGCGTTTTCTCTAGTCCACGGGAACATTGATTTTCCTACACATGCATCATAGTGTCTTACTGTTGAAAACTCGTTACGTATAACCCTCTGATGATAATGTGTTAACAAGTTTGCCATTAAATCAGGGAAGATTGGAGCCTCTCCAGACACACGTGAAGAAGAATAAGCTTGGTTTAGGGGCGGAGATAGCAAAACAGAAGAGAAGCATCTCTGCAGATGAAGCAAAGCAAAGCAAAATCCGTACTTTTGAGAAGCCATCATCTGAACGGCAAAATGAAAATGTGAGTCTCTCCATTCTCAATTCGAGTTCCATCTGTTCTTCAGGCATTAGTTTTACTGCTGTTGATTAACTCCTCTGTCCGTTGTTTCTCAACCTGTCCTTGCCTTTTTGTATGATGTTAACTTTCACATGGAAAACCCTCTCCAAGAATCATCTGGTTTGAAAAGATGTTTCTGTGGGTTGACTTCCTTGCGTTTTTGCTAGTGAGATTAGCCAGATTATTTATCCCATTGGTATGAGCAACTTACCATCTCTGATGGTGCCCAAGTGGAGGTACAACCCAACTAAGATGTCTGTATTTGCCAGGTATCCTTCCGGCCAAAGAAAAAGATGAAATTGGCCTCCAAGAGGTTGAAGAAATTGATGGAGGAAGAGAGGAAGATGAAGGACAAGGAGTTTGAGCGAGCTTTCTTCAGGGAATTCTGGCCAGAAAATGTATAAATACGGCCATGGAGGCCTCCGTTCTTGATGGAGAGATTGGAGGAAGGAAATCCAAGAATCTCCAACAGCGCAGATGAAGCGGCAGTTTCCGCAAGGAGCCCTCTCCAGGCTGGTCGCTCTCTTCTTCCTCATCTCTGATCTCGCTTCTCCATCTTCTTCCCCCCTCGAGGCCATGGTGATTCCCTCCCTCTGTCAAGCCGGCTATTGCAGATTCGCCGCCGCAGTCGCAGAAGCCTACCACAACGCCGCCAACGGCACTCCACCGGCGGTGACGTTTTTGGCGTCCCCCGACGGCGCGCTTCTCGGCGTGTCCGTCACGCCAGAGTTCGTCCGCTGCCACACCATCGCCGACGGAGCGCTGATCTATCGCAGCCTGGTGGGGCTGTACCCTGGCACGAGGCTCCGCACCCTCCACAGCAACGTGACGCTCGCCGTGACGGAGTCGCAGAGCGATCAGCGGGCGCTGGCCGTCGCCGGCGTGCCGGTGGATGCGCCGAACATCTACTTCGACGGCCGGTTCTCCGTGCACGGCGTGGTGAGGCCGCTGCTCCCCTGCGTGGCTCGTCACTCGCCGGCGAAGGAGGTGCTGGTGGCGGCGGCGGCTACGCCGGAGAGTAGCTGCCGGGCGTCGTCGCAGCCGAGCTGTGGGAGGGAGCAGAGGAGAAGGCCATCGTCATCTCGCTCGGGGAAAAAGCGCCGCCCTGCTACTACAACCAGACGTCGAATACCGCAGGATCGGACATTGCTCTAGGTGGCGAACGACTGGATTTCTGATGATTCTTAGGCCATTTTACCCGCCATGTTGGCGATTCTTGGTGGGGATAGACCAGGAAATCTTGATGTCAAGCCCCCGACATTGCATAAATCTTGTCCCATGATAACATCAGCATGATGGATGATAACATCACTGGGCTACATATGATGAGAAAAAAAATATTCATCCGATAATCACGCGACTGAATATATTACTCCGGTTTCTTGAAATGGGTCGTCCATGTTTCTACAGCCAAGAACATGGAGGAAAACTTGAGCCGAACCCAAGAAAGAATGAAGTGAAAGTGCCCTTCTTTTTTTTTCTGATCTTCAGCCTCACTCGATCAATAGCTCTAGCAACAGTAGAACAAGGAGAGCTCTTCAGAGGATGTATTTCACAGCCAGCAAGTAGCCTCCGACGATCCCAAAGGAGGCGAACCCACTACAGGCCATCCGCAATCCAATGCCACGGAACAGGATGCTTCTGTCTCGCGGAGAGATGCCCGTTTTCCTCTCCAGCCAGTTCCCGGGAACCTCCCATCTCAAGAGCTTTCTTTCCACGGAAATATACTGCACAAGCAGCACATTAGCATCTCCGATTTAAATGACTAAAAAAATACCATTTTCGCACTATGGGAATTATAGATATTATAAATCCTGTTGATAGCTACTGTCTGAAAATTGGAAAAGTTTAGATGATATCAAGTACCTTTGGGATAACTATGCACTGTGATCGAGTCTTGGCGGTGTCAAAGCAGTGGGATGCAACGGCTGCCAATGATCCAGAAAAACCAGCCGCCAGAGAAGCAGAAAGAGGGGACACAGAGCCAATCTCATCAATTGACCTGAATAATAAAGAAAAAATATGTAAAATCAGTATTATTACAGAGTGAAATTATGAGGAAATTGAAGAAGGTAATGCATCAACCAAGAAAATGATTTCCAGATTAATGTATGGCACTAATGCATCGACCCTTTCACTACAGTCGAAAAAAGAACAGCTTTTGCGTAATCAGGATGAGGATTATCTTTTAAAATGAAATAAATTCAGTACAGAAATTTTATGCCAAGCTGACTAGAAAATCGTTGATCAATTCCTGACACATCAAAAACAGGCCACAACAGATCGAAGAAAATACAGCAATTATCAAATTATTCAACTCTCACATAAATGAGAAAACAACGACAAAGCAGATGCCCCATCAAAAAATAAAGATCTATTTCAAAGTGTTCCTTTTTGTCGGTCTTTCCACAGCATGGACCATTATTTATCACCAAACAGCATCTAAAAACAGCAATCCAAGAGAGGAACTCGAATAAACCAGATGTCTGCATCTGATGTGATCTTAGTTCATTCTGCATTTTCTATCCAACCTCTTTCCTAAAAAACTCAACTAGAAAAAAAAGCATAATCCTCGAAGAAGAAATAATAAAATCACCTGTCCCATAGTTTTTTGCTTTCTTTGACTTGTTCTGTTTCTTAGCTATGTATCGGCTGATTAAACTTATCATCACCAATCAACTCTTTTGGATATGGCATGACCCGTATATTCTATAGAAAAACGGATGTTTCCCCTCCAAGGCTTCTCCTGAATTCAACAGTTGGAATTTGCGAGTCTGCAGTGTACGAGAGTTCTACAGCATTTAATCACTTCACAACAAGTGATTCCTATGGGTTAAAACTATTCATTAACTATTTGTTTCTGTCAAAAAACAAAAAGCTCAGATGGATTTTTGTTTTGAAAGTGGACGGTACCACGGACTCCTTAAATAAGGGAATGAATAAGGAGATGCACGCATGTGTACAGAAAGCACTCCTTCAGGATAAGAAAACTCCCTATTCAAGAACAAATATAGGATAAGATGCTGCTTCTAACCCATTCCTCCCTACACCAGAAAGCACCCTTGCCCATTCTTCCACCCTATCAATGACATGGATTAACTCCATTCACAGAACAGCTTTCCCGCCTAAACGTGTTTGGAAAATAGAGTCACCAGACTATGCAATCCCCCTAGATTAACTCCTTCTCCAGGTCTTTTTCACATATACAGGGATGAGGGCACATAGAGCCGATACCAACTGGTAGCAGAAGAGTCGAGTTTCTTTTTATTCAGTTTAAAGGAAATACGTGGTTGGAGCCTGTGAGTAATAGAGAAAGTAGCCGTGGACGGCAGTACTGCCAAGTCTTTATAAATCCACATCAATGATATTGCTGCTATTGTCTTCTCCTTCAGGCTCCAGCATCCGGATCATACTCTGGCTACAAGACCAGGATTTCTCAGTTTGTCTATCTAATGGATGTGACACTGCTTCAGGCATCGCGGATTTTAGTGATACGATTCTGCAGAATGACAATTGTTAAACAAAACTGAAATTTTAGGATCATATGGTTTGAGAAAACACCGAAACATAAATGAAATCTCAAATCAATATGGAAGCTAAAGGGAGACAAGAAGCTTATTAACAACAGAATGAAAGCAGATGAGCAACCAAGAAATAAGGAGATTAAAAAACTCAACAACTACAATAGAAAATCGGGATTGTGGCACTATCTGTCGACTATAAAGATCTAAAGAAGGAAGAAAACTCCATAAGTTGATTTCTCCAAAGAATGTAGCTGGGTCATCATTTGAACCTGGGTGGAGGGCTCATATCAACCGCTTTCCAGTCGAGCATTGCAATGTGCAAGAATTGCCAGGTTGAAAAGAAAACACCACCAAATACACAATCGCGAGCTATTCCAGGCCGCAGGCCTCTCCATATCGCCCCCAAACCTTCCAATGATATGACACTTATAGGGCTCTTTAACTCAGAGGCTAGTGGAAGTCTTCCCGAGCCAGTTAGCATCCACGGACATTCTTTGAGAGAATCAGCCAAATTGCAGGAGTGTTTGGGAAGCACAGATAAGAGACCAACAGTATAATTCCATGCCCTTCTATCAGGAGTATAACTTGGCAGTGACTTTGATATCACAGATGTACCTTCCGCTACCTTGCCGGGGCTAATTTTTCCCACATAAGAAGCAGAGCTCAGCTGTTCACGGAGCTTAAAAAGCTCAAATGGAGTGTTCACAAAAGCCTCAACTGCACCAGCAGCAAAGCCCGCTGATAGAGCCTCAGAAACAAGCACATAATTATCCTCCCTTCCATCTGTGATATTATGGCAAACAATTAATGATCCGTATGGAATTTTGTAGAAGTTCTCACATCAGCCTGCAGCTAACCTCCAAGATAAAGTAAAAGAAGAAGCGGGAAGGCAAAGATACTGATTACAATAAATAAACTTCAATAGCAGAAAACTAAGACCTCAAAGTAACTTTTTCAATTTAGCGCCCATAAAATTAAAAAAATGGAATGCTTTTTGGATGGAAACTCCCAGATTTGCATCACGCAACTAAGGCGGCTTTCATGGGGTCCAAATTTGAAATGGATTCACCATTTCTTCTTGTCCTATATTAAGGCTCATGCAACACAGCATGATAGAAGGGATTGTCATGTAGTTCCCGTAGATGGAATCTTCCTAATGTTGGGGAGAAAAATATGCAACCACATGACAAGATTAGAAGATAAAATAATTACCATGGATGGACTTAACAGGCAGAGCGCAGTGGCCGAGTCTAGACCCAATGGAAGGTATATCCGACGGAAGGTATTCACTTAGGAAGAAGGGTAAACGAGAGTTGGCTATCAAAAGTCTTACTTGGAATGATCGAAGGTGCGGGCTGCTATTCGCTCCAACACATTCTAACAGATCAAAGTGATGAATCCTCTCTTTTGCTGCTAGTATTTATATTTCCATCAAAAATATCTATCTCCAAAGGATAAAGGTTAGTCATTGAACTTCTGTTTCTGGGTAAGAGATAACACAAGGTGGAAGATCAACGAAAAAGTCCAGCCTCTAAGAAGTAACAGACTACAAGGAGGATATTCAAGAAAGAGAAGAGGGATAGTTCTTCTTTTTCTTCTTTTCTGATGATAAGGGTAATAGACAGGTAATTGGTTGTGCCAGCTTGGGTCCAAAAACAGGTTTAACAAAATGGGAACGAGCCATCGAAATGATTACAATCATCCCTCCGTCCAAAATCTCTAGGTTGAGCATAAATGGAATATGATCAATTTATTAAATATTTTTTAAAGGCCCGATCCAAGATCCATTTTTTAAAAAGTCATGTGCACACAGAACAGGTCTTTGAAACCACGATAATGCCATGGATATTGCCGATGGATGCTGCGTACATGCTGGGCAGGTAGAATACATTCAATCTGCATCTCTCGATGTTATTTCTCGGGCGAAGTGCAGATATCAGCCAAATCTTGATATATGCCCTTTTGAGAGGGGAAAAATCTATAACTCTAAGAATAATTCAAATAAAAATCTATTCACTGACTGCTGTGATCATCACTAATCACACACTTTTCGACTACATTGCTGGTTGTAAATATATTGGATAAGTTTTTCAGTACTTTCAAATACAAAACTTTGGAGTGCTAAATTAATTTAATGAATTTCTAAAATAAAAGCATGATCATGAAAGTGTACCTTTGTAGAAAGCAGTCAGAATTTCATAGGTACCAAAGCGTGCACCAATTGCCAGATTCCTTCCAAATGTTGACCAACCAAACCCACTGTATAAGCCTAACAAATCAATGAAACATGACAAATAAAATTACTAAATAGAGTATATAGAAAGACATACCATCAAAAAAAATTAATTAGAAAAAAACATGGGTAAAACAAAACATGATCTTCACGCCAAATAAATTACTGCACAATAAGCGAGTAATAAAATCATCATCTGCGTCTACCAGAAACTTGACAGATAAAACAGAAATTTTCATGAAAACTTTTACAGGAACAACGTATAGACATGAATGACGGACAGTATCCGTTCACCTGAAAATCCTGATAGGGATCGAACTCTATCCAACACTTGTGAAAGGTTCGTCTGTTTGCGATAACCTGCACCGACCTTTTCGTGAGTCAATCCCCGTTCGAAAGACCAAGAGGTAACTCAATCAGAATCCCATTCGTTAAAGACGCGTAGAAAAGAAAGAGAAGACAAGTAGAGCGATCGCAATGCCAAACATGTCCGGCGTTATGACGGTTTGAATAACCACCAAAACGGGTAGAAAGTTGATAGAAGACGATCGCCTTACAGCTCTAAGTTAAAATCTACTCAGCTTCCACACATAAATGCAGCTTACCTGGAGAAGGGATTTAAGCGTGTCCAGGGGATGCGTGAGAGAAGAAGCTAGTGTGACGGAACCAGCAGCAGCAATCGCGTGGGTAGCAAACAAGTGGTGTTTCAGAAGCTCCTCCATCGTCTAATTCCTCTCACTCTGTACCTACCTCATCTCCATGCGGATACCTCTCTGTCTCGCTGTTTCGCCTACCTGGTGGATGGACAACAGTAAGATGACTTCCGATACCTTGAAATCCTCGTTCTGAGCAGATACTCTTGAAGACGCGGGCGGGAGAGGATGATGGCGGCCCGGCCACGGCGGCAGCGCGGCGGCACGGCAGGGTTGTATCAGCAGAGTGCGGGAAGGAGAAGAGAGGTGGGTCTGGTACCCTTTCCAGCCCGGGCCCCGACAAAGCTTGGGCCTGGCCCAGCTAAGCGCCGGGAGGCCAGAACAGCCCGGACGAGGCTTTCTTGGCCCAACCCAAAAGAAACAGGGGAGGGTACTCTGGGCTGTCTCGACCCCATTGAAATCCATTAAAATGAGTCATTTTTAACGTTTTAGAACCTTAAAAAATCAATTTTTCAATATTTTAAAAAAATATTTTTTATTGATTTTAAATAATATAAAAATAGAAATATTCATCACCTCAATAATAATTCGTGATGTCTGAAGATTTGACTTTTGCATGTAATTTATATGATAATTATGTCAAGAACATCAAATTAATGACAATACCCAAAAAGAATCGCCCACCAACCCAATGGAGCCCGTGGACGACAACTCGGGTGTCAATTATTTAATTAAAAAATAATTAATTAGCTGGCTTTTCTTGAATGACTCTTCTCTTCAGATTCCAATGGATTGTGAGAGTTCCAACAGAGGAAGCAACTGCTCTAATCCTTTAATGGGTTGCCCTTGTTCTAGATCCTCGTCAAACCTCATGAATACTTGATTTTTAAGAAAATAAGAAACTTCTGACAGATAAAAAGTTATGTCAGAAGAATTTGCAAATAATTAGTGAGAAATATTTATACCTGGAACCCGTTACCTTCTTCAGATATCTATAAATTGGCAACTATGTGGCCAAAGAGCATGGTTTGAACAGCCAGAGGCATTCTATACACAGCAATGAGCTCATCAGTTTCTCTTTTTGGGATCTTCAGCTGGGACGAGCTTAACCGGAGCAGCTGGAATGCGGACCCACCATTCTCTCACCCTCCTAATCAGCTTCTCGCTGCTGTGTTTCCTCAGTGGCATCTCTCTCGTGTATGCCTCGATGAACCCCAATAACAGCAGATACTCTGGGGGAACTAGTATGAAAACAGCTCCTACGCCTGTCAGAAAAATTGCCACCTTGTCTGTCGTCTGGAAGCAAAAGGGCAAAATGGGGAAGGGGGAGAGTAATCATATTTCTATGTAAAAACTTAGGTGTTGATGAATCATTGAAGGCCGAAAAATCATACCTGGGGAACTGCAGCAAGCAGAATTGCTCTTAGCTTGAGGAGAATGATGTTCCCTGCCTGCACAAGCGTTTCCAGCTGGGAAATGGCTTCCTGTAACGTCAGAATCTGCTCGACAGGGTTCTTACTGGGTGGAGTTACAATTCTGAAGGGCTCCAGTGGCTGCTCTTTGCTCTTGTGCTTGTGCCAAAGCATGAGGACTGCAAGCGAGATGAAAGCACAAGGAAATATGTACCTGATCCAACCCCTGGTGTATCCATAAGATTGTCACGTCAGCTGTCACTCTAAAGTTTTTATTTTTGTACACTTAGGGGAAAAAACGAGAGACGCCACCATGAAATGAATGGGTGAACACGTAAGTGGTAACATATTAATTGGAGTAGATAAGTCAAAGATGAATGCCGGTGGACTACACGACTCGGTGATAATGGCAATTGCATTCTCTGTTAGATGTTTTCTGCCTTGAATAGACAGTCAAAATTTAATTAATAATAGTGAGCGTTCTTAATCCGTGACCCAGCTCCTAAAACGCAAATGAATGGTGGTAACCCGAATTGTTTCTTGCTTTACTGTGATTGGAACACATATAGGAATATTATGAATTCTCTTGCTACGATTTGCATTATGCAGGCAAGAAGAGAGAGAGAGAGAGAGAGAGAGAGAGACTCAAAAAGGTCTCAGCAAATCGATGGAAAAAATTCTACACCATGGAAAATTACAAGTGTGGTCTGATTCTGGCACTTCATACGAGGTGTGAGAGCGAAAAGGTCATAAATAAAATTCCAAAAAGAGACTAAAAAGAACATTTTTCAAGTTAATCATACTTTCCCTTCGATCGGCCCTCATACTTGATCATACTTTCACTCTCGATTGGTTTGTAGTTATGCCCAATTTACTCAAAGACTGGTGTCAAGTTAATCTTATGTTATTTTCTAAAACAATTCCTGCTTAGAGAAGATGGTTTTAACACAGGTTCAACACAAATCCGGACAGAGTCACAGTTTACTCAGGTAAGCCAGGAGTAATCAGGATCAAAATATTATTTTTGCAAAAAATACGGTCAATCAGAGTTCAAACGGAGAATTTGTGTTGGTATTAGCCATAAGGAGACTACACAGCTGAGAACTGCCCAGCTTCTATGCCCTTGTTTTTCATATAAACTGAAACACCAGGCCAAGTGCACAAAATAAAAAGGACATGCCCTAAATGAGAATTTAAATATTGACTCAGATGGGGCCCAGGATTATGCATACCAATTCAACCAAAAAATTGAGATGACACTAGCAAGACAAACTAATTCTGAGAAAAGGGGCACTTTGCCTTCGAATCAAGAAATTATAATTTTTAAGGTTGATTTGCATTAAAAGAAAACAATTAGAAAAAAGATTCGATTCTGAGCAGATTGAGTACACCCTTAGAAGCCAGATTAGCTTCCACCAATTATGAACTTAACTGGTCAATCCTGATATTAAGCAGCAGACTCACAGACATGATCTTCAATAAAAAATTCATCACAATAAAATAATTCAAAAAGTCGCACTAATGGCAATATTACCTGAAGACACTAAAAATTATGAAAACCAGGAAAACTACGGACTTAAAAGGATCTTCCCATGAAGCCAGAAAATGAAATTTCTCATAGGATTCAATCACCGGAAAAAGTAACCCCTGCATGAAAATAGAATTTATCATCACATCTGGATGATGAAAAGAAAAGAAATGATAGCGTACAGAATAGGGATCATACTACATAAGAAATTTAGGTGCGATCATATTACATTACATTTCAATATAACAAAACATTTGAATTATATTCTTCAACATTGTAGCCCCAAGTTTCAAGCTAACTAATCCAAACAGAAAAATAACCGGCACTTGGTTTTTGTATGTTTTCTCATGTACAGAATAGGGATGGTCACATATCTGCCATTTAAATTATCGTTACATTACTTTCTATAGAGGAGCTACAGTTCGCGGGAGGCTTCAAACTTTTTCACCAGCATGAAATCTAATAATAGTCACACATTATTATCATAAATCAATCTTAGCTGTTCCACTGTCCGGCAGTCCATAAATGACTTCTCATCATTTACTTCGAGAATCTTAGTCATGACTCCCTCACGTAAATATCCAAAAATATTCTACATGTCACTTCACTAAAAAGAAATAATTTTGTACCTGTTATGTCTATTCCATATTGCAGTTCTTAAATCAACCCTTCGAAAGAAAGACGAATAAAGTTTAGAAGAAGAAAACAATGATCTAAAGACATGAAACTTAGGCAGGTTTCTTTCACAGATGTTACATCAGCTAGGCTACTCATAACCCAGTTTTTTTTTATCAAAGAAATAGCACAATTGACTAACTTCATCATGCCATAGTAAACCCGACAAGAATACATACTGCAGCCTACCTTCATAACAGCCAAGTTCGTGTCAATCCCCTCCACTTTCACCTGCTCAACAGTCGCTCGAGCTGTTTCTGCCTTACCAGAATAGCAAATTGATTGCCACACAGCTTTGTCTAAGGGGCTTTTGTCACCCACGTAAAAAGCACCAATCTGAGATACATTTTCTTCAATTCCATCTGCCGTTTTCATCAATGTAAAGCCTTTTCTAGTCAGTTCCAGCATTGAAACAGGCAGAAGGTTTCCCAGAGGCGTTGCATCAGGTAAAGTCTTACGAGCAGTGCATTCCATCCCCATACAAAGAAGTTCCAAGTGACCGTGTAGAGCTTCCAAAATCTTGTCACCCTTGGGAAGATTTTCAGCTAAGCTGAAAGGGAGTAAAGTCTTGGAACGTGATGAAATAATATGAAAGACTTCTTTCACAGCACGATATTGGAAGATACCAAGTATGGCTTTTGAAAGGGCCTCCACCCGCTGAGTTTCACTGAGATCAAATTTCCTAATGAATTCATGAACATGCAATACTTCATGTATGATCGCCAACCAGTAATCACGGCGTGAATGCCCTTTCAGCTCAGGAAACTCAAAATAAACAGGATCTTCCCTGTGACAAAAAGACTTTGAGAATTAATGACACCAGAGAATAAATATTGATTGTCCATCACTCAAAACCATACCATCATGACGCATCGATGACTTACAAGGAATTGGACTTATACATTACAGCTTTGTCAAAAAGGCGAGAACCTAGTGGCCCAATCAACTCAGGCTTTACTAGTTGCTTTGAGTCAGCAGCCAAGTCATATGCAATAGCTTTATCATATGAACCGACACCAAGTGACTCAAAGTAGAGAGCATGACTGGTTAGAGTCAATCGTCCTGTTATGAAGAATACTGCTTGGTGACAAACTGGAAAATAAAGCAAATTATGTTCTCTACGCTATACTGTTAAAACAATAAATTATTCACCAGGCCATGCGGTAATTCCAATATGTTGAAGAACAGGCTGTATGGGAATATTGCCATCAATATCCAGAACGATTTCGCCGTCAGAAAGCTGAAGATTCGATGTTAATGGGAGTAGTACAGCATTTTTCGCAGCCTTGAACACCCTGTAAGTAGATAAAAGCCAGAATAAAATAACAGATTTATACTTGAGACTATTTTGTACACTAAGCGACCATAAAACATTTAATGAAAGCATTTTGCAATTGGCCGTGATGACAAGTACTTTGAAAAGCTAAAATATAATGAAACATTTCTACACTATGGAATTTATTCTTGAGACTATTTTGTAAATATGCCAATGGGAAAGAACAGCCAGATGTTCTACTCATCTACAACAGATAGGATTGGTAAGCATACTTGTCCAAGCTCCCAAGGTACTTGTCATATAAGAGAAAATGGAGTAGGCCAGCTGAGGAGCTTGTGAGCGCATCAAAAAGATTATGAACGGTGATTATGTCAGCAATAGCAGGGCATGCAGGTGCTATTCTACAAAAAGCTTCCCGTCCAACAGTTCTCCTACGATCTACCTGGAAACATGAAAGAAGAAAGAATAAGTGATGATCACATATCCACCTAGTTACAACCACAACTACGATGGAGAGGGATAAGTAAAATAACAATACGTGAACCACGCCATTCATGATATTTTATGTAACTTAAAAGCCTACTTCAATTTTTTTCTACTACACCATATTCAATAAAAAAATCAGTGCTAAGGTATGACAGTATGACAAACCTGAACAGCCATGGAGATTGAATCAATATAAAATAAGGACCCTGCATCCTCGTCCTCATTATCTAGGTTGCCATGAAAAGGATTTTCCTAGTAGCAATAGTAGGAAAATAATGTCAAAAATTCAGATATTTGCTAGACTGTAGAGCAGAAACCCTAAGCACAAAATCTACTATGAATCCTATCAGAATGAGCATTATGTGGATAACTAGTAACATGGTAGAGAATGGGTGACTCACTTTGGATTTAGAATCATTTTCTGCACCAGGAACTTCCCATGCAAGCATCATATCATATGTTAAATGCCTGAATTCCTTGTCACGTAAATAATTTGGATTCTTAATCAAAACCTGAAGAGCTTTATATGAGCAGTACTCTAAGAGATTTCTTGCATATGACGAAGAATCCTGAATGTGTTCAGGAACCTCACTCTCAAAGTGCTGCTGCAGATCCAATGGTGAGAAAAGAAGAATCCTGTAGAATCAAGAATCTCGATTACATAAGATTAATAAACTTGCTGAAGATGGCCATAACATGTTTCCATCAATTTTATGACTATATGCACCAGATAACAAGCCATTCATTGAAAAAAAAAAAAAATCAGCTAATGCATGAGTTAAGCTCCACGATAAGTAAGGGCATTTTCGTTACCTGAATACCAGAGAATATTTACCTAATCAGTTGACAGAAGAATATAGTTGAGAGTAGCCAAAATTACAAGGCTTCCAAAAAAATACATGCGGTGGTTAAAAATCAGGCATATTAGATATAATGTTAGATATCTGCCAATTAACTAATGCATGTCAAATTGTCTGGAAAGATCAAGAAAATTCGAGAGAAATCAATTTCTAGTTACTTCGGATCAATGAATTCTTTGTCGGGCAATACCCGGGATAAAGTTTTCTGGCAGAACTGAACCTTGGTTTAGTAAAATTTGGTTTAGTTAATCCTGGCAAAACTGACTCTTGTCGAACCAAAGAATCAGCCATGCTCAATCCAAGACTGTTCAAGAGGATACTAAATTTTTTCCATGGGAAATGTGCAACTGTTTAGTTACCTACATCAAACGAAATTGAATTAAACAAGAAGATGATTTGCAAAGGCTGAAAACTTTGACCGTATATTGCCTTTAGTGGGACTCAGGTTCTAATTAGTACAAAGCAAAGGAGTAGGCCAGAAAAGGGAAAAGACGAAGGAAGATAGCTAGAGACGAAGGCTACGGGGTGCAGAATGGTGTGACATGAAAGGTCCTCAGACCTCCATGAGTTATTTTTTTCTTTTGGGCCGCTGTCTTGAGTTGGGGCTCGAATTTCTTCAGCTAATTTAGAAAAAAAAATGAAATTCACCAGCTCCCCGTCTGATATAATCTTTCATCAGTTTCTTTTCACTATTTAGGAAACACAGTAAATGCTTATTTTCCATATTGAGCACAACGCATTCTTCCATGTTTTCGTAATGAAAGACCCATGGTTTCTTTCACTGCTGAAGAGGCTACGTCTTTCCGAGATGAAACTCTATCTTCGATACAGATAGGTCATATCTCTTGTAATCCTAACAGTTTATGCCCTCGCTGGTCGCCTGGCCTCTAAAATTAGCTGCATTGATATAACTGTAGAAGTCTCCCAGTATGATTGCGTCAGCGGACATTTCTACGAGACTCGTCGATCACGTCAAACTGGCAAAGAGCCATCTGAAACCTAAACCAAAATTAAGAGAGGAAGGTCAATCGCAAAAGCCATGGAAACGACTATGACTCCGCCCGCCCAATACCTCCTCCTCAAAAATAAACAAATGAAAGTCATTCCATTGAATCTCCTAGAGTTTGTGTGCCGAAGAAAGTAATCATGGAGAGAAATCTTCCACCAAGAGGGCAAAGCAAATCTCCTACCTTGCGCAGCGAGAGACGACGGAGTTGGCAATCAGGGAGAGCTGGGGGATAGGCTCACTTTGAGGGGCGTCATCCCCCTCGGAGCTCCTCATCCGTCCACTTCCCCCCCTGTTGAAGAATGACGAGATTGATCTTCGACGCATAAAACTCTGGAAAATTCCAGTCCCCCCGTCCATTATCTCAGACGAATAAAACCTTTCCCCTCTCTCTTCCGCCTCGTCTCTGTTGCCAATTGGTGGATTTACCTCCCTAGCAGACCAGAAACACGAAGAACGCGAGCAAATTTCTACTGGTCAGCCCTCCGGTGCACAGAGGCGGCTGCTCCTGCTACAAGACAGTCGCCCACACGAAATGTGCCATCTACTACTCTAGGGGGAGAGAGAGAGAGAGAGAGAGAGAGAGAGAGAGCGTTTGTGTGAGTGTCAGAGAATCCACTGCGGGAAAGGGGAGGGAGGGTAGGGGAGAATGTAAATTGCATAATAAACCTCAAAATAAATATTATTTTACAAATACCCCCTCATAGCCTTATTGTTTGAAACGAGTCCCTACTCCCCCCGCGCCAACAGTGCGATAAATCCCCAAGAACAGAAGCTGGATAGACGACAACGGGCGAAGAGGGGAGCTTCTGAGCGAGCGAAGCTCCATGATGGCTTCTTCCCTTCTCCTCCATCCTCCCCTCTCTATGGGCCCTAATGTGCGCCCAGTCGCGGCTCCACTTCGGGGGCAAGGTAACCCTTTTCCTGGTCCTTTCTCCCTCCCTCCGCTCACGCGGGTGTCTCCGCGAAAGCTCGCTCGTTGCGTCATCACCAGGGCGAAAGGGAAAATGCCCAGTCAAGAAGTTTCAGGGTCCCAGCAGCAATCCAAGAATGCCTCGGTTCCGATGGCTGATGAAGAGGAGGAAGTGGAGGAGGACCTGCCCTGGATACAGGAGAAGGCCATGGATCTCGTAGAGTTCACCGGGACGGTGACCCAGGCCTTACCTGGGCCAAGGGTGGGGCAGAGCAAGTTGCCGTGGGTCCTGGCTGTTCCTTTGGCTTATATTGGCGTTTCTTTCGTCATCGCTTTTGTGAAGACTGTGAAGAAGTTTACTTCCCCGAGGGCGCAGAAGAGGAGATTGGTTAGTTGATTCTTATCCTTTCTGATGCCTGTTTGCTTCAGATTATCATTAATCTGTAATGAAATACATTACTGGATGATTAGGCTCTCACCTGCCGGGCTGTGTGCATCCATTTTCATGATATCACGCTCCTTTCGCTTTTCATTGTAGGTGAATAAGAATGCCACCCTGCTGAAGTCAATAGACGAACTATTTGTTCAAGGAAACAATCAAGTGCAATATTCAGCACTTAAAGAGCTTATGCAGAAGGTACTTTACTCCTAGAGGTCTGGGTTCGATTCCATTATTTTTCTATTAGTGATAGTGCTGATGAAATTGGCTTCCAGACTTCTCTCTTATCCAGTTATTTCCTGTGACGGCAGGATCTTATTGATTGCTGTCTTGAGCATGATGGATTTCTGTATAGGATATGGTGAATTTATCTGTCACACATCAAATCCTTCAAGGGATTGTACCACCAGATTGATGTGTTGTTAGTAAAAAAATCACTATTATCCTAGATGTGAGGTAAATGCTGGACGTAGATGAGAGTTGGACTGTTATAGATTGTTTCCCGTAAAGGATAGGTTGCCATTGAAGATTTCAGGCTTTTTACATTGTTTAATTCGATGAATCTTCCAATATATATGTCCCAGAAAAAAATGTATATGATTGTAAATCAAGTTTTATAGAGGTTCGTAATGCTAATGAGGAAGCTGAGAAGTCATCAAGTGAAATGCATATTTCATTCGTTTGTTTCATACAATTTATCAGGAATTGTATTCTACTTTTCACCTGTTGATGCAGTTCTTCCTGATAGGCTTGCACTATTGGTCTCTTTGGGGAAGAAATTATCAATTTGGCACTAATTTTGCACGGCGAAAACATGGAATGGCCAAAAAATGCATGGTGCTATGATTTTTGCGGTTTTCTAAAACTTGTCCTCTCTGTGCATGACTTTTTAAATTGTGATATATTATTAACTAAAATATTCGACCTGTAACGTAAATAATTCAGAGTAACTCCCATCCATTTTGTATTTCATGAAAATGAGTTCAGAAAATGAAGAGAAGTGTGTCCCCAAGAAGTAGATTTAGTTTCTAAATATCTCGCAGAATGATGTGAGAACATTTGACAAGACAGAGCATGCGGTCTTCATCTTTATTACGTGGTTTTTTTGTGTCACCTGCACACCGATCCCTTTAAACCTTGCTGTAGAATTGTCGTAGTGTGCCTTTCAAATTTCAAAGAGTGTTCTTCCTTTCCTTTCATGTTTTCTGCCTTATCTGCTTTCAATTTACCTGTTTAAATAAATATAACTGAAACCGGAAATTAAGACATACATTTTCTTGTTAAGCATGAATAAATGGGCGGCATGCTGTTCCTTATTAGGAAGTCAAAACTATCAGTGAGTGTTGTGCTTCTGTCCAAGTTGATTCACAGAACATTTATATGCAGACAGATTTCAGCATGGAGGATGTTTTACGGAAGTACATCCGGTATGCTTTGAATGAGAAGCCCTTTAATCCACAACTGGTCGTCAACCTTATCTGTCTCAGAAAAGCTTCAATGTTGGATGATCCCCAGGTTGCTGACGTTCTAAATGAGGTTTCAAGGCGAATTGTGAAGGAAAAAGGTCATTTTCTTACAGACCCTCTCGTGTCAATATGCACTTTATAATGTACCAGTGCATTTTTTTTACTCCTTTTGATCTTATTTGATGTGATTTCGACACTTCATATCATTTGTGCTATTATGCGTATAACTTGCATTTCAACGAATTTACTGAAGACCACTGATCATCTTTGTGATCATATATCGTCTGGGCACTAGCCAATCTAACAAGTCTAGTCTATTAGTCTGCCCCCCCTCCCCTCCCCCCCAAACCAGCTCTTTCTATATAATGAGAATCTCACCCATACTTGAGATAAAAATGCGGATGTGATGGATATTGAGAGTTTCCTTGTCCTTATTTCTTGGATACTGAGAGTTAGCTTATGTTCTTCAGGTCCAGTTGTGATGGATATCTCTGGGTTCACAGAAAAAGGTTTTAAGCGAAAACTTGCTGTCCAGGCTCTATTTGCAAAGATTCTGTACTTGTCTGAGGTACACTTCTGACAAAAGCTTTTCTTGTTATCTGATCTGAACGTTCTGTACATGGATACCTTGGATTTCATTACATCGCCATCAAAGAGTGAATATACACCAGCAAAGCTTCCAGCGTAGCTTTGTCTTTCTTTGAGAAAAATCAAAAGCTCCAAGCGCATATCTTGAGAGAACCATGCTATGTATGAAACCCGCTTATCTTCCCAATTGGATAAATCTCACTAGCTAGTTTATCCATGGAAGATGATAGTTAGTAACGTTAATAATAAAAGATTATCCATGGAAGTTGATTCTTTTATCGAAGGTGATATTTTTGGGGGCTAATCAGAATGCAGATTAACGATTGTGATCCACCATTAGTTCCTAATGGGAATCAAGAAATGCTAATAATTTAAACTCAGTGTGATCTTGGGGTCGCACTTTGTGGGGCATACATCCGTTCTGTAATTCGTCCTATATATTAATCTGCCAATGGCAAAAGAAATGCTAATAATGTTCCAGGCTTGATGTATGGGCATGGCATTCACTCTGGTTTTTCTGCAAAAGTAGAAATGAAAAACCTTCTGGGTAACAGAGATTTTTCTGCAAAAGGTCTCGATTATGCACAAGATTATGCGACACTAACTGCGTGATATGCTCTGAACAGCTTCCAGAGATCTGTTCAAGAGATGGCTCACTGATGATCAAAGAAATATTTGGAGTCACCGAGTATGATCCACTATGACTTCATTATTTCATCTCCATACTCGAACTTTAGCGTTGACTTTTGCACACCTTGTTGTTTTCTTCCAGTGAGGATGCGGACACACTTAAAATCCAGACACTATCCGAATCCGGCGACGTTGACTCACTTGAAAGGATGGTTGATTCCGACTCTGAGGAGTCTGCCGGGCCATCAGCTCCTTCTTCTTAGAGCATGCTTTGGTTATACCATCTTTAGGAGTAATGAAGTTCAATCATCGAATCCACAGGTACTCAACAGGAGATTCTCCTTGGGCAGCTTGTGATTCGAAATTTATGAGAAAATTTTGTATATTTTGAACGGGAAACGATTGTGAGCATGTGCAAATCTTCGATCAGACCAAAGATCCGTTATCCGATGATAAATATACTTTCCTTGGCATTGATCCTGAGTGTACAACTTAGCTTTCACGGATGGGGGTCGTCTCCCTCCTCGCCCTCCGCGACAGATGAGGGCGATGGTTGGGTCCGTCAGCTGCAGCTCCTTGTCTAGACTCTGGACTAGGGGCCATGGCGTCCTCTGGAGCCTTACGGTGGTCAGCATCTCGATTGCTCGGAGCAGCGAAGAGCACCGGCGTGTCTGGTCAACGACCTGACGACCTTGACGCCGCTGACGGGGAATCTCTGCTGAGAGTCGTAGCCCGGGCCGCGGCCACGTGTCCCCGTCTGCACGAAGAAGGCTCCGTTGATGAAGCCATCCCCCACCGACAGCCAGTTCCAGGACTTGCCCCTTCCCTCCCTCCACGTGATCTGCGCCACAGGAGATGAAGAAGAAGAGGAAGAAAACAGCGTCAGAGGCCGACTGGTTGTGGGTGTATTTGGAGCTAGAAGAAGGAGAAGGTTGGGTGGCGGTTCCTCACTTGCTTATTGCCGGCTCTGGGTGCGACGAACAGGTTGGCTTCGCTGCGGATGGTGGGGCTCATGCTGCCGCCGATGGCGTAATCTCCCCAGCCCTGGTAGAAGTTGTTGACGATGTGGGCGTATCCATGCCGAACCCTGGGCATGCGCTGGTTCACTCGAGGCCCGAATCGGTTGTACACGACGGTGACCTTCATCTCCCTGTCCTCCAGGTGGCCGTCGTCATGGCCGAGGAGCATCACCTTGTCGTGATTCTTGAACCAGTTGTTGGAGATGGTGACCCAGCTGGAGCCGCGCGTCACGTCCAGCAGCCCGTCGTGGCAGCTGTAGAGAGTATTGTGGTCGACCCAGACCTTGGACGAGCCCACCAGCCGTATGGCGTCGCCATCGGAGCTTCCCATCTCCATGACCTCCCCTCTTTGACTGATCACCGGCCCAGGTCCTTGCGGTTGCAGGTCGTGGAAGCTCAGGCCGTGGATGATGACGTCGTTCACCTGGTAGAGCAGGAAGCCGGAGCCGTGGGCTATCTGGACGTCGGCGCCGCGGCCGTCGATGGTGGTGAAGCTCTTGACGACTAGGGGCCTCCCGAGCTTGATGACCATGTCCATGGCGAAGGTGATCCAGACCTTCCCCTTAACGAGGCTGGCCCCGTGTCGCAGTGTGCCGGGCTGGGGATTCACTGGGTCGTCTCCGGGGTTGGTCACCCTGTAGAAAGTCACGTCCTTTCCGGCGTTGCCCCACATCTTCCCGGCGAAGCCCACCGAGCAGGCGGCGAGCCGCTGCCTGCTCGCCGCCCAGTTGCGGTTCCCTCTCCAGCACCGGTCGATGGCGTTCATGCGGCGGGATCTCCGAGCCGGCCTCGCGGCGAACACCCCTGATTCCGCAACGAAGAGGAGGAAGAGGAAGAGGAAGAGGCACGAACTGATGACCGGACGAGCTGCAGCGACGGAGGCCATGTTGTGGTGAGCTGAGAGAACACGAGCAGGACTACTGCGTTGGTGTTGGTGGACAACGTGAAGGATGAGGTTTCAGCAATTTATAGCGGCGGTACATTCTTGTGGAGTGGAAGTTCGTTCCCTCGAGCTGGGTTTTTGCCGGAAATAGGATACGGTTCGCCGCCGGGGCTGGTGGGTTGGTTGCACCCCTCTTTTCACCGCCATTGAAGAGGTTCTTGTAGCCCTCATCCGACCAGACATGTGGTGCGCGCAGCGTGAATGGAGGGAATGCCGGGATCTCCGGCCCTTGTGATCGCGGCGAAACCAGCGGGTGCTCACTGAAAGCACTCCGAGCATAACCACCACCTTCGTCATGAAAGCCGCTCCAAACGTAAAGCACTCCGCCCCAGAGGTCCAAGAGAATCCGCCATGAAAGCCCCGACGAAGATCTTCGCTACTCTCGCCGCGCTTCTGGCCCCGGCGGCGTCGGATAGAACCACAGAGGAAGAAGAACAGGAGGGCAACGGATAAGGAATGCGAACAAGATCACCAAGCGGCTCCTTCCAGGGTCTTCAGATCTGCGTGAATCCATCTCACGTGGAAATAAACTCGCGAGTCCAGGGCACCGAACGTCGTCCTCCTCCACGACGGTGGCCGCACTGGCCATCACCCGAAAATCTCAGACTTCGGCCTTCTGCCTCTGAACCAGGAACCTGGCCATCCGGAAGACGCCACGGCTAGCCCAACGCAAGAAGCTGACCCACCGGGTTGATGCCTACTGTTTTAGGCTCGTCCTGCTGGAGCTCCTCACTGGCCGGACGCTCTGTTACGAGGTTGGGGAGGATTCAGCAAAGTGAGTGAGCTCCGTCGGTGTGGTCGTTCGGTCTACTAAGATGCTGGACGACTGAGGAAGAAGGTCACGAGAGGATCCTGAAGCTCGACGGCACAGCTACGGACCTCGATTATCGGCCGTGGATGAGCGAGATTCTCAGAAGGGCAGACTGAAGAAGAATCAGGGTTTAAGAAAAAAGCTTCCTTTTTATTCGATCAATTTCATATAAAGTAACAGGACAAGGTGGGGGCATTGGATATCAGAAATCTCGAAGCCGTGAGACATACATGACGAAGTTGACCCAGAAAGTGGAGTCAGCCGTCAGGCAACGAGTCCCCTAATCCAAATCGAATGGGTTTCTGGAATCGTCGCCGATCAGCGCTGCTGCTTGTAAAATTTAGCGACCCACGGCGCCAGGTCAACGTTGTCTGGATCTCTTTTGTTTGAGCTGTAGTAGTCAGACCACCAGCACGGCGTCAGCCTGTCGGTCAGCCCTCCGTGGTAGATGCAGAATGGCAACCAATCCGTGCCGCCATTCATCCTTCTCCTCCTCTCTCTAGGGTAGGACAAGGGCGCCTGGACGTACCTACATCAAGGAGTTAGAGTAACTACACACAGACAGACACAGAGGGAAGGATGTGTCAGGGCTCACCTGATTCCGTCCACTTCGGCATCCCAGCAGAAATGGGTGTGGCCAAAGACATGACAGGAAGAAGGCTTCCCACGAACACCATGGATCGACCTCAAGCGAGTCTCCAGAAGATCAGAGCCTATGATCTTGGGGAGATTCGGATAGAAGAGCATCCTCTTCTCCGGGCAAAGTTCTTGTCTAGAAGAAGAGCAAGAGACCATGTAATCTGGTAAGATGATAGGCTTATAATGGAAAAAAAACGTGCAAAAAACGTATAGTAAACGGAATTTGTATAGGAAGAAAGCTGGAGATCACTTTCCAGAGGAGAAAATGACGCACCTGGGAACATAGTGGGAGAAAGTTATTATTGGGAGGCTTTTTTCTTGGATTTCCTGGACTGAATTGCAATTATTATCGTTCATAGAATCAAAATATTGTGCAAGAGAAGTATCTCTGGGGGATAATTCATGAGGCCACTTGCATGCATGAAAGTCTTTGCACACCTACATGAGGAAAATAAATAAATAAATAAAATGATTTATTTTATTGCATATTTCACCTGAAATATAGCAATAAATATGCATAAGAGAATTCCAAACTTAGAACCATGGATCATCCACATGCGCACCGGAAGTAGAACTAATTACATAATTTGCAGCTAAAGACCACCAGAAGTCAACTCAAATATCCATGTAGGATCAAACTCTAGCAGTATCCGTAGTTCACCAGGCAGAGCTGATCTTGACAAAAACACAGAACTTTAAGAGGAAATTATGAGTCTTACGGGATTTGACTTTTTCTTTTTAGAATAAAACAGGAAAGTCAACAGAGATGGAAGAGGTATATAAACGATCAGTTCCCCAATACTTCATCCGAAAAGTTGCTGCCATTTATGCGGATCATATCTGGTTCCTGAAGTGGAAAGGGAATGCCATGATATGCTCATCCTCAAAGCTTCCCGGGAGTCAACCCACACTCCACTTTGCAACCTCTTCTCCACCAAAGGATGGTCAACTAACTCCTATGCTAGAAAAATTTGACGATCTATCAAACAAGGGAATCATGATGGAATCGATGGCACTTGTTTACGTGACATAAAACGCAAAAAATGTGTAAATATGTGTAACACTATCATTCTGTAAAGTACAAAAAATAAATCAGAACCCATTTTAAAGCAAATATAAGTAAGTCTATATAATTGTCTCAAAAAATAATAGAAATACAGCAAAGAAAAGGAAGGGAATTACAGTGTCTAGGGAAGGAATCCGGAAGCCAGATATATCCTTTTCCTTGTCAAAGCTCTGCAAAAAAAAAAAAAAAAAAAATCAGAAAAGGGGTGAGGAGTCTGATCAGACCGACTCCTCTTTAACAACATGCGAACAGATCGTAGGTGCCATAATCACAAATCAATCACCTCGTGGTACCATGAATATAGAGGCACAATCCCCACACCATCCACGATTCCCGGGCCTGTCTCAACTCCAAGGTCTCTACACACATCAAGCAATGCGTTCAGCTTCTCCAGAGAATGTAGCTGAAATGGAGGAATGAAACATTTATGGTATCTACTACCAAGCTTTCCACCCTCATTAGCTCCTCCACAGAATTCGTAGAGAAACGAATGAATCGATCGCTTTCTCTAGAGGATTATCGCTGAAATCTCCCACACCCATCTCTCGTCATCAAAACTCGGTAATCAGGAGAACAAAGGGAGGTGAAACGCGCGACGAAGATGACTTACGAAGGACCCGCCTTCCCGGCGGCACCAAAGGTCGTGGTTTCCCGGCACGAAGAAGACGCTGCGGAACCTGTCCTTCAACATTTTCATCGTGGTCACGAAATTCTTATACGTCTCCGCAACGTCGCCGGCGACGAGGAGGACTGTATTCGCATAATATTCCGTCGAGAGGCAGTTGACCCACGCCATGTTCTCCTCGTAGTCGGTGTGCAGGTCCGAGAGGACGTAGACCCTCGTCGCAAATCCCTCGGCTCGACATAGAGACAAACGCCTGGCGGGCAACGCCTGCTGCCGCCCAACAACCCAACCCTTCCTCCTGCAGGTAGAATATCTCCTCGCTCCTTCTCTAGCGGTTGCATCCCCTCCGCCCCCGGGGCGCCGTGAGAAGCGCCCAGAGGGAGTCGCGAGGCCCACAACCATGTGCCGCTCGAGAGTGCACAAGGGAGGGCAAGGGAAATTGGTCCGATCCTTGCGAAGATGGTGGATCTTCGATCTATCAGGCAGAGAACCCAGAGAGAAGACGGCAGCGCCAAATACCTGGGCGTGGAATCGCTAGTGCAAGGCCTTCTTATCCTTCTCCGTCTTGTTACGTCCGCGGAGAACCACCCACGTTTTTAAAGGTGGCGACTTTCTGCGTTTCCACGAGTTTGTTCTCCGATCAATTTTTTATTCCATCCGATACATTCGTTTGTATAGTTTCTGGGGAAAATTGACAACCGCTACTATAAATTTTCTGGGCACAGTTGCATGAGAATAAGGCTTACCAGTTGGAGTCAGATGTATGAAAACGCTCCCCTAGTTTCGGCCAGCACAAGGGTTTGACTCGATACTGTTTAAACCAGATAAACTGAATTATTTCCTAAAAATGGAAACTTGAGCTTGCTCTCCGCAGGATCTTCATGTGGGTCTGCATGATCTAAATAAGTAAACTGAATACACTTTCTATGTTGATCAAGTCCTGGCAATCCCATAAACACGATAACACAAACGGGAGTTCCCTCTCCCCAAACATCTGAATTCCTTGGCAGAACTTCCAAAACAGGAATCTGAAAGCTTAAGCAAATAGAGCCCTCCTTCTAAATACGGCAAAGAATACAGGAGCCGTGATCTTGCATCGATCACTTCACGACACAGATCTTGATTACTGATGCGGCACCGATGCGGTGAAGGACGACGACAGCGTCATCCACCTTGCAGAGCTGCTTCTGCACAGCCGACTTGAGGGACGCCTGCAAGATGACCTCGGTTGACTCGGCGTCAGTGGCCTTTGCAGAACCCTCCGCCAGCAATGGGATCAGCCCCCGGTGAACAAGGCTCTGCCGAGCTGGGCCCTCGTCGCTGACCGTCCAGTCGAAGGAATCAGTAGTGAGCATGGGGACGACGACCGACAGGATCGGGACGGCAGGGCGATACTTGGCAACGAGCTTTGCGGTGGTGCCACCGCGGGTCAGAACGACGATCAGAGTGGCCCTGGCCTTGTTGGCCACTCGGACAGCTGATGATGCGAGGCTCTCCAGTGGGCTCATCGGAAGAGGGGTCAACCTGATCATCCCCTTGAAGATGGCGCCGTAGTCGAGCGATGACTCCGCTTCGATGCAGATCTTGGCCATGACCTTGACGGCAATCTCTGGGTAGGCCCCTGCTGCACTTTCTCCGCTGAGCATGACGCAGTCGGTCCCGTCGAGGACGGCATTGGCGACGTCGGTGGCCTCCGCGCGCGTCGGGCGGGGAGACTTGATCATGGACTCCAGCATCTGAGTGGCGGTCACCACGGGCTTACCGAGAAGGTTGCACTTGTAGATCATCATCTTCTGGGCGAGGAAGATCTTTTCGACGGGGATCTCCATCCCAAGATCGCCTCGAGCAACCATGAAAGAGTCCGTCTCCCTCAGAATCTCATCGAAGTTCAGCACCCCCTCCTGGTTCTCAACCTTGAAAACAGAGCGGAGATCAGAACAAGGCGAAGTGTGAGAAAAGGAAACAGAGAGGGAGCTCAACCAGCAGTCCATCTGCTTGAAAAACACTGGAAGCCTAAGAACAGGTGCTCGTTCCAACAGGAACAGCTTAAAGCATTTTTAAACAAAAAGACTGCTGCAGCCTGATAGCATAAAGGGAACACTCTTATAAATTTCTAGCCGTCAGATAGTAGCCGAAAAGGAAAAAAAAAATCTCTACACATTTTTTTTACGGATTTTGGTAAAAAAAAGAAGCATTTTTTAGCAATGAAATTAGACGAAAAATCCCGAGCAACACGAATATAGGAACCGATCAGAACTGTACACAATCAAAGTGATTACATCACTAAAGAAACAAGTGGGGAAAAATGGCAGATATTCATGGAACATGTAAGAGCATGGAATATAAGTTGGAGAAAAATGAATTAACTTCAGATTATACCTTCGACATCAGCTTGATGCTCTTTGCATGAGGCCCAAGAACACGACGAACATGAACCAGATCAGATCCCTTGCGCACAAATGACAATGCGATCATATCAATCTTGTTGGGCACGCCCCATTCCAGGATGTCTTCCTTATCCTTATCGGTCAGCGTGGGGAGATCCACCACCACACCTGGCAGATTGACGTTCTTTCTCTCACCCAAGACTGCAGTGTTTTCGCAACGACATCTCACAGTCCCAGAAGCCGGGTCGCATGACAGAACCGAGAGAGTTATTGTACCATCCGCACACAATATGGTGTTTCCAGGCTTCAAATCTACAGGAAGTTTCTTGTAGCTCATGGTAATCGTGCTTTCATCTCCCTTAAGGGCGTAGTCGGTGGATACTGTGATTTCTTGACCCTCCTTCAACTGGATGGGCTTTCCATCCTTCAGGAACCCAGTACGAATCTCTGGTCCCTGAGATGGAGTGAGAAAGAGAGGGTACGGAGTTCAGATCACCCATCACACACAATGATAAAGAAATGAATTCATTAAAACCATATAGTGGATTCTCAAAGAGCAAGAGGTGCATCTGAAAACAAAGAACAAGGAGAAAATTTGGAAAGCAATGCACTCGGTCAACGGATTATTTTTTCAAATAAAATAATTTCAAGAGTTTACTTACAATATTTTCCAGCCAAAACTTCCTGTTAAGGAAAGGGAAGGATACATAAAATAACTTCTGATGCAAAAACATAGCAAAATAAATCATCAGGCTGTAAAGGAAATAAATCAAATTTTATATAGATCTCCATCCGTCCATCTTCTCTCGTATTAAGTCAACAGTTTCAGGGAATGGAACTATGGGCACTGTCGCAGATGGAGAAACTTCCAGGCTGGGCAAGATTTTCATTCTGGGGTGTTTTGGTGAGGCCTGAATATATAGGACGAACTACCGTTCTGAATATACAGACATTGAAGTGGTTTCCCTACCAGCCAACTGTCTTCAAAGCACTGTGAAAAAGTTTTTATCCACCCAAATTGACTTCAGCAAGGAAGGAACTAAGAACCACCGTGTAAAGGATTGAATCAAGCAAGGCATGAATTAGAGATTAAATGAATATTCGCCATGCCACTTTGGTCAAAAAGAAAATTCTGAGCAACATCCGCTGTACATCACTTCCCACATGTCTTTCACTATCAGTTTGACCAAACAATAAATCTTCGTTGCAGGAAATTTTCATTTGTTTATTTGGCAAAATAGCTGTATCGAAGTGCAAACAAAAAAAAAAAAAAGAATAGAAAAGAAGCACATGACAAGCTCTACGATTTTGGAACACTCGTCTAAGATACAATGTTCTTTCTTCTTCAGAGCCTACTAAACAGCCGAGGGACCTGATCGATCCTAATGTTCAATCCAATGCCCTGTAAATGATGTTTTTCTGGGAGTAAACCCATTAATGATCAATGATGAATCTCTGAAACTCGTCAACGTATTCTTCACTTTCGTTCCATAATAGCCCTCTACATGGCTGGTAAGAACACCAGCCCCCATTTAACTCGGTCCTCCTCATTTATGGTGCTTGGCAGACTTGTCAATATGACGATGAACAGCTTAGGGGGGGAGAATTGCTTAGCACAATACCATCACTGAAGTTCTTCTGTGTCTAGTCTGACCTAAGCAGCCACCAACCATGTCAGATCAATCTGTCAAAGGGCTCTTCGTTCTCTGATTCTTCCTAAAAGTAGAAAAGCAGGAGCAACATCTACGGCTTTCAATGGGGATCATGGCCAGAAAATCAGAAAAAAACTGATACCTGAAATTTTATTTTATTTTTTGTCTACAACAACCGCTTATTATCCAAAGAATAGGGCCAATGAAATGCTTTCCCCAGAATTGAATCCTATGAAGAGGGAAAATCGCTTGTAACTCTCCAAGGTTATATAAATCCCTATTATCCATTGTCACATTTATTTTCCTTAAGATTATGAAAGGAAAGCTCCTCAAATACTTGGCGTTAAAATACTTCCTTCGCATCTGGATCGTGACCCTGTAAAGAAGACTTTCCCACTGATGATTTTTCTCCCAGAGGCCAATCCTCCGCCAGAAATGAAGAAAAAAGCACCCAGAGATCCTCAAACAAACCGTTTTCCTCCTGCATTTATTTAAATGGAACTGGAACCAGAGAGATGACAGCTGTATGATTCGATCTCAGTCCAAGAAGATCAGAAGAGTGGGAGCAGACCTTGGTATCAAGCATGACGGCACATAGGATCTGGGTATTCTGCATGGCGATCTTGAGATTGTCCAGCGTCTCCTGGTGGTATTCATGCGTTCCGTGGGAGAAGTTGAACCGGGCCACACTCATCCCCGCCCTCAGCAGCTTCTCCAGCATTGGAACTGAACGTGAGGCTGGTCCGAGAGTGCATACAATTTTAGTTTTCGGCACTCGCCCATCGCTGGGCAGTTCCTTCAATAATCCCTCTAGGTCGATGTTTGCCATTCAGTCGGCCCAGAAAGGAAGTCCACTGGAACACCAGAGAAGAATGTTGAACAGAGATCAGAGAGTATGAGCGGGCACGAAAAGGTCGGAAAGACAAAAAGGGAAACCTTCGCCGACGAGCCGAGGCAACGAAGCTCGACCCCTCAATGGAGCACTGTATGCGTGTGCGTAAAAACTAAGTTTTGCCTAGTTTTAACGGAAATCGTCAGACGATGACGATGAACGAGAGAGAAGAGTGCTGCTAAAGCCTGAAAGTAGATGACACGAGGCGGAGAAACCTCTTCATTCATGTAAGAAGGAAGGACCCACGGGTTAGATCTCAGATGCTTAGGTCGAGAGGCTGGACTACCTGAGAAAAAGGTAGAGGCTGTAGAACATGGAGTCGTTTAGGATCTACCCGTCTCTTACCTGCGAGTCTTCCCACCGGCGCGGCAGCTAGACGGCGCTTCTGCTCTATGCTGACGGTCGGGCAGAGGGAATGAAGAGCTGAAGGCACCAACTCTCTCACTGCGCAGCCTCTTCCGATGGAAATAAGATCGCTGCCATCTGATGCGATTGCGAATATCCCTGGTTGGATTCCGAACGGCACTACCAGCCCCGACTGAAACATGATCCGCAGAATTCATGTTGTTTAATCGAATATAATATTTGATGATATTACACTGCATAATTAGAATCGACCCATTTTTCTGGAAGACGATCTCTGTTTCAATTCCGAAACAAGAATTAAACTTCTGGCTCAGCTCTCGAGCCATAAGTGCTTCCCCACCGCCCACCGCTGTCAACGGTCCCCGCTTCTCCTTATCCCCCGGCAAGGATTTCCCTTACCCATCAGCCTTCGTCCCCCAAGATCCCAGCTTTTAGTGGGCCGGCAGTTCAGTTGGAAGTCGGCGAACTTCCTGCAATGTTCGAACCTCCACACGCATTCCTTTCATACCGTATCTTGTTCGTAAGCCAGATGTCTCCCAGACTTCTGCATATTATAGGAATATTTGGAGTTCGTATTATCTCACAATTATCTTAATAACGTAGTTAGGAAAAAAATAATATTTTTTCATAATAATAATTATTAAAATTTTACACAGAAAATCTCTCACCACTTTCCGGAATTGGCATTTGATGAACCTCAAAAAAAGGATTATAACATAATTTTCATATACTTAAAACTAGTATTTAACATTTTAATATCATCCACTCAAGGCCCCCTATTATTTTTGGCTCGTTATATGCCCGAGAGGTTAATTTAGAGAGAGAGAGAGAGAGAGAGAGAGAGGAGTTATATATATATGAAAAAAATCACATATTTACCAAAAAATCTCATTATTCACTGTTTTATTTTAAAATTGGCTGGACGCCATTAATGCTTAATTTTCATTTTTTGGAAAAAAAAACTATGTTCGTACTAAAGCTCTATAAATACGATTAAATTTTAATAAATTGTTACCTAGAACCCATAGAAAACTAGAGAAACATGCGATAAACTTGATGAACGCTCTTTATGGCATGGTCCTAGAGTGAAATATCTAGTCTTTAAATAATGTAAAAAAAATCATCATAACATGTCAACTCAAGGTGTGTATTTTAAAGGCTTCCGACCTTTATGAAAGACAATATAATCTCAGTAAATACATATTTATTAATTTTCATATTTTAGACTTGGGTTCATAACTATAAAAAGTGTGCACGTATAGTACTCACCAAAGTCACTAAAATTAAAAAAAACTATAAATTATATCCATTTAGAGCATTTACTCCATCCATGGTAATTAAAAGTCTTATAGTATTAAGATTTCACCTTCTATGTACATAGCAATACCATCAATTTTTGCTTGAAAATACTGTAACTATAATCCATATATCCATATATTCATTATGAAGCTGATAGGAGAAAAATAAAAAAAACAAAAATTATAATGGAATTAAAGGCGAAGTAATAAAAATAATTAGGAAGAGGGGTTATGATGGGTATTGCATAATGTACTTATTTCACAATGGTACCATAAAATATTGAGCCCGTATTATAACTCATGCAAAAATATGAAATATGGAGTGTACAATTTTAATATTAATGACATCTAAAATTCCATACACTCTAAATTATCAATGAAGTATGGTTCTAGAGCCATCATTTAGTACAATTAGAAAAATATAACATTTAATGATGAACATTATTTATATTAATATTATATTTTATTAATTGGATGATTAAAATCAATGTGTAGGTCACTGAACGGTGCATATTATGATGGTTAATTTCCGAATAAATTGAAGAATAACAACTCTTATTTACTTGCATCCAAATCTATGAGATCATAGTCGATGAAGCATTAATACAAAAAAAAAGAGGAAATTATGCACCATCTCTAAACACGTGCTAAAAAGGTGACAGAGGTTTGGTTCTAGTAGAAGGAATGGAGAGCTGGAAGCCGTAAAAGCGTCGACGACGTCGATCTGGCCGGCGATCGACGTGCTGTAGCATGTGAACGACGAACGCGGACTGCGGCGCAGTAACGCAGAGAGGCTGATGGTCAAGGAGAGGAAAGGGAAGAAGACGACGCGCAGTAACGAAGAGAGGCGGATAGTGAATGAGAGAAAAGGGAAGAAGACGACGGGCATCCGTCGCCATGCTGGGTCTTCACTGTCGAGAAGGTCGCCGAACGATCGACGACACATTTCTGTGCTCCAACTGGCGTCGACCAGGAGGCGGGTTACGATCACTCCCGCTGCGAAGAAATCGGCCAGAGCGACCGGACGTGTCGCTCCGGTGAGCGGCGGCGGCGGGCGTCACGGTCAGTTCATGGCCGCGGATGGGTGACTGTATCCAAAGGGATTCACGCAGCCGTTTCCCGATCCTGACACGCTGTCAGAAGGACTACGCGGAAGACGACGGCGATGTTATAGTGGGCGTCGTCCCCTTTGCCGGACCATTCGGGAAGATGAAGGCTCCTCGTTCGCTTCTCCGTCGGGACATGGCTGTTCGATCTGCGCTGGGACGAGCATTGGCGGGTCTTTCAGTGCTGGTTCTGCTCTGCTTCTTCTCCGGGGGAGTCGATAGTCGCTTCGTGAAGGATGCCGGATACGGTGTGTATTCGAGTCGCCGTTCTACATTGGAGAATGGGCTCGGCCGAACTCCTCAGATGGGGTAACTCCTCCCCCCCCCCCCAACTTCTCTCTCATCACATCGATACCGCCTGGTTACTTTCCGCTTCCGTCGATTACTGATAACGACTCTGCGATTCACCGCCATGCAAATTTGTCCACCTCCCCAAACGCCCCCCCACGCCGGCGACGATCACGGACACCTGACTTGTCCTGCCGCCGACGGGGGAGAAAACGTTGCCGTGGCGATGGGGGCGGCGCCAGTGATCTACTTCTTTGGGCAAAACCATCGTGTAGAATCGATGATACTAGGAAAAAAATTATAAATTTTCATGCTTTCCACGAACATCTTAGGCTAGCAAATATTTTAATTATTAGAGATTATACTGTTAACATGCAACATAAATGGCATCCGAAATTATGTCGACATCGTGACATGATAACACATAATAAAATAAAAAACCATTTAAAGAAATTCATACGTTGATGAGAGGGAACACACCCTGACTCGTGGGCGGGCCAGAGAGAAGATGGAAGTCACTAGACAGCGCATGGTCTCCATCCACACATCCGAGACATGACCATTCGGATTCTGAATCATGCCAAATTGGCGTGAATTTCTCTGTATTACAGTCAATGACTAGACGAAGACACAGTCATTTGACGGGATAATCAGTTGCAACGCTGTGTTTGATCAGGTGGAACAGTTGGAATCACTTCCATTGCGATGTCAACGAGCAGATGATCAGGGAAACGGGTGAGCTTCTACATACTCCGTTTTCAGATCAGTCGCTTTTGTATGATAATGATCGATCGGTGGTGGGTACATTGTTGACTGTGTGGTGGGGCAAAATGGTTAATCATAAAGAACATATTTTTATTATCGTTTCGTCTCACTTGACTTTGAAACAAACTGGGCAATCTCACGACCCTGATCATCTCTTTGCAGCGGATGCAATGGTGTCGACCGGGCTATCTTCTCTTGGTTATAAATACGTAAACCTAGGTCTTTGGACTTCTTCCGAGTCTCCTCTCTTCGTGATGTCTCCCACTGGTGTTTCAATACATTGACTCGTTCTTGATGCATCAGATGACTGCTGGGCTGAGCTGAACAGGGACTCTCAGGTACAACGACTTCAGTAATTTTTTTTTGAAACATCGTGCCGTGTGGATCAGCCTCAACCTACTTCCAGCTCTACACTGGTTTCATAATAAGTTAAGAATGCCTGTTTTGAAGTATCTACGGTAGAATGACCTTCATAAGTTGGGAAACCATCGCAGCTCTAATCGATCAAGTGTTCTCACTAGTAATCAGAACAGCTATTGGGTTCTCTGAGTAAGGCTGTTTGAGATTCGTTGAGCATAATGGGATCAGGCAATGCGGTGATTGGATATTGCTGAGAGTTGTCTTTGTCTCAATGTTTATATTTTTTTATAAATTTATAATTTGAGCCCCGGATTTTGGATTTTCACAGGGTAACTTGGTGCCCAAAGCTTCAGCTTTCCCTTCGGGCATAAAGAATCTTGCGGATTATGTGCACGGCAAGGGGCTTTTGCTTGGCGTCTATAGTGATGCAGGGTAGATACTCCCAACACACTTTCCCATTCTCCCCCTGTTTTTGTCCCCCCTGAATAATTTTCCTTTAAAAGTTAGACAAGACCATCATTGTAATTTTTCGCTTCTAATATGTTGAAATGATTTTGAGCTCTGATCCGACTTCTTTACTGGAACAATTGCATGATCTTTCACAGAAGTCCATAATGTCAATTTCTTAACCTTCATATAGAAGTATCTAGATTTTAGCCTCGATCCTTGAGTATGTTTCAGGAGCTATACGTGCAGCAAGACAATGCCTGGGTCGTTGGGATATGAAGATCAAGATGCCAAAACCTTTGCCTCATGGGTATCGATAAATATTTTATTTTTCTTGCGAGGTTTTCCTAGACCTGTATGCCATATTTACGCCTAACTCCATTTTTATCTTCCTCAGGGAGTTGACTACCTTAAATACGATAACTGTTACAACCCTGGAACTAGCCCCAAGGAGAGGTATCTATATTGATATCAGCCTAGCGGCCAAGTTTTCTGATCTTGGTTGGTAGAAGTGAAGAGGCCGAGACCTGAACCTCCATATGAGACCTGGGAGAAATCTCTAATGGAAATCTGTCATATATTTTTCTTCTTCTCTTTCACATGTTTTCTCAGTTGTGCATCAATAATTTTAATATTGTTTACGTAAAATACCAAAATGGTTTCCATAAAATCCTAGTTTCTGCTCATCTCTTGGAACAAAGATCCGACTTGTAGTAGGAACCTATTTTTTGACTACTTTGCCATCCATTTTGACTCTGAATATAAACTTTTACGTAAGATCTTTTAAATTTCCTCGTCGTTCATTTTTATGCTTCTAACAGATTTACACAATTGAAATAAATTATTGAATTATAGACACCGTTTATATACTGGTTTTTGTCAGTGGTAACTCTACAATCTTCAAGAAATAAATATTTCGGATATTGGATTATGGCCTTCAATTCCAAATGATTTTGCTTCTTATCCGTTGGTGATTAATTTTTTTTTTCCTTAAAATGCTCTATCGACTTAATTTGTCAGAATATAACCGATAATAATCAAAAGGTGACCAAGGACCATCTCCACGAAGCTCCAGAACCCTTCTGATTTTATCATTTTCTTGTTCGGTGGTGGTGCAGGTATGATAAGATGAGCAAAGCTTTGCTCAACTCCGGACGCAGGATATTCTTCTCCATGTGTGAATGGTCAGCTGCTTATTTCTTCGATTTTTGAATAATACTGAATCGGTGATTCTCACAAGTTTCAATGAGTTTCGCTTTGAAAATAAAAATAAAAATCCAGGGGCCAAGAGGATCCAGCAACCTGGGCTCCCGAGATAGGAAACAGCTGGAGAACAACAGGAGATATTGAGGATAAATGGGAGAGGTTTCTATCCTTCGTGTTAAAAGGAACTCTTGCTAAAAACGATGGCCTCTTCATGCAAGCTGTGAACTGACCATGGACCTCTTTTCTTCTCAGAGTGACGTCCATTGCTGACCAGAATGACCGCTGGGCTGCTTACGCGAGACCTGGAGGATGGAATGGTGGTCTCTTCGGCCTCTTCTTTCTGCATTGTGCTTGAGAAATCACAGAACATGGCAGCCATATCTTCATTCTAGACTGACTACCTTCTCTTAAGAGTATCTCCTCTGTTGATACTTGTCACAGATCCCGACATGCTGGAAGTAGGAAACGGTGGGATGACAGCAGATGAATACGTTTCACACTTCAGCATCTGGGCACTGGTTAAGGTACCCATTTCCCATCGGCCGCCTTCTCAGCCTCCACAGCTTGAACCCGTTGTCTCATGCGATATTCTCCAGGCTCCACTTCTTATCGGATGTGATGTCCGCTCGATGAGCAATGAAACACAAGGAATACTGAGTAACAAGGAGGTCATCGCCGTCAACCAAGGTACAGAACCATGGATACTATACTTGTGTGGACGTCGTCAACCTTAGTAGAGTCGATGCTTCATCTAAGATGGTGTGGTGTTCATAGATTCCCTGGGACGTCAAGGGCAGAAGGTTAAGAAGGAAGGAGATCTGGAGGTGTGGCTTCCTTGTGCCCTACAAAGCCGCACATTTGTTCGACCGATGAAGATAATGTTGAGATCTAGTGACTGCTTCACCCTTCTGCGCAGGTTTGGGCTGGCTCCCTCAGCGGAGGAAGGGTGGCTGTGGTCCTCTGGAACAGAGGGTCTTCGCAGAGTTCCATCACCGTCGTGTGGTCCGACCTCGGGCTCGATCCAGCTATGGTTGTCAAGGCCCGGGATTTGTGGGCGGTAAGATCTGCAAAGAACTTTCTTCTGTAAACTTCCCCGGGCCACCTAGAACGATGAACTGAACTGCTTTCATCTGCTCGAACTCTTCTTCAGCACTCGACTGCCTACTCCATTCGAGGGGAACTGAGCGCTACTGTGGAGTCCCATGCCTGCAAGATGTACGTATTGACGCCTTCCGTGTAGAATGCCCTTCCACCAATTAATTTCTCTGTAAGACTCCAGCTGAAGAGTACAATAAGGCCATAATTTCGTGGCTTAAACTATATGCAAAGGCTGATTCCCAGTTTACTCGAGTCTCCATCCCTAACTTGGGTTAGATTGCATGGAAGAGGTCAAGGTAGGAAGATGGCGTACCCAGATGGGTCGTCGAAGGGTTCGGGCCTTGCTGAGCTTGAATGCCTTCCATTAGAGGAGCGCTCGTCTTCTTGTACACCAGGGGAAGGCGAAGCACTGAGGGCCGCTGGATATGGAGAGGGTCCCTCGTCGTCGAAGGAAAAGGGGGAGAAACGGAGACGTTCTTGGGCGGGAGGGAGGAGGAGCGGAATCTGTTATTGACTTTTTGTCGAAACCTGTGGAGTCAAAAGACATTGCCTAAAATAGTTACTGTCTGTACAGATTTATTTTTTTGACTTCGGGGTAAGTTGAAACTCAACTTTCAGAAGAAAATCGGGCAGTGGCTGCGCGTCTACTCGGGTTTTGTGATTCGTTGTGGATTCGGGTCGAGGAGGGAAGGGAAATATCTGACCGGAAGGTTCAATCTGTAGCTGGGGCGTTCCGCTCCGAGTGCGGATGCCGAGGGTCGGAGCTCGCGACTGAACTTGGGCGATGAGTTGAGCGGAATTGTGAGAAGGGTTCAGGGTTTTACAGCCGATGGAGCGCTGCGTTATCTCCTCTACGTTCTCGCCTGCGCTGTGTCACCGCCATGGTTTCTCGAAGCTCGTCTGCAGTTTCCTTCCCGAACCGAGCGGCCAGGCTTATCCGGCTGAGGCGAGCTTGTCGGGTGTCCTATTATGGAACGCAGAAGGGCACAATCCTGCCAAAAGTGTCCATGGCCGTCGGCTGCCGGTGCTTCGCGCTCTTCCCGCTTCCGGTGGTTCTTCGGCATTGGAGGGGGAGGGGGATTACTCCGGTGCTGCGGCAGCTGACGCTAAAGGTTCGGGGACGACGGCTAGACGGAGGAGGCTCCTCAGAGTGAGAGAAGAGAAGAGGAAGAGGGAATACGACCGCATCAACAACTATCCAACCTGGGCCAAGTATGCGCATCTCTTCTCTCTCTCTCTCTCTCACCTAGTCATTCATTCGCAAGGAGAGTTTTTTTCCCTTAAGCTTCGTGTCTGTCTTCTGCCCTTCAGCAACACTTACGTCTTGCCTGCAATGGGATGATGCTCGCATCATTTTTTTCAAGAAACCTAATAGTGAGCTCGACTATGATGCTCATCGCAACATTAGCGCCTGTGTGCACGCAACAAATCCAGGAAAGCATGTCTGGGAGATTTACATTGCATTCCGAGCACTTTCACGGTCCGTATCAGATTCTAAAAGATGAAGGCAGTTCTTAATGATGATGAGATATGATTAAAGACTAAACAGGCCGAACTTTAGAGTTATATACCCTTTTTCATCACTGTTTAATAAATCTGCAACGTATGCTGTGCTTGATCCGTGAAACAAAACTTTCATCTATACCTTTCTATTCTCTAATGTCTTTCCATGTCTTGTTCACCATATCTATATCTACTAGAAATATGCTTTTATCAGATTTTATAAGAGCACGCAATATTTTTTTCATCTGATATTAGTGAAAGAGAGGCTCCATTTATTCCTTCATATATGATCACCTACATTGGGAAGTTCTTAAAATTCAGTGTATCAGCCAATGCAGTCGTTTATTCAGCGTAAAGAAAATGTCTTATTTTGTTAAAGGATACTGGAAAATGCCTGCAAAGATGATGCGGAACTCCGTGGAGTACTTGGTGATAGCATTGGCAACCCGGAGCTGATGAGAAAAAGGGTATGCAAAAAAAAGGAAAGAATTCTAGTAGTGAAGGCCATGAAAGTGATGCTCTTCTCCTTGCAATTGACAGGTGGAGGAAAGGGTTAGAACGAGGGGAAGAGACTTTCGCAAGTCAAAAACTGGCTCAGTGCTTGCTTTCAAAGTCAGTTTCAGAGAGTAAGAGACATTCAACTTGCATTTCTTCACCTTTATGTCATCGAGTATTTCAGCTTGCATATCTTTTCCTTATTGTACATTTCGCAGCTAGTTTCTCGTCAATTTCCTTTGATAAATCTTGTCCCAGTGACTCAAAAAGAGTAGATTGATAGTAAACGCAGATTAGATCTTCAAATATTTCATGCTAAGTTGTTCATTTTTCCTTATATCTTACCATCTTTCTCGTTCATTTTTCCAGTTAAAAATATGGTGTGGCCGAGGATTATAACCAATCAGAATGTGTGGTTCGGAATGTTTTTGCAAAGAAATCACTTACTAATTTTATTCGTGATCAGCCTGGTGGTACATAATTATATCATTTCCTAACGCTCGACTACCTAATGAGCAAGCTCGTTATGCCATTGTTTCTTGATGAAAATTTTATATGTTTCGATTACGATATCATCTCGAACAGCTTCATATCTCCTTATGAAAAACAAAAGCTGATCAGATTCTGATCGGATTATTTTTAATGTGATATGAATTGAATTTTACCGCTGTTCAACTTTGGTTAAAATAAATGTTCAGATCCTTTGTTCTCAGCCTATAGTTACCGGTGTGGTGGCATTTGACTTGCTTGATTTTTTCTTTTTTTTTTCAGCTTTAATCCCTTAGACTCATTTATATGGTTCGAACTTTATGGTGCGCCAGCAGACAGGGACGTTGACCTCATTGGTAGTGTAAGTAAAAGTTACCCTTTTGATATTTAGTTTATATGGTTTCAGAAATCATAATAGTGTTTTCATGCAGGTTATTCAGTCATGGTATGTCATGGGGCGTTTGGGTGCATTTAACTCTTCCAATCTTCAGGTTAATCTTCAAAATATGAATTCTTTTCCGTTTTCTCCTCACTACTGAATGATTTTCGATTTATATATTATGCTGTTTTTTCTTCTAATATCTTTGTATAAAGCGGAACGAAAAGGGGAAATTATTAGAAACGAAAAAGAAATTTTAATGGTGACATCGAAATAGGTAAAAATACAAGGTGTCTATTTCATTATAAGGTTGCCTGATCTGAACACAAGTCAACGAGAAGAGGGATTACGCGATTTGTCTGTCACAGAAGGATTACTAATCTGGTTAAATGAGTGTGATCCCACTGGTTCCACTGCATTGTGATTCAATATGTTAATTATACGCGATCTTTCTTGGGATCACCAAGATCATCTGGCTGGAGGACTAAGTGAGGACCAGAAATATATAATTGGTTGTTTACCTCGTGCTTGTGTGTGCAAATAATATGGGCAGATATGAAGAACATTTTTCCGGAACACATGGGTCTGAAACTGAAAGCAAAGCCCAGGGGGGAGTGTGTACTTTGGTATTTCTAATCAATATATGAGCTGTGATGTGCTAATTTTTACTCTGATTTGCTTCATTAAAGCATTATTATGGCTATTTCTCTCAGAAATTTTGTTTGCCCATGTTTCGGATATCTTCTTATATCACTAAAGAGCCGATCTTGTGCCAATTTTCAGCTGGCGAATTCATCGATGGATTATAATCCTCTTTATGATGCAGAGAAAGCTGGCACAGTGATGCCTTCATCGTTCCATGACATTGGTGACGTTGAGTTCCAGGACAACTGGGGCCGTTTCTGGTAGGATCATCCGTTGTTTTATTCAACAATGTTCTGAGAACTGATGGGAAAATATTTCATTGACCCATGTACTTGATGCTCTTTGGTAGGGTGGATCTTGGAACATCCGACTTGTTTGCTGTCGACGTGCTGCTCAATTGCTTGACTGTGTTGAGTTCAGAGTAAGCCACTGTCTCATGGTTGGATTAATCTATCATACTGGGAAGATTCTATTTCCTGAAAATAAATAAAAATAGTAAAGCTTTCATAACGGTCTCTGTAGCGTTGACTTCACATCCCAATGGGATTTCCCTTAGCAAGACTTGGTTGAAAAACAGGGGTTATCATTGGATTAATTAAAGTTAATTATCAGGCAAGACGAATCGTGTTTGCAGGAGAAACTTTGCTAGGGAGATGCTCCATTCAGTTTAAATGCATTATTAATGACATAAATGTGGAATATTATGAACGAGAGTCCCTCCCTCCCTGCCCATCAGTTTATATGTAGCCCTCTGTACTAGACAGTGTAGGGACTGGAGCTGATTATCTTGCGACCCTCGTTGTGTTGCAGATACTTGGGAATCCAGCAGGTTGTATTTGGTGGCCGGCGCATGGGAGACTGGGAGGAAGGGTTGACCAATCCCGAGGATGGGTACAAGTCCTTCAAGATCTGAGGAACTCACTTCTTGCATCTGAAAAGGTACCCCCCGGGCTTTGTTCAGATACTAAATTCTGTCGGGCCACTCTGGTCAGATGGGCATTCTACATATGGACTTATGCTGATCTATCATGGCTATTTGTGCAGATTTGGCCCCCGCCAGCTGATATCACTGGTCAAAGGCCGCGGGAGTTCGTCAACTCTGATCAATTAGAAGCTATATATATATATATATTGATGGAAGAAGGGAGGGGGAGAGAGAGAGAGAGATGTAAACAGGCTCAAAAGCGACGACTTCGACATGATGGCGTTGACTTTTGCGCTGCAGGGATGCGTTCGGATGGAAGAGGGGCATTCTGGGTGTATTCCTGTCGGGGCAGGGGGCTCTCAGGCACCGAATCCAGTGTAAGGGACCTACAAGTCTCCTTAATCTTCGGAGGGCATTCTGGGTTTCTTTGCTAGCAGGGGAGAGAGAGAGAGAGAGAGAGAGATAGAGATGTAAACAGGCTCAAAAGCGACGACTTTGACATGATGGCGTTGACTTTTCCGCTGCATGGCGATGAGTCCGGATGGAGAAATAAATGCCGGGTCCTCCGCTTGTGGGGGGCGGGGAAGGGGATTATCTCTGAATAATCCGACTGACGTCATCGCCAGTTCTCGACGTTAGTTGGCTGCCTTTCGGCGGATGGGCCCCCCAAAAGCGCCCGAAAGTCTCCCCCTCCCTCCTCCTTTCGCTGGGGGCTCTGTCGCCAGCTGCGCCGTCAGGAGTCCTGACATCCCGGAAGTCTGAATCCGCCTCCCAGAGTGGAGACCCGTCTAAGAGGTTGACGGAATCAGGATCTTGACCTTTGCCTCGTTGACGTAAGTAGGCTTATCCGGCGCCAAATTGCCAGGAGGGTGCCTTTCTTTTGACCGACGACTATTGATGAGGGGTGGGGTGGGCAGACGTTATCCGGTGAGTTATTAAATAAGGCTGTTGACGCTGTTCGATAATCTACTCTCTCTCTCTCCCCCTTCGGAGCTACGACTTATCAGCGAAACCATCGATTTATATCAGGAAATTATCTTAACAGTAAGAAGTCAACGTAATATGAGTACATTCGGACAGCCTGTTTGAGAGATACGATTCACTTTACTTCCAAAATGACGCCAAAAACCCTTAGAGTTGCTTAGAAATCCCATTTTCCTGGAAGTAAGCAACGACAACAAAAAAAAACACAAATTTACACGCACTTGGGTTGTTGGCTTACTCTAATCGGCAAAAAATCTCTCCTGCATCATCATATATACAGCAGACATGAGATACCGGCCAACGGTTCTCAGCTACAAAGCTGGGTGCGGCGGGGGAAAGTCTTCCGTTGACCGTCAGTTGGGGGGTGGGGCGCTAAGTCGAAGTCAAAGAGGCGGAGGAGTCCATTCACATGGTGCGGATGTTGAAGAAATCGAAGTCTGGATGGTGAGCCTCGAGCTGCCTCAGCCAGGAGGCTGCGGCGCTCCAAAGAGAAGTTAACTGCTGAAAATCCTCCGTCCGGGGGTTTATCCAGATCTGGGTTTGCATCTTGTACGCAGCCAGGCCAAATGGCGGTAGAGAGAGAGTCCGGGGCTCGTCTTTGATGCTGACCAGCTCGCCGTCAACATCGCCACAGCCGGATCGCTTTACCTTCTCCATGGAGAGCTCCTCTGCACCACCTCAAAGCCACGAATATCACGTGAGGATGTGGACACCGGAGTAATCCAGATGACCAGTAGATGGGCAACAGGGCAGAAGTCTACGGAGGAAAAAAAAATCATTTTTAGGGAAGAAAATGTGTTCTATAAGTGGATATTAGCTCCCCACATGCAGACGTACCTTGGAATGTTGATGACAAGGTGTGGTAAGTCAGGAACGCAGAGTAGAGCTCTTTTGGATTTCTCTGCGCAGGGATGTGATATATAGGATACCTAATGCGGAAATAATGGGGTCAGCTCTGACATAATCTAGCGAATTTTCTCCAATCTACCACTAAAAAAATTCACATATGACCCATCTACAGGCCATGATGCTGTACCAGGCGATCGCCATCCAGCTAGCAGGAGAAAGATCGATGCTCCTCAGAGAGTGCAATCCAGGATACGTCTCTGATAATTTATTGATCTACAGCCAAAAAAAAAAAAAAAGGGTCTCATGGTGGGTAATTCCCAGTTCATCGGGTTAGAACAGATGGTAAGCAGAATTTTTACCATGTCTCTGAGCGGCGGTCTAAGATGAGGGCCAGATGTTTCGAAGTACTGGAAGTAAAGCCTGCCCAGGCGCTCTCTGATCTTCGAGTCAACCTCTTGATCGGACCCCGAGTCCTCCGAATCCCAGGTCCTGTTCGAGCAATCGCTGCTCGATCTCGAAAGCTTCACCACGCCGCCATCGCTGCACGTGGAATCGGTCTCGAACTCGGAATCCTCCTTCGAGTTCCTGAATCGGGAGAAAACCCATCTGTGATTTCGCCTCAAACAGATCGGGAGAGCTGGGGACTTGGGAAGAAGATTGACGGAGGGAATAGAACGGGGACCTCGGGCCGCTGACTTTTCCCGAGTACAGCTGAATCCCAGAGAGGAACGGTGTGTAGTACTGGACGACAGGCTGGTGATGATCTTCGAGGCGGAGGGGAGTGCCGACACCATAGGCACTCCACTCGTCGTAGCAATCCCAGAGGTCCCCTAGAGTGAAGTATTCGATGGGATCCTTGCCACCATGGAACTGCCACTCGGGGGTCCGATAATGGATCGAGCTCTGCGACAAGAGGGGAAGCTGGTAAGAGAAATAACAGGATTTTTGATTATTTAACGGATCAGAGGTTTCGTTCGTCAAAATGTTCCCTTTCGATAAAAACCGGGCAGAGTTTCTTTTCGAGGGCGATCATCCGATCAAACCAGAACAATGATTCAAAAATGCACACCCAATTAGAAAGATCATGCATTCGCAGAAAGGGAGGGAGCAAGTCACCTTGGAGAGAAATCGAGAGGGAACAGAGGGCGTCGTGCGCCTCAGGAAGCTCTGAAGATTCGAGGGGACCATTCCCGGCGTACGGCGATGAAACCCCGCTAGCCGCTGGAGGCCGATCGATTATCTCGGCGGAGAGAAAATCTGAGCAGGCGATGGAAGCAGACGGTCGAAAGGACGAGTGAAGAAGGCAACAGAAGAGATCTATACAGTCTCCACCGGTCAATGGTGGGGGCGATTGCCGAGCTAAAGCAAGAGTTTGCCAACAGAGAAAATGGGGCTGCTGGTACAGTGCTCTCTATTTGGGGGAGGGAGGAAGGGAGAGAGAGAGAGAGAGAGAGAGAGAGAGAGAGAGTAACTTGTGCTAGAAGATACGCTTCTCAGGAGGATGTATATACTAGGACGGTGACGGAGGAAAAACTGGAAACAAACTTCTGAAGGATACGAGAAGAGGCAAAAATGGTAGACTGATTCTCCACCCCGTCACACACGAGCCTCGTTTTATTTTCCTGGATTCGCTCTCCTCCATTCCGAACGCAGCAACTCCTCCGGCCCCTCCATAAATGCTCCCCACGAACACGCTAACCCCCGACCCTCCCCCCCCCTCTATGCCGCCGGCCTTCTCCGCTTTTCTCTTCCTGCACGCCCTTTACGCAAAAAGTAAGAAGATGCGGACTTGCAGAGAGGAGGCCAGACGGGCGGTGTTCAGTTGCCGGAGCCGGAAGGCAGAGTCGGAGTCGGCGATCGGTCACCCCCGCAAAAAATGGTAATCAATCCACCACCAGAAGGAGGCGCTCGCGGGGAGAAAACCCCTGAGCTGAGCTCTGTTGTTCCTTATCTGCGGAGATATAGAGTCCTGTAACAGGTGGCGGAGGACGACGAGCGAGAGACGGGGAGAATCGAAGTTGGGGGAGCCTCGTTGGCGGCTGGGGGAGAGGAAGAAGGCGGCGCTCATTAACTGCTAAAATGGGTTCATGATACCGTCCGAAGGGACCTTAAATTAACCGGTTGACCAATCAGGACGCCCCACGACATCGTCGAGCCAGCATCGACAGCGACCCCAGATGAGGACTGGCTGTTCGGTTCGCCGAGTTGACACAAGGGCCGTGATTGTCTCCACTCCCCAGCAGAATATTCGGAGATATCGCTTAATTCTGCCACGTGGCACATGAGGAGCCCCCGCACCACGTGTCTCTCAGTCAGAGATTGGTCAAGACTGGATGAGGACGCTCGAAGGTCGCACGTGCCGGCTGGGCAAATAAAAAATTTCGTGTACGAAAGGAGTATCTAAAAAGCTTCGTCGCAATAGACGCATGTGGCGAGCGGCGGGCGTGTCGGTTGCTCCGGCAGCGGACAGACCCATCGGGGAGGCTGCAGCAGGCAGACAAGTTGCGGAAGCTAGATTCTGTCAACGGCAGAAAAGTCATCGCCTACCGTTCCTAAGAAGAAAACTATTGCCAGCTGGTACAAGAAGTCAATGCTGAAAGATCCTCCACTGGAATTCTGCCGACCTTCTCTCGCGCATAGTTCCCCATCCATTCTTTACGTCACCGTTCTGCACTGGAGATGTCGCTGGGATTGATCGAGACAGTTGGACGATCCGAGCAGGGCTTCGTCGGCGAGTACGCCTCTCCCTCACTCCCTCTCTCTCTCTCTCTCTCTATCTCTCTCTTTCTTTTCAAGAAGCCGTCTCTCTGATGATCGGGTTGAAGAAAATACGGAGGAATAGCGTGGATATTGGCTCATTCTTTTCCCTGACAACTCTCTCTCTCTCTATTCATCTTCAAGAAGTTCTGTCTCACTCGAAACAGTATCACTGATGGCCAGGTTGAAGCACAGCACGGAGGAATAGCATAGACATAGGCTCATTGTCTCCCTTGACAACTCTCTTTCTCTCTCTTCAAGAAATCCTGTCTCACTCGAAACAGTCTCACTGCTGACCAGGTTGAAGGAAAACACAGGAATAGCATGGACATAGGAGCATTCTTCTCCCTTGACGACTGCCTGTCTGTCTGTCTGTCTCTCTCTTCCAGAAGGCTCTCTGACTTGAAATAACCTCACTTTTGACAGGGTTGAAGCGAAATATGAGGACTAGCATTGATAGGGGTTCATTCTTCTCCACTTACCAGTCCTCTCTCTCTCTCTCTCTCTCTCTCTCTTCCAGAAGGCTGTCTGACTCGAAACAACCTCACTTTTGACGGGGTTGAAGCGAAACACGAGGACGAGGATTGATATGGGTTCATTCTTCTCCACTCACCAGTCCTCTCTCTCTCTCGCTCTATCTCTCTTCCAGACACCAAATCTGACCCGAGAATCGAAATAGCGACAAAGCCCCCAGGCAGGAACAGAATGGATATGAGGTCATTCATTCTTCTTCAGTTCTCTCTCAAGAACCGGTAATTCCACTCACGACGGGGTCTACCCTGAAAGTCGACGAATGCGAGGATGAGATGTCCTTCCCGATTCTAAGCTCGCTCTGAGACAGGACGAGATCTTTCCATAGAGACGTGTGCTCGAGCCCTGAGTGCTTTTCCATGGCTTTCTCCTGCTAGAAGCCATTTCTAGGGTCCACCTGAGCTCATCTTCTCCTCACACCAGCCCGTCTCAGATTACCGGAGGACGTATAGTGGGTTCACCTCCCTGAACGTTCTCGGAGAGAGAAATCTGATCTGCCCACTCTTGGAAATCTACAAGCGATAAAGAGGTTCTCTCTCAAGCCCCTCCATCGGACGCTCGTTGATTCCGTTCCGCCTAGACTGCTCACAAAATCTCTAACGGGACGTATTATATACGTTTCCATAGACGGATAGATAGGTAGCGAGAGAGAGAGAGAGAGAGAGAGAGAGAGAGAGAGAGAGAGAGAGAGAGAGAGAGAGAGAGGCACTCATCTCGCGTGCCCTGCGGAGGATAGCGTTCCACTCATCTTGTGCGTCAAACAAACGCTAAGCGTGGGTCACACGAGAAGCAACGATGGTGAAGATCGTGTGCGTGATACTGAGACCGCGAACAACTCTGGCTGTAGCTAGTAAGGGTATCACTCTATTTTTTTCATATAAATAGAAAGGCCATCTTTCCTCATAAAAGTGCCAATGATCTTCATACCTGATCCACTGGACGAAATTGATTCCATCACGATTCTTTGAAAAATATTCCTTAATTTTCCGTGCTCCTCGGCCCAGTTCAGCCCATGATGGTTTTAGACGTCCAGGGTTCATGCTAGACGGCCACCTGCGTTATTGGTCCTTGAAGCGCCTTCTCTTCCGATGCCGGCCTTCCTACGACTTGAGATACCACGAATTAAATGCTTTTTGGATAGATTAAGGCCGTCTTATTGGTCATTGTCTCAATTATCGTTATCAAATAAGAGAAGGGTTCGCAGAACAACGAAAGCCCGGAAAGAAAAGGTTGCAACTTCAGAGGATTAACTATCCATCTTACGAGGGACGGCAGCAGCCGGGAGAAACGAGAGGAAGTGGAACGCTTCCACCTCCGAACTTCTTCAATGCTGAAAATAGAAGGCGGTCCAAGCCTGACCACCTCTTCCTCCGTACTTATATCTACGACCTCAGCCATCTTGTCATGTCCCTAAGATGCTTCACACATTTCCTCCACAGCTGGTAAGTCGTCTGCTAGAACGAGAGGAGAGGGGTGGGGGAGGGGCCTTATAATGGCGAGATTCCTCCTTTGCCCCACGTAGCACTTGCCACTGGTCAACCGACATTCATTCCGGAGTTAAGAGCTTTCCATCGAGGGCTCCCCCAATCTGTCCCACCATCTTCGGCTTGGGCAGGAGAACTAGCTGATCATCGAGCTGGGCATCGGAACGATGAACAGTGGCGGTGGAAGGCGAAGGTGGAAACTCTCGGGTTAAAGGCCAAGATGAACAGTGCTGGGTTATTTGAGTTCACCATCCGTGATAGCCCAGCCATCTGAGCTTTGTAGGGGCAGCTCACCAACCTCTCTCTCTCTCTCTCTCTCTCTCTCTCTAACGTTGGATAAGAAGATACACAACAACTGTGACTGCATATATTCCTGTCGGGCACGGCAGCCGCTGCTGCGATAACACAGACTTCGAACGTCATTTAAATCGACAAGGCGACCGCGCAGCCGACCTCAATGAACGGACGATTGCTCGTTCGCTTTTTAATGATATTAATCGCCTTTAATGCTATCTATCCCTCTAATCAAGGTTTAGGATTGGACTGATTGATTACCATAATAATCTGTCGGTAATTCCTTTGACCGATGGATGGCACTTATGTGATTATTTATTGGCGCCTCTGAATGTAGTCCACCTGAAAGGTGACTAATGGTAGGCCCGGGTGGCCCTCCGAACCCTAAAAATGCAGATCGCTTCACTGAAGAGATACGGAGGGAGTTATAGAAGAGGGACCGCCTTGGTATTGAAAGGGGTCCCTCTGGGTACGCGTTGACCTTGTATCCATGTGTGTAGAGAGGGAAGCTATGTGCTCCTGTGTAAAAGCTAAGTCTATATCCCCATGTCAAGATCTGCCGTCGGTCCATGCGCGACGAACAGCTAGAGCAAACAACGACAGGTTGCGGGGAGAGAGCAACCACATTCAAGGGGGAGGGACGAGAGCCACCTACCCCGATTAAATTGTGCACCGGCAGAAGGACCCCGAGGGGGAGAGCGAGTCCACACGGCATCGGAGCCGCCGACCGTGTGGATGGCGGAAAGCTCGCACACCCATCTGCCGACGATGCTTTCTCTCGGCCTGTGGCGGCGTCACTCACCCTTTAATTTGCTTTTCCACGGCGACCGGATGTTGTCTGACGTATATCCATCCAATTCATCGCCGGGAAAGCATCTGGCGGCCATTAAAGGGCGGGATGGAGAACTAGAAAGGGAGAACGAGAAAGAACCGGGAGGGGGATGTGTCCGTCGCATCGACGTGGGAGCAAACCAGCGGGACGCGAAACCGCCGGCGTAGACTTCGGAGACTGGGAAGACGGGATGCACCGGATGCCAAGGGGGATGTCGGTTCCTTTTGAATGGGTTCTTCTTCTTGCATCAGCCGTAGGCCGTCCAACTGACGTGGGCGCGTATGGACGGAAACCAGCGTCGCCGACTCGCGCAGGGTGGACGACGGTAACTGGCGTCACATCGCGCCATCTACGTGCTGGGGTCTCCCCCCCGGCGGCGGGGGGAAACCATGTGGTCTCAACTCGAGCTGAAGATGGGGTAGGGGCCCTTTCCGCCGCCGCCTCAACAATGAAAGCTCCGGAGAAATGGTGATTGCTCCCCTTGCCGCCCTGATTGACTGCTCATCACCCCGCCGGTGCAGGCATGAGTGCCGCTGAGATACGCAGGTCTTTGACAAGGAAGGACGGAGGAGGACGATCTACTACGGATCACGACGGGAGAGGGCGCCTGCTGTCGCCTTCCGCTCAGCGTGCCCCGTGGAGTGGGGGGGTGAGCTGCCGTTTTGCTTCGTCTAACGGTCCTGCAATTAATTGCCACAGTCCATGGGCCGTGCCGGCGAGTGGGACGGTCATCCTTGCGCGAGCACGCTCTGTGCGGCCTTTCGCTTGCTGGTGGTGGACTGGATTCCATGCGACTCGAGCTGGGATCCGCCGATCACTGCTCTCTGTTTCAGAAATTTGCAGGGCGGCCCGCATCTCTGTTAGTTGAAACGCCAAAGCAGTCAGAGTCACGCTATCTCCTACATATCTGCCGTAAGGCCATGGGCTTATGACCCGTTGCCCACGCCGGAGAGAGTATTGATTGTATTAATATACAAAAGGCGATCTTTTATAAACTTCTCGGCCTCTTCGTTGACCCATTCGAAAGTACGCTTCTTTACAAGAATTCCTGCTCATTCGGTTTTATTACCCACCCTAAAAGGTTCCCGTGGGCTTCCTAACGATTTACTTGCAAGGGCCGGTGGGGGGCGGCGCTGAGCGGCGGCGGTCGTGGCAGCGCCGCTGGCTTGAGCAGCCAATTATCCAAACCGTGGTCTTCCGGTGCTGAATGACTGAGCGATCATTCGCGGTACATTTCGGCGGAGAGCAGATTCCGCTCATCCCGAAATGGCTTGGCCAACCGTTGAAGGTATGGCGGGCAGGTTGTGGATGGCGGGGTCCCCACCGGGGGACCGCTCATGAACATGCCCAGTTGCTGGCTGGTCTAAAAGAGTTCATCCCCCTCGCCTGCAGCGAGAGTGTATCTCCATCAAAACTCTATTTCTTCTCCTCCATCTTTGAACAGAATAAGACCCGTGGAGGCCAGCGGTGAGGGGGGTCGTTTGTTCTTGAGGTTCGTAGCCATTAAAGGGCGGGCGACAAAAAGGGCTATGCAGGGAGGCTGTAGGTGAATACCGGGAGCTGCGGCGTAGAATACGGACGTCGAAGTATTCAAGGGAGTGAATACGTTGACGGATATTGCCAGCGAATTATAGCTAAGATTTTACTGGAGCTGGAGGTAGACAGATGGGATCTCTCTTCTCCCTCGGGAGATTAAACCCTTATTATGGGAGGCCGCAATTATCACCCCCCACCGGGCGACGTTGGAATGTATCTGCACCAGTGCCATGAAGTGGGGTTGGGAGGTGCCGCAGCATTGATTGTGGCACACCAACCTCCAACAGTCCTTATTAATGCGAGAGCCGATGCATCAAAGCGACGGGAGGGAGAGAGAGAGAGAGAGAGAGAAGAGAGAGGTAAAACCAACAGAAGCGTTGAGACGGTAATTAGGGTTCTTCGTTAACTTAGCTTCCCAGGCTGAGTTATAATCTGCAGGGACGAAGATAAGGTTAGTTGGCCGCCCTGGTTAAGAGATGGGAAGGGAGAACGAGGACTGGTGAATGAAGAAGTGATGCTACCGGCCTCAGCAGGCCACGCCGTCGGCAACACCTCCAAAATGACTCCTTCCTTCTTCATGCATTCCTTCCTGTTCCTCCCATCCCTCGCCGGTCAAAACTGAGGAGAGAGAAGGATTAAACCACGCGCACATCCACCCCTGTGAAACCCGTCCCATCGATCCTTCTCCTTTATATTCCCCCCCGCGGCCTCTTCTCTCTAGCAGAGCTCCCTCCTTCCTCTCTCTCTCTCTCTCTCTCTTCCCCCTCCCCTCCCCTCCCTCTCTCAACCCGTATACACTGGTAACATCTCAGAGACAACGGGATTCGATAAGTCGGAACCGGGAGCGGCAGCAAGAGACGTATTCCGGTTTGTGCGTTGGAGAGAGGATGGATGGCAAGATGAGAAGCACGGCGGGCCAGGTCATGGCGGAGATAGAGGCGCACAAGCCGGCGGGGAACAGCATAGTGGTAGGCGGCCTAAGCCCGCTGAGCGAGACCCTTTGGAAGGACAGGGCCAACACGGAGTTCATCGGCGACGTCTCAGCCAGACTGACATGGAAGGACCTTACGGTCACGGTGACTCTCCCCAAAGGGGAGACGCAGCGCGTCTTGGAAGGCCTCACCGGCTACGCCGAGCCCGGTTCCCTCATGGCGCTGATGGGACCCTCCGGCTCCGGCAAGTCGACCCTCCTTGACGCTCTCGCCGGCCGCCTCGCTACCAACGCCTTCCTCTCCGGGAGCATCCTCTTGAACGGTCGCAAGACCAAGCTCTCGTTCGGGACTGCGGTAAAAACTTTGTTCTGCTCCGTTTCATCTACTTCTCTCACTTCTCTTCTTGAAGCCACTTCGTCCTCGTTCCTAGGACATTCTGCAACTCTTTCCCCCGATGCCTTCAATTTAGATGTTCGTCTCAGTCATAGATCTAACGGATTTCGTAAGCTGACGTCTTTCTACTGCTCTCCCTCGCTCGCTCTCTCTCTCTCTCTCTCTCTCTCTCTCTCTCTCTCGCGCTATCAGGCGTACGTGACTCAGGATGATAACCTAATCGGGACCCTGACGGTGAGGGAGACCATCCTCTACTCAGCCGGGCTCCGGCTGCCGGACAACATGCCGTGGAAGGATAAGAGAGATCTGGTTGATAGCACTATCAACGAGATGGGTCTCCAGGACTGTGCCGACACGGTGATCGGGAACTGGCACTTGCGCGGCATCAGCGGTGGGGAGAAAAGGCGGGTCAGCATTGCTATCGAGATCCTCATGAGACCCAGGCTCCTCTTCCTCGACGAGCCCACCAGCGGTCTCGACAGGTACAGCTATCCCTCCACGATCCTCTTTCTAGGGATGCCCCCCCCCCCCCTTCTGCTTCTCGCCAAGAGGAGAGAGGGAGCGTAGGAGACCAAAAGCATGTCCTATTCGGAGAACTTTTCGAATACTCTATCGCCTTCTCATCTGTTTTTTGAGGTCAAACCAGCTGACTTCTGATCCGGGTTCTACTGGATCGATATCCCCTTTTGTTGCCTTCCTGGATTCGGATTTTATCTTGTTTTCTTCCTCAGATCGCCTCCCCTCCCTCTACCAAATAGATAAAGAGCACTCCCCTAAAAAACGCCGGGTTTCCCTCTACAGTGCTTCGGCGTTCTTCGTGACTCAGACGCTGAGAGGGCTCTCGCGAGACGGGAGGACCGTCATCGCCTCGATTCACCAGCCAAGCAGTGAGGTCTTCGAGCTGTTCGATCGCCTCTACTTGCTTTCCGGCGGGAAGGCCGTCTACTTCGGCAAGACTTCAGACGCATGCGAGGTGAGGCGAGGAAACCTACCGATGGATTGTAAGAATTCTTCTGGTTATCTCACCCTTCGATGTTCAGAGTTTTCTGACCGCCCCGCCCGTCTCCATTTGCTCGCAGTTCTTCGCACAGACTGGATTCCCTTGCCCGGCTCTGAGAAACCCGTCGGATCATTACCTGAGGTGCATAAACTCCGATTTCGACAAGGTGAAGGCTACTCTCAAGGGATCCATGAAGCTCCGGGTATGATAAATTCCCCCCTGGTTATATTCTCGTTTCATTACACAATATTGGGATGTTCTGATCCGGTTTCTAATGCCGTATTCCTGGTTTGCGTCTTCCAGTTCGAAAGCACTGATGATCCTCTGGACAAGGTGACGGCAGCGGAAGCTACCCGTCGTCTGATCGAATCTTACAAGTCCTCCGAATATTTCGGTGACGCGTTTGCGCGAGTCGAGGATATTTCGAAAGGCGTACGTGCTCTTTCCATCTTCCCTCTTCGGTGTGAACTCGTCGGAGATGATTGTTCACAGTGGATTGACGGGGAGCTCCTCTGAACATGCAGAAGGGGACGGTGCTGGACGCGGGTGGCAGCCAGGCCAGTTTCTTGATGCAGACCTTAACCCTGACCAAGCGCTCCTTTATCAACATGTCGAGGGACTTCGGATATTACTGGCTGAGGCTCCTTATCTACATCGTCGTCACCATCTGCATCGGAACCATCTATTTTAACGTGGGCACGCACTACAGCTCCATTCTCGTAAGCATCTCAACCTTCTGTTGCCTCCGCTGAGAGATAGCTGAAGTTTTTCAGAGTTATTGAATCCTCCTGAACTGCTCTAATTGGTTCACGTTTCTCTGAAACAGGCGAGGGGGGCGTGCGCTTCATTCGTCTTCGGATTCGTTACTTTCATGTCGATCGGAGGGTTCCCCTCTTTCGTGGAAGATATGAAGGTTAGCACTGGGACAGACAGCCACTGATCCCCCGGTAAAACCTAAATGTCATTGTCCAGCAACTGACAGCGACAAGCTTCCTCCTCTGCGGTGCAGGTTTTCCAGAGAGAGCGGCTCAACGGGCACTATGGCGTCCTGGCCTTCGTCATCAGCAACACCGTCTCTGCCATGCCGTTCCTGATGCTGATCTCCCTCGTCTCCGGAACCATGTGCTACTACATGGTGAACCTCCACCCAGGCTTCTCGCACTACATCTTCTTCGTCCTGGCCCTCTACGCTAGCGTCACCGTCGTCGAGAGCTTGATGATGGCCATCGCCAGCGCTGTCCCGAACTTCCTCATGGGGATCATCATTGGCGCCGGCCTTCAGGTAAATCTCCTTCCGTCTTCTTCTCTCATCGACGTTCCTCTTCCCTGTGCCATCGAATTAACTCGACGATGGGTCATGGAACAGGGAATCTTCATGCTGGTTTCTGGGTACTTCCGGCTCCCCAACGACATCCCCAAGCCCTTCTGGCGCTACCCGATGTCGTACATCAGCTTCCACTACTGGGCTCTGCAGGTGAGAAGGAGCTGGAAGCAACTGAATTTCCTTCCTCTGCCGCTGCCATGGCGACCATCGCTGAATTTCCCTCTTCTCGTCATCTGCAGGGGCAATACCAGAACGACCTGAGCGGCCTGCTCTTCGACAACGACTCGCCAGACAAGTTCAAGATCCCCGGTGAATACGTACTCGAGAAGTTCTTCCAGATCAACACCAACCGGTCCAAGTGGGTGAACCTGAGCGTCCTCTTCAGCATGATCATCGTCTACCGCCTTCTCTTCTTCATAATGATCAAGATAAGCGAGGACGTCACCCCTTGGGTCAGGGGGTATATCGCCAGGCGGCGGTTCCAGCGAAAGAGGACCGGCCCCGGGGAGGTGCCTATGAACGGCGTCAACCGGACGCTCTCGCTGAGGGAGTACGCCACCGCTCCCGCCGGCGGCAAATGAGGAAGACCGAGAACCGGCCCTTTTAAAAAGTAAATGACTGTTAACAGAGCTGCTCGTAGAACTGGTTTTTTTTACATTACGCCTACAGGGGTGACGGAGGGGGAACCGAGGGAGAGGAAGAAGACACGGAGCAATCAACATCATTAGAGATGTTCTTATAAACAAAAGCAATTCCATTCGAAAGCCCACTTTGCGCATTCTTGCTGTAACTCTTCTCCTCCTATCCATGACAGCCATCGTCTCCCCCCAACGCCGCCATCGGTCTGCCATGTTCTTCACTGATCGCGCCTTGTAAAGCCCATGCCGACTGGCGGCCCGACATCCACGACGAACGTTCGACTCTCTGGACAGCTTCGGATTAAATGATCTACACGCTTTCTTGCAAAATACGACGTGCTTTGTGTCCCAAGACAAGAGCTTCGAAGAACCGGGTCAAGCCTCGTCGTAGGCTCGGCCTCCCCTCATTGATTAGACAGATTTCCTCGAGGGGGAGGAGGGTACTTGGGAACGGCGAAACGACGAACATCTAATAAAGGTGCGAGCGACCGCTTCTCTTGATTTTCTCCGTTACAGGCGCTTGCTCACTTGTCGAACTTACAGCCGAGAGACCCTCTTACAGAGCGCACCAAACCCACTGAGACAATGTATGAACATATTGAGTCAGGTGAGGGAATGATGGACAGAGATATATGGAGCTTCTCCCTCACACACGGAGAAGCTGATGCTCTCGAATGGGGCTTGGCTCGTCTACGCAATGACTAGTGTTTCTATTCATATAGGAACTTCAAGCAATGATTAGTGTTGGACACTCTAAATGGAAAATTATCCACAACATTATCTAAAATATGTTCGTCACGTTTTGCTATTTCAAGCAAAATGTGGATTAAGAACTTCAGCTAAGAGTACAGAAAAGGAAAGGCGAATTCTCCTCGCTTTAAAAGCTACAATGAACTGTGACTTGACTGAAAATGTGACGCCCACGCCAATCAATACAATCTCATAAAATGTGAAAGTAACGGAGCATTAACATATAAACTGGTTATTTATTCGTTAATCGGATACAACATAAGCCAAATATATTAAAAATCAATATCGGGGGTGAGGTACCCCACTCTTGCACAAAGATGAGATGATTTACTTAATCTCTCGATCTCATGGAAACCAATAATGAGAGGACGAGAATAGGTCTTATGAAGAAATTTACATAAAAAAATAAAATAGAGAAAAAAACGAAATTTGATGAACATGAAAACAAATGCTTGTAGCAGTCCTACGACGAATGATGATATCCGTATGATGACTAATGATCAGCATAACTCGGATAACCTACAGGGGCTGGATCTCCTTCGCTTTAATCAAGTCAAACTAAAATCTCACATGAACCAGCTAGTTTGGTAAAAAGAAAATATGAAAAATATCACTCCTATCTTTTATTTTTCCTATTTGAATGAGAAAAGAAACTAATAATATTTCCATTAGTTCCTATAGTTTCTTCTATAATTCTTCTTGTCCCACTGCCTACTACGGTATGTGTACACCATTGAAAGAAAACACTAGAAGGGTCTTTATCTACCAAAGAGAGGAGCATAATCTTCTTCTCCTGCTCACCCTGATTAGTACACGTTGGAATAACATGGTGCACATATCGTAATGTTTGACATTATCTGGTTAATAGCTAGGGCACGGTCAAACAGCCATGTCCGAGAAAACTTTTCAAGTGTACAAATAGCGATGGAATCAGACAGTTTAGTTTGACATAGTTTGCCAAGGAACGGAGGAGGTTCAAGTGCTTTTGCAGACTTTATAAGCTAACCTTTTCTCATAGTTTCTAGATATCTAACTTCTTTCAGTATGCTCTCAAGCACGTCTAATGGTCTGAACATTATGATAGAACATCTAAAGGTCAACCAAGCTCTTTCAGAGAAAACAACGTAATTTTATTATTACCCAGCCAAAATAGCTCCATCTCAAGACTTTAGAGGCCAGGATAATAGAGTATGAGCCCAGTTGACCAAACTCGGCAATCTTTTATCAGAATTTTATATACCCAAAAGCGGCAAAGATTGAGACGGCTTAAAGGATCTGTTCTGGGATTGGTCAACGCTGGAAACTTGCTCTAGAATACTGAGGTAAGGCTTCAGCAGACGTCTGCCTATGCCATTAAAACTGTCATCATTGCTCCATTTTATGGTTAACGATGAGTTGACTTGCTAAACATCGCTTGCCGCAGTCTCTTCTTCCTGTCTAGCAACATTTTTGTATAGAGCTCCATATTATTCACTTGAAACCGCCCAGAATTTGGTCAGATTAGTTCACGTTACCAACCCAGAAAAGGTCAAAAGTAGCATCCGAACCCTGATCATAACTTCGGTGGAAGCTGAACATATTTAGTTTTTTATAAATAAAATATATATCGAAAAATAAGTCAACATAACATTTTTTTTACATATTACAAACACCACAGAACAAAAATCTCTTAAATCCCTAACATTTTCTTTTAATCACATATTAAGTTAAGTATTTATCAAAAACCCTACGGTTCCTTGTGACCCTCCGTGTGACATTTGGGTTTGATTTCGGTCAACTGTGAATAGGAGCTCATAGTTGATTGTGATTTCCCAGCATGAATCGCCTCACAAAAGCACCATTCATCTCGTGTTCTCAGCTGCATGCGGGCTGGTGAATGCGCACCTGCAACAGCCAGCCGGTCGATCTGGGTCCAAAAACGCAGCAGGCCACCTTGCCCCAAATTATTATTGGCCCATAAGTCCCAAGTGATGGGCTCTCCCAACCTCAGAGAAGGCCCATTGGGCCCATACTGAGGGAAACGAGACCGACCATGGTGGCGAGATTAGCCGTTTTTTCGTCGTGACCAGTTGGAATCAACGGCTGAAGTTCTTCTTCAACGATCGCGTGACGGCGTTCCTCGCCGCCGCCGCCGCCGCCGCCGCGCGCCCTTCCCGCCGTCTCAGCAACTCGTCTCTGAAGATTTCTGCAGCTGGGGAGAACGCCTGCTGGGGGTTCGGCTAGGGTTTTGGAGAAATGAGGGTGAAGAAGCAGAAGCGCAATCGGAAGGTGGTGAAATTCTTCTCGGCGTGTTTCGGGTTCAGGGAGCCGTTCAAGGTCCTGTGCGACGGTACCTTCATCCATCACCTCCTCCTCCACGGTCTTGTTCCCGCCGATGACGCCCTTGCGAAGCTTCTCGGTGCCCGTGTCACCCTGTTCTCGTCCAGGTTTCATATCCCTGCGCTCCCATTCCTCAACTCCGGTCGGTTACCTATGATCGAGTTCTGTCTCCATGGGGTCTTTCACTTTATGTAGGTGCATCACTGCAGAGCTCAGGAGCCTCGGCGATTCTCACATGGAATCTCTTGAAGCATCGCAGCAACTAATCGCTGCCAGGTCATCCTCCACCCGTTGTCTAAGTGTTCTTCTCCATCTGATTTTCGTAGACGGCTTCGCTTGAACCTCTTCAGTCTGGCCGCCCATGCTGCAGCTGCGACCATGAGAAGAGAGTGAATGCGGCGGCGTGCGTAGAATCGATAATCGCGGAAGGCAACGGTAAACATTTTTTCGTTGCTACTCAAGACATCGAGCTGCGTAGAAAGCTAAGAGAGGTGACATTACCCCTTCCTTCTCTGTTCTAGTTTGTAATGGCATGTGCTGCGATGTGGTATACTTTAGAACGGAGCAGAGGTTTCGTATACCTTCTGGCTACAAGCATGGTTTGCGAAACAACATCCGTTCCAATGGTTCTCTCATCTTAATAGTTTCTTTCCCAGATTCTTTTTTACAATTTTTTAGGATCCTTATGAGATTCAATTAAGCATGAGTTCAGACTGTGACAACGATCACGTGGTCTCTTATTACTTATTTCTGATAAATGTTTGGACAAGCTTGGCTCTATGCGAGGCAGATGCGTACATCTCTCTCTCCAATTTGTTGCCCATCTCAACTGCCGACAAGTTGGGAAAATCAATATGACCCTTATTCGTTCTAGCCTTCAGACTAGTTGCAGCCTTCAGACTAGTTGCAGCCTTCCTGTTGTAGGGTTTCCAGTTCTTCTTGCTTCCATCTTGTGAGTTTTGCAGTGGAGGTGAGGATTTACATTTGCCTCTACATTGCCTGCGAGCTAAATAAAAGAGGAAACATGGTATTTTGGGGGAAGCATGATATTCTAGGGGTACCAGAAATGAAATGAAATCTTCCGATCTGTGTATCTTTAAGAACTAAGCCTTCTGATTTGTGTATTTTTGTGAGTTTTTTTCCTGCTGTGATGCCTCATCTTAGTCGTCTATCAAGCATGTTTAGCGAGCAATTATCAGTTGAAAAACTCTCATAATAATAAAATTATGAATAGTGTATTTATGAGGATAGATTTCCGACGTGTTGAAGGCTTTGAGTATAGATTGCCAGACGGGATAGGTGCTGAATTATCTAATGATATTTCAGATGCTTACAATTGGGGCACGTTGACGTCTACAGCCTTAATAAGGACTGTAAATTTCGGAAGGTGTTGAGACTTTGATTGACTTCTCATTAAGGATGTTAAATGGCAGGTGCATTGGGTGATGTACAATCAGGCCTAATGTTTCTGCCTATTAATTTGTTTAATGCTCTAGACCGTGTGTTATCTCGACTACATGGTATCAAAGCCATTCTAAGGTTTTAAACCTTATTTTCAGCACCATCACAGTTGACACTGCTTTGTCGGCGTTCTCTCCATTGTCTGCTGGAGTTATAGGCGCTGTACACTTCCGGCAAGGGATCTTCTCCTTAGCTATGTTTCTTTCAGGGCGAATCTAGGTGTGATCGCTCCATTTCTTTGCTTCCGCACTGATCTACTGGTCTGTTACGGTTCTTGGACCATTTTTTCTTGTCTCTATTGAGATTTGTTCACAAATTTGATTTTTTCGTGAATTTGAACATCCTCTTTAAATGGAGAATGTGGGAGACAATTCTTCATCATCTGTGGGGGATCCAACCTCCACAAGGGAAGTTAATCTTGGTCCAAGATTACTCATAGAACTTCCTGCAATGCCTGCAAAGTTCAAATTGACTGGATACAATTTGATTCAATGGTCAGAATATGTTTGAGAGGTATTGACTGGAAGAAGGATGTTACATCATCTGATTGAGGGGAAACCGGATCCATTGTCTCGAGAATTTCGTAGATGGAGAGAAGAAGATGCATTAATCAAAACCTGGCTTTGGGGAACAATGATTTCCCAAATTAGTTGAGATTTTTTCTTTCTATCTACAGTCAAAGATATGTAGGAAATAGTTCACACGAAATTCTCACAAAGAAATAATGAGGCACATTTATATGAACTTGAGACAAAATCCATGTCCACAATTCAAGGAAATAAATCTGTGATGGAATATACAGGAGAATTGAAAAATTTATGACAAGAAATCGATTATTATCTCAACATTGATAGAGAAAAACCTGCAGAAATTGTTGTCCTACGACATTTTATAGAACAAAGAAGAGTGTTTAATTTTTTGGCTGGACTTAATTCTGTTTTTGATCAAGTTAGACAATAGATGTTGAGTCGTGAAAGGAAATTTGATTTGGATGAAGCTATTTCCATCATTTTAAATGAAGAAAGTCGTCAGAAATTAATGTTGTCAGTGCCTGAAGTTGACAATATTGCATTTATGATTAAGCAGGGAGGAATTATGAAGAAAGCCTCAGATCAAGCTAAACAGCCCCAGCATGGCCAAGGAAGAAATCAGAAGACTGATTTTCGTGATAATCTGTGGTGTACATATTGCAGGAAAGCTCGTCACACTAGAGACAGATGTTATAAATTACATGGTAAACCACAAAATTTTGGCACTGAAAAATATGGCAGTCAATCACATTTGGCAGCAGGATTACCAACTAGTCAGTCTTTAGATTTCCAAATCAGTCAACATTCTTCTTCTCCTCAAATTGAGGATATAGAGCGACTTCGAATTGAGTTAGAAAAATTGAAGTCGATAGTGACACAATTCTCATCAATTCAACCTGGTATGTTTCACCACTCTCTTGGAGTTAGAGGTTCTTCTAGAGATATTTTTAATAATTGGGTAGTGGACTCAGGAGCAACGGACCACATGACCAACTCCTCCAGCCTTTTCACCAAATACAACCCCTATCCTAATGATAGAGAAGTGACTACTATAGACGGATCCTTTCTAACCGTCGCAGGTGTAGGAGACATTAGACTTGAACCTCTAGGGGTTCTTATTAATGTTCTTCATGTCCCTAAGTTATTTACAAACCTCATTTCAGTTAAAAAACTTGTTAGAGACTTACCTTATCGTGTCTTTTTGATGAAGATGCATGTGTCATATTTGATAAGGTACATCATCGGAGGATTGGAGTTGCTAGAGAGCATGAAAGTCTTTATCTTCTAGAAGGACTGAGCCAAACACATCTAGTGGAAGCAGATCAATCTCTAGAACCTCTAGAAGATGTCCTTAAGATACGATTACTTCACCAACAGATGGGTCATCCATCCTTTAGCACTTTGAAAATAGTTTTTCCTACTTTGTTTCGAAAGGTGTCATTGGACACTCTTAAATGTAGTGTGTGTGAACTTTCTAAACACACACGTACTTCATTTCAATCTCAAGGGGAAAGGAGTGATGTTCCTTTCTTCCTAATTCATAGTGACATTTTGGGACCATGTCCCATTAATGACATTCGTGGTAATAAATGGTTTGCCACTTTCATTAATGATTGGACAAGATGTATGTGGGTCTTCCTTTTCAAACAAAAATCTGATGTGCATGATGTTCTGAATTTTTTTTGTGCCATGATAAAAAATCAGTTTGGCACTAGTATTAAAAAATTTAGATCTGATAATGGTAAAGAGTATTTTAGCCAAAATATGAATTTATACTTCCAAACATAGGGCATCATACATGAGTCTTCTTGTGCCTATACCCCACAGCAAAATGGTTTAGCTGAAAGAAAAAATCGTCATCTTTTAGAAGTCACTTGATCAATTTTATTTCAGCATCATGTACCTAAAGTTTTTTGGGGGGAGGCTGTTCTAACAGCCACATACCTCATCAAGCGACTACCATCTAGAACCTTAGGCTTCCTCAGCCCGTTAGATTCATCAGCCAAGTTTTTTCCAGACCATCAACTTAGAACCTAAGACATTTGGTTGTGTCTCTTTTGTTCATGTTCATAATCAAATCAAAGGCAAACTAGAACTAAGATCACTTAAATGTGTATTTCTTGGTTATGCTACCAATCAAAAGGGGTACAAATGTTACCACCCTCCTTCTAGAATTTTTTTTATTTCATTAGATGTTACATTTCATGAATCTGATTCTTATTTTAAAGAATCTCCATCCAGTGATCAACATCTATTTTCTACAGCTCATATGGATCAACATGTAGATTCTTCACTCTCGTCTTCAGCTGGTAACCTGTTCATTCCCATTTCAGTCCCTGAAATACCTAGTCCTATATTGAATTCGCTTCCTGAAAACCTAAGGTTTGGCAAGGTTTATTCTAGGCAACGGGAAATTCACGATTCACCAAAATTCCAAGATTCTGATTTGACCTTAGAAAATATACAGCAATTAACATCTCCTTCATTTGATGATCCTACCGTCCTATCTCATGATTCACTTCCCATTGCCCTGTGCAAACTTATAAGGGAGTGTACAAAAACACCCTTGTACCTAGCTGCCAATTTTTTGTCTTATCAGAAACTTTCCTCACCCTATCAATCATTCCTTGCATCTTTAGACACCACTACCATTCCAAAAAAATTCTCGGAGGCTCTATCCAATCCTAAGTGAAAACAAGCCATAGATGATGAGATGAGAGCTCTTGCAAAAAAATCAGACATGGGATCTAGTGGAATTACCACGAGATAAGAAGATTGTTGGTTGCCAATGGGTGTACACAGTAAAATATAAATCGGATGATTCGATTGAGAGGTATAAAGCCTGGCTGGTGGCTAAGGGTCATACACAAGTATATGGAATAGATTATCAATAAACTTTTGCACCAGTGGCTAAAATAAATACAGTTCATTTTTTACTATCCTTAGCAGCAGTTTTCAGCTGGAATATTCAACAATTTGATGTTAAAAATGTATTATTGCCTGGTGATTCGGTTGAAGAAGTCTACATGACTCTTCCACCAGGATATGAAGGTAATCATTCATCTAATCTTGTTTGCAAGTTAAAGAAATCCCTTTATGGCCTCAAACAGTCTCCACATGCATGGTTTCGAAGGTTTACAGTAGCCATGAAGAAACTGGATTACAACCAAAGTAATGCTGATCACACATTATTTTTTAAACACTCTTCTTCAGGGGGAGTTATATTTCTATTAGTTTATGTTGATGATATTATCATCACAGGAAATGATGAAGGGGAGATCCAAAACTTGAGCAATTGTTTGACCCAAGAGTTTGATGTCAAGACTTTGGGACGTCCCAAGTATTTTTTTGGAATCGAAGTGGCACATTCTTCTAAAGGCATTTTTATTTCTCAACGAAAGTACATAACAAATCTGTTAGCTGAAACAAGGAAATCTGCGTGTAAACCAGCCAATACACCTATTGATCCAAACCAGAAATTGTGTATGGCAGATGAAGAAATTTCTATTGACCGTGAGATGTATCAACATCTCATTGGCCGACTACTTTATCTAATACACACTCGACCGGATATCTCATATGTAGTGAGTATATTGAGCCAATTTATGCATCAACCTAAAGAGTGTCATTTACATGCTGCCTACCGAGTGCTACATTATTTGAAAGGCACACCAGGAAAAGGGGTTCTTTTTAAACGAAGTGGAAAGGTAGAGTTTGAGATGTTTACAGATGTTGATTATGCAGGCTCAACGATTGATCGAAGGTCAACCTCCGGTCATCTTACTTTTGTTGGTGGCAAACTTGTCACTTGGAGGAGTAAAAAAACAGAATGTAGTTGCTTGGTCAAGTGCTGAGGCTGAGCTTAGGGCACTTGCCCAAGGAATATGTGAGTTACTTTGGGTCAAGAACTTACTTGATGAGTTACAAGTTTCTTTCTTCAGTCGTATGAAGATTGATCTAGTGCACAACCCAGTACAGCATGACCATACCAAACATGTGGAGATTGATCGCCATTTCATCAAAGAGAAACTTGAGGCCAATGTGATTTGTATATCATACATTTCAACAAATAATCAGTTGGCAGACATGCTTACTAAAGACATCTCGGGGACACAACTGCAGAAGATTATTCCCAAGCTGGGAATGGACGACATCCATTCACCAACTTGAGGGGGAGTGTTGTCGAGATGTACTTAATACCATGTATACCTTACATGTTTACATATATGTCCTCATGTATCTTTCATTTCGTGTTACATTAGTATGTCTAGAACCTTCTAGGGATCTGGTATAAATACTGGATCCCGCTCTTCTTGTAAACAGTTTTTTGATCAATAAAGTTAGAGTTCTTCTTCCACGAGTGCTGGGCGCCTATCAGAGCTCCAGACCGTGTTATCTCGACTACAAGTTTATTGAATTCCTAACTTAATAGCTGTGAGGTTGGAAGCATACATTATTTTTTTCTTGCTTATTCATATTTAAGCGTTCGGGGGATCCAGAAGATGAACGTGGATGCCTTATTCCCTGTTAGAGGAAAAACCCTTTGGTTATCTGCTAGATGAGAAGATAGCACTGTTTGAGTCTGACATTTCAGTTAAAAATGTATTAACATTTAATTTTTTGTTTTACTCTCTGAAATAGATACGTGGTGTTCCTGTCATCTACGGATTGAAAAATTCTCTGTTTATTGAACAACCGTCTATGACACAACGGGAGTTTGTCAAATTATCTGAAGAGGAACGGTTGCATGCAAGTGAATCAGAAATACGAATTTTAAAGAAAAAAGAAGGAAAGGATGAGTTGCCGGAGCAAGCTTTGACAGACTGTGATACTGCTCGTGATGCCTTCGGGGGTATAGATGTAAATCAGAATACAAGACTTCGAACGGCTAAGAAAAAGTTGGATTCTGCGGAGAAGAGCAAGTTCAAGAGAAAGAGAGCAAAGGTTGGAAATTTATTTCGTAGATTGTAGCAGCTTTATAGCTCTATTATTTTTTTTAATGGTATTTGTGACATTGGGCTTTATGATTTGAACTAAATATATGTTTACCGTTCTACTTTTCACGTAATATTTAATTAATGTCGAGAGGAATTCGTCTGTATACCTCACAATCTGCTTGAAAAAGGATTCTACATCGGAAATAGGCATACTTGACTCGGCAGGTCATGAGTTGAATTAATTTCCGGGCACATCTTTGAAAGCCATCACAGCCTAGATACCGAGACTACCTGCCTAGACATTTTGGACAGGTTGCATGCCACAAAAAAAAATAGGCTACCGAAGAGATTAGTATGTAGTTTCAGGGTATCTCAGATGCCACTACACTCCACTCCACTTTAAGAATGAAGAGGATGCTTTAGTTAGTCTTTCATTTTGAGCCATGTAGTCAGAAACTTCAAATGTCTTTTGCGATAAAAGACATGATCAGAGCAAACATGTACATCATATATTTGTGATTGTGGTTTTTAGGTTTTGAAGAGAGATTATTTACCTGGCAATGAGGGTCGCTCTCCTTGTTACCCTCGCTGCTCAGGTTGGCAGTAGTATACACCCTGGCGTTTCCTAGGCATATTGCAAACAGAAAGACACCTGCGATGGAGATTTGTTGAATTCATTGTGACATGCAGTGGACTGGGTTTCAGTTTCTTGTCTGGCTGAGGCGTTTCTGGGTGCAAATCTGTAGGGTACTCAATTCATTTCGGTCGTAATCTGCCTCAGTTAATGATATCTATACCTGAAAACAAGGATCAGCGCAGCATAATATTTTCCAGGGCCGTTTGCACTGGAAATAATCGAGAAAATAAAAGAGCGTTTGATGTTCTTTAACATCTAAAACCAGAATGAGGGCTCCGCAGGTGTTTTTCTTTATATTGTCAAAAACACAAAACAGGCTAAAGAAAGGATTTGGTATCTGTGCTGTTGCGTTGGGCATCAGATTCTGACTGTATCTTGCCTTCGCGAAGAATCTTTATTTATCTGGAAGGTTTTTAGACTTGTGTAGAAATTCTTATCACATGTTCGATTTGGATCGGCTTACATTATGTAGAAATATGCTCATCATGATGTATCATAACAATTTTCTCTTTATTTCTGGAAACATCCCCTAAAATTCCATCTCCAATTCTTCAATAATCTATGCAGGGACCGAACCCTCTTTCCTGCAAGAAGAAGAAACCCAAAGAGAGCTTTGTAGCCGGGTCCAATCAGGTGACCTTATTTTGCTGTTGAATATGACTTTTTACTCGTGCTAGTTGGTTCTTTTGTTCTGCATCTGAATCTCCATGTATCCCTCTCAGCCTTTCTGCATGTACATCCAAGCATGCACATAATATATGTTCCCTGCCATTTATTCTGTCTCATTGCATTCTTTGTTTGATTCTTGATAGGCATAGATATGCAGACACTGACGTATTTTGGCCGAGGAATCTCTCATTCATCATGGCTTTCATTATTCTATGCCTTCCTCGTTTCTTTTTTTCTATGTATGCCATCATGTTTTTAGTTGGCATAAACCAACACTCCTAAAGTTGAATAATCACCTGACTCTTCTTTCATTCAATCGCTGTTGGACTGCATGATCCAGGAGGGAGGAGTCGAGCACTCCAGAAAGAGAAAGAGAAGTAGAAGGAAGGACCCAAGACCAGAACAAAGCTCAGGGAGCTAACTAGTTAGTTGACCACTCCCCCCTTGAGGATATTCCACAACAATCCTTTGCCCTTGAAACCCCAAGTCAGAATTTTGTTCCTCGAACGCTGACTTTGGCGTTTCTCTCTCTTTGTGACTATTCATTCATCTTGTTCTTCGTAGGGTACCATGAAAAGATTTTATCCAGTGAACTTTAGCTGTTGATTTTACTGCTACATACCATCCTCCACATTGGGGGCGACCTAAGCAATGCTTCTGTGGTATTAAAGCATTAGACGTGCCAGGTTACAAGTGTTCAAATGCTACAAGGAAGAAGGAAATTGGGTGATTCTGCAATAAAGTTAGCAGTGTTTGGTCATGAACGGTGGGGAGGCCTTCCAGCGAACGAATGGGATGGATGGACGCCATCTTTGGGGGCGAGCCACAGGCATGACCGTATGAATCCTAGCCAGGGCAGGCCTTTTGCTCGGTGATGACTGTACAAGCTTGTTTCAGGGGGGGGGGGGCGCCTCAAGAGAGCTAGATTTCCATTTCAGCGAGGAATATGAGCAGCAAAAAAGAATGAGATTTTCCGACGATCAGCGCGAATACTGGCCATTAGCTCATGTTACTTCCTGCAGGGCAAGGTTCAGCTCCTGGGCAGTCTTGGAAATGGACCCTCCTCTTCTGAGAAGGAAGGAAGATGAACAACAATCAGTGAGGTAGGTTTGCCATCTCATGGAAAATATGGAGGTGATTCCCAAATCAGAATGCCCACTGACCTCGTCAGGGAAGGTATGCACTGCTTAACCTTCTGAAGCTCGATGAAGCACAGGTTGCATCGCTCCAGCCTGTTTTGTGAGGAATTTGAGGTAAGCCTGTCAGCATGTGAGAGTTCATGTTGATGATCTGGAGAGGAGGGAGAGGGGACGAACCTCTGTTCTGCTTGAAGGTCCACACCGACAGATATAGATGCGGATACAGTTGAGTGGATCATGGAGCCAAAAACTTTGACAAGCTTCAGCAGCATCTCCAGAGAAATGCTTACGTGCCTGAATTCACGTTGTTAAATGGCGCATTCCCGTCAGAATGGATGCGGCCAGTCCATCTCAAAAGTTTGAATCATATCAATGAGGCTAGTAATTTTATGACTATGAAAATGGGTGCAGACTGACAACTACGCATAGAAATCTGAAAGCCTTGGGACAGTTTCACCGCCCAAGGTAAAGGTGAAGTTGAGAGAGAGAGAGAGAGATTTCACCCAAGGGAGTTTTATTGACCTTCCATGTGAAGAGATGGGTTGCCGCAAGAAAGTAGCAACATAAAGGAGCAGGAAAAACTTCAGACAAGTTGTTCACCGAGGATAACAGGGGTTTTGATTCAACGATACTCGATGAAGACTGAAATAATTTCCACAAGAAGGTTCATTCTAATCATCATAAAAAACCATGACACCCAAAACTGGCATCTAGAGCATCTGTTTACTAGGATCCTAACCATGTTGATTTCGACCATAAGCTGCAATTTTGAAGCATACATCTCCACCAATCTCATACACCGGAACCTAGAACTGAATCAGGCAGAGCAATTTCTTCGCATACTATTCTATGATTAATGAACATATTTGAGTTTTTTTCCATACCAAAAATAGATGATCTACCCAGACCCTTGTGTTATTTTTCCCCCAATAATGAGGATGACCATCAAAAGATATGGACTTTAAAACAACAGAGCAACATATTTTGTGGGAACGACGTATACCTATCTGTCTTGCTATCAAGAAGACTCGTGAGGAGTGGTAGAAGGCAAGTACAAATCTCTAAGCTGACAGCATCACTCTTCTCCGCCAATACACTGATTACATCTGCAGAAACCTGCAATCAAAGGATCACGAGACAAATAGCGATACTTTCAGAGAGAAAAAAGAAAAGAAAAATATAGATTCAGAATCATCTGGGACCTACAGTATTATCTGACATCCTGTCCATTGCATTGATGACACCCTTCACATCATCCCGCGTCCAAAGTCGGTGTACAACCTGCCATAGTCGATAGATACACACAGCGTTTGTCAGGAATTCAGAGTATCAATTAATTCTTTAAGTCGCTTCTCTCGGCCATACCATGTGAACAGAAATAGATACCGACAAAATTTTGAGTTTATAGTCACTAACATAGAATATAGAGAAAGTATATAGTTTGTGATTGACCTGCAGCTTTGTTAGACGAGACTGTGTAGATGACAAAAATTGCTCGTGCTGTCCTAATAAATTAGCAATTGCATCCTCATCAGTGGCGACCACTGTCTGTTTCTCAGCAGAGGAAACGTGGGGTCTCTGTAAAATGCAAGAGGAAGAGAGAAAAGGATGTCAGGTCTCAGCTTAAAGTCTCTCTCCGAAATGCAAGTTAAAAAAAAAAAAAAGGCACCATATCTGCTGCATTGATAGACAATTGCTGGATATCGAAGCAGATAGTTTACATAGATAAAATGTTTCCAATAAACATAAGAAAGCGAAAGATCAGCTTATAGCTACCAGCACAACTTTCTTAGTACCAGGCCAGGAGAATGACTGTGAAGAAAAACGAAAAAGACTAGGCATGAGTACTTGCACGCCAAAGAGTATCCAGAGACAATCTTATCAATGATTCATTTGATTAACGGTAGCATATTGCCAATAAACAACCATATACCAGGTTTAGATTGAACGGAATTTTTACATGACAGCAAGAGCACCTAAATGAAAAGACTTGAGAAACCAAATTTGAGAAAGGAAGACAAGAACTAATGCATTAAATTAGCTTATTAGAGATATAGAAAAGCGACAGCAATAGGGACACGTGAAAGCTATTTGAGGTCGTTTAGATGTGCAAAGAAAGACATTATAGTAAGAAGGCAAAGGAACATCATGTTGGTAACGGTCATTAGATGATGCAATAAAAAAGACATGATGATGGACATATATATATATATATATATATAACCATGACATGATGAAATGACGAGGCAAAACTAAGAACGTATAGCGGGCCCCAGTCATGATAATGCCAAGTGATTTTTCTAACATCTAAGGCAACTTAAAGCCCCACAAATCAATAGTAAAATTTATAAAAAAACTCTCAAATGATAGCTTATAGAGAGGTCATTAAGGCTACAATATATCAGCTTTATGTCCCTTTTCCATAAAATTTAACATACCTTTTGAATAATAGCATCTTATACATGACAATCAGAAAGGTGCATTCTTGATACACTCTCCAGTTACTCTTACTAGTATTAAAAGAAAAACATTGAATAGTACCAACGTTAAACATCCCACAATAATCTAGCAGTCGGCATGTCAAAGGGTACTGGGGGGGGTAAAAGATGAATAAATTACAAGGGCACACTATCAGTCACAGGCACCAATATGAAGCAATCTATCACATAAATTCGAATAAAATAAGGTCTCTTACCGAGGTGTATGAAGGATTGGCAACTCTTATTGTATCTAAAGAGTTACTGGATGTCGGACCTTCAGAACCAGGTGATCGCTCCCTCTTTTCCCAATTTGTAACAAGAGAATGCGCCCTTCCTAGTTGCACCCAGAAAGGCATAAAAAGCACACCAGACATTTAAGTAAATCTCTAGGAAGATCAATGATAAGAAACAATGAAAGTTATACCTCTTCTAGGAACTTCTACAGAGCACACATCTCTCGTCTTTGGTACTCTAACATCATCTAAAACAAAAATGGGAGAAAATTTAATTTCATTCTGTGAAACAAGAAGAAGAAAAGAGACTTCACAAATTTAGATAAAAAATGCATTGCAAACAATGAAGGTGTAGCAACGAAAATAACTAGTTTAAATCATATATTTGACGGGAAATGTATGGTTCTTCTGGTAAATTTTTCACCCAGGACGTTGCCCAATGTTTAAACAGGTTCGTAAGAATCTAGAAGATGTTCACACCAAATTATCTCAGTTTAGAAAGACGAATACACATGGTCTTACGAACCAGCATTCCAAGAAAGCACGTTCCATTAGTTTGTTTTCATTTTTTTATGGTACATTAATGGTGAGCAGAAAAATAATATGAACTCATCCTTGATACAGAGGCAAAAGTGAAGCAAGATATTGAATATATTATGACTATTGGCATGAATTCCTTTTGTGAAAGAGGAAAAATGAACGTGGAAGCTGATGAAAGCCCTAGTATGTGAATAAATGCTATCTGAGAGCATTTTAAGATGCTTGTCTAAAAGCAATGTATGTACTATGCTGAAGGAAGCAAAATAACAAACTATAGAGGGCATACAATCTTCGCTCTGGTGATTGGCATTTGACTCGAGCGTATTTGCGCCCAACTTGCTCATTCCAATAGATCTAACATCAATTGAATTCCTTGCAGAAGAAATTGCTGGTTGATTAGCGCCATTGACGCTGGCTGTAGATGGGAAATTCTCAGCCACAGATTCGTCTGATTCCATTCCTTTATAGCCCGTCGTTTCATTCCTGAGACTCTGAACAGGGAAACCTGTCTTCTCCGAGTCATCCCTATTGTTTGTTAGCTTCCGGAAATCTGTCAATTTTGGTTGAACACTGTACGGCACTGTCCTTCCAATACCAATATCTTTCCTCGATTCAGCAGGTAGCTCTATTCTTGGGCTAGTTCTTGGGACAATCACTGGAACCACATCAGATTTGTTAAAGACTTGAATATTCGCTTGACTTGTTTTTGATGAAGTTCTCTTCGGTGCTGCAACGCTAGGAGCTGCAACTGAACTTGTTGAAGTCACCTTCAGGCCAGAGTTCAATCCTGCTCTTTGAGGAGTTCCAGGGACACTCCCAGTGGCTTCATGTTCAACCAAAATTGCCATAAGACACAGAAAAAATGTCTTCTGCCTTAATATTCTACCACAAAAAAAATGACACACTACGGCAGCAAAAAGCAATAGAAATAAATAACCTACATGGCACAACTTTGTTCTCCTTCGCCACAGGCTCTGTATTTTGTGAAATGGATAACCTTCCTATACCAGCCTTCACAGTGTTGTCAACTTGTAGAGAAAGGCTTCCACTGGACACAGACTTTGACTCAGAACTACCATTTGACTTTGGAGGAGCAACTGCATATGGCTCCACCCGCTGCAAAATAAGGGTACTAGTGATGAATAACTTTGTGAGAAAAATACCAGGAAAACAAAATAGATTGACAAACATTATCTAAAATTAGAGGGCATAGCATTTGCCCTGAAAACGTCGGCAAATAACCAAAATAAGCTAGAAAGAGAAAATAGATCGCACTAAGCCAAGGATTATCTACATTGCTTTTTGAAATAGAGATAACAATAGACAAAATAATCCATCAGAAGAATAATGGTTAGTCTGAAAAATCTTAAACTAGTAGATTGCTACAAAGAACGCAGAAAACAGAGATATCAACTATACCGAGATGTCCACAACCCATATTCCAACACAACTTTGGTTATGAGAGCATCCGAGAAGTTTCCCCTCATGCACATTGAGATCGGACAATCTGGACCACCCGACTTCAACCGCGTCATGGCATCTTATTGGTTCCCAAGAAAGTACCTATGTTGTCAAAATATTAATCGAGTTTGAAGAAAGATAATATGGAGGAGGATCTTACATTGGACGGATCAACTAGTAACTTAAGAGGGATTTACCTTAAGACTCTCATGCAATCCACAGAGAAGAGTTTTCCCATCGGAGTTGAAAGTCATGGAACGAACACCACTAGTCTGAACGAAGTTGGACAGGCAACTAATCAGTTTATTACGCAAATTATGGGCATCAGACCATAGGGAACAAAAATTATGCCGATGGACGAAAGCATTTCACTTCATTTTTCTAAGACATCATAAATTAGACAAGAGAAGTAAGTCTACAGAAAGTGATAATTTATAACCTTGAAAAATAGAAATTCGCCAACAAGCACGGGGTCACTGAAAACAAAAGCCTAAAAAAGTAGGATTACAAATAAGACAAGAGAATACACCAAAATTCAGAACTTAAGATATTATCTCCCTACAATTTCGTTCCAACAACTGAAGTCCAGTTAATCAAGATATATGTGTACTTATGGGACCGAAAAGTATTGATTAAAATGAAATTGGCGACGTCCTGAAATCAAATAGAGAACACATACATTTCTAAGGTTCTTCTACGTTCAACACATAAGTGGAAGTGAAAATTCCAAACAAAATAATCATAGTTCTCATGGAAAACCATACCAATACACTTTCTGAAAGTTAAAATAAAAAGGTAAACATCTTTGGAAGCTGGTATTGATTAATATTTAGCATTACGTACAAAACATTGATTACCTCAGGTCCTGATGATCCAATCATCTCAAAGGTTTCCAGATCCCAGAATTTAACGGTTCTATCAGATGAACCTGCACAAGTGAGAATTAACAAACGTAAGATTTGGGACACCAAAAACCATGTAAAATGTATGGAGTTGATTATGACAACAACTTCCATATTAGAAAAAAAACAGAATTAAGTTACATGATTGCTCGTATTTAAACTGAAGAGACAAACATGAAGTTTTGAGTCACGTCGTTCCTTCAAATTATAGTATCTTATGCACCCTGGCATCCCGCAAAACAACCAGGCCCTCCACCAGCAAGATGTGCTTTCTTTCAAAGTCAGAGAGTGCTTTTTATGGAAAGTGTCTGTTTGATAGCCATAACAGAATACCACTGTTTTATCTAAGAGTATGGTAAACCAGCAGGTTTGCTTAATCTCTAGGCAACGCTCTGAGACCAAAGAATAACGCTCTACAATTATCCTTCGCATGCATGCCGCTACTTCTCTAATCCGGCAAGCTCCAAATTATTTCACTGTTCAACAAAAGTTATTAAACCTCATCATGTTGAATTAAAACCGGGGAATTGCAAGGAGAGAATCATACGCTATCAACCAACAGTCTTTGGAATGCAGGGAATAAGAGGAGAGGAACTGAAAATACAGTTTTGCAGTCTTGGCTACGCTGTTGGTTCAATTTAAGAATGAGGACACTAGTGCGGGAAGACTCGAGTGTTTATTTCATGCTTGAAGTTGATCATGTATTTCAAGACAAGATTCTGCATCAGCCTAAGTCATTAATGATATGAAGAAAAGAAACACCTAGTCTCTTACAGGTATCACAACCAATAAAAACCCTCATCCATGGCAACTCCCCAAAAAAGAACCGCAGCTAGAATGCAAAGGCCTCCCCGAAAAAGAATCACAGATTGAGAAGATCATGGTAATAGTAAATAAAGATGGTTCACTTAACATAGGTCATATTTGTTTTTTCCATCTTTCTTCTCATCTATAACGTCTTTTTTTTCGCAAAAAATATTTTCTCTAAACTATTGGTTTATGTTTGAGCCACCACCACAATGTAACATCATAATCTGAGTAATTTATAAACCCAATTAGAGAATATCTGCCTCACCCGTTGCCAGCAGAAACTCGTGAGGATGAAAATCAATGCACTGTATCTGGCCATCATGACTTTTGAAGTCGTGTAATAGTTTTCCAGCAGTCAGATCCCAGAGCTGTAAATAAAAATAAGAAAAAAATGACGAATTGGGTACCCTTTAATTGATGGTGTTAAATACACACACACACACACACACACACACACACACACACACACACACACATGCAAAAAGGTTCATCATAGAAACAAGAATAGGCGGTACGAGGACATACCTTCACGACATTGTCCTCCCCACCTGAGACAACCCAGCGACCATCTGGTGTAAACCTGATGGCATTAACGCCTCTCGTATGGCCTTTATAGGTGTGAATGCACCCCTTCCTTCTGATATCCCATATCTTAAGATTTGTGTCCAGGGAGCCAGAAGCAAAGAACTCCCCAAAAGGATGAAAATCAACTGATATGCAATTTGATCTGTGCCCTGTAAGAGTGCGGACAACTGCAATCATAAAGAAACAAAAAACGCAATAGCCTTGTCAAGAATCAACCATCTGTTTTCTATTGTGTAAGAGGAAAATGAAGTGTTGGCAAATGTAGTTAGTACTCTTTGCCTCTTCTAAGTCCCACAGCTTTATTGTGCCACTTGCTGCCCCAGCAGCAACCAATACTTCAGAAGAGTCAAAACTCACTGACTCAATGGCACTTGTATGACCTGAAAGGCTCTGTAAATCCCAAACAAAATAAGTCTAAAAATATTCTTTCACAACAGAAACCACAAAATTCATAAAAAATCTCAAACTCTGATTCAGGAAAGGCAAATACTCAGAGATAATGAATTTTTGAGAAGTGGGATTACTAACCAATATGGCATTGGGCTTTCCGATAGCCCAGAGATTAACCTTATGATCTTCCCCTCCAGTGACAAGAACCCTCGATGTCTTCCTTCCAATCTTCAGACAGTTGACACTAGAAGCGTGAGCTACAAATTCCTCTGGTTCCACAGTTAGTCAAGGGCAGACAGACATTTAACTCCAATGGCCCCAGAAAGTGATGCCTACTCGTTGATGCCAAAAGCAACAACAGGGAAGACCATCGTTCCGGATAAAGAAGTAAGTCGCAAATCGAATTCAATAAGACTCCATTATTGTACGTCAATGAGACAAAAAAAAAAGCTCGAGGTTTGTTGACGCGAATGCATCTAAAATGGGACTATAGTTCCATTTTTTCATATGAGAGAGGAGGGTGGAGTGCGATTCATGCTTCTCCTCATTCAGGCATTCACAACTTCAAAATAGCCCGGGCGGGGAAAGATCAGAAAGCGAACTTCAAAGGATACGTAGCTTGTAAGCCCGCTTGGTAGTCGTCATGAGGAGGGCGGGCAACAATAAGGCACGTCGCGATCCTCTGTCTCAATCTTCTTGCTCTCATTCACGCGGCAAAACCCTATCTCTGACCGGAACGCCGGCACTCTCATCTTAGATCAAACTCCGGCTTACCGCAGCAGATCCGAAGGCCGCGAAATGCCTCATTGTCTCCTCCTCAGGCGTGAACAACAGCCAAGAACAGATCTGCTGGCTCCGAACAGCGTTGCCGCCTCATCGCCTCCATCCGCCGTGCGCTACCGTTGACAGCGGCAATACCTTCTCCCACCGGGCAAGCGCCTCGTCTTTGTCTACCCACCGCCCACCTCCCAACGCAGCCGTGGCCCGCTGGAGAACCCGTTTCAAATACACTAATACGAGAGAAAAAGAAAATAACCCATAGGAACGGCGAAGAAGGGTACGCTTCCGCGGAGAAGACCCAACTGATCTCACGGAAGAGCAGAAAAGGGGGGGGGGGGAGGAGGGGAGACGGCGTGCAGGAACAAGAATGAAGCAGGAGACCCCCCTCTGTATTTCCCTCCCAATCTCCCCTTTAATTATTCCGACCCCGACGTACAAATCTGAGGGCTAAAAAGTCAGAAGACCATCGAAGTCAGAGAGCCACCGAGGACAAACCCTCGAGCCTTAAAGAGAAGAAGAGGGCTGGAGACGATGCCCAGGAGCTCACCGGTTCAAAAAACTCTAACTACCCGCCTTCTCTTTATTTTTTCAACCCCTGCCCCCCCCCCTCCTCCGTCCTTCTCTCTCTCTCTCTCTCTCTCCAACCCCGTCTGATGCTGTCGAAACAAGGGAAAGGGGGGTGTTTTATTTTCCCGCGTTCGCCTTTGGACGGAAGAGGTTACTTACAGGGGGAGATGGGTTCTTGGATGCCAATAATTCTATTTAAATAATAATAATAGAAAATGATCAATGCCGGCAGTTGATGAGCTTCCCAAATCACAAAGATGGGTATTATTTAACCTATAGCTTAAATTTAATATAAACCGTAACTTACAGTTAAAAATAATATTAATCATATCGGGAATTGTGGTCGGTGGTGTGGTTGCCGCGTCCCAATCGCCGCTCACCCTCTCCCCCTTGTCCCTTCGTGGACTTCACAAGGACCAGGCGGAAGCTGAACGAATCCAATACTAGAGCGCCCATCCCCCCCTTCTCTCTCTCTGTCTCTCTCGTAGCCAAATGGGTTTCTCTGTCGGTGATAAGAAACCAAAGCATGCAAATGGACGGACCACCAACCGAGATCTCCATGGCCGCTCTCTCCCACATGAGTAATGGCCTCGTGACCGCCTCAGGGTCTCCTCCCGATTTTGCCCGAAAGAGGGCCAACCCCATGATCTCAACAGTGAAAATGTTTCAGGAGAAAATCCAGCAATGGGGGTGCGATTTTTCCCCTACATTTGTTGAACCCGTTGGCTGATCCATCGCGTAGGATGTCTTCTTCTTCCCCGCGGCCGTGCATGGAGTAATGACAAGGCGGCGGCGGATAGCAAATGCGCTCACGACCGCGACGGGGCGCCAGCCGGCCAGGGCGAGCGTCCACGGGAAGTCCGCCACCGTCGTCGTCGTCCTTTCAAGAAGGGAGTGGGCCCGCGTTTAGGGGCGGCTGCGGCGCCGCCGGTGAATGGCGGAAAGGTAGGTTTTGGCTCGGAGCCTCCGCCCCCTATGGCTGCCGCTGGTGGGCCCGCCGCGTCGCCGTCCGATAATTTCCCTTCACCGGAATCTGCCCCTTTCACATACATATACAAATATATATATATGCCAATGATTTGTGTATGTTGTATTAAAAATGGCTGCTTTCATGATAGAGCGTAATAAGCGATGAATCACCCGAGAACGGCATGATTCGATGCATTGACCACTAAAAATAGCACTCTGCTTGTGAAAACATCGGCAGAGATCCACAGAGGATATTGTACACGCCTTTTGCTGCATATATTAATTTTTTTTCCAGATTATTCATAAATTCTCCAGGAAGGAGACGCTGAAAATCTATTTCTGGTTTCCCCCGCAAACAAGTGACAAATATGTTGGCTTTTCTGCATGAAAAAACTTTGTAAAGACTTTCAGAAATCTGATTTTCATTAGGAACAACTGATGGTGGGATACATATGCCTCCCCTTCACTAATGGTAGGAACTAATGGCGCCCAACCTTGTTCTTCAGTGCAGGCCGGAGCAATTCTCATCTGGATCAATCCGATGATATCTGAATTAGACCAATCGTTACCAAGATTAACTGTGCATACCCGCATGGAGTCATTCATCAGCACAATTTTAAAAAAATCATGTGGATGAGAATAAATTGCCCAAAGTGGTATATCAGAAACCATGTGGATGAAAATATGCAAACCAAGTAAAAAAAAAAAAACCAATACAAGGAAAATAGTGCGGTTCACCTGATAACAATTTAATGCTCAACTAACGTCAGCATGGATATCTATCTGGTGATATCTGAATGGTCCACTGTTTTTGATTGGATATTCAAGTAATGTAGCTAGATTTGCTGGGACTAAAAACACCCTTTTCGAGAGAGGAGAAGGATCAGTAGATGACAGAAAATGAGAATTTCAAATTATATAAAATTAATTTATTGAACAGCATGAAACCTCGATTCACCTGTTTTCAAGTTTGTGAAAGGATCCGTGCATTAAAACAGGTGGCTAGGACTTGGCTGTTGCAGGTAATTTGACTTTGCAAGTGCCATTCATAGTCAATAGGATCGTGCAGTGAGTATAAAAGGGTGAAAATGGGAGAGAAAAGTTTTATGAGAAGGCATGGAGGAATATCCCAGAAGTGGGATTAACCTTGTGGGCAATGGTCAGGAGTCCTGCAAGAAGGATCTTAACATGAACTTCTGGCAAATCACTCGAAGGAGTTGGGGAAATGTAAGCAGAAATGATGATAGAAGGGAGCAAAACAGTAATAATCTTGATAATTCCAAGCACACACACACCACAAGGACACACGAAATTGAGCTTTATGGATTGCAGGAGTAGTGGCTATGTGAATCCCAAGTCTAGATTAGTAACCTGAAAGCAGAAGAAATTCACCGCTGCTAGCTCCTTCATTTGAGGTGATCATAATATAGAAATGCTGCCCGTCACTAGATTTTTGAATTTAAGAAAATAAACATCACATTTTAAATTTAGGTGGCTCAATCCGAAGACAATTAGAAATAATCTTCACAAAAATGAATAGGGATGGGGACCCAACAACCCAAGCAGGACTTAAAAAAAAAAAAAAAAAAAAAAAAAGGTGAACAACCAATTGACTTTTTCAGACCCATAGTTCAGCAGACCTGATTTTCCAGATAGTCAAACAAGATGTGGGTCACAGAAAATTTTAGAACAGAAGGACATTTTTAAATAGAAGTAAGTCAAAAAAGGTTTGATGATTTGGATCTTTGAATTCAAGTCGCCGATATAGATGATGATAAATGAGAAAAGGTGTTTAGGGTAAGTTTAATTTTGGATACTCTTCTTTAAAAATTTAAAATATAAAGTATTTATCACGCCCGTGGAAAAAAGATGAAGTATGTGTCCATATAAAATAATATTTTAGAAATAAATTTAAATATTTTTAGAGCATCATCTGTTATGTTTATGATTATAAAAATATTATATATAAATCTGGTAAAATAACAAATACAAAATATCACCATAATAAGTAAAGATGAACAAAATGCACGGCAAGTGGTTGCTTTTTTTTTTTTGTTACTTCTTATACTATGTTTTGAATGAATGTGCAATATAAAATATTATATCAACATGAAGATGAACTCCATCAAATGCGTGCACAACATACTCAAACTATCTAAATAACTTGACACATCACGATCAGAACAGTGACATCCATCTCAACCTCTGTTTGGGTGATTTTCACAGCCATCCACATCACATTTTGCCAATCATATTCACTGAACCATTCAAAGAAAACTTAGAGAAACGACAACAAATATACCCCATATTTCTCATGTGTAAGAGAGAGAATTAGAAAGAAAGAATGGGGATTGGCGTCTTGGCAGCAGATACGGGCGCCACCAATGATAAAATAGAAGAAGTGACTGCTCTACACCAGATATTATTATACTCCTTTCACACTGTCTTGGCCACCGAGCAGCTCTGATCCATGCAGTATGAGAGAGATCACACTGCAGAAACAGCTCCCCGGAGCTGCACCGCACCTCAAAAGACAGATTTCATCCATTATATGATATTTTGGACCATAAAATACCTGAAAAATATAAAATGTGGCGCCTTCTGCGCATTATGCTAATTCTTTTGACTCCAGTAAATGGAAAAGATTAAGCATCCTGACCAAATTCAAGTAAAAATTAAGGAACCCCACTTCCCACATACTGCTGAACGGCACCCGATTAAGCATAGTCTGGTTCGAGGACGGGAAGTCTGCAGTGTAAGCTGATTGATTTATCCATCTGTCGTGTGCCTGGCTGGAAGAACTGATATATCACAGTCAAACATGCACCTTGAGGAGCAATCCCTGAAAAACCCAAATTATTTTTTGAAAGAATTCAGGTCAAAAGGTTAAATTGTGGGCAGTCCCAGAAGTGGCATGCGTTTTGTGAAGATGATACCATAGTAGGCACAGTCGGGCTTTGCAGAATGACACTGAAGGCTCTTCGACAAGTGCTTCATGCTCACTTGCTGCCCATGAGCAAGCACATACCGGTTACATAATGACGATGGAAGAATGGCAGAGGGAGAAAAGAGCAGAGTACAGACCACGGACTGAGCTTCCCCACGTTCAATTGCCAGTCTTGTTCGTGATGCTGCTGTCAAATTTTGATTTCCTTGAGGAGCATCGGCTGAGAGCAAGAAGGGAGAGAGGCACGAGAGACCAAGGCGCAGGTGAGGGAGACGACAGCTAGGGGAAGATAGAGCGAGATGTTATTTCTTGAACAATACCTCGGTCTCCTAGCACTCGAAGCCTACGGAACTCTGAACCCATCGTGACCAAACCAGTGGAAACCTGTAGGTGGAGGTCCCCGTACTGGGTGATGGAGACGCTCAGCAAGTCACCGACATTCTTGAGACGCTCCACCAGGTTCTGAAGCTGGGCTAGATCGGGAACCTGAACCAGAGTCTGTGGACGGGGTATTGACAAAGAGATCAATCGAAGAACTTCTGCAACCGAAGCAGTGAGCAGAGGAACGAGGATACACCTGGGGAAGCTGCTGGGCCATGTCGAGAGCGGCCTGGAGCTCCATAACATCATCTCTGGAGAGGGGTCTGGATATGGGGACGTCGTGTATGACCGCCGACTTGTGGCCCTGAGAAGAATTCGTTAGCTCTGCTGTTGTTGATGGAATTCTAAGATGGGAAAGAACTGAGCCTCCGTTGATTTTCACCAAATTTTCAATAGCTGCCGACGAAAATCCGAAGAGATCAACGCAGCCAGGACGAGGGAGTGACCTTGGTCTCGAAGGAGAGAAAGGGGGTTGGTTGCTGTGAACCCGCAGGGATCTTCTTCAGAAGCTTGATCTGGATCTGGAGGGGAGAACCAACGCTGTCCCGGGGATCACAGCCCCCCTGCCTCTGGAGTATGGAGAGGGCGCTGCGGAGGGCTCGGTGGAGGAGGGCGAGGTCGAGGGAGAAGGCGATGCGGTCTTCGTTCTTGCTGGAGATGCGGTAGTCGAGGAAGAGGAGGTCCTTGTCGAACTGGGCCACGCACTGCACACCGTCGCCATTGAGGAGGTTGTGGAGGAACATGGCGTGATCTCGCGTCAGGTACACATGGCAGATCCTTCCCACCTTGTCCAGCGCCGGCATGAAACCTGATCCTCCGGCAGTCCCATCAGGCGAAATGCCAGAGTAGAGAGAAGAGCGACGCGGGAAGGGGGGAGATGGCGGGGGGGGGGGGGGGAGGAGGGATTGCTTACGCCTGTCGAGCAGGTTGACGCCGTCGTGGGTGAGGGATGCTTTGAACTTCATCTCCCTTCTCCACCCTTGCCCTCCGCCAATGTCTCCCCTCTCCTTCCCAGACGATTATGGATTTTGATCAGAGGTTTCCCTCCTCCTAACGCTCAAATTTTGGCGCCTCGCCGCCGAGTCACTGGCCACCCCGCGTGGTGAACTCGGAACGAATGCTTTGGTCTTCCTACGATGAATTCGTCACGCCACTGAGATCCTGAACAAGCTTTGGGATTCCCCCCGAGAAATAAGGAACCAGGAAAAGAGCCCCGATCGACGAGGAAGCTCCCTCTCTGCGAGAATCATCACCCTCATGTTCCTGTTCTAGTTGCTGTCCATCGGATAAGCACATAAGAGGATGCAGAAGAAGAAGAGGAAGAAACGGAGGACGGCGATGGAGTTCGTCGATTCTGGCGTGACCATTACATCCATCTCGCTTCCCAAAGTTCCATGTTTGATGTGAAATTATACGTATTTTACAGAGGAGATGCTTTTACATTGGCCACGGAAATGCCCAGAAAAAAGAGGAGGATACTGACGGAGAGAACCACCATCGCACCTCCCTCTCTGCGCCATGGATGCAGATGAAGAGCTCGCTCCTTCTCCGGCGGCCGCTCAACCCTGGGAAAGGTACTCGAACTCGTCCTCCCTGAGATGGGCGACGAACTTGAGAGGCCCCGGCCGGCCCTCGACCCCGTCGGGGAGCACGAACTCGACCTTGAAGGGGAGATTGGCGGAGATGGACTTGCCCTTCCACAGCCCCACGTACTGCTTGATCACCCCTTCCATACCTTCGAGCTCGATCTCAGGGACCTTCGGGACATGGTACACCTTCACCGCCGCCTTCACACGGACCCTGGAACCGACCTTGGACGCCGCCAGCGCGTCGCCGTCGAGCCCCTCCGGCGCCGCCGCCGTGGCCCCGGAGGAGGAGACGTCGGCGGTGGTCACCGCCGCCTCGCAGAAGACCCTCCCCGTAGCGGGCCTCCTCGTCAATGTCGTCCCCCTGTAGAGCGCCTTTGCCGGAGCCAACAGCGGCGGCGCGCCATGGCGGCGCTGCGCGAGGAGGGAGGAACTCACCGCCGTAGGTGTAGCGGTCGCCGTCTGCATTTTTTTCTCTCTCTCTACCCACCAGATTAAACTCCTCCCGTCTTCCAATTACAGTCGCCTGTCTCAAGCGCCTGCCGGGGGTTGGCGGCGGCGGCGGGTCTTGAGTGTTGATGAAGGGGGAGACGGGGAGACAGGTATTTAAGAAAGGAGTGGGCGAGATTCGGCGGGACGGATAAGGGCCGAGGGGAGAAGCCAGCAAACGAGAGGCGCGAGTTGCTCCACCTGACTAGGAGCGAAGATGACGTCGTCCTCATCGGCGTGTGGAAAGCTTCCCCAACGGCGGAGAGGATAAGAGGGTAAGAATAGACCAAGAGGCCATGTGTTCCCATTGGCGACGCCAGATTGACGGCGGTGAGCTGCCCACGTGAGCATCTCCACCCGGGAGAAATCAAGAAAGTGATACATATATTCTTAAGAAATATGCTACGAAGCATCCTACAAAATTGGACTGCTGCCATTTCAACTGGGTATCGTAACCATGGGTTTTGACTTTCTTTCACAAGTGGGTGTGGGTCAAACCTTTTGACTTTTCCTTCTGTTCATCTTCTTGGAACGGGGTCCGCCCTTGCCCTTGCTCGGATATGGAGCAGATGGCCTCTTTCTCTTCTTGCTGGGCATTTCGATGTCAGGATCGTCAGGCTCACGATCCTCATCTTCGGATAGCAAGTCCCCTTCAGGAGCCTCGTCGTCGTCGGAGCTCAGGATCAGATCTTCCACCACGTCGTCCTCCAGAGCGACTCCAGAAACCCTGCTACTCTTCTTCCTCGCCTGCTGCTGCTGCTGCTGCTTCGGCTTCTGAGACTTCGCCAGGCCCGCACTGCAAACCAAAAGCTTGATCTGAATAAGGTAGAAAAAGAAGAGGAGGGGAGGATGGCGGAGAAGAAGGGAATGAGTCAGTCAGTCAGTCAGTCAGTCAGTACCTTGGGCTGGGCAACCAAGAAGAGCTGAAGACTTCGGCGCCAGCTTCATCGGCTGAATCCTCGTCGGTTGCATCGTCATCGTCATCGTCATCTCCATCGCCGCCAGACACCTTGCGCCTAAATATTGCAGATTTTGCACCCACAAGCACACTGAAAATCAAGGCATAGGGAGATCAGACACTGGGGGGCCAAAACTCATGAAGAACACTGAATAAGACCAATAAATTAAAATCCCCACAGTGGCATATTCCATGGAACATAAATAAGATAATTAATTATAAAATTCAGGAAGAGCCCCAGAAGGGGTGAGTGAGCCACTACTCGGGTGCAGTTAATCGATACCAACAAGGTTTCAGACAATATCCAGGTAATTATGCCATCAAGTAACAATAGACGGACCTCGATTTTGCCAGAGAATCACTCCTCTGTTGGGCCCTCAGACGAAGCTCTGCAACAAACTGGGACAACGGGCTGATGCCAGCTTCCTTTTCAGCCTATGGACAAGAGCCAGCTTCTGTTTAATAGGCTTTTCTTATGATCTGTTCCCATTCCCTTTAACGGGGGTGCGGTGCAGAATCGAGACCAGAAAAATAAATTAAACAGCACTAGTGAAACGAACCTGAAGAAAAGATTCTACAGAAGGGCTGTTGGGTGATAACTCCGAGCTTCCACGCTTAGCATTTGCAAACTCTACACTGGCCTCCACCTGCGAAAGAAATCTGAGTCTTAGCAGCCGGGCAAAGCTTGAAGTGACGGCTATGTGTTCGAGACGGTGTTATTATACCTGGCGGATGAGCTCCCTTACATCCTTCCGGAATCTATCATTATTTGTGGTTTTGCAGTAGCTCCGCAAGCGAACAATGAGGACAAAGGACAGCTCAAAAAATGATATAGAGTAGCTCCATAGCGCGAGATGCTCCGCCAGCTGCTCGATCACAGCATGCACACATGCCTCCTGGAAACCCCGGGTCTTCAGTGTCGGCTTTCCAACCTATCACATGTCCGCCATTTCCAGACCTTGAGTACGTGGCCTTTTATAAGCTCACAAAAACAGATCGAAGGAAACAAAACGAGAGCAGATTAAAGATGACCCTACCAGCTTCCTTGTAAACAAATCTACTGCTTTACCAACTCCTCCGACAGGGGGGTTGTTCAGTTCTTTCATTTCCAACATGTCGAGTAGGAGAAGGGAGACTGGAATAAAGCTACCAGTGGAAGCAGAGATCCGGTTCAGCATTCTTGCACAGCGCAGTCGAATTGGGAAATAGCGTGCAGTGGGCACTAAACGCGCCACCCCAAAGATTATTTGAGTCAGTGGGTATGCCAGAAGTCGGAAATCAGGGTCTGAACTGTAGGCACAAACTACTCCGGTCCAAAGCTCGAGGCAGCATAGGAACTGCCAGTCGTAAACCTTCAAGTATGCCTTCTGGAAAACAATGCCAGACGGTTTGAAGTCGTCAGATAAAAAAGTGTACAACATGCCAATTGATGTATTAGCTAGACAGTTCACAGCAACAGACATGTAGCCTGAAACGATATAAAAAAACATATAAATGAGCGTTTTTTCCCTGGAAAAACGACCCATTACATGATAGATCAAATGTCGTTAAATTCAGGCAAAATATGTAAATTTCTTAAGAGGTGAATCCAAGGTTGGCATACAATAGCTCTCATGTTCAAATACAATCTAGGGACCAACAATGTTTTCATAAAAACTATTCAAGAATAATTAAAATTAAAATCCAATCATTTGTAATCAAAAGGGGGTAATAATCTCTCACATAGACGCATTTATACAAAGCTTACCTTAATTTCATCATCTCCTCAAACTAGACAAGGTATTGCTGATTTGGTTCAAATCAGCCCATTACACTGTTCATGGATAGAACTACGAATCGAATATTGCTCAACACTTGAATTTGTATTGCAATTGTCTCTAAAATCCACATGTAAACTTAAAGAAACTTAAACTCTACACAGTATATTGCGTTTGACGTGGTTGTCACCGTATAGCAATCCATATATGTAGTTAAAAAATACATAGTATTAGAACAATGAAAAGCAAGATGAAGTCCACTTGTTGCAATAAAATTCACTACATTTTTTACGCAAATTCATGAATTGGTATTTGCCATCCACATCCCACGATAAGAAATACGAGGAATGATGCGGTCAGACAGATAAGACTTAAGAGGAAAAGTGAAAACACCAGTGAAGGCAAAATGAGTAGCAAAGTAAGTGCATGATTTAAATCACGAAGGAACAGGGGTACAAAATTTCTAGGGTTTTGAAATCCAAAAGAATAAATTAAATTCGAAATACATATGCAGAGGCAATGGAATCTCGTCTCCAACAGCCTCCAACAAAGTTGACATACTCCGTTGTTGATACCCTACGAATCGCAGCCCGTAACTGCGCTAGGATTCTTCCATTTTAACCGTGCATTAATACAAAAAATCATCTAATACTCACATGAGTAGTTAACAACTAGAGAAGACAAGATTGTGCTCAAGTTTAGTCCATTATTAGGAGAGTCGTTCTACATCTCCATGCAACACACAAACACGCCCCCCTTTCCAAGCACACAAACCCCACCGCGTCCATGCACATCCAAACGCCCACACATTCCAATAAACGAGGTTGGGAAACGTAATTCCAACATAAAATGATCTCGAGTATTAGTATAGAACCACGTCAAAAACCTATACATACAGAAAACTTAGCTTTCAATGAAGAAACCAATTCATGAGAAAAAGTCTTAGCATATCTTTCGGTATGAAACATTACAAACAAAGGAACACTATAACTATTGTCAGCAAACTGCGTAGAAGTGTTAAAATTTAATCCATACTAAAATGCCAAGGTCAGGATATTGTTGATGTCAGTTTTGGAACCAGCTCAGCAAATACCAGGTGTCAGCATGAAAAGGTTATGGCTTCATATGACCCTAACCACGACAAAGTGATTAATTGGCACACAATAAACTCTGCTAATAAATAAGCCACAGTGAAAAGTTCATCACAAGTGCAAACAAAGATAAGCAGGACTACATGATAAAAGAGCAAACACATTTTCTTACTTTTCCTCATATCTGTTATCAACATTTTTCTCGACGGAAATCCATTTTAATGTGGGAGGAATCTGACGAAGGAAAAAAAATGCAAATATTTTTCTTCGACCATTATTTTGACTTTCACAGATCAGGAGTGGAAATTACCTTGCTTCCAGTTTCAGTTGTGCTCGTCTTTCTAGATTTTCCTTTATTCTTTCCATTGAGATTTACATTGGGCTTCTCAGTGAGGGTTCCCCGTAGAACGGTTGCCAATTGGCGGATGTAGATGAATGCATTCTGATATGTACTTGATAGATCCACCCCACAAAGTTCAGCAACACAATTTCCAAGAAACTGAATGTGTTGAAGTTTAGAGGCACTTGCATATTTCCCTTTAATTTTACAGTTCATAACATAAGCCTTATACATACCCCTTAGACAGGCGTCTAAACAATCAGTACCAAGCCGAACACACACGTCTCTCAAAAATAAAAAGGACACAACTTGAAGACCGCCTCCCCCAGTACCCCAGAAGTGAAGTGCAACCTGCAAAATGCAATAAAGAATGAGATAGAATGCAGAGGTATATTCTACACAAGAGAATAAATAATGCATCAGTAAAAAAAACTTTCACCATAATAAGGTACTGTAGACACTGTACCTTGATAAACTTCCTCAAAAGCACTGGAAATGCAGCCAAGAATACAGCTGAGCATTTAATTCGTTTTAGAGTAAATGAGATCATCTCTTCATCTGTCATTTGATTCAACACATGGAGAGTATTACCAAGATATAACTTCACTAGGTTGCCATATTTCTTCCACAATTTAGTATGCATGAGATCCAGTACAGTTTCCCTCTTTCCTCCAGAGGTAGGAAATTTCAATAGTTCTCTAAGTGCCTTATCCATCTCAGTGAGAACGAGAACCATTATTTTATTGAAAACACTGCTAGATACAATATCCAATCTTGAGGTTTCACTGGAATCATCATCACCATAGTGGCAGGCAGCCCGGAAAGCCCGTAATGAAGAACGTATGGCACTAAGTCTATGATCCTTAATTTCTGTGCACCAGGAATCAACCATTGCAGTTGTAATGACCTTTCCTGATGGCTTAGGCACGACTTCTTTAGTATATTGTGATTCGTCTCCATCCAAGCCAGTTTCAGCATCCTGAAATGAAAATGAACAAAAGGCATTACCCCTCAACCACGTAGAGAAACAATGATTGGAATTCATATGGGCCCAAGGAAGCTCGTACCTGAGATTCGATCTCCACAATATCAGTTTCCCCTTCCTCCTGCCATTAGAATGAAAAACAGATCATATTATTTTCATAGATCACTCATAGAAAGCAATCAACCATAAAAACATAAGATTTACCCACATCAAGATCTTCATCATTGAATTCCAGGAGATCTTTGTCGTAATCTTTCAAAAACTGATAAAATTCTGGATCCTGAAGGGTAAAAAATGATAATTTTCAGATCAACAGAAAAGCGTTAAGAAGAAACGAAATATTATAAAAAGGGACAAATTTCAAGCATGAACTTTGTGGTCATGAAAGAAATAGGGAGCAGCTAAGTCCATAGAAGGGCAAATCAACTACATTCACAGGGACAGAGTTCTTAGGGTCTACATCAAATCAGCAGTCAATTAAAACATCGAATTTTAAGAATAGAAAAAAAAATTGTAAATTAGATCACCAAGGTATTATATGCAATTGAGAATTTCTCTTCTTGTTGTTTACGAAACAAAGCTTCAGAAATTCATGATCTCTTAGATTTCTTAGACACTCTTTTTGCTGTGAATTGCTCACTGACCATTCTTGTGAGGGAACAGCATAATCTATCACAGTACAAAGCATTGAAAAATTGTAACCATTATGGACGGTTAAACTTTGACGAGGGGAGAAGAGGAGAAGAAGAAAAGTATTTTTCTTTGTCTCTTGGGCCCAAATATGACTTCAAATCAGACCGAATTAATAAGAGCAATATGTTGCTTCACAACGTAAACAGGAGGTAAGAAGAGTCAGAAGAAATCACCTTGTCTTGAAGTCTCTGTAACTGCTGCATATGCTCTTTAGCAGCCTTCTTGGAGGACAGGATGTTTCCTCCTGTTGTGCCATCATTTTTATCTATTCTCAGAAAGCAAATTACAGTAGGACAGAGTTAATATTTCTTAAACCAAAACTTCGAAAGTATTGAAATTAAAACTGTGGTTTAAGACAGAACCTGAATCATGAAGACCAGGCATGGTTTGATTTGGATGGGTGGAAGCTTTTTTAATTTTCTAGCAGATATAACACAAAAAGATGATCACATCCATTAGTCTCAAAGATGATAACTTTGAATATTGAAGTGATGCGATTAATCTTCTGGCATGGTAAGGATGCAACAGTTCCAACTACAGAAAATAAAAACTTCCCCAAATGCGCAAGTTACAGGAATATTTCCAACTAATCGTCTTCCAACTGCCAAAACTCTATTGACTTGGATTGCATTCAAGCATTAGACAGAAATAATATTCAAAGAATACATCTACGTACTTGTTCATGAAAATAATTCGAATAAATTTTAACTTTAACATGCACTAACTTGAAAATGATAAATTCAGATGGACATCCTTTACAAAGCTGAATGACTACTTCAGAGCCTGAAAAATTCTAGCTAACGATTAAATTATAGTCAATCATTCTCCAGAAAAGATAGTTTCTCCATATAGAAAACAAACAGGACCAAAAAAATGAGACAACGGATAGTGAAGACCAGGTAGAAAAGAAAGAAAGAAGAGAAAGGGAGCATTTGAAGCAAAGTCTAAACAAGACGACGAATCCAAGAGCACTGAATTTTTTATAGAAATAATAGAAAGTCTACCACCATCGTCGACCCCGACACCCTCACTTCCTCCACAGCCTATGGCCGCTCGTTACACCACTCGCTCCTTCCTTTCCGTTCTGTTGGCTCCTGAAGTGCAAACAACGACAAAAATTGAACAATCCAAGTAAATACTCTAATTACAGGTCTGGATCACCTTTTAAGGGATAATTAACAATTTTCCAGATGAAGTAATGCATTTAGACAATTTTTAAGAGGTTCATGTTTTACCGTCATGCTCAACTATCTTTATCTGGAAACGAACGAAACTCAAATAATCCACAACGGTACAACAGTTCATTCGGCATTTGAGCAACGTTCTTGAATACCAAAGTTTAACCGCTTCTCTTAGCAACAAGAAAGAGTCGGTACAAAATTTATTATTGCATAGATATAGTGGGGGAAGATACCGGGAGAGATTGCAGATGGCGGATACGTCGGAGAACCCAGTCACCCTCTCGGCAGTCACACACACACACAGAATCAGTGAGGGGGACAAACGAAGGAAGTAGATGGGGAAGACGGGAAGTGACCAGCGGGGAGAGGAAGAGAAAGGGAGGGGATGCCACGACCCAACGGGAGCGAGCGGGCAGCAGGTGGAGACGGCGGCAAGGAGCCTCGGTCTGTCGAGCGGGAGAGAAGGGTTTATGTTGCAACAATTACACAACAGTCCTCAGTTATTTTTTAATTTTACCTCACATCCTCATTAAACAGTTTGGATATATATATATATATATGCATCCTCATTAACTGAACAAAAAGGATAAAGAGTAAAAATTCCTTAAATTACATTTTATTTATAATCTTGCCAATCAGGGTTAGATTCAAATTTCCTCATTATTTTTATGTTCAATCCTGGGCACCCCATATTTGGAAAAAGCTAGGCTAAGATAATTGCCATTAATGAATAAGTTGCTTAATTTTTTATTTCAGCAAATATAAAACCCTCTCTGGAAAAAAAAAAGAATAGACTGGAGAGAGAGTGAAAATAAAAAAATAGATAATAAATCGATTAATAAAACACAGCTCGTATAGACATGAATTTCGCTCTCATTCCAGAAGAAAAGAATTGAGAAAAAAAAATAAAAATCTTCACTGGATCGCCTAAACCCTAATCATCCGCAGAACACCCTTCCTCCAACTGATCTACCTCTACCAAAAATCTTTTCCATGGTTATCTGTGTGACGTCTGGACTCCTCATATGTTCGATCCATCCTTCAGGTTTAGGGAAACCCTGATGTTCATCGCCGCCAGCTCGGCGGCCAAGTATCTGAAAACATAGGGCATGGCCACCGTCTCCATTCCGGTGCTGGTTTTGCAGGCCTGGCAGGTGTAGCTCTTGGGGGTTTTGGCCGGAGGAAGCCCGCTGATCTCCCTCACGGCTCTCTTGTGCCGCTGGATGGTGGTCGCCGTGAGAATGCTGCCGCAGAGGCGGCACACGTCGGCGATGTGGTAGTCGGAGCAGCTGTGGAGCCGATCGTGGAGCAGATACGCCGTCCCATGGGCGAGAAGCGAGTCCCGCTCCATCTCCCCGAACCGGATCCCTCCTCCCCACTTTCTTCCGCCGATGGGCTGCCTGGTGATCTGGTCGACAGTGCCCGTGGAGCGAACCTGAAATAGCAAGTAGCCCGTCACCGCCATGGATCGATCTCTGGGCAGTCTAGAAATGCTGAAAGATGGAAACTTGTTCCACATTCATGTTCAGTAGCGGAGATACCCAAAAAAAATAAAAATCATAAGAATGAATTTCCACAAAGACTGCTGGTTTTACGAGTGCTGCAGCAGAGACCATGGCCCTGCTGTTCTGGTTTTAGTAAAGCCACGTAGGAGGAAGAGGGTTGGGTCAGGCTGACAGGCTTGCCCGCCATGGTGAAAACTCTGGAAAATAAATGGGTAAGATGGATTTGCAGAGTCTCACCTGAAATTTGTCGGAGACCATGTGTCGGAGACGCTGGTAATACACGGGCCCGATGAAAATCTCACAAGCCAGCTCCGTGCCGAAGACACCGCTGTACATGACCTCCAGCCCGTGATAGTTGAAACCTTTGGAGGTCAGCAGCCGGCCGAGGTAATCATGAAGGGAGTCCGATTCAGATGGAGAATCTCCGTCGGACTTGCTGCAACTGGAGAAGGGGGTGGCATCAACGAATTGCCCATGCGCGCTGCCCCCCTGCAGAAAGATATAAGACAGATTCAATGATTGTATATTTCGCCACTCAAAAGATGCGGATGAAATCGTTCAGCGATTTCTCAGGATTGAAGTGGAAGATCCTCAAGGACTTGGTGGCCTGTGACACTTATCTAAATCACAATCGCTACTAGAACGGCCAATCACAGTATCAGATACAAAGATCCTAGCGAAGTATGATGCCAACTACACCTTGGAGGAAGCAAGAACAATACCCATTGACAAATGTTTAGACAAGTACTTTATGGCATGGCATACTTCAATTGGGCGAAAAACTGGCGATGAATGGTACTGCTTGTGAGAAAAATAGGCGCCACTCACTTGCATAAGAGCATCTCTATTTCAGTTTTCACTTTTAGTAAGAGGACGATGTTTCAGATGGGTGTTATGCATAAATTTGAATTCCGACCAAGTAAGCCCATCCGCCCAAATAAACCTGCTTTGGAAAGTTCAAAAGCATGCCTACCACAACAGCTTCTACGCATAGACCTTGTTCATGAAGTCAACTGAAATGCAATCATCGATATAAAACAACAGATGAGCTTCGTAAATGAACATTAAAGGAAGCATTCCTCCATAGACATTTTGGTCAAAACTATCACGGGATCAATAAATAAAAGCCCACATCTTGGCCTGGATAAAAGATTCTAGTAAATGATACACTAAATGCGTAAGATGATGATGATATCAGGATAGCATCAATGGTAATGCATAAGTCATTGAATCTCAGACACTTCAACCACACAAATTACGAATCTCAGAGAGGCGCAGATGATTACTTTCTTCTTTCTCAAGAGTAAGCCATGGATCTAAACATTTTGATTTCCCTTAGCGCACAAGGAAAAGTTCATTTTCAAAGAACTAAAGACGCGTTCAGTCAAGGCGGCCAGAATAGGACTTGCAGAGGCACTAACTAATCCCCGACTTCCCCAGCGCCCAGTCTATCAACACCCATCCAACTCTATCTCTATAGACAGAAGCACACTCGATCCTCTTCTCCGTCAGAATTAACCATCCGCGACAAAGACAACAGCCACAAGCAACTTGAAAGGAAGTGAAGAAATCGAGCAGACATGTAAAAAACAAGGAATGGAGGCCCTTGGTGCATAAATTAAGAAAAAAAAGATACAAACAGAAATAATAACTGTGGATAAGGTCAATAGTACCTTAGCTGCAATAGATTCCAAAAGCATGCCGATGGTCATCCTAGAAGGAAATGCATGGGGATTGATAATCAGATCAGGCCGCATCCCAGTAACAGCGGAGAATGGCATATCAATATCAGGCCATAGTTGGGAGCAAACACCCTTTTGTCCATGTCTACTGCTAAATTTGTCACCGATAACAGGATTTCTGGGGCGACGAAGACGAATATTTACCTGCCCAAAAAATCAAATAAGTATGATAGAAACTTGAATCCAAGTTACTATTATTCATGACATCCAAGTATTTTAGAGAACACCACAAATAATAGCTAGTGATATACCTAAAAAACAGTATATTTGACAGTAAAGGTCATCAAAAACTCAGTTGTAGAGTCCAAGATAAGGTAAGGTTAAAGTTTATCGAAAAATTATGCACATAGTTATTCTGAATGAAAATCAGATGTTTTCCAAATGAACCTACAGAGTATAACCTAGGTCCCAACATCCAGTGGCAAGAGCACCTTTTCATCGTCAGAATAGGATTATATTATCAATAAATGATTCCCCGCAATGTCCACTTGTTTTCACCTTCTCTATCGAACAGTTTCTGAAATTGGCCACTACTTGGAACGAGATTACGAAGATGTCCCAGTGTAACTCGATACTTCAAAAGCACCATGCAAAGTGAGGGAATCGACCCATAAAGAATCGTCATAATATGATGCTAAGAAAGCCATTGCACATCAATAATATATGACCCATGAAAGATTCGACTGAATAACTCAGTACAGAATAGATCATTGCAAATAATATAAAACAAAACTTGCCATGCGAAGCGAGGCCAGTACCGTTCGCATGTCTTTCTATAACCCGCACAGAAATGCATTTGATGGCTTCTGATTGATACTTATACCGATAGAGATATCTTCTAATACAGAGTCAAGAAGGGAAAATGCCTGATCGGCAAAAAGTCAGCACTACATGTCTTGGAGGAACCACATAAATTTCAATCGACAGGGCTTCCTTGAATTGGGCCCAAAATATAATATGGGCTATGAAGCACAAATATAGAGAAAGTCGTAGAGATAAAGCAGATTTAAACCTCATTCTAAGTCATAAGTGAAGCTATAAATCACGGTCATCCGTGGCCCTCAAAACATCATTGACATTTCTAGCCTGATCCTTAACGTTGGAAGCCTAATTAATTGCCATTGAAACTTATCTCATGCTTCTGTATTCATACATTTGCAACTCTTGAAAGCTTTAGATGATTTCTCACAAACTTCACCCCCTTATCTTCTTAAACCTCTAAGATATGGCAAAGAACAAAAGGGTAAGAGAAAGCAAGAGGTTTCCATACAAGGGTCTCGAGACACTATGCATCATGAAGATCTCCGAAAAAAGCTCGACGGAAAACAATGATCATCCACTTACTTTATCTTAATTTAAATATCACCCTCTTTTTCAATATTTATATTTAATCAGAGATTCACTTGTATAAATTCGAGCATTTTGAGCATTTTCAGGACGTGCTAGAATTTTAAAGCGTCTACATATGTTCCAGTTCATGAAAATTAACGAGCGCAAAAACTTGTGCTATCAGCCAAGAAAGAAAGAAACTCGAGAATTTGCATAGTATTTCATCAAAACAAACATATGAGTGCAAGATATAAGAGAGAGGTTCATATTCTATGGACGGGAAGATATTCACCTTCTGTAAATGACTCTTGGTTGTACCATCAAGGGAAACACAATCCACAAAAGCAGGCTCTGACCCCTTCATCGGAGTTGTCTTTGGTATATTGGTTAGTGTATTACAGGAGCTATACAATGGCTTGGTTGGATGTATAATCTGCAAAGTAAAAAGACAATTTTTTAGTACGTAATCTATAAGACAACTTCTACATATAAACACCAAAAAGTAGACCAACCTGACCAACATATGGAAGGCCATCTGCATCCAGTTCACTATTTTGGTCCGGACAATTACTTTTGGCAAAGATTTCTAAAACCTTGCCTGATTTATCACTCTTCTTTGTCAAGTCAATGGTTTCTGTCTGCAAATAGACAAAGAGAAGTGAAGGGATTAATTGGCAGGATAAAGAAGAATAGAAATATTTTCACACAACAAAAAGCTAAAAGGACACTCAATCATCTTTATTCAGGAATGACGGAACTGAGCTTGGCAATTTCACCTTCATTAGTTCATTTGATAACGGAAAAGTTTGGGTTACGATAAAAAAGTTCGCGTCCTCGTAATATCAAAATGAGTAACTCACTTGGAAATGGTTTCAAACACCAAACAGAAGATCGTTTTAAATTCATTGCAGTTCACCTGAGTTAGCCAATTATAGGAGTCTGTATAAAGTGTTCCCTATAAAAATCTCCATCATAAAGTGGCGATCGTTAGACATTTTGCTGCTAAATATTTCATGACAACCACTGTATGCACTATGCGCTTCCTAACCAGATCACGTAATAACAGAGTCCTTGATGGCCAATCCCACAGGACGAAAGAGTTTGGAGTTCTAATCTCATGATCAGGTTTGATGACCTTGTTTCCAGCAAATCAGAACCACAGCACTATCTGTCCACGATTAAATCGTACAATTCAAAGATATGCCACAGTTCATCAACTAAATGGGCAACCAAGGAAGGCCTTTATTGAAATGTCCAATGGAAGTTTAACTTTGACATCACTTAGGGAATATGCCCTTAACATAAGATGTCTTTACTAGGCACATTTCACATGATGTAAGGCGTTAGAAGGAATATTAATCACAGAGTCAACATTCATTGACTTGAATTCAGAAAATGCAATGTTTTCTGGAACATATTAGCACAATGTTTTCTACGTGGATTAAGTATTTGATACACAAGGAAATTTCCTAAAGAAATGGCTAAAATTATATTCCTGAATTATTGAACCTTCTGGATGAAAGGACCTAGTAGAGAAATCACTGGGTAACGCTGATATTTAACCTATAAGATGATGTAATAGAAAAAAGCATTGAGTGTTGGCGACCTCTCCTGTCGAGTGCTCTAAAGTTGGATAACAAAAAAAAATTGCTCAAATAAGTATACCTGATATATATGCCCACGGCAGAGCCCACGTTCTACAGATGATTTATTCAAGATCATAGCATCTTCCATGTCATAACTAGAGAACACCATAGAACCACGTGAAACATAAAATCAGTTCTGTTTCAAATTAAAATAAAGATGGGCATTGTATTCATTCTGCCTTGTTTTCACTAAAATTAGTGAAATAATCCAATGAAAAAAGGTAAACAATAATCATAAAAAAACTTGTACCCTGAGTATGCCAGAACCGCAACAATTGCATTTGTCCCCATAGGGTAATCATCGATGCAATATTTGCTATATGCAGTAGTTCGTACAATGGGAGATTGAGGGGTCTTCACCAAAATTTACATGCAAACAAACAACAACATCAAACAAACAACTGATTACATCAATGCCTGAAAATAGCTGAACGTTGAAAAGTAAAATCTATATAAAAAAATGAATAGCGAACAAGAATATGTTTTCTTAAAGTGAAACATGTTTTAAAGATCATACCTTCACACATAAAATTGGAAAAAGGAAAAAAATATTCAGATTCTTTAAACTAACTTCAGTGTGATCGCAGCATCCTGTGTCATCATTTCTGTTGATGTGCTGGATGCTTATATTTGACATTTTGCAAATTCTAAATATTTAACAATTTTTGGTTTTTTGAAAAATTTATCTGAAATTATCTCACGTCAAAAAAACCACTGACTGAGGATTCATACTGAATGCGACTCACGGGCTTGGGATAGAGTCCGCTTGGTTCAAACTATTGAATGAGTATCACAACGAAATAAACATGAAAATCACACAACATTTTGCCTACGATTGGCGTGCAATGGAATACCGAACCCTCCCAGATAAAAAAACTACGAATAAGCAAATAGATAAGTTCGGAAAGAGTGACAGATAAGATTCCAGAATTAGAACAATCAAAATAACCGGAAAACAGCATCATGGAAATTAAACATTGAATTAGAATACACTAACATCAATAGACTGCGGATCTCCAGTGTCCGACTGGTTCCCTCTACCCAGCATATTATAGACGACTCATGATCATAAGATGGTGCTTATCGAAAGTAAGAATGCAAAACAATGTACCTGAAGATGGTAAAGCTTGTTGTCTGCACGAAATTTTAGGGCCTGGGATGAAAAACCCATTGTCTGCTTTGCCATCTGGGAAAAAATTGCAATTGAACAGTTAGGCAAGGTAATATTAACTGAGAAAAATACTAGATTTTTTAAATAGTATATTGAGAGGAGTCAAAGAAGTTTCCCATAAAATAGAGGTGCATACTTAATGGTACTCTGAAACAACCAACTTGGTCAAAAAAAAAAGAAATTATGTCCAGGATACTTATTATAGAGATCCTGCTAACACCGTGGAACAAGAGATAAGAGAGTAAACATGACAATCCATTAAATTTACCAAAAAAATAAATCAGAATAACAAAAGACAGACTGAAAGAGCCGTGCATGGGTTAGATGGTAAGCATTGAGAAATTCAATAGAATCTTGTCCCCCAACCAGCTATGTAACCTCGATGACGAAGAATGTTTGCGGGATACAGTTCAAGAAAAAGTATAAAAGAAACACTGCCAGACTATACCGTCTCCAGTCTCCACTTCCTACATTTGTCTGATACCTAAGAACATGAAGAAGCACGGATTAACAGACAGATTTCAACTCTCTTCAAAGATGGAGATAAATCCGTAGGATTTAGGGAGAACAAAGTACTGGGAGAGGTTTTCTTCAATCACATCACCTTAATGGATCCGATTACGAAAGAACATACTAAATGGAAAATCTAAGGATGGACACTATTTAAATGTATATTGAAAAGCAAGTATAAAAGGAACTGATGGAAATTTCAACTCTCTTCAAGCTTGGAGATGATAAATATGAAAAAAATTGGGAGAACCAGAGGTGGGAAAGCAGCAGTTTTTCTCTGTCGAATTACCTAGGTTGCTCCTATAATGAAAAGACATTAAACAGGAAATAGATGAATGGACAACATCAATATGTATTTTGGCAAATACACAATTGATAATTACATAGTTTAGAAGGGGACAACAGCACGAGGTGGAAAAATTCACACGGGACAAAAGGCGACCAAAAATCCGAACCAGAAGCCATGGATCACTTTTCACTGGAACAAATTAAGAAACCTACAACCGGAAACCTGACTCATGAGAATGTAAAAAAAGAATATAATTCATACCTACACATCATAGAAATTATTTCTAAAACGAATTAATCATAGCCAAATCGGATTATTGAACAATGCTGGGATGTTGTATGATCGCAGGGTATCTCTCTACATCACGAGAACTAAGACATTTTAAGGAGTTTCTCGAATGTATTTTTTTGGTGAAATGTTAGCATTTACAAAAGACAGTTCATTCTTGTCCCACAGAGATATGTAATCGAGTAATATATGAGTCGAGGATAGAGACAGAACCACGAATACACTACAATAATTGAATAAACATTCTCCTGAGGGCACAGAATGTACTTTCAGGTATTTACATATATGACAGGTTCCTGTCGTACCTGATGCTTCTTCAAACGAATTCTAACTATCGCAACAAAATTCTATTCATCCCCAGTATGAACACCTCATTCAACCAACTAATGCACAAATATAATTTGATATAATGTGGGAAAAAGAGATACCTGGCATTGGTACATGTTACGGGGACTCTGATTGTGATCAGACCACGGCGTAAGATTGGCAACAACACTCAGAAATCCGGTTGGGTGTATCTCTTCATGAGTCGCTGGGAAGGAGTCACTTCTTCCACCATCTCCACCATCAGCACACTTAATCTCCATAAATGCCTGAAAATCATTAAGAATGAGTAAAAGTGAGTAAAAATGAGTAAAAGTGGCTCATGCAAAAGACAAACTGACGAGTGGCCAAAAAAAGTGAACTTCACCTGTTCAAACGGACCAATAAGTTCAATAGCCGTATCTCCACCAGAATGATGGGAAAGATTCCTAACTGGTCGAATAAACCTAGACGGAGATGTGAAAAGATACAAGCCAGGATATGCCCCTCCCATGCTCAAAGGTACATACCCCACTTCCAAATCAGCAGGAATCTGTAACCCAGAAGATAAAACGATATGAAGATAACATTTTAGCGGAATAAACATGAAAAAAGAATTATTAATAAACACGCACCCCTGAAATAGCAGAAAGCTTCAACAGCCGAATATGAGCGACTGCCTTCTCAATTTTGTCCGAGACAATGGACCCAAGAATACATCCATCAAGAAGAACAAAAAGAACCTCAGGAGGACCAGCTCGCTCAAGCCTGGGCAATGACGGCGTCATTCCAACTCCAATTAAAGCCTTTGTTATAGACATTCGAATTTTAACGAAGTCCTTTACAAAGCCTTGAGAATCAAAATTTGACGTGACCCCTGAAATTTATTCACAACAAAGGATCAGATGTAAAAGACTCTAGAACTACAACCAACTATTTAGTTACACCCATGTTTAAAGCCGACTCCATAAGGTGGATCACGAGATCAAGAGAACTTTCTCAAACAAAGCAAACTAGAAAGACTAAATTGAGAAAGTAAACTGCACATTGAAATTTTAAATTGTAAAGATAAAAATAAATGAGAGATGGAACATCAGTATACATACATATAAGTAGAAGAAATTCTCGGAAAAAACTGCACAGAAAAGAGATACAGGCAAGGGTCAAAAGAAAAAAGCATACTGAAAAGACCGCCAAAAATGACAGGATAAACATATAGAGCACATGCATTTTGCATGAAATAATATACACAAAGAGGCATGCAATATCAAAAAGGATGTATATATACATCCATATATATAAGGAGATGACGAAATGAAAACATTTACTTACTACAAGTAGCGGTCATATGGTTCAATAAACCACAAGGTTCCCCATCAGGTGTGTGAACGGGACAAAGAAATCCCCAAGACCTGAAAAAACAACAAAAGTGAACAACAAGGATGAAGTGTTCATTATTCAATTAATAAAGAATGATAACATACTCGGGTAGCAATTTTCGCACAGTTGTGGTGCGCATTCTAGCAAATGAGGCACCTCTGTGTACCGAACGAAAATGTGAGATGAAACGGAGGAAGTTGAGCCGCTCAGCTACAATGGACATGCCATCTCTCTGTCACAATACCAAAATAAAGCTCATAGAAAACTTTATAATACATCACCCTCGAAAAGAGGTAAAAGCTTCAAAAGAATTACTTTCCTACAAAAACGATATGACAGTTGTAATAAAAAATATCAAACTAAAGAAAGGATGAAAATATAATGAGAGAACCAATTGTAACAAATAAGTAACAATAAAAATAAAAAAATTGAAGATTGACGTGAAGAGACTCAGATTATACGGGCTTTTCAAGAATAAATAAAATAAATCAGATTAAACAGATAAAACATGGCTGCATATGAGTCCACATGCACAATACCAGAATATAAACGTCCAGAAAAATTACTAGAGTGCCTCCTTCGAATATCCTATCAGGAAATGAGCATGCACTGGATCCAGCACTCCAATGATATTTCACATTTCTTGAAATTAGATTGAAGTACTATGATGTGAGCATGATTGTTACAGCTCAATATGAGGCTCAACATCATGATGCAAACAACATGGATGAATACCTAAGCAGATGAAATACTCAAATAGCAGACAAGAACTCATATCAGTGTGACAAATATTTAATCTTCTCGAATGATACTATCAGCAACATGCATCAAGGCTGTGTTTGAATTATAACAATCAGAAACAAAATTTTGCTTCATTAAAAATATAAAGCGTTTATTTGAAGTACAATAAAAGAATTTGCCATTCTAACAAAGAAAAGAGATGAGAATCTCAAACTTAAAATCCAATACCTGAGGTAAATCTAAACCAGATGATGAAGCCAACTTTCCTGTCTTAATCATATTTTCAACAGCTCGGCTAACCGTTCCAGCATTTCTGTCCATAATCTTTTTCACTTGGGCTACTGCACATATAAAAAGAGTACCATGCTTTTATACAGATGCAGAAGGTTTTCTTCCCACAAACACATGTTCAATTACACATCGAAGAATGTCATTATAGTGAAACTCACGTATATCCTAAATGCAGAATAATATATATCGTTATATTTTTCTCAAATGAACAATGATTCATTATTAAAGGGGGGTTATTTTTTTGTTTGTAAAGGGCAGTGCATATTCAATAAAATCCTAGGAAAAACAATAGAGTCCATGGACAATTTCAATGTGCTCTTTATATCATATTAGACGATCTACGTGCTAAGAAACATTTTTTATGACTTAAAAATAATATCACGATAGAAGTCTGTTGAGACATCTTTTGTTAGTAATGTTATTCTGACAATACTAGTTGATTACCCGCGCAATTAAGCTGAAAGATAACATAAAGCGTGATTTCATTTAAAATGCGAGTTTGAACCAGTTTTCCACAACGAATTCTTGGTAATCTTGCCGCCAAAAAGGAGAAACAAGGCTACGATTCTACCCAACGTAATCAACATTAACACATTTTGAGCCTGGTCACCTAAGCAGCCAAATGCCATGCTCTCCTGTAATGCCATTCAACACAAGCAATGATCCGGAATTTATTGGAATTTATTCAGGATAAAGTAAGTAATATTAGGCCATGAGCTTTCAAACACTACTTTCACGTGGAAGCAGTTATCATGTTAAGAGAAAACTAATCATGAGCAATAAGAAAATGATGCGAAACGAAATCTTTAAGAGCATAGGCTGTGACAAGAGTGATATGTACAATTGTAAAAGTCAAAATTTTTGTTTGGCTTAATCATCTCATCTTGAACCAGGCGTCGACACTTGCTTAACCATTCTTGTAGCTTCTCCTGAAATTAGAGCCATAATCAACCAAAAATGAACCAATAACTCATACAGAAACAATAATGCAAATAACGGGCAAAAAACACTCAGAATCGTTCACATTAGTCACCAACAATGAAATAGAAAAAGAGGCTAAAAGAGAATCCTAAAAATTGAAACTTGGGCATGGAGAGCCCCTTAGCTAACCCCTTTGAGACCAGTTTAGGCCAAACTTCCTGAGTTTTACAGCCTCCATTGAGTCCGTCAACAAGAGCCCAAAGTGTGGCCAGCCCCTCAAGTCACAATAAAAGGCAATACAACAAAATGAAATCATACATGTTCAAAACAATATTTTATGTCAATCTAACAGTGAAGAAATAAGACGGCGTCATTATACACAGACGACAATTAAGAAAACAGATTTCAAAATAAAAAATGTCAGATTACAAAAGCATGCACCAATCTATAAAACAAGAAAGCACATAGATATTGAAACAATGAGGATGGAGGGATTTAGGAACAACTAATGCATGCTGAAATGAACTGGACAAGTTAATTGCAACCTCCTGGAACATTTCCAACTTAAGTGTGCACGCACTTAGTAAACAATAAGCATTCAAGGGTATCATGTTCTCAAAAATGTTTACAGACATTAAGCATGATTTATTAATGTTGATTTGCTTTTAGCACCAGTAAAAATGACCCTGTTCGACTCTTTCTTCTGTCCTGATTTCTACTCATTCGCTCCTTAACCTTGTTCTCTCTCTCCATCCTCCCTTCCTCACACATTTGCTTTTCGTCTTCCTCCATTGCAAGGTATCTATTCAGGACCAACAGACAATCCCGGAAGCGTCAGACTTCCCATCAAATCAAGGGCCACGTTTTAGATGGATCAGTTCTAACCGATTTCCAACCTAAAGCAGATCAATGGATGTTCATGTTCCATTCTTTTCGGAGAGAGTATGAAGAGACAACCCTGTGACTTCTTGATTGGTAAGAACAGCTCCTGACATCTGCCAATGACTTTGCAGAAGCGCAAGGCAATAACCAGCTCGTGTCCCCCTCTCCTTTTTTTCCTCTGCAGCACGCTTCCATATAACTTATTTCCTTGTTAATTCTACATTTCACATCTCACATCGTAAACCAAGACAACAGCAGGAAGCCATTCTCCAATTATTTTCTCCGACTAAGAAGAATGTGTTCAGGAATAAATAAATAAAAGCATGGTTTCTAAACCCACAATTTCTTGTCTACTTACAACAGAGATTCCAATCTAACTAAGGCTTTTGTGACAAATTCCCCAAATGTCAATGAATCAGGCAGGTTCTTTGATCTTCTTTTAAAAGGCAGGGAATAGCCCCAAATCAGTTAATCGTTGCTTGTACAAACTCTGGCCATAAGAAACTTACATGGGAGATTCCAAGTCCTCCCCAAATATTGCTTGAAAGAATTCCCAAAATCATGGATATATATTACCAAATTGCTGACAAAAACTTAAGGTTTTGCGTGAGTGGAGGAGATGTGTGCATGTATGTATGCAATGGTTGAGACCCCAAGCAGAAGCTTCCTGCCTCTCTAGCAATTGACAGTAAGACGTGGGACTGGCAGGCAGCCTTGGCTTGTTCCTTATGTACAACTGTAACTTCCATTATTCCGTTTCAGGCTTTTTTTTTACGTGTTAAATTTGCCTTTTTAAGCCCCAAGGGCCAACAACCGTAAAACTAGAAGTATTCGGGATATCCCACCCAGTCCAATACCTGTGGAACAAAAAAAAAAGGTCATCCATTCCATACGGTGTGCTGATAATTCTCACTCAGAAAGAATACTCTTTTAAAACATTTTTTTGTTATTTTAACCGTATATATAAATTGACTACTCTTTAAAAACAAACCTGTTTCTGGATGTTGTAGTTATAGAATAAAAAAAAATCACTAACAGCAATCAATTAGCATTATCAACGTTTCTCATTCTTTTTGAAAGCTGTCAAATCAACTTTTTGGGTTAAACCTTTAATTTTGAATAACTTCGCATAAATTTCGCCTTCTATCCATGAATATGATTGTGAGCAAAAATTAGACCGCCCCTTCATTAGGGATCGGAGATTTCCCAAGGGTAGGCATAGGTAGGACATAATACAAAGTTTCCATAGTATCAAAGTATAATGTTTCAGACAAACGTCCTTTTAAAAATGGTCAAATTTTGGGGTGTTTCAACAGAAAAACTTAAGTTACCTTGAGATAAATTGTAATTAAGTGTCCAGGTTGTAGCACCTCCTGATTTACCAATGCATCTGGATTATCAGGTGCTGCCGTGCTATCGACAAGTGCAAAAAGCTTCTGCAGCATAAAACTATAATTGGATACTATGTCAGCAGGTCATGTACTAAAACTCAACTGAAAAGGGGAAGAAGAAACTGTAGGAAGAAAAGACGAAGCAACCAACATGAGTAGATTGAATTTATCATGATTACTAGAAAGATGGACAAAAATATAGTCTCTGAGCACAGCATCACCAACCTGTACATAACAGTAAAAATAGTTAGGAAAACAAGATCTTCCACAAGCCAAAAGTATAGTAAAAGATAAAATAGAACAAATAGTAAAACAACGTCATCGACTCACAACAGAATAGCTCTCAGTTTCCATTCCACCCATTACAGGTCGGAAAGAATTTCCTGCATAAGGCATAAGAAATATATTTACAATTGAGAAATCTAACATGCTTCATTAAATCTTATAATAATAACAACTGATACCAATATGATGTAGGCATTGTGACCGGGTAAAGAGAGACAAGCCCTTCATTTCGTCAAGAATTATCTTTGCCCTTTCACCAATGAGTTGAGTACCGACTGCTCCTCTCTCTCTGTGGTATTTCTCTTTGTAGCAAGTTGTCAAACTTACATATATTTCTCGGTCATTAGAGTCTACCAGGGCCTATGAAAGAAAAGATTTGGTCATATACTTAACAAAGAAATGAAAATGATCAATAAATGACAATGTTTTTACTGGTTTCAACAAAGGCAAATACATGGAGAAGAAGTTTTGATAAGAACAATGGTTTTGAAACACAACTTTGCAAACAGCCATATAACAGTATAGATAATGTGTTGTGAATTCTCCTGAAATTTTAAAACCAAATCCACACATCCTAAAAGCAAATACCCACAAGCAAAGCTAGCAGACCAAAGCAACAAACCAAAAAACACTTCTACTTATCAACCATTTTATACTTTAAATGATGAAATTAAGACAAAAAAAAAGATTAGGTGCAATGGATAATCAATCAAATGACCGTCTGACGCCAGGAACTGAGAAAAAGACGAAAATTGGGGTAGATGAAAAAAAGTATCGAAAGATCCCCTTGTACAAAACATTAAAGCTGGAAATATTAAAGATCTCGAGTGGCTCGAGCAGTCCACCGGCAGCTGACGGGTTCGGGACTGGGAGAGTGATAAGGCTCCACGCACATATGCTAGAAGGAAGAAGGCCCAAAGTCCAATAAGTCAATAATGATTAGCATCATGGAGGGAAGGCACAGTTACGGCAAGGAGCAATATGACAAGGAGCAGTTATGACAAAGAGCGGTAATGGCAAGAACAGTTCTGGCAGGAGACTAACTGTCTAAATAAGAGAGGGAAAGGAAAGGATATAAAGGGGGGCGGATCAGGAAGGAGGGGAGGGAAATCGGAGTTAGTATCTCGTGCATCTACGAGAAGGGGTTGGAGGGTTGTATGCGACCCTCCATCTATTCTTGGTTCTAGGGTTGTATGCGACCCTCTATCTGTTCTGGTTTCTTTTACTGTTTTTTATCTTTGATATTTCTGTTCTAGACATTGTTCTCTCATCTACTACGAAATATTCATAGTTCTTTGATCTGGGTTCTTATCATTGGTATCAGAGCCAAACTGGGCTATTCCTGTATGGTTAAAGGGCTTACTATTGCGAGGATGGAATCTTTGGAAGTTGATCTCGAAGCTCTTAAGGAAGACAATAAGGGTACAAAAGAAATGCTACAACAACTCACCCAACAACTAGCAACCTTGATGACACGCCTACCACATGGACCTCCATCGGAGCAGTCTCAGAGACAACCAGAACAACACCCACTTCAAAATCCGGAGCTGAGAGGTATTTCGTATTAACCAAACACCAGAACATGATCATTTAGAAGCAATAATGATGAGCATGGAGGGTGATGCCCTAGATTGGTATCTGTGGATGGAAGATCGTTTTCCATTCTGTGATTGGTATGATTTTAAAATCCAACTTAGTGGTCGATTTGGTTCATTAATAGCTAACAACATGTATTTGAAACTTTTGAACCTGAACAAGAGAGTTCTATATTGGAATATAGGGCAGAGTTTGAACGTCTCTCAGCCTGCCTTCCGAACATACTAACAGAAATACTGGAGCATACATATTTGAAAGGACTCAAGCCTGAGATCCAATCAGAATTATCTATGTCCGAGCCTATTGGATTACGGGAAATTATGGATACTTCAATACAGGCTGAAGCTCATATCTGTACTCTATGGCAAGCATGGAAGTAGGAACAACCACGACCACCCAAACATGTTATTGCTGCTTATACTCCACACCAATAAAGGACTTCTTTGATATCTAATTTCAGAAATGAGCAATCTAATTTGGAGAAAACCCAACTGATCACAGCTAGTGCCTCAAATAAAGGTGGGACGTCCACATATACTTCACAAAATATGAGTAATAATAACAGGGGAAATAGAAGACAGATACAACTGACAGAAGCTTAACTACAAGAAAGAAGAAACAAAGGACTGTGTTTCTATTGTAACGACAGGTTTAGACCAAGCCACAGATGCAGGTGGGACCTAATATACTCATTGTCCTAAGAAGACTTCCAAGAGGAAGATTGGGCTCCACCGGAGCATGACTCACAAGAGGAATGTACTCTATTCACAGCCCATGTCTCATTAAACTCTGTCATGCGATTGACTCAAGACGGGACTATGAAGGTAAAGGGCCTCATGCATAATCAACAAGTAATCGTTCTTATAGATACTGGTGCTACCCACAATTTCATATGCAATAAGCTGCATGGAGAGCTATCTTTACCTATCAGCGAATTCCACAGTTATGGTATTGTGATGAGCAATGGGCATATCGTGCAAGGTCATGGGATATGCCATAATATTTCTCTCAAAATCCAAGATCTCCTCATTATTCAAGATTTCCTTCGCTTGGATTTAAGTAGCACAGATGTTACATTGGGAATGCAATGGCTTAAAACACACATTCACACTATGGGCAACTAATCATGAAGTTTATGCTCAACAACACAATCTACACCATTCGTGGGGATGCAAGTTTAAACAAAACAGCAATATCTTTCAAAACAGCAGAACGTGAATTAAAAAGAAGCCACACTGAGTTTTAGCTCAGTGTCTAGCACGGCACTGAGTTTTAGCTTCTCATTGGAACAGTCAGAGATAGCAGGCAGACTGCAGAAACGATTCCCACAAGTCTTTGAAGCCTTGTCAAGGCTTCCTCCAAGAAGAACTGTTGATCATGCCATCAATTTATTACCATGTACTCAGCCTATTAATCTACGTCCATACAGGTACACAATTTTAAAAGGATGAAATAGAACGGCTTGTCCATGAGCTATGTATTGCAGGCATCATTCAACCCTCTTTTGCTAGCCCCATACTACTTGTAAAAAACAAAGATGGCAGTTGGCGATTTTGTATTGATTACGAGGCCTTAAATAAATCCACAGTTCCAAACAGGTTCCCTATTCCTATTGTCGATGAGTTGCTGGAAGAGCTGCATGGAATGTTTGTTTTTTCTAAACTAGATTTAAAGTCTGGTTACTATCAAATCCGTATGAAACAAGAAAACATTCAGAAAACTGATTTCAAGACTCGTGAAGGTCACTATGAATTCAAGGTTATGTCATTTGAGCTCTCTAATGCCCCAGCTACATTTCAATACTTAATGAATGATATATTCAGACTTTATCTATGAAAATTCATATTGGTATTTTTTGATGATATACTAGTATACAACAAAACTCAAAAAGAACATGATGAACATTTGGATAATGTCTTCCTTATTCTTGCAGCTAATAGCCTTTATGTCAATGAAATAAAATGTCAATTCAAGCAATCTCAATTGGAATACCTCGGGCATTGGGTTTCTGCAGGAATATTTACAGATCAAGGAAAAATTTCAGCAATATGAGATAGGCCTACTCCTAAGAATTTGAAAGCATTACGAGGATTCTTAGGACTAACTGGCTGTTATCACCGGTTGTCAAATGTTATGCCACTTTATCATGGCCCCTGACTAGATTGCTCAAGAAAAATTCTTTTCATTGGGACTCTAATGCTCAAGAAGCTTTCTATAAACTGAAATGACTTAGACACCAATTTTGGCCCTGCCTAATTTCTCTCAGAAATTTGTTGTTGAAACAGATTGCTTCAAGGCACGGTATAGGTGCAGTATTGACGCAGGAAGGACGACCAGTAGCTTATTTCAGCCATGCTTTCAAGGAACACTCTTGTCTCAAGTCCACCTATGACAGAGAACTCATTGCCATCGTGATGACAGTCAAAAAATGGAAGCATTATCTCATGTTCCACCCTTTCATCATTCGAACAGACCAATATAGTTTGAAATTCATGTTTGACCAAAAGGAGACTCACTCAGAAAATCACAAATAGGTCACTAAACTAATGGGATTTAATTTTCAGATACAATATAAGGAAGTCAAGAAGAATACAGCTGCAGATCCATTATCTAGAGCACCACAATTGAGAGGCAATGGTGGCACCCATGTGCATTGCAGAAGGAGTGGATGTAACCACAATCAACAAAGAGGTGGAAGATGACTCAAGATTGTCCAAAATCAAAATCTCACTCATAGAAGGCTCAACTTCTTTCCCACATTACTCAATTCAACAAGGATCACTTCTCTACAAAGGCAGGCTGGTGTTACCCCTTACATCTACTCTTCTATACACATTACTACGTGAATTTCATGACAGCCCATTAGGGGGTCATGCTGGATTTTTAAAAACCTACCGACGACTTGCTCAGCATGTCTATTGGCCTGGCATGAAGAAAATGATCAAACAGCATATTAATGAATGCACTGTTTGTCAATTGAATAAGGTTTCAACCTTGTCACCAATAGGACTTCTACAGCCCCTACCTATTCCGAATATGATCTGGGAAGACCTCTCCATGGATTTTATAGAGGGTCTACCTAAATCTAAAGGCTATGACTCCATTCTCGTCATAGTGGACAGACTCAACAAATTTGGTCACTTTATACCCTTCAGACATCCATTCACAGCCAAAGACGTTGCCCAAATCTTTGCAAAGGAAGTTGTCAAGCTGCATGGCATTCCAAGATCTACTGTGACTGACAGAGGAACTATATTTACCAGCGCTTTTTGGCAATCACTCAACAAACTTCAAGGCACAGAATTGAAAATGAGTTCTTCTTATCACCCACAAACAGCTGGGCAAACAAAAGTGATGAACCGAAGCTTAGAGAATTATCTCTGATGCTTTACTTATGATAAACCTAAGTTATGGAGTGACTGGTTACATTGGGCTGAACTTAGCTGCAACACTTCGCATCATTCTGCCATCAAGATGACACCTTTTAAAGCAGTGTATGGACGGGACCCTCCCACACTTACACGTTATGGATCTCCTATGTCACCAATTGATGCAATAGACACTTATCTACAAGAAAGGGATGATACACTTCAACTTCTCAAGGAACATCTCTTGGCCGCCCAGTCCAAGATGAAAGTACAAGCTAACAAACATTGACGAGACATAGAGTTTCAAGTGGGAGATTTGGTTTATATCAGGCTCTGACCTTATCGTATGAAATCATTAGCCAAGAAAGCTAATGAAAAACTGAGTCCCAGATATTTCGGCCCCTACCCTATCCAAGAGCACATTGGCCAGGTGGCATACAAATTGGAACTTCCCAACTCCATCACTATTCATCTAGTTTTCCACATTTCTCAACTTCGCGAGTCTGTTTACTATCAACCCATTCCAGGCATACTGACTAATGCTTGGGAATGGAAGGTGACCCCCAAAGATATCCTCGTCATTCGGAATTCCTCTTTTGACACAGAAGTCTTGGTCAAATGGGCTGATCTCCCTGATTTTGAAGCTACATGGGAATTAGCTTCATCCCTCCACCAGCAATTTCCGAACTTCCACCTTCAGGACAAGGTGAAGCACATGGGGGGGAATATTGATAATGCTCCATGCACATATGCTAGAAGGAAGAAGGCCCAAAGCCCAATAAGTCAATAATGATTAGCATAATGGAGGGAAGGCATAATTACGGCAAGGAGCAGTTATGGCAAGAGTAGTTATGGCAAGAGACTAACTACCTAAATAAGAGAAGGAAAGGAAAGGATATAAAGGGGGGCGGATCGAGGAGGGGAGGGAAACTGGAGTTAGTATCTAGTGCATCTACGAGAAGGGGTTGGAGGGCTGTATGCGACCCTCCATCTATTCTAGGTTCTAGGGTTGTATGCCACCCTCTATCTGTTCTAGTTTCTTTTACTGTGTTTTATCTTTGATATTTCTGTTCTAGAGATTTTTCTCTCATCTACTACGAAATATTTGTAGTTCTTTGATATGGGTTCTTATCAGAGTAGCTCCCGCCCCCCCTCCACACACTAAGTCCCAAAAAATATCATCATGAGAATTCCCAACACATTATAACCGAATTTTGACATTATTATTTATTTCATTCACTTAGTAGCTGGGACATTAAGAGATGCCTATTGTGCCACAATGTTGAATCGAAAGAGAAATTTCAAGAAATGGGAGATATATTAACTCTATCAATACGTAAGCCAGATCTGGAATACTAATACATGAACAAATGAAGATCATATACTATGAAGTTCCCTAGTTAGAAACAAAATAGCATCCAGTGATTGGGTCAATCTTCAGGACTTTTTTGTCAGAAAATAACACAATCCCTAGAATATTTACATCAGCACTTGAACAACTGAGGCAATCTCTCTCGTATATTTTCCGTTTGCTTCCCTTGTCTCCAGTCCCAATTAATTCCCTAGTAACCCGGCTTCCAAAATAATACCTTCTACGTATATTGTTCCACATTGTGAGCTATTGCAGCATCAGAGTCTGGGTTAAAAACAACTGTGCTGATACTGGAATTCCTAACAATCCTTCGTGGCCTTCCTATTGTTAGTAACACAGATATGATGCTGAAACTGACTTCAAGAAGCTAACATAAGCAAAATAAATTATCAAGGATATAGTCCTCGATACACATCAAGATAGCTACCGTACGACTCTCAGCATTTGCAACAGTCCGTAGGCCCACAATGAATGAAAGGAAATAATAAAAAAAAAAAGAGCAAATCACCTTCAAGACAATGCCAACAGGAAGCAAATATTCTTTCCCCTGAATCCTGGAAAGAACACAAAGTATATAGTGATAATTCAGGAGAGCTTCATTCTTAAGTACTAAAACGTTAAACTCAAAGATGAAAAAACTGATCTCCTCACCAAAATCCAAGTCTTGCACTTCCATTCTGAAGGTAGTACAGCTTGACGGTCACAGCTGATTGATCCTCTCTCACACATCTATATTCAAACAATGATTGTTGCAAATGCATTAATAATAAAGATTAATGTGCTCAAAAGGAAATACTAGTCGTTAAAACACAACAACCACACCACTATGAACGGTAGCTCTGCAGTTTTAGACTACGCTCAGTTTAATAAAACACATAACAGTCAAGCACACAACAGATAAATAAGAAAAACGACCAGAGTAGGAGTTAAAGTTCTATGAGGATTGAGCTAAGCGCCCAGATAATTATCTTCTCAGAATTGAGATCCTTAAAAAAGGCCAATTAACAATGACAGAAAACAAAGAATAGGAAGGAGATTGATTACTCTGTACAATAGAATATACACAATGTCAAGAAAGTAATCACCTTATAACAACAGCTTTATCAGTATATCCATCACCTCGAGAACAAAATGATTTCCGAACCATTGCCATTGGCTGCAAATGAAATCAGCTAAGAAAATCAAAATTCAGGATCAACAAAAAATTAGATTAAAGAAAAGAGATATATGTATATGGTGAAAGGAAAGGACCAGTTATTACTTTGAACCCACCCAACTGAAACCTAAATGAACAAATGATGCTTTACCAAACTAAGGAGGAACAGCTCACATGGTTTCGTTTTGACAAAATGAGAAGTCGGCAAAGCCTTTCCAAGCCATTACATATGAAGTAGCTAAAAAACATGGATGAAAATAACATTAGAAAACGGCATAGGAAGATACAAGGGACTGAAAATTCTTACGTTCATGGGAGGGAAATACGCCAACAGATGTAACTAGCCATTACACATGAATTTAAAAACTAATAGAGGTAGACCAACGACAGAAGTTAAGCTCAGACCTTTTTTTTCTAGAATAAACCTTGTCAACGCAAGAACAATAAAAAAACACAATTGATCTGTCAACATACGTGGTGAATAACTTGGCTGTATAAGTACCCTAAGGCACGTTGTTGGACTGTTTCTCCCAGTCATTACCTGATGTGGTCACCCCACAGGTTAACACCACACTGCAAGCAAGGTTTACTTTGTCCGGTTTAGTACACATGAGTGGTTAGAAAACGACACAGCACAGTCAGTCTCCAGGAAGCAAAAAACAGGTTCTCATCAACACTGGACTGACGTCCGGTTAAAAGTACTTTCAACGAAGTCAAAAGTGCAACTAAAGGGAGAACAGATTCGAGGGCAATGGCTGGTCCTCAAGGTTGTCATATGGCCACAGCATTAATTGTACTAAACTTTACTAACCTCCTGATTCATAAGAAGAAATAGTGCTAGAAGCTTCAAAACACTAGTTTCGCAATCCTCTGGCTTTCATGACTTTAACAAGTCCTTCCTGCCCGATCTGTCTAAGTCGAATGAGTACAACCAGATAATCTGAACAGCAAGGAACTTAGATCTATTTAATCTTTCTCATCTTAGGTTCATCACACTAATCTCAATTCACTAAAAGCCCCACTATTTCAATCATTTTCACCATGGTTACAGAAAAATGCATCTGTAGGTCAAAGAAAATGTATCCCCTGTGTTTACCATAAATCCGTTAGCACGTAATAAACAGGATTAAAGCAAAGTCCCCGGCAACACCACTACATATCTAATTCCACATTGCTAACCCTAAATGTAACAAAAGCCAAGAAAACCCTCAACACAAAAACTAAAAAAAATACATATGTTTTACAGAATACTTCTCTCAATCTTATCAAGAGCAAGAGAACAATTAAGGAACTTTTCAGCAAAGAAAATGTCGATTCTATGACATAAAGGTCAATATTCACCTATTGATTTCCCCTACAGTCAAAAATAAACCCTTTGTCAGATAAAGCGTATGTCGCATGAGATATTTAGTTATACATACAATAAACATGGATCACTGCTAAGTAATACTACTATGAATAACATGCAGAGATCTACAAAGATATTCACACACGTCGCATAAACATCCTTCTGAAAGTGAGTACGCACGTACAGAGATAAACAAAGACAGGAATGCAATTCGTCCCTACGAGCTAATACTCACCCACCCATCTCTGTTGCCTCTTCTTTGTGGAAAACCAGCTTTCTCGGATCAGCACCTCTCAGGTGACAAAGTTTTGACTGCATAGAACAAATCTTCAGTTATCAAGAACTAGGAAAAAACCGCATTCTGCATACCAGAGATAACCAGTTCGAAGTTACACAAGACATACGAGTTGTAGGTTTCTTGAACGCTATATTAAGACTGAGGGAGATAAATCTATAAACTAGAAATGATAGATGAACTCTGAACAGTTCCCACGGCATAAAATAAACTCTATGTTTATCAAGAATTCGGGAAAAAAAAACACAAAAAATAGAATATTCCGAGTTTCAGATGTTAAATATGAGTCTGTAACTCATCCAAGTCGTCTACTGAGCACAAGGGAGATTAAAATTTTAACTTGGTAGGAACAAATGGCCACTGAGCGTGCTTTCAGAGGCATTTGTGTTGCCGGATTTCCTTCAAATCGTACCAACAAACACGAAGAGGATTTCATATAAGCCACGAAGTAAACGTACTTCGCTTCCAAAAACACATTGCATGCAGATGATTCCATCCCTAACAAGATGTTTAATGAGCACACACGATCGCGAAACCTCTACGAAAATGGTATTGATGGCTCTGTGGCCTCTCATGGATCACCCTAAGATAACCATCACGTGGCTGTTGAGGAAGAGTCATATTTTTATGGTTCTACTTCTCCTTTCAAACTTTCTCCAGGAAATTTAGGTCAAGCTAGACCTACCTAGCTGCCCCTGTCTCAAGGTTTTGCTCCAAAAAACAGCCAGGCAAAATTAAACAACCATACTCACCATGAGCATTATGGGAAGGAAACCGAAATTGAAGGTCTCTCTGATGACTGCCCCGTCGTTGTACTGGAAACAGACCTCTGCAGTGAACTTCCCACGATATGATCCCCCTGATTGTCTGCACTGTTTTTTCGCAGCAAAGTTTGCGAGGGAACGAGCTATAGCACCTTAGAGCTGAACCTGACCAATTCATTTAATGAAGAAAAAAAAACTCAAAGGACTCACCTCGTACGGAAAAACGGGCTCCCGCATAGACTTGCGGCCACCTTCCCGCTCCGGCGACAGCAAATCGGGCTTCCCGAGCCATAGTACACGACGCGTCAAGGAAAAACAGGGAGCAGCTGCGAGAATATGCGTTGAGAATGGACAAGTAGAACACAACGGAAGAGAAAAAAAGGATATTTCTCAGCTTGGTTCCGGTGGAAGAGTCGGTAATTTCCGTGGGTTTGATGTTCATGAGAGCAATTTCTAGCCCGGCGTCGATGAAATAGTCGAAGGATTCGACGTGTGGTTTAAACAGCTCTCGTAGATGCTGGTAGTCGGATTCCAACTTCCCTTTCTTCTCTAAGCTGTTGCCGTCTACACCTGCGGAGTCCTGCCCCCAGGCTACCATCTTCCGTGTAACCACCATTCCGCGATCTCCCACGGCGAAGCCCTGATACCAGCAGAATGGTGCCAGAGAAGGAACGCAACCGAGAGGACAGTGTTTTCTTACTACGCAAGCGCAAGTCAGAACCCTAAACCCTCGAAGAGAAGCCCGCCATTGCGCCACGCCAACGGGCGAAGGAACCCCCGCGCGGAAGGAGAAAGTCTAAAACCCTAAGCCGGGAAATATGAATTATATGAACTAGAATCATATTTAAAATCGTCTTATATTTTATAAAATTATTATGGTAGACAGAATAATCATTTTTCACGGCCTAAATTGCTTTAAAAATGCTTGTCAATATTTCTACGGATAATTAATCGTCAGAATAACCGGTTAGATAAAACCAGCTGCGAAGTAGAAATGTAATCAACTGTTTTATCAAGAAAAAATGGTTTATCCGATGCAGGAAATTAATTACGATTTTATATGCCTTATGCAATCTATAAGTTTCCAATATAATAATAAATATGCAATTATATTGTTGAATAATATATTATTTTCTCACTATAAAAATCGAAATTTACGTGGAGGAAGTGATGAGTGACCGATTTCAGAAGTTATAATTTGCATAAAATATTCATAATATCAGTGGTTATAATTTTGGTATCATACGAACCATAATTATAAAAAAAAAAAAATCTGGAGATATGACTACACGTTGTAACGACCGCCATGGCGGCGGCGGGGGCCACCTCTTCTCCTCTCTTTTTCTCCTCCGGGAAGCACCTCCGCCCGTGGCACGAACAGTAGAGAAAGAAGGCGATCCCAATCGGCGTCGACATTCGAGAACGATCGTCATTTGCTCTGCGTGAAGTCGACGAGATTCGGCGAAGAAGGGATGGCGTCCGCCACCAGCCTCCTCTCTGCCGCCGGCGAAGCGGGTGGCCTCTCCCTGTCGCCAACGTATTTCCAGAAACACACGTTCACGAGCGTTCTTGGGAAATGACGTCGAGGAAGAAGCGGCGATGGAACGGCTGGATGTTGAGGATCGTCGGGGATGGGCCCATCATCTGGTAAAACATTCTCTCTCTCTCACGAAATACGTCGGCCCACTCCCCGACCCATCGCTCCTACTTTACTCTTCTTCCCCACCAGTCACCGCCGTGTGTTATTTATTAGTCGGTGAGAGAGGGGGAGGAGGGGGAGATCCAGATCTGCGACTGACGGAGCTCTCGCCATGGCGAACTGGCTGGTCATCGTCAGCATCCTCGTCTTCGATCTCATCGCATTCGCCCTCGCCGTGACCGCCGAGCAGCGGAGGAGCTCGGTGCTTGTTCTTCCTGTCTCGTCGACTGGAACCAGCCTCTGGCCACGCTTCTGATCCGAGGAGATCTGTGACTGCAGGCTACTACGGTGACGGACAATCAGAAGGAGTACACCTACTGCGTCTACAACTCCGACATCTCCACCGGACTCGGCGTCGGCGCGTTCCTCTTCCTGCTCCTCAGCCAATTAATCCTCATGGTGGCCAGCAGGTGTCATTGTTGCGGCCGTGCCCTTCGCGCCGGCGGCCCTCGAGCCTGCTCCCTCATTCTCTTCCTCCTGTGCTGGTAATCTATCCCCATCCGCATGGAAGCCCGATTCCGCCGTCTGCAAATCCGAATTCCTCTCTTGTCCTCTCCTTTTCCGAGATGGTTTTTTGATCTCTGGTTTTCAGGCTGACGTTCATCATTGCGGAAGCATGCCTGCTTGCGGGTTCAGTGAGAAATGCGTACCACACCAGGTACAGGACTATATTTGGTGCCGAACCCCCTTCCTGCGAGACCCTGCGCAAAGGCGTCTTCGCCGCCGGCGCCGCCTTCGTCTTCTTTACCACCATTATTTCCGAGGTGTACTACATCTTACACTCCAAGGCAAAGGACGGCGGCGCCCCCTACGAATCCGCCGTCGGCATGGGCGCCTACCGCTAGCGGAGACGAGCAGACCGACATCATCAGACCTCAATACGGACAACTGCGATGATTTCATAGAATTTTCTCCTGGCGCGCTTCTCAGCGTTTCTATTTGTTCCCTTCTCTCTCCTTCTCTCCTCCTCTTCTGTCACTCCCCCGCCGTAGGTTATTTTGTCCATCTCTGGTCGACTGTCCGAGTATTGACTCTTCTTTCCTCATTTCGGGGTCTGGTTCCGTGCATTCTGAACTGCGAGCTCCCTCCCCGCCACTCTCTCTTTTCCTCGCCGGCAGGCCCCAAACCCTAGCGCCACCCTTCGGGCGAGCCCTGTCTTGGGTTCTGTCTGCAGGTGGGTTGTGCCCCACTCATCCTCTCCGGTGACGATGGCTTCTGAGGAACGCTACTCTCCTGTGTTTGTTGGTGCTGGGGATTTCGGGCAGGGCGTGTCGGAACTCTCTGCCCAACAAGCGTCCGTAGTCGTTGATACGTCAACATCGGCCCTTGCGATCAGACCCTCTGGCCTCTCTCTCCGGCCCCACCCGCAGCCGGGAGCACTACAGCTCGCAATCACCTGGCCCATTACCGACTCTGTTCCCCCCTCTCTCGCTTATGCCCCCACATTCGCGAATCACATTTTAAAAAATAAAAATAAAAATATTTTGACATTCGTAATATGCTGCTCAGCTGATATAAGAGAAGAAAATATTTTGATGACTCGACGTCACCTCTCTCTTGGATTCACTTTATTATTATCTAGCCCTAAGTTTTGGGCAAATGAATTATTATCGTAAAGTATCATGGATATATTGGCACGAGGGCTCTCAGTCAAGGTCAAACTACACGTCGTCTCGTCTGAAAATTTCCAATTTTGTAGACCTGAGCCGAGGTTCGGTTACTTTTTCTGGGCCGAATTAAAGACCTGGGCTTTGGCCGTCTCGGCGAGGCCCACATTCCGGCAGGACCTCCACGTGAGCCCAACGCGGGGAGTCGATGCCTTCGCAGGTGGTGCGGCGTAGGCTTCCCGAGCGTGGGGCGCCCGCACCTGCGGGCGCCCCTTTCCGGTAAGAGATGCCTTGTAGCACGTGCCCCGTGGGGACGGACCGGAGCCGCCGGCGGTGTCAGGGGGACGGCGATCCGCCGCCGCCGCCGTCCTCTCGCCGGCGAGAACTAGATTCCCCTCCCTCTCGCTCTCTCGTGGCTCGGTAACATGGCCAACCTGTCCCCCTCTGAGACGTAGATTCCACGAGGTAACATGAACGGCGCCTCCACGCCGTCGCTTAGAAAAAAAGAAAAACCGGCGGCGCCGGCGGAGTCTTCCGCTTCTCCACACCGTCCAGCGGCAGAGCCAGCCGCACACGGCGGCGCTATGACTTTAGCGAGGGGCCTTAAAGTCAACACGGAGAGGTTCGGATGGCTACCGCTACGCTACCCTCCTTGGTCAAACGACCGGTGGACGGCGGTGATGAACTGGGCGGCGTAGTCTCGACGTCGGGGGATGGGCGGGCCGCCGGCAGAACAGTGATAGAAGGATAACACGCCTCGGGGGCCGCTAAACCCTTCATCCTCTTCCCTCGCGAAAGCTGCGTTGGTTGTCCGCAACGTGACAGCAAGGCCTGCAAATCCGGGCGAGGGTCTCCCCGACAGAGACCCCCTGGCCCTCGGACAATGATGAGCTCAAAGACCCGCCGTTAACTTTGCCGTCGACGACGACAGACCTCGCCGTAGAATTGTCTCCAACCAGTCTTTCCGGTGTCCGGCTGTCGGGGACGAAGTTCTCACCTTTTGCCGCCCCCCCCAGTCGGCTCAATTGTCTCACAGAGAAAGATTGATAGATACATAGACAGAGAGAGAGAGAGATAGACAGACAGATAGACAGAGAGACAGAGCCTCTGCCTGTTCCGCCTCCCGGCGGTGGCGGCGGCGATGGAGGGGAGGAGCAAGTGCAGATTCTGGCGGGTGTCGGCACCCGTGGGGGACCGCCGCCTCAATCATTCCTCTTAATTTCGTTCACTGCCCACGACGAAGAGCGTAAATTTTCCCTGCCCACTGAAGTCCCCTTGGCCGCTGGGGAGAGGACGCGATCTTGGCAGGATTTAATACTTGTCTATAGCCCGGGGTCGGGAGCGACGCGACGTCTCCCCCGCTGCTTCCCTTGCTCCGCCAAGAGGCGCGCCCGCCGGCGGGTAACCGGCCGCCGTTAGCAGTTCCGCCGAAGAGGGCCGCCGCTGCGTCAGGTTGGTCTCCCACAAAAGGCCCATTCGCTGTGGGAATTTATTCTATATATACAGACATTTGTGTTTGTGAGGCAGATCCACAACGACGACCCGCCTGACCGCAGCTGCGTAGGGCTTCTCTCTCCCTCTCGGTCGCTGCCTTCCTCCCAGTGTGCACCTGTCTGTATACAACACCCGTCCCTCTCGGTTCTTCTCGCTCGGTCCCTCGACACGCATCAGATCGCTGGCTGGGTGCTCGGATCGGCATGTGGCAGGGGTCGGATCTGCCGGCGTGGGCGTTACCGATGGCTCGTTCCTCCCGTCAGTATGTATATCTGGAGGGGGGACGGTGGCGGTGGGAATGCTGATGGTGCTGCGGAAAGCATGAGGAATTCGGACGATGAGAGGGGGAAGGGAGAGGAAGATGAGTTCTACGAGTCGCTCGATCGGATTCTTTCCTCTTCCTGCTCCTCCACCTCTGCCTCGGCCTCCGCCTCCGATGACGACGTCGAGCATCAGGGTCACCACCGCCGCCACCGTCGCCGGCCGTGCGAGCGGCCTCAGAGGTTTGGGGGTTCATCCATGTACGACGTCTGGATCTCGGAGCCCTCCTCTGTGGAGGAGCGGCGGCGGCGCCTCCTTTGGCAGATGGGGCTTATTAATGATCCCTCTCTATCTAGGAAACAGACTGGCGGACACGATCACGAAGGAGATGGCGAGGAGAAGATAGGTGATGGTCGTGTCGACCCAGCAGGCGATCAGGTGACTCTCCAGTCCGATATGGGGAGATTAGCATGCTGCGACGCGATACACCAGGAACCGGATCTCCAGCGGAATTCACCGTCGTCGTCCATCTCTCGCTCTAGACACGATGGAGCTATGGACCCCAACCCTTCGTCCAGTCATCTTCATGTGCATAAACAGCATCCATCCCCGAAAGAACCTCCGACTGGCAATTCTCCGTCTTCGGGAGCGGACACCAACGACAGCGATGGGGATTTAGATGATGGTCGCGAAGATTGCTTCGAGAACGGCTACCGTCATCGTGAGAAATGCGAGTTGTGCTTCACTATCAAGAACTTGAACAATGGAGATAAGTTTGTGGTAAAGGAGTTGAGAGAAGACGGGATGTGGAAGAGGCTCAGAGAGGTGGGGACAGGACGGCAGCTGACCATGGAGGAGTTTCAGTCATCTGTCATCGGCCATTCCCCCATTGTCCAGGAACTGATGCGTCGGCAGAGTGTGGAAGAGGAAGGCGGCGATTGTGGAAGCAGTGGCGGCGGTAAGATGGACATCACCTGCCCGAATGGAGTAGGCCTCATTGGCGATCGCTGGATGCGAAAGAAGAGTGGAAGCTTGCTGAGGACCATGAAAAATATGGCGGGGACAGTCGTCCAACGTCTGGAGAGGCGGAGCAGTGACGAGAGGGATTCATCATCTGAGAAAGGTGGGAGGAGGTCTAGTTCCGCCACAGATGACAGCCAAGGCGCACAGTCACACCACGGCCCAGAGAGAATCAAGGTTCGAAAATATGGTAAATCCCTGAAAGAGCTTACAGGCCTTTACATGAGCCAGGAGATACAAGCACATAAGGGCTCCATTTGGAGCATCAAATTCAGTTTAGACGGACGGCATCTTGCAAGCGCCGGGGAGGACAGTGTAATTCGGGTTTGGCAAGTTACAGAGAAGAACATGAAGGGAGGGTTGCTGTTTGAGAGAGAGAGAGTTTCGGCTGCAGAGGGTGGTAGTAATTTTTCCGTTTTTGGTGACGGGTCTCCTGAACCTTTACTCTTTGACTTTAAACTGGGTATGATCAGAGTTGATCGTGAACGAAGGTCAAAGGTGCCTATTGTGAGGAATTCTCTCAGTTTTGAACAGATTGTGGTCCCAGAATATGTTTTTGCATTATCAGAGAAGCCGGTTTGTTCATTCCATGGTCACCTTGAGGATGTCCTTGACCTTTCATGGTCTAAATCTGAGGTTGGTTTTCTGCGTGCATTTTGCTCCCCAACTCGTTGATTGCCTCTGGCTTCTCTTTATTTGCTCTGGAATCGTCTTACAATTTTCCAACCAAATGGGCACTCCTTGAGATCATTTATGGCCTATTTCCCTTGGTACATTATGATACACATTGCATAGAGGTCGATAACTTAATCATCTTTTTTTTTTCCTAATAGTTTTAGAGAATCTAAGTTAAATGCACTAGAACTGTTGTCTGCAGACGGTGATCAATAGTTCACAAGTAGTGACGACCTATTGTGAACTCTGAACCCTTGCCTTTTTTTTATCAAATTCGCTTCGTCCAATCAGAGAAACGCTGTCCATAGTTTGTTCATAATGCATCTTTCCTTAAGGACGAAATATGTTTGCCGATCAGGAATGATATATTCTGTTCCTCATTGATTGGCTGAACTTGACAGATGAAATAGAGTATTTATTATTATACATGCCTCCTTACAATCTCGAGGAGCATGTGGAAATGAATTTCATCTCGATCACTGCAAAGCATGTGCTACTAGTATGTAAACTTCTTCTACACAGTTTGCAAAGCTCTTGGTCTATTTGTCCGTTAGTATGGCAAACACGGTATTTGTAACTTTTCTATTGACCATTTGGCGAATGGAAAATATAAATTATAGAAACACTTCCATCTTCTCACGTTCACCGCGCCATTAAAAAGTTACAATATCTTGCATTATCAGAATATGAGAGGACAATGGAAACATCGTGATATAATGCCAATACATTGTTCTCAGATTTTTTTGGATTTTCTGTTGAACTTTGTTCCACTCTGTCAATGAAGGCATCAGAATACCATTCTATCCCATATTTCCAGGAATTACCTCAACCTTGACAAAATTTCTTATCCAGTAGATATCCTTACATAGTCGACATTTCTTCACCTGCATGTAGATACTTCTGGCTTCCAATGTTGTAGTGGCAAACCATGGTTGAATCAAGGGAACAATATGGAGGCACACCCTTTTGACATTGAGGGCATTTTCCTTTCCCAACACTACAGAGAGCTTCATTCAAGAGGCTTCTACCCAATCACTGTACCTCTGGAAAAATCTTAGTGTTGTCCATTCGATAAGCTTGCCTTTGAAAAACAACCAGAGGAGCACTTCATGACATCAAACTATGCTGAAAGTTCCATGATGATCTTTTTGTCTGCAGTTTCTAATCCAGTGGTGTACAGCATACAATTGAGTAGCACCAAAACGTCAATAAGAAGTCGTGGCATCGTTCTGATTCCTCTACAAACTTCTTTGCATCCAGCGTCTCCCAAGAGCAAGTGTCGCTGCATAATCTGTATCTCACATAAAGTTTTTAGAACTAGGACGATGCTGCTCTGCTTCCAAAAATCTAAACGGTTGATTAGATCATATTTTTATTATCACTGTAAACTCTCCTTCTTTTGGTTCCTCATCCAATGATATTATCATCTTCCTATCTTCCGTGGTAAATCTCTTGGGAAACTAACGACCTCATAAAGATGTAGATATCGACAAAACTAACGACCATTTCGATATCTACATCGTTAGTTCCGTGGTAAATCTCTTGGGAAAATTACACCATCATAACATGTGCTCAAGAAATAGAAAAAGATCTGTGAGATTTATGTTAACTACTTGCAACTTAGCATTGCCTTGGGTGTTGAGTGGCCGGGGTGACTTGAGAAGGCATAATCCAGATACTGTAATTTTTCAGATTTTTACCAAAAATGGCTACGGATGAGACACAGCTTCTGATTTCAATCTTCCACTTAAACTTAGAGCACTAACTTATGACGCCACATTATGCCACATTATGCCACATTATGCCACATTATAACATAGGAGGCAATATATTGGGATTTGATTAGTCACATCAATATTCCCAGAAGTCTGCTGACATGACTCGGATCAAGGATTCCTGTCTAATCCATCAAGAGCTGGGGATTGGAGATTTTTTTTATTTTTTTATTTTTTTATTTTGGGGGGGGGAGGGGGGGGGGGGCAGGAGTCACAAGAAAGTGGGAGAATGTGGTTGCACGGTGGGTAAGAGTGGGGCACGTTTTATGATTCATAGTGGCAACTAATCCGGTTCTTTTTCTCCAATCTTGAAAAATGGGATTTTAGAGTGGTATTTCTAAGGGGAGGAAAAAAAGTATTCTGATGCAATATATGAGAGGAGACAAGACAAATGGTGTATGAGTTTTGGGAGTGATTCTACGTTTCATCTTCTCATTCTTAATCATTGGGTTCTTGTGCATTTCCAGCATCTACTTTCATCCTCGATGGACAAGACAGTCAGACTGTGGCACATGTCAAGTAATTCTTGTTTGAAGATTTTCTCACATAGTGACTATGGTATATAAAACTGCACTTTGGTCCAGATCTCGTTTCTAATATCTACTCTGATATTGTCGACAGACGTATAGCATGAACAATCTTACTCTTGGTGTCTGCAGTGACCTGCATCCAATTCAACCCGGTTGATGACAACTACTTTATCAGTGGATCTTTGGATGCAAAAGTTCGCATATGGAGTATCAGAGATCGTCAAGTTGTTGACTGGAATGATCTGCGTGAGATGATCACTGCCGTTTGCTACAGACCCGATGGCCAGGTATTAACTATGCTGAACGTTCTCCCGATTTTTCTATTTTGTCATTCTTTTTCTGTTCTTAGTGCAGCTCCCCGATCCTCCGCTACCCTAACATTTTTAAGAAAGCTGATACATATTTCTCTTCCTTTCCGAAGGGTGCATTGGTGGGTTCGCACAAGGGAAGCTGCCATTTATATGACACATCAGGTAGAGCCAATCACTCGTACAATAAAGAATATCTTTTACTCGATTAATACTTTTCAGGTAAGGCCGATTGGATCCCATGGTTTCTGTCGTCATTTTACCTTGTTCATTCTCCTCAGAGAATAAGCTGCAGCAGAGGAGGCAGATTAACCTGCAGAACAAGAAGAAGAGATCCCACCACAAGAAAATAACTGGATTTCAGGTACCCAGCTGATGGGCGAATCTAAGATCTACCACTGGCGTACCTAATCGCATGATCTGTACCCTTTAAATCCCGTCGTTCTGATTAATTTTTACTGTACAGTTTGCTCCGGGGAGCTCGTCAGAGGTTCTCGTTACATCCGCAGACTCACGGATCCGAGTTATCGACGGTCTCGATTTGGTTCATAAATTCAAAGGTGAAAACATAACCCAGCATTTTTTATTATATGATTTCTTGGGCAACTGTTCTAGGAATCCTCTTGGCTGGCGTTACAATTCTTAGAACTCCATCCTCGCCGCAGCAGGCATCCGGAACACCAGCAGCCAGATTGCGGGGTCCTTCACTGCGGATGGGGAATACGTGATCTGCCCCAGCGAGGACTCCCACGTTTGCGTGTGGAGGTACGACTCCGGCTCGCGGGCGAGTAGGAGAAGATCCGGCGTCGGCGTCACGCAGTCGCACGAGCACTTCCACTGCAGGGACGTGTCCGCGGCGGTTGCCTGGCCAGTCGCCGGCTGTTCTAAAACGCTGCTTCAAGCGCTGGGCGGCCATCGCCGTGAGCAGGCTCCTCCAAGTGCCAAGATGCAGCAGGTTGTGGACGAGCCCAGCCAGCAGCGGGTCTTCCCCAGCGAGAAGGTCGACCAATTCACCGAGAGGGTTTCTGCAACGTGGCCGGAGGAGAAGCTGCTTGTTGCAGCGGGCGGGAAGGAGGGCCTCCGGAGTAGCGGAGGTTTCAGCGGTGGGGAGGTGCAGCTGAGGAGCAGATCAGCGTGGGGGATGGTGGTTGTGACCGCTGGCCGTGGCGGCGAAATCAGAATATTTCAGAATTTTGGATGCCCGTCGCGGATCTGAGTGGCCGGTCAAAGCGACGGCGGCAGCGACGGCGCCGCTTGGGGGTTTATCCGCGTTTGTGTTCAGAAGATGATGATGGGTGTTTCAGAGGCTTCACACACCGTTTCCTCCTCTTCAAGCTTCGTCTTACAAGCCAAGGCAGACAGAAAAAGAGAGCTAAGCTAGCCTTTGGTACCAGTGCACTGAATTGCATCCGGTTAAAACCTTCTAGAGTGGCAGCGGCGGACGGTCTTCGTGGTCAAGGGGGAGAAACCCGGCGAGGTCGTCCCAGCAGCTGTCCCAATAGGTAGAAGATGGTGAGGGCTCGATGGCTCCCAGGCCGCTGCTCATGCCGATGGTTCCGCCATGGCACGCGGACGACGGCAGCAACTCCCATGGCGTCGCTGGGGACCCGGTGAGGGCCATCATGCCGGCGTCTACGCCGGCCAGGTCGTTCTGCCTCGCGAAGTTGAAGAGCGGGAGGGACGAGGGCGAGGTGAAGGGAGAGTACTCGCCTCTATCGTCGATATTTTGTGAAGAAATCATCGAGAATTGAGGCAGCAGAGGAGGAAGAGGCAGAAGCTCAGCCGGGAGGCCGCCGTTTGAGAAGAGCAGAAGGTCGCCCCCAAAGGACGATGGACTGCTAACTGGCGTGGCGTTCCCGTCGCTGGCGGCAGAATTTGCGACCGATGACCTACGGCGGGAGTCGTGGACTCGCTTGGCCTTGCGGCGACCGCCGACGGGGACTTTGCGGAGGGCGCCGCCCTTGGTCCAGTGCCGCCTGCAGGCCTTGCAGAAGTACCGCGGCTGCGACCGGCTGTAGTTGTTGTAGTAGCAGAATTTGGTGTTGGCGGAGTTGCAGCGAGGGCAGCTCAGCGGCTGCCCCTGCTGCGGCTGCGGCGGTCGCCGATGTTGCAGCTTCCCCCCTCCCATCTGATGGAATTCCACCCCTCCACTCGTTGACATTCCCTGCAAATCTGATCGTCAAGAACACGAAGGATTTTGCACAGCGGCGGTGTTGAGATTTTGGGAAGAGGAGGAACTGACAGCCTGCGCGTCGGCCTGTTCATTCATTCCTTGGGGGAGAGTAGTCGAAAGAGGAGGAAGACGAGGTGGCCATGAGTGGGGCTCGCCTAGTGGTGGAAGGAAAAATGCCGAGCACAGACGGGTCGAGCCAGGCGGGGAGAAGTAAGTGGGCCTGTCGATCTCTGCGGAGACTGGTGGGTTCGAACCTCCCCCCCACTTCCAGAAACAACTCATCCTACTTGCTCTCAGAAAAAGAGAGAGCTAGAGAGAGAGAGGGATGATATTCTGGATGACTCCACGGTTGACTGACTTATCTGGATGGAGGGTAGTGGGGGAGTCAGAGGTGGTGGCCGCGGTGGTGGGGGATGGATGATGGAGTACATGCGCTGGTGGGGTGGTGTGCTCTTTCTGCCATAATTTCTCCGCAAGATCACGGCTTTGCTGGTGCACCCGATCTTCTCTGTTCGTCTATTCATGTGCATGCATTCACACAGGTCCCTCCGGGCCCCTGCGACCAGCCACGGACCACATTATCAAAAATATGACGTACGTGCCGATCATTTTCGACTGATGTTTCATAGAAGCGACTCAATTTTTTTGACAATATCCGAGCTTTCCTGCGGTGAATGCGTGGAGGGATCAGCCGGAGAGTTTTCAGCCCAGCGAGCCCTCCCGATGGGCGACCTTCTTCCTTGGCACGCCGATCACTGCCGAGACAGGAAGTCCCCTCGTCTGCCTCTCCTGGGCCATTCCCTCCCCCCACCTCCGTCGGGCGCTCTCGTGCCGCCGTCCCCACCGCCCCCGCTGCCACCAGTGCGCTGCGTTTGCCCATCCGCCTGCACGCATACGTCTCCTTTGTCGGCCCCCCTCCGCCGCAGAGGAGGAAGTAACCGTTTCCACGGCCGCCGCCCGCATGTCGCCGTCAGCCCAAATAGACAACAGGCTACGGACTTGATAGGCCCATTTTCAGAGATGATTAGAGAGTCTCAAGCCCATTTAAGGGAGAGATCCAGGCTCCCCCTCCATCTATTTGGGCCTCTTCTTCTGGTCCCCTCCTTCCCGCCGGTTCCAGTGCCGCAGAAGAGAGACCGGACACGTGTCGTAAAAAGAATAGTTCGGTCCACGTGAAATCCACGTGAAAAGCCACAGGGTCAGATCCCGTCGGATTCCATTCCATACACCCTTCCCGCCTTTTGGAAGAGAACCTCTCCAATGTCTCACTCACTCTGGATGCGCACCTCTCCGGTGGACGGTGAAACGCACAACGGCGGCAGGTTCGGATCACGGGATGCACCGGGCACAGATAAGTGATAGCGACCCCAAAGGGAAAAAAAAATCTAAATATCAGATATTTTTCATACTTTGTAACACATAATAAATAAGAAATACTTTATAGAAAAAAGTAACTATTTGAAATAATATTTTTAAAAGGGAAAATTTTCAATATGAGTCGTGTTATATAGTATTTTAAATGGAATAATTTAATTAAAAAAAGCCGTAAAGATCCCCTCATAACGTTGGCGGAAAAGAGGACAAAATATCCGGCGGGACAGTGAGAGCTGTTATAATATCTTATCATCGTGAGGGGGAAAAAATCCCTGCGGCGAAGCCTTATTGGTAGATTCAGCCGACGTGGCGGGCTCCCAGCCTGGAATTATCTCCTTATCCACCTCCACCGCAAGTTATCCTTAACGCGTTTGCCCTGGGTGGCTCCACCCCGCCACTATATAAATCGATCCGCCGTCGAAAGCTCCGTCAGAACTACAGCGGCAGCTTCTCTGCAATACTTCTCACCACCGTCTTCTCCACAGTCATCAGAGAGAAACGCCGCCGCCGCCGGAGAAGATGGCTCTGCAGGCCGCCGCTTCCTTCCTTCCTTCCACCATTTCCGCCCGCAAGGAGACCAGCTTCCTTGGAGTCTCCCTCTCCGACCACGGCAAGTCGGACTTTATCTCATCTCTGAGCTCGAAGAACAGCTGCCCCAAGGTGGGTGGGTGGACCGTTTAACTCTCGAGGAGAACCCATGAAATCGTCGGAATAAAAGCTTTCGAATTTCATCAACCTTTCTTCTTCTTTTTTGATTCGCAGAGGATCGTGTCCGTGGGGGGCGTGAGAGCTCAGACGGCGGCGGTGGCGACACCGGCGGTGACCCGCGGGCCGGCGGACGGGAAGAAGACGCTGAGGAAGGGCAACGTGATCATCACGGGGGCCTCGTCGGGGCTCGGCCTGGCGACGGCGAAGGTGCTCGCGGAGACGGGGAAATGGCACGTCACGATGGCCTGCAGGGACTTCCTCAAGGCCGAGAGGGCGGCCAAGTCGGCCGGCATGAACAAGGACAGCTACGACGTCATGCACCTTGACCTCGCCTCCCTCGACAGCGTGCGCCAGTTCGTCGACAACTTCCGCAACTCCGGGAAGCCCCTCGACGCCCTCGTCTGCAATGCCGCCGTCTACCTCCCCACCGCCAAGGAGCCCACCTTCACCGCCGACGGTTTCGAGCTCAGCGTGGGGGTCAACCACCTAGGCCACTACCTTCTCTCCCGGCTCATGCTGGAGGACCTCAACAAGTCTGACTACCCATCTCGGCGGCTCATCATCGTCGGCTCCATCACCGGCAACACCAACACGGTGGCAGGGAACGTGCCGCCGAAGGCGGACCTGGGGGACCTGCGAGGGCTCGCGGGGGGGCTGACCGGGCTGAACACGGCCTCCATGATCAACGGCGGCGACTTCGACGGGGCCAAGGCGTACAAGGACAGCAAGGTCTGCAACATGCTGAGCATGCAGGAGTTCCACCGGCGGTTCCACGAGGAGACGGGCATCACCTTCGCGTCCCTCTACCCCGGCTGCATCGCCACCACGGGGCTCTTCAGGGAGCACATCCCCCTCTTCAGGCTCCTCTTCCCCCCATTCCAGAAGTACATCACCAAGGGCTTCGTCTCCGAGGAAGAGGCCGGCAAGCGGCTCGCGCAGGTTCGTCAACTTCCCTCTCCCCCTCCATCGTCCCTTTCCGCCGCCGGTGCTGACTTATATTTCTCTCTGTCGCTGCTACAGGTGGTGGGCGAGCCCTCCCTCACCAAGTCGGGGGTCTACTGGAGCTGGAACCAGAACTCGGCGTCCTTCGAGAACCAGCTCTCCGAGGAGGCCAGCGACCCCGAGAAAGCTCGGAGGGTGTGGGAGCTGAGCGAGAAGCTCGTGGGTCTGGCTTAGTCCGCCCTCTTTTCATTCATCGCTCTCGCCGTCGTGGAGAACCGGCGAGGGGCGTCGTGTACTAGCCGGAGGTCCAGACGGCCATCGGACCTCAGGCCGTGGCGCGTTCGTTCATCCCTTGTAAAAATCTGAGGATAATAAGAATGCCGGCAGATCTCTTTCTTTCATTCCATCGCAGATGATCCAACCACTTCAGAGTTTGACCGAGAGTGGCAAGATAAGATTTAGGGACAATTAAACCACCGGCAGGGCATGCGACCGCCGTAAGAAAGCCGCGGGGAAGATCAGGAGGGACCCATTAGAAATCTTCTCTGGGATCTGAGGTCAACCCTCTTCAGTGGGTCGGAGATTCTCTCTTCGAGAACCCTTTTTTAAAAGTAAATTCGGGAACAAAGATTGATGAACTTCCACCCAAGCTGAACCTTGGAGGACAGAAAGGGGGAGCTCCGCTGACCGTCCATGGGAGCGGGCATTGACGCTGCCTGCCAGAAGACCGCCGAGTCAACGGCATTCTACGTAGACAAGGGCCAGCGACGTGGCCCACCTTGTGGGTCAACGATGAAGCAACCACGTCGGCTCATAAGTTGACCTTCGACAGGCTTACAGCTTCTAAGGCATCTTCAAATGGCGGGAAATAACCACAGACACATATCTCCCAACTGAAGAGGGGCATGCATAGTCTCCATTTAAAAGGGACAAGAGCACAGGTCAGCGGGTTTACAGAACTCAGTGATGTGTAGCGTTGAATCTTTCCATTACGACCTATCATAACTCCGGCCAGCAGCTCGTCGGAGGGGATCGAGGTCAACCCGCCTAGAACTTGAAGTCCCTCTTCTTTGATTTCCCTTCCTTCTCCTGCATCTTGCGCTTCCTCTTCTTCTCAGCCTGCGACAGAGAGAGAGAGAGAGAGAGAGATCTCCGGTTAGAGCCGACTCCAAGGCGGACTGAGGAAATTCGAGGACATATTTGCCCAGACGCACCTCCGCGACCATGTCGCTGAAGTCTTCCTTCTGATGCCGCAGCTTCTCCTCTTCCCTCGCTTCTTCGTATCTGCGAAACAGGTCCAAAGATCAGCGGCCATCCAATTGTCTATTTTTCATAAGATGTTCAAGAAACATCTGAAGATCAACGGCCATCCGATTGGGTATTCTAAGAAAATGATCAAGAAACATCTGCAGGTCGACGCACTTTGCCGGAAGAACATCCTCCATGGCTTCCAACTCTTCCGGTTGTATGGTAACATCCACCTTGTCTGATTTCTGCCCACGTAGCAGGTCAACCTGAGAACGGGGTAAGATGGATTACATCAGATTAAAAAATTGTGGAATGGGTCACGTCAAGGCTGGATTTCACGTAATCTCTAGAAAAGAATCTGCCTCTGTTTGACCATTTACGAGCAACAAACATATCGCCACGTGGCGCAGACCACCAAGCCGGAAAATCGAGAGGAAAATAAATAAATAAATAAATAAATATTATTCATGTAGATGTTTAAAACTCACCCTTTTGGCGCCACTCTTGTCCTGTGTCCCAATAACATACCTGTTCACAGAGAGAAAGGAGATTAGTTCAGTTCCGGTTCCTCGAGCATCAGGTGAGTTAGGCTATGGAATCCCCAAAACATATCCGAATGTAGCGAAGAAAGGACAAAGGCATTACGTGTGGGTCGTGCCAAGGAGAGTCCCAGGAGCAATCCTTTCTTCTTTCTCTTCCAGAACCTAAGATTTCGGGCACAGAGATGAGAAAATCCAATAGAAGATAACTGACGAAGGAAAGAGAGAAGGGAACACAGTGTCTCTGATAAGTACTTGATAAAGTGGTTTCTCGGGCTCCTTCCTCTGTTGTTTACGGAGGTCGATGACATCGGGGGTCTCCACGCCAGTAGGAGTGCTGCATTGAAAAAATAAATACAGTGCATTAGATACAACAGACTAATCGATTCGATTTTGGCAGTCGGAAGAAACATAGAGCACCTTGAAAGGCTGTCGACAGACTGAATGCCCGCCTCCAGTTCTTCCTCCTCCATCTCTTCTTCTTCCTCCTCCTCTTCCTCTTCCTCTTCCTCCAGATCACCCCAGTGTTTGCTCTTGTCTACTGGTTCTTCCTGAATTCGAAATGGCGAATCATGACAAAAATCTAGCCGAAGTTTTAGACAGCAATTCTTCCAAAGAGTGGCGAAATAATTGCGGGAAAGAAATAAATGTACTACCTCGTAGTTTGGTTGATCTTGTTGTTGAAGCCCAAAGACATCACCATATAAAGGACGTCCGTACTATTCGTTAAAAAAACAACAAGTTAGGTTAAATATTTCATATACTGGTTCTGTCCAGATGAGGGAACGTAGTTATTTGGAAGAAGAACAAGAAGAAGAAGAAGTCAAACTCACTTCATCAACAGGGGGTTTGCCCCAGCCACCAGGATGATACCCAAAGCTAGCTCCAGCAGGGATTGGAGCATTTAAGCCAGGAATTTTCAGATGAGGATACGATGGCGGGGGGCCATACCTCTGTGAAGGAAAATTTTGGTTAGGTTACAGATGCACGTTTCGTGATTTGATATCACCCGCGTAGGTTACTGAGCAACTGACCTGCATGTTGATGAGCCATGGGGGAGGGGCACCATCAGGCATACCAAGAGCTTCTTTCAGTTCATGTGAGAGGGTACCTGGTTTCATTTCTCGTAGCTTGACCTGTCGCACATGCGAATCAAGAATCAAGTTCATAAACTATGAAGACAGAAAGAATGAGAAGCAACAGAGCAAAAAAACAGTTGGCCACTTTTGACTTGAAAGAGGAGTTACGGAGAAAAAACAGCAGCATGGCTGATTTTTCTTTGCGTCAATTGAACCCAATTTTTACTACATGATTCAAATAGCAAATATTTGTACTTAAGGTAAGTACTTGTCTCTTGGTTCCCTTCCTATTGAGAAATTCAATAATAGACTCTCGTCTAAGACATGAAATACTAGATTTAATATTTTATAAGAAACTCAACCGTTATCAAATGAGTCCTAAGACTTATCTTCATTAGAAAATTATTGTCATAATCAATAAAACCATTTAATATGCCAAAAAAATCATGAAAATTTTGTTTTACACGACGAAGTAGACAGTTATCATCTATTATAGCCTAAAGCGTATCGAATGAGCTCCAAATGGATATGATGTAAAAAGAGGGCCATACAACTAATCCTTGCGCTCCTGACTCTGCAACACAGTCGAACTGATATATCCTGGAGCAGATAAATTAGAGAACAGACTAATTGACAGTATAAGATGTTCAGGTTTTAGGGTCTATTTTCCCCCGAAGATGGGTGACGAAATACATAACATTTTATAAGCTCCCAGACCGGAAAATGCTCCCTAGCTAATTGCAATTTTTTAGAAAACTGCAAGGATGGCCACTTGGAATGGCGATCATCACAGTTCCAGTATCGGTTATTGATATGATGAACATAATTTTCTGAGAAACTTCTCATCCAAGGAAAATAAATAATCAGTCCGCTTGCCTAACAATTATCATCAATAAAATGTATCCAAAGGAAATATTATGGAATCATCCATCGTTGCACGGAAAAAATACCGAGGAATCTGACATCATAAGGAAATACACACGAGTCTGTTCACATCAGGGTGCAAAACACTGGACATACCTCAAATTCTTTTCCTTCGTGATAAAGATCACCGTGTGTCGTCAACTTCGGCTTAGTCTGGTACTTAAAAAACGCATCATGAAGAACCTGAAAGGAAAGTTTTTCGTTTATTTTAATGAATTCCAGTCAATGAGTAATAGTCAACCTGACAGGGTATAAAGACAATAGTAATAAGAGAATGAAAATTAAATTTCAGAATGCAAACCCCAAAACAAGGCGGACCTGGTAGTCAATATCCATCTTCCCCATCTTTGGTTGCATGCGCTCCCGCTGCTTCTGTTTCAATTTCTTACTATCTTCCTTCTCAATGTAGGCCTGTGGGTACAACAAAGCATATGGGTTACAACAATTACTATCAAGTTACTCTGATAGACAATGTAACATTTTCTTAAAAATAAAAAGGGATCTTATCAATCAACCAAAAAAAATAGAATTCCTTATGTTACTTCTTTTTACCTGGCGAATTTTTTCAATTCCAGTAGCAGCAATGAAATCAGGAAGCTGAAATGGTTGCTTTTCAATACCACGCTTTCCCTGCAAAATGATAATTTTTGCATAAAATCCATAATACATGAAAGATTGTTTGCAACCTACAGCACATTATCCTAATTCAGCCAGTTATATCTGAGAATTTTAAAGTGGTGTAACAGCTCAAAAAATCTCCAATATAAAAGCAAAAATTCAGTCCGACCTAGAAAATCAAGGGATGTACAAAGCACAAACTGTGATTATTCAATACTAAGTGCCAAAAGCTTGTGCTCTTTTAACTAGCACTAATGCAATCTAAAATATGCTCTTCGTTCAGTCTCACTTTTAGTTTCATTTCATTCCTGACAATGGCTTCAGGATATCATATATATTTCAATTAGCCCACCCACCCCATCAAAATATTCCAGGAGAAACCATTCAAGGTCCCCCCTTTTGCCAAACACCAACATGTCCAGGCTCCAAGATTGCTGTTACAGCCGGTTCCCTGCAAGAACCACATATACGTATAAGAGGGGAGTCATCGACTTCATCTTCACCCACCCCCCATGAGATCCCCTCTTCAACAGCATTTCCAATTTAAGGACTAAACATAAAAACCTCGTCAAAGTTAATGAGTGGTGCTACGACTCACCTGTAAGAACTTCCTCTTCTGGCACCAATGTCTTGGGACAGGCACAGTGTTTCGATAAGATTTCAGGAAAACGAGCAACTTTGGGTCTGCAGCAGTTGCGTCCCAGATCTAAAAATGACAAAAAAAGAAAAGATATTATCATTCTTGTGGAAACCTGACATGTGACTATGTAATGCAACACCACATTGGTATACAAACTTTCACGACTTCCTGTACCTCAAAAACTGACGCGCTATTTACACAGATTTATGCAATAGATAAGAAGGATTTATCAAATTCATGACATGAAAAACTTGACAACCATGAATTTTATGACGTTACCCCTGTTAGACAACAATGAGACACAATCCGGAGGATCTTTGTTTTGTGATTGTGCCATCCATTTCCCTTGCAACTGCAATCTATGTTGCAAAAGAAGACCTAATCATAAATACGAAAGGTACAGCACGAGCAGTTGACCCTATATACCAAGATTCATGTGACTGCAATCACAAGCTCTGTCCTACGCTCTTGAGCATTTCAGAAATCAAATATTGAAGAAGAGCAAAATGATTGACCTATTCGTTTTATTTTCAAGAAGACACGATATGTTTGATTTTCATAGGGTTGACAACACGACTAAATAAATAACAGTAAAAGATGGTGTCATAAAGGTCAAGGAACTTCCTCCTAACTACTCTTTCACATTTAATCTCACAATGCACTTTCTGTGATGATGTTCGTTCCCTCTTAAAGCCACTAATTTCTCCCAGACTCATTTCGCATCTACTAATGGTGTGAAGCATGTACTCCGTGCCCTCATCAAGGCCCAGATGTTCTCCGTGCCTTCCAAACTATCAATGCTTAAAAGACTACCTTAGAGATGATACGGAAGAAAAACCATGAAATGATCGCACAATATAGGATCTGACTCATACATCTTTAAGACTCTTCAGATGTCCTAGACCACCGAAGTTTTCAACTATCCAACAAAAGCATCCAAGGAAAATGAGATCAGCAAAACCACGAACTCGAGTCTTTTTAATTCATATCAAAGCTTGTCAGTAAAACAATACTTGGTCATGGGTGGCCAAACGGCTGAGTCAAAACGTGCTATCTCATGAACAGCATACTGGAAATGTTTTAATGATACAAAACGTGGTTTTAGGTCGCAAATGAGGACAGGAACTGGAGACCACAATTTTCTCCTCTACTTGATGCAAATCAAAAATGAAAGCCACTGATGAATATTGGCTGCATTCCTTGCCTCGGTCATTTAACTATATATCTGTATAAATATATAATTTTTCCATTGGACCTCCCTGCTTGGTTGAGAATGACGAACAAGTGGTGAACTGGTTGTCTAAAGAGAGAAAACATTCGCAGTCAGTTCCACTTAAGATTTCTGGACGTGGATATCATTTGTTCCCTAGGTTAATGTGAATTTTTAACCTTCAAACACTTTAAACTATATGTAGACTGTTAAATTGCCCATGGGTTGCTAAACTTTGCATCTAGATTAGAGTGATTAAACAAAACGTCGAAACCACAACAATACTGCAATCATTTGGAAGACGATATGCATACATACCTCGACTACATCTGGCTTTGAAGATATCTGCTTCAGTTCTGCAATTTTCATCCGTCTTTGGAGCTGAATGAAAATATAACAACTTGAGTTCTTCCAAATCAAAGAAAATTAAAAAAAAACGAAAACTACAATTAGTGAAGCAATAGGGAGGCAAAACCTTTTTCTTCTTATTAGATACGCCTTTCTCCTTCATTTGGTTGTCTTGCTCCTCCTCATCTGAGTCTGACTTAGCTTCCTGTCTAGCCACTGCATTGGCCGCTTCAACATTTTTAGCATTATCCTAAGGGAAACATCATTGCAACCAAAGTTAAAACCGAGACTGTGTTAAAAAAGTGTCCAAAAAATTGCGACATTCAGAATCCGAAATCCTAAATTATTCTAATCCTACCTCTGCTCCAGGAACGGAGTCACTAAAGCTGAACTTCTCAAACACCTTTTTGAAATCCTCAAGAAAAGTATCTTCAATCTCTGCCTTCTCTGGAACATATTCTACTTCGATTTTCTCCTCCACCTGCACAAAAGAACCAGATTCAATCGTATGATTTAACAAGAATAGTCCACTTTGCCAAAAACGGATCTAGGCAGTAATCAAATATCTCAGGTAGTGAAGCTGGCGGCCGTTGAGACGGCGCTTATTTTCTACTGAATCCTAAAAATTTAACAGTTAGATCAAAAGGGGCTGGCGTTGGAAGGGGAGCAACACATGATAACGGAAAACCCAGTACCAGGTATAGGAGGCGATGAAATCTCCTGAAGTAAACGGCCACGGAGATGGGAAAGATAATAGAAAGGGCAACTAAAAGGATTTTACGATCTCAATAAGAGTGAATTTCTTCAAACATTCCAAAACCCTAGCTATAAGGAACGGTTAACAAGCGGAACGTTCTGAAAAACCCGACTCGTGACAAACCTTAGGGAGACCACCGATCCCTTTGGATTCTTCCTCATCGCCGCTATCCTCACGCCCTCCGCTGGAAACGACGGCAGACGGATCGAGGTTCTTCTTCTGCTTCCTCCGGCGACGGCGGCGCTCGCTCTCGCGGGACTTCTTCCTCTCGGAAGGAGCCGACGCTCGCGGCTCCCCGCTCAACGTCCCGTTAGCGTAAGCGCCTGGTGCCGCCTGCCCTTCCGCGGCGAGCTCCGGGACCGCCATCGGTGTGGCGAGGAAAGACCCGACTGGTTAGAGATGGGAATGACAACGGGGGCAGCCGAGAGGAGGGTTTCTGACGTCTACACCCCACTTCCATTCTCCCCCGTTGATCGCCTAGCAAGACCTTAAAACCCACCGGAAGGGACGGCCCAAGTCGGCCCACACTACGTCGGTTGGAGTAGACGCTAGCCGAATGATAATGGGCGGGATAATTAGCCCACTATTAAGCCCAATAAGGTTCACAGCTAGCGGTCTAAAATTCATTAAAATATCCATCCTAATTAGTTGAAATTTAAAACATATTATAATTTTATAATCTCCACTTGCAATGGAGGTTTCACTTGTAGCCGTCCGGTTCTCCTTTCCCGCGCTGACTGTGAGAACATGCGATGGGCGTCAACAGAGGAACGTGCCAAGGATTTCTGGAAGGAGAGAGGAAGGTGTCTCCATCCCTCTTACCATCCCCCCCGACCCAGCACGACCTCGCCAGATCTGCGAGAAAATCCCCTTCCAGCTGCTCTGAGATCTGTGGTTGCCCCTCCCCCAGGCTTTTTTCTCCATCTCCCCTGGGAAAAGAAGGGCGAGAGAGGTGGAAGGCAGATCCAGGGATGGGTCTGGCCGGGGCCCAAGAGGTTGGGAACGCAGGGGGGGAGTATGGAAATGGGCTGTCGAAGCTACTCCCTGTGGGTAAGGGAAAGTACATGAGGATGGATGAGGAGCTCGCCCACGAGGGAGATGAGAACGAAACGGGTAGGATCTCGCCCCATGCCAGCGACAGGATAACCAGCACCAAGAAGTTCGTCTTCGCCTGCGCCATCTTCGCGTCTCTCAACTCTGCCCTTCTTGGCTACGGTAAAATTCAGCTGTTCCAACCTCTTACGATGTCGCTCGCCTTTGGATGCTCTATCTAGAATTCACCCGATCGCTGCCTTAGAAAAACTACTGCCGAACCAACAATGATGCAAATCTCGCTAATTGAAATTTCCTTTTGCATCTTTTGACGTTCCGTAACCTGTTTCCCGTTTGGTCCTATCCTTTTTAATGTGGCTTTTCTCTTTAGATCGCTATGTCTAGCTGGTCGATGCTTTGGGTTGATATCTTGTATGTCACAATGATTTCATCTTGTCAAAATTTATGTTTCCACAATTTTTTGGAATTTTTTATACGCTCACCTCGGAAGTACGCCACAATGAAATATATTTGTTTATTTTGAATTTTTCCGTCTTCGAAAATGATGAAACCGCTCTTTCTCATAGTTTTTTTCCAATATCTGATGTGATGGATAAAATAAGAATATCTAATTGCACTTTAATTTGAGATGTTTGTCTTATCTATTGTCTATGACGCTAAACATAGTGGGCATTATTTAATGTCACTTAAAACCGGTAATCAATGGTTCCATAGATCTAGCCTCACCTTCCTAAATCAATTAGACTCGTTGTTGGAGTAAAAATTCCCGTTTTTTTTCATAGTTCACTTTAGAGGCTGGCATATTTCGATAGTAGTGAACTTAATTCTTCTATGATTTATTTATTTTACTTATTTCTTAGAAAATTTCAGACCCCCCCCCCCTTATCATTTGTGCAGTGATAAATATTCCAGTAGCTGCCAAACTAGTTTCTATTTCGTCTGATCCTTCAATTACATTTTTGTGATTGTGTGAATTTCTTCTGGCACGCATGCTGCAGATGTTGGGGTTATGAGTGGAGCAATTCTTTTCATCCAGGAAGATCTGAAGATAACGGTTGTACAGGAGGAGGTTTTAGTGGGATGCTTGAGCTTCGTTTCACTTCTTGGCAGTTTGGGAGGAGGAAAGACCTCAGATATTGTTGGTAGGAAATGGACGATCGGCTTGGCTGCCATAGTTTTTCAAAGTGGTGCAATTGTAATGGCTTGCGCTCCTTCTTTCCAATTCTTAATGATAGGCAGACTTATGGCAGGAGTCGGAATAGGGTTTGGGGTTATGATTGCTCCAGTGTACATTGCTGAGATATCACCTGCTATGGCCAGAGGCACTCTCACTTCATTCCCTGAGATCTTCATAAATATAGGAATCCTTCTTGGCTACATTTCAAACTATATTTTTTCAGGTCTTCCAGCGCATGTAAGCTGGAGGATAATGCTTGCTGTTGGGATTCTTCCATCCATATTCATTGCTTTTGCGTTATTTTTAATCCCCGAATCCCCCAGATGGCTTGTTATGCAGAATCGTGCGGAAGAAGCTAGATTGGTTCTGTCAAGCATATGTGAAAATGAGGCAGAAATCAATCAGAGACTAGCTGAGATAGAGGAAGCCGCAGGGACAAAAAATGGTGTTAAGTATGTAGAGAAAGCTGTCTGGCGGGAATTCTTGCGGCCATCACCTGCACTGCGCAAGATGCTGATTGTAGGGATTGGTATTCAGTGCTTCCAGCAGATCACAGGTATTGATGCAACTGTATATTACAGCCCGGCAATATTCAAGGATGCAGGGATAAAGAGTAATAAATCGGTTCTGGCTGCCACTGTTGCTGTTGGATTCACCAAGACTGCGTTCATATTGGTCGCGATTATGCTCATTGACAAAGTGGGAAGGAAACCTCTGTTGTATGTCAGCACGATTGGGATGACAGCTTGTTTGTTTGGGCTGGGTCTTGCCCTCTCTTTTCTTCAACATGGAGTGGGATCAAAGGAGTTTGGGATTTTTATGGCGATTCTAGCGGTATGCGGAAATGTTGCCTTCTTCTCAGTGGGAATCGGTCCCGTCTGCTGGGTGTTGTCATCCGAGATATATCCCCTGAGATTACGTGCTCAGGCAGCTGGACTTGGTGCCGCAGCAAATAGAATCAGCAGTGGCGTTGTTGCCATGTCCTTTCTCTCTGTTGCCCATGTCATGTCAACTGCGGGAACGTTCTTTCTCTTTTCTGCAATTTCCGCTCTCTCTGTCGTCTTTGTATACATATACGTTCCTGAAACAAAAGGAAAGTCATTAGAACAAATTGAGCTTATGTTTCAGAATGGATTTGAGGTGCAGAAAAGTGAAGTGGAGCTCGGAGATGTGGAGCATCTGGTGCTGAAGGAGTGACATTTGAGAGTAACTGTTCTGGCGAATGACTCTTTGTATGGAGTGTCCATGCAAGCATGGGTGCCGACTGCTTAGGGAAGATCAGGAGAATGAGGGATATCCCCTTGATGCGTTCAGCTATTTGCTAGCGGTTGGTTGCCAACCTGGTCACTTACGGTCTGAGCACAAGAACTCCACCACACAAGGTTTCTACAGCAAGCATAATGCAGACACTGCTGCTGATGCCCAACAAAACGAGACACACTTGGTCTGGTTTACATTCGCAATTTCCCCCTTGTACACAATTCTGAAAAGTTTTGATCTGTACATGTATTGTCTTCAGACTGTCAGCTTAGAAAATTTTAATACGTTTTAGATATCAATCATAAACTATTTACTGGTGATGGAATGTTGTAATTTTGATCAACTCCTCCAGCATCATCGCATCCTTCGCTTTGTTGTTTGTTATCGCCTCACTCCTTAGAAATTGCTCATCTTCTAGACCAGCAGGTTGATATCAAAGCTCGGCGGGGACCAGGTGCTGCACCAGATTTTCAGACTCCACTTGGTTTCTATGTTAGCTTACTCAAAACCCAAAATCGAGTCAAGCATATTATAGCTTGAATGACACACACCGGCTCTGTAATATTTATTCTTTGTTGGATCAAAGTCAAAGGATGGTGTAATGACCTGCAAGCTTGGTCATATGCGGATTATGTAAACAACAATACCTTGGAAAGTCACAGAGAGAGAGAGAGAGAGAGAGAGAGAGAGAGAGAGAGAGAGAGAGAGAGAAAGAGAGAAAGAGAGAGAGATGTCCTCTAGCCTTTGGTGTTAGTGTGAATGTATGATGGTTGATTGTTACATTCATAATTGCAGATTGAATGAAGACCAAGTGCTTGGAGGATAATGTCAGCTGTCTCCTTAATACTAAGAAACCTCCATCTCAATGAGGACTTCATAGAAGTACAGAAACTCAAAGGGCAAGATACCCCTTGACTTCACACCAAGGAGTTACATAGGAGAATGGGAAGAAACAACCCGGTGCATCCTTCACCACCCCTATCAGCTGAGAAACCCTCTCATTTATAGGGGAGAGAGCGGAACAGGCATAGAGCCACAGGACACTTTGCGTACAAACGGTTCACCCATCCACCTTCCGTTGTTTGGGCATGCACTTATGTCTATTAGCACTCTGCATGCTGTAGTCAAGCTGCGCACTGCGTGCTATATCACCTGTCGGTGCTCCACCTTCTATCATGCTCTGCACATGATTGTATAGTCACGCCATGTTGTTGTCATGCAGCCATAGTGCTGTTGTCACAAGATGATCTAAGCGTTTTACCTTTTGCCAGTCAAGACTGGCCTCGATTGTTGCTCCACTAATGCAGAGCAGCCTTCTCCTTCACCTATGGAACTCACCAAGATCCTACTACAAGGTTAGGGTACCAAGGCACATCTATTACCTCAAGGAGGGGAGAAATACACATGAGGGAGAAGTGCATAGCATGACCACTTTTCTCCTCCTTTTGGTTCTCATTCTCTCTCAACCTATTACTGACTCCATTCACACTGCAGGTCCCTTAGCTCCTTTGGGGCGCAACTCTATCTCAGAAGTCTCCCTTCACCAGGCGAGAGACTCTTTCTCTCACTGCTGTCTCCACTCGTGCCCTTCTGGAGGACAAGGTTCTTTCCCTATTTCTGTGGGAGAGGGATGGGGATCTTCCCCTTTCAGGCCTTCCTCCATAACCACTTTCCTTTGCATATTATTTCTTAATATGTCCAAGGAATCCTTAGCTCTCTCCTAGATCCATGGGAATCACTGCGTATCTGGAAAGCTCACTCCTGCCAAGTCCTCTTAGCTGTTCATGCTTTCATGGGTGCTGCACGTATCCCCGCCGCATGCTGAGGTTAACAGTTGTATGCATGGTTGACCTCACCCTGCTTCTGCACACACCCCCATCGCATGCGCTGTATGTTATACGACCTCATACCAGCTGTGAAGTCATGTGCCAAGAACCTTGATCTATTACACCAAGGGTGTCACATCCTTACGCACACAACATATCAAACATCCTTGTCGGAGGGTGATCGTTGAGGTACGTATGGATCAAGTTATCGAACTGCCAAGGTCAATGTCGCGGTCCCACATCACATCCTCGATGAGTTTACCTTGCTAATTCACCAGGAAGTAAACGTGGTAGTGGGACTTGAACTTGCCTCGCAGATTGTCTTCTCGTCTATTGAGGATGGTTGCGCTCAGTGTCGTCTTTGTTGGCCACATGTTCAATAGAGACACATGAAAAACCAAGTGGATGGGAAATCGTCTCAATAAGCGAACCATTCTACTTATGGCACAACCTTGGATGGCAGCTTTGTTGCACTTGACTGTCCTGTATAGTCTTGGTGTCTATCGAAGCCTTATGTCCTATTAGGTAGCATGCATGACCTATCTATTTCGCCGACTCCAATAGGGGTCAACGTTTAATATCCTATGGTGAGCTCGAATGGAAACTTTTCCGTTGACAACTCTAGTTGATGTTGTAGGAGAACTAAGAGACATTCAACAACCTGGCATATTTATCATAATTTACTATCACTTAGTGGTGAAGTTACTCATCAATAACTTTAGCTAGATATCTATTTGTCTGAAAAGGGTAATTTAAAATTAGTGGGTGAACCTTATGTCCTGATCACTTACAGTGTCACATGGTAAGCCCCATAACTTTCTCATATGACTTATGAAGAGTACTTGAAAAAATATTCAATTACTACAGAGATCACGTTGTGTACTACGACTGCCCATGCTGCACACCCCCGTGTGAGTTGCGCCATGCCACTGGGTGCCCCCATGTGTGCGGTGTTTTATGTGCGTGATGGCGCCAGATGTACGCAAACCATGCACATCTGTACGAAGCACGCACACAGACCATCGCGCAAAATGTGCATGCGCTCACACCACGCTCCCAAGACTAAAATCCGATAAGCTGGGGGAATGGCAGATAAGGATGGAAACAGAAACCTCAGTTTAGTGTCATGTAGTTCAAGGAAGATGAACTTCAGGTTTGGATCCATAAACTAGGGAGAAAAAATGAATGCACGAGAGAACCCCCGTTTGTGGAAGATGTGCAGCTGGATCAGAGGATTCTTCCTACGAATGCTCCCATGGGTACCATGGAACTAGTCCAAGAGATCTAGAGGCATGTGGCGAGGGGACCCAAGATGCTATGAACATGATAGAAAATATGAGACCTTCGATCACCTGGTCAATTCTTTCCGAGGTGGACGAAGAATCTACAGCTGGTAAAAATGGTGACGCGCCTCAGGTTAAATTGCCCAAGAACAGAAAGTCGTCGACTGGCGAGAGAAAAAAACACTCTTTTCCTGATCTGGGTTTTCTGCCGACGGATGGGTATCAGTCCAAGGTTAACGAAAGATTCAGAGAAGTCTGGAGCAGGTTCGGAAGCCCTCAGGGAGGGAGAAAATTCTCAGAGGGGGTCCAATTATTTGATGGGTTCGAACTGTAAGAAGCCCGAGCCGTGCTGGCAGGTTCGGAAGCGATCTCGAGATTTGACGTAGTCAGAATCTGATTCAGCACGTTTCCCAAACGCAGGTTAGCGTTGAGTATGTCGACTTTGTGCCCGATTCCGGTGCCGCCTCCGTCAGTATTCAGCTTCCTCTCGCTCCGTCTATCCCCAAAGCCAGGCGTCTACTCTGCACGGGGACTCCCGCTCCCTTGGAGAAGAGGATGGAGCAGATACGGCACTCGTACGTGGATAATGGAGGTCTCAAGCTCCATGTAGCCGAGATCGGAAGCGGTGAGCACGAGAGTTTCTCTCTCTCTCTCTCTCTCTATCTCTCTTTTTGGGCGTCTGAATTGTGAATGGCTTCGTTTGCCGCTGTGATCAGGGGATTCCGGGGTTGTGGTTTTCCTGCACGGCTTCCCGGAGATATGGTACTCGTGGAGGCACCAGATGATCGCCGTGGCTGATGCTGGTTTCCGCGCGATCGCTCCCGATTTCCGGGGTTATGGCCTCTCACAGCAGCCCCCCGAGCCGGAGAACGCGTCCTGGTCGGATTTGATCGCCGACCTCCTCTCTATCCTCGATCACTTCTCCGCTTTCAAGGTCCATTCCATCCCCATTCGGAACCTTACAGCTTTTCGGTCATCTCCTTATGCGAACTGTTCGCTGTGGTTATTATTTCGAAGGCCAATGCTCCTCTTCGCATGAAAATCATGGACGATTTTCGCTTCCGAAATATTGATTTTGGAAACAATGTAGTTGAATGATCATAATTTCTTGGGACTGCGGTGGGATCACGGTCACCCACCTTCGTTCCCATGTGTCATTTAATCATTGAGCACGTAAGATGAAACTGTCAGCAGCCATATCTCCCAAGCTTGAACAGCAATATCTGGGTGGGTGCAGCATCTCTGGGAGTGCCCTTCATAACTTTGCAAGGTTACGAGATCACCCATGTTACCTTCTGCAAGAAATATTCATCCCGGAAGAAGCACAGGGTTTAATGTTTGGAATAGTTCTATCCCTGGAGGAGTGGGCTAGTGAATTGTTAGTAGGGTAGGCAGCCATGCTCTGTGGGTGAAGGGAAGCTTTAAAACGATATCAGATGGATAAATCTGTGGTAAGACAGTCATATTTTCATTTGAAGATGGGGAGTTGCTCCGTTCTAGGGCGGATGTATAAATCCGTGTAGAAGTCTGTGGCTCCAGTGGTGGGGACGCTCTATTGGAACGTTGACTTGTTCGTTTGAACATATGCCATTGTTCCATGTGATGTGAAAGTACGAGGAAACCCAGGAAAGTAAATGGATTTCGATTAGGGGTAATATACCTCATGTTAAAATGCGTTGACTGAATAAGTGGAGATTTAGTCAACGAGTTTACAGCTGTTTTTTTTTCTTGTTTTTCTTTCAAGTACTTGCTCTTTGAGTGATTGTAAAGGGGATTTGAAGGATAATTTTACTATATTCTCCTGTTCTTACTCTCCTTTTCCCATGGTGGTCATGCTTGGTTGAAGGTCTTTGTTGTGGCAAGGGATTTTGGAGCTATGGTAGCCTACCAGTTTGCACTACTCTTCCCGAACAGGGTGTCAGGGGTCGTGACTCTTAGTGTTCCTTTCGTTACTGAGGCTATCTCGATAAACACCTTGCCAGAAGGCTTCTACATGTTGAGATGGCTGGTAGGGCCTCTTCCCAACTTTGCTTAATACTCTGGACCGCAGTACATATTCTGAAAATCTCCTCCCAGGTACCCGGACGAGCTGAGGCAGATTTCGGTCGTTTCGATGTCCGAACAGTAGTGCGCAACATCTACATCCTCTTCTCTGGCAGCGAGCTCCCGGTGGCCGCAGAAGATCAGGAGATCATGGACCTGGTGGATGCATCTTCTCCCTTACCCACCTGGTTCTCTGAAGAAGACCTCACCGCCTACGCCGCTCTATATGAGAACTCTGGATTCTGTTTCCCCTTGCAGATACCCTACAGGTAACAATGGTTCCCTCTGTTCGTTCTACCGGTGATATCTGCGTGGTCATTTTCGGCAAACTATGGGATTTGCACAGGAAATTGGATGATGTGGAGAGCGTAGAAAATCCAAAGGTGCAAGTTCCTGCGCTGTTCGTCGTGGGTGAGAAAGACTACATCCTCAAATTCCCCGGTATGGATGACTACGTAAGGAGTGGTACGGTGAAGAACTATGTCCCCGACCTGGACATCAAGTTCATTCCAGAGGGGAGCCACTTTGTCCAGGAGCAGTTCCCGGAGGAGGTCAACCGGTTTCTCCTCAGCTTCCTCAAGAAACATTCCCCATAGCTGGGTGCCAGAGGAGAAGGTCCTGTCGGCTCCAGCACCTGAGAAGATCATCTTTCCCTTTGTTTTATGGAACAATTAAGTCCCCCACTGTAGGGGTGCCCACAGTAAATAAATCTCAGCGTTGACTTTGGAGCTCAAGGCGGATTAAGACGAAGGCTACTCTCGGGTTTCTTCCATCGATTTTTTCCTTTCTCCCATGGGTCTTTCTCTCAAGGGCACCAACCGACCTCTCATCGATCTCAATCTCCCCCCTGCTGAGGCAAAGAACACTTTTTAAAAATGAACCTTATGGAATGGTTCTTCCTCGCCATGTCTCCAGTAGAAGTTCCTTTTGATCCTCCATTCCAATTGACAAGTGCCAGCTATCTTCTCTCTCTGCCTCCTTTTTTTTTTTTTTTGTAGTGTCAGCATCAACAGCATTGAGGAGACGACGATCGCTTAACAGAAGAATGAGGAGTACAGTGATTCACGAGCAAGGAATCATGGATGGGGATCAATGGAAATTAGGAGACTTTATTTTTTTTTTTCTCACTGCTTAATATTACAGATTATTTCTGTTTCCAACGATCTCAAGAAGAACAGGCAGAATGGATCGAGAGGATCCATTGCCAGGGAGCGTTTTGGTGCCCGATAATCACAGAGAGGAGGAGGATGATGATGCCGAGTCGTTGCAGAACACGCAGTAATCCGACATTAACTGCTCGACGATGCTTCCTTCCTCGACCTCCATCGTCTTGCTGTGCCGGTTCCAGAGGTGAAGGGCGAAGCTGGCCTCCCGGAGTCTCCTGAGCTTGTCGGAGAGCCGCCGCCGATCCTCCCCGGATCTCGGAGACCGGAAGAGCGATTCTATCCTGCTCCAGTCGAACGGGTAGAAGGCCGCCGGCGGCAGCACGGTGAAATGGAACCCGGGTCGACCCGCCACCCTCGCTGCAACCCTAGAGACCAGGTACGGCCCGTTGTGACCCCATTTGTTCCCGTCGAAGGTGAGGGAGAACTCCTGGATGAACTTGAAGAGGAGCGGGTGGCCCTTGTCGAAGGCCATCACGGCGTTGTTCAGGCGGCTCCAGTTGCCGGTGGCGAGGTCCACCGCCTGCGCGCCGATGGCATTCCTCAGCGGGGAGAAGCTCCTCAGCACGATGACGTCGGCGTCGAGGTAGACGCCGCCGAATTTGTACAGGACGGCGTGGCGGAGCAGGTTGGAGAGGTTCTGGCCGAGGGGAACCTCGCCGGGGTCGACACCGCCGGCGAGCAGCCGCTTGAGCCACAGCGCCGCCGGCGTGTCCTTGAAGAGGAAGGCGTAGTTGGGGGAGATGGCGGAGACCCGGAGACCCCGCACAAGGAACGGGGCCAGCAGAGCGGCGCCCAGCGGGGTGTCCATGGTGTTGGAGAGGATGAGTAGGCAGGCGTGGGGGTGGAACTTGAAGAGGCTCTCAATGACGAAGAGCTCCCTTTCCCCGAAGGACTTGAGCGGAGATATCCAGGTCATGAAGAAGCGGTTCTCGCAGGTGGAGTTCCCATGGAGGAAGAACTCGTCGGCACGGGCGGCGAAGAGCTTGGACCGTTCGCTGGGGCGCAGGAACCTGCGGAGGGCCCTCCTCGACCATCTGCGCCGCTGGGCGGCGGAGAAGACGACTGGTTGGGGAGAAACCTCGCCGCTTCGCTTCTGCAGAAACCGCCATTGTCTTAGCGACTGGTGGGCCTCGGCCAGCGGAGCGGCCTCCTCCTTCGCGGCCATGGCGGTTGATCTGGGCTGGAGTAGGGTCGCCCGCGGCAGGGAAGAAGAAGCGGCGGCCTCAGTGCTGCTGATGCAGATGAACCCATTGCAGGCGGCGACGAGCACCAGGAGGAAGGCCAGGAGGGACGTCGGGAAGAACAATGACACCAGGAACGGGATCCCCCTACCCCACCCGCCGCCGCCGCCGCCGCCGCCGCCGCCCCCTCCCGGCGGTTTCATCCTCTTTCCCTCCGCAACCCACCTCCAAAATTTCGGCTTTCTGAACGTGCTGAGAGAGAAAGAAAGAGAGAGAAAGGGTCTGTGTTAGGCGGAGTGGGGTACACTAACGCCGGCCGCGGCAGGGTGTTAGTCTCAAGTAGAGATTACAACCAGACCCAGAGAAAATAAATACAGAATTGGACCCCGGGACAGGCCAAGGCCCCATTTTTAAACAGCGACTGCTGGCGGAGAGAGAGGGGAAAGCTATAGCTCGGCTTGCCCTTCTCTGCAATCAGACGGCCACAGCTACCCTTCCCTCTTTACGCCGTCAAGCATGGTGGTCCCCGCTATGCTCCTTCTCTCCCGCTGTCGAATGAGATCTACGTCCCTTCCACCGGTCTGTACGACGGCCACTGTGGCCGACGGCGGAAGACCACATCCCCTCCCAAGTAGAAACCTCTCGCTGTAAGCTCCACCGGCTCAGCCATGAGAGTTGCGGGGCCCACCTCAATCGGATCGACACCTGTCGGTCGTGATTAAATTACACAATTGCCATCGGTATCTACGGGTGTGTTGGGTGAGACATGAAGCCATCGTGAGCCCCTCGACGCCGACGTGATCAATTCGTTGACCCTCCCAAGACCCGCCGTACGGGGGCAGTTTACTGTACTTAAAAGTGGCCCAACGACCAGAACTTACGTTCCATCCACGTGGACCCCCCACATCGAGATGATAATTCTCCGGTGCCTTATCTTTCGATTTACCCCTATTTTACGAATTATATCTAATAAGGTCGGGTTTGAGATACTGCTGACAAATTTCATACGATATGAGGAATTTTTATGCAATGTGTGTGTTTTGAGGGGTCTAAAACTAAAATCTAACCCGTACGTGACGCGGGCATGGATCCCAAATGGGCCGAGCCCAGTTAGGGCACCGTACGTGATTTGACTGTTCGATCAGATCTTGATTCGGTGGACTTTTTCTTTGGGCTCACCAGATGAGAGTTCCGTGATCAAGGCTAACTATTCGTCTCCATCGGGTTGGACTCAGACAGAGAGACCCACAACCTCACACCCGCCGCCGTCGCCATGGCCGGCTACTGCTGCGGCTCCTCCTCCCTCCCTCGTCCCGCCGCCGGGAACGCTGCCTTCCGCCGGCGGGAGACACGGACGAGGAACGCTGTCAGGTTCCGCCGCCCCACCGTGGTCTTCAGCGCCCTTTCCGATCCCTTCGTGCTCGAAATCGCGGAGAAGCTGGAGGATTCCCTCTCTGTGAACGCCGGCGACTGTGCTGTGCCGCTGCAGAAGCTGCGGGACGTCTCCTCTCAGTCGCTGCTCTCCAGGTCATGGCCCTCCCTCAAGGACGAGCCATTCCGCTTCACCGACACCTCCTTCCTCCGGCAGTCCAGGATTCTCCCCGTCTCGGTACCCCCTTCTCCCTCTCTGGAGCTTCCGGTCATGGCCGGCGGATCCGTTTCCCCGCATGTCCTCGTCGTCGTCGATGGCCGTGTTGTTCCTTCTCTCTCCGAGCTCTCCTCGCTCCCCGAGGGCGTCTACGTAGGGGGAGTCTCTGATCTTCCGCCGGGGCCTGCGTCGGAGAGAGTCCTGGAGGTGCTCGCGCAGGGCGACGCCTTCCACGGCGGCGACCTCTTCTGGGACATCAATGGAGCCGGAGCTCCTGATTTGTCCGTGGTTTACGTGCCGGCTGGTGTCAGAATCGTCGACGAGCCGCTGTTCTTGCGGTTCTTCTCTATGGAAGGGGGCGAGATCGGGACGAATTCCCTCTTCGTCTCAAACCCTAGGACGGTGGTGGTGGTGGAGAAGGGAGCGGAGCTGGCGATCGTGGAGGAGCATTTGGGGATCGATGGCAGCGACAGCAAGTGCTACTGGTCCAACTCCGTGATGGAAATCGTGGTCGGCGATGGCGCGACGCTTTCTCACTCCTATCTTCAGCAGCAATCCCGAAATGCTGCTCACATCAAGTGGACCTTCACCAAGCAGGTGAGTCGCTCTCGCGATCTTCTTCGCTCGCTGTCATCTCAATCGATTGCATCCTCTTGAACTTCTGGCTTCTCCTCAAGAACGTGCGAGGAACCCTAGAAACATCATTCTGGTTACTATAATTGGCGGAGGATAACAGCGTGATCATCTGCAGGAATCATCCAGTGTCTATGAGCTCACCGAGGTGAGCACCGGGGGGAGGCTGGGCAGGCATAATCTGCACGTCCAGCAGATGGGGCCGGACACTAGGACGGAGCTCTCGACCTTCCAAATGTCCCGAAGCAATCAGACCCAGGATCTGCACAGCAAGCTGGTCCTGGAGCATCCTCGCGGGTTCTCCCGGCAGCTCCACAAGTGCATCGTCTCCTATTCCTCCGGGCAAGCCGTTTTCGACGGGAACGTCAAGGTCAACAGGTACGCGAGAAGAGAACCACCTGCTCCATGATTCATCTCCTTCCCCGGTAGCATAATCGTGCTCGACCTAGGAATTCTCTCAGCTATTGGATTTGGAGATCTTCGAAGAGTGAGGGATTCCCTTGTAGTGCTGTTGATGCAGAAGCTTTCATCTCATGAACTGCACGAGTGCTAGGGTTTTTCAGAAGGTTGCTGATCAGCTTCCTCGTCCTCCTCCTTAACCTGGCAGATACGCGCAGCAGACCGACGCCGGGCAGCTAACTCGGAGCCTCCTCCTGGCGCCTCGAGCGACCGTCAACGTGAAGCCCAACCTGCAGATCATCGCCGACGACGTCAAGTGCTCCCACGGAGCCGCCATTAGCGACCTCGAAGAGGACCAGCTCTTCTACTTCCAGGCCCGCGGCATCGACAGGGACACGGCGAGGGAGGCCCTCATCTTCTCCTTTGGGGCGGAGGTCTTGGGCCGACTGCCCTACGAGTCCCTCCGAAAGGGCGTTGCCAGTCATATCAAAACCTTGCTGTCCGCCAAAGAACCCTAATCCTTTGCAGCTGATTTTGGGTTCGATCTCAATCCTCGGAATCACTGAAGATTCATACTGAAAACTCTTTTTCTCTCTCTACCATTGAGAGGCTGTCAGATTTCATAGCCGGGGAACCTGGACTCGGAGGGCCGGGCCATGCCGAGGAAGAGGAAGGCCATGCCGGCCTGGCCTTCGAAGAGAGAGTAGGGCCGGTCGCCGCCGTGCATCTCCCCCGCCGCCATCAGCTCTCCGGCACGGTCCAGGAGGAAGCTCGCGAAGGCCCTGGCCCTGTACAGGTGCTCCGCCGCGCCGGTGGCTCTGTAGAGCGAGAGGAAGACGTGGGCGTTCCCGCTGACGCCATGGCAGATCCCCACCCTCCTGAGGAGCCCCCTCCGCCACACCAACGCCGCCGCATCTCCGGCGGCCCGCAGGAACTGCCCCTCCTCGAAGACCTGCATGAAATAAGAAGAAGAAGAAGAAGAAGAAGAAGAAGAAGAAGAAGAAGAAGGAGGAGGAGAAACAGTCGCTGGAGTAGTGGTACCTTGTGTGCTCCGGCGAGGGTCAGGGCGGCGCCGGGAGCGCCGTGGCACCAGTGGACCAGGCGGTCGGACTGGGAGCCGTCGCTCGAGGGGTAGTTGCCGCTGGGGAAGCGACTGCGGATGAGGAAGAAGAGGGTGTCTCTGACGGATTCTCGATCTTCTGGGCTCAACTCGACGGTCATCAGGGCGTTCATGATCCCCGCCAGGCCATGGGCGGCGCCGCAGTACTTCTTCCCGTGCCATTCGTACATCAGCGGGCAGGGGCTCCCGATCTTCCGGGCCAGATCTCTGCCTTCCTTGACGATCTTCCTCGCGACTCCAACCTGAAACTCTCAACAGGGTGACCTCCTCCGTCTCAGACCAGTAGAGAGAGAGAGGGAGAGAGAGGGCTTACCGTGTGGGGACTGGGGATCGTCTCCCGACCGATGTGCTCGTTGAGGAATGAGCACGCCCAGAGATAGCCGGCTCTCCCGTACAGCAGTTCGTTGGGAACATCCGAGGGCATATTTATCTGAAGATCACGGGGCAAACGTAAAGCTGAGGCTCGTAGAGAGAGAGAGAGAGAGAGAGAATCTTCTGCAAGTCATGAGAGTGAGGCATGGGAGTGAAGTGATCTTTACTTCTCTAAAGGAGCGCAGGTACTGGTTCAACGCTGCATCATCTCCAGCGCACTTTGCAGCAACAGCCCCGATTGCGCAGACACCGGCTCTCCCACAGATAAAGGTCACGTATCTGTGCGCAGATTCAAGCTTAAACAAGTAACAAAAAACACCGGCAAGAGAGAGAGAGAGAGAGAGAGAGAGAGACCCGGATCCTTGAGAGGCAGCATCACAAGCCTGGACGATCTCAGAGCAAAGTCTGAGGTCGCTCCTATTGTTGGTAACCTGGTACGCCTTGAGGAGGAGGAAGGCCGTCCCTAGGGCACCTGTGTAGAGGGTGAAGTCCCTCACGCGTCGGCCACAGCCCGCCCATGTCTTCTCCACAATCTGACAGAGGAAAACGCATACATGAGCCACAGCGCAGGAACTGATCCACTCCTCTCCGCGAAGGAACCTCCACTTTGGATGCAAAACCCTAGGCCGACGCCATGGGGGCAATCGGATTCAGTGGCCATGGCTGAGGAGAACCCTAAGTGCTCTTCGAGCCCGATCGGAGACGACAAGCGCTCGGCCTGCAGACGAAGGAAGCGGGCGGAAGAGCGAGCGAACCTTCTCCTTGAGATCGAGGCCCGCCCGCAGGAACCGGTCGGCGGCGCTGGGAAAAGGCAGAGACAGGAGCTTCAGGAGTGACGTGCCGCCCCCCGCCGCCGCCTCCTCAACTTCGGCCTCCGCAACGAACTCCGGCATCTCGTTGCTGAAGAAGCGATCCGCCATGGCTTCTTCCACCGCCCTCCCCGCACCGTCGTAGGGAAAGCAACGAGCGAGGCCACCGTCCCCCTCCTGATGCAGTGGCACCCGTCCTCCGCGGTCAAAAACCAGACCCGTCGGCTTTACCTCTCGACCTACCCATTCTAGAAACTGGTTTTCTAGTTAATCGGCTCCATAAAACTGATAAGAAGAACTCTGAAGGGCGCCCTCACGTATTCAGCTCTGAAGGGTGCCCTCGTTCTCCTCGAGAAAACAAGCATCGACCATTAGGTTTCACCGGTTGACCGGAATCTACAGAGCATCATCACCATCCACAAGAGTCCTTTACAGAGCAAAGAATAGACTAGAACATCTTCTACTACTCGGATTCAAACCCTGACTCTTGTAACCAAAAAAAAAGAGAAAAAAAGAGAGGAAGAAGAAGAAGAAGAAAAAGAGCAGCAGCACGGCCTTGGGAGATAATATACATGAACAGCCTGGGGTCAGGGACGGGGGGGGCGGGTTAGGAACAGAGCGTGATCCAGACCACCCCCTCCCCTCTCATTCATTCTCCACAGCCCGAAGCCACGCCGAGAACAAGAGGCCGGAGCTGTACAGGGCCTCTCTTTCTATCTCTAGGAACCTTTACACGATTCGATGACTTCGGCGACTATCTGATGGGTTTCTGGAGATATCATGTTCAACGACACATGAAACGCCTGCAAAAAGAAGAGAGAAAGGCAAAAGATCACGCCGTGGAGAAATTCGGCCGACACGATCGGAAGAAGAAATCAGTCCAAAAACCAAATGAAACCCACCACAAATTTCTCCAAGACGGGCACAAGAACCTCCAGCTTCTGGTCCGGAAGGCACCCGGCGATGGCTTCCCTCGACGTTTTACTGCAGAAACTAGAAAGTTAGAAGACCGGGAGACATCCAAGCCGCATCGGTCTCAAGTGGGGACTGAGAGAGAACCTCTCTGTGGAAAGAAACGCGAGCAACAAGGCCGCGTAAGCTTCGATGATCATCATCTCGGCTTCCTTCTCTCCTTGCAGCAAGGCAAACTCGTCATCCTGTCCAGGACAATTTTTACAAGGATTTCGACTTAATCAGAGCCGATTATGCTGGTGCCGTCGATCTGCACAACCAATCTACAATGAATCGAACACAAGAAGCTATGATATTTACTCACATACGACAGGGGCTTCTCTTCTCCAGCGGCTTCGCCGGAGCCTCTATTAGACAGGAAAATCGAGCACAGCAATGATATCACGTCCCTACGACGACCCACATCTTCTCGTCCTCCAGAATGGACCACCGGAATACTCGCAGACGCAAGCCGTGACCTGGAGATAGTCAGCCGAATCGTAAGGGTTATCCGACAACACCATCCTAATACTGAATACCACTAGGGCACAACGATCCCGTGTTAGAGGAAGAATGGCAGGGATGAACCCTGCAACCTCTGGATCATGCGCTCATAGAGAACAAAGAAAGAAAGAAGGAAATAAAGAAAGAGAAAATTAAGGGAACTGATTGGTATCGAAGGTTCCCATTGGAAACCTTGACAAAAACGGCATGACCATCATAAACAGATGCAGATAATAGAGAAAGCAGTGAGATTGACCTGTTTTGATTGTCCTTCTCCACCAAGTTCACAAGTAATCCCAAGATCGCCACGAGGAAATCTAGTCCATGGTCGCTGAGATGCTTGCTTTCCGAGGATCCTGGGTGAGCGCTTGACTTGGACGCTGAGATGGTTTCATCTAATGGATTATCCACCGGCTGGAAGAAGTCAAACGATGGGAAGTGACTACCAATTAAGGAAGCCAACATGTCAAGCCCTCCGCATGCAGCGATTTGCTGACAACCTATTGGATTGTCGTTCGTCAAGTTCATCAGAACCTGGGAAGAAATCCGAGGATAAATTAGTCAGTAATTCGAAGATGCTTTCTCAGATAAAACACAACTGAACAAAAAAAAAAAAGGTTCCATTTTTTTTATTTTTTACACGACCTAATGGATCTTATCTAGCAATCGCTTCCAACAAGAATTGGCTAGTATACAGACGACTCCGTCCACTTTTCCTCATGTACAGCGAAGGGAGAACATTGCAAGGAAGCTGGGGCCGAAATTAACCTCTCTCATCATCTTGCATGGCATGAAGCTTTTAGAAAGTAGCAATTATGCCTTCACTACAAAAGGGTTTTAAGCACGACAAATTCACTAAACAGAAGAAGCTACAACAGGAAGAAACCATGCATCTGAAAAAGTCAATTCTAAAAATGTGGCTGGGGTTGAGATATTTTACATTAATGGACATTATTGCGCCTGTGAGTCCATATTGCATAAAGCAAAGTCAATAGAGAGCATGTGAGTCAATAGCATTCATGCTGTATCTCCGACAACATGTCTTTTCATCTCAGTGGTAGTGGAAATGGAGTGATGAGATGCAGCATCTATCTCAGGAATCACAAATACAAGGATGATGACATGCCAAATAATTGCAAAATCAAGAGAAACAAAAAAATTGGCTGAATGAAAACACGCCATGACAGGATAATTTTAAACCTTATTCGGTCAAAAGGCACTATAAACTTGTTGGAATGATCTACTCCACCAACGTGCATACAATAAATAACATGAAAAAAAAAAGGAGCTAGTGAACCTTTTGTGCTGGAGAACAGAGAAAAGTGTACCCAGTTAAAGGAAAAGCAAACCCAAAAACACCTGCTAGAGATATAAAAGGTGATCCCAGAAAAATATCACACAAGGAACCCCATTAATCCTAATTTTAGCAAGAAAGTGCATATTATGTGCCGAATATAATGTTCATTTGGCGCTATACACTCCCAACTTCTTCCCTTGACACACAAGGAACCCCATGAGAAAGAGAAATTTGAAAGTATCTGATGATTGAAGATAGTGTAGGATTTACCTTGACTGCAGTCAGTAGACAGTCTTCTAAAACACCACCATCCTCATCAACCACATAAGAACAAGAGTAATCAGGATAGATGTTTTCTTCCTTGGTAGATTCAGGATTGCCACACATTAGCATTCGTCCATCTTCCAACTCCAAGTCAACAACTGTGCTTTGACACTTTTCAGATGTCCCTTTCCTCTTCGCCAGCATCTCCCACTTTGTGGGGCCTGATTCATCTTCCTCAAATGCAAATGGATCCGGTGAAGGGTCCAGTTTGTCATCTAATCCAGCATCGTTCTGCTTTGAAGCACTGCCATCATCCTCATCGAACGCGAATGGATCATAGACACTTTTAATGCTTTCACTCTTAGGTTTCACTGTAGCCTGAGGCCTTTTCTTCAGATGAACAGAACCCATCTTTGAACAACTTCCATTCAAGGATAAGCCCTTACTTGACTCATTCGGGAGACTTCTTTTCAATTCATTACCACTGATGACAAAACGCTCCACCGAACCACTCACAGAATTGATTTTTGATTTACTGATATTTATAGAAATCCATCCACTTGAGCCTCTAATGGGGTTGACATTTGAAACTTTGGCATTCGTAGGAAGGCTTGTCACAGAACAATTTAATCTCTTTTCGGAAGAGTCTGGTGGACTATGGTGTGTTCTTGACTTCGGGTAGTTAACGTTAATGCCAGATGCAATTGTTTCTTCTGGATGAGAAACAGAAGATTCCGATTTTGAAGAAGACAATCTTTGACGCTTCTGACATGACTTTGACTTTTGAGTGTAGGGTAACCTTTGAGTGAAATAATCCCCGCCAAACTCACCTGATGAAATCCAACAGCAGTCATCTGAAGATTTTCAGGAAGAGCAAAGTTAGATAAAAGAGAAATCAAAAATTACAAGCCGCTTATCACAGAAACAAACATGCAGCACCAACGTGTTTGAAATGAGGTCCTGAGGCATATCCTCACAGATAAATACCGAAAAAGCACACAAATCATATCCAAAACTAGTTCACGAGTAGAAAAGATCAAATAATGATGGCAAATTTGTTTGATGAGCTACATTACTGTAAGTGGAGAAAAGCCAGAAAAAGGTTCTGCCCTGCTCGTATAAAAAAAAATTCATCGCATATAATCAGCAAATACTTTAAATTTTTTCCTAACAAAAGAATGAAGCTCGGGAGTTCGAAATGGCTAAGGCATACCCTTCAAGAGATAACTTGGCTGCTGCTTGGAAAGATGGGGATAAGTTTGACGCAAAGAAAGATCTGCAATGGACCACTGATTGCGTTAATACAAAAAACATAAAAACCAGGAAAATGTATGTTATATTAGAAAATAAAGAACCATAAAAAAAATATTTTACTGTTAAAGTACCTGAAATTTTTTTGATTGCGCTTATTACTAGCCTGACAAAGGAAAGAGGCAGTCCTTCATCGTCCACCTTTGCTTTCATCTCTAGAAGATGGTTCTATCCAATAAATTTGGAAAATAAATGTCAACAATAAAAGGTAAAAAGGATCCGGAATCAAACAACTCGGGCAAAAAATATCAGGGAACTACTTTCACTACCTGGTTATCACTACTCATAAATGTAGCATTTTCCATTATCTTGAAGCATTTCAAAAGAAGTACTATGCTTTCCATATCTACACCTTTACGCTCCAAGAATGAAGAAAAGCCATTATCTAACCGTCCCTGAGAACAAAAAAACAAGAATATACCACAATGACAACCATATAAACAAATTCAGAAAAAAAAAATTATAGATTGGTGAGACACAGTGCAATGAAATAATCAGCAGAATATATTTATTACATTTACTAATGAATTATGCTGATTATATTACAATAGCACGGATTAAACAGGCATACTGACCTTCATCCTTGAAAAGGATCTCGCAGCAACACTGAAGATTGCATCAAGTCCTCCAAGTTTTCTCAACCTTTCCTTGAAGTTTCCCCCTACCCTGCTCACTGCTCCAGTGGTATCTGAGAAAATATGGAAAATAACCGACAGAGAGAATCTTAACTCTCATAGAATTACAAAAAGAAAACAGCAATTTACGAAACTTGTCTACCAATCGATCTACAAAGAACCTAAAATGTAATTTAAATGAAGAGGGAAATTGTATGACCTAAATTAATTATCGAAAAATGTCTGCACAAAACAAAATGAATGCGAGAAACATGTTTAGCTCAGAAGATCTGTCACCCGAGATATTAATAGCGTCGCAGCCAACCAGTAGAATGCTAGCTAGCGACTATGGAGAGTTAGATGATATGGATTAAGCTCTCTGGATAGAATGCTTCCAAGAGAAAATCCTCATCCGAAGCTTTGGCACAAACTAGGGATGATGAAACTAGCATCCTTCTAGTGAGCTTTATGGCAGCATGATTAGTTCCTTACATAGCCCTTTTTCCAAGTTTTAAGAGGTACCTTGAATAGAGACTGCAGACAAACACGCTTTCTCTATGGTTAATAATGCAATCCATTTTGTGCTCAACTCTGGCCTCCCAGCTACATCATCATCTCCACTCCTTCGTTTTAGCGCTTTGGAACTTAAAAGAATCTCCTGAACCTTTTCCATTATTGAAGTTGAACTTGAATCTAGTTTTTTACCACTATTTTGTACTGCTAAGACCTTGCAAGCGTTGGTAGGAACTTTGTTGTCGACACCTTCAGCAACACGTGGATTCAGTAATTTAAGCAGAAAATTGACACATGATGGCGAGTCCATCAGGTAGTCATCCGGAACCTGAAATAACAACAGCCAAAAATGTTTGGTACAGGCAAGATCATATAAACCAAAATCTAATAGGAAAGCACTCGTTGCATATTTATGACAGTTTCTCCTATTTAGGCATCACAGAGTATAGAAAATTTGAAATTACAATGACTATATGTTCATGCATTTTCAGGATAACTAAGAGGAAAGTTCCAGCCGTGAGGTTGGAATCAAATGAAAAATACCCTACAACATCTGACCATTACATCGTTCAAAAACGGGGAGAATTCGAGACTTCAGAGTTTGACCGAGAAAACAACTGTGAACAATAGAATACACATTTCCACAGGTTTTACATGCAAGGACAAACCATTTTTTCTTGTTTAACACAGTCAATGTTCTTCCAGGGTTTTATAAGTTATAATAAAGCATTGAGTACCACAAATATCCCATATCTAGATGTGACTTTTGAACAGTTTTTGACATTCTAATCTTGTCGAAGGTTCTCAAGTTGAATCGTAATAGGTCTGTAACTTTGTCTGTAATGCAACGTATGTTCTATAATAGGTTCCACTTTTCTGAACCTTTTTGGAAGTTGATCGATATTCTTGCCAACAGACGAGTTGGATCCCGTGCTTTATTTCTGCCATAGTAGAACCAGATTTGAAAGTAAAAGTATATTGAACCAATAATCGAATTTTTTTTCAAGTGTTACATATTTGATTCCATTCATAAAGCAATTTCCTTCTCGGGAAGGTAAACAAGCACACTATTCAACTAAATTATAGTTATATGACCTGCTACCCTCTTTACCTGAGATAATAAGATCAACTGCAAAGAATCCTTGGATATCATGTTCAATATATAAAATGTTTTTTTCAGTTCTCCCTACGAACACAAGGTGACATCGCTATTACAGTTTAAAGACCTAGAAAAGATGCTATAATTCAAATGAGCCTTCACTTTTTTCAATTAAACATTTAGAGCGAGTTTCACCAATATCCTTTGTTTTTCAGTGACTTCTATTTTATTTGTTCACTTTCGTCTACTAAATTTTATACCAAGACACTTAAGGTGACAAACAAGGACCACTATAATGCTCAAAGAGGTCAACAAGAGAATCTTTTGGGCTCCCTAGCCTATGCAAGAGAAAGCAATTCAGTTGGACCATACCAAATCCATCCCTACCAACCTCTATAAAAAAAGCATCCTATCATTAACCCTTCTGCACAGAGGTTCTATCATGAATTGGAGGTTATACAACTATGATGGCCTTTCCACAACAAGAATTAGTCATGCAAGCTAGGTGGACATACATGGGCATCCTCCACTTGGAACCATCGTCCTGACACAAGAAGTCAATCTCACGTCAAGCATATAAGCGTTTATGATGTTTGTATCGCATTTATGATGTCATGCCCATAATGGCCTTGCCTTTTGCATCCCTAGGCACCAATTGCTTTGGCATGTCTAGGTGATACAGAGCTATAGGCAACACTCACCCCCGCCCCTAATAGAAGGGTGTGACACCGCTCTCCACAATAGTAACGATGAATAAATAATTTGATCGTGTATGAGGATGACTGCAATATACTGAGGAGTTGAAGAGTGCCTGAATGAAAAAAGGAGGCGGAGGAATAGTTCAATCAATTGACAGGAAGAGAAAGAATTGAAAAGGAGATTGAACTATGGAAACAACGGAAGCTACCATATGGAAATTTACAAGTATCAACCTGATGCACACCATTTTTTGAGGTTGTACAGCAGAATGGTAAAGTGGAAAATATCAAGTAAGAGGCTAGGAAGTGGGAGGAAGAGGTTGTATTCTTCAGGACAACCATAAAGAAGACGAGTTTTCCAAAGGTGGGAGAGAGGAGAAGATGATAGAAATCGGGAGCAATCAACTAAACACAGTGTTTGAGATTTTCTGCGAGTGGAAAATGATTATCATCTTCTGAGTTTGAGATTTCCACATCTTCAGAATCTTCTGTCAGAATGAGAATGATTATCAGTAAATAGACATTATCATTTTATAGGACTGGGCAGTGTCCTTTGGACTATCATACTTCATGCATGCCCAAACTTTAATTCGAGAAAAACTCAGAGGCAACAGTATGAAACAAGAAAAATTAATTCCGCAAGTCATCCGTTTTACAACTTAATTCATCTAAATTGCCACTTTTATCGAGAATAGTTCCAAAAACTTGGGACACTGACTATGCAGTCCATAACCTGGTACCCAAAAATAATCAGAATCTCAATCTTACAGTCTATCTTCACTGACGAATCTGAAATCCTAATTCCTTTTTGAACATGGTGTGATGTTAGAAAAATAACTTGACTAATTTCATGTAATTGTTTAAAACTTGCCTCAAATGCTCAAGTTTTATCCAAAGAGGATGACAGAGACTGAGGGGGAATCTATCAGTGCCCAATGCCTTCACTACCTATGCATTAAACCTGTCCGGACCTCATTATGTTGGATTGCCTGAAAAAAAAATTTAAGCACTGTCTTCTTCTAAGCTCTTAAATGGCGAGAATTAACTTCCTCGACTTCAAATAATTCCTTTAACCTTTTGGTTCAGCCCTTAACTCCCTCCTTTTAACCATCGATTGTAAGAACTGCATATGACTCTTCAAATTTATATTAGATAAAATGGGCAAGACCAGGTTATCCGGTCTATTGAGCATCTTGAATGGCGAGGAATGTTATAACATTATTACTGAGTGGGTTTCTTTTTTATATGGCAAAACGAACGGGACACGACCGCTGTCCATAAAATCTCGTAAGTGATATGGGTACCAACATTTTCATATCACTATTTTTCTCCCGGGGCAACCTCACAGTTAAATGTTTCATGCCTTCCATGATTTAACTAAAATCCTTGACTTGGCAGAAGGCGGGTACCATCCCTGATCTTCAAATTTGCATCTTTAAGTTTTCATTCAAGGAAAGATGATGGACCAGTACGTTGTGAAAACGACGCACAACCACTCTATATTTTTCAAGAAAACAAAAAAAAAATCTGATGATCTACACGTAAAAATCAACAGGAGTCCATTAATAAATCAATAATACATCCCAGGGTGCTTGTAGCACAAATCCATTCCACCTGATTGAAGGAGATCTCAATAAATTCTGTACATCGGCATCCAAGGCGCCGATCCACTACACATTCTTTCATGTGAAAAACAGACAAAATTTTCCTCAACTTTCATCTAATGCCCATCAGATTTCAGGTCACTACCTTCACGACTTGTGGGAGACTTCACTGACCAAAGTACGGGACCAGCAAGTGGAGATTGGCGAACCTAAACAAGAGCCAAAGATAGTTTCATCATGTTTGTAGGGTACTGAGGATGACAATCCGTTTGAAGATTTTTCCCGATAGGATTGCGATTTATTAACCTTCAGTCCATTGTCACAGTAATAAATTCATTGAACAAGAGCTGACAAAACGAATCACGGAAAGGAAGCATGAAATACTTCTTTCTTTAATAATTTCTAGATTTTTTTTCTAACATGGATTTATAGTCGATGCATATCTCCTAACCAGATGCCAAAACATGTTTAGACACATTTTTGGTAAAAGAAATCGGAGTAACTTACATCAGTAGCCAAAACATAAAATAGAGCTGCAGCAGCAACACTGCAGGCGGAATCATCAATTCCTAGACCCATAATAGCATCAATTATCTTCTTTGACATCCTAAAGACACAAGAAAAAAAAAAGTTAACAGGTGCAATGTAGTTCTAAAAAAGTACATACATCTCAAAGCATCAGGGCAGCAGATGAAGGCCGTTAAGAATACAAGGGCATTACATTCATGAAGAGGAGGAAATACGTTGATTTGAATATCAATTGCAGAAAAAAAATCACAACAATATTATGAATTTCTGACTAGCAAAATGATGAATTTAGGTATACCCAGATCCTCCGACATGGTGCCTAAGGTTTATCTTTAGAAAATCTAGAGGTAAAAAATCGGGAGAAATGAATTGAGGAGAACCAACAAAAAGGAAATTATTTCAATGAACATTTTCACGAATAAATAAGTTAAGGGCATTTGGTAACTGACTATCGCTATGCCAATGTCGCATAGGACAATAAAGATGATGGCAAAAATTCTTCAGTAGAAACAGCGCTATTGTCTAATTCCAAGTATGAAGTTAAACTGAGGCCTCCAACAGTCACGATACCACACTGGACTTGGCTCGAGGTCAGACGCAGATTTCTTTGAAACCCATGCCGTGAGAAAAGAGGAATAGAGAAAGCAAGCAAGAAAGAAAGAAAGAAAGAAAGGGAAAATGCCATTACTGTAGTTTAGGCCCAATAAATCGATTCCAGATGCAACAAAGATCTCCTAAAGCAAATATGTTGATGTCTCTTACAATCATGTCTCAATTCTATCATTTAAAATTTTGAATATAGTAATACCCAAAATAAACGAATACGAGTTCTTGCAACGAAATTTGATATTTTTTCACTCACCCCCGTGCCCTAAGAAGGCGGCGCTGTTGAGCGCTCTCACAAACGGTCAACAATGACAGTAAACTGGCCTGATGAACCCTCGAAGGCTGGCCCCGTCGCAACCCGTCCAATGCGAAAGTTACCTCATCCACGTGCTCCATCATCTCCCCAAACTCTTGAGCCTCCATCAGCGTCGCCGTCGCAGCAGGCGGTGCGGCCATCTGGGGGAGCGACCTGGACCTACCGGCGGAAGGTTGCTCGGGTTTCTTGATTTTCACGTTCTTCCGATCCTTGGTCTTCCGCAGATCGTTCGACGAATTCCCCGAAAACCGCGGAGGTGGCGGGAGAGGAGGGCGAGAGGGGTTGGTGGTGGAGTCGTCGTTCCCGAAGAGATCGGAATCAAACGACCAGGGTGAGGAGCCCTGAGATGAGAAGGCGGCGAAACCATACGGATCAGGTTGGGAGCTGCTGGCTTCTTGTGAGAGGGAGAGAGGCTCGTCCATCTCGTCGCCGTCGTCGTCGTCGTGGGGAGAGCCCCCGTCGGAGAAAGCCTGCCCCGCGCAGCGGCTCCTCCGAGCGTACGTCCGCACGATCATCCTGCAGGATTTTTCGACCCCTATCCGAGGCTACATGGAACGCAAAAGAGAGGAGGAAAGAAATTCTCTTTCCCACGGAATCCCCAGAGAAATCAAGGCCAGCACCCACCGGTGAAAGGCCTCGCAGACCCTCGCCGTCCGCAAGGAAGAAGGGGGAGACAGAGAGAGAGAAGAGCTCCGCCCCTCTCCCTTCCTCCTACTTTGTCCCCAACGAGATCCCCGGGAGGTCGGCGAAATCTGACCGTCCGATCTGGACCGTGAGTGAGATCAGCCGGGCCAGGCCCACTATCCCCACTCTTACCCCTCCCGGCCCATTCAGAGCTTCATATCGGACTGTGGAGGCCCATAAATAGGCCCATTTTGTCGAATAACTTCCCGAGAGGCACGCGTGTCCGACGAGGCCCAATTAGGCACGATGCAGCACGTGCGATAAGGAGATGCACGTGCCGTGAACGTTCCTCCGGCTCGTTTGAAAATCTCAGAACGTTCTTAAGAGGCTCTTATTTCCCTTCCTTTTTTTCTTCCAAATAAATCGAGCTTCCTGGGGGGTAAAATCGGAATTCTGCTTCACCTGGGAATTATCTCTGTGAAACTCACGGGCCCGTAGGTCAACTGGGTGGAGGAGTTCGAGGAGGATTTGAACCGGGAGCGTGCCAAACTGACTGGCTCCTGGGCTCCTCTCTCTTCCGCGCTCAGCAAGAGCCCCGGGGCAGTGAGCTCCTCCTCGTTCAGCGCAATGCGATCGGACAGCATTTCGACGACCTGGGACATTGAGGGCCTCCGCCTGGCGGCGCCCTGGGTGCAGAAAAGTGCCACCTTGGTGAACCTTAGCACCTCCTCCTCAGGGTACTCCTTGAGGCTGCGGTCTACCAGCTCCATCAGCCTCCCGTCCTCGTAGAGCTGCCACGTCTGCACATTGATTCATCCGGCAGGGGAAAGGAGAGCTTGCATCAAGCTAGGAGCATAGCTTGGGAATCCTGACTAAACTGGACTAATCTAGAGGTAAAATAAAATCTTGAGCACCAGCCGATGTTGTGACACCACCCAAACGACATCAGCCGTAGATTTAGGCCCAAATCCATCAAGATTCATAGTCAAATAGTCTCTACTAGTTAATATCCTTACCATATCTGAGAAAAAAATTAAATTATGTAATTAACTGTTCTAGCCTGCAAAGTAAATAAAAAGGATTAAAAAGTTTGGTAGGAAATGTTCGGATCGTGGTTTGAACCAGAGAGCTCAAAAAAACCTGGTTTTCCAGATGCAGTCAAAAAGCAGCTGAGCTGGATGAGAATTTTGAAAAAATAATAATTATCCATCCGAAAATAGAATTTTTGGCAATGATTTACCGAGGATGAGAAAATGATGAGGCAATGACACCTGTCCGTTTTTTCCATACTGATCGTCATATAATGCACAACAAAGTTGCTATTTTTCTCAGGTAATCTCAATATCTGAGCAGTTGACCAACACTTACTTTTTAATAAAACCATGCCTGGAAAGTGGTGACAAAGTTCTAAGAAGGAATAGCTGAAAAAAATGACTAACCCATTCCAGAAGAGATTTTTCCATTCCGTGCAAAGACGTCCTGCAGTTATTTCTGCCACTGATTATTTCAAGCGTGAGGACCCCAAAGCTATATATGTCAGCCTTCTTAGTCAATCGACCACCCATTGCATACTCAGGTGCCAGGTAACCACTATATTAAAGAGTAATTTAATTTTGTTAAGGTGGATTTTGGAAAGCAAGAAGAATAAAGCGATGGTTAAACGTGTCAAAATTGAAGATGTTTCCAGAGAATTAAAATACAAAAAAAGCAAATGAACTGTGAATACGTAAGTTTGTACTTTGTAGCAGTTGAATAAAATTCATGAGCCAGTAACGGATCCACAGTTGTCATGAAATAAAATTAAGAAAATATTTTCGTTAACTAATGCGCTCTTATATTTTAAATACTAAACCAAAAAATCAGCCCCCAAGATATGGGCAGAATAAGCAACAAGGAACCAAGCTTGTGAATTATACATTTCCTGGGAATATTTAATTGGCGAAAATTAAAATTTCGACGATTTTTCTTCCTACAATACTCATTCACCATTTACAGATCAAGAAGCTGATCAACGGTTACCTCCACTAAACTAGTTTCTTTAGCTTACTTTTTGTTGGAGATAATACAGAAATTAGAGGATACTTTAGCGTACCTTCAGACTAATTAGAGGAAATTAGTGGCTTTTCCTGCCACTAGTTGTGGTAGTTGCCTAGCATGATACCAACATTTGGTATATCCGTTTCCCTTTTCATCTAAATTCTTTGAAAATTTTGGGTGAGGCTTTAGGTGGCTCCCTCATGTTAGAAGCATGAACTGGGCAACTAACTAAGTTTTACCCATATACTTGAGAAGGGGAATCGTTGATTATCAACATATTATATAGCTTTCACCCACGAGTCTCCCACCTGTTCCTTCACGATTTTAATAACGCAAAGACCAAAATAAATAAAATCCACGACTTTACTCAGCACTTCATATATGGCTATGCTAGAGGGCATAATCTGTATAAAAAGAAAAGTAATCCGTGATGTAGAATCAGATCAGAGATGGAGTGAATACTCACGTAGTTCCAGCCACACGAGTGCTGATGTGGGTAATAGTGTGTGGGAAAAGCTTAGCCAACCCAAAGTCTCCAATTTTCGGGACGAAATCCTTGTCAAGTAGGATATTGCTGGCTTTTATGTCCCTGTGCACAATTGGTGGGTCAAGCTCCTCATGAAGAAACATCAGACCTCTGGCAGTGCCCATGCAGATGGCACGTCTTCTACTCCAATCCAAGCTTGACATCTCACCACCTGAACCTGCAAGTCAAAATAATAAGAAAACAACAAAATTACTAAAAAAAAGTAGACACAATGTCAAGAAGATGGTCACCCTTTAGCTTACCTAGGAATACACGGTCAAGGCTACCATTTTCTGCATAATCATAGACCAGAATCTTTTCATCGCCGTGAACACAACAACCCAGAAGCTCGATGAGGTTTACATGCTTAACATTTGTGATAGCATGAATCTCAGAAAAAAATTCCATGACCCCTTGCTTTGATTCTGAAGAAAGCACTTTTATTGCAACTTGTCTTCCATTCTTAAGTGTTCCCTGAAGAAAAATAGAGAATATTCATCAGGAGATAATAATCATACAAGATAACATACAAGATATCATTCTTAAGTGAATATTCTTAAAAACGCTCCACCATGAGCATCTTCTAGAATAATAATCATACAAGATAACATCTCTACTGGTAACATCAAACATCTAACAACAAATCAGAAATACACGCGATTTTCAGCGCACAAAAAGTCGTATTTAATGCAGGTATTTTCAGAGAAGGGAAAACTCCCCTCAGGCCTAGCGAAGGGATTTATTGGTCTACCCTTTCTACGGGAGCCTGGAATCCACACCAAGAGGCATGCGTCAGCATTTAATTCTGAAGTCGGGATGAATGTGAAACCAGAATGGGTAAAGCCCACGGATGTTTCAAAACATACCAAGCTGCATAAATAAACCTTGTAACATATGACATGGCTTCCGTTAGGTCATGCATGAGAACTTGAGAAGAAAACTAAAGTCAGTTTGTACTTGATGTTGACATGACTTGGGCTTATACAACTCCAATAACTTTCAAATGCCGGCAATGAACAACAGATAAGTAGACCAAGATAAATAATCAATTGATGACTTATAGATGGAGAAATATGATTGATAAAGTGGGCTTAAACAAGAAGACCATAGTATGGAAATATAAAAAACATTGCCATAAGGGTGGATTAATATTAGGATGGCCAACAGTTTTTTTACGCAAAAAAAAGTATGTACCATTACCAACATTGAGGGTTCAGTGTACCTTGAAGACAGTTCCAAAACCACCTCGACCTATCTTATTGTTCGGATGAAACCGCTTTGTGGCTGATATAAGCTCGTTATAACGGAACAGCTTGACATTATTCCCTGATGAAGAACCTAGATAGGGAAAAAAGATCTTAGGGTCCAAGTTTTGAAAGAGAGTTTTGATGGGAATCTGGATATCGTTTCAGCTATAGCATGAGAGGCGCTAAGACAGACTATAAGACGAGAACCAAGCATGAGAAGTCAGTTTAATCACTTTCAGATAAAGCTTCATGATTATACAGCACAAACTAGAGATAATTCAATGGGCGGTTACAGCTTTTTGTATTCATGCGATAGATTATCAATGAGTACACAGATGAGGTTCTTAATATTCACAGGATGCAATACATAAATGTATAATTGTACTTTCTTGCCTCTCCTGATTCAAAAGGAAAAACTCCTGGTGTTCTAATATTTTTCCAGGTTTCATTTCTGTTCCTATTAAACAAAAAAGTGGCAACGAATGGTGTTCCCCAATTTGCTATCAAATATTCTTACACTTCCAAACGTCTCAGAAAGCTGCAGACAAAATGCGTCATCAGACTCTGCAATCACCTTTGAGTTCTCAATGATGACGCCAAAACGTTCAGAGAGGATACGCTAATCCCATGCCGTGCCATTGTAGACCTACTTTCTTGAATGATTTTTGCCAAAGATATCCATACAGGATGCGCACTTGAGGAATCAATGATCAAAGTACTATTGCCCCACAAAGACTTCCAGATGCCTTCTTGTGTCCATAAGTGGAGCAAGCCAACACATAGGGGGTGCTGTGATTATAGGGGATGATGCTTCTCCATGCCGTTCTCCTCTATTTTTGACAACGGAATGTGTTTAAGTGAAAAAAATTCCAAGGGATCTGTTATCATAAGAATTTCTAATGTCCTTTCGTAAAAACGCATTTCTTTTCCATGACAGAGACAATACCTGCAATGCCTTTAAGCCTTTTAGGCCTACAGAAGATAACCCTCTCATCTTCCACGTGAATGTAGCTACTGCTCATAGACCTCAGAATAAACTTCAAGCCTCATTTAGATCAAACTTTCGAATGCTTTTCATGCATTATTTCCGTCCTGTCAAAACACAGGCATTTTCTGCAATAAAACAGAATTAAAGCCACAGTAATCATTCTATTTTAATCTTTGTTCTGATGGTTCTTAGGAGATGTAAGCCTACCGTCTAAGTGACAAGGTACTTTAACAATTTTATTTCATCGATGAATTGTATAACTATGGACCTCTGCAAAAATCAACACGTCGGATTTTACTCCTACAGTGATTTTAACCGTCAACAAGATTCCTAAAATTCAAACATCTTACAAAAAGTCAATGAATGGCGTTTAAAACAAAGATAAGCATGAAACATAGCCCAAAGAAAGCCAAATGACAAGCTCACCAGAATAAGACCATTCACCCAATCTGAGTGACCGTTTGAAGAAAAAGGAACATGGTATTTCACAATTTAAAGCAATTCACGTTTCAAACGAAGTCGCATAAAAAATATGAATCAAGGGACTATTATCTTCCAACCAGCATATAGAAGTTATCCAAGCCTCCAAGCAAGAGTATAAATCAGCCAACGAAAAAAACAGAAAACTACCCACCACTCTGATCTTGTTCCAAGAAAGCACGATTCTTCTTCTTTGACCGTAAACCATCAAAGCAACACCAACCCATATCTGACACAAAACTTTCACCGACAATCTGGAAATCTACACATACCGCCAGCAATCTAAGAAAAAGGAAGAGAAAAAGTTCATCACAATCAACAGCATTTAATTTGAAGATGAATAACAATCAAATGGAGTCAATTATATAAAGTTTCCTGAAGAGTCTATGGTGTACCCTTAAAAAGAAACTCCACGAGTTATCATCTCAAGAGTGCCCCTGACATTTTAACGTGAAGTTATTGAAACGAACCACAAATTTCACAGGATTCTCAAGTATGATAAGTAAATAAATATTAGCCTCAGTCTAGGAATATCCATGGAAGCACAGAAGATAAAAATTGTCAAGTCCCACGTGGTTTGGAAATTAGAGAAAGATAAAATTATCCAACTGTCTTGGCAAGCATCCAAGGCAGTGGATTACTCCCACTGTCTTGGCCAATATCCAAGAGAGTGAAGCCTTAATTCAGGAACCCACCGTTATTATTTTTGGTTTTCCTTTGAAAGTGGATAACAAGGCGTAGACATTAGACATTAGAAAGAGAGAGGAAGATAAAGGTATATGATTATTGAAGCCTCAAAAAAAAACTGTCTGCAACATTTTAATCATCTACATTAAGATGTTGTAGCCATGCTAAGACCCCCCAGCTTCTCAAAATTGAGAAACAAAGTCTTCCCTTCATATTCAGAAAATTTTGTTTTGCATCATTCTGGATCAATATTGTTATAGTACATGTCCCTGAGAATTATGAGCATACTTCTGATAAGCATTTTTAGATTGTGTAATCGACTTCATCCACAATGTATTGCTACCAGACATACAGGTTGTAGAAATAAACCTGGAAAAGAATTTCCCCTGACATATGTTTTCCTTCTCTATGGTGCAAATGACAATTTTCTCTGAATTCGGGAGAAACGAAATCGACCTAATTTTTTTAGTTTTCAGATCTCCTCGTCCTATTTAGATGTGCCAGTACGCATATCATAGCAAAACCTGTACGAAGACGTCGCCCAGGTAATCTGAGGAACTTCTTCATACAAGTTTCCCTCGAACAACACTTCTGCTATAGCTAACCTATCACCATACTAAGTCTCTTAACCCAGATCACGTCCTCCAAATGTCTTCTTTATTATTATTAAATGTGCATTTTCATCTGAGCTGAAGACGAATTGTCGGATTAGAATCTTACCAGTGATAGCAAATCTAAATTACAGGATGTGAAGTCGTGAGCCATAGAAGAGAAGGAAGGAAGGAAGGACGGAAGGAAAGGACATCCCATGGACGAACTGGAGCATCGAAGGAGAGAAGTACCTATGGTCTCAACTGGGCTTCAAATTTTTCCCAGGTTCAATGTAGAAACCATATCATTCCTCCTTCCATCTTCGGACTCTCCAGTAGAACAGGAAACCGTAGACAACCAGACAAAGTTTCAATTCACCCGCGCCAGTTTGTCCTCTGTCTGATGATCAATGCCCACCTTCGCTCCCTAATATCAACCACCATCTGCCACCGTTCGTGAAGACAAATCTGCAAGTTCTTGTGCGTTTTTCTACTCCAGAGAAGATCTTCCGCCGCCTTCCTTGAAAACACGATATGAGACGCCGAGGTGCGCGGAGGGTAAACGAAGCCACGTTTCGTGGATCCCAAGAAATCGATCAGATCTTCGCATGCGATCGGATGCCGCCGGCTCCTGGGAGCTTCTCAATCTCACGGTTCTCCTTTTCCATACTCTGCCGGGATAGAAACGCTCTGCTGCATCCACAGACGCCGAGTTCCACTGGCGCACGCTGCCTCCATTAATCCCACTGCACCATATAAAGGCGACACCTAGTGCCGTCTATCGTGACTAACCTCGCGGTGATAGCAAGTGACTTAGTCTACCCTATCACCTCCCCTGGAGAAAATTTCCACGGGTAGGAAGGAGTATACTTCTTCGTCCACACGTTAATGGCCCCATGATGAAAGAGAGATGGAGAATGACGACCACCGTCTGCCCTCCGTCTTCCAGTGGAACATGCCGTAGATCGCCGATAAGCACATTGACAGCAGGTAAAAATCACCAGAATCAACAGCGCCCAAGGTCATCCATGGCGGATCAACGAGACACTGGAAAAATCTGCGATGGACATTCTCATAGCTTCCTGATACCGCATTGATGCCCCCCGCCCACCACGCGCCTCCGTTAGCAGCTCTAACGTAGTGGACACTCTCGCAGGCTCCCGCTCGGCTGAATGCCCGCGGCTTTCTCCGAGCAGACGGCGTCTCCGACGACGATCGCGAATTAGTAAAACTCCCTTCGATCAACTAAATGGAAAGAATCAAATATCCTAAAGGACTGTCACTAACAATGACGCTGTTCCCGTTGACTTTACACCTCCGTACGTCATACGAGACCTTCTTTATTTGGCAGAGCAGTTCCTTTAATCGTGATTTGCAAAATACATTGGTCAACGGTTATTTTTTATGAAACCCATGTCGACGGGGGGCCGACTTGTGAGGACGAGAGTTCAAAGGACGGGAAGTCGGGGGCGTGAGAGACGGTCATGGGCACGTAAGTTGGCAGAGAGAGAGAGATTGTGGGAGTAATATTAAATTATTAGTCACTCGTGGACTTAGTTGTATATATGGATTAGTCAAAGGTTTACAATCACAGAAAAAACCGAAGGACTTTCTATTCAAATTTCAATAATATAATATATTCCATAAATTAAAATATAAAGAATAACGATAAAAAATGAACTTCCTCGGTCGTGAAGTTTACGGGTATCCCAGGTCAACGATGAAATATTGAGAAATTAATAATATTTGAGTTCCATTAATATGTAAATAGAAGATGGTTGACCCTTTCATCAATGTGGATTCAGATGATCGCCTATGCTCGTGACGAGATAATCCACGTGGAGGAATCCTCACGTGATTAGTTTGATGGTCTAGTCTTAACAAATGCCCATCACGACGTGGGTAATAATTGGGCCGTATTATTGGGTGGGCCTTCCTATTCGAGGCCCATTTGGAGAAAGTTCCCGTAATGGGCTCATGGGACGTCAAATATGGCGCAGGGTGGGACCCAATAAGTGGGGATGGGTTATGGAAGGCTGGGCTCGGCGTTGCATTCAATGAGGATCGCGATGGTATTATTTATTTATTTATATTTTTTATGTTTTACCTAGAATATTTCAATATTTATTATATAATTGTAGTTAATGATATCTTTAATTATTTACGCGCGGGGCCAAGCGGGGTAACCGCGCCACAGAAAGAACTCAGGTCTCTCTCCCAGAAGCCGCGGGGAGCTTCCATTTCTACCCTCGGAGGGGCGATCTTCTTCGGGGAAGACGAGAGTTCCGTGCTTGAGGAGGAGGCTGGTTTGACAGCGACGGGAAGCAAATCGAAGGTAACTGGTAGTCTTCGTGATCTCCACCTCTCCTCCACTTGCGGTCTTCGTCCTCTCTCGAATGCTCACCCCTCCCCGTTGTCTCCACGCGGAGCACACTCAGCAATCCACGCAGTCCCCGTCCGAAAACCCTAGTCTCATCCTCACTGCCACCAGCACTTGCCTGTCAAAAGGAACTGCGAGTGGCAAACCCCACAAAGCGGAGAGGAAAAGATCATGACTAACGGTGATTCCCGTCTCATTCACTGCAGCGACAGCATCCTTCCACTACACCGCTATAAATGACCTGAGGTTCCCCTCACCGCCCTCCTCGCCTTATGAACAGTACCCAGGGCGCGGTGGCCTCCACCACCAACTCTGCCGTTCTCCCTAAAGAGGCAGATGTGGACCAAACTGCCATTGTCGCCGAGGGAGACCGTGTCAAGGTTTTTGACCGAGGGGTGGAGCCCGACGGTGATGCCGGCATCGAAGGGCCAAGCGCAGGAGGGGGCCGGGCCGCTGTGAAGCGGGAGTCGGAGGACCAGGCGATGGAGGACGCCGATGGGGCGTCGAGCTCTTCCGTGCCACCGGCCACAGTGTTCCGGATCCGACTCAAGCAACCTCCGTCTAATATTCGGCACAAGATGAGCGTTCCCGAGCTCTGTCGAAACTTTAGGTGCCCCATTTTCCAGCCGATTTCCTCTATGTTCCATGTATACTGCTCCGTGCTCTGTCTGTTCCGAAGGTCACTTGGGTTATTTGATTATACTTCGATATAGATGCGAAGGGGTTTACTACCGTGGTCATATACTGGCGGGGACTGGGTGATTAACTCTTGATCACTGTTCCTTCTCGCACTAAAATCGTTCGAACTTTTGTTTATTACGCCGCACCCGTACGTCGATCAATTTTAGGGGTAGACAACCGGTTTGTGACTTTTACATTCTAAAGTTCTTTCCTTGGAGCGCTTATTCCGTTCAGTGGTGCTATCTCGAATTCCAATCCCGACGTGGAGTGTAATATTCTCACTGAAAATTTATGCCTCCCAATATTCATTTAATTTTTTTTAGCACGTCATGGTATTTCTTATAGTTCCTCAAAATATTCCATAGCATCGTGGATAATTGTCTGTCCACACATCCTTGTCATTTTAGACATTTGGATTTAAAAAGGGTTGCAGACAGCTGGTGTACGTGTATACCAAGATGATTTTTTTTATTATTTTGAAGTTAGACGTAGGAGAAGATGCCGATAGTAATGTATTAAACTATTCCCCTTAATTGAGAGTTTTATTTCACTTTTGGCTAGTGAATTGGCCAATTATGTGTAAAACCCAATTCAGTTTAGTTCTAGAAGAATCTCATGTTTCCGAAACACAAGGGTAAGGGGTAGAGAGGTGTTCTTTTTTGCCACAATGTTTCTCTGAAACCCACTAGGGAATATCATCAGATTTTCGGTTGCTCCGTCCAAGCTAGCCTGTAGCCAGGATGGCGTGGATGGTGGGTATGAGTGTTGTCTGTGCGTAGTGGGATGTTATCAGGGTGATGGGATTGGATTAGACCTGGAAAATGCTATTACTATGCGTGTGTGCATACTTGTTACGGGTGTGCTGCAGGTTCGGGGCTGTGTAGAGCGCTAAAGTGTGCCAAGCATTCCATAGGATGCTTTTGGGCTAAAGGACCCGAGCATGCGAGTGATGCTTTCAGTCTATCTGCAGACCAGTTTTCGTTGATCCTGGACTTACCCAGCCAAATAGCACCTCTGACTGTGCGAATAAAATAAAAACGTTGTTTATGGGGCGTTCTGTGTGTCATGGATCCATTGCTGCAGTGATGGTCATCTGTGCGGTTGAATTCATACCTGATTTCTTCTGTTGTTTCATCAATATTTTCATCAATATTTTCCTTCAATTTTGGTCTCCTTTCTCCATGACCATTTCTATTTATCATATCAAGGTAAATCCATAAGAAATGTCATGTTTTTTTCAGTGCAGTTGCCTGGTGCGGATCACTGAACGTTATTGCTTGCGCTTCTGAGACATGTGCGAGAATACCAAGGTTTCTGTTTTGACATGTCTCTCGTCGTTATTCAAATTGATTCCTTGTAGATATCATAATAAGTTTGAGAGACAAGTACAACTTCGCACAATTGAGAAGTGTCTCATTGTTCAAATCGATTGTTTCATTGGCTTGATACTAAAATAGATCACTTTTGCCCATGTTTCTTTTACCTCATAAATGGCTTACGGGACAATGGAAAACAAACACATGGGCATGAGAAGTCTTCATTATGTCACTATTATGCATTGACCGACAGAATTAAAATAATATTCGATATGTGGGAAACTTCAAGGAAAGTATTTTCAATTTAGCAGAATACCCTTAAGTAGATAGCCTTTTCTGCACCAGGCAAGGTATCAGGTCCTGCTACAGTGCTTAAGACGAACTGGATAGTATTTATTTTCCATAATGCCTGCCTCACAACTTGGAAATTGCGTCTTTACCAGCACCGAGAAGAACAAAAAGTCTAATGTTTGACTTAATGTAGTGACATTCATTTTGCAGTCTGGATGGTAAGATGTTTGGTATTTTGGAGAAATTTACATGCCAATTTGGTATGGGATTTCCGAACAGAATCAAGTGATAGGAGGTGATGAATGTGGTTGATGGAGATGGGCCTGCATTATTGATTCAGAAGAGTGGAGAAGAGTCCGCGTTGATATTTCTGTTGTTGATTCCATTTCTTAATACGTCAACTTCATTACGAGCAAAGGAGCTCCCATCTATGTGGATTGGTATGAGGGAAGATGCTGTGTTGCTTGAATTGGACGAAATATGTTGAGGTAGAATGCACGAGTTTTTGTTTAGCATTGATGTTCGAAGTTTATGCTCTACCAGGCCGTTAAACTAGGTGAACTTTTGAAGCGTTGATCTTAGATTATTTTCTTTCTCATGACATGACATAGAAAACTTGAAATTTTAATTTAGTTTAATGGTCATATTAGGATTCTAAAGAATGCCCAGCACAAACGAAGATAGAGGTTTGAGTGAAGCATACATATGGAGCTTTATCACGAAGTAAATGTCAGAAATGTTACATATAGAGGTTTATAAGTGACTTGGACGATAAACTCTATGATACCGGATTAGCAGTGATAATGGTGGTATTTGCCGATAGAAGCAGAGCGACAAATTTCTCCAAAGACCAATTCACTGGATCCGCATGAAGTTTAAATGCAACGGGGAGTGATTTTTGGATAAATCTATTCTTTGTAACTATGCGAACGTAAGTTGTTTCAAGTTCTGATGGTAATGGGAGCTGTGATTTTGGCTTGCATTGCTACATGGGAATTCTACTTATTAAATGGGAGACTGGGCGCTCAAGGAAGAGGTCTCTATTGATCGGGCATGTTGACGAGGCTGATGAGATTTTCATATTGTGCGTTGAAGCATTGATTTAAAGACGTTTCAATAGTCTTGATAATAGTGCTAAGCGTTTCACACGTGTGGATGGTGTCAATCCGGTGGATAAAGAACAGCAAAAGTAACTTAGGGCTCTTTGATCCTTCTGAGAAATGTGCTGATCCAGTTCGTGACCGAGGTTATGTTTTTCCGTAGGGTTTAGCAAGTAGATTGTAGTTTGAAACCAGGCTAATAGGAGGAAAATTTGTTCTTAGGTTTCATCCTTTCCTTAGATCTTTCTTCGATGGACCCTTTTTTTCAGGATGCAGTACTACTGTGATCTTTGTTTCGGTAGCATGTGTGTAATATTTCTTTCAAGTACAAAACAATCTTACCTTTGACTTTTTGTTTGAGTGGCATAGCTTTTTTCTGAGGGTGTGAGGTATTATTTCATTTGTGCGGTTTGAGTGGTGCTCTCGTCAAGGGAAAATTTCAACGGATACTTGATCCCAAAAGAGAAAGTAAATTATGTCTGAAATGAGTTATTCCAATACTTAATAAGCTGTTTGATAAAAAACAATGCATATTAATATGAGTAAAAAAAATCTGCCCTTACACTTTAAATGGAAAATAGTTCTATAAAATTTCTGATATTGACAGCAATGGAAGAATCTCCCGGAGAAGTTATATTTACCTACTTGTGAAGCAGCTGTTTTAAGAAGATTTTTTGCGATTGTACTGTTTTTTTATGTTCTTGAAGAATTATACTTATTTTTACGTTATCTTTTATACTTTTCAGTTCTAACGCAAATCCTCCATTCTGGATTCCTATACACATTGTGAATCCGGAGAGGCCCACAGAATCTGCTGTGTTCAATGTTGTTGCCGGTAGGAATTCTAATTCCATTATCTCAAGTTTCTTAGACACTTGATGTTGTTCCTTCAACAGTGTTGATTTGAACTGCCTGCTTCACACTAATGCAAGGGTGAAGGTGCAGGGAGAGTAGATAAACCACAAATCTCTGTACTTGTGTTGGATTGGTAGTTGAAAACTACCCCTCTAAGTCGCCCACCTCACGCGGACAAAATAGGCTGAGCTTTTTGGGCTGGTGAGGAGGGTTTCAGAATGGGAAACATGCAAGTTTGCATACAGCATAAGTAGCCTGCGCAGTTTCTACTTCAAATCTTTTTTACTCTTTTCTTCCCCTTCCATAAAATTCGTGCTATCATTGTTATCTTCAAGGCATATCAATGAATGAGGTAAAAGTACAGCTAGCTATAATTCGCTAGATATTCCTGCATTATGCTGAACATTGTCTATTAGGAAAGGATAGGCTTCCATGGACTGACCTATTTCCAAGAGGTTATCAAAATCTTTTACAAGAGTTATTTTTCGCGTGTTTACTTTGTGTTGTATAAATTTCTCGGTTGTTGCATTTAAATTTTGCTTTGTTATACTCTTATCAGATTCTCCGCGTGATTCTGTGCAATTCATTGAATGGTCCCCCAAGTCCTGCCCTCGTGCTCTTCTGATTGCCAACATTCACGGGAGGATAACTATATGGACCCAGCCTTCTCAAGTGAGCATGTCAAACGAAGAATCTTTTCTTGTGTATCATTTTTTATGTCAGTTGGTTTCAGTGAATACTTGGGTAGAATGGTAAAGCAGTTGCGCTTAACACCTGAGGTTGAATTGGTTTTTATGGGTCCTCTAAATCGGGGTACTTTTTATGAGATCATTTTTTTCTGTTGTTTTGCATTTGTCTCCTTTCTTTCAGGTTGAATTCATGAGAGCTAATTCTTATCTACTCCTATGACTGTTTTTAGGGTCCTGTTAACCTTGTACGTGATGCCAACTGCTGGCAACGTGAATATGACTGGCAACAAGATCTGGCTGTTGTCACGAAATGGTTGTCAGGAATGCCACCGGTAATCCTCATCTATTTGAATATGTAGCTGTGCCACTCTTGGTTTGTACTTCGAGGTGCATGTTCTGCAACTCGTTTTGCCTATACATGCAATGATACTAGATAACAGTTGGTGTTGCTAAAAAATGTGATACTTATTGGGTCATTACATATTTAAGGGCCGAGTACTGTGCATTTGTGCTTGTATTGTTCAAGGTAACGCTTTGAGTTGTTCTTGTAGCATGTGTTGCAGAAAAAATATCTATGATAATGTCTGTTTGAATCCTTCCCTGGCGCTGGAAACAGGCAATTTCATGTCTGTAGTTGTTCCTCAGGTTCCCTTCAGCACTGAAAAATTGACTGATGTAATCATTTGCGAAGTGATGTTATCGGCACATATTTAATGTGTAAAAAAATTCGTTTAAAAAAAGGCATGTGGAGTCATATTGATGTAAGCCCCAACCCGCAGTAGTCAGTCAGTTAACACTCCTTAAGAAGTATACACTTGAGAGGTGCTCCACCATGTCCACAGGGCATAGCCATCTGCTAACGTGGGTTTCTTTCAAATTTTTTGACCATATAGTTTATATCATGTCATGACCTTCTTATCCCGCGGCAAGAGCTTTTCTGCCACTTCTTTTGTATTTTGGTTCTTAGATTGATGAGTTGAATTCTGCTTGAATTCAACAAGTGCCCTGTGAAAGTAGGGTGACACACGGTTAGTAGCAAGGACCTGTTTACTGATACAATTTTGTTTTGGCATGAGGGATATTATAGATTTGGTGCAAACGTGATGCCTTCATCCAAGAGTCCAATCATGTGACCCATACTTTATAACATGATTGTGCATCTTCTTCTCTAGCACATTTCTTATCGTTATTGCCTGATGCTTTGAGACCTGCTTAAATGTAAAAACTTTTTCGCAGTTGTCTCCTCTGTACACTTCTTATGACTATTTTTTGATGTCAAATTTTGTTCCTCTTTTTGGAGAACGTCTCCAACTCAATAATAAGCCCATGCCTGCTGATGCATATTCTGATATTTATGTACTCTCTCCAGCTTCACTGCATATTCTGATATTCTGATATTTTATCTCTTGCACTTTCTGCATAATAAACGAGTTATTGCCTATTAATCTTCTTGTTTCATTTGAATAATACTCTCGAAATACTGTTCCGACCAGTATCGATGGCTTCCTTCAAATTCTAGTGGCCTTGTAAATCAGAAGTCAACATTTGAAGAAAAGTTCCTCTCGCAGCAGCCTCAAAGTTCAGGTCTAGAAGATCCCGCTTTCTTCTTGTCTAGCTATATTAAAGTGATTGTCATAGATCTGGTTTATGTACTCTGTCATGATTATGCTTCTGAAAATTTCTGTTTCAGCAAGGTGGCCAAATTTTCTTTGCGTATGCTCAGTATTCTCCTCCGGCTCTCTCCAGCTTCACTGGTCTCAGTGGCCTCCTTCTCAGAGTGGAATTCCCTCGAAATGGTTTGCAACTAGCAAAGGGTTACTGGGAGCTGGTCCAAGTGGTATCATGGCTGCTGATGCCATAATCACTGATTCTGGCGCCATGCATGTAGCTGGCGTTCCCCTTGTTAACCCATCTACTGTGGTTGTTTGGGAAGTGACACCTGGTCCTGGTAATGATTTTCAGTCAACAGCAAAGATAACCACCGGCGTTGGTGTTCCATCTTCTTTAAGTTCTTCCTGGGCAGGTTTTGCTCCATTAGCATCCTACCTCTTGGGTAAGCAGGAATATTTACTTTCCGAAGTAAAGCAAGGGAAGAAGCCAACGGATCAAGACTTCAGTGAGTCTGTTTCTCTTCAGTGTTCTCCAGTTTCAAATTTTTCTGCATATGTTAGCCCAGAGGCTGCTGCACAGTCGGCTACCACCACTACATGGGGTTCTGGCGTTACTGCTGTTGCTTTCGACCCAACACGAGGCGGATCAGTAATTTCTGTTGTGATAGTCGAAGGTACCATTCATGTAATATCGAATTCGTTGATGTATGGAGCTCGTCTATATCTCTGTTTGATCTATGTAGAAGTAGACATCTAATCCTTTATCTGTGATTAGCGTTTAAAATTGCTTAATTATTTTTTCTTCTGTCGTTGTGGAATGGTTTGTTGAGACAACTTACCCACGGGTTTTAATAATCTCTAGAATTTCATGCCTTTTGATTTCTCCAGTTATCTCTCGATTAACTTGAGAATTTTGACGGTCAAATTCGTGCTTAAATTTTTAAAAACTCGGACCTTGAAATATGCACTTCTCTTATAACATTTTATTTTAGATACGTTTAGAAAATTTCCGCCTCATTTTTCTAGCTGAAATTCATATCCCGCTGATGGTTCCATGATTCGTTACATAGGTTTGTGTCTTGTGTAGGTCAGTATATGTCTCCTTATGACCCGGATGAGGGACCATCAATAACTGGATGGAGAGTACAATGTTGGGAATCTTCCCTTCAATCTGTTGCCCTCCATCACATTTTTGGAAATCCAGCTTCTAGTTTTGGTGGACAGCCTCCTATGCAGACGGTTTGGCTCACAAGAGTTGATAAGAGCTTTCCACCAACAGATGATTTTAAAGGCTCCCAAGCAAATTGTAATGTGCCAAATATATCTGATGAACGAACATCATCCGATTCCAGTATTGAAAAGACAAATAGGTTTAGTTTTGATCCATATGAGCTGCCAAGTGACATTAGGATGCTGGCTCAAATTGTGTATTCTGCTCATGGTGGTGAAGTTGCTGTTGCTTTTCTTAGGGGTGGTGTCCACATATTTTCTGGTTCATGCTTCACTCCTCTTGATAACTATCAGATAAATGTTGGGTCAACAATTGCTGCTCCTGCCTTTTCATCTACAAGCTGCTGTCTGGCTTCAGTTTGGCATGATACCCACAAGGACTGTACTACATTGAAGATAGTTCGTGTTCTTCCCCCTGCTATACCTAACACACCGGTGAAAGCAAATTCAGCAACCTGGGAACGTGCTATTGTGGATAGGTATCTGAAAATCAGATTCCTGATTCGGTTATTATTCTATATAGTTTGATGCTCTAAGTGTCATATGGTTGTTTGTTGCCTTTCATTTAGGTTCTGGTGGAGTCTTTTAGTGGGAGTTGATTGGTGGGATGCAGTTGGCTGCACGCATAGTGCTGCAGAGGATGGCATTGGTAAGTGACTTGGTTTTTCTGCGGTTTGAACTAGTATGCTGCCATGTCTCTAAGAGTGGTAATTCTGTGCTGCCCTTAGTCATGGCATTCCATTCACTTGATAGCAAAATTTTGCAACCTGGTCTGATTTATATGAGTCATTGCACCTTTTACTGCCACGGTTACTGTAGAGTGTGTTTCCGTAGCCCCTGTTGTCCTTGCTTTCTTTTGCTTCCATTTTTTCCTTTCTCATTCCTTCCCACCTGTATCTGATGCATTGTCTTATTTTCTTCAAAATCTGAAATAAGACTGTACTGACTTTACCTTTATACGTTTTTCTGGTTTTAGATTTGGTCACTTACCGAAATAATATTTACCCTTTCAGTATCGTTGAACAGTGTGATTGCAGTACTGGATGCTGACTTCCATTCGCTTCCATCCATTCAGCATAGGCAGCAATATGGACCTGTATGTCATCTCAAATTTTCCACTTTTGTTATGATTCAGCCTTTTATTCTAGGATGTATTACTCTGCAAGATGTATTTTTGTATTTCCTGTGGTGAATGCACACTTCGAAGAACTCTGTAGAAGGGGTCCATTGGGAAAGCTTTGTCATGCTGTGGACTGCATTACTGGTTGGTTGGACTAAAAGATGAATTTCCCTGCTGTGTTGTGGAAGGACAAAAAACTCAATTTGATATTAATAAATTCATGTGGAGACTTGACAAATGGATCCTGCCATGTCGAATTTGAAATGTAGTAAAATAAGCTGCCCATTTCTAGATTAGGTACAGTCTGTTTCTTAAAAAACATTGAAAACCCATAGCAGATACTCATGAACCTAGAAAATCTGGGTATTAATTTTCTTTTCTCACACAATCCAACACATCTGAAACCCTCGTTCTGTCAAATATCTAGTTTACTGGCTATTCAGCGAGGTTACAAGTCCCATTGTATAGTTATGCATGACCTGAACCATTATATTTTTTTTTACCTTTAGTTTCTTGTAAAATCTAGTTGAAACCCAAAACATACCTCTGACGATACCTCATTGTATGAATGTACTTGTGTCCCCAGGTGGGCCTGCTGGCTGTATACGTTTTTTTGTGAAGGCATTTTGATTTTCCTTACCTATACTCGTAATCACAAAGAAAAAGTACTGTTTCGAGCTGAACTGAAGCATTGTTATGAAAATCTTATAATATCTGTTCAAATAGCTAATTGGCCTATGGTCTTGTAGGTACTCTGTTTCTTCTTTATAATTTACAATATTTCCAAACGCTTTTTTTCTTTCTTAAACTCCGTAATGGTTGTCAATTTATTCTATCCATGTCCGCTAATAATAATATATATTAGGGGAAAGGTATCCGTACTGTACTCCCAGACAAAGGAAAAATTGCTCCCTTCGATGAACTCGTAGTAGAGTTTGTAACATTAACTTCGCTTCCTTCTGAGGAATCCGAGGTAGTACTTAATGTTGACATTGAAACAAGGCTCCACCTTATAGCTTCTCATTTTTCCTCACGCTTAAGAACGTGCTCCACACCTTATATCTCTTTCTATATATTTGTCAGCCGTCGTTTTTTTGGGGAGAAAAGCCCTTCTTTGTCGAGATCATCATGATTGCCAACTTTCAGATGGGTCTGTTAGTCTTTTTTCACAAAGCATCCCATTTTTTTTCTATGATTGCAATATCTTGTATTTGCTTAAAGAGATTTGAAGAATCCATGTGCTATTCTGAGAATTACTTCATTTCTTTGGCTTCTCTGACGGTTCGGCCTTCAGTGCTGTCCCAGGAAATTTTTCCTTCCAGGTTTCATCAACCATTTCTAGAAAGCACTCTTAGATTCACTTATTTATAAATTGAAATGTGTTCTTCCCCAGATATTTCTTGTAGATTGTGTTGTATATAGGGTTGTGGTTTGATGTTGGTCATATCAAGCAAATGGTTCTCTACCATTGGGAAAAAGGTATTCTCAAGATGTTGACTTAGAATCGTTTGAAATGGATTAGAAACACAGATTTCCTGATTGGACAAAGTCGATGGAGGGTCAGAGATGCACACATTTGCCAAATCTGTCTCTGAAATGAGTTTCATGAGTTCATCAAAGCAGAAATCTCTTATACTTTTCATTCAGAGCACCAAGGTCGTCAAGTGTCTACATTGTATAGTTCATTAACGGAGGCATGCTAACATTTGTGTGAGAATTCCGTCTCCTGCGCCATATATTTATTTGAACGTATCATAATGTCCCCATCCCTCATCACATCTTCCCAGCTGCTTGCATTCAATGCCACATAAACACCAGAGGTTCATCTCACACCTCACTGCCTTCCTGAAAAACCGCTTCGCCCAGCTGCATAGACTCTTCGCATTTTGAGAGTGACGCTGATCCTTGAATTCTGATGTTTAACCTCTTGCTTTAACATGTACCACTTTTTTCTCTATATGTTGCTTGATGCGCTGAACTGTTTGTAATCTTCTGCGCATAAAAGATAGCAACATTCTTTCTCCGGCCAATCTTATCCCCATCCATCTTTATTCTTATTGTAGTCAAACAGCCTTCCTATTACTTTGTGAGCATCCATCTCAACGCTGGTGGAAGCATTTCGCGATTAGATGCAGAAGATAGTCTGAGAAGTAGGAGAATGTTGAAGGCCGTTGGGTTGCAATGGACATTTTGGATTTGTTCATCTCGTGAGTGAAAGAATAGTACTCCCTTGAAAGTGTGATTTGGAGAGGAGAGAAAGATGTTCATAGAGGACAGGAAGAAGTGGGCTAATCTGTATACCGTAATGATAGAGGATGATGAATGCCCCATCCTAGAATCCTGCCTAAGTTTCTCATTTCTACCATGCATACTGGATTCAAATATCCTCATTAGAATCGTTTCGGATTTTCCATGCAAGTATTCTTCTTAGCGAGAATGACACAAGGTAACTATAGTTTTTTAGCTTCTTGCAGTGCCTGGATAGGATAAAATGCAGGCTGTTGGAAGGTACAAATGCTCAGGATGTGAGAGCCCTGGTTCTGGATATGCAAGCAAGATTATTGTTAGATATGTTAGGTAAAGGAATTGAGTCAGCCCTAGTAAATCCCGCGACTCTATTGGCTGAGCCTTGGCAGGCTTCTGGCGAGACCTTATCTGGCATAGATGCTGACAAGATGGTGGTGGAACAAGCTCTTGTACAAAGCATACAGGTTTGGCGATTGTCCTTCTGTGATCTTCCCTTACGATTTGAGTAAAGCATTTTGACCAGTATCCTTGATGTGTAGGCATATGTTGATGCTGTCCTTGATTTGGCATCGCATTTCATCACACGCTTGCGACGTTATGCAAGCTTTTGCCGCACTTTGGCAAGTCATGCTGTCACCTCTGCTAGTGCAGGCACTGCCCGAAATATGGCTGCAAATGCTGCACACAGTTCTGCATCTCCATCATCAAGTCAAGGTCAGTGGAACACTTTTTCTTTTTCTTTTTCTTTTTTACTAAATGACATTCCATTTGTTCAGAATAGGCAGAGACTCTGCCGTGATACTATGATCTTACTCCTAAAGCGATATAGTGTACTCTCTCTTTCTCTTGTTCTCATTCATTGCAGACAATCGAGAAGTCATGGTACTCCTGTGAAGGATTTGTACGTAGTACTTTGGAGGGGGATAGAAACTGCAATTTTCTTTTATTTGTCTAGCATCTTTTACCCTGTCATGTACATAGTGTATCCAAAGCCATAGCCCTTTTGGACCAGTTCATTCTATTCATGAATTTTTTGAGATGGATATCTAGAATATTATTACTTATTCCATTGTTTCCCTGCATGTTAATTTTTTCGATCTGTCAGTCTTTTGTCAATTTTTGCTTATTTATTTAATCACTTTTTATCTCAGTTTAATTAAGTTAATCATTTATAGTAAATTTCTAATTCATGTTCCAGGAAGCCAAGGTGGAACGACGACCACCACTGGGAGCTCCCAAATGCAGGCATGGGTGCAGGGAGCCATAGCTAAAATCAGCAGTACAGCCGATGGGGTTTCATCTACAGCACCAAGCCCTGTGAGCGGGCCATCTTCCTTCATACCAATAAGTATTAATACGGGGACCTTTCCCGGGACACCTGCTGTCAGACTCATTGGAGACTGCCATTTTCTCCATAGACTATGCCAACTTCTTCTCTTCTGTTTGATCTTCCGCCGGAGGCAGTTACCTCGTTTCATGGGTACTGCTCAGAAGAACCCTGATTCCTCCTTGCAAAAAGCCCAAGCCATTGCTGGTGCCAAGGCGGAAGAAGGTGGCCCTGCAGCACGACCTGCTGTGGGCGAAGTACAGTCTGGAAGGCCTGGGCAGGTTGCTCTTGGGGCAAAGGGCCAGGATGAAGCCACGGCTGCGCGGTCTTCAAGATCAGGTTCCGGAAACGCCGGTCAAGGATACACATCAGAGGAGGTAATCACTGCTCATTCTGGCTCTTATTTTTTCAATTATAGAGCTATCCTACTTCGTTGTCCAGGGGTTCTTTCCGGGGATAGTTTTCCGGGGTTCTTTCTTCCATCCATTTCGTTGTCCAGGATCCTCTTCAGCAGATGATCCGTCTTCATGAAATTGGTTGAGCTGAATGATTGATAGTACATGGAAGAACAAGCGCAAGCCAAACATGGAAGAACAAGCCCAGAGGGGGGGATTCGATCATTCTGGGGCTCTTTCTTCCATCTATTTCGTTGCCCAGGATCCTCTTCAGCAGATGATCATTATCGCTAGAATTAACTCGAGAAGATAAAATGATCACTGGGAATCATCATTTGATCAAAGGAATGTGAAGCATAATATACATAAATTGAATAGTTTCTTTGTGCAGCTAATGTGTGAATGAATCTCCAGGGGTGCCCACATATGAACTGCCTTGTCTCTTGCCAGTCGATTATATCTGTAAAAGAAATTTGGCGGCGCTGTTGCAGGCGGCTCATACAAGACGATAACCAATTGACTTTCTTTCTCTTTTTTAGCACAATGGGTCTCATTTCCTTCTCTCTTTTTAACCTTTTATCGACCCCCTTCCTCTCATCTTTTCAGATTTCATGTGATTCCGAAGCTCTTCATGTGTTTGAGACGCTTTGCATGGTCTTTAGATCATCTCCATGTTGGATATAAAGCATTATTCCCTGTTGCTTGCAGGTGAAGGTTCTTTTTCTTATACTCGTTGATCTCTGTCGGCGGACAGCTGCCCTAGCCCACCCATTGCCAGTCTCTCAGGTGGGGTCCAACAACATAATCATTCGTTTGCATTACATCGACGGCAACTACACCGTGCTGCCCGAGGTTGTGGAAGCATCCCTCGGCCCACATATCCAGGTATCTAACCCGCTGACTCGTCGACCAAACTCTGTAATAATCACAATAATTACGCTGGCTGGAGGAAGAAATAGCTGGGCATAAAAGAAATCATTTTTTCTCTTCGAATTATCCATTTTGATGCCAAATGGTATCCCGAACAGTACTCTTCCTCGGGGAATTTCAGAAAAGATCTGATTTTTGTTCTTGTCTCGTTCTCATCTCTGGGAATTGCCGTAAAAATCCACATGCTATAGGTCTGAACATGTATATGGTACTAACCTTGTTTCCGTGATCAGAATATGCCCCGCCCTAGAGGCGCAGATGCGGCTGGGCTGCTGCTGCGCGAGCTGGAACTCCATCCTCCTGCGGAAGAATGGCACCGCCGGAACATGTTCGGCGGCCCTTGGTCCGACCCGGAGGATCTATGCCCCCTGGACGGTGGCGCATCCGGCCAGAGCGCCGCCGCCGATCCCCACGGCCTCAACTCCTCGATCACCTTCGAGGGCTACAATGGCGGGCAGGGCATCTGGCCGAGGAAGCGCAGGCTGTCCGAGAGAGACGCGGCGTTCGGCCTGAAGACCTCGGTGGGTCTCGGGTCCTACCTCGGCATCATGGGATCCCGCAGGGACGTCGTCACCGCCGTCTGGAAGACGGGCCTGGACGGGGTCTGGTACAAGGTACGCCATCCGCTTCTCTCTCATCCAGAGCTTGCCCTAATGGCGGACGCTGAGTTGCTTCTCTCTGTTTCTTCTTCTTGCTTCCTCCGGCGCAGTGCGTCAGGTGCCTGCGGCAGACGGCGGCGTTTGCACCGCCCGGGAGCTCGAGCGGCGCCGCCAACGAGCGCGAGGCGTGGTGGATCAGCCGGTGGGCCTACGGGTGCCCCATGTGCGGCGGAAGCTGGGTCCGCGTTGTCTAGTGCAGGGGAAAAGCTTCATGGTCTCCTCCCATGGCAGTCTCTCGCCCCTTCTTCCTATTGTTTGTGGTGATAAGGAGTAGTGATAAAGATCATTTGGAATTTAATTTTTTTACAAAACCCCTTCGACAACGACTTAAACGTCAGAGAAACCCACCTTTTTGGCGTATATACATACTTCTCCCTTCAAGTTAGGGATAATTTGTTAAATACCCCTTAAAAACTGCCTTCCAACCGTCATCGAGTTCTACGTAGTTGTTAGTGGTATATATATAAATATCGTTTTTATGTGGGTAGTGATGAGGTAGTGCTTGAGGGGGGTAATTGGGCAAATTCTAAGGTATGTGGGTATCAATTTAAATCTCAGGAGTGGGTTCTACATTCGTTACATTTTTAGTAAAACAAACTCACCGGCCGACGGGAGGAAAATTCTGCCCCGGAGGAACGCGGGTCACTGTGGGTGGAGATTCCGGTGGTGGTGGAGGAGCCCTTCGCCCGCCATGTCGAGCCCGCAGCAGTCCTCGTCGCAGCACTCGTTGGCGTTCCGGGTGATGAGATTGTGCCGTCCTTCCTTCCAGGTGGAGGAGACAGTCCTCCGCCTCGATCCATTCGACCTCTTTGCCGGCGAGGACCTCTTTGATGATCACCGCGTGCCAACCCACCTACTCGATAAGGGAGTGGCCTCTGTCGCCACTGCCTCGGGCGAAGAACTCGGCAGTGCCTTCGAAGGCGATTTCAGCTTTCGCGGCCGTTTCCAGCTCCAGGATCCGACCGACGCCATGGCTCTCCCAGGCTTCCTCATGCTTCCTCAATCCTTTGGGTGAGCCCCGGCACCTTTTGTTGCTTTGGGTTGATCATCCTCTTTTTTTGGCGCTGATTTTGTCTGCCTTTCCTTGCCCGTGTACGTCGATGTGCGCTCAGCGCGATCTATTTGGGGGAGACTTTCTGCAGCTACGTCAGCGTTAACAACAGCTCCAATTTCGAAGCAAGGGATGTCGTGATCAAGGTATTCTGAACTCTCCTGGGACCAGTCTAGACATGGTAATGCTTGGATTTGTGATCAACGATGAGGTCAGAATGCCGCACTTGTTCTTATTGATTGTCTAGTGTTCCGTCTTAGATGGATCTGAAGAGTACTAGGAGAGTTCCGTCTAGAGTTCCGTCTTTTTTGAAAAAAGAGCTTCCATCAGGACCACAGGGTGGAAACCTCGTCACCTGTCATTTTTCTCTCACTCCTAATCTGCTAGATGAGCCACATTTTCAGCCAAAGCATATAGGGAGTAGCATAGAATGCAAAACATACAAGACGAGTAGCATTGAAATCCGCGATTAGCTCAGTCTTCGCCCTCTCAATCATTAGAAGGAGAGCTCTCTTTGGCCTTTGGATGATTAACTCTTCTTTCTCTTCCTGTTATCTAAGTCAGCCTTGCAAGGTCGTGTGATCTGCTGACTACCGCCACCTTTCGGTAAAAGGGAAGGGATTTTTTTCATGCTGAATCTCTTACCTGGATATGACTAATATCGACAGTTCCAGGAAGCTGGAAACTCAAAATGTGCCAATGAGGACATTCAATAGGACAGATAAGGTTAAAATTTTTGGTAGACACGATTAATAAGAACTGAGAACATGATAGGTTACTGCATTGGCTTTACTCAAACCATTCCCTTTTTTGACTTATAAGTATTACTTAATCAACGATTGGTAGACTACTTCAGGGCCTAACGCTTAATTTCATTTAGTAGTTGGCTAGGATTTTTTCCAGAAGTAATTTTTCCATCCTGTCCATCATCATATATGCAGTCCTCGGATGCGTTTCATGCTATTGGTCTCCATAACGAGCGTAACTGGAAAACAAGGCTCATATGCAGACGATGCGTTAAAATGACACGTGATTGGCCTAACGACTTCATTCCCCTATAACATAGATTAATTTTTTACGAAAATTATATTTACTTTTTTCTGGTGGAAAATTATGTATGATGCAGGCAGAAATTCAAACGGAAAGGCAAAGAATAGTCCTATTGGACACTTCAAAAACACCTGTCGAATCCATAAGATCAGGAGGACGATATGATTTCATTGTTGAACATGATGTGAAGGAACTGGGACCCCACACGTAGGTTACGTCTGTCAACTGAATTTTTATTATTTACTTAATGAAAACATGTTTTGTCCAGTTCTACGGACTTATTAAATTATTTCTTATTTACTCTAGCCTAGTTTGCTCCGCTATGTACAATGATGGAGAGAGTGAACGTAAATATCTCCCGCAATTTTTCAAGTTTGTGGTTGCAAACCCAATTTCTGTTAGAACAAAGGTGCTTTTCTTTGAACCTTCTGCATCATTTGTAGTGGATTTTCACATCCATGTATAGCATGTTTTAGCCTGGCCTTATTGTTGCTTTCCATTTCTGCTTCACCTACTTGTATCCTGTGCTTGATGTTTGATGCTATCCCTTTTTGTGCAGGTGCGGTCTGTGAAGGTACGTTCAAGCTAGAATATAACTGGACTTTGGTTGTAAGTCCTCATAATCTGTGTTATTTTTCTAGATGGATGATCTGGTATTGAGAGTTGAAAAATATGCATATTTAGAGTTGGCGCATATTAATTAGACGACAAAATAGAACTGATTTTTTGTCGTCTTGATCCATCTGCTATCAAGTTATTATGCAGGAAACACCAGATTACTGCTTGCTGGTACAGAGTCCTATGTAAATGACGCTATCAGAACTATTTGTTGCGAGAAGCCGATCACTTTTTAGGGGCTATGTCACTCTTGCGCTTTCACTCGTGTCAGGGCAGATCAGATACTTATTCGCATATGTGAGGAGACTGCATACTAGAAGTTCCGTTCTTTTTTGATCTTAGGGGAGAGATGAATGCTGTTACATTGGAAAAAAAAACAGCCAACATAGCCATTAAGAATCCCTTAAGTTGGCATCTGTCATTCATCATCACCCAAATCCTACTATCTTCTCCAATCAAATGCACAGGTATTAAATCAGTATGTTAGCCATTGAAGTGATATACTATAGATTTGAGTTCTGGTGGACCATGGAAACGTTTTGTTGTTAAAGATCTGAAGACACTTTGAATGAGTAAAATGTGTGCTTCTGGAAATAAAAATCCTGGAAAGGTGAAACCCACATCTTCTCTGTAACTGTTTTGCTGAGATCTACGTAGGGCGTACTATGTAAGATCTATGTTATGAGTTTATCCGCTCAAACTCATCCATTGAAGATCCTCATGAAATGGTTACCCTTTATTTATGTGTGTACACAGACATGCATGTCTCCGTTTTTATGCATGATCTTGTTGGATACTATATTTGTGTTATTGAGAAACTCGTGTTCGTCCAATACTTATCTGACACCGCATTCATGTTTCTTTTGGATCGTATCCAGTTAGTTTCGCCTGTTACTAAGATATTCTTCTTATTCAGGAGAAGACATTCTTGGAGGTCTGCATTGAGAATCACACAAAATCCAACCTACATATGGATCAAGTGGAGTTTGAGCCGGCACAAACTTGGACTGCAACACTTTTAAAAGCCGATGATTATTCTTCTGGAAAAGATTCATCGACTAGGTTGTGTGACCGTGATCCCAAACTCGCTCATGTGTAAATTTTTTTGGTTATTTTTCTCAGTGATTGCGAATCATGCTGCCCTGATTATTATCATCTTTTTTCTGGGTTGTTTACTTTGTGAATAGAGAAATATTTAGCCCTCCACTTCTCATAAGAGCAGGCGGAGGGATCCACAATTTTCTCTATCAGCTGATGCAGCCATTGAATGAGTCTGGACACATGAAGCTCGATGGGAGCAATGTTCTGGGGAAGCTTCAGATCACGTGGCGCACAAACTTGGGTGAGCCTGGACGTCTCCAAACTCAGCAGATACTTGGCACTGTAAGCATACGCTCTGCTCTGCGTACTGGCCATTCCCGCATTCATTATCCTTAGGATCTATACTCAACATTATCCATGAGCTGACAGCGAAATCAACATATTTTCATGATACTTTGGTTTCATTTTCAACATTTGTATATGAACATATTCTTCTATCACCATCACCTTCTCTTTTGCAGGCTATAACACGGAAGGAAATCGATATCCAAGTCTTGGATGTTCCATCTACCATCACCGTAGCAAGACCGTTCTTGGTAAATCATTTTTTATGATGAATCTTTGCTGACTAAAATTTAAAAAATCGAATCTCCGGCGTTGCACTTAGACGATCGACCAATGATCATTCACGCTTCCATGAGACCAATTCCTCCTCATCGAACTGCCTAACCCCCCCCCCCCCAAAAAAAAAGAATTTCAAATCTTAGTGGAATTGACGGTATCTTGCATCTTGTGTATCCTTTTCACAGGCCATGCAACTAACATTATATCCTTTTCAGGTTCGTTTAAGGCTCATGAACCAGACCGACAGAAGAATGGGGCCTCTTGAGGTTTGTGTATCCGAAGATGATTCCACTGAAGAGAGAGCAATGATGGTTAATGGCATGGAAAAACAGGTCTGCTCCCGTAGAAAAACTGTCCCCTGATGTCCATGGCTGAGCTTCTCTTGCTTTATATTCCGCACTGATCTTTGATCGCGATATGTATAAAATGGATTTGTCTGTCAATCCCTCTCCAACTCTGTATCCTCTTGATCCTCTTCTTCCGCAGAATGGTAGGATATTTCCTTCTCAAGCATGTTCACCCCGTGGAACTTCTTTCTACTTCTGCCCCAGCGTGGAAATCTCTGAGGTTTTACACCTCTGCTTTTTCTCCAATGCTTTGACTGGCTGCCTCGGGTCAACCCTCGTTTGACCCTCCTTGACCCTCTAGATCCTCCCTGCTAGGCCAGCCGACCCTGCTTAGAGAGTCCAAATTGGTCAACATAGAGAGCCTTGAATATTTTTGCCTCTTTTAAAGGAGTTTATTGTTATATTATTAGTCGAAGTGGTATGTCAATCTTCATAAATTAATGCCATTTTTTTCTTCTTTCTCGACTCATTCAGATCTTGCCGCAGCTCGAGGCTTCCAGTTCCACAGAAGTTGAGCTGGTGAGAGAACACCCATCTTTTATCCCAAAAATGGTCGTGGTTTCTTACTATAAATGGTTATCCTGCTCTGATTCCCCGCATAGCTGCGGTTATGTACCGCCTGTGCCATTCCTCCCGTCACTGCTCCTTAGTGCCACGAACGACTGAGATATCTTTCTGATGCACTCTCCGCAGAGTATGATGGCTGTTCGCAGTGGGGTCCAGAAGATCTCAGGGATCAAAGTCTCCGATGCCCAGACTACGGATCTTCTTGACACATTGCCAGATATGGAGGTCAGTAGCAACGTTGACTTCACGCACTTCCACCCGTAGGATTATCAACGCCGCAGGCCGGGCCCGCTTCACCTTCTCGGGTTATGCAATCACTGCAGGTATTTGTGAGTTCCCATTGACTCATCTCCTGGCCTCCTCGGCAAGCGGCTTCCCTGTCAATCTGGGAGCCAGCCAGAAGTTCAAGAGAAGTCAACCCCATCTTAGGTGTGTGATGCATGCACAGCCCGCGTTGAGATTCTTTGGAGGCCCAACTTTGACTTTCCCGTTTTCTGACATCTTCGGCTCGTTAGGTGAGGACTACTCTCGCTCTGGGTGAATCCGTTGGTTTAATCCGCTTCAAGGTCAGTTGGCAAAGATTAGAGAATCCATTGATTTTAACTACAATCCTGTTTCGGGTGAATTCGTGTGTTTGATCCGATTCGAAGTCAGTTGACCAGGACCAAAGTGTTTACATAGGTTCTCAATCATCGTAGTATTATTCCGACACATCTGACCGGATTTATAGCAGTAGAGAGAGAGAGAGAGAGAGAGGAATTTACCCGTTGACTACTTTGCGGCGTTGTAGAGTCGGCAGCCACGTCCACTTCGGGAGTGGAGATGGATTTGTCAAGACGATGACCTCGGGCTCCACCCCAGAAGGCGGGGCAACTGCACGTGCGCATTGAAAAATATCCGGACGTGCGACCAATCGGAGGTCAAGACGAACAGTAAACGCGAGAGCAGTCTTTAATTCCAATAACTCCGCGTATAATTACGAATAATCAAGTGCGAGCAATTATTTACGAAATCGTGACCGTCCACAGAGAATTTTCAATACCGGAAGAGGGTACACCAGACCGCAGACCTCCCCAGAAGGCGGACGCCTCATCCACTGCGTGGCACTGGAATGTGATCTCAAGTATCCATTGCAACCCGCGAGAGTCAGCGCACGTGCGACCAATCGGGGATCAAGACGAACAGTAAACGCCGAAACAGCTTTTAATTCCAATAACTCTGGGTATAATTACGAATAATTATTTACGCAATCGTGACCGTCCCCACTCGGAACACCGATGAGGAGGGTGTGCACCAGACTGCAGACCCCTCCGCTGAAGGCGGACGCCCTATACACCGCGGGCACACTGGAACGTGCGCCTCAGAATTCCGCGACGAGTCAGCCGTACGTTCGACCAATGGGGAATCAAGACAAATTACTTTTTAAACACATACGATTTTAATCATCCACATTATTGCGTAATATCGCCGAAACCGTAATCACTGTCATTAATCTCGGAGGGGGGGGGGGTTGACCTTGACGGGCCGGCCCACTGGGCTCTAAGAGGCCTAATAACAGACCTCCGAGGTAAAATGGAAGATCCAGCGGTCACGGAGGAGACTGTTGAGCAGCCAGCTACCAATCTCAGAGAGAGAGAGAGAGAGAGAGAAGGGGGAGGAGCGCAAACGCAGAGCAGCTATACAACGCTCATGGAGGGTCGATCGAGCTTGCAGCCGAAGAGGGAGAAGGGCGGTGGCAGCGGCTATGGCTGGGCTTCGTCCCAGGTGGTCCAGTCAGCGGCGCTGCCGACGCGGGGCATGCTGTTGATGCGGGAGTACGCGTCCACCTTAAAGTTGGCCCCGCACATGACGCCCTCGCTGTCCACCCTCGGCATCGCCTTCATCCTGTTCATCGGGTGCTCGAAGCTCCTCAGCCCTCCGTCGCTGTGGAACATGCAACCTGCAACCACCGGCGGGGGAGGAGACCGTCAGATTACGCGCGCTCCCGGCGGCGCAGGGATCACAACTCCTGGTACATACCACTGGGGAAAGGAGCGAAGGATTTGCCGCAGCCGCCTTTGATTATCTCCACTTCGTCGGAGATCACCACGGATCCTTCCGCAGCCAGGCCCCAGAACAAGGGCACCCCTCCATCAGCGCTCTGCATGCAAAGGAAAGGGAACCCCCGGCGCTTCAGGATCTGGGAAGGAAGAGAAGGGAAGGGAGGTGGAAAGGGGGGGATGATCACCGAGGCCGTACCAGTGCGGCGAAGACGGTGCCGGCCTTGTTATCGTAGACGATGAAGGCGAAGCTGCCGCTGAGGTCCTTGACGACCTGGTCCGCCGGGTACGGCCCGCGGTCGCGAAGAGTGCGGTAGGCCTCAATGACGAGGAGGGCTTCGTTGGTGGCCTTGCTCAGTCCGTACTGCTTTATCAGAGCACTGAGGTTGTCAAGGCTCCCGAAGAAGAGGCAGTAGATGTCGTCGAAGCTACAGAACAACCTGCGTAGAGGGGGAGATCCCAAGTGTGAGGAGCCTAGGACTGCGAGGCGTTGCCAAGGGACGGGGAGATCCCTCAGATCTACATGATTTCCATCCGTTTGAGAAAAAAGAAGCCGAGATCCGCGGTGGATCTCGTTCCCATTTCGGCCGATCTGTTCTCGGGGCTCCATTGGCGGACCAGATCTGAGAAATTCGATCCACTTCTCCTGGTCTCGTGCACCAAAGGAAAACTCTAGGGACGTCCAGCCTCCGCCCCGATCCACATTTCCCCAGATAAATAGAGGACAACAAAGAAAGATGCAGGATCCGACGCAACGAGGATGGACGAGAGAGGATACCTCCTGTGGACTGTTATCTGGCGGATGGAGGTGGTGCAAGCCAGGGCGGCGCCGCCGCTGAAGTTGGCCGAGAAGGACTGTTCCGGGTGGGCGGCGTGAAACGCCTTCAAGATCTCTTCCGGGTTCTTCGGCACCCGCAAGCCGCCCGCTGTGGGGCTGTTGAGCTCCTGCGGCGGATGCGCAAACGTCTTGTGGAATATGGCCAACATCTTCGCCAAATCTCCACGGAACCCTACTGAAACACAGAACGCAAGATCGAAAGAGCCAGAGAAAAATGGACTATGAGGGGAGTGGAGCTCTGGGAGTCCGCTAGACGGCCATTTATACCCGCTGGAGCAAGCTCGGTTTGGTCGAAAAAAGAAACCCTAGCTCTGGGAGGAAGAAGACGAGTTCGGATAAGGATCCACTCCTGGCTTCTAGAACAAGACTAACGTCGTCGTATAGTTACCGACGGGGAGCTGCGCGGCCTCCGCGAGAACATTGCTCTCATTCGACGGCGGTGATTTGCCGGTGGACTTTGATGACGGTCACCGGATTCCGGCCGCCGGTGTCCCCATCTTATCCGTGAAGAGTAGAAAACCTCGTCGCCCACAGACATCCCCTCCCCCCCCCCTCCCCCCCACCCCCGGCCGCCCGCCGCAAAGAAATTCCGGATTGGGCCAACAGTTGGGCCGGCCCACCGTCTCTAAATAAACAACGTCTTCCCGTGGACTGTGACCGCACGTGCGGATGATCGCTATATCCCAACTGCCCACCTTTTGACACGCGTGAATTTGGGCCCCCACCTTTTAGTTAATAGCTTCATTTAACATAATTAATTGACTAAATAATTTCATTGATGGCAACACTCGAATTCGTCCCCCCGGATGAATGGGAACGAGGCCCACGGAATCCCCTCGGTCAAATGAGGCCCGATAAGAATAAGTTTGTGGCCGTGGGCTTTTATCTGGGATAAGCCCAATGGTCCTGCCCCAAGTAGCCCATATTCATTAATGTGCCGCAGGGTTGCTGGGCTGAGAGGTCACCACGTAGGCCGAATCGTGGTGAGATGTAACGCAGATCTGCTTATCCCTCCGCGCCGTCGTGCGCCGTCAGATCTCTCTGCAAGTGAGATGTACGGTTGGACAGCTGTAAATCACGTGATCTTCTCACACTTCTGGGAATGTTCTGCAATTGGAGAGAGAGAGAGAGAGAGAGAGCGGGTCTGGATGAGTCGTGGGTCCGAAACCAGCGTGGACCAGGTTTTTTAAAGCAGGTTGCATGTCGTGCCCCTGTTCGACGGCCCACAGCCCCCGGGGAGATCGGACGGTGGGCCCGCCTTCCAGCTCAGGTCACATGGAGGCGGGTAGATTTGAGAAAGCCACTTCTTAACTGGGCTTTTACGTAAAACAGTGATAATAGCTAGTAGAACCGAACAGGCCGAGGAAGTGGCAGGTTGATGACGAAAACGTAAGAGAAGATTCAAGTCAAAGGACCGGTTGAGCCGTGGGTATTCGGCGTTGCCAACGTGGCTGTGTGACGTGGGTGATTAATCAACCAATAAACTGGTCAATAGTATGCGATTTTGACGTTCTATAGTCAGTGGCGCCTATTATTTGGCACGTGGGCTTATTCGCATCTGGCGGTCGAGTAAATGGGGCGTAAGGTGGACCAACCCGACCGAACTGAGTCGAGTTCACGGCGGGCTGGACCGAGCGGGCGTTACGTCGTTTCTTTTTATTCTGTTTGTCCGAGTGGCGGTGAGCTGAGTTGGCGGTGAATCGTGGGCCTCTTATCGGGCTGCCCGAACGAAGGGTAATATCCGGTTGGACCAGGTGACCACACCTATAAAAATAGCAGGGCACCCGTGACTCCTGCACAGCTGCTTAGGACGATAAAGCTTCAAGAATTCTCTCTCTCTCTGTGCTCTGTTTCTGCGTGTGAGAGTAGTTCTAGCGGAGCTCCGAGCGTGCATGGCAGTGAGTTTTGTGGCGGGGGAGGTATCAGACCTCTGTATCGGGAAGCCGGCGCTGGGGTGGGTGCCGCCGTCGGCGACAGTGCGGGAGGCGCTGCTGTTCCTGAAGAGATGCGGTGAGAACCATCTGACGGTGTGGAGGGAGAGGTACACGGCGACTGCAACGCCGGCCGACGGTGCCGCCGGGGCCGCCAGCAGGTGTCTCGGCAAGGTCTGCGTCGTGGACATTATCTGCTACCTCTGCGCTGAAGAGAATCTGACGGCTCCTTCCGCCGCCCTTGAGTCGCCTGTTTCCGTCCTCCTCCGGAAGGACTCCGGGGCCCTGATTAGGAACGTGGAGCGCCATTGCAGGTTGGCGTTTGCGCTTGTTGTCGTTAGGTTTCGTCTATTTTGATCTGTTCTCTTCGAGTTGAAATAATATTGATCCATCTGAAACATCATCACCACCATCATCATCATCTTCTTCTCCTCCTACTAGCTATTTCCAGCATTTGTCTTTATCACGACGGCGTATTTTCCCCTCTAATTCCATGCTTCACGACATTCCTCTGCAAGTGTTTTTTCCCCTTCTCATCTGACGACATCTTCCGCATTTCACCGGATTATTTGGAATCGATTCAGTTGTCTCGCAGAGCCTGTCGTCCTCATCTTTGTATGATTGTTCTATCGAAGTTTACAGTGGATTCTAGATTCCCTTGCTGTTCTTCGTTGCTCTTCTCTTAGCCTCTCGGGCGCATTTCTGGCATTTTTTTTTCTTTGGGAGATCTCTTACGCCATTATTCGAAAATGGCATGGCATTCTGATAATAACATCCTCTCACGGATCTCTGCAGCGTGTTGGAAGCGCTGGATGTGATCTTGGGCGGGGCGCAGAACCTGATGGTCCCCCTGCGAGGCCCCGGTGCCGGCCGGAGCAAGGTACAGAAGAACGCTCTTGGCTTCTGCTGGATCACGCAGGAGGACTTCGTCAGATTCTTCCTCAACTCCATCGGCGCCTTCTCCCCAATCCCTGCCTTCTCCATCGAGTCGCTGGGGATCATCCAATCCGACGTCCTGGTCGTCGAATACCACAAACCGGCGCTCTCCGCGATGCCGCTGATCAAGCAGGCCCTGGCCTCCCAGACGGCTGTGGCCGTCGTCACCGACGACGGCAAGCTCATCGGCGAGATCTCGCCGACAACCCTCGCCAACTGCGACGAGACCGTAGCGACGGCGATCGCCACGCTCTCGGCAGGCGATCTAATGGCTTACATTGACTCCGGCGGCCCCGCCGGGCCCCCGGAGGAGGCCATCAGGGCCGTGAAGGCGAGGCTGGCGGAGAGAGGCATGGTGGGGATGCTGGAGCTGATGGAAGAGGTGCCCACATCTGACGCCTCCTCCTCCTCGTCCTCAGACGAGGAGTCGCCTCCTCCGGCCAGATACGGCAGATCAGGGAGCTACTCGGCGCGGATGGGAAGGCGATCGGAGGACGCCATCGTGTGCCACCCCTGGAGCTCCCTGGTGGCGGTGATGATCCAGGCTCTCGCTCACCGCGTGACCTACGTCTGGGTGGTGGGAGAAGACTACCAGCTCGCCGGCGTTGTGACCTTCGCCGGCATCCTGACCGTCTTCCGCGACGAGCTGCAGCCCTCAGAGCAGCGGCAGTAAGAACCGCCCCCCTCAAATTTTCATTGAGGTCCATCTCCCGTAATTTCCTTTCATATCACTCCCCCCTCCCCTGTCGCATCTCTGCTCCCCTTCTCCGCAGAACACGTGGCGGCGCGTGGCAGATGGACCCCATGACGCGACCCTCCACCACACGGTAGGTCCTGTACTTTTCCAATAAAATGATGCCGTTAAAAGGGAGACATGCCGCTTGGCCAGTGGACCTGGCCCCCACCTCTCTCTCTCTCTCTCTCTCTCTCTCGCTCCTCTTCTCTCTATCAACAAAAGGCCCGTCCTTCAAGATCTCTCTCTCTCTCTGTCTCTCAACAAAAGGCCAACCTTCAGATCTCTCTCTCTTTCTGTCTCTCAAATAAAATGAGGGAGACATGACGCTTGTTTCATCTGCCCACCAACCCTCTCTCTCTCTCTCTCTCTCTCTCTCTCTCTCTCTCTCTCTCTCTCTCTCTCTGCTTTATCTTTGATCAGTACTCACGTGACTCGCTCGACCATCCGAGCTTGATCCGGCTGGGGGATCTTGAATCAAGTCGGATAACTCGGCCGATTCTGGCTTTGGCTGATCAGCAGACCGCCACTTGGGGGCTCGAACCAGACCTGGGCCCGACCCTCTTTAAAGCCCACCACAGCATATGATTAGACCCGGACGAGACTGGCCCAGCTGGGCTTATTCATTTTGTGTCCTCTACTGCAAAAAAAAGAGCGTTTTCTCATCTATTCGATTAAAAAACTAGGGTTTTCCATTCCAGGTCCCCACAAGTTTGATGCATTAATATCGATGACTTCCTCATCTGTTCGATAAAAAGAACCGTCCGTAACGCTCAGAAAAATTATTTCCGTTTTAAATTAACCACGTTTAATTCTCACTTTCATATAAAAATTAATACGTTCAATACGACATTAAATCCTGAATAAATGCAATTAAACCGAGTAACTCAGACGAGGCAGGTTTCCGAAGCCTTAAACAGCTTGAAGTGAAACGCCGAAGAGTAATTCATCCACAATTGACGCAACTTATGAGGAAAGGTCCAGAACCCAGAAAAGCTTGCCCCTTCCGTCGCCGCAGTTTGGTCACCGAAGCACCCACCCCCCAACACAGGTAGATCATCTCCTCCTCCCCATTCGAAGCACATCAAGAGAGAAGGGGGGGGGGGGAGGAGGGGATGTGAAGGGTGGAACTCACAGACGGTGAAGCTTTCAAGTAGTATCTTGTGTGTGAAGGGGGATCTCGGTGGGGAGGAGGGATCCCCGCATGCGCTCGAGGCCGAGCTGGGCCCGCTCATTGTCGCCGAAGCCGAAGATAGAGCCCCGGGTGGTGACGGCGAGGGTGTGGTACAGGCCCGTGCTGATCTGAGCCACGCAGTGGGGGGCTAAGCAATCCAGCCGCCGGGGCCTCAACACCTTGTCGGAGGAACCTGCGGCGGCGCCGCCCCTCTCGCCGGCAGCGAAGCCCAAGCTGCCGAAGCCCATCCACCCGAAGGCAAAGGCCGAGCCGTCGTCCGCCACCACGAAGGTCTTCCTCTTCCTCGCGCAGACCTGCACCGCGATGCGGCTCCTCAGCCCGCTCAGCAGCTCCGGCAAGGTCTTGTCGTTCTCGTCCCCGTGCCCCAGAGCCCCGCAGTAGCCCCTACCCCATGTGTACACCTGAAAACTCTCCCCGTCACCTCCACCGTAGAAAGGAAGAAATAGAAAGGGAGGAGGAAGGAGGAGGGAAGGAGGGCTGACCTGGCCGATGGAATCGAGCGCCACGGCGTGCTCGTCGGCCGCAGAGACGCGGACGATGTGGACGCCCTTGCGGCGGAAGGGCTGGACGGCGCGGGGTAGGAGCTCGTCGTGCTGGTCGCCATGGGCGAGGCAGAAGTTGGAGCAGGAGCCGAAGGAGAATACGGTTCCATCGTCGGCCACGGAGAGGGTGTAGCTGGAGCCGGCCGCTATCTGGGTGACGCGGCCGAGGCCCTCGAATGCTTCGACCTTCTTAGGCGTGGGCCTGTCCAGGTTGTCGCCATGGCCGAGCTGACCGTGGGTGTTCGTCCCGCACGTGTACACGTGCCCGTCCTTCGTCAGAAGCACGGTGAAGCTGAGACCTGTGGCAGCCTGAGAAAAATGAGGCAGCAAATTCCTGATCGTGAAAAAAACTTGGGAAGGGAAATTGATTTTTTCTTTTCTTCAGGGTGGAAGAGAAATATATATATAATTTATTTTTTTGAGACATGCATATGATGAGGGCGTAACAGTAAGGAAGACTAACAAATATCCGGATCCAGAATTTTGACAGAACCAGCAAGTCCCCATGAGGATGAGAAAAGGGTTGAGATCAGGGCGTTGACCTTTAGCCATTTTGGTTGAAAATGGAGAGGCGACTATTAAAAGCATGCAAGTGAGAAAGCACAAGGCTTTGATAAATAATTGAAAGAGAGCACATGTTTGACCGGTGGACGCTCAAAAATAAGAGTGGGTGCCCAAATTTATTGTACCTGCACACAGGGCATCCCCTTCATTGCCTCGATGCGTGTGGGTCTGAATATGGCGCGGCCAACTTCTCCATGGCCGCAACAAAAGGACGAGTTGTCCCCACAGGTGAAAACCTAATGAGAAAATAATCACTTCTCAGCAGAGCTTGGATAGATAGATATGCTGACTAATTCATCCAAATAAATGACGCAAACTAATTTGTCCAAACGTCACGAACCTCCCCAGATTGCATAACGAAGGCTGCGTGGTTGTGAGATGCTGAGACATGGATGACATGTGAAAAGGATGGGAAGTTGATCCGGGTAAATGTTACGCACTGTGTTGTATCTTGACCATGCCCAAGGACTCCGCATAAACTGGAGCCACAAGAGTAAACAGATGAGTCGTGGACCAACAGTGTATGGTGCCGCCCTGTAGTGACCTGCATCTGCAAACATGAATACCAGAGAAATATGTAACCTTAAGTATCATCCTCCATGGCCGTAGAATCTTAAAGGGTTGGGATCAAATTTCAGAATGAGTTCCTGAGGATAAGTATAACAGGATCTCGACTAAAAAATGATTAAAATTCTACACTAGCTCCAAAAAAGGAAAAGAAAAACATGTGGAACCACTACACGGAGGTCATCAGAAAAGCTCTCATTCTATTGGAATCCACAGACGTCATATTAATAAACTCTTAAAGAGAAAACAGAAATTTTCAAGGAAATGGCATCTCAATGGAGAAATTCACATTCAGAAATGATTTTCTGGATGATAGAAACAGATCAATTTCTTAGAAAAGCCCCAAATTGTGTAAAGATAATGGCATTAGTTAGCGGATATCACCAAATTGTTGGTAGTCAAAAGGAGATAATTCACAAGCAAGGGTGTCAGATTCTACATTGCCTGATGATGTCGCCACAGTGCCGGAAGATTGCTCCAATGACTGTAAGAACCTCAGAACCTTCTTCCAGTTCCCGTCACAGCGGTCAAGAAGGTCTCTTCTGGAATTAGGAGGAAGAGAAGCGAACACCGGTTGATCCCCACAGAGAGTGAATGCAACGAACTCAACCACGGAGCGGAACTTCTTAGGGAATATCTCGTGGCTTCCTCGGAACATTCGGCATGAAGTCTCCAAGCAAGCAAGATCGGCGGCACCCAACCGGCCAGAGCAAAGTATCTCCATGATCAAATGGAGGGGCAGCTCTTCAAGTGAAACACACCTATTCCACTCCCCCGTCATTATTCTCTGACCTTGAAATCCACACCCAATCTGTGCTCTCTATCGTGACCAGAAGAAAGTATGTGAAAGTCACCAAGGCGTCCTATGGAACCCGAATTCAGGTACTTCCCCGAATCAGTATCCACAGAAGGTGCGCTCAAAGGGAAGAAAACAACGGCGTGCTCAGGGAATTCGAATTCTGAGTTGAAAATCTCAGGATAACACGACGACGTGCGGAATAATAGTAATAAGAAGATGTCGGACGGAAGCAGCATGCGAGAAACCGAGAAAGATGATGGGAATTTCGAGGAGAGAGTCGGTGATTGCGGGTGCGGAGGAGGGATTAGAAGCATCAGAAAGAATGAAATACAAAGAACGAGAAAAAAATCCAACAATGTCGAAGACGGCGCGAGAAGCGGGGCGGAAACTGATCCAATTGGATAGATCTTAGCACAGAGACGAATGGACTAGATGAGCCTTCTCTAAGGTAATTCACCGCACGAGGAAGAGTATATCACGATCCACGGAATACACATCAAATCGAAGAACGGCAAGGCTATTGAAGGAGGCCTACAAAAAGTAAGGACACATTGAAGAACGGGCGGGGGAGGTGGGGAATTCTCGCGCGGATCGGAAGAAACAGAGGAAGATAAAGGCGACGGAATCGGGAAACCAACAAGAGGAACAAGAAGCTTCCTGGTGGGGCCCACGACCACAACACATGAGCGAGGGAGCTCTGAAGGAAAGCGGACTCTCCGCCTTTTCCACCGAAAACGCTCAACGCCAAAAAAGCAGAGGGCAGAGAGAGAGAGAGAGAGAGCTCTCACGCGCACTCACTGGTTGCAGGCCAGCAAGACGGGCGCACTGTTGCATCCAGGAGGAGAGGAGAAGGCGAGACGGAGGCGGAGTTGACAAAAAATGATGAATAAACAAATAAATCAATTCGGACGAGGCGAGCTGCCGTGACGTCATCCCCCGCCGACGAAATCTCCAGCCGTCGACGCTGTTGGCGGGCGCATCCACCGTGAGCTTCGCTTTGCTGCGACTTCCGGTGATTAGCCAACGGAAGCTTCGAGACTTGGACGGACAGTCAACGTGTCGCCTTGCCAATGGCTGGCACCACTTCCACCACTCTCTTGAACATCAACCATCGATAGAAATACCTTTCTAAACAATCAATTTATTCACATACCCCTACGCCGCTGGTTTGACCACGAATGGGCGGACCAAGTTTTGCGGATACGAAATGAAAAAAGCATCTAAATATTTGGCACATCATTGAATTGCACCGTTACCGTCGGTTCTTCACAATGCAAAGCGCCAACCGCAGCGGGACACGGAACGCCGTTAAGGAGAGAGGAACAGGATCCCTACTGGTCGGGCAGTTTATCTCTGAGGTACTTGAGGACAGCCTTCGTTCCTCGGTCCAGAATAGCGCGCCGGATGCTGCATGAGGAAGGAAGAGTCTGTTAGTTTGGCCAGAGTACTCATCAGGTGGCGGGGTACAAGGAAGGAAAGAAAGAAGGTGTTCTTACCTCCTCAGTGGATTCCCATCGAGCCTTAAAACCTGAAGGCTGGGCTCGAGTAAACCCTGCGGACAAGAGAAACAGAGAAGAGAAGAGTTAGCCGCCCACCAAGGGCATAGAGGGCTAATTAGGGTTTGTTTCAGAAAGAGAGTGAGTAGAGAGGGTTATCTGACCAGTTCTGCTGGAAGGAAGGAGATGTTATTGCCTGAGAGGGCAAGCTCTGTCAGAGAGGAGAAATCCTTGAACTCCTGCTTTCATTTATTTTTTATTTTTATTTGGAAGGGGTGGAAATTAGTCCATGATATGAGCATGAATATGTAAATATGGGCGAAAAAAAACTCAATAAAATAAAATAAAATGGTGACCGAATATTTAATATTATGGAAAAAATTGTGAAACTCTTTCATGCTGACAATTTGCCCACCTGATTCGCAATGTGGAGGTTTCAATTCACAGAGCATGGGTTAATTTTCGAAAAGAAACATTTACGAATTTATTTAGTACCTCAGTTGAACGTGATGAACATGCTTTTTTTACCAGGTGTTAAAAATAAAAAATGTAGTAAAAAGGAACCTTCATATATATATATATATGGGACAAAGCCCATTTTCCTTGCCACACGGCTCTCTCTCTCTCTCTCTCTCTCTCTCTATCATATATATAGCAATTATCGGGAAGTTTGATTTCCTGATAATTTGATCCAAACAGCAAAAAGGGCCAGCTGAAAAGAAGAAGATACCTTTGGAATCGTTTCAAGACAATTCTGACTCAAGTCCAGAATCCTAAGCTGCTGCAAGGCCAGCAGGTCAGGAGGAACTCGATGCAACTGCATTCGCCTGAAAACAGTAAGAGGAGTCAGAAAGCCTGAGATCTCAGTCACACGGATCCAAGAATCTCTGGTTCATCCGACCTAAGGTGAAGCTCCTGCAGATGGTGCAGCCCAGAAAGAGCAGGAGGTTCTGGGTATGACGAAGCATTGCCGCTCAAATCCAGTATCTGGAGCTTCGACAGAGCATCAAAACCATCGGACGGTATCTGCCAGAGTGTATAAGATCTTAGCGCCGCTCAGAAAAATAAATGAGATGTCAATTTTTCCCAAAATTAGTATGGTTTTCGTTTACATCAACCATGGCACCTGTGACGCCATTAAACAATAGCAAAATAATGAAAAATAAAGAAGAAAGAAATAGATGAACCCATAGACAAAAAAATCCCAATTAACCTTGCTAACTTTTCCTCAATTCGTCATGGGTGCAAATGATATACAGTAGCTAATTCCAGCGGGTCACCCTGCTTTCTACAAATTTTTTATTACACTAGCTAATTCCAGGTTAAGAACAACTCTTCTAGTTACAGATAATCAAAGGATTTCCAGAAAAGCAAGCTTTAGACTCGTACCTTTCTTAAAAGATTACTGTCGAGCTTCAGGCAGGAGAGATTCGAAAGGGAGGACAAGACAGCACCGGGCCAATCCTTTATCTTATTTCCAGACAAAATCAGCTCCTGTAACATATTTGTCAATAAATAGAAAGCCAGTAGGCAATATTGTCGTCAAACTTTACAGAAAAACGGCGGTCAATGTAGCTTTTTTACGATGCAAAGGGCCAGGTGGACGGAGTTTTTCCTATTTAGCCAGGGAACGTTAACATTCACTTCTTATTTCTTGAATAATTGTGATCAGAAAGAGCTCTCATGCGAAGGGGCACAACAGTTGGATGATGATGAGTCAATCTAACAAAAAAGTTGACCGTTTAATATGAAAGAGTTCCATTCACCTGATACAGACCATATTAGAAGCTTTTCTGCAGGGAGCAGAAGAATGTATAAGCAACGTACAAGCCATGAAGGTAAGAAAATCATTTTTTTTACTGGTGATATAAATTTTATTATTTCTTGGAAGTCATGTCATAGACAACTTTTCATCAAACATAATAGCAAAGCTCCATGGCATAACCATCCAATACAGAGAAGAACCCAAATAGTTACCTGCAAGGATGAACAGGATGAAAGCTCGTTCGGCAGCTCTTCAATAGCATTCCGAGAGAGGTTAAGTTTCACAATCTCATCTGCTCCCCAGACAGAAGCTGGGACACTACTCAAGCCAAGCCCACTTAAGGAAAGCTCCTGAAGCAAAGATATGTGGAAGTTTAAAAACCTCAGAACAGAGAAACAACAGTGAAAAAAAATGATAAATGCCAAAACTAGTTCTTCCACAAAATCAGTTGTTAGATTTCCACATCTGTCTGATCATTCAACAGAAAACTTGCTCCTTTCATTTGATATTTTCTTATTCAACCCAACTAGGAAGGAGGTTTCTGATACAAGGTGAAAATATTCAGGAACCAGCTGAGAGCTCCTCACTCGGCTTCAACTTGAAGCAGTGTTGAAATGAGAACAAAAAGCATATGACACGAGAGAGGAAGTGATACCTTTGATGTCAATGACACCCGTGAAACCATGGCAGCTAAATTTTCTGTTGTAGGTGTGGCGCCAGATCCTGACGCTGTATAAGAATAATATTGGATCAATAAATATCAAACGCTTCAGCACACAATTCTCATCAGATCAGAGACAATTAATTTAACTCTGAAAAACTAATCAAAATCTCCAGTGAAACAGGGACACAAAAACATGAAATTCATAAAAAAATGTTAAGGTATAAAAAATATGCTAATATTAGTACAAAGATATATGAGCAAATAGAGACTCGACCTTCTTCATCAGATGAGAGTCTACTCCTCAGATGCTTCAGTAATGCTGGTGTAGGCCCAGAGACCAAAGAGCTGAATAATAGTAGATGCGGTCAAGAAAATAAAACCAATATAAACCACTTTTCCAGGAATGCACACAGAAAGTGTCTTCACACCTTCGGAGGGTTCGCAGGGGATTGCCAGTAAGCAAGAGCTTTCTCAGAGTCGTCATTGTGCCTGTAGCACATATTCATGGGAAATACCATGTTACAATATGACATTAGGATTTGAAAATTGTTACGCAGAACAAGCTTTTTGCTATATTAGGCTTTCCTTCTATTTTTCCTTTCTTTCCTATTATTAGATGTATTTGTTTTTTTCGTGTTTCTGTTGTTAGATCTTTCCGTAATACTGTAAAGGTTTATTAGACGCCAATATAAATACTGGCGTACTGCCCTGAGAAGGGCTAAGTCAGTTTTTCCTTTCCTGCTTCCACTGTATCTCGTAACATGGTATCAGAGCTTTTTCTCTGATCCTGCGTGAAGACCGCCGACAGAAGATCAACCAATCTTGGTGGCGACGACGACTTCACACTGTAGGGAGTGTCACTTGGTGATCTTCTTCTTGCCTGCAGTACCTGAAATCGTGAGGTTTCTTGGTCGTAAGCAGACCAGCGGATTCCTTGGAGAGTCACTACACCATCGTCGTTTCTTGATGGTGGGAAACATTTACAGAAACACCATCGTCGATTCTTGACGGTGGCAGGACGTCTGCGAATACACCATTGTTGTTTCTTGACAGTGGCAGTCATCCTCAGTTTCTTGAACAGAAACTGTTATTCGGACCACATCAGGGAATCTCTGTTTCAGATTTTTTGACTATTTGGTCACGGCTGAAGAACATGGAGACAAAGGTCAGTGAATCTTCCTCCTCTGACCCAGGACATTCATTTGAAGTAATTAAGGTATGTTCAGATCTACCTAAAATTGTTGAGAGATTCTGATTTGATGGAATCAATTTGTTCTAATGGACATCATATGTGGAACTTATTCTACGTGGGAGAAATCTGGATCGTCACCTGATGCAATCCTCGCCAAGTATTGACAACCTAGGATATTCTCGGTGGAAAGAAAAAGAAGCACTGATTCAATATTGGATGCTAAACAATATTTCACCAAAGATAAGTGATAAATTTCTTTTTCTGAAATCTGTGAAGGAATTGTGGGACAAAGTTCGTCATGTTCACGCTACTAAACATGACGAATCCCAAATTTATAGATTTGTGCAGAAATCTCTGACTTTGGTACAAGGAACATTGACTATTCTGAAATATGCTTGCAAATTGAAATCCATCTGGAGAGAAATCGACCACTACAGACCAATCAAGAACCTTGATACTGAAGAACGAAATTATATCATGAAAGACAGGTTGTCTAAATTTTGATGGGGCTAAATCTAGAATATGAGACTCTAGTAAATCAGATCCTTGCTCGATAGGTAGTACCAGATGTTGAAGAGGCAATTGCATTAACCAGACAAGAAGAAAATACTAGAAATTTGAGAAATGATTTGAAGACAGAAAATGCTGCATTCAGCACTCTCAAGGACAAAGATACCTCTGTATTAAAACAAGGGAATAGTAAAGTACCATTCATCAAAGGAGATCTTAAGACAGATCTAAAGGCACACCTATTCTGCACTTATTGTTGAAAAAATCGTCACACTAGGGAGACATGCTGGAAGATCCATGGCAAACCACCGAATTATGGAAAGTTACATTTGGCTAATGCTCAAAATGAAGATGGTGTTGCACCCATGATTCAAGGAGGAGCTAGTCAAGACGGATCTACTTCCTCTCAACCTTCAGAGATTGAAAAACTCAGAGAAAAAATTAAACAGCTAAGGAGCATGATCAGCTCCACCTCCCTCACACATGCTAGTAAGCACTTTCCTAAATGTTTTCCCTGATGCTTAAATACTTCCCATTGGCATCACCTTCACCCCAAAAAGTGTCTTGGATCATTGATTCTAGAGCTATTGATCATATGACATCATATGCATCACTATTCATACATATGAGGTATGTACCAATAATCGAAAGGTTATTACTGCAAGTGGAGATTTGTTACCTGTGGCTGGCATTGGACCAATTCATTTTGAGAAATTGGGGTCATAAAGATATGTTCTTCATGTTCTAAGATTGAATGCACATCTATTGTCATTGAGAAAATTGGGTAAAGACTTGAATTGTTTGATATTATTTGATGACAATTTCTGTTTCTTCTATGACAAGACCTCAGGAAAGAGGATTACGCATGTTAGAGCACGGGATGGACAAGACGTTGTTGACGAATTTCAGTCCAAACATTTCCACTTTTGCTTCTACTTCTCCCTTGAACAAATTGTTGTTGTTGCACTGTCGTTTAGGACATCCGTTCATAAAAGTACTTAGATACTTGTTTCCAAAACTATGTTGTGAAATTGGTGAATCTACTTTCATATGTGAACCCTATCAAATGGCTAAGCAGCAACGAATTTTATTTATCTCTGCTAGAAAAAAAAGTGAATCCCTTTTTTACAGAATACATTCCAATATATGGGGTCCTTCATCCAGTGGTGTTAAGGACTTAAGATGGTTTATCATCTTTGTAGATGACTGTACTAGGTTCATGAATTTACCTAATGAAAACAAAATCAGAAGCTAGTAGTGTCATTAAAAGGTTTATCAAGCTAATTCAAAATCAGTTTAATATAACTCCTAACAAATTCCGATCAGACAATGCCAAGGATTTTTTCAATTCTATTGTCTCCAATTTCTTTGCTGAGGAGGGCATTGTTCATGAATCTTCTTGCCCCTATGCATGTCAACAAAATGGGGTAGCTAAAAGAAAGATTGGACAACTAGTGGAAATAACAAGGGCTGTCATGTTTAAAGCCCAAGTGCCAAAGTACTTATGGAGTGAGGTAGTACTAATGGCCACTCATCTTGTTAATCGTCTCCCATTAGAAGCATTATTATTTAAGACTCCCAAAGCCTTATTGCAGGGTTATTATCTGACTATGCAATATGGACCAGATTTACCTCTTCGAGTATTTGGGAGTGTTGCATACATCCATCAATCTCAAAATGGACTGTCTAAATTTGCCCCTAGAGCCATAAAGGCAGTCTTTGTGGGCTATTCTAATACACAAAAAGGGTATAAATTTTATGACCCAAGACATCAAAATTTTATTTTGACAATTAATGTCACATTTGATGAAAGCAACATGTATTTCCAGTAGACAACAACTCAAGCATCTAGCTGTGATATTCCTGTGTCAGAAAAAACACGATTTACACATTGAGATTCTCAAGGAGAATGAAGCCCCTGAAATGTTACTAGTAAATTTTTCAGCACCTCCACCTCCACCAAATCCATTTGGTCGAGGTTATTATCAAAGAAAGCCAAATATAATCAAAGATACCCATGAACAGGATCTGCCTGACACAGCAGGTGCCCATGAACAACTTGACTCAGTAGATGCTCATGAACAACCTGACGCAACATATACCCATGAATAGGATCTGCCTGACGCAGCAGATGCATATGATTCTATTATTGAATGTGATAATTCACTGATTGATCAGCAGAACCTTCTTGTTACTCAAGGAAATGAAGGAAATGAAATCTGCCCTATTGCTCTCCACAAAGGAATTAGAGAATGTAGAAAGAAAAAGGGATATCCATCATGCAATTATGTATCTTATCATCGCCTATCTCCGCAGTAAAAGTCATTTTTGTCAGCTATTGATAAACATGATACTCTTCAAAACACTGATGAAGCTTTAAGAAGCCCTCTATGGAAAAAAGCAATGGATGAGGAGATGTTAGCTCTACAGAAGAATCAAACTTGGGAACTCGTGCTGCTTCCTAAAGGGAAGAAAACCGTGGGTTGCAGAAACGTATACACTATTAAATATAAATTTAATCAGATTGTTGAGCGTTTTAAAGCTCGACTGGTGGCAAAAGGCTTCACCCAATACTATAGTATTGATTACATAGAGACCTTTTCTCCAGTTGCGAAAATAGGAACAATTCAGATATTAATATCCTTGCTTGTGCATTACGGATGGTCCTTATCACAATTTGATGTGAAAAATGCATTCTTACATGAAGAAATCTCAGAAGAAATATATATGGAGCTTCCATCAAGATACAAAGACCCAAATGATACTCTAAAGGTATGCAAACTTAAGAAGGCATTATATGGCTTAAAATAGTCACCAAGAGCCTGGTTTGGCCACTTAACCAAAAAAATGAGAGTTTTGGGGTTCAAGCAAGCCAATGTAGATCATACCTTATTTTATAAATGATCGAGTTCAGGAAAAATGACGATCTTAGTAGTATATGTCGATGACATGATTGTCACATGAGATGATATGCAAGAAATCACCTCTCTTCAAAAACAACTGACGTCTATTTTTGATATAAAAAACAACTGACGTCTTCAAATACTTCTTGGGAATTGAGGTAGCCTACTCTTGTGGAAATTTATTCCTATCTCAAAGAAAGTATATTACAGATTTACTCAAATATACAGGCATGAGTAATTGTAAACCAGCATGTACACCAATTGAAGCAAAGCATTGTATTGAGGCTTCAAAAGAAAGTGATCAAGTAGATAAGGGCTCTTATCAATGGCTAGTGGGAAAATTAATTTATCTATCTCATACTAGACCGGATATTGCTTACTCAGTTGGAGTACTAAGTCAATATATGCATGACCCTAGGGAGGTACATCATCAAGTTGCTCAACGAGTCCTACCCTATCTTAAAGGAACAATTGGCATGGGAATCCTATTTAAAAGGGGAGATTCTCTTACAGTAAGCATCTGTACCGATGCCGATTATGCTGGTTCAGTTGATGATAGGTGCTCTACTACTGGCTATTGTTGTCTCATTGGAAGAAATTTGGTCACTTGACAAAGCCAAAAATAGAGAGTTGTGGCTCGATCAAGTGCTGAAGTAGAATTTCGGGCTATGGCCCTAGAGATTTGTGAAGGCATTTGGATAAAAAATATACTAAATGACTTACAAATACTCATGGAAGGTTTGATTATCTTATTCTGTGACAATCAGTCCGCAATAAGTATCACATATGATCCTGTTCAGCATAACAAGACCAAACACATTGAAGTAGACAGACATTTTATTAAAGAGAAACTCGAATCAGGAATGTTTTGCACAGAATATGCCTCATCTACAAATCAGTTGGCTGATATATTAACTAAGGGCATTTCTGTAACAGAGTTCTGCAAACAAAGGAGCAAGCTGGGCATGAATGATATCCATGCACCAGCTTGACGGGGAGTGTTACACAGAACAAGCTTTTTGCTATATTAGGTTTTCCTTCTATTTTTCCTTTCTTTCCTATCATTAAATGTATTTCCTTTTTCGTGTTTCTGTTATTAGACCTTTCCGTAATACTGGAAAGGTTTATTAGACGCCAATATAAATACTAGCGTACTGCCCTGAGAAGGGCTAGGTCAGTTTTTCGTTTCCTGCTTCCGCTGTATCTCGTAACAAAAATCTATGAGGAGCTGACGACCGGATTGAAACTCTATTGCCACATCTTTTATTTCTATTCTTTTTACAGGGGAGAAGGCGGCATGTAACGAAAATTTTGATACAACGAAAAAAAGGAATCCAAAACCCCCCACAACCCAGGTTGCAAGATGTCAAGTCATTGCATACATTTTTGCCGCCTTGGGTGACTCAAAACGGTGCCAATATAAAGTGTTAATTGATTTGATTCTGGTGATCTATTGACAAAAAGGCAATACTCTCCCTCTGCAACTTATGCACAATAGAATGCACCCTTATCACATCAAGAATGTCCACCAATCTGTCCTAGCACAATCGGGTGTAATCTAGATCCAACCCTAATCGATATAAACAGAAGGGCCTGCCATTTTAAAGAGGATATAATTTGGGAAAGCATCTACAAATTAAAAATGAAAAGAGCTAACGATAAAAAGAGTCAGGTTGGAGAGGATTCAAAGGTAAGCTACTGCTTTGAACTTACCAAGCTCAGCTGGCAACCCTGATAAGGAATTATTTGCCAAATCAAGGAGAGAGAGACGCAGCTTACATGCCTCCACAGGAAACTCCTTCAACTAAACAAACGGTAAAGATTTAGCTGGCGTGTAATTACGCCACAGTGCACTCAGTGGCCATGGGGAACAGTCTTCTTAACCCAGAGATGGCAAATGAAATGGCAAAAACTCAATGAAAAGGAGAGCTGCAACAAAATATAACCAATTTGTCGTTTCAAAACATTCGGGTAGGTATATATGCATAAAACTAGAGGGGAACGTTAATCGTAAATTGCCAGGAGAATTCCACGTTAGAATCTAATATATCAAAAAAAGGAAACACGGGCCAAGGTCAAAATGGACACGGATTCTTTGAAATTTTTAGAGCTGATAAGAAGAGTACTGGAATTGTTTGAAGGATCACTTCCTACATTTTCGAAATGTTTCCAGACAAGAAGATAAACAGGCTCCTGAGAAAGGTAATGAAGATCTTAACAGGAGCATAGTAATGGCCTTACAAGGATAATAAACTCACCCATTGAAAAAAAACCTTCGCCGGATTTTTCATAACAGAAATGAGAAAATAAAAAAGAACCTGATTTGAGTGAAGATCCAAAGTCGCCAAATGAGAAAGTTCCCCAATCTCCATCGGCACTGACAACAGTGAATTTGTCCTGAAATGCAGATCATTAATGTTGAATCAATATCTTTGCAAATTACTATGTGGCAACCTGTCAAAAAATACACGATGCTCGCCTTCAAGGTATTAAACCACAGCATCATGGAATAATTTTGTATTAACTTACCCCATAAAAAACTCAGTAAGTGAATGGCAACCCTTGATTGTCGGTGGAATGAATGAAATTCCTGAACGACTTAGTATCATTAGATAAAGACGTTATCATAATCGTGATACAGAGAGGAACAGCTACTAGGACAACCATAAGGTTAGATAATAGATGGTTTGACTTACTATTTTGATGAAAATCTAGGCGAATGAGCCGTGAAAGGGCGCCTATACTATCTGGAATACTGTTGAGAAGATTTTTAGCTAGTGCAGACCAAATACAAAGTTAGCTCCAGTAGAAACTCAGCAAACATGGTCTAAAGAGCTTACTAATGTAACTACTCAAAAAGGAAAGCAATCCCATCTTTTCATCATGCTTCACAGTGAAAATATGTAGCAGTTGGATCTCAATTACGTAGAAAACTAGGCATCAAAAACACAAATCAGCTAGCTTGTTTTGCCATAGCATTCCTTCAAACATAAAACTCCACTCTCCTTAACTGAAAAGGTAGGCTAACCTCATAACCAATCCGTTTATTTCGTACGATTAGCAAACATGATACATTCAAATATTATGACTATTGAACGATACATGAAGAACATGCTGGCATCATTTCGTAAGCATCTTCTAGTCATTGTACAAGAGTAATCGTGCAACAACCATAAAGTCTAATCAGTCATTAGTGGATTCTGGCACCCATAACTAAAAAAGGCGCAAGCCAGATCCTATTCTGCCCAGATGGATCACCTCTTTATTTATTTCTGTCGTAATTAGAAATATGAGAATAATTGAAGCATATAGACGAAATTCCGTAGTACTAATTAAAATTTGAATGAGCAAATCAGACAAAGGATCAGTGGAATCAAGAAATTACAGTTCAAGTATGAACGTTGACAAAAGCGAAGTAACCACAATCCTGCTGCTTCCAGATTATCTCGTTCAAATTATTTTTTGGATCTCTGATTTATAAAAAAAAGTTTTAATTTTCAAGCAAGGATGAGAAAAGCAAAGACCACATGCGATAATGACCAACATGCTCAGATCTTGATTCCAGCACAATTTAAAAGAAAAATAAATTGAGACAAAAACAATGTTTTGGAGGGTAAAGAACAGATGAAGAATATAGCAGAGATGAGTGTGGTGATAAAAACACATGAAGAGAAATTGATTGAGGGTAAAAGAAAACAGGGTTAAAAGGATGGAAAATAAAGAGAAATAAAGAAGGTCCAACTGAAAGGGGTAAGGGGCAAAGGAACGTGCACAGAAAAAGAAGTTGTAACAGCTGTATTATTAAGTTCAAAATCAAGGAAAAGGCAATGCAGCAGCACGAAGCAGGAACACTATCAGTAGCATGAGGACTGGTAAGGTCGTGTTTGCTTCTTGCTCCATGCTTGTCTTTCTTTTCGTCAAGTTTCACAATTTTCCTAACCAGCAATGGAGTACTTTACAGACAATAGTATCCAAAATAATGCCATTGAAATGTCGTTAAAAAAAAAACTAGTCAATCAACCAGGTTCAGGCGTGCTGGTCACATTAGTTCAAATAAATAGCGAATCCTATCTGCGCTAGCAAAGCTTGTTCAGTTGAAAACTAACAATTTATCTTTACACGTTATGGATTCGCAGCAGGTCTAGCAATTTCCATAAACTCTATCACTTTGCTTTAAGGCATGTAGGTAAGAGCGATTTTTAGGAAGCCGTGCAACAATCAGGTAGCATGAAATAGTTGCGATTTAATATGTTGAAAAAAACTGACTTGTTGAATATTAACGTGTCACAAAATCCTTTCGTTTCTCGTATTTTCGTTTTTCTTTTGGAACATAGTTTATCACGAATGAGAATCCACACAGCATGATCAAATTCTGAAGGACATGATTACCAGCATTCAGTTCAGTGAGCATAGTCCATGATCTAAGCATATCTTCTGAGAGCATTGTCAGCTTATTTCCCTGAAAAAATAAAAAAAACATTGGAAAAATTACAACATTCAATAATTATTCTAAGAAAAATAACTGTCCGGAAAACTATGCAACGTGGAGATAATATATGCATTTACCTCAACATCCAATTTCATCAATTTTGAGCAGCTCACTATGTCATCTGGCAGCTTAACTAAGGAATTGTTGGATACCTGAGGATAGAGAGAGAGAGAGAGAGATAAAGCCATATTTGTAGCCAAGACAAGTGCAGTCTAAGCGAAGAACAGAAGGGGGGCCCTCATTTTTTTCCTTTAATCTTCATACAGATATGATAACCAAACAAGCTTTTTATGGCCCAATGACAGGTTATGATGGTCTACATGACAAATTAAATAAAGGTACGGGAGGGTGAGTATCCTTCACTGAATTTATAAGAAACCACCGGATTTTTTCAGGAAAATAATTTGAAGCAAAATCCTAGTTAATGACATTAAATAGAAAGCTGCACATAATATGATCAGACACTGCCAACTCAATAGATACACAAAAAAACGACAGGCTAACGAAATAACGAGTGATTATGAACTGCCATAGCTTCTTTCAGCAACTAAAACCAATGAAAGACCTCCCAGCTTGTGGCGTCCTTTAACTAAAGTCACCACACATAACAAGATCATCGCTGTACATAAAATAATAATCACAAATAAAAATGCGGCATATACTCTCATGATTGCATAGAACAGAAAGATAAATCCGACAGTTAATGTGGCACAGAAACTCATAACCTTTAGATCTGCCAAATCCGTGCATCTTCCAAGACTGGAAGGGAGTTCTGTCAGCGAATTGTTTGAGCAATCTAACCTGCAAGTGCAAGAACAGAATGATCACGTTAGAGTCTTTACGTCCTATAATCCCCCCAAAACACATCTTCAAAACTGTTAAATTACATAAAAAATTAAACATAGAAGCATGAAGGTAAAAAAATATTTGGAGCCATTAATGCTAGCACGACTGGAAATTTTCTTCACCTCAGCCAGATAAACCCACAGATTTTGATGAAGTGAATTCAGCACTATTACTGATCATTGTGTTGCATTATTTAGCTCGGGAAAGTTAGTGGATCAGAATCACTGGCCACGAAAGAGGAGGCATTTTAAGGTCTGGGTTTTGGTAAATTATTGTCAAGGGTTTCAAAGGAACAAAAGAAGCGTCCCTTAGAATTATGCTTTTTATTGTTGACCGGAAATTAATACCCATTAAAATCACGTGGGTATTCAACAGAAACCTGTTCACTCACACGTTCAATGACTCCATAAGGTGTGGCAAGTGGAAGACCTTAGAATTTCTCTTCAAGATGGTTAACAACACACTTGTCATTTAAGAAAAATAATATCATTTTGATAAGATATTTCATTTCAAATCTGATGCCTTTCTAAAATCATACACTCCCGCATGCCAAATCCTACAACAATAATATTCTATCGTATTTTCACTCATTCTTGGTCTCTGTCACTGGACCATTATTGGGCCGGTAGACCGCACCCAGCTGAGCCTAATTTCACCCCAGTATAGTGCCTGAAACAATTATCAAATGAAAACATGTAACCAACATCCCATTTGTTGTGTCTTTAATTAAAATATCTTCTTAGTTAACCCATTTTTAGAATAAAATATATATAATAATATTCCACTATGTTTAATTTATTTTATTCATTCAGTCACCGAACACGAGCCAAGCAAAGGCCGATTATGGAGCATATCCAAGAAAAATTGAATAAAGGACGGGGGGGAAAAAAAACTTACTTGACTAGAGAAATTGCAGACCCAATCTCTTCAGGTATGCTGGTTATCGAGTTGTACGAGACATCCAATGATTTCAACATGGCAAGTCTGATACAAGTACCGTTTGTGCAGACATTTTCAGTAAATAATTTTTCAATGGTTAAGTTCTTGATATAAACAATGAATGACTACCATTATATTCCGTTATTTGCTAGTAATAGGTAACAGAATGACAGCATATGCAGAAGTAATCTAGAGTAACTTACTCTCCTACAGCAGCTGGAAGACAAGAAAGCTTATTGTGGCTTATATTCAAGACCGACAAGGATGTTAAGATTTTCAAGTCTTCTTTCAGTACTTCGATGTTGTTGTGAGCCAAAATGAGTTTCTGTAGCTCCACTGCCTGCAAAGTGTGTTCCATAGCCCATTCAATCTTAAGCAAGTTTAACTGTTGAATATAGAAATAAATTCATCGAATTATTTAATTTCTGCTATTCAAAGTGCTCCAGTTGTTTGGAAAATATGGCAATACCTCCCACCATTTTTCATCCTCCCCCGCTGAATCCAAGCCCCTGTAAACCTCATTCGGCACTTCCCTAAAAAAAATCCACAACACTATGGTTCAGATGCAAACTAAAATTTAAGACCTCTGAAAGGGATCCGATCACATTATAAGTTTAGCATTGAACCGCTTATAGCTTTCTACCCGTGTTGTATTTTGATTTGAGACAAAATCCCCGAAGACCAAAAGACATCAACCAGTAAAACGTGTTCCACAAGGTAGAACCGTATTAAGTAGAGCCACCTACATTTCAAAATAAGCGCTCGTACACTAGTTTTTTTAATTTGGAAGGACTGCAGCAAAATTGGCATTATTCTTCTTTTATAAGCTGCATAAGAAAATTCAACCGATACTATCTGGTTTCAAAATCACTTATAACTACTAACCTGAGATTGAAGTGACTTTAATAGGTACGAGCGCACCTTTCATTTTGATCAGTATGTACGCTTATCGCAACAAGGACACATTACAAGTTGCAGCACCTTTCATCTCTATCGTTCGTAGGTTTCTTCTTTTTTTTCACAAGGCAAATGGAAATTATCGTTATTTTCTCCTGTTACATTTTGATAAACAATAACAACCATTCATAATGCAGAATCTGTGGGGAAGATCGAGAGATCGAATGAGATAGGAATAATGTGAAATCAATTGGATAAACCGGGGGTGCGCCAGACCGCCGCCATTGTTTCCCATAAGAAAAGAGGAACAGATCCAAAACTCGTATCTTCGGCAGACACCATCTGAGCTCACGATCCAACGATGTGAGATCTATAGAAGAAAAATGAGGGAATGCACGTGCTGCTGACCGGAGAGATCGGCCGGAGAGGTTGAGTGATCCCGACGCTCTCGCGGCCTTCAGCACCCGATCCATTAGAGACTTCTCGAATGTCCTCTATACTGTCCGTCTGGCAGCCCCTTCGACCCTCTCCTCCTCCCCTTCTCCTCCTCCTCCTCCTCCTCCTCTCCTCTCTCTCTCTTTCTCTCTCGCTCAGATCCCTCCCATTCGAGAATGGACGAAATACCAACCCACCTGGCGCGAAATTTGAAGCCTCTCATCTCTTAGATCTTCCATTTCTGGCATATTTAGTGCTTCCAAGAATATTTTTCGCACTAAATTTTGTACCACCTTCTCCGAACATGGACAAATAAGCATCGAAGCTAGTTTCTTTAGCCATAGAAACCTTGGTTTTCGAAATGTTTCAGAAAAGCCGCCAAAAATAATTTTATAACACATGCACTTTCTACAATATATCCACCGTTTAATGATGGGCCATCCGCCGGTGAGTCTCGAGGTCAGCGCCGGCGGTCGCCGGGTCGTCGCCGGCGCGGCGAATCCGAACAGCCAGAATGGACAGCCCGTTTATTTATACAAGCGCCTCCTCCTCGCCGCCTTTTCTCACGTGGTCGCTGAAAGGCGTGGCCTGGAAAAGATGGCTTCAATATTCGCCGCAGGATATGATATTCCGGCAAGTTATCGCCGCCGAGTCCACCGGAGGGGACGGTGGCGCCGCCACGTGCCACCAGAGAAAAGGGCCGTACGGTGGTGGCCGGCAGTTTCACGTCACCGGCGACCACCTAGCGATTCACCCTGCACAGTAACGGCGAGACGGGCGAACGTTGTGGCGGCGGCCTAGAAAAGAAAGTGTCGGCAGGGGCAGTTTGGGAAGAAAACGTCGCCGCGCCCACACCGGCTTGTCCGCATTGACCGCCGCAACGGATCAAACAGTCAGCGGGGGACGGTGAGTGGTCGACGACCAGGCCCGTGAGCCGTTGGGGTTGGCCGTGTCGCCAACCGCGACACAGAGGACCGTTAGGGAGGGGCGTCCCTGTAATTTTTAGGGGGCCCTGCACATGGGAGGGTGGCAGTTGGGGGGTAATTAGGGCTTTTCACTTTATAGTGGAAATTTATGTCTACAGTGCTCTTTGTCGACGGTGAGAGGAAATAAAAACGGGTTCATCCCGCTTTCCCCTTCCGTCCTCCCCTCGTCGCCCTTCCCGCTCCGCTCCCTCGTTCTATTTAACCTCTTCCTCCTGAGCAGCAGGAAGCCTAGGCGCTGCTGAGGATCTCTGACTGAGGAGCCGTCGCCGCTGCCGCCCCCGCCGCCGTCGCAGCACCAACAGCATTAGCGCAATGCCGTTCCCACGCCGGCGCGTTGGCCTCTCGCTTGGCCTTACTCTTCTCTTACTCGTGCTGCCACTCCCCGGCGACTGCGACAACGCCACCAATGCACATTGGGTACCCGCCACCGCGACTTGGTACGGCGCCGCCGAGGGCGACGGCAGCGACGGTAAGGGCCTCGCCCCCGGCTATCCCGCCGCATGCTTCTGCCGTCATCTGCCAAGTAGAAAAACTGTAAACCCTCGGGGAGCCCTCCTCTGTGAACAGTGTTTCCTCTCTTCCGCTTCTTCTTCGACTCCACATGGGATGTGGCTTTTTTAGCCGTTGGAAGGGTCCACACTGGGATGCTACAGAACACATTGACCGATAATTTTCCCTACGGGGGTCTCCTTTCCGTGCATGTCATGTCAGAGGCTAGAGCCTCTTCTGGGGCGGGGGGAATGTAGGGGATGACTTTTCGAGGGCATTTTATTCTTCGTAAGCCCTCCTTTTATCGAGCAATGGCTGTTTGGCACTGGGTTTATGCTTCTTCTCGCGGTTTTCAGGAGGGGCTTGCGGGTACGGGTCTCTGGTCGACGTGCGGCCGCTGCGGGCGAGGGTGGGGGCGGTGAGCCCGGTGCTGTTCAAGGACGGCGAAGGATGCGGCGCCTGCTACAAGGTGAAGTGCGTCATGGACCAGAGCATCTGTTCTCGCCGGCCGGTGACCATCATCATCACCGACGAGTGCCCCGGTGGGTACTGCGCCAACGGCAACACCCACTTCGACCTCAGCGGGGCGGCCTTCGGCCGCATGGCTATCGCCGGCTTCGGCTCCGAGCTCCGCAACCGGGGGATGATCCCCGTCCTCTTCCGCAGGTGCGACCCCTTGTCTCCTCGAGAGCCGGCCCCTCTCTGCCATCTTCTGGCCGGAGCTTCCCTCGTCTCCTTTTGCTTCTTGTCCCCTTCTCCATTGAGTAAAACGACGCAGTAACTCCCATTTAGTAGCAACCGTAGCAGGAAGAGAGAGGAGAGGCGCCATTCACTCTAACGCCGGCGGCCTCCTCCCCATTAATGTGACCTGCCGCGCCTGAAGAGTCCATTTTTATACTGGCGTGAAAGCTAACCAACCGAACGTAATATGCAGGACTCCATGCAAGTACAGGGGCATGAATATAGCTTTCCGCGTGAACGAGGGCTCCACTGAGTACTGGCTCTCTCTTCTCGTCGAGTTTGAGGACGGAGATGGAGACGTCGGATCCATGCACATACAAGAAGTAACTCTCTCTCTCTCTCTCTCTCTCTCATGCCATGGTGGATCCATCCCTTTTCAATGATATAACCAAGCTTTTGCCGCCATCAGAGCCCTCGTCGATGGCTTTTGCTACCGACTTTTTGCGGCTCGCGCGCTTTGCCGCTGGCTTTTCCTACCGACAGTCGGGGTCTCCGGCACGATGAGCGCTCACCGGCGCCGCCCCCCGCCGTGTTTTTAGCTCCTTTCTCCGTCACGCTCGAGCGCATGGCTAGCTTTTTCAGCCGGCGTACTGATCTCTGTGCGGCCTCTGCAGGCGGGCTCGGCCGAGTGGCTGGAGATGAAGCACCTGTGGGGCGCCAACTGGGCCATCATCGGCGGACCTCTAAGCGGCCCCTTCTCCGTGAAGCTGACCACCTTGTCCACGCAGACGACTCTGTCAGCGCGTGATGTCATCCCCAAGAACTGGTCTCCCAAGGCCACCTACACCAGCGGCCTCAATTTCGCCTGACGGAGCCGCGGAGGTAAGAGTCCCCGCCGCCCGCATGCGACCGTTGCGTCGGCGTTCGTACCTTTGTTTGAGAGCTTAGGAACTTGTGCTCCCCATCGTAGCCCTCTCCGAAGGAGAGAGAGCGCTTCTTCCTCCCTTCTTCCTTCCACTCTTTATTGTTCAGTCTGCCTCGCGGGAGGGAAACCCGCGTTGATCCCAGAACTGCGATCTCCTGTTCTTGTCCGGTAATGGAAGAGGACCTCGCTGGTGTGGTTGTGCTCGTGGCGTCTGCTGCTCGCTTCTGTATCTTCTGTGGCTGTGGCTGTGACAGTGAAACAGGTGGATTTAACTCTCTCTCTGCCCATCTAACATTTACTCCGCTCGGCCATCCTGGGGGCCCGGAGCTCACATGGTCGTCGTTCATGCCGTAGCCTGAAGCTTTCTTAAATGATACTACGATAGAGAAGATAAATGGCAGACAAAGCCGCTGGCGTGCAGGAATCTTGGACTCACCTTGCCGCTGCCGGGGCCGCGGCGGCTCACATGTCTCCCCCCTCCATTCACATGCAACCCGACGCCGTCGGAAAACGGCTCCATGTGTGAACATCACGGGCAGCTACACCCGGTAGCGCGATCACCGCCATAGCCGTACCGGCATATTCTTGTTTCTGGCCCGCCCCCCGGAGAGCTCGCCGGCGGGGTTTCTTGCTGGAGGCTGCCCCCAGTCTAGGGTTTCCAGAGTAGTAGCGCCTCCGCGCAGGAAGAAAGGGGGAGCTCGCCGGAGAAGATCCCGACCGAAGATGGTAGAGGCCGTCAAGCCAGAGAGGCCGGAGATGCCACGTGGAAGGTAGTTTGGGCAAAGATGGGCCAGTCGGGCTGGATTTCAGTGGGCCGCAGCCCATGTTGCGAAAGCGGAGGAGCGGCCGTTGGTCCCGCCGCCGACAGTTATATCACGTGTCGATGGATCCTTGTTTTCCACTCTCCGGATTTGCCTTAGGACGAAGATTTCTTTTAATATTCTGATTATTTTCCGCGGGGGTGCTCGATCGCTCTCATGGAGTACACGTGGCGTCCACGAAACCCCCGCCTGCTGTTGCTTGCTGCTGCTGTTGGGGGCCGTCTCCAGGTTACAGAGTGGGAAGAGAAAGGGCGGAGGGAGGGAGGGGGTGGGGAAAGGTGGAGAGTGGTTGACGGGGAAGGGGGCGTCCGATCCAGCGCGATCGGGGAGAAGATCGCATTGCTAGGGTTTGGTTGTGGTATTGTGTCCTTTTGGTTTGGCGGGAGGGGAAGGGAAGCGGGGAGATGTTTCTCGTTTCCATGCGGAAATCATTCAAGGATTCCGTCAAAGTTCTCGAAGCCGACATCCAGCATGCCAATACCATGTGAGTCATTCAGGAGTCTCGAGCCAGGACATCGTGCCTCCGTCTCGAGCTAGCTGCTTTTTCTTTTCTGCGTTTGTTTGATTAGGGAATCTTCCCCCCATCGGGTCGGTGGCGTTTTTTTAATTTCTCAATCATGCGTTTGATCAACTGTTGTTCGTTTTGGTGGATCTTTTTATCGCTTCTCCTCTGCTCTCCCTCTGTATGGCTGTTTCTTTTGATTCCTGATCAGGGCATGTTGGCCATGTGGTAGGGTTGGGTTTCTCTTCTTCCTGTTCTCTCCTTGTCCTTTAAATATAGGGACCAAACTCTTTTCCTTGTGGTAATATGTAGTTTTTACCTATTCCAGTTCTCCCTCTGACCTTCCATCGTACGAAAGAACTGCTAAACCTCGTCGTTCTCGTAGAGATTGGTTTTACATTTTTCCTTTTTTTCTCGTGCTATAGTTATTCTATTTTCTGAACCTTTGATCACAGATACATTCCATACCTCGCCTTTCATTTCCCTCTTGTGACAACTGACGCGAGACTTTGATCTCTGGATTGTATTAGTTCTGCATTTATAACAAAGAAGTGAGGATCTGTCCGCGGGGATGCTCTATTGTCCTTTGCGGGGCGGCCCTTAGTAACTATGTTCTGTTGTTCGGCATAACAAGAACGAATCATACGTTATGAAATATCCGAATTTTCTTAAAGGCCACGAGCGAAGAAACCTTTCGGAGAAGGGATTTTCGGTAAGGTTGGTCGAAATTATGAACACTTCTTAAATCTTCTTTCGGTATCACTCCTCTATGTAACTCGTTCGCGAACAGGGCGCAAGAAAAAAAAAAGCTCTGGCGTTCGATTTTTTTGTTCCATGAATGCAGAGTTTGCAAGTGGGGACTTTTATAGCATCTGTATTGTTGTCTAAAACTGGTTACTGGAGTCATCTCGGCTTAATAGTCTCGTGTTTGACTAGTTCCGAGAGGCCATGCGTTAACATAAGGTGTGGCATTCGGAATGAGACAGCCGTGATGCTGTAGAGTACTTGGAGCTGTTCTTGAAGTTGCTATAATTTCGGAAAATTCAATGTCCTGTATCAAAATCATAGTGGTAATTTTGATATTCTTTCACTTCTTATCGAGTGTTAGTTAGCGTCCAATTTATTGCCTAATGGTTAGTGAAATGGCATATGCTGTTGTTACCTTGCTTTCTACACAATAATGGGTTGAGTGTTTGTAGTTATACTTCAATTTTGTTCTCCTCCCAATGGTGTTGTTCAAAAGACCTCTTCTCTATCCTGATAATTCTCATTTAAAAAATATAATTTCTTGAAAGAATTGGTCCTGTGCTTCTCCACTTTCAGTATATATACAACTTGTTCATGATAGGCTTTGAAGATGTGGATCTTCAGATAAGCATTTAAAACCCAGTGTTAGGCCTTCTGCTGTTGAAAACTCCTTGGTGTTTTGAACATGAAAGGCTACCAAGAGGATGTTGCAGAAGGTTAATGCGTTATCATTCGCTCTGCTTTCTTCTCCACTTTTTTTTAGATGGTTCTAATTTCGTTTCCGTGAAATTCTACACTCCTTTTCCCCCCTACTACTATCTTGAGATTCGCTGAAAAATTAGCACAAACACAACAGCAGGAATTGGGCAATCCCTCTTCTGTAGTCTTGACATCATTTTAATGCTACAGGGCTTCAGAATTCCCTGGCGATTACGACGGTGCCTGCCTTCAGATGAGAATGTCATATAGCCCTGCTGCGCGCCTCTTTCTTTTCCTAGTGCAGTGGACTGACTGCCACCTTGCTGGAGCACTTGGCTTGCTGCGCATATTAATTTATAAGGTTGAGACTCTGGCCCTGAAATGAGAAGCCTTCTAGAAAATGTAAACATTTCCCTATGCATTTAAGTAATTTAAATTTTTCCAAGTTTATGTGATTTATTCCATTGTAGGTTTATGTAGATGGAACAACAACCATGTCAACTCACGAAAGGAAAGCAACCATCCGAGAATTCTATGGTAATTTATCGTCCATTATGTTGGCTATTGTCCTCAGCTTCCTGTGTTCTTAGTTTCTGGCTCTTGTCGATGCTCATCAACAGCTGTGATCTTTCCGTCTCTGCTGCAACTTCAAAGGGGAATCACTGATATGGAAGACAAACGGCAAAGAGCCATCTGCATGGAACGGTACAGACGAAGAGATGAAGAAGATACCAGGCAGTTCTCAGAGATCGACGCTGAAAGAGAAGAAGAATGCGGAATTTGTATGGAAATGAACAGCAGGATTGTCCTGCCCAATTGCAGTCACGCATTGTGCTTGAAATGCTATCATGATTGGTAGGCCTCTCTTTTCTTTTCAGCTCTTTTTCACTCTTCGTGGGGAGCTAGGTGGAGGTCTGTGCTCCTTGACTAATTGCTTCAGATTAAATTTTGCTTTTCAAGTGATAGTAAGGAACAAAAAATCAAAAGATATAGTCAACCCGCAACATTTCATGTTGAACAATGATATATATACAAACGTGTATAATTGTGTAATTTGCTCCTTTTTCTACACTTTCGTCGCCTAGCTTATACTTTTTCAGCCTAGAACAGATCCAGCCTCGGATCCATTGCTTCATATTCGACCAACTTTAAGATGAGCATTGCATTAACGTCTCTTAGCCCTCTTCTTGCTTGCTGACGACGAATCAGCCATCTCCATGCCTTGTTTGGTTGATGGATTAACCTGTCTTGCTTCATCACAATATGGAATTCTTCCACATTTTCCTTTGAAAGGAGAGGCACAGGAAGAAATCTATCTGCTGCTCCACTGCTTTATATTCAACCAACTATGGGATGAACATGATATTGGCATTTTCTAATTTCCAGCTTGAATGTTTCTTTGTGATATTTACATTCTGTATTATTGTCGTATATTTATGTTGATCTTTTTCCTCCGTTCATTCATATCTTGAGTTATTTATTTCTGTCAGTTTATAGTCCCACATTTGTGATTGTGGGGGAAGCTGTCTGGCCACTTTTCTCCAAAGAAAAAGGCTTCCCTAAGCGCCACCAGATTATCGTGTTTTATCGAAGGGTTTAAAGAAGGTATCGCATTCATTACAGAATGGGATCCTACCACGATTTCTTTTGATTCCTAGATAGAAGTAGCCAAGGTTTATGATATTTGCGAAAGCTGTTCATGTTCTATGATTCGAAGAACGGATTCAGACCAAGACGGTTCTCTGGAACACCACCTCTGTCGTCTGCCAGATCATCCCCATCATTCTTGCTTATCAGATCTCCCGTTAAAGGCTGAGATCCTATGTGGAGCCCCTTATATCGCAATATTATGTTCATATCCAGCATAGTTGACTTCATATATGTCTGCGTTTATTCACTCCTATGATTGAACGCATTAATTCCATTTTAAGCACTTTTCGCGCATTCCGCATCCCAAAGTCTGCAACTGTGATCTTATATTTTTCATTGAAAATGGGAATCCGCCAATAATGCAACATTTACTGTTCTTTTTTCTTCTTTTTTTCTGTTGACCACGGTTTGTAATTATTGATTAATTGTCTCGATCTCTCGATCTCTCACATGCGAGTGCGTTTTGCAGGCGCTCGAGATCGCAGTCTTGCCCCTTCTGCCGCGACAGCCTGAAGCGGGTCAACTCGGGCGATCTGTGGGTTTACACGGACATCAGGGACGTGGTCGATGCGGCCGCGGTCTCCAGGGAAGACGCCCGCCGGCTGCTCATGTTCGTGGATAAGCTCCCACTCGTCCTCCCCAACTCCGTCTTCGATGTGTACGATTCTCAGTCCAAATGGAGAGAGAACTAGAAACCCACCCATCTATTTTCTCTCTCTACCGCCATCCTGCGGGGGGTAGAGAGAGAAAGTGACGTCATTCTGAAGATGCTGTATTTAGAATGGGTTTGACAATCAGGTATGTAAATCGTTGTTGCCTGGAATGTAAATAGATAAATTATGTATAGATATTCCCTTTTGGACGGCTCGGATGGCCTGCATGGCGATCTCCGGCGGTTTAAGGATCCGACGTGGCCCTTCGATGTGCGACTGGTAGGTCGGCCCATCGATCCCTCGATTGACGGGACCTCTGGTTGACACGTCAGCATGCCAGGTGGGCGGGCATCTGGTTCCGGGTGGGGCCCGCTTGCTTCCGAAGATCTCTCAGGATCCTGAGATCGGACGGCCCAGAGTCGCGCGATCCACTGCGGGTACCCAATATGACCTCCAGGCCTCTCTCTCTCTCTCTCTCTATATATATATATATATCTGTTTCTTTCTCTCTCTTCCTCTATCACATCCCTGGTTCGATGCGACGGGGCTCGACCGCAGGTTGCGGCGGCGCATATTCCCCCGTTGGTGGGGACAATAAGAGGGAGGGACGAAGGTCTCCCTCTTCTTCGGCGGCTCTGCAGGACGTGTTGTGGGGGGAGGAGAGAGAGAGAGAGATGGGGAAGGGCGCAGGTGCGGCTGAGCAGGGTGAGGAGGAAGGAGTAATGGCGACAGATTTCTTCTGGTCGTACACGGACGAACCCCATGCCTCCAGGCGGCGCAAGATCCTTTCTCAGTACCCGCAGATCAAGGAGCTCTTCGGCCCCGATCCCTGGGCCTTCCTCAAGGTAAGACGGTCTTCTTCCTCCGCCATGTGATCTGTGCGCTTCGGCTTCCCCAATTCCCAGATCTCGCTCGCCTGGTTCGGCATTCCCTGTTCTTCTGCGTGTTTGGGCTGGAAATGCCGTGACCCCGATTGTTGGATCTCTTCCGTCTTCCTCGCGTCGAGGTTGTCCTTTCTTACCTGGTTCGACATTCCCTGGTCTTCCTGGCATTGAGAGTTCTGTGTAATGACGCGCTATCGTCCTGTTCTTTCTTCTTCTTCTTATTCTTCTTCTTCTTCTTCTTCTTCTTCTTCTTCTTCTTCTTCTTCTTCTTCTTCCTTTTCTTCTTCTTCCTTTTCTTCTTCCTCCTCTTCTTCTTCCTTTTCTTCTTCCTTTTCTTCTTCCTCCTCTTCTTCTTCCTCTTCTTCTTCCTTTTCTTCTTCCTCCTCTTCTTCTTCCACTTCTTCTTCCTTTTCTTCTTCCTCCTCTTCTTCTCCTGCCAATTGTGGAAGATGCACATAAAGCTCGACCTGAGGAACCGAGACGGAATTAAAACGAAGGGAAGAGAGACCGGGGAAATAATTGGGTACCCTAACACTTCCTCGAATGCTTGTCACTCTGAATTACTCCACTGATTTTTGAAAATCTGAGGTAATGTTCGGAAGGGCTATACGTAGTTCTTTTTCTTATATGAGCGACTGTTTAATCTACTAGTTCTTAGTGACTTCCTCTTGGTTTCTTCCTCATCTTTTTTGTCATCCTTAAAAAATGCCTTTTTTTTAATTTCCTGTTGCATTACACCATTCCTTGCGAAACTGTGTAGGTCTTCGCTCTAGATCCGTAGATCAATCGCCTTCAGACATCAACTCTCAACTGTCACAATCCACAATCCGCAATCCTTTTCTTTATTCGTAGCGCTTCGTGGGGAAATTACTGTTGGCAGATTTTAAAATGGCGCTAAAATATCTCCGCCTAGAGATGCCGAACCATGCATAGCCTTCACACTTCCTGAAAGGGTTGGGTTGTTTTTATTCTCGATTTCTCCGATCACGAAACTCATATTCAAAGGCAGTTCTTGTCGCCAGATTTCGAATTGACCTCTGAATTGTGTGTACATATCTAAGAACACCCATTGATTGATTGATTGATTGACCGAAGCTTCGTCTCCAGAGTCGGGATTTTTATGAAACTAAACAAGAAATTCCGTCGCCAGATTTCGAATGCTCTCACAGAATCAATATAACCAATGGACTGGAAGTCTGTTCCCCGAATCAAAGAGCTCTGATTTGAATCAAAAGCTCCTCCTCCTCCTCCAACTCCCTGACGCCCGCAGCTTCTCTCTCTCTCTCTCTCTCTCAGATAACGGCGGCGGTCTTGCTCCAGCTCTGGACAGCGGCTTTCCTCCACGACGCCGGGTGGCTGAAGATCTTCTCGGTGGCCTACTTCTTCGGGTCCTTCCTCAACCACAACCTCTTCCTGGCCATCCACGAGCTGAGCCACAACCTGGCCTTCTCCACCCCCTCCTACAACCGCTGGCTGGGCATCTTCGCCAACCTCCCCATCGGCGTCCCCATGTCCGTCACCTTCCAAAAATACCATCTTGAGCACCACCGCTTCCAAGGCGTCGACGGCATCGACATGGACATCCCCACCCGCACCGAGGGCCGCCTAGTAGCCAACCCCATCGCTAAATCCATCTGGGTCCTCTTCCAGCTCTTCTTCTACGCCCTGCGGCCGCTCTTCCTCAAGCCCAAGCCCCCCGGCTGGTGGGAGCTCCTCAACCTGCTGGCCCAGCTCACGCTAGACTTGGCTGCGGTGGTCTTCTTCGGATGGCGGTCGCTGGGCTACCTCCTGCTGTCGACCTTTGTGGGCGGGGGGATGCATCCCATGGCGGGGCACTTCATCTCCGAGCACTACGTGTTCAAGCCGGAGCAGGAGACGTACTCCTACTACGGGCCATTGAATCTGATGACGTGGAGCGTGGGGTTCCACAACGAGCACCACGACTTCCCGAGGATCCCCGGGACCCGCCTCCACAGGGTGAAGGAGATCGCCCCCGAGTTCTACGAGTCCCTCGATTCCTACCGGTCATGGACCCAGGTGATCTACATGTACGTCACCGACCGCGCCGTCGGCCCCTTCAGCCGGATTAAGAGGGCCGCCAAGAAAGATGAGTAGATCCCTCCCACTTTTAGCCTCCCCTCTCCCTCTCTAAAAATGGCCGCAACTTGCTGATATTGGTCACGGTTAGCGTTTATTCTGTGTAATCATCTCGCCGGAGTCTGTTGGGTCGGGAAAATTGCCGGAGGAAGGGGAGGAAGCGGCAGCTATGAAACTCCCGGTTCTCTCTCTCTCTCTCTCTCTCTCTCTTTAAGATGAGAGAGAGTCACGGCCCTTCATTTCACCTGACTCTTTAAGATCCCACTGTGTCACAAGAGAGAACAGGGCTAATAATAAATAGTAATATAAGGAATCATTGAAAAAAAGCAGCTTGAGGAAGCTCTTTAAACCGATGAATCTCTTTCGCTGCTCTCGGTCCATCGCCGATGTACATTGGGCACGCCACAGACAAATTTACACAGTTTTCGAGAGACAACAATTGCCGAAGGTGAGAGAGGAGCCACTTACTCGGAGGCCGCGACCTCTCTCTACAGCAGAGTATTTTTACAGGGAAACCATCACCCTTTGCTCCATCGTCCTGCCTGCTTAAAAAACGGAGACACCCGCTTCACTTCACATGTTCATCTGATCAGACACCAAAACAAAAAAGGAAACAATGAGATAGAGAGAGAGAGAGAGAGAGGAGAGAGAATAAGTGATGGTAGAGAGAGAGTATAAATCAATCACCTTGTCCTGGATTCTTACACACCAAGGCTCCTTATTTGCACGTGGGTCTACCGCGACGTACGCTGGGTTCTGATGGTTCCTCAGGAGAGGAAGCCTGGTAGGGATGTAGTCGTCGTCGCTGTCGTAGTCCCTCTCCCGATCAGGACCCAGGGCCCTCAGAACCATAGCCAGGAAGATCGCCAGAGCCTGTTACATGTGGCAGCGATTCCACCGGGGCTAGACTTTCAGAAGGAGAAAAGAGAAGAAAAGAAAGAACCCTAAATTGGGAAATCTCTGCAACAGAGGATACACGAGGGTCAGCCAGCGCGTACCTGTGCACCCACGATCATTATTCCTATCCACTTGCACATCTTGAGGTTTGACTTCACGAAATCCTTGAACTCGTCAAATCTGCCGGTGGGATCTGCCGGGAAGTCCTGAGAAGGGTTTAAAGGGAGGATGAGAGAGGAGCAGATTGGTGGGGAGGAGAACACAACACACTGTGGAGCATGGCAAGCACCTCTTCCCAGTTCTTGTTCAGGAACACGTCCGCAGTGACTGCGGCCTCCACCATGACAAGCAAGAAGACAAAAACCGTGTACTATTATTTACGTGAGATTAAGGAGAGCATTAATGGGAGGCATATTTCCCATCCAGATTTTGCGGAGAAAAATAGCAAGAAACCGTGAGGGCAGGCGCGTGTGACTCAATGACGCTAGCGAGGAAGAGTATGAGCAGATATGAGCAGTATGAGCAGATATGATTCTAACAAGATGTAAACACATGAAAGCAAATACGCTAAAACTGACCAGATTAACCAATACCATGTCATTGTTTCGGCCACAACTTCTGAATTCTGAAAGAACCCCACGACTGTAGAAACTCCGGTTCTTTCAGAATTAGCACAGTTTGCAATTCGGTCAGAAGAGAGAAACATATAAAACTAGACACAGAAATGAAATTATATGGTTGACAAAGCGAAAACAAGTAGAGGTGGGAAAAGGAAAAGGTCCAGAATACAAAACACGGCAAGCTAACAAAAGATAAAAGAGCAGAGATTCGTCTCGGCAAAAAATTAAACGGCGAGAAAATTATCTACATCCGACGAACAGGCACATGAGGACTAAGGTACCAAAAGGGATATCTCATCTGGAAATAGTTGCCTCAATCAAGTTGACAGCATTCTTACTTCTTGTCTCTTAGGAAATCTTGGGTTTTCCAATTTTCCAAAATGATAGAATCGTGATTTTGTATAAATGGCGAGAACAGATTCACCAAAAAAAAAAAAAAACTTCAAACGTAATCAATGGAAGGATACACATGAGATGCAAGGGCCATTTGCAGTTTCTGCAGCAATATGACCAGAACATGCTATGACGCACAATGAGACTCCAAGCGCAAGAAAAGTGTAAATAAACCTGCATTTGAAGAAGAACTTTTAGTTATAAATTGAATGAAATGAATCAAAACCACATGAGAGTACTTTCGTTCTTAGATAGACCGTCTCCTACCTCGCAAAAAGATTGAAAGAATAGCTACCGATAAAATGCAAGTACCAAATTCATCAAAAGAAAAAAAAGGCACAAACGAGGGAAGAAAATTTGGAATAAATGCTAAACCTCGCCGAAATGGCAATTATGATCGATATGACATGACAGACTTTGCGCGTGTTAGAGGTCAATAGTTTTGACTTTTAGCGCTGACTTCATTTTTTTTAAGAAAACAAACGACAAGCCGACATTTTTTTTCAAATTAAAGTTCTGAGGTAGCAGTTTATAAATTTTCTACCGTAAAATATGAAATATTTCTGACCTACGAGAAAGCACAATCATTTAATAGGACGAACATTCTAGAACAAATTTCCCTCTTTGATCTCAAACATGCCCTTATGTTCACGTTCTTTAATTGATGAAAGAAGGAACTGATTGAAGGGTAATTCATGTCCCGGTGCAGATAAGATTCGGATTGAATCATATTACCAAGTTGTTCATGTAGTATGAAATGAATATAAAATGGATTATGCTAAGTTCATGAATATTGTTCTGGTACGAAAACAGCAAGCAAATGCTTAGCACTTTCCTCTTAGTTCTTAAGAAACATGGAATCCTGAAGGCATAATGGTAACTGTAGATTCAGCTTTTCAGTGATGCTCTGGTCACCATCACTGGCCATGAAAATTTAAGCATCATTTATTTAACGTCCTATCCCGTTCCTTACCACAATCAAAGTCACTAGCCTCTAAACATTGTTCAAACAAGGGCAGCACATCTACATTGTTAAATTTAGTCATAGATATGAGGATGGGAAACCAGAACTTCTAAACCCGTCAGTCCACCACCAAAAGAGAACTTCCCTGTAATCACCACCATCTACTCGAGCTAGGCAAAGTAAGGGATCATAGAGAACAGGAGACTGAAATCCCACGACTCGTCAAAGGGATTGTATTGGAAAGGGGAAACCCATGTGATTATGTCACGAGAAATCTATATATATATCCCAACTGTACCAAATAAACACTATCAATCGTTGTTGGAAACTAATACCACACGAGCATCTCAATAACCTGGCTGTTATCCACTCTCTTATGCAAAAAAAGTACCACCCTCGAATTGTCATTCGTTATACTATCCAAGTATGAGATATCCTCGATCGTGTTGCAAAGTAGCCTAGGAAGCAATTGGCTTTTTGATTCATATACAATATAATTTCCGCGATATGAGCATAAAGTTTGTCACGAGAAAAAATAAAAGTGCACGAGCTACTTCCTCTGTAACCAAACCAAGCACGATTTATAGCACACACGGCACATACCACAACATCAGTGTCACCGGGAATGAGGAAAGAAATACAACCGCGAACAGACTGCGAAATACTCGCGTACTGAATCGAGTCTTTCGGTAAATAGCATCCACCATTTTACCTTAATGATATTCAGCTGGAGTTCGAGACAAAAGTAACTCCACGTTAAATAAACAGATAGATCCATCCAATTAAAGTTTTACTTAATAAAAGACGTCGATCCAAAAATTCGAAGTAACCTTATTTTCTCCATCACTAACCATGTTAAAAATGCCTTCAATAATGCAAAACTAATAATCAAGGCTCCTGGCATCCAAACGTGATTGGAATTTATAATACATTAGAAAAATAAGGGGAAAACAAGGTTTCTATCACCGCCGATAATAAACGAACATGTTGTCCCGATTCATAACCGCCAAACAGGCGCAAATATGTGGTAAGTTTCTTCTATTGTGCAACCAAGGCGAGGAGGAGAGAGGCGAAACATACCACGGGGGATAGGAATCCGGTCCTTCACTCCAAAATCCATGTATCTGCTTATACCACGCCCTCAGCATCCACATCGAATAAAGGATCATGCCAATCCCAATCATGCCGATCACAGAGTTCACCAGCTTCAGGATCGACTGCAGGCAGACCTTCGCCATCCTCCCCATTAGAACAGCCCCTCAGACTCCGCGACCTTGCCTTCGGAAGAGCAGAGCGCCGGAGAGGGAAGAGGAAAACCTTCAAGAACCACGGCGCCGTCGATGTGAGAGTGCTCCGACCCTAGAAATTCCCAATTCTCCGTGTCCTACACGCTCCCTCCCATCTGACGCGGAGAAGGAGGATATCACTTGGTACGTTTCTCTCGTTTTTCTCTCTTTCTCCTTCTACGAGTCGTCGAGGAACTCATTTTCTGAGGATGACCTTCTTGCCAACCTTTCTCTCGTGTACTACGCCGGGCGCACTGCGTCATGTCCACGTGGACGATAAAGATCTTTTAAAACGGTATCGGACGGTCTGAAAACATTTCCGAAATGGGGGCTCTGTGCGCAGCGGTGTTGATCATCTCTTAGGTGTTTCTGTCAGATGACGCTGACAACGAGTCCAACGTCTGAAGCCTCTGAGACGGTTCGGGGGGTCTCCCGATCTGCCGTTGGATCGTCGGAGCCACACTATCGGAACGGCCAAGATTTTTCAGTACGGGACATTGGGACGGTGGACCCCTTTATTAACACTAGGACGCACCTCCGTCTTCCCATAAACCAGAGAAACGTCGACCATTTTCGGTTTGCCAACGGTGACACGATCCATGCTCAACTTTTTCTTTTCTTTTATTTTTTACTAAAAATATTTTTTTCGTGTTTTTTATTACTCTAATTTTTTCACGACCCTCAGGAGGGTGTGGATGACGCGTCATCAGCACCCTCCGTCCTCTCCACTTGGCAAGTCTCACTCGTCCCTTTTGTAACCATCAATTTTATTTTATTAAACTTTCGATAATATAATAAAAATAATAAGAATGGGAACTAAAATAACGTTCTATGCATAATACAATAAATAACCATGCAACTAACCCATTTTTTATATAACTAAAGTTATATTTTCTGTGTATTTATGTAAAAAATAATTGATGAATATACAAATTTAGTCGATGCAGCCAAATCCACACACCCGTTTAATGATAATATCCAGTAATACGTGATATGAGTAATGATAATTAAATAAATAATAAAAGCAGCTAGGGTCAAGGATTGGACCTGAATATATGGTTTTAATATATATATTTTACAGATTATTTGTTTTTTTGTGAAAAATATAATCCTTCTAATTGTGTGCACGTGCCGGTCACGCTCAGTCGAGGAGAGTGCGGTTTATATATACGGCGGGACGTCGCTTGGAGAGAATTCTTCTCGGTGTGAGCAGCGGCGGGCTCCGTTGTCAGTTGGTCTTTTCTCTGACTTGCTTCGCCTGCCATCTCCCTCCATCTCCGAAGAAGGGAGGCGAGGGAGGAGGGAGGGCGATTACTCGACGGCGGAATATAATTGCCAGATCGATAGTTGGAAGTCTGAGGAAGATGCCTCAGGTCAGGATAATCGCGAAGAATTTCATGGACATGGTGGCAGCCCTGCCGGCCATGAAACTCGACAAGCTTTACGACAGCTCTCTTATCTGCGAGGCTGTCTTAAGGTGGAACCCTCTCCCCTGTCGTCCCTCTGTTCGGTCATATTTGCTGTCACTATGGTTTCATCGTCAGGGTGAAGAGTAATGGGGTCGTAGATGGAGATTGATTGCGTCTCTCACGGTGACAGAACGGTCTGGTATCGTTATAATTGTCTTCCAGTGATCTCAAACGTGGATATTAATCAGAAAAAGGAGAAGCATGGAAAATGCTTTCGGACATTTAGGTGGGAAGTATTCCATGGCTACATCCTTTCTCTCCAACGAATGGTGGACATTGGTTGCGAAATATTATACATTTTTATACTGATGCCTAGGTCATTCTTCTACTAAACCAGCGCGCGCATCAGTACCATCACTCCACCATAAAGCCGTTTATCGTAATCTGAGGTCCACGGAATATGCAAGATCGCGACCAGACAATCGGATGTTAAAATGTATTTGGTCAATTCCACGGGACCAAGCCCAAAGATGGTAATTTCCCACTTACACGAGTGGTTTTTACCAACTCAGACTTCTGTTTCCCTTTTGGGAGGCAGAATTGGCCGTTTGAAACTAAACGTTCGACTTGGTAGACCAAGATACGAGTTGGATTGAAAAAAAAGTAGGTTCAACTCATGGAATCTGCATCCTCGTGCAAGTTTCAGGATTTTTAATGACGATTTAGTACTCGTTTCATTGGGGAATTTTAAAGACACCCTTTTGGTCCTGATTAAATCTGCATGCTTAATGGTAGATTCTCATATCTTAGTGTTTTAAAAGTTAAGATCTTTGTGTTTGAATATGTATGGCCATACTCTCTTACGTTCTAAGGCGTTCAGATTCAAGTAGATGCCCCCTTCCTGAAGGCTAGAAGCCGACTTTTGGGGCGTGAGCAATAGTAGCCTGAAAGTTTTACTTAAAGTAATCAGTGTTACATCTGTTTCCAGGGTAAAGACCCAGATACTGTCCTATATTCAGTGACAAGCACGAAAAATATATAATAATTAAATATAAATTCTTATGGAAATGATACTAGCGTGCTCTCGCAGTCGCCATCATCATCATCGTCATCCTCATCATCATAATGCTGTAAATCCAATATTACTTGAACTGTTTCCGGTTCCACTTGTTTTGGGATATATGTTTATGGGTGCCTTTGTGTGCATCTCTCAACTACCAGCTAGCACTGATGAGGATTTCACTAAATATGCAATGGTTTTGTTCTAAGATCCTCCAAACATCAAGGGCTCTTACATCTGGACCCCATGTCTCCCATGGTCGCTCTTCTTCTATATCGCTAATTGATTCTGCCTCAAGAAGTTTACTTTACTATGTGATGTCCTGTCTTTCTCGTGTTTCATCACATGGTTGAGCTTGTTTTGGTTAGCTTCTTATAGAAACTTTTAAAACTGGTCTTCCAATTCTCCTGAATTGAAAGGTCGATGCCTATTTGCATCCCCTTATTCCTATTTGAATGTATCTTCAACGAAGAAGCTCGATGAGTTCTTTCATGACTATGCACCTAATATTTTCTGCCTAAATAGCCACGCCTCTCTGTCCATTGACATCGCATCTGATTCTAATATTCCAGATAATGCTTCTTTGATATAATATCTTGATATGTAATGAAGATATACAATGGATTATGCCAATAGTCAAAGCATATCACGTGATCTAAAAAAAAAAACATGTTATTATGGAGTTATAGATAAGAAAAGTCATAGTTTAAAGTGAGCTCTGACATCCAATCGTATCATTTTATGTGTGACAGGGCAGAATGTGACCGTGAGTTAGATTCTGATACCCTTTAGCCGGGGCCCTCTTATTTTGTCTTTATACTCGAGCACTGCCACTGCGAAAATCGAAAGGCTGTTGCACTAAACAACGTGGAGGACTTGTCTCTTCTGTGTACTATTTCGTAGAGGTGTACTTGAGCCTTTAAAGTGCCAAATCTTGGCTTGTGGAAGCCTGATCAGGTTTTTTTTTATCGTCATGTCTTCATGTAAGAAAATGGTGAAGGCTTTTGGGTGAAGCGACCTATTAGATTGTTTCATAGTGTGAGAATTTACGGGGAGTGCAACCACTTCCCATCTTACCATAAAGTGTACACGTTCACATTTTATTTTTTCATCTTCCTTTTAGCATCACTTTTGTAACCGAAGTTTACCACATTCACGTCTATAGAAAATTGAAAAAATATGAATAACTTCAATGGAGGTTTTCCTATTCACCATTTTTCTTTTCATTTCTCAATTTCTCGATCTGCCAGTCATTTAACTCCTCTTAAACTTTTATGAGTTCAAATTCTCCAAAGGTTTCATCTTTGCCCATATTCTTGCAAGTTTTTTTCCTCTCTTATCAAGCAGCTCTCAATTCTGATGTTCTGGTGGGTAACATGAGTGGATTTCTTGGCATTGGCGAGTATGTGGACATTTTACGTTCGTCATCTCCAAATTCTCTTTGGGAAATGTACTCTAGTCTGAAGTTTCTCGAGTAATTAGTGTCACCATTTGAATGTAATAGGTCATATCTTTTTTCTCCATGTAAGTATTGAACTTTTCGCCGTTTTTGTTTGACGGTTTCCAGTCTTTTACATTAAGTAGACAACTTGATGACCATGTTTTGAGGTGGTGTTTCAATTTTCATCAAATTGGTGCACAGGCAGTTTTATGATTTCGTACGCTTTAAAACCTGGTGAAAAGTGGAGTGGACACAGTTTGTAAGCTGTATCCTTTTTTTTACCTCTTCGTTTAGTCAAGGAGTGCGTTGTCCTTATGTTATTACATTCCCCTTTCAAATGACGTCGGTACTATGCATGAAACAGAAAAGTTTACAAGTTAAAGCGGTCAGGAATTTGAACTTTCTTAATCCGCACTAATGTCAGTCTCTCTGTGACCTTTTTTTGTAGGTCTTTGCCACCCTTGGCTAAGAAGTATGTCCTGCAAATGCTATTTATCGATCTTCCAGTATCAGCTAGGACAATGGAAGAATGGGTGCTTCCTGATGGATCTTCCAAACACAAAGTGGCAATAGACAGGTTACTGCAGCTAAGAATATTCCTGGAAGTCATTGATAGGTAGACTCATGCTCCATGATCTTCCATCTTCGGTTTTACTTTATTTTTTATGTGTCTGATGGCTATTCCTTGTTTACAATTTAAAATCAGAATCCTTGCATGAAATTCACTCTGATAGGAGCATACTTGTTGTATGTATATGAGAAATGCACAGACGCTAATCGTCACACAAACAAAGAAATTTGGCTACCAATTACAACAGATCGCATTTTTCGCATGTTTGGAAAATTTCTCTAGAGGGTGTGAATCACTTCTCAAGAAGGCTACTCAATCTCAGGATTTGCTAGGCACTTGTTACCTGTGGCAATTGATCTGATACAGACGCCAGTGTTTAGGCTACAAATAGTGACCAATTAGGGTTAATCTTATTATTTTATCATTTATTTCTAAAGTTAAATACTTTACATTTTCTGGAAGATTCAGAAAAACTGTTCCTAATGCTGTGTATGCTTGTCAATGGAACTAAAATTTAAATTCAGTGTAGCCTGCAGAGACTGGTTTGGCTATGCATTTTTTTTATTTCTTATTTATTCCAGTTTTACATGCTCGTAAATTAAATGAGTTAAATACAAATAAACGATATCATTATGCTTTAATCTGCAATCTACATATTGTTGTTTTTGTAGCCCTTCAGCTGGGTATTATTTCAATACTGTAAAATTAGTTGTCTGTAGGCTGTCGAATTTTCAAGCAGATTGATATTTGGTGATCAGAAAATTTATTTGAATGAGAGCACTGGATTTAAGTCCCATAGGACTTGATGTCTATTTCTTCCACTCATTTTATTCTTTTTCACAGGAAGAGGGAGAGTAGCTACAGACTGAATCCAATTTTTCAAGAAAACCTACGAAAGTACCTGATTCATGGGTAAGATTTATTGATGAAAGCACATACAACAATTTTTTAACTGAGGATCTGACGAACTGTAAGAATCGGAAAATTTGCATATTCTGTGTACGCATTTTGAAAATAAATTTAACAGTTAAAATGTCACTTTTATATCTTCAGAAAAGGAAGAAAATGTTACCATGATAATTGCAATTTCAGCACCATACTAGATGGTTTACGTTGAGGTTTTGAGTTTTGGTCAACAGGATAGGGAGAAATAATATTCGAGACAGCTTCTTGAATCGAATTTTGCTGTGGAAAGGGTTCCATGGCTATTTTTTCTTTTCGAGCGTGTATATGTCATAACCGTGTCTTGATAATCCTATACATGGCTTCTTTAAGTTGTTCCACGTCTGTGTACATTTGGCCTTCCTGAGGAAAATTTCTTGACTTGTTTCTGGTGTAGATTGACGTCATTGAGTGGCGTACTCTAAAGAAGAACCATTGAGTGACTCGTTTCTTTCTATCGCGTATCTAGCTTAATCGTTGCGGTCTGTGCATGCCCGTCTTTTAGTACCACCTGTGCAGAATGAACCATAAATGTGAAGCTATTGGTATGAAATCGAAGCTCTTCAGACTTATTCAATTAAACATGTTGCAAGTTAGAGAATCTGAATTTTAAAAGTGAATACTCTCCTTTCCTAAACTATTTAGAAGATTGTGAAAAACCCATTTAATTCAACCCATCAGAATTCCATCCTACTTTCTCTATCATAAAAACATATCCTTAGTTTACACTGGATCGCTAGGCGGTATGTTGTTGATTGTTTGATGTGATTTCCATTAAAAAAATGTAATACCAGAAAAGAGCAAACAATATTGAATGTGCTGTATTAGATCCTTTAATAGCCGATGCCTTGAACCACCAAAACATGGCCAGATCAACTGACCGGAGCCAATGGACTGTTTCTGAATTTGTTGTCCATAAACCAGTTAATCTAATTCAGTTCAGCCTTACCTGAGCCCATCCACCTGATTCAACTTGTCCGAATAGATGGCTGCACCAGGTTTTGGGCCATTATGGTTGGTTCAATCCTGTTCCCAATCTGGATCAGATCGGAACCCGGTTGGTGAAGCCGCCTAATCTGATTCCAAATACCATGGTGGCACAACTAGATTACTCTCTGGTTCAAAGGGGGCACCATCGACGATCCTGGTATTGCCTGATTTTAGATAAGCAAAGGGGGGAGTGAATAGCCTGGGCTTCTGCTCGTCAGATCATTAGGAGAGAAGATTCGTCTGTAGCTAGCACATCATAGTCACATAAGCTTACATATTATTTCTAGCGACTGAAAAATGATATATCAACAAAGCGTGAAAACGACATGTGGTCGTTTACCGCTAAAATACCGACCCTATGTTTTTGACGCGTGAGACGTGTGGTGTCTTATCCTCTGTCTCTACCTAGCCTAGGTTGTTTTCTGCCAGTCATTATAGCTCAGCATTTCCAAAATTGTGTAATCTGGGAATTTTGAAGAAAGATATGAGGTTGAAATATGGATGGCAAGAAGATACATCTCTCTTGGTGCAGCTATCATCCTCTCTCAAATATTGAGTTCTATCCGCTGAAAATCTACCTGTCGATTTTCTGGAATGTGCAATTGCAGGGAAGCTTCAGTCTTATGTCTCACATCCTGATTGCCCATTCTCTTTCCCAATAGTTGTCAAGTTTTTGAACTTTGAAGTTCTGGCCTGCGCCCCATTTTCCGTAGTCACTTTTAAAAAATACTTTCTTTGTGATTGATCTCTACCTGATACTTCTTAATTGGTTTTGTTGGAAGTTCGTCTTGTGGGAAACAGTTTCGTTCTATTTTTTTTGTTTCTGTAGAGCGTACGTTTTTTTGTTTAGTATACTTGATTCCATTATTATATCAAAATGTGCAAGATCAAAACTACAATGTCTTCTTGAAATAGCCTCGTGGCTGTGTTTCTTCCTTCTGGATTCTTTTCTTGTTGCTTGCTGATATCCTTCTAAGTTTGAAGCTGTCGTCTCTTATGGTTTATTACAAATACAGTGGAACTTTACCACGAGAGCCAATGCCCTCTAATGTGACTGTGAGGCTGCCAACATTGGAGGACCTTGATGCCTATGCCATTGAGCAATGGGAGGTTGTTCTCTTAGATTTTGCGTACTCACTCAGCTGTATAGTCCTATGAAAATTTATTTAATTGATTAATAAATCATGAGTAATTTTTCTATTGACATGTTAAAATCTTGTCAAACAGACAACTTATCTTCAAACCTCTCTTCGCTGTCTGTTTATGTGAGCAGTGTTTTTTGTTACAACTAATTAACTCCGGTCAAGTGGAGCGGTTGACAGGCTTCAATCCTTCTATGATAAAAGTTTTCCAGAGAGGCCTTTTGAGTACAAGGTTTTTCATTTCTGGAATTTATTGCAAAATATATTTTTACCAGTTGAAAATACATTATAAATGCTGAAATATTTGGCCTTTGAATGAATCCTCAGAAAGGTGGATTTGGATTTATATTTTTATCTTGAAATTTCTATTTCCGGGATGCTAAATGGGCTTACACACCTCATTTGCAGGGACAATGAACCTCCAAAGTTAACTGAAAATGGTTTCCAGTTCTTGGTTTGTACCACGTATTGTTTTTCATAGTTATTTTATACAATTTTGGTTTTTTATTTTGTTCATGTTTTGTATACAGTTAATGGATACTAATGCACAGCTTTGGTACATTATTAGAGAGTACATCTCCAGTTCTGAGGTGTGGAATTATGATCCGTGTTCTTTTCTAGTGTACTGCCTTGTGTTAGTTTACTCCTGGTTGGCCTATGTTTTGTGTCCTGTATTAAAATAAGAATAAACATTAAATTTTCGGCGAGTATGTAATGGTTTTTGATCCAATTTGGTGCAGGGTCATGGTGTAGATCCTGCAGAATTGATCTCATTTCTTCTTGAGCTTAGTTTTCACGCTCCAGGCAAGGTATTAAAAACTGAACTTTAAATACTGATCTATAAATATTCTGCAACGGAGTAAATTTATCATGTTTTTTATTTAGTTATTGGGGATGCTGATGTGTTGTCCTCCAGTTCTTTTATTTATGAAGACTGATTAGCTACGGTTGCTCATTTTATATTCTCACATTGTATAATATCATAATTTCTTTGGATATTTTTACTGTAAACTTTTTTTATTAATTTTATTGTTACAGAGAGGCTTAACATTGTCATACACTAGCATAGATTAGCTAGGAAAGTTGACTGTCTGTCAGTAGGCATCCCTTCCCCCTCAGTAACAGGCTTAGCACAACTATAGACCCAGGAAAGAGGAAAAGGAAGGTTGAAGGCGAAAGGATCAGATCAGCAGTCGTCAGCAGTGGCTGCATACAACAATCCGCGAACCTATGAGATCTATCTTGACACTAGATCAGCAGTAGCAGTAGGAAGGATGAAAGGAAAGTTAGTTGCCGAATGTGAAGAAGAAAATGAAGTACCAGCACCAGCAGGGACCTTGGGAATGGCTAGCTTGCCGGCATTCTCCTTAGGGCCAATAAAGTCTCCTTGGTTTCTTTTGTTTCCTGTTTCACGCTTTGCTTTCCGTCACGTCTCATAGTTGAGGTAACATGGACCATCCTGACACAATTAAGTCTTAATGAAAATAAATTTATCAAAAAATTTAGTTATCATTGATAATATTTGTTGAAATCCCCTCGATGCCTAAGATCCAGATAATAACCCATATCCAAACAGATTCAGACAGATTCCTGACCTTGTTTCATTGATCGTATTTTTGGCTACCTAGTTTTTCTGTGTCAGCTAATGGAAGGCACCAAATTCTGTGTCAGGCTCACCGTTAGGTTGAAAGCCTGAATCTTATTTCGTACACTTTAGTGTGATTTCCATCTTAAAAAATGCACATGCATCCTTTAACCCGATGTTCGCATTTCTTTTTTTTTAGGCTTATAATATGAATACTCTTGCTGATGTTCAAAAATCTGCTATCAGTGACTTAGCAGCTCTGGGATTAGTCAAACTCCAGCAGGTGAATGCCATCCTTAATTTTTAGCCAATAGTTTTTCATTTTTGTTTGAAGTGTCAGTTCGTTTCTGTATTCTTGACTGAATTTCTTCTTTCTCGTTTTTGTTGCAGGGGAGAAAAGACAATTGGTTTATACCCACTAAGCTGGCTACTAATCTTTCAATGAGCTTGTCTGATTCTTCATCACGCAAGGAGGTTTGAACCTCTTAAAATCATTATGAAGGATTGATGTACTTAAACAATCTTTCACCTATTCACATTTCTTACTGTATATTGTTTTTTTAGTGTTGATACAAATTATGCATTAGATATACAAAAGAAGAAACAGTTTTTTTTGTAAACGAGCTCTTGAGGGCACCCTCTGTACAATATTTCCATTGTCCATAGCAAGATGGTATGCAACATTGTTTGATCCCAACACTCTCTCAACAAGAAGGAATAGTTGTCAAGCCTCATTGGAAAAGTTCAGAGCCCAGCCCCCCCCCCCTTAAAGTCACTGTAGTGCATTCATAAATGAAAAGCTCTCTACTGAAGAGCTCTGATGCCTAAAATCCAGTTTTTCTGTACATTACAACTAATTCAAATTTGTTATATGTAAGGCAAACCACCATACTTTTCTATTTCATCGGGTTAAACTTGATTGTGAGTCGAAGAAATTATTGCAAAAGACCCATGAGCAAGGGTATTGCATACCTTGCACACTCGTCTCTAATTATTGAGATGCATACTCGAGTATCTTGCCATGGTTCTGCATCGGATCCACTGATGATTATTGTGACAGTGACCTCCCAGCCACTACCGCTCAAATGTAGCAAATTTCCTTCTTGAAGGATTCTCCTTCACATGATATATGATATTGTACATTTCTTGCATATCTATCTCTCAAGAAGTATGAGGCAAGTAAGAGTTCATCTCAACCCTGGTGTAGTTATGATGGAAAGGATATTACTCGGGCAAATGCATCTTGTTTATAATGATGTGACCACAACAATAAAAGGAATTGACTCATGCTATGAGTACTTTGAAATTGACTTAATAATCTTTGTTTCATCTCATATTAATGTATTTTTTTAGAAATATTATTGATTATTTTGAAAAGTATCCGATAAAAGTAAGATATATGATTCAAATTGCATTAGTGATATGAAGCGCTTTGCCTTCATTTCACTGTTTAATGTAGAATGTTGAAGGCCCGTCTTGTTGGAAGAGAAGTCTTATGTCAGTTATATCATTTTCTCTCACATGCTTTATTTATATTTTTTTATTTGGAAGCTATAGCATGCATTTTGACATCATTTGATTCTATCAGTATTGTACATCTGACAGATCTCAATATCACCGTCACTTCCTCTTAAATTTTCCAGCCATTTGATTCTATCAGTATTCTTATTTTTGTTTGAACATCTTTTTGCAGGGATTTGTGGTCGTCGAAACCAACTTCCGGTTGTATGCTTACTCAACCTCCAAGTTACACTGTGAGATCCTACGTCTTTTTGCAAGGTATCCTAGCGTTCATATTGTGCTTAGTACATTTTTTATGACATTTCCAAATTTTCTTACGCTATTTTTATGCCTTGAGATAAACCGTATCTGTGTACCTTTTTCTGATTATTTGGTTTATAATTTCCCTTTTATCGGTTTTGATATTACTGGTCTTCTTAGACATTTGGCATACCTTTTTTATCCTATTAAATCATCGTATTTTAGCCACGTTACGCTATATTAAAAAGTCATGCAATTGCCATCATCTAGCATGAGAATAGCTCCACTGTTACGGGGGATCTGTAGACTGTCGTGTATTGTAAAACATTTAGTAAGAGTCTTTGGGAACAGTATTTCATATCCAGCAGTACTACCGCGTATATTTATTAATTCAGACTGATGCAGGCCATCAAGATTCAACATGTAACCAGTCAAGGAAAATCTTCTTCTACAGATCATAATTTTTTAACCTTCGTTCTAGGCAGTATTTCATGAATCGTCTTCAATATGCTTCTTTAATTGTTTCCCATTTGTGCATCTGAAAATTAGAATTTCTCCTTTGATTCTGCTCATGTACATGAACATGACTTTTGATGAGGTTTATCCTCAATCACCGTTACAGAGTAGAGTATCAACTTCCAAATCTTATCGTTGGAGCTATAACAAAAGAGAGTCTATACAACGCTTTTGAGAACGGCATCAGTGGAGAGCAGGCAAGTATAAAATAATAGCATCCACCAATTATTCTGTTTGGGATCTTAATGAGACGAAGCTGATGTCTTATTTCATGGGATTACTTGTTGCATAGCAATCCCATAAGATTTTCGTGATTTCTTTCTATCATGTTACAAAACGATTCATCTTTTGTGAAAATCTTCCTCGGCAAATTCAAGTTTTCCTGTATTTAACTTCTTAGTTTTCGCATCAAAATTTTCTGCTCCTTTTATCGCATATTGCCTCCATGGTGACAATGGGGTTGGTGATCCGGTTAGGACTTGATGAACTCCATCTGATCGCTGGGTAATTTGATGAACATCCCATCAAACGGCTGCATATTTGAACATTTTTCTACCTGGGGGGTGATCAAAAAAGAAAAAAGTCAATTCTCATTTTCCTAGCTGACGAAAAGGGTAATAGAAGAAAACATAAATTGAGAGATACCTTGGTTGACAATTTTATGTGGAAAAACGTTTCAGATATTCCAAAACCTGAAAAATCATCTGGACACCATGATGTCTTGTGCTTCCTACCTCACCTAGAACCCAAGTCTGAGTTTATCACTTCCCCAATGCATGAGAGTAATCCATTAACCTTCACTCGAATCTGCAAGATTTTTGGAATGCTGTCTCCTCGACTTCTTAGTAAGGGATAAGGGAATCAGTACAACTTATAATTAATGACAGATATGAGAGACCAACTTTAGACTTACCTTATTTTTTATTTATGGGACTTGGACTGTTTTTATTCAGATAAAGGTCAACTTAAGCATCTCAACGACATTTATAGAATCCTTCGTGACACAATCTCGTGATTTCTTATTTTTATTTTTATTTATTTCTTCAGATAATTGCCTTCCTCCAGCAGAATGCTCATCCCCGTGTCGCAGAGAAGACACCTTCAGTACCAGAGAATGTTACCGATCAGGTTCCTACACATCCCCGTTTAGAAATCCGCTGCACATCTTACACACTCATATGTGGATTCAATCCATTCTACCTGGGCTACTTTCCCAAACGTTATTTCGACTATTTTCTAAAGTCTGCAGAGCAGCTCCTAAGTCGTTGCATGCCGATTTTTCTGAACTATGCAGATCAGATTGTGGGAAACGGATCGAAACAGGGTCGAGATGGTCGCCTCAAATCTTTATGATGATTTCCCATCCAAGGTGACGTTGCTGGCATTTCAGACGTACCCTTTGCCACCAGTCTTTGCCCACCTAGTCAACTGACTTCTTGGGCTCCACCATCTGGCAGGAGGTATTCGAAGCGGCTTGTGACTTCGGAAGGGAGATCGGCGGGCTATTATGGGAAGATACAAAGAAGATGTGCCTGATCGTCCGCGGGGAGTCACACCAGGAGATGCGAGATTTCCTCAGGCGTCAGAAGTAGCTCACCCAACGGCGTAATTCTCCAACCAGCTGCCTTACGCTCTATAGATTTCGGAGCATCATATCCTCACCATGTACGCAAGCGGACCTCCACAGGTTCCATGGAAGTGGGGCGCGCCTTCTCTCCTCCAGGGTCTGGTAAGCGCTCAGCAGCAGAGAGAGGCAGGCGTTATCCATGCGGCATCAGAAATGGGCACCTTCATGGACGAAGACAGAGGAGGCGATTTCTCCTGTGCATCTCTTGCCGATGGCCACAGAAACACTAGATCGCCTACAAACCGCAGGACAAGAAGCTAAATCGACTTCCACCGGATGTACCGGGTTGACTTCAATTTTGTAGAACAAAACGGGTTAAAACCTCGGGCACCAACCCATGCCGCCGGCATGGGGAAATTAACCGATCCCGTTCCTCGGCCGAGCCGCCCTAATGCTGATGGGCACCAAACCCACCGTCGGGGAAAAGAGATCAACAGTTCTGGTTCCAAAATTAGCCAAGTCCCCTTAGTATTTGTATGGTCGCGTGCGATGAGACTACAAAGGACTCATCGAGATTAAGAAGAGGCTAAAGAGATGGCACATTTCTATCTTTAACATGTTGGGAAGGGGAAGGAAAGAGTGCACGGATGCAACAAAATTAGATTGCGACCCACCAATTTCACTTGTATTGATCCCTTTTGTCCAGACAACCATCCGTCCTCTAAAAAGAGAGATCGTGTGTTCAAAGAGCAATGCCGGTCTAGATGGGCACGGGCACCCACGGTGTTAGTCTAGATGGGCAGAATCAGAAATTGGGGAACTCGAAGGTAAAATGAGCACCAATTAGTGTGGTGGTGGCCTGAGAAGAAAATAAGCCACAAGGGAGATGGGATCCCTAGGCCGCTGAAACAGCGCCTCCCATGATGCCTAAGCAGAAGTAGAAGGCATGTCATCGGCTACCAGCACGGGATCGATTGGCGGTGATGGTAACGGTGGTCTCTCAATGACAGTCTTTGACGGCCTGTTTGGCTGAACCTGGTCGGCTTTCTCGGGGGGAATGCCAAACTGCGCAGGGGATGAAAACATGGAAATTTAGGCAGTAGACAAGCAAATGAATCAATTGCGCGTATGTAATATTGCAGGAAATAGATGAATCAAGGGTCATCAACCGCATAGATGGCACTTCAATGCCAGACCATCGATCTTATAGCTTAGCAATAAAAAGTTCACATCCAGTCATGTTTGAAAAGAAGATTTCTGATACTGAGTGGCAACTGAAGGGGTGAAAAGCCCAGTTGACCATTTTTTTTAGTAAATTTGAAGTGTTTTCATTTCAGTAGGGTCATAGCTCGTATGATACCGATCGTCATCAGCCATCATTGATATTTATCGCGTCATCACCTAGGATTTGATCAATCTCGAGAGCTTTGTCCGGACCTTAAGACTTCATTACCGAGAGTATGAAGGCTTGTGGGTGTCTAGACCTTTGACAAGATTCATCATTTTTCAGATTTATGCTAGTTGGCAGGACACCGTAAGATGTAACAAGACGCCCAAGGTAATAAAAAAAATGCAATCAATCTTAGAATGTTTTGAACGGTCAATAATGTGCCAGGCCAACAATTCTATTGTATATATGGATTCCGCTGCAGGATAGGAAACGAAATTCAACAAGAAAGAATTCAATCCTAATTGCATGTATTCAAGGATACAGAACCATATTATTGAAAAGAGGATCCAATTACTCACCTTAAAACCGCAGCCAGAAACACATGCATGAAAGCACTCCTGCATCAAGATGAAAGCATACTATTTGAATGTACACGAAAAATACAAAGGTCTACAGCAAATTTATTGGTATTTTGATGACTATGTTGGGCATTTAAAATATAAATTTATAGACATAGCAAGCAAACAAGCATGATTAGCCTCCGAGATAGCATTTCAAACTCCTACCGTACTACCCAAAAATGGCTAAAGATATCAAATTATATGCAAACGATCACTCATTTGTTCCCGTCGTCTTAGTTAGGCAGTTCTCCTGGAATGAATTAGTGTGAGCATAACACAAGGTAGCAAGACTGGCCTGATTTCGTCATATTTAACGTGGGCCTTGAATATTCAGGCTATTCGACGAGGCTACATGTATTTCATCTGAGCTACGAAGATCTTGACTAATGTCAGAGGAAAAGGAGTTAACGCACTTCCACCAGTTTTCCATTGATATTATCAAAGATAATCTAAACCAGGCAGGAAAACAAGGTACGAGAGAAACGTTTTCTACAAGCTATTGGGCAATAATTTCATTTAACAGAAGAATCATTACAGAAGTCATCAACACTCCCAAGGACATACAAAGCCCCATGAATCCCAAGGACTCCCAGGTCTACACACAATGATCTGCCTAAGAGGAAATGGCAAACTCGAGTGATAAGTTTTTCTGTGAACCAGTGTAGAATCATTTGGTATACAAGCCAGCACATAATTATTGCCCCAGAGTTCTAGCCAAACGCTTATCCCTTTAGGACTGAATGAAAAACCATCATTTCACTATTAACAATCAACAAATGCAATTTGCCATCTGTTGGCAGTTAAGGGAAATCTAACCATCAATGACATCCCCCGAAGAAACATTGAAAGAAATGAGTAAAGAAGAGATAAAAGCCGGAAAACTTAAAATAAAAAATGACAACTCCCTGCGTAATGTGTAAGGACATTGTTTCCTACATGTAAGACAGGAAAATGAATCTGGAAGAAAACACCTACCATGAGACATGTACCCACCACGTAAGAGAAAAAAGCCATCCTGCTGCTCTCAGCTTGAATATCCTAATGTATGTCCAAATCCCAGATAGTAAGTAGTGCGATGGGAAGAAATTACCCATTGCAAACAAAGTTCTGAGATTCGCTCAGGAATGCATTCTTTCCGTATCACAGACACACCCAGATTTTCTCATCCCATTACACGCGTGAAAGCAACACTTAAAGTGCTTTATCGACCGATTTTCCCGAAGCTATTGAAATAGCAATCTTGGAGTATAGTAAATGTGACAGTTCTACGCGAATAATGTTAAACAAGGGGGAAAATAAAGGCTAGTGGAACATTTCTTTAGAAACAAACCAAAAAAATGACTCCGTCATTCATCAAAGTAATTTCATGGCACTAAAAAACTGATGTTTCATCAGCAACAATAAAGTTGTACAGAAAAATAGGAAACAAAAAGCGACAATGCCCTCAAGTAACACAATCCAAATTACAGAAATATACACTGGTATGGCAGCAGTATGGAACCATGATGCAAAAAAGTAAGGTAAAAATAGTTTAAATGGCATGTATTCTATCCAGATGACTTTAAAACTTAACTGATGAAGCGATTGGATGAACTCATCCAGAGACTCATGAGCCTTTTCTAATGTCGTTTTTTTGATCTAGCGAAAGTCGGAGCTTTCCCAATCATAAGTGTCGCCTTTTTCAGTGGCATCAGCTCGTCCTTTAAGTGGACTTGATCTCGAATTTTATCAGCTCCAGCACAAGCTCAGTTAAGTGAAATCATTGATCCATACGGCCTGATATGTGTGAGTTCCCAAAAACTGGAATTCCCCATTCGTGTGCATTTACATACAGTATTTTTTGTGTGCACAATATCAAGGGTTTTTTCCACAACCCGTGCATTAACACGTGAATTATTTTTGCATGTTGAAATAATAAATGCTCATGTCACTCAGCGAAACATCATCATTATGATAACCCAAGAAATAAAATTCAACTAAATGCTACTAAAGAGGGAGTTGAGGCTAACCATAGAATAACTTTCAGCCCCTGGAGACCGGTCAAAATAAGCACTCCACTGATAGTCCTTCAAAACTGGGTCCTTGTAGCATATCTCATTGCACTCTCCAACACCTAAAAAGTTAGCGGCTAAAAGCATTAGAAAAAAATAAAAATCCGCATTCCCTTCTCAAGAGGACTTGGATAATACCGCTGTACTTGAATATTAACGACTGAAATGAAATGTAGTAGGCCTAAGACATCATGTAATGCCGTAGAAGGAAGTCAAAAAAATGACCATTTCCCTCTCCGAATATATGGGATCACCACGAAATACGGACTTCCTAGATGAAGAGAAGATTCTTTGGCTCACCAGCATGAACTCTTGAAAATGAGATAGAAAAGAAGTTCATTATCTTCAAATGAGCATTCTCTATTGATAAAAGAGCATCCAAAACATATGGTTTGTTTTCATTTCTTGCATGAATTAAGTGCAAACAAACCTCAACAATTTCTTATTCAAACCACATACAGAGAACGCTGGGCCTGTAGGTTTTCATTTTTCCTCTTCCTGTTTTCCCTTTCAACAGGAATGATGGAAAGGAAGGATCTCGTCATTAACAATGTGGATATTGAGCAACGAGCCAAACATAATACCCATAGTAAGATCAGGTGGATGATTGACCAGCCTGGCTGATCCAGCGGAAACAAGTGCCACTCCAAACCCTTCCCAGACGGAATTGTGGACCATTCGAACTGAATTTAGATCGGCCGGGAATAAGCTTAACTAGTTTAAATTTGCTAATTTGCAGAAGATCCATCTAGAATCAGCCCGAAATAATTACACACCGATGTTCAAGGTGGGCCAGAATAATCCTCATTTGTCCTAAAGACAGATCATGCTCCAAGAAAGCGTACCATGACCCCAGGGGACACATGATTAGCTCTAAAGCATTTCAGTTGAAACTTTTTCCAAGATATCCCTCTTCTCGCTGTAGCTTGTTGTGTAAAAAAAAATATGACCAAGAATAAATTGAGTGACTTGATAAGTTGTAATCAGAATGCCTGAACCGACTGTGGTCTATGCCACTACTTTGATACCAACTCAAGCTAGAAATATGTGATATGTTCAATTATTTGAATACCGATTGATGAACATCTACATTGGAGCAGCCCACTACAGTTCCAGAAGAGCTTTAATGATCTCCATGTTACATACTTACCAAATGAAATAAAAACAGATGTTAAATTGAACTTCCAGTCAAAGTAGTGAATCTCTACAGATCCACGTGTAATATTCAGATAAAAGAATGAGATTCACATTGGGTGAAGAAGAGACAAGTGGACACAAAGGTTGCAAGATTCTAGACCTTACATTCTTCCCATGTTTCTCCGTCAGCATCACAGCCCTTTTTACAGAAAACTCTCCCTATGATAACATAAGAAAAAATCTTTAGTACAACTCGAAATGCAGATTAGAAAACACCATTTCTCAAAGAAAATAAAACTTAGATACTTCTTCTCAAAGGAGCATACGTAAAACAAACTATAGATCATTAGTTAATTTTTAGTGAGACAACGAGACATTCTATCATCGTGATGTACCCCTCGATTTTAGAGTATGGTTTAATTTTGAGGTAATGAAACATCTAAGAAGGCTAACAGAGTCAACACTCCTCTCTTATCGAGAATCCAAACAGTCCTTATCAGGGTATGGAAAGCTACTTGGGCAGATGTTCTGGGCATGGAAGGGGTAAACGGAGACTACCCCCTACGATCGCAGGTTCACCGCAGCCGATTCTTGACTCTTCCACCGCCCTCCCCAATAAAAAGAATAATAAAAGGAAAATTTCTAATACGTGTAAACGATCCTTCCGTCTCTGTTCGTTCTTGCACTTTGGTACATTTTCTTCATTGCTTTTCGAGCATAGGAATGTGGGGTCGGTATGGTGGTTCCGAAGAGCAGGAAAAAAAAAAGTCACTGAATATGTGAAAAGTAAAATCAAGAACAATCCATCCTCGTCTTATGTGTCTAAGAAAATTTGGAGCAACCATTTGACAGCCTTTCTGCGGTAACTTTCAGTAGCCGGCTTAAGACTCGCAGGAAGATCGAAGAAAGAAATCTCCAAAGACACGAAAGCGGAATAAAGGATATTGGCGCGTACATGGAATCTGCGTGAGAGCGGCATACTTCTTGGTGCAGAGGTTCCCGCAGGGCGGCGTCCACTCTCCTGGTAGCATCTCTGCCGCAGATCAGTTCTCCCAGAGGTTCCTCTACCGAGAGACGAGAGGTTAGGCCAAAGAAAAGGAAGCCAAATCAAAACAGTCGAAAATGGCGCTCATAGGAATTCACTCCCTTGTATGAGCCGAAGGAACAGCTCTTTTTGCACAAAGTACACATAAGTCCCCTACTTTTTTAGATTTACTTAAGGAATAACCTCAATATAATTTATTTCACATATATCTATTTTCGGGAGACGATGTTCTTTCTTTTAATATTACTATTGAGATATGGCTTAATATTTCAGAGAGGGTTAAAAACCTAATATGGGATTTGTTTTTCAAAGAGCACAAATTGTTCATGAAAACCTTTGGGATTTAAGGTTCTTCCTTCTCTCTTCTTCTATTCTTTCTTGGTCTAGAGATCTCTCTCCTTCTCTCTCATGTTATGTTGTCCTTGTGAACTAAGGTTGCAGCTTGAAGGTTTTAGTAGAGATTGTTTGCAACAAAGACGGATGAAAGAAAGAGATATATTTGAGGTAAATATTTATCATATAAAAGGTTGAAGACATGTTGTATTTTACTATATTTGAGATTTTTGCAAACTAGTGCTCATGATTCCTACATTAAATCTTCATTGCAACTTCAATTACTTTTCAATCACATTCTGTTTCAGATTATTATTTTCTCTCTCTTAGTGATCTGAGCTGTTTTTATCTCATGTGGCATTAGAGTGTAAAGAATCTGGTAGGGATAGAAAGTGATAAGTTATTCCTCATCTTATCTCGACATTTAGAATTTTGATAAGACTTCTAATTTTAGTATGTGACAACAGAGGTTGAAATATCTACTTATTCAACAAGATTTTTCCTTGACTCTACTTATAAAATCCAGTTTAAAGTTTTTGTGATGTTCAAGTTGTGAAAAACTTAATATGAAGTCAGATAAAACTCTTAAGGATTGAAAATATTATATCAATTAGTTATTTGTCGACTAAAGCAGTGAGATATAATCAAGATAGTATCATAATGAATGCAAATTTGAACCTTGATACGTATTCCGTTCTGGCAGGGACTGGAGAAAAAATTAGCAATAAATAGGTGAATATAAAAAAACTTATTTAACTATAAATAGAAAATAACAAGTTATACTTTTCGTTTCATGGTAAGTCGTTACTGACAGTTCTGACTTGAAGGAGCTATTTAAGAGGTCGTAGTAGTATACAATGAGTTTGTTAGGTATTATGAAGGTCAACGAATGAAAATATATTTTATTGTTAGAAAAATAACCCAACAAAAAAAGTTGCTTAGAGAGTGAATAGAATAAATGTTTAGAGAGTAAAATTATTGAGATTAGATGTTGGTTTACCCATATACTTTTGGATTGATGTTGGTAATTTATGTGATTAATAAATCGTCTGATGTTATTCTTAAAGAAAACGTGGTTAATGAAGTATGGACATATAGGGATGTGAACAATTTAAATTTGTGTATATTTAATTGTCTTGGATATGTCAATATTTATAGTAATTAAAGCTATGAACTTGACCCAAGGTCCCATAAATATATTTTCTTATGGTAAAATAATGCTATAAAAAGGTACATATTGTAAGATATTACAACCAATAAGATTGTGATCAATTAGGATGTAATTTTTTATGAAAATTATATATTAAAAATTTTATGATCATAAACAAGTACAAAACAAAAAAAATGTGAATTTCAACTAAGAAAGTATTGCAACTGGAAGATATCTAATTCTATGATGACAATTGAAGATAATGATTTAGTTGAGGAAGAAGATCATGACATTGTAACTAAGAGGTCTAGACTGATGATCAAACCTCCATTGAGGGATAGTTATAGAGATTGTCTTTTGATTTGAATATAAGTGATGAAGATCTTGCATTCTTCAAGGAAGTAATTAATTGCAAGAAGTATGAATTATTGAAGGTGATCTTATAATAAAAAGAGTCATTTGACAAAAATGAGTTTTGAGATCTTACTGAACTTTCAAATGAAAAAAAAATAGCAAGATGCAAGTAAATTTTCAAGAAAAAGTAAAATACATCTAAAAAAGGAAAACCACAATTCAAAGAAAGACTTGAAGCAAAAAATATATTCACAAGAGAAAGGGATGAACTATAATGAAATATTTTATATTGTGGTGAAACACACATAAATTAGGCTGATGTTAACCGTTCTTACACGTAATGATCTAAAATTAGAAAACTTGATGTGATGATTGAGTTCCTTCATATTGATTTGGAAGAGACTCTTTATATAAAGCAATTTGAAAATATTTAGAGATGTGTGGCCTTCCCTATTGGACTCTCTTTTGGCCCATATAGAAGGGCAAAAGCGTAACTCTCCTCATTGGTTAAAAGAGGGTTAAAAATCCATTATGAACTTTGTTTTTCAGACAACACAAATTTATTATGAAAACCCTTTAGAATTAGGGTTCTTCCGTCTCTCTTCTATTCCTTTTTAGTCCAAAGATCTCTCTCCCTCTCTCTCCTATTTGATCCTAATCGTGCTTGATTCTTTCTGGTTACGTCGTCCTCGTGAAGTAAGGCTATAACTTGAAGGTTGCAGTAGAGGTTGTTCACAGTAGAAACGGATGAGAGAGAGAGAAACCAAGGTAGTTGTTCTTGGGGGGGTTAAAGAACAACAAGCTACGGATGAATTTTTTTTTTATTTGTAAGAAAAAGCGTGGATTTGCAAGCCCTCATCCGGCCCATAAGCTTCACCAGTTCTGGCCCGAAATTTTATTTGGGCCTCCTTTTAAAGGCCTATATCATAAATATGGGCCGGTCTTCGGCTCACATTGATGCAAATTCACTCAATACACTGGACCCACAGGGTCTAATCGAAGACCTCTTTATACGCACGCGTCTTCGTGCACCGTCTAGCGGTCAATTCTGTCAATCGGACCAGGGTCAAAAATGTACGGCACCGTCTGTCGCAGTTCGCAGCGTTTAGTGCCGGCGGCAGCATAGTGGTTCCTGATATGGTGGGACCTCAGCGCCTCGCTTCACGAAGAATCTTGGGGTGTAGCTGATCTACAGAGACATCTTCTGTCCCCACCGCCATGGCAGACCAGAAGAACCTGAGACGGAGCCGACGGCAGGTCGGCGTGGCTGAGTGACGACGTCGATGGCAGCGGCTGCAGTTCGACGATCCCCCTTTGCCTTCGCCGCCGAAGAATTGTCTTGGTTACAGATCTACTGGATGGCTGCAGTCCGGCCACGAGTTCACCTACTGTTCCAATCAGATATCGATCGGCAATGTCTGATTTCTCCTCCATGGCAGCGTCCCCGCCGTAAGTTCATCTGCTGTTTCGACCTCCGGGGAGGTCTGCGAGCTTCCAGTCGATGATGTTGGTGTGGAGGCGTAACAGCAACATCCGAAAGAGCAACATCGGTGGAGTACTAATAATGTAGGTCGGCAGATGATCTGGCAACAGGAGTCCAAGTTCCAGTTCGGCTCCAGGATAGAGAATTTTAAATTTCGAAAGTAGGGTAGGGTCTGGCATCTAGTGCATTAAATTACGAGGGGACGAAGCTATGAACAGAGAGAGAGAGAGAGAGAGAGTATCCTGCATTTAGTTTCATTAACTCCTTCCATCTTCCGCTTCGTGCCAATTGTTTCCCTGTCCATCAGCCGATAAGTTCTGCTGAGAAATGTAGGCGAGTATATAAGGATATTCTGGATCAGCAGGAACTGGGAACTGGCCGCGGTTTGTTCTTCCGCTCGGCTCACTGCTCCTTGTCACTGTCAGAAGAAGAAACGGGCAACCGGACTCTGTCTGCCGCGTGGGGTGTTTTCTGTATTTATCGGTGCACAGGTAAGGGTGGTTCTCTTCTTCGCGTACCGCTGATTTGAAAGGAACGCTGTTAACCCCTTTTTCTCGAGGGAGAGGACCAATAAATACTAAGCTGAAGCAGACAAGAAAGAAGAGTGACCCTCTTCTCCCCCTGTTTTCTTCACCGTAACAGCTATAAGGTGGTTTTATTCTTCTTCTAACCTCCATTGGCATTTGTGGTCATCGAATGCAGAAAATGATGTGCACGTGTAGAGGTGGAGGTTCCTCCTTCGTCCTCCAGCCTCAATCTCCGGAGAAGTAATGTGACGAGAGGGGAAATCGGACTTTTTGGAGTTTGATTTGGCTTTATTTTGACGATGGATGCGCTCTAAAGGACATAGCGTTTCCCTAGTACAAAGGAGGTGTTCTGTGCGAAGGAAAACTATTCCTGATGACAGGGGACTCACATGAACTGCGGTCTTTAGCCCTGACCCCCACATGGTCTGTGGCGACTGTGCTTACGATCTTGGTTGTTGTTTCTCTGCTGGTGGAGCGCTCAATTTTCCGCCTGAGTTCTGTATGCTCTCTCTCTCTCTCTCTCTCTGTTACAGTCCCTTCCTTTCTCGGTTGATCGACACAACAGGTTCCAACTTTTGTCTGGATGGGTTGAATTGTTTCTTGAACTTTGCTTGTGTCTGGATATAGTATCGAGGCAATAAAATTAGTGAAGGACGTGGCTTCTCATGGAAGCGACTTATTCCGTGGCCTGTGATTATTTTTTTGCATTTAGAAAATTCCTCTATTGATGTGCTTTCATGATCTTCCTTCTCTCTCTACAAAGCGGTACATTGTAGAACAATCAGACAACTACTGTTTTGAATTTCCTCAAAGCATTTGCCTGAAAGAGGAAAATATTGTGACACGGAAGGTTTAGGTTACTTGCATTACTAATTTACATAAGAGTCCATGCCATATTTATGCTATTTTGTGAAATTATATGAACGTCGTCATATTCTGTTTCAAATATAAGTTGAGGATAGTAATATGAAGGTCACTTGTACATTTATGTAATTTTTCCTGTATATCTGATTGTATTTAAATTTTTTCAGTGGTTGAGGAAAACCCATCGGAATCCATTATTTGAAGCATTGGAGAAAATGAAAGAAGGTAGGCATCTGCGTTTTTGGGATATGGCTGAGAAAATTACTGCGAAATTCTTCAATTTTGTCTGTGTGTAGTTAGTGGCATCACTTTCATTTGTATTCGGTGATTAATTCGATTTCTTTTGCTGCAGAACTAATGTTGTTAGGTCTGATATCACTACTTTTGACTGCCACCTCACGAACTATTTCGAATGTATGCATTGATTCAAAGTTCTACAATAGCAACTTCTCGCCATGTACCAGATCTGAGGTTGTTGAGACTCAAGAAACTAATAGTACTTCGCTACATGATCATAAGGAAATTATGGGTATACTTCATCATCTCTCACTTAAGAGGAAGATGTTAAATGATTTGAATCACAGTACTTGTGGAGAGGTATGGCAATTACAAATTTATAAGTGTAAAATTTTGGTTTTATTTCTCAACATGTTTATTTGCAAAGATCTGACAACATTTCGACTGTTATGGAAAATTTGTATGCACCTTTATTCACGGTTCATTTAATTTTGTACACGTGGTTAAATTATAGCGACATTACTATTATGGAAACACCAAACAAGGCAACATACGTGATCAAACATGAATTCTGACCGTCTAAAAGTACTATACTATGTAAAATTGTCATATATACTAAACTGGAGATAACTTATAAAACTGTCTTTATTCTATAGGTTGCAAAGTCTAAATCGCCTAAAAAGTTTTTACTATGCTTAAATGGCATTAAAACATTCCTAACCATCCATAGAGTAGCAGATAAAGTTATATCTGCATCTAGATCATCATTTAGTATTGACACGCATGCTAAACCTTGACTTCCTCTAAAGGAGGGTAAATGAGTTGATTAAACAATGAATCACACCGTCATTAAAGTACAGGTACAATTACGCAAAAGGTATCACAATACATATCTCCATAAATCATAGATTAATCATAGAATATATCGTCAACTTTATTTCATGTGCACAATTACTGTATTTTCATTCAAAATAACTTTTTAGACTTGAATGACATAAATCTTGCTGGAATATTCTGGTCAGACCTGGGTGCGATTTCTATCTAAAAATTGGTGAGTATGTACACCTCTTATTTCACTACGCTAGACCCCGAAGGATTTCAACAAGCTACCTTTTGGTTTTCTCCATTTCTTTGTGAAATTTATATCGTTTTTCTATGGTTTTATTGACGTATCATCCTTAACTTGCAATTATTTTTTCTTCATGCATTTGGATATTTTCTCAAATTTGAATGGCATGTAGTCAAATATGATGCAAAGAAAGCTACAACATCATTTGTGGGAATGGGCATGACTAATGTGATAGCCTCGTTTTTATCTAAAAAGTAATGTGACAACCTCTCTTCCCTCCCATTTCATCACATTTGCCTTCAGAAGATTTCACTCGGCTATCCTCTAGTCTCCTATCTTTATGGGGGTACTTCTCTGATAAGATAAGCATCATTTCGGCAGCCTCTCTATCACATTGTTCATTTCCCTTAAATCATCCAAATATTTTTTTGCCCTATCTTCTCATGAAAATATTTGATGAACAAAACATAATGTGATTTGAAGTTATGTGATAACCATGCGTGTGCATGTCAATGTGCACAATAATTTGTTTTGTTGTAAAAGAAATGTCTAATGGTTACTTAATTTCATTGAAAATCTCAATAATATGATATCAATCATCAATCAACGTATGCAAAATGGTGAGATCAATGGATGACGGTCCCTTGAGAAGAATTTAATATACTTTCAATCTATTTATTGTTAGCACAAGATCAATATATCATTATACATATTTAAAAGCACAAATGTAAGTGGAAGATTATCCGATGAGAATATATAGATGATTTAAAACGTTAAGTTATTCCCTCAACCAATTTCAAACTAATTCTTCAATTATAATATATTATATTAATTGCTTGACAGATGATCTACTATATTTTTTGACCATCCTTTTTTCTTGGATCCAAAGAAGACTCTGCGTGTGTGTGTGTGTGTGTGTGTGTGTGTGTGTGTGAGAGAGAGAGAGAGAGAGAGAGAGAGAGAGAGAGAGTAGGCATCAATCATGATATATGAAGATGGCATATTGGTTCTATTATTTTATCAGCTCTTACATCTTATTCGTAATAAACTTATCAAAAAATATAACACTTTTGTCTCTTAATTTGAGAATAAAGCTTCTTATTCTTACTTAATATGGTCGAAAATAATGTCTATGGACATTAAACCATGATTTTTGCAGGGTCACGAGCCATTTGTCTCATATGAAGGTCTGGAGCAGCTTCACCGGTTTATCTTCGTCATGGCTGTGACTCATGTAGCGTATAGTTGTTTAACAATGTTGTTGGCAATTGTAAAGGTCAGACGATAATCCCTTTGCCTGATCACAATCATCACTCTTATGTTTTTGTTTTTTCTCAGTTCACCTTCTGCACATCTGGGTGTAGTTTTTTCTTCTCTTACTTTTTTAATGTGGATTGGACTACATGTCCATGAGTTAGAAGGTATTTAGGCTGTAAGTGTCATTCCAGCTTTGCTCCCTGAATATAATGTTAAATGTTATGAAAACTTTCAAGCACCAAATTAGAAAGTTCCTGATATGATACTAGCTTTTAGCCAAAAGTATGAGAAATCTCTCGTTTTAGCTTATTTACCTTTACGAGGAGAAGAAAAAAAATACAGGCAAGTAACTGAGGATAACATTTGATTAGTAAGTATTTGTTTATTATGTTTATGCTCATAAAAAAATGAGAAGAAGATCAAAACCTTTTAGTGATGGGTCTATGACCAATATATGCCACTCTGGTTTGAAATGTATAGTAAACTTGAGTAGTTTTACTTGAGAGCCACCAAATAACAGGGTTACTCGAAGTTCAATATTGTTTCTAGAATTCTGCATCTTCGACTTAGGCTGCTTTCATTCAGAATGCATGCATATATAGTCACTGACCATGCTTGTTGATAATCAGATTCAAATTCTTGTAATGGATTATTCCACACAACACTTGCTTATGTTATGAGCTTAAGATACATTAATCTTGACTGCAATGGTTGATGGACCGTAGAAGCAGATTTGATTTGCCATCAGTAGTGGACAGCCATTCATAACTCGTTGTGCATGAGTTTTCAACCCAATGACTCGGAGACCTTGATTTATATACCCTAGGGCATGTAATAATTGACGTTATCTATTGATTTAGCTTCCATCATCAGAAGTGTAGAAGGCAGCATTCAAGAACTATTTTTGTTTTTTCTGCTCTTAATTGTGGTTGCTGTTTTAATATATACTGGATAAGCAAACTATACAACAACTATGTAACTATAATGTTTGGCATCTTTTGTGCAGTACTTTGATCAACTGTGAATTGCATTAACACTTGTTCTCTAACTGTGGTCCGACTGTTGTGTTGAATTTCATGGTTTCTCTCCATGTAACATTTAAGAAGAGTTTTGACATAGGCGTCCACTAATTATTGTTAATGATACTTTGTGGATATCTTATAACTTGGCTATATGACAAAAGGTAACATTTATCCTTTTTTTCTCTCGTGTAACTATTACCAGTCGTCCCTGGTCACCGGTTCTGGTAGGAACATTGAACTTCAGTTGCTCAGGAAGCCATTTTAGTCAGGAACTATCGATTTTATTTTTCTTTTGTTTAATAGTTGACTTCCCTGATCATTTTAGAAAGCACGAGGCCTGACAACTCTGTTGTTTTCCGTCAAAGCTTTGGGCTCTCCAGTTCTTCTTGGCAATGCATTTTAATCACTCATGAAATCTTTGTCATTGCATTTCCCTTGCGGGTATAGTTCTCTTTCTCCTGAATCTCCCCAGAAAAAAATGTGAGGATGTTGATGATTTTGAAACTGATGTATCAGATGGCTACGATGCAGCTTTGTTTCAAAAGTAATCTGATATATGTTACTCAATTGTGGATATTGGTTTCGCTACTTATTTTTTTCTTCATACAATAGGCTTTCCTTTTTCATCCGTACGTATTTTTGCATATATAGATATATATTGCTCAGGCATTTTATTTGCAGATACATACATGGAGGAAATGGGAAGAAGAAGCTCATAGAAATCGCCACGAGACATTAACTGGTGATCTTATATTATTCTTGAATCTATCTTCAAACTTATTCGTAGGCTAGTTTCGTCATTCACATTGATACTTCTTCACGTTTGGAAAAGTGAAACTGTGGACGATTGCTTAATAGGTTCAAATTTACCATTATCAGTAAGAAATTTGGTGTGCAATGGGACTCTTACATTCATGCTAGGACATCTTTTCTTCCCTGGAACTTCTCCCATCTCACCGTCTGTTGCCAGAAGGTTTTATTTAGCCAGACGTTTCTATGAATCCATTTCCTGTATCACATGTTATTCTTTTTTGTTTCTTGATATTTACACTCTTGTATGCTTTAATTTATGTTCAGTGGTCACCAGAGCCTTAACCATGAGGAGACAGTCAACATTTGTGAAGTTACATGCATCAAGCTCTTGGAGTAGGAATGGGTTCATTGTTTGGTTGGTAGGTTGATAAAATTGTTGCCTCTGTTGACCATAGACTTCCTGACGTTCCGTGCTCTTTCTATCCAGCTTATTTGCTCTTCTTCTTGAGTTATTACAGTGCACATCTCATGGAGCATATTGCAGATGTCTTTCGTACTAATCCCGAAAATGACACAAATACCTTGGGTTTAGCATGTTGTCTCTCATACTCGTGCACTTCAAATAGAGAGGACGAATGCAGGCCTCAAGTCAGCTGTCGTCTCTTTGAAAGATAATATTTCTACAATATGTATAGAATATTTTTATGTTTATAAGAAATTTTAAAAAAAATATTTTACTTTAATGTAAACTAAAATAACCCCGATTATATTTTTTGGTTTTCCCTTTCCTCCTCATCTTCTTCACTTGGGACTGCGTTGAACAGTGGAGCTAGATCCCCAACACTGCCTGACAATCTCCGGTGTGACTGATCTATGTAACGGGGGCAAAATATTTGCTGAGAAGCAAGGACTTGCTTGGCACTTAGCTCATGGTGTCGCCGAAGGTCTACAACCAGACCTCCTTTGACAGTTACCAATTCCTAGCCATATTTGGGGTCAGGGTCGTGCACTTCAATGCCCTATTTGCTGTGCACGATGCCTTGCATTTCTCAGGCCTCAGAAGAGGTGCTTGCTGAAGTCCGCATGAAATTTTCCTCTGATTGGCCATCAGTAGAAAGTTGACACTCTGTTTAGGGGGAAGGGGAGGTTAGGGGGCGGGCTAGGTAATGTGTGCATAAAATCTGCATGATGACTATTATCAACTATTATCATTTTTGGCTCCTATCTCTCTCTCTCCCTCTTTTCAAATTCAGGAAAGAAATGATGCATCACTGGCAACTAATCCAACATCTCTGTTAATGTCACATGTTTTACGCAGTTTCTTTTTATGGTTAGCCCACAACCTATTTGCGATTAACTAATAACCCTTTAGGAGAATGGAATCCGATATGCTAATGCCGAACATGATAGTTTTCGTTGATATCAAGGAAAAAAGATATCATTTTACCATTAGATTATCCTTTATCATCATACTTTTGTTTAACAAAGTCAACATTTTTCCTGGACAGACTTGTTTCTTCCGTCAGTTTGGACGTTCTGTTGTGCGTGCTGATTACCTCACCCTCCGAATGGGTTTCATTACGGTGAGGAAATTTACTCTATCGAAAATGTGTCATCACCGTAAATTTCATCATGTACTCCAACTGTAAAATGACCCTTCCCCTTCGCTTCTTATGGGAACCAATATCTTTGTGTTCTTTTTATCTATCTGATCCAGCCTTCCAATTATTTTGCTTAGTACACATTTCTGAACTATTTCATAGTTGTGTGACTAAGCTCCACCTTTTTTTCGTCACTTTTTTTTTCAATGAGTTAGTAATCTTTTTATTTATTTGAACATTGCAGAACCACAACCTTACGCCGGGATATGATTTTCATAGCTATATGATTCGCTCAATGGAAGAAGAGTTTAAAATGATTGTAGGTGTGAGGTTAGTGGAGAGATCGCAGAAAATTGAAGCGAATGTCAGTTAATACTAGTGTCCCAATTTTCTGTGCAATTTTCATTGCTCGGTCTCTTCTTTTGCTCCAAATTCTGCCATATGCATGTCCTCATTGCCTTTGGAACTGAGTTTTCATCTTTCATATTTTACAGAATGAACTTTCAGAAATGAAACGATGAAACTTAGGTTTCATCTTTTTGTTTTTTCATTTCAGCATGATTTTACTTATCCCAGTGTGATTGATTTTTTACATAATTAGGATTCATTTGTTATGCCTTTTCGTTTTCTCTGGGGGTTTAATACGATAAAAAAATCTCACTTTTCCTAGCTGAATTCCCACTGATAGGGCTCGTCTTATTTTTTTATCCATTGCAGTGCACCGTTATGGGGCTTCGTTATTGCATTTATGCTGTTCAACATAAACGGTGAGATATTATTCATTTTCCACGCTATCATTGACCTCAAAATCTAGCTGACTGTTTGAAGTTTTTGATACATATTGAAATAATTCTGAAGGGCATGTCCATTATCTGTGTGACTTAAAACGGAGTCTGTTGTCAGTATAGCTGTCAAATTCAACCCTTTCTTTCTATACTTTTTCAATCTATTTGTTATAAACGCACAGACATGTAAAAAGAGAAAGTAGAGGTGCTATTTTTGTTCACTGTTTTCTGTTTATATTGCCTTTCATCTCTAACAACCATATAGCTTAGAAATTTTTCGTGTTTTCCAGGTTCGAATCTATACTTTTGGATTGCCATCATTCCGATAACAGTGAGTAGTCTGTAAGCCGACTCCAGTTTTTTAAAGTTTTTTTTAATGATTTCCTGCATGGGATTGAAGTTTCTTTTCTTCTCATCCAGCTTGTTCTTCTCGTTGGGGCAAAACTGCAGCATGTCATTGCAACCTTGGCCTTGGAAAGCTCTGAACTGACCGCGCGTATTTCTGAATCAAAAGTGCTAAATCCTCGTGACGAGCTTTTCTGGTTTAATAAACCAGAATTATTATTGATGTTAATCCATTTCATTCTTTTTCAGGTTAGTTTTCCTCTCGGTGGAGTTGAAGAATAATATAGACCTATTCTTTTTATTATAGTTTGAGGTGGCACTACTAATCATTCTTTTCTTTCCCTGCAGAATTCATTTGAACTGGCGTCATTCTTCTGGTTTTGGGTACTTTCTGTTTCCAACTTGTATTGTTCCCATACGCATCCATGCATGCTGTTAGTTTGAGGTCACATTTTCTTTTTGTCGATAGGGAACTGTTTATACGCAGACACACCACTGCATACATCTCTTTTTATGATTTACTGATCATCCGATACCACTCGTTTTCAAAAAGATAGGAGGTTCTTTATGTAGTGCATCTGAGATAATTGCTTGAATCAGTTTGCCAAAACCACCCCCTGGAGCAAGACACAGGTGGGGAGGGCATTTGATTACCTTCAGCCCTAAAGGATACCTACAGGCGTATGTCATCGGGACACCATCCCACCTTGTGTTCTTTAATGCAACACCTGCTATTATGAATAATCTGTTGATCAATGCGGCCATTCACCATGCCACCATGTCTTGTCAAATCATCCTCACATCACTGCATAGTTGCTCACCATCAATTTTCGGATTTTTTCATGCCCCGGTTCTTTTTTTAATTTATGCAGTGGCAGTTTGGTTATGATTCATGCTTCATCAGGAACCATTGGATAGTGTATGCACGCCTGTTTCTGGGGTATGTGGTTCCTGCATATCCTTGCCATAGGCAATTTTTCCATTGATTCTGATCGTAATATGCGACACTTTGTCAGGTTTGCTGGTCAGTTCCTCTGCAGCTACAGCACATTGCCTCTATATGCGCTGGTCACCCAGGTCTGTTGGCTTCATGCTTGCCAGACAAGTTTTTATCATCTTGTGCTTTTCCTTTCTTTCATCATTTTTTTTCCCCATATGTTAGCTAGTATCTTGTGCTCCAAATCCTTGAAAAGCTGAGCCAATCTGGTTTATGAGAAGAATATCAAGGAAAATATGTGTAACAAAATACTACTCATGTTGCTCAATGGGGCCAATTGAACAGATAAATCGTATGCTCCGCAGAGTCGGTTAGGAAGTCAGTCTAGATCACATCAATCTTTCGCAATGAGTTAGAACTTTAAATGATCTCGAGGGGGTTGGAGGTGTTGACGGACGAACTACGTTTCCTCTTTGAGATTTAACAGTTCGAATCCTTGTTTCCAGATGGGTACAAACTATAAAGCTGCTCTCATTCCTCGAAGAATCAGAGAAACGATCCATGGTTGGGGAAAGGAGGCCAGGAGGAGGAGGAAGCAGAGGCATGGCTACGACGACTCTACCATACGGACAGAGACGAGCACCGTCTGCTCCATTGAAGATGACGACCAGCTGCTCCAGGACCCCTCCGACAGCCATTACGTCCAAATCGGGCTGCAACCGACGGCTGCTTCAGACTCCATAGCTGGAAGAGTCAAAGACTACGTGACCGAAGCAGCAATCTTCAGCGCCAGTGTGGATGCCCCCTTACTGCACTCCGCTTCTCTTCCTTCCTCTCCCTCAGTATCCAGGATGCCGCGTCATGAGATCTTGAGATCCTCCTCGATGCCCCAAATAGAAAGGCTGAGGAACTTCGGCTCAAGCAGATTCAAAGGGTGAAGACGGTCCACCTGATGATGCGTAAATCTCCATTACTCGTGTATATGAGCACTCCATAGGACACTGTTGAAGCTTCTTCCAAGAACTGAATTCCTTCCCCCGCTCAAAAGGCTCGGAATTCTGCAGTGAGAGATCTTCGGAAATCCTTCTCCCTCGTGGACAGGAATGGCGACACCTCTCGGGCGGAGGCGGTAGGCGGCTGCTCTGCATGCGCTGCAGGTGCCGGCGATGTGGTGGCCTAATCCTTGTCGCCACGCTCGGTAGGACGAGTGCCGACGAAAACGGCCGTCTGCCTGCGTTTCTCCCGCCGGGGTCGCCGGCGGGTTTTGTTCCAAGAGAAGTGCGAAGCGTGAGCGAGCCGAGGAACCGCCGCCCTATAAAACGAGGGGCGGGAGAGTGGCTCACTGAGGTCCGACGGTAACAGCGCCAGCCTTGGGAGCGGAGGGGAGGATGCTGGCGGTGTTCGAGAAGGCAGTGGCGAAGCCGCCGGAGGAGCTCAACGTTTCCGCCGGCTGGATGGTTCCGACCACCAGGTTCGACATACCCGAGGTCTTCAAGGCCGCCTGGCCCCAGTCTACCTTCTACAACTTCCCCAACGGAAACTTCATGGCCCTCTCCCATGCAACTCAGAACCCCTTCCACGACAGGTCCTCTCTCTCTCTCTCTCTCTCTCTCTCTCCGAGTTCTGATCTGTCGCTGAAGGGGGTTGTTGATGGCAGGTCGATGGTAGTGGTGGACGACATCTTCTGCATCTTCATGGGGATCATCGACAACATCTGGGAGCTCCGGAGGCACTACGGGCTCGGGCGGCAAGCGACGGAGCCGATGCTGTTAGTGGAGATGTACAGGGTCCTCCGCGAGAGGGCTCCCTACCCCCCCGACCAGATGGTCAGGGACCTCAACGGGAAGTTTGCCTTCGTGCTGTTCGACGCCAAGCGCGGCTCGCTCTTCGCAGCCAGAGTACGTAGACCCCCCCGTCCTCATGCCCACCTCCTTCGTCCATCATATCTGACGAGCACCGAGCCTTACACCGCTGAAAACCCACAAGGACCGAGAAGGCAAGGTGAGGATGCTCTGGGGGATCTCCGAAGACGAGTCCCTGGTCTTCTCCGACGACGGCGAGATCATGATGGACGTCTGCGGCATCTCCTCCGCCTCCTTCCCCGCCGGTATCGTAAACCATCTCCCTCCTCCTCCCCCTGCGGCGGGTCCTTCACGGTGGCATATGGCAGGGTGCATCTTCATTAACGCGGGGGAGGGGCTCGTGCACGTCGACCACCCGAGGCACAAGGTTCGCGGCATCAGGCGGGAGGACGAGGACGGCATGGTCAACGGGGTGCTGTTCCAGGTGGACATGTTCACCCGCCTGCCCAGCGTGCCGCGCGTGGGCAGCGCGGCGAACTGGGGCGCCGCCGTGTCGTCTCCCGGAGGGGATGAAGACGGGACTCCCTAATAATTCCGGCAGTCCTGTTGGCAACGGAGCTGCATCCATTGAATGGAAGGGAACCCCTGCATGAGGCGAGATGCTCCGAATGACTCTCGTCGTATATTTTCCTGAATAAAGATTATTTGATTTTTACAATCCCTCTCTTTCCCCTTTTTCTTTATTGGGGAATATTGCACATAAGTGAAGCTAATCCTTCGTACTCTACTTCCACATATAAATAACTGTATCGAGTAAACAAAGTAGGTTCCATATTTTCCTGATTTTTTTTATTTTTAAAAATAAAAATCCTAAATTGAAAATGGGAAAGTTCAAAGGTTCAATTAGAATAAAAAAAATATTATATTGAATTATGAGCCCGAACTGAGAATCGAAATTAGGACGTATTTAATGTAAATATATATTCCCTGAATAGCCTAATTTATGAACTATTATAAAACACGTAATAAAAAAAAGGTTTTGGTACACAATTGGCACCTGAATTCTTCTTAATCGAGAATTACATAAACAGCTGCCTATAGAAAGACACCATCAAGAGTTAGAACTTTGACCTCAATAGGTGCAATGTATACGTATGTGGGTGAAAATTTTGACCCAAGTAACCCAAAACTGGTGGGCATGGCGCTCTAAGAACTTGAAGGAGGGCTGCAAGAACAAGATGAGTCAAAGTTAGATTAACCTATAAAAAAACGCGTGAGAAACATGTTAGAGGTTAGTAATTTATTTATATATATATATATTTGAATTTTCTATATAACTCTATCAACTTGTTTAAAAGCGTTGTAATAGTTGACTTTTAAACTTTTTCGGGGCATCTCATCCAAAATTTGATTCATTAAAGGGGTTCCACATTGTAACCATATCCTCATTCTTTGTCAATATGATTTTTTGTCCTCTTTGAGCCTCTTCTCTATTTACACATACATCCAAGCGTCTTCCTTGTGAATTTAAAATAATATTTGACCCTCGTAGATTCAAAAGTCAACCCAACATGTTTTTGGAGATTCAAAGTTTGAAGGTTTCAAATTCTTTGAGAAATTGGGTGCAGTCCAAGTTTAAAGAGTTTTCCTAATTTATTTACAGTCAAACGTAATATTTTTTAAAATGAGAGATAAACTAGATATGTAGATTTGTATTGAAAACGATAGTTTATTTTTATTCAGGGGCGTCTACGTAATTTTCTTCCAGATATGGTGGATTTTGGATAGTAATTCCGTTTTTTTTTTTGCAGGGTCTCTGCTTATTAGCTCCGTGAGCGGTAAAAATTATTACAAATTCATGCGACATGACTATAATACCCCTCATTGTCAAAAGTGTCGAGACGAAAAGCAAGCCCGAGGGTCCGAGGGTGAGAAGCTCACTCCCTTCGGCAGGGATTCCGAGGGTCTTTCTCCGCCCGCAACGTTCCTTGTTCAGGGGAAAGTTCCTACGCCGTACTTCTTCCTGCGGGAGGCGTCTGCATTCCCCCCGATCTTCTTACCCCCGCTGTCCAGGCTGGCCGGGGAGGCAGGGCTGGAGAGGCGTTTGAAGAAGATGGCTGGTCGGGAGGAGGATAGAAGAAGAAGAACAAATCTTCGCATGTAGATTGTCGCGGATATTATACTTGGAAACGCCTCTATGTCATTGCTCGGAGTTTTTATCCGCGTCTCTGTCAGTGGAGGAAACTCACCTCATGATATATTTTCGTGATTCTTGTTGCTGCTCGCTAGTTGATTTTTTATCGAGGTTGTGGTTCTGAAGACCTCTGTTCTGTGCTCTCGTAACCTTCTTTGTCACCTTCACTCTTTAAGGGACACCTCAGATGGATCCACCCAATTCACAAGGTTCAAAGACTGACGAGGAGACGGCGTTGAAGAGCCTGTTCGATGTTTTCAGTTCAGTTTGCTCACTCGAAGAAATAGCCTCCGCCTATTTGAGGGCCGGGGGCGATGTGAATACGGCCGGTGAAATGCTATCTCAGCGTCAAGGAACAACACCAACTGATGGGTTTCAGTCCTGCGACGACATCGTGATCAGTGATATACACTCCGTTCAATCACAGCTTGAGAACGTTGTTAAGGAGCCGAACTATCTTTACCAGGGTTCCCCTATTTTAAAGCCAGAAAAGCTAACTGCATCAACGGGCATAGTTTCAGCAGTCTTGGGGAAGGGATATTATTTATCTACTTCATCCCACTCTGAACGATCGAGGCCATCAAAACCATTGAAAATAGTGCTGAAGGAACCTGTGGTGGATGATGCTGCTTGGAAAACAGTTTCATCTGCATCTACTACGGAAAATGCTCCTGCAGAGAACCAGGACACTATAGACTTTTTGTTCTCCATGCTGGGGGATGGCTTCAAGCTTGACAAGAATGTGATCAAAGATGTTCTCGGTGAGTGCGAACTTAGGTCTTCAATACACTCTTATCCTTTGTGCCGCAGTAGTCTCTGCATCCTTTCATGGATTAACATTTGATTATTAGTTCTACCCCGGTAAGAAAATAGGAATCCATACAAACTTGGGACCCAACACGGTAATAAAATAGTATCCTCATGGTTAGACCATGCTCCTAACATTTGTTAAAAGAAAGGTGCATTAGCGGTTGCATAAAACGATGGAATCTCTTTCTTGCTGTCGGTGAACGCAAGAAGGTCCTGAATAACAAATAATGAGAAAATGAATTTATTGACGTAATGACACAAGAAATTGCTTGTTGAAAGTTCCTTATTTCTTTTCCTTTGACTCGTAGATGTGAAGTTAATCGTGTCTTTGCCAAAGATTATTCAATCAACTAGAACTTACCGATTATTAAATCAACTTGTTGCATATTTTTTTTTATATTTTGTTGTTATTTTCTTCGTTTTCGTGCGAAGACAGATGTTTGAAATTATGCATATCTACAATATGTATCATAGCAGTTGGGAATGGTTGCTCGTGTTAATGTTTTTTGATTCAACAAATACTTTGGTATTTTTCTGTTTTTTGTTTAATGGAGTAACCAAATTCCTTTGCAAATATCTGATAAATCATGTAATGGGCAATGAAGATAGCATTTTAGACAAACTTAAAATTATTCGCTTTACTTTTTTTGCAATGAAGATAGCAATGAAGATCTGTCTGGGAACCTTTTTTTGGTGAATATTCTGTCTGGCAGGATTGCGACACTAAAATTATCTCAATTATTCGCTTTACTTCTGTACACTTGGACTTTTAAATGCTCATAGTATAATATTTTCATATAATCTTTGAACGACTATTTTTGCAGGTTCATGTGGATTTGATGCCAAAAAGGTAAAATGATTTGTCATTTTACCTCTTTCCAGACATGTTTTTAGATGGTGATCTAGATGATCCTTCATTCACTCCATTCATTATAGAATGAATTTTCAGATATTAAATACTTTGAATAAGTTGTATGCATGTTTTGTCTAAATTGTTTTAGAAATGTTTATATAAGTCGCCTAGCGCATTGTTTTGATGCTAGCTTATACTATGGAGATATATAATTTAGGTGTCAAATAAGTAGCGTTATTAACACTAGAAAGAACCTGGAATGAAAAATTTCGAATTTGTAAAGCTATTTCACATTCTGCTCTGTTGATACAACGGAGAATTTTAATCTTTTTTCCGTAACAGGCGATAAACTGTAACCAAAACTTATGCATATAATATATAATTCAGAAAATGATGATTTTTTTTTAAAAAATGTGGTGGTTTGCATACATTGCCACCTTTATCATGTTTCCTCCGAATCAATATACAGTATTGTTTGACTGTGGCAGACAATGGAGCGTTTGTTGGCGTCTTCATCATCAGATTTGGACAAAGGCAAGGAAATCCATCCTGATGCTCAAGAAGTATGACCACAAAACTATTGAGATCTTGAACAACATAAAGTAGATCTGTGAATTGTTTGTTTTTTTCGTTCCCCAAGTTTCATTAACCTCATGTCCGATCGACTTGGCCATAAATTTGTTAAAATATGTTTTTTTTAATGTGGGGACTTGATGCTTGAATTTCCATATGTCAGTGTTGAAAGAATTTCCTTGTTACACTGAGCCCACAAGGTTGATAACAAATTTATGTGACATAACATGTCCTTAAAAAATTCAAATAATTGTTAATCAGTGAATTCCCTTCATTTTATTGCGCTGTTGGACCTAGTCTTAGAGCCTCTCTGAAAAATTCTTCATCTTCCTGGAAAGCCAGGGACGGGTGCTGTTGGAAAAATCATTGAAGCTTTCAGGATTGCTTAAAATGCATTGATTTAATTTTTTTATTGGATATTTGAAGCTTTCTTTTGGATTTCTGGAAGATGTGGCTGTCCTAGGTTTAAACCCTTGGCCAGCTCATCTTAAGATTGTTGTGGCGTGCCACAGATCGACTTTAACCCTTAGAAGACAGTTACTTATTGGTTTGAGTTGGATAGCGTGTTAGCTTTACGGTGCTTTTTAAGAAGATGATGCCATATCTAACTCAAAACTTGTTTTGTGTCCATTCATCAAACAATCTCTGTCAGTCGAGTGAGCATATTGAGCTCCGAATTTGGTGATTGTTCTATTTTGTTTCTATTTATTCATATAGTCCTGAGCCCAGATGGCAACATTACTTGTTAAGTAATGCTACATTACAATATCGCCTTTTAAAACTATTCAAGTAACTGTCTATCATTCTTGTAAATAGTTTATTTTTATAAAGCTTCTCATTTCTAACCTGTTTTTTAAAAACTGTATTTGTAGTTTAAAGGTAGCACCCAAACTCTAGGTCCTCAACTTTCTGAAAGAGAACTGAAACCGTCTTCAGCCGAAAGGTATTTGCTCACGCTTCATCTGTCTTCTTTATTTTGTCTACATTACCCTAAATTCTTGAAAGTTAATGCTTTAACCTGAGGATTAGATAATTTTCAAATAAAAATTAATTTTCTGCAAAGGTTTAGGTTGGTTTAGTTAAGTGCTGTGACAGTTGTATTTTTCTGTAGAAAATCGACCAAGTCCCGTAGCTCGCACAAGAAGAAAACCGTTCTCCAGAGGGAGATATTAGAATCTTTGTTTTGTGCTCCAAAAATATCTGAAGAGGTGCCTAAAAGAACTCGCCTTCCAATCGGCCTTAACAGAACCAGAATTGTTGGACAGAAGTCTGTCTGTGCACCTTTGGATGATGTTGAGCCGACACCTTCAATCAAGCTCACAAAAGAGGTTGTCAAAGGTGGTTGATCAATTTGACTTTACAATAGGTTTTGTTAATTTGTTTTTCTGAACCGCTATTAATGTTGCGTAGCAATGCGAATCCAGACACTATTTTATACCTTTGTTTTCTATTTTAAAAAAACATCAGTGTTTATTCAACCCGACCTCCTAATCGAGTTAAGTATAAGTTTTTCTTCTGCTTTTAAACTCAAGGATTTAAAGGATTTTAGTATATGCATTACAAGGTAATCAAATTCTGGTATTTCAATATTATGTGACCGTATCGGGTATGATACATGTTGCATAATCATACTGGGCAAATTACCGATTAAAAATCAGGCAGAAGACACTGTAATGATCCTGAAGCATCTTTATTCATCAGAAATCAAAATTGAAAGAAACTAGGCAAAAATCAAGAATGTAATAAACAATGGAGGATGATATCAGTTAATGGAAAGTAAGAAGGGAGGGAAAGAAAATAAATTAGTAGAAAAATAATTTCTTTCTGAAGGCTGCGGTGGTTAGCAAGGAGTTTCTAGTTACATATTAGAGGCTCTAACCTGTGTCAGTAATGCGTGTAACTTGAAGACAATGTTAATGTAAAAGGAAAACATGCCCAATATAAGCGCAACATTATGAAGAAAAAATGAGTTGAGACAAATAAAAGAGGACATTTAGGCCTCCAGAAATATGGAAGCCTGATTTATCAAATCTATTGTCTGTGTGAAAAAGTACTTCAAAATGTTGAGTGACTTTGGATGCGGCGGAAACATGATTTCATACAGAATTGTATCCCGCATTTTGTATAAAAAATATGCCATTCCGTATGAAATCAGATGCCATGCAGATTTTCCACAGCTCTAAATTTAAATCAGAATTTGGCATATTTCATGGCTGAGCATCGGAATCATGACTTTGAATGTGAATGGAACCTCATTTGTGGGTTCATAATTAGTAGAAACTTGGATAAGGCATCAGATATCCAATTCTTATCCAAGTGTGTATCGATGCTAAAACTTTTTGAGCATATGCTCTGAGAGAGCATTTATGCCAAGTTTTCCACTAGTATCACCAAAAACATGGTTACAATACTTCTCCAAGAAGGTTTAATTGAAAACGAGAAAACTCGAGAAAATAATAATAAAATCTTGGTTTCCAGAAGGCTCGCTTTCGGAGCTCTTGAAAACTATTGGTGAAAACTAACCATATTCCAGTTTGACAAATTCAAATTATGGAGATGTTTGTTTATTTGAGGGGTATTTTATTGTGATTTCAAGTTTGATATGAGAAAACGATAATAATCTGAATACGCACATTCCCTTCATAACCAGTTCATTACAATTTCAACTGCACTGACATTTGACTGGCATTTTGAGTTAAAATTTAAGAAGAATCACTGTCTCTGCTATTACCTTGAAATATATACTCGTGTGGAGAAAAATATTGAGCAGATTGATCTTTTCAGATGTGTTTATAAATATTTTCGTATTTCAATTATTCTGTTTCCGTCCAAAATGAACTCTTAAGTTCAAAGTTCTTTTCTCTTTCTAGATGAGGATGAAGAGGATGGCTATCTGATCCATAGAAGAACTGCAAAGCAGAATTGGGAGATGATGAGAGAATACTATGAAGCTGTAAGATTTGATATAGTCGATGACCATGTTCGACTAAGATTATTCATTTTGCAAAAGTGATGTATCTATATAGTGCGGATTCATAAAATTTTGCTGGCTTTTGATAGGCTGTAGATGCTTTTACCAAGGGTGACCGTGGCAAAGCTGATTACCTTCAAGAACAGGTATCCATTCCTTTAATCTTATCTTTCTCTCACTTAGAACGGTTGGTTTTCGGTGGTGTGGAAAGTTACTTCTATTCTCAATCAATACAGCGACCATTTTATTGTCTTTCTCATGCCAGGGAAATTTCTATCTAAAGATGGCTCAAAAGGCAGATGAGAAGTCTTCTGGATTGATTCTTGGCATGGGGTCAGTATGGTTCCGTTTACATCTTCAACACTGGGAGAACTACTACTCTAATTGTTGTGATGCATTGATTTTCTGAAAGCAGGCGAAGCCAAGATGATTTTGTTCTTAATTTGCACGGGCATCATCCAAAGGAAGCAGTAAAACTTCTGAAATTCCATTTGGAATCTCTCGCCGGAATTCCATGTAAATGATCTTCAAATACAAAGCCATTGGGTTATTTGATGACTCCCTTCTATCTCATGATTTTTTCTCTCGCTTTTCTTAGCTTACCAGTGCTTGAAGGTTCTCGTGGATGCTGATGGTGGGGATATTACTAAAGGGAAAAGGAGAAAAATGGTAATATTCTTTACTTCAATTTCCGTCAACCGGCTTACTGTTAAAACGATTCCATTTTGTTCTTGGAAACATAATTAACGGTTATGTTTTCCTCAGAAAGACAACTCTGTTTCTCTTTATGGGGCTAATCCTTGGTCTTTGGAAGGTTCTAAACCTTGGAGAAGAGGCACGACCTTTTTCCTGTTTCAGAAAACATTTAAGAGTTGGCTTTCAAACATATTCATAGATGAATGGGATTTCTGTTTGGCCCAAAGGTTGGAAAAAAAATACTCTTGGCATAATTAGAAAATCAGGAGAATTATAGGCTAAAGGCCAGTCACAAAACTAATAGAGGGCGGCAGACTACATTGGACTAAGCGAAATAGTAGATCGTTGATTCATGATCATCACATGGAATATTCAAATACATGGATTAAAAAGTTTCTCCACCCAGAAAAAAAAAGTAGCAATTTGTCTGTTCTCCTGAGATCAGCTGCCAATGTCTAATGTTTCACTGATTTCTGTGTTCTGTTGAAGCTATCTTGACATCCTAGTAATTTTCTGTGTTCTGTGTTTCTCTCCCACCAAATCGCCCAGAAATGCACGTGGGGGGGGGGGGAGGCAAAAAAACACTGGTTGCTTTTATATGCTGGAGGCCATATTCTGACAGACGGCAATTACACTAATAGACAGCCAAAATGACAGTTTGCTAAATATATGAGGGGTTTATTTTTAATTTTCAAATAAAAGTGTAAATTTTCCAATTTTAAAAGAGGCTTTTTTAGGGTCCCTCCTCTTGTTTGGGTGATGCAGAGAGTGAAATATATATTCTAAAAAACTTGATAATACCACGAATGCTAAATATGAAAAAGAGATATATGGATGTTCATGTGAGTCACCACTGAAACAGGTTCCCTACAGAATGGCGATGGATACAGGTTTGAGACAAGACTTTGTTTCCGGTGTCCTTAAAATAGAGGGCTCTTTCCTTATTATTTCCTACCTTATACTCTTAAATATAAATAGAAAAATTCAGTCAATTAATCAATACACGTCTAAATCTAAGTACGTATCGTGCAGACATGGACTTATCCAAGTGCCTGCACTATCCATTACCTTCAGGTAGCTGTGGCGTGTTTCCTTCGAGAACTCTCCCCTTCTGCCTAACATAATGCCTTTTGTTTGAGTCATTTTCTTAAATAAAAAAGTTGATTGTTCATTTTGTTCCATGGTGTGCATTTATTTTTCATTTCCTGCATCAATACGCCAAAATAATTGGACAAATTATCATGGCCCATCGGCTCTGCGCTAATCAATAAAGGAATATCCACTTCGAGCAGGTTCTACAGCTTTTAGAGAAAGAATCAATTCAATGGACCGAGGACGCCGGAACAATTTGCATCCAGGTCAGTACCATTGATCCAAGAAAGTTGAGTTTTGTAGGAGACTCCCAAAAAGATTAAGACTCTTAAAGAGTACCTACAGTCGCCTTTCATCTTAAAAAGCTACATTTTTATAGACGATAGCTAAATATTATGGGGCAGGTTTGATGCTTTTATATGGGTTGTTTGAATTCTGGATTTTTAAATGTTTTCAAGTCAAGGTTGTCAGGAGTTGGTGAAATTGTCTTTTTATCAGACAAGTGATGAATTATTGAGTTTTCTATTATTTAAAACTCTGCCAATGTTCTAGATTGATCTGATTTTCGCGGCCACTGAATGCGGGATGAATTTTCGTTAATGATTCAGGCATTCCCTACGGATTCGTTAATGATTCGTTGCTCTGCCGAAAACCATTGCAATCGATAGAGAAGGCAAAAAGGGAGGACAGTCAACTAGAAAGGCCTCAGGCTTTTACACTGCTAATAGTAATATGCCCTACAAGTAGGTGCACGTACTACATTACAGTTTAAAGAAAGATATTCCAGCAGCGGAACCGATTATAATCCAAGCAGGAAGAGAATCCCCCAGGGATGGGTGAAGCTGTTGCTCTCTGATCTTCACGTAGAGCGCTGCCCTTGGAGGGGAAGAAACGGGGTACCGCTTAAGATCCCTGAGTTAGTCTCTGCATCTCTCCTTGGTCCTCAAGTGTCTCCATGAGGAGGGGTGGTGCATACTGTGCCGTGCCCTGATGTTCTTCGGCATCTTGGCAGAAGGAGAGGATGATGGTGTCGATGGCCATCTCTACGACGGCAAAGAAGAGGGTTGCAACAATATAACCAAGGGCCCAGCACACCTACACATCCACACTTCATGTTTAGGATAAGAATAACCAGTGCCAGAGGCCTATTTAGGAAATAACCATAACAGACCATAGGAAATGTCGTACGTTGGAAAAAAAGTTCAGGACTTTAAGCTCATTAATCATTCTTAGAATATCCAAGCAAGAAATGACTTAGAAGGGCCTTTCTTTAGTCGTGTTCAGATTCATGACCCCAGTTATCTTGTTGGAACAAGGTCTCATAAGATAACAGATTTAGGAGTCTTACCAAAACAGGAAACAACGGGGAAGAAACCTTGTTGTGGGCAGATTTAAACTTGTGATTGTCCAGCATTAGGAATGCAAAAACCGTGCAGAATAGGCTGATGCATAGCTTTCCAAGAAAGAGTATGACATCTCCGATGACATTTACTTTTCCTATGCGTAGAATGTTGTTCATTATCAAACCAGTTGCGATAGAAGAAGCTTTGAAGAATCCTTTGCCAGTTATAGCAATCTGTCCAACCAAAACAGAAGAGTTAGCTCGCTCATGTGCAGATGTAGGACAATGAATACTTTTCTTTAAAAGGATGGCTATACCCTGCAAATTTGCACGAGGTTTTGATTTCATCTCGGCGATAATTGATAAAAATAAGCATAAATATCCACTGAGATATCTTCCCTGATTGCCACAAGGGTGCATCACTCATCTCCCTCCACAACCTTCAAGCTATTCAAGCCCATTTATTTCTCTCGAAAAATTCTACCAGCTTTTTTTGGGTGAAGAAAAGGAACGCCACAGTTTTACATTGTAGTAACATTATTGTAAAAGATCAGAAACTCATCGTGCTGCTCTACACACACCTCCAGGGATTTGTTTTCTAAAGGGTTTATAGAAGATGAATGCATATAGAAGAAACACAGGCAGTGTTACGAAATCAGAAATGAGATGCAACAATTCTGAGATTAAGGCATCAGTCGAAGTAGTTAAATACCGTAAGATATGCATGTGCCGCGACAGGAACATGTAATTTATGAGCACACCTCGAACTTGGATGCCGATGGGGTTTAGGAATGTAAGTTCTTTTGAGTAATTAGAATCTTACCATAATGTATGCATTCCGATTCACCGATTTGATGGTCCATTCAATGCATCCAAGGCAACATTGGGAAGAGAACGACGTTGCTCTCCCCATCCAGCTTTCAGAAACTGTATCACTGAACTTTAGCCTTCGCCGGATTGACTCGAGAATAAAGCGGATTGACTCAACAATGGATACGATCAGAGAGCCAAGAGCCACGGAGCCGATACTATAACGCAGAAACCGCTTTAAAGAAGAGAACACTGGAAGGAAAGGAATCTCCTGCATTAAATATAGACATCAGTGTTCAGCCAAGGGAAAGACAATATATGGGCTTTCTTTCCTTGTTCAGTATATGAAAGTGTGTCTTGGCTACTACATTACATCTGAGAAGATTTTCAATTTCTTTACAAATTTTCAAGGTCAATTTGAAATTTTGGATAATGACATAGGTTCACTTTGGTCTAAGAGATTAAGACAGAAGAATGGCATTCGATAAGTTCTTTACTCACCGAAACCTCTCCACGGGTCCAATAGTACGAAGCAACTGATCCTGCTATCACAGTAGAGGAAGATGCAATGATGAACTGCGTCACCCAAAAGCAGCCAAAGAGGTGAAAGAGGATGGCCACGGTGATATGAGGGGTGTAGTGTATGCTGTATCCACAACAGTTATCGCAGTTCACCCTGTTGGATTTCAGGTTGTATGAACAGCAGTTGACATTGCATTCATTTCTGATGATCTGACCAGAGCTAAACAGGTGAAGCGCAGCGGAGGCCCAGAACATGAAAAATATCACGAGGATAACATATGGCAGAGTTGGGAATATTATAAGAGCCTGAACTTCACCTATAACCTTTGCAGCAACCTGCAGAGATTTATTTTTTTTAAATGTTTTTCTGCAAGATTCCAAGAACAAGAAAAAGAGAAAGATGGATAAGGGGAATATGTGCAAAGGAGCAAAGATTTCCGTTGTCTACTTGCCTTTAAAACAGATGTTGCCATGAGGATGCGACGAACAATGGCTATTGAGGAAAGAATGGCAACAATCATTACAAGTGTCATGAGAACAGCAACAGCACGCATGTGATTCAGCTCCTGAAATTGGGTATTATAATCCATGAAGCGAACTAAACATTGATTCCTAAAAGTAGTTGAATTTATCCATGAAACTCACTCTTCCAGTAACAGTGTAATATGGATCACTTTCACCAATAACAGCAGATATGGCATCGTTCCCTATCCATCCAGCTAAAAAATCAAGACCACTAGTCAGATATGTGCAGATATATATGAATATAGGCATAGTGGACGTTTGCGTTCCCAGAATATGAGTTCCAGTCAAATCAGCACATGCTGTAGAAGCTATATAATACGAGGTACATGAAATACAAGTTGGAATAGAAATCAATACCAGAAGACATCATAGAAAATCATATAAAAAAGTAATTGAACAAATATATCCGTGCAAAAGAGCCCATAAAAGCATGCTGAACAGCAGAAGTTGTCGTCACCATACTGCTTTCCTCTTTCAGATCATCCTTGCGGCATTGCAAGCATTTTTGTGCCTTCTGTTTTTTGTTTTTATCTCTCTGCTGCCATTTTTTCATCATCATATTTTCCTATACTTTTTTTCTTTTTCCTCGCTGATTTATTGAAAGCTACACTTCAAAGGTTGAAGGCTATTCTACCTTCAGTTCTTCATTTCATTGGTAGGTTCACAACTGGCACTTGTGGATAATCTGATAATATACTGTAGCCAAGCAAAAGGTAGGATTGCACCCGAGCTAATTTGCTTCAGAGTACTTGCATTTGTATTGTTCAAACTAATGAATGCGTCGATGCATGTCTCCTTTGGACAGTTACAGAGAACCCGGTCGTATCTGCTACATATTTTCCTAAAGGACGTACCGTGACCATATCCAGAAATATATGACATTTCTATTATGTTCAAACACCTACCTTATTTAAAAAACTGTCATAAGATCACACACACTAATCAATTGTAACTATCCTTAAGACTATACAGCCTACCTTTGAAATCTCTTCCCAAGCACTATTCATTTAATCGACAAAATTTCAATAAATATCATAATATCAACACCTGATATTCGTCGAAACAAAAGAAACACGTTGAGAAGCTTCATTGCAGGATACTCCATCTGAGGTAAGGTATACTACAGATTATGGATCATTAGACACAAATAATCACGCTCTAAAAGTTTTTTAAAAAAAGAATTCTACATGTGGAAGTTTCCTTAATTAGTTGGTCAGCTGGCAGCTGGAAGTTTCCACAATCCCAATTTTCACATGCTTACCTTGGAAAAGACTCTAATATCTGACTGCTCAACAGCATCTGCTTTCAGAAGGTGAGATAACCATTTATAATATTATATCATTTCAAAGCAATGCCTTTTGCTATAGAAAATCGTTAAGTGAAGACAAACTGACTATTCGTTTTCTCCATTTCAGGGAATAAAGATCTGGAAAGTGATCAAACATATTTTTTGGTTCCCTTATTATTTTATTTCACTGGTACATCATGAATTATTAATTTGAGATATTCTAGCTTATTTCACTGGTTCTAAAGACCAAATTATTTTCTTGAAATGGCTAATTATTCTTTTGAAAATGGTCAGCATCATAGCATCATGAAGTAAAAGGGGAGGATGTACATGCTTGATTTATGAGCTCTCAAGAAGATTACTGACATATCACTAGTATCCAACAGCAGCTTCCTCTGAGAAAATTTCATCTAGAATCAGTTAGTTTCAAAACACCCATCCCATGAGCTTCAATCACTACAACTATGGAATTCATGACACCACAAATAAGGATGCAAAGTAGGGATACAAATAGAAGAACAATACGATTTTTCTGATGAATATAAAAAATATACTGAAAACTCTAACCTTTCATGTAGAATAACATCGTCACTGATATAATGAGGGAGTTGAAAAGACCTACAGTTATCCACGTCATTGCAGATACAAAGTGCCGAATCATTAATAGCCAGATGATTGACAAAAATAACGGTAACATTGCACCACAGACAATCAAGACGGGCCATGCTTTTCCAATATCTGCTACATACCTCTGCAATCATCATTTGAGAAGGTTCACTGAACAAGTAAAGCAACTGTCTGATTCAGCTAAAAGCATAAAAGGCCATGCAGACATCTACAAGCAACATAATGGCTGAAATTCCTCGGCATATGATAGATAGAACAGTGAGCATTGCTATCCTTTATCTAGTTGATCTTGGGATTGGTTAAATATGTCACAGGTATATTAAAAATCCAGAAGATAACAAGTGAGGTTTGAATAAAAGGAGGCAGCTGATCGTCGCCTAAAGGATGGTATGCCACACAAGTGATCTTGGTTCTATTCCAATGGCCTGCCTTGGCCTCCGTCATCCTAAAAACATGGGATTAGATCACTTAACAGTTTTTGCAGAGAGCTGGTGAAGAGGAAATGAGAACTTGATTATGTGAGAGGAGATTCATACCATGAAATGGGAGAAGAGAGGGGAATCCAACCCACAATGGTTTGTACCATCCCACTTAAACCTGAAGGATTGTATCCCACATGTGTATGTGGTTGGAGTGACCAATCCAATCGTGATGTAAACACGAATCTAGACTTCATGAATGACGTAGTTCTATCCAACCTGTCTAAGCCCTTATCTATTTACTGCTCTATATGATTAGATGACCTAATACAAACAATCAAAAGGATTATTGCCTGCCCAGAGATATAAGTATTTCAGCCAACTACTCGAGTACCAACATAAGATGAGACAGCAATCAGAAAACTTCTTGAAACCTTGACTTTGTCACCAGATAAACTGTAGCAATATTGGTAAATAAAGAATTACGACAATGATGCTGAAGTTAGAAATATTAGAAAATTTTATCCTGGGCTCTAAATAACATGATTTTAATTTATACATTTAGACAAAAAAGATTGTGTTGAACCATCTAAATCTCGTAAAGGAAAAACAACATTTGAGGTCGTTTGTCCATGCTTAGCGCGGATCAGATGAAACAGATAAAGGTAAACTCTCCTAAAGGAGCCAGAATGAAAAGGAATAAGAAACTCGGATGACAATTATGAGACGAACTTGAAACAGTTTTCCCTGCATCAAATCGTTATAGTCCATATCAAGATCAAGTGGACAAGACAGGTGACGAACCCTTTATTTTCCTCTGCTTTAAGTAATATAAACGAACACCTTGTTTCTATTTATCTCTCGTTTAAACCTCCACTACTTTCTGGAGTTCAGCATTTCACATTTTCCTTTCTCTCCTACGTTTTACACTTTTGACATGGCCACTAGCTAGTGCCTTGACACCTTGCCTGATGTAGATAATTAACCCACCAGTAATGTTCGTAATGCTGGCATGAAACCAGTCGGTAGGCATGAAGCTGAAAACAAAAAGGTATTACGATTCCCAAAATTCAAACCCTTAAACACCCAATTTGAGTAGTACGTCCTGGTAATGACAAATTCTGATAAAAGGCACAGAGAATAGATAAACTGCATGGAAAAGAATTTCTAATGAGTTAAATATAGAAACGATGGTCATTTTCCCAATACAAACACAAAATCAGCTTCTATAATTCCATTGATCCCGACCAATAACAGAACACCAGAAACCTAACAAAAATATATATAAAAAACCAAGAAATTTTACTACCTAGTTCAAGGAGGGAATTTTAACCTTTAATACAGCAGAATGCGAGTTGATGGCCTTGTGGATTGCTCTATCAATTAGAATATTATCCTCTATCTCAACACCACCCATCTGTTGCCAATGTCTTAAAGAAACATTTGATGCACGTGCAATAAATTGGCAGCTCCAGAAGACTGAATGGTGAGAAAAAGAGTAATGTCAACGTTAAAGTTATCCAGAAAACCGTTAGAGAGAAGAAAATCCATCCATCTGAGAAAGAAAAATATTGCATTGATCGTTTAAAGAAATGTGATCAAAACATCGTTTCCCCCTAACCAGCAAGGCATTGGCTCTATATTTCAGGTTTTCAAACTCTTTTAAAAATAAGGTTTTAAAAAAAAAAAGGCACGAATGCAGTCCATTGGCTGCAAAAGTAACAACGCTTTCTTACCTAATGGAAACAAAAATAACAATGGAACGGTGTGTTGGCAGTTTCTTCAAATATTTCCTCTTTAATAGATGAAGGGAACTTATATCTTTACTAAGCAGAAACCACCTAATTTGGCCTTTCCGATGGAGAACAATAAAAAACTGCCTTTTTTTATCAGGATGACATCGAGCTATTTACATGAACAAAAATTCTTTATTAAAAGACTCTTCTCCCACGGTTTGCCCATGATAATGCAAACAACAAGCAATTGAGGTAATTGTCTGGTGAATTTCATCATATCATTCCGTAAGGATCAGTAAATGAGCAACTGCACTGACCATTCACTGAAGGAAATATGACAGGGTAGCAAGGACCCTGGAGCTGAAGAGAACTGTTCCTCATTTCTGGCGTGAGGAACTCATAATAATCATAATCTCTATCAATCCAATCATCCGTTGAAATTTTAATATCTCCCTCTGGATAGTCACACACCCAACTGATACCATCCTCTGAAGGCGTAGGGCATTCCATCAAACAGACACTACGAGCATCTGCCAGCTTAAACTGGCTATCCTTCACACCACTTTGGTAGATCTGGTTGGGATTCATCCAATATCTAACCTCTAGTTCTCGAAGATCTGGATCGGCATGCTTATCCCCACAGATATTTCCTTTATAGTCCAGCCCATAATTCAGCCTGAAATCAAGTGAATCAGAGGAAGAAAGACTGAAAAATACGTACAAGCCAAATAGTGAAAGCATGCTGATGGCGTTCATACCTAGCCAGGGCAAAAGGGTATTGAATGAAAATATAAATCATATATCTGAACCAATTTGATGAAATTAAGACTACTCATAGAGTCACAAGAAATTTAACAAAGTAAATGATAGCAAACTCAATGTGACGTTCTGCAGCAACGAAGTAGAACAGGCTTACACATCAAGACGCACCGTTCATAATCACTTCAGACATGTAAAGCGAAGTTGCACCTAGAGGAAGAAATCAAGACAAAAATAACCCCAACGTTCCAACCAGAAAAACCACGTACCACAGAAAATAAATCTGAAAAGCTGAAGTAATAAATTTGGCATCAACGTTACTCGATCAGGTAACTCAACAAATAAATCGTGCAACTTCGAGGAAGGGTAATCTACCCACGCAAGCAAACAATAAGAAAAAAAATCAGCTGAAAAAATCCCACGGGATTCAGGAACCCTTCACGTGGGATCAAACAACTAAAGCCTTCTACTCTCTCGTGAGTCTCAACAGCACATAACCTGACACAAAGAAGAGCCCCTCATCAAGGAGCCATTCTGAGTTTACCGAAAAACCAGTTCTACTGCAGCAAAATGATATTTTACGGAGAATAAAAACGATCTTGACGACAAGATATGCTCGAACGGTCAGTCAGACAGTGGATGTCTGCTTTTACTGTTCAAGAGCATATCACCATCTGAGGGAACCCGTCTTTTTCTCCATAAAAATAAAAAATAAAAATAAAATATAAGTAAAGCATAAACCAAGAAGACCCTTCTCGAAAGATGTTGAAACGGGCGCGACATTGTTAATGATGCCACGAATGTGGACGCCGTAAACACCTGAGCGGGTTGCCCTTGTTGAAGCCGAGGCTGGAGTTGACGATCATGGCAACCCAGAAGGCGATGAAAATGATGAGGAACACCAGGTCCCTGCATTTCCGGTTGTGCCGTATGATTCCCTCACCCGGCTGTCCCCCCCGCTCTCCACCCGTCGGGTACCTTCCTATGATCGCCCCAAGCGGCCCCCCCATTTTCCCCTTCTCCCTCCCTCCTCCCTTCTTCCTGCTTCCTCGGGCAGGAGAAAAGTAGTAGGGAGCCTCCCACTGGACTTCACTACAGAGAGGCAGAGATTTATTTTAGAGACGGTCAGAGAGAGAGAGAGAGAGCAGGGAGCGAGCATGTTCCAGTGTTCCTCCATCTGCTCTTACTGTTCAACTGGGATGACGAAAAAGGGTCACACGAAAGCAGCTCTGGTTCGTCCATCGTACTCGGAGCGTCATAACTAAAAAGAAGATAGAGACTCCAGAAATCCTACCAAAAGGGAGCGAAAAAGCGGGTTAGAGAGAGACTCTCCATCTCATCTTGTAATGGGCCGGAACACCGAAATTCGTCTGGTCAGGTGGAGAAAACATAGATGGGCCCTGCTGGCGATATAATGGGCCAAACAAGGTAGTCGGTTCTCACCGTCCTCTGATCTTCGCTCGTCAGCGGCCAACGGCCGAGTTGATCGGCGCCCGGCGGCAGAATTCTCGGGGAGACGACGGAGAGGAGAGAAGATGATCGGCGACGGCACGGTGAAGGAAGTGAACTCGAAGGAGGAGCTGGATGAGCTGCTCCGCCGCCGCAGCCCCGCCATCGTGTACTTCTTCGCGTCACGTTGCGAGGCGTCTAAGCAGATGGATCAAGTCTTCTCCCATCTTTGTACCGACTTCCCCTATGCCTACTTCTTCCGGGTTGGCCTCTCTCTTTCTAGATCATTGTGGTGTTACTGGCCTTCTTCCGGTTAGCGTTCTATTTCAGCTCCCCCACTCTCTGTTCTCCCTTCCAGTTCTCTACAATGTTGTTTGTCTGGTATGTGAATTTCTTATACTTGTTCTTGCTCTGACCGATCATGATCCCGATAAATGCGGGCACGGTACCTTAATTTGGAAGCATGCATCAGATCATTCCGAAGAATTTTTAGCGTCATGAACTGGTTATCGAAGGATACTTCCCTGCCGAGCATGGTGTCTATTGAAACGGGATTTTTCTAAAAATGTTCGTACGATTTTCTGCATGTGAGATGGATAGACAGAGGAATGTCAGCCTTTCTGTTCCCCTTACCACTGTACTGAAAAAAAAACGATTACTCACCTAAATTCTGTGCACTTTTGTCTAGCTTTTTATCCTTTCATGCTCTGGGTCTGAGATGTCACATTTTCCATTTTCCCCCTAGGTTGAAGCAGAAGAGCAACTAGAAATTTCCGAGGCCTTTTCAGTTTCTGCTGTGCCTTACTTCGTCTTCTGCAAGGTATAGTAATGTTATTTTTGATAACATCTCATCTTCGGGCTTCGGTTATCCTATATGAAGTCCTTGATTCCTTGAAAAAGAGAATATCAGAGAGTTTTGTTACAGCTTACAGAGAGGTACCTTGGCAAACATGGACAACTCCCCTTACACATCCAAAACTTGAAAAATAATGAAAGTAAGAATTTGAAATTTGATGTTGGTGGCTTCGCCCTAGTTTATTATTGTAAATATACGGACATTTTCCGTTTGATGGTTCGAGTCCTGCTATCAGTACTTTTTCCCAATGGAGAAAGGACCGCTGAAATAACTGCTTCTAAAATTGTGTCAGGTTTTTTGCTTCATTTCTGTACTCGTTTAAACTTTCGAGGTTTTTCTTTCTTGTCCATTAAAATAAATGATTTTTATCCATTTTTTACCTAGGATAATAAGGTTGTAGACACGTTAGAGGGTGCAAATCCTGCCAGTTTGGCCAACAAAGTCGCGAAAATTGCTGGATCTGTCGACAGAGTAGAATCGGCTGCTCCTGCCAGCCTTGGCATGGCTGCTGGTCCCACCATCCTTGAAACGGTCAAAGAATTAGTGAGGGAAAATGAAGCTTCGGTTGCAGAAAATCTTCCATCTGGCTTCAGTGATTCCCTTACTAGTCGTTTGCAGCAACTAGTGGATTCCAACCCGGTATTCTTGTTCATGAAAGGAACCCCTGATCAGCCAAAGTGCGGGTTCAGTCAGAAAGTTGTTGACATTTTGAAGGACGAGGGAATTGAATTTGGAAGTTTTGATATATTTGCAGATAATGATGTATGTGAAGGGGTGAAGAAATTCTCCAATTGGCCTACCTTTCCTCAGCTGTTCTGCAAGGGAGAGTTCATCGGTGGCTGTGATATTGCAGCGGCTATGCATGAAAGTGGTGAATTGAAGGAGATTCTTAGAGACCATGGGGTCGTTGCTCTGTCTGCAGCAGTGACAGAAACTCCTGAAACAGAGAAGGATTATGGGAAGTCGGGTGGCAGTGCTGATGCCACGGGTCTTAGTGCTTCTCTTACTTCTCGCCTCAAGACCATCATCAACAGAAGCTCTGTCGTGCTTTTCATGAAAGGAACGCCAGAGGAACCCAGGTGCAGCTTCAGCCGCGAGGCTGTTGAAATCCTTCAGCATGAGAAGGTTCAATTCAGCACCTTTGATATCCTCTCCGACGAGGAAGTTCGTCAAGGGCTCAAGGTTTTCTCAAACTGGTCGAGCTACCCTCAGCTATATGTCAAAGGTGAACTAATTGGCGGCTCTGATATCATGCTAGAGATGGAGAAATCCGGGGAACTAGAGAGAATTCTAGCTGAGAAAGGCATCATCTAGAACGATCCCTTTGAGGACCGTCTGAAGAGCTTGATCTCCTCGTTGCAGGTTTAGCTCAAAAGTGGTGGAGGTTCTCCGACAGGAAGGCATTTCCTTTGGATCCTTTGACATTATATCGAACGATGAAGCGAGGCAGGGCTTGAAGAAATTCTCCAACTGGCCAACTTGTCATAAAGTGACATCATGCAGGAACTGTACAGAAGCAGGCAACTGAGGCCTACGCTTTGAGTAGCCAGAGGCCTTCTCTCTATGGGTAGTCTCTGTCTGAGAAGATCTCGATGTCATGTTGAATACACGGATCATGGGCTCATTTTTCTTCACTAAGCTCTGATTTCTTCTTTGCTTTTTCCTGCAACCAAATCTGAGATTACTCACCCTTGTTTGCCAAATCTGATATCCCTTCGGAACCGGTGAACCACGCGAGCTGGTTAGATGCGTGGGACAGAGGGCTCGTAGTACCTCCTTTCTTGATCCAGCCTTTTCTTCGCTTCGGTAGTTAATCATTTTCCGCAGCATATGATAAAGAAATTTGAGCAAAGTTAGCTTCAGTGCCAGGGGAAGAGTTTCCTCGCCGGTAATTCCGTTACTCTTACTCTCATCCGAATCAAGCACAGCTTGTTCATTGCCCTCTGGCTAGTCCCTTCTTCAGGAGCCTCCTTACATGGTTGGGGCTACGAGGTTGATCCTCGCCCACTGAGGAGAGGAGCCCGACCTGCATCTGGTCGTCATCTCCGTCTTAAAACCTGCCAACAGAAGGATTGTCAGGTTTTAAGACTATTGGCCCATGAATGTCCAACCGACATTATCAACAGAACCATGCTTGGGATCTAAGACCCCCAACCCCGTGGACCCCTGAAGTAGCCATCTAGACTTCCTTAACAACGGCCAACCTAAGTGCAATCAACCTACTGACACCATCAGCGACCGGTTTCAGGCAATCAGTCTAAGTGCTCCGAAATGGGAACTTCATTGCAGATTGTGAGCGCCTGGCAGCCTCTTTACAACAAAAGACTTGAAGGACCCAAGGGTTGTTAATATAATGTGCTTATGATATGTGTTTAGACATGCAGTGGAATTGAAGTGTGCACACTTAATCTGTAAGAATATTAGACCAAAGGATATATAATTTAGTTTAATTAAATAAATAAATTATTTTAATACATTGTGATGTATGAAATAGTTGATACGAACAAGAGTAAGCAATCAACACGGAAGAGATAAATACACATATTTTAGAGCCATTCTACCCAACCTATATCTACTATTGTAATAGTTTCTACTTGTTTGATTTTTCATTACAACTTTGTACCCATAGACCTATGAGATTGATCTAGTTCACATGTAACTAGTAATTAGATAGCTTTTAGCCAATCAATCTTCCACTAGCTTACTAGCATTTACATACAAAATAACCTATCATACAAAATGATAATCAATCAAAGCATACTAAGTTGCAAGATGAATTGCATCATCTATAGACTGACTTGATATGAATCTAGCAAAGGTTCCTCACGTTTCACCTTGATGGGATCCTTGGCTGATTTTATGGGCACCTTCAAATCCTATCATTGGTTTCTTTCCCTTAATGTGTTGAGCAATGGCAATGCTTTATTTCCTTTGGAAAATTTGGGTGTCTAGATTTAATTCGTATATTTTGAATAATAGTGTCGAATAATCCTTTTTTATTATTTTGATTCATTTAATGTTAACAAAAAAATAAAATGGATATATTACGATCCCAAAATTTAGGAGTAATAAATCAGATTAATAAGCTTGAATCTGAGTATATTGGATCTATAATTGGACTTGAATATAATGAGAGGTTTATTTGATTATTAGGCATGAATAAAATAGCATAATGAATCTAGTTAATGAGCTTTAAATTTAAGGTGTATTGGATCTAGTTTTGGAATCCTGGACAAGAAGGGTGTGGGTTTGAGTAAACACATATATCTATTGAACCACCTCGTACCAAAACTTAAACAAAACATACCATTGTTCATTCGTTTAATCTTCAGCCATTTTTCAGCCCAATAAGATTCAAACATATGCAGACAACAATTTTGCATGTAAACCCTAATTCTCTTATTTCTTTGACGACTGATTGTGAGAAAAAGAAAAAAGCGGCAAGAGAAGAAGAGGAGCTAGATGGACCGTCCATCATGCCGATGGCTCATGCTGGAAACCTACAAAGAAGGAGATCGCAGTAAGATGTCCACACTTTCATCTCCTCAACCTTGCATCAACGACATATGCATGCTTCTCTCTTTTGATCAATCATGAAAAGGGTGAACAAAGAAGAATGCATGATTTTCCACACGTCCATCTCTTCGTTGCACTTACAACAATACAGATAAAGCCTACATCAAATCAACGCTCGTGTTTTAATCTGACCTATAACAAAACAAACAGAGCATGCATCAACTAACAGCACATTATTCAACTCAAACTTACATCAATGGCGATACACAGTCCAGCCTGACCTTGCACCGATCGACAAAAGTGCCCTTCAAGACGAGTCTACACCAATTGACAACGCCACATTCAACTCAATACCACATCAATTGATGATGTGCCATTAAGATCATTGCCAATTGATTGATCCATAAAACAGAAGATGGAGCATGTTAGAGAAACATTATTATTACGTAATTTTGCACATTTATTTACATTAAATTGTGAGAAATATAATTTCATTAAAACTTGGAATTTAAGAAGAGGGAAGTGAGAGATTCTTTGATTGAGGCATCTAGAGTTGTGAAATCTAGAAAGTGATTTGAAAAATATCAGGTTAATTGGAACTGAAAAATTCAATAGATTACAAATCTTGGAATTGAATATGCAAAATACTAAGGAATGGCGAAACCTAAATAAAAAGAGTAATTGGAAAGTGGATGTAAGTCAAAAAGACCAAATTATTATGACCTTATGGTGTAAATTTGTTGGTGATTGTCATTTTAAATATAATTACTACGAATGAAAATATTTACAAGAGACAAACATCAATTCATCCCTCCTCTTAATATATATAATACGTCACTTAGAGGCTAACAACTTTCACAAAGTTACTTAAACTAACTTCAACTGCATAATCTTATGTGTGGCCTTGTGCTACATCATGCCATAATTGCCTCTACTGTCATAACTATGTCTATGAATGCATGCCCACATGGCTACAACTAGAAACCCATCACATCATGTGAGGGGCCTTTCGTCAATTTTTTAAGGTCTCTGGCCCGGTGGGTCTCACAATGTCGCCATAACTTTCAGTATGGATTTTAAGATTGTCGGCTAGGTGGACATCTCCCGTAGCCATCTAAGAGTTATTTCATATCTTGCCTGAACAGGGCGAGTTCTCCATGGACAACGGTGGCTGCGGCTAGCCTCTCGCTTGTCTTGTACTATATCTGTTACCCGTACAAATCTTATTTACAGTGTTTACAGAGAAGACGGCCGCACTTGAGGAAGACCCGGAAAGAGCCCTTTAACCCTCTCTCTCTCTCTCTCTCCCTCCATTCCGGGAAAGTGGCCTGCGGTGAATTACTCGTCCTTCAGAAGAGGAGAAGGCAAAGGACTACGCAGAAGAAGAAGAAGATGGACATCCGGTGGAGCGATGTCTTCGCTTGCATTTCATGCCGCCTCAGCCTCGGGCTGTCACTGTCACGATTGCCGCTGCCGATCAGATGGTATGGGTCTGCGTGGTACAACGCTACCCACTCGTCGCCCAGAACCCACGGGAGGACGGCGACCGCCGTGCCGCTGAGCAAAGATGGATGCAGAACGCCGGCCGCCGTAGACGAGGACGACACTGCGAAGTCGGCGTCGTGGCCGTAGGATAAGTGGCGACGGGACCGCGGGCTGGCCGCGTGGGCAGGCGGCCGGCGAGGTATGTCCTGCGCGCCGCGGGCGGCCTTGTCCCCCTCGCTGCTGCAGCCTCGGCCGTAGAGTGGGACGAGCGTGGCGGGAGAGAGGGCTGCCTTGCAGACGGGGCACTGCGGAGGGGTCGCGCTCTCCTGGCAAAGCCACTTGTATATGCAGGGCCAGCAGTAGAGGTGGCCACAGAGAGTCACTACAGGCTCCACCGCGAAGTCAAGGCAGATGTTACAGTCGAAGCAAGCGTTGGCGGTCGGCGGCGCAAGGTCCCGTTCAACCTTGCTCGGCGGTTCCTGGTTCGGCAAGAGCTGCCGCTCGGACTCCGCGTCCATGGATATACACTCTTTCCGGCTGGCTACGTGCCGCTGCTGCTGCTGCCAGATTAAAGACACCGAAAGGATAAAATGCGTAAGCTTTCTTTGCTTCTCAAGCTTCCAATCCGAGAGATCCAGTCAAATTAACAGAGGGGGAGGGGTATTGCAACTCTCGGAAATAGTGACCCCAGAGATGGGTTACTGCAACTCCCGGAAATGGCCGGCCCCGTCGAAACATCCCCCTTCCAACCAATTAGAAAGTACAAAGAATAGATGCGACTTTCTGGTTGTAGAGATTTGAATGACAAAGCGGGCATCTTGCGGGCTTGGACAGTGAGACCTACAGAAACCTTCAAAGAATAGACACGAGAAAACCGATTCTGAAGGAACTAGTCATTCAGAGACTGCCCGTGAGACCTTCATAAGATCTATTCCACTTGGGACTTGGACAGTGACGTGGGCAGGGTCTGTGAGACACACATATTATAAAAAAAAATCACCAAAAACCAGGACGAGAAGGACCTCCCCATCCAAAGGCTCTCCAAAGGGAGACGCCTCAGTAGGTGGGGAGAAGAAGACGAGGAGACCAGTTTCAATGTCTGGACAAAAAGTCTGACATGAATGAATTACATCTTTGCAAGGCACTTATCACCGTCACCTCTCTTCCGGGCCATTCGTCTCTTCGAGGGGAGGTGGAGAGCGGCGATCTGACTCTTCCTGGCGCACAGTGAACTATAGATTCCTAAAGGATAAGCATGCCCCCGGAAAACATAGGTGTAATGATTGGTCCTATCAGGGCCCACGCAAGATTCAAGGAAAGAGCTGCATTTAATTTTGCCATGTACAAACTCAAGAAGGGGACTGGGCACCCACATGACGTGTGAAAGGGGGCAAGCCCAATGGGACAATGGCAATATGTCACATCGTCTTTCATAAAAAAGGAACCGTGCTTGGAGCTGTAACCCACACAGGCCGCGGAAAGCAAAAAATATGTTTAAATGGCCATAGTAAAGAACTTGAGAAAATTATAAGCAAGATCGCTCATTTTATTTTAGAAGCATGAAGACAGCGTATGATGCAATAAAAATCGCATGAGCTTTGCCTGTGCTGCTATACTACCTTAACCTGTACTGCTGAGCATCTACAAGTTTTTAAAGAGGGCTCAAAGAAAACTGAAATCGCTGGGGTCGAAAGCTGCATTTAATATATGTGGTGAAGCCTAAACTAAAGAAACGTTAGTGGAAGGGGCACAGTCTAAAAAAAAACGCAGAAGGTTGTCGGTGCTCTAACGACGAGAATAAAAACTCTATATCACATATCTTTGAAGAAACTACGCGAGGACACGGCAAAGATAGCTGTGGCGTAAATAAACGGAAGGGGGGTTACGATTGATGGCTCCTTAGCAATTGAACAGGAGCAGGGAATGTTACAGTAAAACGTGAATTAGCGACAAGAAACAAATGATTCAATCCTTTTTAAAACAAAAGAAAGCTGAAATAAAGGTTTATTTCAGCAGATCGAAGCGAAACAGGGAAAAATATTCGCACTAGTGTTGACGCATGCTTCGATATTTCGCTCAAAGGAACACGGAAGACACAAATATTTAGTAAAAGCTTTATTCTTTCACGTTGTAATACAATGCAAGAGAATGCGTAAAAAAAAAACAGATTAATTCCAATAGCTGTTGTTATAGAAGGTAAATAAAAATCAGGAAACAATCGCTTCTGGATGAAGGAAGCTGCGGTTAAGACATCTCGAATGTATTAAAACAAGAGACAAAGATCAGTCTCCCCTCGCATTCGAAGATAACCGATGGGGGAGGAGGCATAGTGTCGGTCTCCCGAGATGTAATTAGATCGCGTCAAGCCCTCTAATTCCATCGTTTTCTTCACAACTCAACGAAGCTATTGAGGCCAGAGCCTGGAAGACTAGCCCTAAGGAAATAACATCAATCCCTTAAGGGGTACTCCCATTCCCCCCTCAGACGGACCTCAGAGAACATTAGCGGATCGCGCAAACGGCGAGATGGAGAGAATTTCCAAGAGGAAAGCCGACGAGAACAGACGAGAGATCAAGAGGAGAGGAGAGCCGGAGACGTACCGATCGGAAATTCCGCCACCCTCAGTTGCTCGCTCTCCGCTCGCAGCCGAAGGCTGAAGATATTAACGCAACGGAGGAGAAGAGAAAGAGGACCAGATGGGGTACACATAGGAGCTACGGACCGCCGCCGTGTTACTATTTATAGATGCACGTACGCACGGAAGGAGCGGGGAGGAGGATAAGCACGGTGGCACCAGAAAAAGCGTTTGTCGTACCAGAGAAAAAAACCTACAGAATGAACGGACAGAAATGCGGAGGCCCACCCAACTACCCTCTCCTCACCGTCCGATCCTCCGGTCAGATCAGATCAAATCGCTTTGGAGTCTGGCGAGGACACTTAACTAGAAAGAAATAACCCCCCGGCCATCACATTCATTCATTCATTCATTCATTCATATACACTGCCTTCGTGGAGAACGACGGCGAAGCGCAGATCCTCGGGGAGAAGAAGCGAAGAATGGAGAATTACAAGAGTTTCTCGATGCTCGCGAGGAGCGTCTCCTTGGGCACGGCCCCGATGATGGCGTCCTTCTTCTCGCCGTTCTTGAAGAAGAGGACCGTGGGGATGCTGCGGATGCCGTAGCGGGTGGCGATGTCGGGGCTCTCGTCTGTGTTGAGCTCGTAGCAATCGAGCTTCCTCGCGTACGTCTCCGATATGCCGGCGATAATGGGGTGGATCATCCGGCAAGGCCCGCACCACGGCGCCCAGAAGGCCACCACAACCAGCTTGTTGCCGCTCCCCAGCACCAGCGACTCCCACGAGGTTTGCGTCACCACGGGAACTGCGGCAGAGAGAAGAAGCCCGCACTTGAGACAATCGAATTGGGAAATGACGGAACCTAGTTATCGTCTAAAATAGAGAGAGAGGCCCAATCGATGGCTGCATCATCTAGATAGGAATTATTGCTCACGCTAATCCGATATAGTGGTGTTCGTGAACAATTCACATGCGCGACCGATTGGGCCGACTGAGCTCACTAACACAAAACGAATTACTGTTCTGGCACTGGCAATACTTGGATGTCGTCAAGGCAAATACAACAGCAGATGATTAGACAAGGTTCGTAAACCGCATATGATCTAATAATATGTGACCCGATGTATATTTGATAATCCAAATATGATGTTTTCCAATATGCTTTTCTTTGGGACGAGGTCGCGTTATAATTAAATTATGTCAAGCTTATTAACATGGCACTGAAGATGAATGAGCAGCAATCAGGATGTCCAGCATCTTTCGGCTATGACTACCTAAATAATCAATTTGAAAACTTTGGTTACGGCCGGCCAAAACTCGAACTTGCTGCATTTTTTATGGCATCTTGACAGAAATAAATTAATGAGAAACACGGCAGACATCTCAGATTAGAGCGTCGGCAAAATGAGGCAGGTACTGACGCTGAATTGGCTGAACCAGACCTTCAGCTAATCATGTGGACTGACAAATCTCCAATGAAAGCTGCAGTATTGAGGCTGTACCTACCTGCCCAGCCCCAGCGGCCAAACAGCTATAGGTAAAAGCAGAAAGTTGAACCTTATTATTATTATTTTTTTAAGGATAAGCACATTATTGCTTTGACACTTCAGACCTTATGCAAGCAGTAGTCATCTCACCCTAGGTCAAATTACATCCTAAGGATTAATCAGAGTGGATACCAGTAAAGTATAGCTTAATCCTACATTATGATGATAACCAATCAAACTAAAAAAACTGGTCCCGCCCTTACAAAAACTACTTTACAATTTAAAATAAGCATAAGAGCTTTACCATGAGAAACAAAGATCATAGGGCTTGATAACCATTAAGATACGAAAGGTCAAAAGTGCTGATTGCACCATGGCATTTCACCCGACTGCCGGAATCTGGTTAAGATACAGTTAACATGATGCATGTAAATCTAAGCAGGGCAGATTTTTGCCAGTGAGCATAAAATAAATAGTTTAGTTGAATCATACGAATTACCCAATATTTTTTCCTGCTAATCTCCCTCTGTTATGCAATAACTGCCCCCCGGGAATTCATAACTCAACCGGTTTCATCCTCCATTTTGGCATCATGAAAACTCTCATGACTTATGTAGTTTGAACAGTGCAATGCAACCAGGGAAATGTGGACCATAACAGGCAAACCTAAGCGGACTTCCATCTGAGCTGGGTAGATGGGTGAGTGGGGGAATTAAAAGCACAGTGATGCACCAAGGCACGGGAAAAAGCAATAATCAACAATATTACCAAAGTAAAGCCCGTTTTTGCACCGATTAAGCATAAAAAATTAAATGTGAATGTTGACAACCAATTCGTGAAGACGAGAGAAGGAGATTCCAATTCTGGAGATGATGCCATTCGTAATTTAAGCATGAATATTACATAATTTTAAATATGTATACCCTGAATGGCTCAGAAACCATCACCCAGTGCTACTCAATTGCCAAAATAATGATTAGTTCCATCAAATTTAACCAAGGAATCGAAAACTGATTAATGCGCCGGCATTTCGTAAGGATAGAAAAAATGTGTCCACCTGAAACGAAGATACAGAACATACAGTTGATAATCATAAGTGAATATTATTTTAAAATAATATCGTTTAAACGATCAGTGCTGAATCCACCAACAAACAAAATTCCATGTGCGTGTATTTCTTGCATCTCGACCTTGAAATCCCAAAAAAAAGGCAACTTAGGAAGCGGAACACCATACCTTCAATGCTCGTATCTTTTGCTTCACAGAAGACAGCGCCTCGGCGCACGACTCTCCGGCCAGGCACACTGGCCATGGCTGGCGTAGGCGTTATGGGGAACCTTGAGACCTTCAAACCCCGGCATTCCGGAAACGACCGCCGCCTCGGGCAGCTTGAAGCGGACGACAACAAGGCCACCGCCGTCACGGAAGAAGACGACCTCTGAAGTCCATGAACGCGAGGAACGGCCACGAATTCGATGACGGCGGCCATGGACGGAGGCGAGAGAAACTTCACAGGATAAATGCCAGGGAAAAGAAACCGGATAGAATAGTACGGGTGGGAGAGAAGAAGTAATCAGATATATGGCACCGACGGCCGCCAGCTGTCCGGTGATTCTCTGTTATTTTTTGCCAGAGTTTTTGCCACGTCATATTATGAACTCCGAGACTCCGTAGAAAAAACCTTTTCAGATGAAAAGGAAAGATAATGTAAGCCGTCGGATTAGAAGGGAAACCGTTGGGATCGTCCCAACAGAAGAAAGACTCCCATTGGTCATGTTTCCGGCAACCCGAAGTTTGATTGGGCCACGCCATCCAGATGATGCTGTTCCGAGGTTCCAGATGTTTCAGACGACTGGGCCCCGATGACGTCTATAAAAACCCACGTTCAGGCGAATCGGGTTATTCTTTCTCACGACAGCGCTTCGAAGGGAGGCGGAGCCGGGGCGAGGCGACACAGGAACAAGAACATCAACAGATCTGTGCGTGGAGCCATGATTCCCACCCATTGGAGTCGAAGTTCTCTGATCTTACTAGCTCTCTCGCTTACAGGTATCGCCGTCGTCGTTCTCTGTCCTTCACGTGATCATTTGGCCTATGTTTTGGTTGATGTCGTGGAATGTCGCCAGTTTTCATCCGTATAAAGTATTGCTGCTGAATTTAATTCATATACTATTATGCTCTTAGATCAACCCTATTTCTCGCTTTCTTATTTTATTTATTTATTCTTCCCATGATATATGTTGATTTATTTGGTTCTGGGTGGTGGCGGGTCTTTATTTTAATCTGGTATCGTGCCTTCTAATCAGCTGTTTTCTCATTTCGTTCGTAACAGATGAATAATGGATCTGACTACCCATCCTTCATGTTTCTCCTGTGTTCGATTCATTTTCTCCCCGAAAAATTTGCATTGAACTGTTATGGAGAATGAAAATTATGGCTTGCTATTTGGCATGATATAATAAAACTCCATGACTGAGAAAGAAATACGTACTTTTCATAACAGCTGCTCGCGTTGTTTCCACCTCCTTTACGGTATTTTTTCAAGGCGTGGCGATGATCGCGCTACCTAGGATGAATGCGTAGCGCCGCGATCGTCAGCGTTTTGTTCGAAGTTCGTGTGCCCGAACGTGAACTCGCGTTCGGGGTGTTATTGAGATCGAAAACGAAAATGTTTGCGTCTGCGTGCGTGGATGCGCGCGCCCTGTCGAATGATCAATTCATTTTTTTAATATAAAATAAATTTATTATATTAGTATATTATTTTATGTTTATTACTTTGAAATTTTAAGAATTTTTAAACAAATGTAAAATCATTTCAAACATTACTTCTTTTACCTTATATTATATTCCCAGTTTAAGTTTGACAATTGTTAATAACTTTGGTTCTGTGTTTATCAAAATTTAATAATTTTATTGAGAAATATTTTAAATAGGCAATATCTGAGAGATTCATCTAGGTGTGATGTGGTGGACTGACAGTTTAGTATCAGTATTCCTCTTAAAACTCTTGTTTTACACCACCTGTTTTATCGGTGTACTGCACGTTATTGAGATAATATTATAGTTAGAGATTCTGCCTCATTCAATTTTCCATTGGACGGTTTTTCCTTATGTAATCTAGCGCTTTTTATAATCTTTGGCTTAAATAAAGGAACATAAGTAAGACTTGATGAAGGATGCCCACATGCATGATTTTGTAAACCCTCCCCATCCTGTAAGATTCACACGAAAGTAAGTCAAAATGAGCTGATTTGATTTTATCATACATGTATGATTTTGATTACAGGAAAGTCTGAGCTTTACTTCTTGCAATATAGTCAGTTATGCTTTCTATGGCTGACTTGCTGTATGTTTTGTGTGTTGCCTACTTTATGGATTGGTGGGTTTTTACTATGCGTGTGTTGTATTCACTTTATTTTTCTAGGTTGGTCGTGGCATCTGTTCTTCATGTCACTTTCATCAAAATGCTGAAATGTCAAATTTGCAGTATAATCAGTTATCACTTTACTAATCATGCCTAATCCTGATATTTTACGTAATTTAATCTTTTTGCAGGATGCTTGTTTGCTATTTCAATTGCAAAAGAGGAAGCCTCAAAATTGGGAACTGTTATTGGAATTGACCTTGGTACAACCTACTCCTGTGTTGGAGTGTACAAGAATGGCCATGTGGAAATCATCGCCAATGACCAAGGAAACCGAATCACTCCTTCGTGGGTGGCCTTTACTGACAGTGAAAGGCTAATTGGTGAGGCTGCGAAGAACCAGGCCGCTGTCAACCCTGAAAGAACAGTATTCGATGTGAAGAGACTTATTGGAAGAAAGTAAGTACACTATTCCGTTTGCAGTATACCCACGCGCATGAGTAAATCGCAAGCCATCCGTGAGTAACTTGTCTTATCTTGTAGGTTTGAGGACAAAGAGGTTCAGAAAGATATGAAGCTCGTTCCATACAAGATAGTGAATAAGGATGGAAAGCCTTACATTCAGGTTCAGACTAAGGATGGAGAGACCAAGGTCTTCAGTCCTGAGGAAATTAGTGCTATGGTCTTGACAAAGATGAAGGAAACAGCAGAAGCTTTCCTCGGGAAGAAAATCAAGGATGCTGTTGTTACCGTACCTGGTAAGAGGACGTCGTAAGAGTCTTGGGCTTGCCTTTTACGTGTCCTCTCATTGTGTTACTAAATGTTTCCCTTTGCATTTGCACAGCTTACTTCAATGACGCTCAGAGGCAGGCTACCAAGGATGCTGGAGTCATTGCTGGGCTTAATGTTGCTAGAATAATTAATGAGCCAACTGCAGCTGCCATTGCATACGGTTTAGATAAAAAGGGTGGCGAGAAGAACATCCTCGTCTTTGACCTCGGTGGTGGGACATTCGATGTCAGCATTCTGACCATCGATAACGGAGTATTTGAGGTTCTGTCCACAAATGGGGACACTCATTTGGGAGGTAATCTCGACATTCATTTGGGGTCGCTAATTTACGTGGTTTTGTTGCAATAACCATGCCATTTCAACTGATCAAGAAGCTTTGCTTGAGTCTAGGTGAGGACTTTGACCAGAGAATCATGGAATACTTCATCAAGTTGATCAAGAAGAAGCACGGGAAGGATATCAGCAAGGATTACCGGGCTCTCGGGAAGCTCCGGAGGGAAGCCGAGCGCGCCAAGAGGGCTCTGAGCAACCAGCACCAGGTCCGAGTCGAGATCGAGTCGCTGTATGATGGACTGGATTTCTCGGAGCCCTTGACCCGCGCCCGCTTCGAAGAGCTGAACAATGATCTGTTCAGAAAGACCATGGGACCCGTGAAGAAGGCGATGGAAGACGCCGGACTGGAGAAGCACCAGATCGACGAGATTGTTCTGGTCGGCGGCAGCACCCGGATCCCCAAGGTGCAGCAGCTCCTGAAGGACTACTTCGACGGCAAGGAGCCAAACAAGGGCGTAAATCCGGACGAGGCTGTTGCATACGGCGCGGCCGTTCAGGGTAGCATCCTGAGCGGAGAGGGCGGGGACGAAACCAAAGGTGATTGATCCATCGCTTTCATTCCCTTTTATACCTTCAGAACCGCAGTTGTTCGTTATTTATTAGCTAGATTCCTAACGTGTGATCCTCTTTCCCCGCAATCGTTTCTTAGATATTCTTCTCTTGGACGTTGCACCGCTTACCCTTGGTATCGAGACTGTGGGCGGAGTGATGACGAAGTTGATCCCCAGGAACACCGTCATCCCGACCAAGAAATCCCAGGTCTTCACGACATACCAGGATCAACAGACCACCGTCTCCATCCAGGTACCCCTGAGGATCTTACTAAAGCTTCGACCCACCCTCCAGTAGTACACGTGAACGTCGACTGACTCATTTCTGGTCAGGTTTTCGAGGGCGAGAGGAGCCTCACCAAGGACTGCAGGATGCTTGGGAAGTTTGATCTTTCAGGCATCACCCCAGCCCCAAGGTTCATCCATCACACACCTCTCTCTCTCTTTGACTTTATCCCTAGCTTTGATAATGGACGTTATATCCTCTGAGCAGGGGGACGCCTCAGATCGAGGTGACGTTCGAGGTGGACGCGAACGGGATCCTGAATGTGAAGGCAGAGGACAAGGGGACTGGGAAGTCGGAGAAGATCACCATCACCAACGACAAGGGCCGGCTGAGTCAAGAGGAGATCGATCGGATGGTCCGCGAGGCGGAGGAATTCGCCGAGGAAGACAAGAAGGTCAAGGAGAAGATCGACGCCCGCAACGCCCTGGAGACGTACGTCTACAACGTGAAGAACAGCGTCAGTGACAAGGACAAGCTCGCCGACAAGCTCGAGGGCGACGAGAAGGAGAAGCTGGAGGCGGCGCTCAAGGAGGCCCTCGACTGGCTGGACGAGAACCAGAGTGCCGAGAAGGAGGACTACGAGGAGAAGCTCAAGGAAGTGGAGACCGCCTGTAACCCCATCATGACCGCCGTCTACCAGCGGTCCGGGGGGGCCTCCGGCGCTGGATCCGACGGCGGCGACGACGATTCTCACGACGAACTGTAGGAAAGCAACCTCCTTTGCCGAGACGGTGGGTGACTTAGCCGATTTTTTCCATTTTTTAACCAATCTATCTTCGGAGTCTTATCCGATTTGTACGAAACAAGGTCGAGTCTTCTCTCTTCTCTCGTTCCGGGGCGTAGATTCTACAGTCAACCTATCTACGCCTATCATCGGAGTTTCGAAACGGTGCGATTGATGATGGTGACTCAGACCCCCTTCTATCTAGATTGAGATAACCAAGGATCCCCATAGTTGTTCCTCGTTTATCTCGACGGCCTGCCGTCATCGCAGCTTTCCAGAATGGTAGACCCTGTGAACCCCACGGAGCCGCAAGGTTCATGGTTTCTGGACGGCGAGGGTCCGAAAATGGACGAGGCCACTCGATCAAGCAGGGGCGGCCTGATCAGGGCCGTGCGATTCTTGGTCGACCCGAGCTTCCAGATAGTTCGGCGCGTGACGACGATCACCGCCGTCCGAGTCGTGGCCCCCTATCCGGATAACAGCGATTCTTGGGGTTGGGGCCGGACACGGCCGCCCACAGCTCTTAGCCTTCCAAAATCGCCACCACCCGCGCCATCGCGATCGATCAGTCGCCGTCCGGCCGAGCCGCCGAACCGACCTCTTATCGCCATTATTAGAATAGAAGGGGTCAGCCCCTGTTTCCGGTCTTGACCCAGAATTCTGATCCCCGGTGCCACCTCCGCCCAACACGTACCCCCGCTTGCCAGCCGGCCTTTTTATAACTCGACCCTCTCCGACCTCCGCCCCCAACCCCACATCACTCGGGGACGAGGGGAAGGAGAAGACGACGACGGCAGCGACGATGATGATGATGAGATCGGAGGTCTCTCCCCTCAGCTCCAGCCCTGCACCGCTTCCGAAATTTTCCCCCGAGGTTCGCAAGTCGGCGGCATCCTTCGGCGGCTGCCCGAAGAAGAGCGTGTGCTTCTCTGTCAAGGCGGCTTCTGATCACCGGAGCCGGGCCCCGTTCCGCACGGTCGGGTGCCCGGAGCCGCCGTGGCTTGTTCTCCCTCCATCGCCGCCAGAGAATCCCTTCTCCGGGAAGGCCTGGCCGTCAGACCTTCAGATAAGGGGCGTCGGGGGGACCGAGATTCCCTTGTCCATGCGCATGGTCCAGATGAAGAAGCGGCTGGCCGGCGCCGCCCCCGTCTGGACGAATTTGGTTCAAGTGGTGGAGGGAGACGCGCCGGCGGGCGTGGTGGAAGTCCCTTTGGGGAAGGCCATCTCGGCTCTGGTGTTCATGATCGGGGAGCTCCAGAGATCGGTCATGGCGGGCGCCGTGGACGAGGCAGTCCTCGATAGGGTGTCAAGAGAAAGGAGGGATTCATTCGTTTGGCTGTTCTGGAGGGTCTTCTTCAGCTCGCCCGATCTCGTCGTCTCCCTCCTCGTCCTTCTCGCCCGCTACGTGTCCTTCTCCGCCCAGAAGGCGAGCCACGTTGCTGCAACTGCAGCTATCACCGACGCAATCGCCGACGAGAAATCCGAGATCGTCGCGGCCTGCGCCGCCCTCAACGAGGAGCTCTCTGCGGAGCATCATTTCCAGGGGCGTGCGGCGGAGTCGGGCCCTGAACCGAACAGGATTAGGGAATACCTTAACTGGTTCGACATCGGCGTCAAGGAGGGCAATCTGGACCCTGTGCAGCACGAGGACGAGGAGAGCTGCATCGACCGCAGGCGCAGGGTCTACGAGAGGACCATCGCCGAGGGGGAAGTCAACTCCATGATCCTCTCCAACTACGCCCAGTTTTTGTACCGGATCGCCAACGATCACGACAGGTAAATCAATCGCGACGAACGATCTTCACTGGCCTTGTTTCAACTGTTTTGTGGAAACGCTTCTCTGACCGGAGCTCTTGATGTTCTCTCCCTTGTTGCAGAGCGGAGCAGTACTTCCAGTGGGCGGTGATGGCCGAGCCACGGGACGCGGAGCCCATGAGCCGCTACGCTACCTTCCTCTGGGAGGAGCGGGGAGACATCAGCGGGGCCGAGGAGATGTTCCTGGAGGCCATCGAGACCGAGCCCTGGAACCACCACTACAGCAGCACCTACGCCTGGTTTTTGTGGAAGACAGGGGCGCTCGACACCTGCTACCCACTCTCTCTTCCTCCTTTTCCCGAAGCGTAGATTCGCCGTTCTGTTCTGGCATCTCCTTCGTCCCTCCCAGGTACAGGCACCTACCACTGTAACAAAATTACAGGCAAAACGATGTCCCCACGCAGAGAAGTGGTGACTCACTTTTTTCCCACCTTAGCCATTGTTCTATCTATCTATCCCCTGTTCAGCTCCCCTCTCCCCGTCATTGCTAGGTTTGACGGACCTTACCCACCAACCTCTTCTCCTCCCAGTTCACTCTTCCTCAAACCCGGGGAGGAGTCGACGAGCTCGAGTAGGGAAAGATCCTTCATCATCGCCGTCCTCGATCCGTCTCTGCTGCGGTGGAATCTCACCTTCGTAGCCAACCCACAGACGGCACGACCGGCGGTGAATTCAATGTCCAGATGGCCCTCCTCTGCGCTAGGGACGGATTTCTTTATTCCCACAGACCAAGCCGCCAAGAGCGGCGGAGAAATATCGGAAGACAGAGAGGGGAAAAGCTGAGAAGAAGGTCTGAAATATCCGAAAGAACCCTGTCGACGGCCCGGACAACTTAAGCAGATACAACCTTATCCCCTAACTGGCCCACCGGGCCCAGCTATTCGATAAGACCAGGCCCACGTGCAGCTTCATCCTGCTCAAGAGTCACCCTCATCGTCGACTGACTGCGGTAATATGGTATCCACGACATAATCCCTCTGTCGTCAAAGGCTGGCATCTGATTGACGACCACGTGGAAAACAGCGATCTTGTGGGGCCCTTGCTGGGGATAAACTCGGAGGAGTTGGGAGTTAATGGGGTATCAAATTTTGCGCAGATCACCGACCGCGGACAAGAAAAATGTGCGTTGACGTGGTCGAAGACCTCTTGAGAACAGAATTATGGAAATATCGGAATATTTAATATATTCGCCCCTCCTCAACCGGTTATTCCTAAACTAAGACCCAGTTAAAAAAAATAAAAAAATAAAAAATATTTTTCGGACTGATTAGCCCCCTCGTGCTGTGTGTGATATTCTATGCAGACATCTCAAAACTATCTCATTATCGGTATTTAGGCTTCCCATTAATATCATAATTTTGACATTAAAGAAGATGCGTTGGACTGAGGTGGGAGGAGATGAGGAGTGAGATTGGGGGAGAGATGAGCATGAAAACAAAAGAGAGAGGAGACTGGCTCATTAGTTGGGAGATGGTATTAATGATCATGCTTATAGGAGGGGGGGGGGGATAACCATTGAAGCAAGTTAGCTCTTGCAAAAATGTTGATTTTAAATGTTAGAAAATAGAGTGCCAAGGGATAGATTTGATTAAAATGTCCACTGCTTTGCAACCAAAACCGTTCAATGTTCTAAAAAATAAAGGGATAATTTAGCGAATTACATCTTGACCTAAAACTCCTGCAATATGGAAATTCAAGTACGATAAATACTCAAATATTTTATTAGCCCAACTAAGTAAATGTTCACAGCAGGTTAATCCCAAATATATTTGGGAGATGAAGTTTCTTATCACATGAACTTTTTACATTAGGGGTAAGAATCAGCCTAGATTTTATATTATTTAAATAAATGCATTTTTTATAAAGATGGTCTTGGCTGATTATTAGTATTTTGTTGAATGACCCAATTAGGTTTACATGGTGCCATCCCAAACTCAAAAATGACATCTTTCGTGGCTGAAAGATGTTATTAGGCAATTCCCTTTTCCCTTCTTCCCAAGTAAAGCCTAGATTTTTAGGTCTGATTTTAGCATATCATGAACCCTAGATATTATTGTCGTTGGTACACAAAAAAACCAACGAAAATTCATCGTGGTTACTAACAAGCTACATCGTTCCTATTTTATTTATTTATACTCCTGATACTATTTAAATGCAAAATGAACTTTGCTTACCTTATAAAGACGGTGGAAAAAACATTGAGAAGGAAAAAAAATACTAGATGAAGAATTATGAGAGTTAGCGTTTCCAAGAACGAGGGAGGTCCCCACAATCTTGAGAGAGAGCGAGAGAGAGAGAGAGAGAGAGAGAGAGAGAGAGAGAGAGAGGGTGGGTTTGAACAAAGATGGTTATAAGAAGCCAGTGAAATGGAGTTTTCTATATATAGCTCAAGGGAAAGAGGTATTAAATTAATTGAGGGTAATCTGGTATTCTCCTATGTTTTGATATAGGAACTAAAAAGGGGAGGAACTAAAAAGCTAAGAGACTGTTAGCATGGTGTATAAGAAGGACTGTTAAATACCACACGAAGTATTACTAAACAGGGGAAGTTATTGAGTCATAAGCTCGCGAAGACCATAGGAAGAGTTCGAAACCAGACTTGAATAGAAAAAGGAGGCACGAGATTATGCATTTAGTTAGTGAATTATCACATCCACGGTGAACATTGAACAAGAAGAAGGCCCTTGATTTTGACAAGTAGAACTCCACATTACTGAGCATCATCTCAAGGAAAATCCTTCTTGATCAGCACAAGAACGCTGTTCTCCGTTTATCTATTCATCCTGTTCGTCGTCAGATGATAGTGATCCCTCTCCATTATTCCTATGGAGCATCTTTCAGGATTCGAAAAGTATTTTCTTCACTTGCAAAATCGTGTTCCCATTTGGATGATGGGCATTGAAGCATTTGTGCAATGAGCTTTCTTGATCAGTTTTAATGACCGAGCAAATGGCCCAACTACATCACCACTCGTTCATTCATGCTATGACTAAGTAGCCCCATTGGTTTGGGCTTGGCTTCCCAATCAGGCACAGAGATGGGCCAGGCCCAGGGTTAACTCTCTCTCTCTCTCTCTCTAGGGATGATGGGTAGGTCATACTGAGCATGATTATGACCTCTCTCACTAGGCTTCTGAGCTCTGGAGACGCGAAATGAGAGATGAAGAGTAAAAAAAATTACGGCACTGTTGGGAACTGTATATGGAGTCAAGGTTCTATCTTTCATTTCCTCCCGGATTGAATTCGCCGTCAGAGCACATCAGAACTACGCTCCTGCCAGATTCAAACCCCACCGCTTAGGAACTCGCCTGGTCACATGGACTGCCGGGGTTCCACTGAATAGAAACAGGGCCATTATGGGGCTGTAATGTAATGCCGTCGAAGCTTCGTAGGGTTCACCCGCCGACGACAACTTAGTCGGTCCCGGACAGCGATCTGCTAACAGCTCGTCCGGATAGGGTTGGAAGAACTCTCTAGAGCAGGACACATCCTGGAGATAATGTGGGACGACATTCGATCCAGAGGAAAACTGGGGAAGTATTCTAATCTATCGATGCCGGAGGAAATCAGCAGCATTGAAACGTGAGTGCCACAATTTTCTACTCCTCAAGATTCGGATTAACGCCGTCCTTCTGAAGAAACTCTTAAAGAATGGCCCCAGTGGCGTATCGGCGACATCTTACATGTCAGCGCTGGAGTAGAAATCAATGCAGTGGCAAGGAAATAAATGAAGCGAACGGCTCACCTGCCAGGGGTGCTCACCGGCTCCACCCCCAAATATTTATTTCTCTGTAAAAGTAGAAATCCTTCCCGCCATGGTCTGCTTCAAGCGCCTGGGAGAGCGCCCCCTAACCTGCCCAGCTCGAAGCTCCCGGAAGAGCATCGCAAGGCAGTAAGATGGCGACCTCCGCCCCTCCCTGTCTCTGTCTGTCTGTCTGTCTGTCTGTCTCTGTCTGTCTCTCTCTCTCTGTAAGATAGGAAGCGAGATGGTAGAGTGGGACGGCCACGATTCCCCATAAATGGGCCTGGGTTTGATGGGAAGGCTGCGATGCTGGAAGGAGGCCCCTGCGCCAGCTGACGTGGAGGAAAAGACTTGCGAGCAACCAAAACGTCAGAGAACTCCTTGGTGTGATTTATTTTTTTTAAATCTCGATAATTACCCCCCCACCACCACCCCGCGAAAGGAGCCCCAATAAATATCATACGAGATATAATCTGATCCTCTCTCCCTCTCTCTCCCTCTCTCTCCATACGCTACTGCTTACTGAGAGACAGACGCAAACCGCGTCTTTCCAGCTGTCCCCGCCCACCACCACAGCGCATCCCACAACGTCTGTCTTGCTGCCTGTCTCGTTCGATCTCGACTTTCCCGGCGGCCTCCTCCTCCTCCATCGGGCCTTCTAAACTGGAGAGGAGCCATCATTAGGATCTGGAGAGGGGCTTGGCCATGGCTGGAGAGACGACTGGTTTTCGTCTCAGGTTGCTGCTGCTGCTGCTGCTCGCACTGTCCACCGCCGCCGTCGTCGTCTCCGGCGTCGGCGCGGAGGAGGAAGCAGCGCCGGCCTTCCGGGAGGCGCCTGCATTCCGCAATGGGCGGGGGTGCGCCGCCTCGGGGGATCCCGCGGGGGCCATCCACATCGCCATGACCCTGGACACCACCTACCTCCGTGGATCGGTAGCCGGTGTGCTCTCCGTTCTCCAGCACGCCTCCTGCCCTGAGAACATCGTGTTCCACTTCCTGGCCTCCTCCCCGCGCCGCCTCCGCACCGTCGTGCTGGCCACCTTCCCCTACCTCTCGCTCCGCATGTACAGATTCGACACCGCGCTGGTGCGGGGGAAGATCTCCTCGTCCGTGCGCCGCGCGCTGGACCAGCCTCTGAATTACGCCCGCATCTACCTCGCCGATCTCCTCCCCCGCGAGGTCCGCAGGATCCTCTATCTCGACTCCGACCTCATCGTGGTGGACGACGTCGCCAAGCTGTGGGGGATCGAGCTGGGCTCCCACGTCCTGGGGGCGCCGGAGTACTGCCACGCCAATTTCACCGCCTACTTCACCGACCGCTTCTGGTCGGACCCGGCCTTCTCCAAGGTGTTCGAGGGGCGGCGCCGCCGGCCCTGCTACTTCAACTCGGGGGTGATGGTGATAGATCTGGAGCGCTGGCGGGCGGGGCGCTACACCGGGCGGCTGGAGGAGTGGATGAGGGTGCAGAAGCGGCGGGCGAGGATCTACGAGCTGGGCTCGCTGCCGCCGTTCCTTCTCGTCTTCGCCGGCGACGTGAAGCCGGTGGAGCACCGGTGGAACCAGCACGGCCTCGGCGGCGACAACCTGGAGGGCCTCTGCAGGGACCTCCACCCGGGGCCGGTGAGCCTCCTCCACTGGAGCGGCAAGGGGAAGCCTTGGCTGCGCCTGGACGCCCACCGGCCATGCCCGCTGGACAGCCTCTGGGCGCCATACGACCTCCTCCGCCGCCGCGGTTCCGACGACCTCCTCGCCATCAGCTGACACGTCTTCTCTCCTCCCCCCCCCTCCCCCCATTTTCTGGGACCTGTTTGTCTCCGAGTGGAGGATGGATTGACCAGAGCCAATCTAAATCCCATCGGCGGGTCGTTGACCCACCGGCCGGCGGCGATCGGAGGAAGACGAAGGAGAGAAGAACCACACGCCACGCCCCCATCTTCCATTATTACTCTCTTCCTAAAGGAGGAGGAAGGAGGAAGGCGGGACTGTAAGCTCTTCTTCCCCCCATGTTTCTTTAGCTCAGCCCTCATCTGTACCTTCCAGGGAGGGCCAGCCGCACCTTCAGCAGAACTCTTGGACGAAATCTATTCCTCCCGCGCGCTTCTCCTGCGCCGCCAAAGCTGGATTTTTACGAACTAAATCTGCCAAATCCCTCCTGCGACGTCTCTCGAATGATACGATGATTCCAATCAATCAAACAAACACATCGTCCGAACATGGAAACAATGCTCCTGGTGACACTGTGGTTCGACATAAAATCATCATCAACAACGATATATAAGATTTCCACATAGGTCTCTGCTCCTCAAATGCACACAATACAAATGTCCATGGCGAAAACGGGCGAGATCGGGGGGAAGGAAGAGTGAGGGAAGATCCCATGCCAACCTCGAACCGTCTTCGCAAATGTTTCCACTGTCTGCGCGTAGACGGAGGGCCAGACGCAGACAATATATCTGCACGACGAGCTGCTTCAGGGCATCTCAAAATCCAATGGCATGAGACCGAGCAGAGGGTGTGCAGGGTACTAACCTTTGGAACGCGATACAGTAAGGAACGTGTGAATGAAAGCATCAAGGGCCGGAAAGTATGTGCGTCGCTAAAGCTCATGAGGAGAGTGGCCGTCATTGTCTTTGACATTGGGGTCGGCGCCATGTCGGGTAAGCAAGTCAGCAATGGCAGGCCGCTCACATAGAGCTGCATAGTGCAGTGGCGTTTGACCTTCGCCATCCTAGAAAAGTGCATATGGGAAGGTGAAATTAAACATAGAGGAAATATCTTCCCAAATCATCTGTCAAGTTTCCACCAAAGGAGAAACCTCCCACATCGATAGACACACCTTGGCATTCACGTCGGCTTTCCTGCTGATGAGCATCTCCACAACATCTAGATGCCCCCTATCTACAGCCCAATGCAAAGGAGTCCTCCCTTCACCGTCTGCAGAAGGCAGATGAGAGCATCAAGTAGCAGAACGGGTGAAAAAATACAGTATGGAATAGCTAAATCCTCGATGTCTATGAAGATATAAACATGCAGAAGAAAAGATTCAATATGACCCATGCAGAAGAAAAGATTCAGACCAGGTCTGGTCCCCTGTCTCGACTAGGAGCGGTCGAGTGCATGTTTATTTGCCAAACTGTTCTACGAAGTAGGCATTAATTATTGGACGGTCACCCTATCTCGAATTCTAATGACACTGTTGACGAGAGATTCACATCATGTTCGACCTTTAAACCGATCCTGATTTTTCATACGCTTCTGTTCCAAATGGTATTCAGTATGTCCTCACTGCAGCGTATAAGTTAAAGAAAACTCATCCATGGCATGTCTGCAGGCATGTGCCCTGATTCCTGGTCATATTTTCAGTTCTCATTTAATAGAACCCTTCGATGCAAAGGATTAAAGGTGCGCAGTACACCTTTTTAATTGACATATATCATCTACACCGGATCAGCTGACCAATAAAAGTGGAAAAGGAAACCATCTAGAATCCAAATGAAGGCAGATGGTTTTCGAATTATGCGAAAATGGGGATCCATGCAGAACTTGAAAGCGATTCTAATGGGCGGAGGGGGGGGGAGAGAGAGAGTGGATTGTATGCAACGCAATCGTGATAGAGAGTTGAGGTAATTACTGAACAGTGTCCAGCCATCAGTTATGATGAAGCCTGAATTTCGTACATTGCACATTATTTTCTGGCTCTTAATGCTGTTATCAAACTTGGTCCTGATTACCCCTGGTGATTTCTTATATTGTCCATTCTACCACGATAAAACAGCAACATTTATCGTGAATGTTACTAAGTTGAAGGTTCCTATGCCTACAGAAAAAAGCTCGACTTCCATCACCGTTTCCTTCAGTACTCAGCATCTGTGGGAGAGAGGTGTATTGATTTCTCGCTACCATTTACATCGCACGATTTGTGGGCAATAGCTCGTTATGATAGCATTACTTGTGTCAAGGTACTACACACGAGTCGTCATATGCTCCAGTCATGACCACAGGGAGCAGGCATCTCTTATTTTTTTTGCTATTTTGTTCTTATCTGACTATAAATGTCATTCCCTCAACCTTCACAGCTCATCTATTCCTCTTATGATGTCCAAATTGATGTCACGTACTGTCTAAGGGGAACTTCCTTTGCATTGTTTGAATCGACAGCATGACTTTCTTTTTAAGAAAAAGGACAAGTCTTACGAAAAGATGACAGCTCTCCCAAAGTCCCAGCTGTATATAACAGTTATCCGACATCAAACCCAACCAGAAGGGCCAACCATCGACCAACTCCTTGGATTTACAGCATGAAAAATTCTTCTCATGCATACGTCACATGTTGGCCAAGGGAAAAAAACAGAGCATACCCATCTTCGTTTTACTAGTATGGTCAGATATCTCCTCCTCGAACTTAACCTGCGGACCTAATGCTCCAGGCCCGAAGCATTTCTTCCTGTGCTTGGGGGATAGAATTTCGTGGAATAATTTGAAACTCCCTCCCATCCAAACACTAATGTACAAAGCACATAAGCCTAGAATACATATCAGATGTACACATGCACACACGCACCGCCTACTTCATAGCAAACATATCAGATGCTATAAGATTGATCTATCATTTAGAAACTACATGAACCAAAGAAAATTGAAACCAAGGCAAAAAATATGTAATGCTGAAGAAAAATTCCATACCTTTCATATTTACTGAAAAGCCATCATCCAACCGAGCAAGTAAAGTATCAACCTCTCCTTCCCTTGCAGAGACATGTAAAGCATCTAACTTTCTGCAATTACAGAAAATTCTGGTATATTACCAACTATAACACCGAATGTGAGCTGAATGACGATCCATTAGAGGGTTAATATTTACCATAAATATGACTTTCATTTTCAATACCTTTATAAACTGAAACGTACTCAAATTCTATTTGGATGGTGAAGAAGTGAAATGATGGCCAAGAACATCATTCGTGCAATAATATCCTCTTGATAGATGTACCCATACAGATATTATAATTACATAATGTATAAATATGATACAGTGACGTATCTAAAACTTGAAAGAAAATTCAAAGGAGTTATTCAAAATAAGTTGTCAGGAATGGCACAATTGTCGTAGTTTTAAAAAAATAAAAAGTTTCCTGGAAGTTACAAGTGGTGATGGTGTTTATAAATCTTGTCAGTGGTTTAGTGTAGTGAATAATAATAGAGGTTTCACCTTGATTTGACAGTTATTCTCGCTCAAAACATTCACATTATGTAGCTGATACTACTTAGTAGAGAGACTTACAGTTCTTTATTGGACTCTTCCTCATGAATAAAACTGCTGAAAACGGGCCCCATTGTTTCTTTGGAAGCTGATGCTGAACTAAGCGTATCATCACCTTCACCTCGGCTCCTCTAATAATCATGTAAAATATAGAATCGTTACCAAGACATCCAAAAAAGAGGATAAAAATGAATACATATCTGAAAAAATAAGGCTCACATATGTGGAGCCGGAACCAGTCGCCCAAGATGGATACGAGTCATTCACGATCATGATGTACTTCTGCATAGCTTCCTCTGGAGGCATAGCACCCAGCTTTTGCCATGCAGTCCTGGAACCAAAATTCGCATTCATTGATAGACAAAATTAATTTAAGAAAATGGCAATATATAAAGCCAAAGGCAAAAGCAGAGTACTAACACTGGGAAAATATCTTGACAGCGTTGGCAAACAGTAATTGATCTCATCAGATATACATAAAACAATATGCCATGAAGCTTGTGCGGATACATCTCAAGGCAAAGAATGGAAGAGATGAAGATAGAACACTTGATCGTCAGGGTATTGCTAACATGATGGATAAATACGATTTAAGGGATGCCAAAAAATAAGCACCTAAATGTCAAATAATATCACTCAACTGAGGGCTTTTTGAGGGGAATAAATACTGGCCATGAAAAAAAAAGAGCAAAATTTTATCTTAAACGTTGACTATGGTTCCAATTCATTCGAAAGAAAGCAAGACGCTCCATCTCTTCATTTACATTTTTAGTTGCAGCATGATTTGTTGCATTTAGCCATCAGATACTCTGTTGTGTTTGGATGAAGCAACTTGTCCTTAAAGACGAAAATTTACAGAGAAACTTAAGTACTATTCTCACGGTTATTTCCAGGGTGTTTAAGGGAATGATCCCTACTTTCATGTTTCTGATAAAAAAATTACAGCCATTTCTCAAGTCAGACATCAATTTTTTTTAAAATACCATACGCAGAAACGGCTCTGTTCCATCAACAGAGTCTACTATTTTGAGGATTTAGACCTGAGAAGTTTAGCATTGGTCCAACAGGTTTCGAAACCCATCTGGCCACATTTTCATTTAGTTCTCTTCTCAAAACATGAGTTTTATCCCACTTCAGCTCCCATGAATTTTATGTCATTCGTACCGATAGAGTAAAATGCTTCCACAATGTTTGCTTCATGTTGTTCTTTTAGGAGACACTAAAACTACGAATTATTCCAGCGATTGGCATAATCGTTGGTGCATGCTTTACCATTCACACCATCTGACAAAGAGAATATACACGTCAAAAAAAGTCAAAACTTGGCGTGAAGGAGAGAGAGTTATTCATAATTTCAGGAGAAGAATCGTACATGGATAATATAAAAATATATTAAGAAAAAGGGTTGAGGGAATTATTGGCTTTTTGACCCACGAAAAAAACCAAGTAATAAAGTAACGGCACAAACGCACCCACACTTATAGGATAAATTCGTTTTCATAATAAGTTTTCCTCGAAAACTTTGGCAAAGACTATATCGAACGAAAACCCTCATCCATGGAATTCTAGTTCGTACTTTTTTCCTGAATCAGTAAACATCAATTCGACGGAACAAGAAAACTTTTCAGACCAAAAAACTCATACAAATTTAAATTATTTTTAATGTTTCACCATGAAAACTGCAATTCCGAAAGTTTATTTTAAATTGATATGCCAGCATCGGCACTTTAAACTCGATAAATGTTACCAAAGAATACTCAATCGGTGCCACATATTTTCAAAATTAGTTCTGCAAACTGAGCATTAGTTTTCTCCCTGACAGTAACTAAACACAATCCATTACATCGCCTTACAGACTACAAGAAAGCATAACTCAGTATCATCAGCAGGCGGTCACGAAATAGCTAAAAACAGGTGATGCATGGCACAAACTGCTATCTTCAAAGCGTTGGTGACGAATAAACCGCAGGTTCATGAAATCTCAATCAAACGAAAAGCATCAGAGAATACCACTTTGCACGAGCTGTCATCTTCAGAGGAGAGGGTTGCGGAGTAGTGCACGGTCCCTCAGTGGCGATTTTGTAGAGCCCATAGAGCTGCAGTTGTACGTCGTTAGAGACACTTGGAGACGAGCGGTCAACAGCTGTGGCAGCAACAAAAGCTGTAGCGGCGCTGAACATCTCATCCAGCTCAGTGCTCTCGATTCCTTCCCAGTCGTCGTCCTCGTCCTCGCCCTCGCCCTCGTCATCGTCTTGGACAGCGTCGTATACTATGCCCCCTCCTCCACCCGCATTTTCCCTTGAATTATCCGCTTTTTCCAACTCACCCCCCCCAGACGACGTGGCATGATCGCCCCCAGTCAAGGTCCCCCCCAATGACGGGTCTGATTCCGGTGCTTCCGCCGGTAAGTCTTCCAGTCGGACGACCTTGAGGTTCTCGTCCCTAAAGGAGACGACAGTGGAGATGAGCTTGGCGACGAGGAAGGCAAAGATAAGCCCTATGAAGACGGCCTGGCAGAGCTCCTGCCAGTCCCCCATGACGACAAATCGGATCCTAAGAAAAGCGGCAATTCTCGAGAGAAGACACCAAAAGTTGCATCAGAGTGAGAGCTCTAGAGAAACGGTAAGCTCCACATGAGACGAGGACAAGAGCTCCAGAGGAAGGGACGATCGCGGGCGCGGAGGCGGGATCTGGCGCGCCAAGGCTTCGCACGGAGAAGAAGGGGGTTTTAGGGCCTCCCGGCAATTCCACCCTTTGCCTTTTCCTCCTTTTCGAAGGCCTATCCCATAACATCGAAAGAGGGTAAGAACGTAAAGGAGTTGATTAACACCCGTCCGATGAAACATAAACGGTTGATTAAAGTCCGGGAGTCCGCATCCGTCAACTGTCCAACCTACTTCTCCGACAGCGCCTCTCTCTCTCTCTCTCTCTCTCTCTCTCTCTATCTCTAGTTTTACAGTATGTTAGTCTTCTGTTCACCCAATTATTTTCAAAAATACCCATGAAAATAAAATCTGTAATGAAAAATTAGTGAGCCCGTGATCCAAGCTCGGTGAGAGGCTGTCGAGAAAATCCACTGCCCACCAGCCACTCTCTCTCTCTCTCTAGTTTTACAGTATTTTAGCTATCTGCTCGCTTAATTATTTTCAGAAATACCCATGAAAATAAAATCTGTAATGAAAAATTAGTGAGCTCGTGATCCAAGCTCGGTGAAAGCTTGCCCAGAAAATCCACTGCCCACCAGACTCTCCTCTCTCTCTCTCTCTCTCTCTCTCTCTCTCTCTCTCTCTCTCATTGTTGAGCGGCTGAGGTATGTATGAACGGATGGCCGATATTCATGCAGAACGATGGAAGCATTAATAGCAGGAGGTAATCTCCATGACCAAAAGCAATACCTTGCGGTAAAATGGATTTTATTACCTTCAATAACAGAGCACAGACAGCGTATTCTACGCTGTAGCTACATAAATCCGGGGTCCCTGTGATGCAGAACAACGGACTCGGCATCAGATACACCAATTCAATGTAGGAAAGGGAGAACAACCGTCAGATATCTGAAAATAGTAAGAGCAAAATGCCTTGAAAACTTATAACTTATTGTCTGCAGGAAATTGGGCAACCGATTAAGAAAGAGGAAGCTCGGATCGCCAAGTGCCCATATTTCCTATCTATATAGCATAGCTCGAGTAAGAGCAGAAGAACAGTAAGTAGGGTCTGTACCACTCGTCAGCAAGGTTTTAATGGCCCCATGGTATAACGCAGACACCGATCGTCTCTGAGATTTTTTGTTTATGCCAAAAACAGAAATCATGCAATGAAAGATTAAATTTAGCATCAAAACTCTTATTTTCACAGGAATCTGAATCAAAAAAATAAAATAAAAAATTATGAGTTGATTGCCACTCTGTTTGGTCAGGGCATTATGCAGCAGCTTCTTCATTATCTCAGACACGATTGATGTCCTGCATTCAGGAGAGAAGATGAACATGCGATAGAACATTTCTATAATGGTTATGTATGTGCACCAGATGGAACTTATCCCATAAAGCAAAAGTCTACGCCCATTTACAAGAAATGGCCAATCCCGAATTTCTTTCATGGAAACAAAAGTGAGCTCATCGTTGTAGACTAAATAAGTAAAAATAAATATATTACACTTATGCCATGTTTTATTGGTCTCTCTGACAAGTGGAGAAGCAAATCAACAGCTGGATGTATATAAATAGATTCAACTAAAACAGCAATGGAAAATAATTGCAAAACAAGATTCAAGGCACATAAGTTCTTCGCCCGTAACTGGATGTGTATAATCGCATATGAGTATACAGTTAAAGTCTCTATAATTAACAAAAAAATCAACAAAACCTGAGAACCGAGAATCTGTAAATACTCTGTAAAATAATTTGAAAGGAAATATACTCACGTTTTTAATCATAAGTGGCAATTCTCTCATGAATCCGGTTAGAAAAACTACGACCTAAGCTACCAGGCTGGTCTTGAGAGTTCTTTGGAATCTTTATCCGCTTTCCCGCATTAAATGCAGGGGAATTGCTTGTATTAGTATCATTCCACTCCCCATCAGAGGTATGCTCTAGCCTTGTCTCCACTGATTCAACAGCACCACATATTCTGGACTTCGAAGGAGCTGAAGATGATGGGAACAATTGCCTAACGTGCTGAGCATCATTTGACTCCTTATCATCATGCATTTCAATTTCGGATTGATCTAAATGTGCGTGTGCCATAGAGCTGGCTACACTTTCAGCCTTTGGTGTAGAATCATCCGCAGCCTTACAAGGTGTCATCGTAGGTGATAGCGCAAAACTGTTTTGACGTCCTTTGCTAATGATAGAAGGTGTTTTCCTGAAGGTCATTGCCGCATTCCTCAGTATAGTCTCTGGATCCCAAAACTTCACAGAAGTCGCCTTTGAAGCTTCTTTTGGTGGGTCATGATAAAAATCTGTACTGCCAAATTCAACTGAAGACTTATCCGATTCCAAAATTCTGAACTTTCTTATGTTTTTATGCAGACCACTCGACTGAGAAGGGGCATAGCGGTCATGATCAAGGACTTCCATATCAACAGGTACCGGTGTGCAGGGAGTTTCACTAAAATCAGCATCTTTCTCGATATCCATCGGTGTTTTCTCCAGTATAGGTGGGGTACTTTGCTCACTGAGCTTTGAAGATGTGCCCGGAGCATCTATCGATTTAGCATGTCTCTCCAATTTTTCAGGAGATGCAAATAATTCTTTCGTGAGCCTATGAATCGCCATTTGAGCATGTGGCTTTGGCTGAGTGGTGGTAGGCATTATGGGATCTGCGGTTGTCCTGTCAGGGTAATCATCTTTACAGCATAAGTTGGTCTCGTAATTCTGGGCTGTAGCACGGCTGGAATCTTCTCCAGATGACGGATAAGTCGAACATCTTCCGGTTGGACTCGTAACAGGTAAACCTCTCGAGCTTCTTGAGATTTCCATACTTACTGGTTGGGCTACTGTTATACAGTAATCAGAATCTTCTCTTGGCTTCCTTGAACTCTCATTCTCACGAGGGAAACTGGTGAAAGAAGCCTTAAAAGCTGCCACCGTAGTTGAATTTTCATCAAGTTCCATACTCCCCTTTTGAGTAGCCAAATCATGCGGGTGTCCCCTGACTGATGAACCACTGTTCAAATCAAGTGCGCCATTTTTGTTTGACGGATCAAGAAGACCAGAAGATAAATATGAATCCAGCTTCTTCTTCACAGAACAATTCCAATGGTTCTTTATCGAATTATCAGCCCTGCCATATTCGAAATGAACAATTGAGACCAAAGTAAACCAACATTCCATAAAAAATAAAATTAAAAATTAATGTATATATATAAGCCAACGAAGAGCAAAGTAACAGAGTTGTATAAACAAGGCTGATATAAAGTAGACAGATTTAACAAAAATGAGGCATTATCTTGGTCTTCTTGACGATGTAATATGAATTTCTTGCCTCAACGGAGACAATGAAATCCATAACGGGTTTGCCATTTAATCAAGTGTATGCTGATACTATGCACAAAAGAGCAGGATGAAAATTTGAAGAAATACCTTCCTGGAAGAAGCTTAGCTATTTCTGCCCACTTGTTTCCATACATCCCATGAGCACGAATTAGGACGATCTCTTCCTCTGTCGTCCAAGCACATTTCTTTATCGCCGGATTTAGATGGTTGTGCCACCTAAAAGAGGCACATGTGAATACATACATTCCAGAAAAAAATATTCTTTATATGCATTAGTTCCTTCCAGAGAAAGACCAAAGACATTAAAATCGCAGCATAAGACTGCGTCTAGGCCCAGAAGGTGAATGAACACATCAATCTCCATAAAATTTTAGATGGTATGCCATAGAGTGACTATTGAACCGTCCTTGAAATACAGATTGGTGTTGTACGAGACAATTGGCATGCGGAAGATTTACGTGTTAGCAGGCAGATGCTTAAGCTGGCCGTCAATTATACGCAATGGATTGTACCAGATAGTTAAGCGACAAAACATGTGCTAACAAAAAAATCTTCAAGTGACATCAAGATCTCATTTTTTCCGCACCCAGTGCCAACATAAGTCACTCGTTCACCAATGTTGACTTCAATCATCATTTGGCAAAGTGGCCAACAAAATACTGTATTAGTCACAACCAGGAATCCTGCATTATGGCCTTTTCTCACATCAGTCTTCAACATATTTTCCCAGAAGTTTGAGCAGTATTACTCTGATCTTCGCCTATTCACTAACTGCATTTCTTAAACCTATCTCCGCAGCCGGTAACATACCATCATTGAGAACAGATCCTGGGCCACGGCCTTTATTAACATCAGTTTTGCAGTGACTTTTCCTGTTATTTCGCTCAGTACTACCCTGATCTTCATCTATTCATTTCTCTACACACTACCCATACCTCTCTGGACAACGAATAATGTGTCAAGGACCTCCTGACATCCCCTTTCCTTGAAATCTCTCCTGATATTGTCCTGATCTTCCCTATTCACAACATCATGCAATTCTCAAGCCTTCTCTATAACAGAATCTCCTCATATTCACCATTCCAAGTTTGTGAGCACAGTATCGACTTTTTCATAAAATTTACCAAACATGCTTGTCCTTTGTAAAAATACAGTCTTTCTTATTCCATTAGTCTGGACATTTTTTCTCTATTGCAGTGAAACTCCACACTTCTTGAATAAGATATTTTCAGAACGTTGAAGCTAAGAAGAACATCTCCGAAAAACAAAATAAATAACGAAGTCCCAAGAAGTCAAACATCATTTACTAAAACCACCAAATATGATCCACGTAATCTTCAAATATGCCACAAAGTTTAAACTGCCGATGATGTTCGTATAGAATTTGTAAAGAACATCTGAACTTTAAGCGGTTACATAAAAGGTGGATCTAGAAAATAAACATATGAGATTTCATATCAAATATTGAAGCCAAATAGATCAAAAGTTATCAATATGATAAATCAATAGTAGAATGATTTGTTTACACTCGGAGATAAAAGGATTTTTTAAAGCAGTTGATCATCTAAAACTAACTTCCAAGGGCTGTTCTCTTACCTCTCACGACATTGTTTACCAATCCGACCAGTCATTTTGTTCGCAATGGTTGCCCACTTCTTAGCACCATATTTATTCACCAGCTTTATAATACATTCATCTTCCTATGTATCAAAATGGAAACATATTAGTGACAAACAATATGTCCATTGCTCTACAGATGTCTAGAAAGCAAAAGAGTCGCAGATTCAGATCACACCTCCTTGGTCCATGCTCCTTTAACAAGCTCAGGATCGAGAACCTTCTGCCAACGATGAAGACATTGAACATCTGATCGACCTGGGAAGAACTCAGCTGCAAAAGATAAAAAAGGTATATTTTTAAAAATAAAAAACATAAACAATAATGTAAACTTCATTCTGTGTCGAAGCTAGCTCGAAAAATAGCCTAGAAAATCACCACGTTTCACACATACAGGTCTGCTTGACAGGGAGGATGAACAGGCAAGAAAATCTGAAAAAAAATCGTTCACAACTGATTAAAGGATCTATCATGCTTGCAACACCTTGGATACGAAGTGGGTTCCTTTTTTTCCATAGGAAAAAGCTCAGGCAACTCATCAGACGTTATAATCCTGTTATGTCTTTAATTAACAATAGCGAGCGGTTTATTTACACGAGTAATTGGGAATATGTATGCATGTGTCTGTTAATAATTATGAAAAATTATTGCTTATGTTGGTAGTAGCAGTGAAATAATAGTAAACAGCAGGGGAAGGCAAGCATAGACAACCTTCGAGTATTCTCTTACTGAATAGCTCGCCTACTTTTAAAAGGAAAGGATCAAAATTGGGCATCGGATTTCAGGCAATATCGGAGGTTATGCAACATCTTAATCATACAGAAGGCATAACTCTAACACACACATTGGCAAGGGTTCAAACTGGAGTCGAGCTAAAAGAAAAAATAAAAAGTAAAGTTATATGTACCTATTTTCTTCCAGTTTTTCCCTTTGAACTGTTTCACTGCTCTAGCCAAAATTTCATCCTGTAATAAGATAATAAATTCAGCAAATAGGCAGAGATGCAAGGGAAAAAATTCATTATGAAAATGATTATCAGCTACAAAAAAACATGAAATGATTAGAGATAGAATCCTTTCAAACAACACGGTATCTCATGATGGATACACCGCAACTAACAAAGTATTGTTAATATCCGCCAGTTCACATTCACGTCGTGAACAGAACTACTCACTTCCTCTTCTGTCCAGCCTCCCTTTGTCGATCGCCTTGCGGGGCCTCTTATCCTTCTGACGAAAGAAAAAATCATCATTCCATAGGCAATGCAGGATAATGCAAAGAAAACCGAAAGGCAATCAAAACATGATGTTCAAGAGATGCGAGAGGATCATGCCTGGATACAGACTTGGTGTTTTAACCAGTCAAAAAATATAAAGGTCGTAAGTCCGTGATTTGCGTTCATAGATTCCCATTTCATCTGCTAACCTAGTATACTGAATAAACTCCATAACTGAGCGAAAACGTTTTGTCCGGGGGAAGAGGGAGCGAGGCAAGGGGGAAGCAGAAGCGAGGCAAGGATTTTCCGATCTAGAGTCAGCAGAAGAAACAGACCATCCCGACAGACGAGAAGGACATGAAGAACTGTGAAATAACGCTTGCAACGTTTAAATCATGGCACAAACAGTTCGCGCAATAGGATTTCCGTAGGACAAAAAAGAATTACGAGATAACATAAGGAATATATACCCGGGAACCGGACTAGGTTTCGCAAGGCTCGATTGGCAGCTACTGTCTGAAATAGTCGAGCTGGGATCCCTCGCAGATTCCTCAACCGTCTTGTCGTCAACATCCACTTCCTCTTCCTTAGTAGTTTCAACCTCTCTATTCTCTTCCGGTTCAGCTTGAATTCCCTTCACTATCATTATACGACTCGATTGACAAAATTAAACGACGAATTGCCCGCACTACCGACGCTAAGATCCTGCAGATCGAAGAAAAAACTACAAAACGGTCATCCAATGATTCCAGCGCTCCGTCAGATTCACCAATCGTAAATACGCTGCCGGGTGTTGGGGGTTTGCCGATGCACATCTGGAATGACAACGGAGTTCGTTCGGTAAGAAGACAGTACCGAAGATCGATTCCAGGAAGAGACCAGTGTTCCTCGCTCCCAGGAGAGGCTTCTCATCAACCGCCGACGACTAGGGTTTCCTTTATCCCCCGGTCTTCTCCTCTTTTTTCCTCCCCGCAGGACTCAACACCACGCAGCGGGAAAATCTGCACCCGGGAAAGGGAGGAGTCCACCAAAGCCGGCACAGCTGCGATGAATCCCAAACGGCTAGCCGAACGAATATATTTCTTGTAGGGGGTCGCCTCTTTAGATCAACACCGAATGTATTTTCCGTTATGCGTCTCTCCTTCCATCTGACGATTCAGTTCGCTCGTCGTACGTCACAAGGAGCCATCTACCGTTGAATCCCCCAGAATAACGTTACTATAACAGTCATATTACTAACATACCCCGTCCCCGGGGACGTGGCAGCACGGAGGCTTCCGGTTGTCGGATTCGTGGGCGGTTAGCTAACCAAGGAGGGGCATATACTGTAATTGATATGAACTTCCTGTCTAGTTTCCATTAGCACCGAAACACAGCCACTCCCGCCGGCGGTTCCGAAAAGGCCCAACGGTCGGGCGAGCACCGCCACGTCCTCCGCCGGGGCCTCAGCTTCTACAAGGCCGACGACGTCGACGGCTGCCATCCCACCTCCATCCCTCCCGATCATTGTGGGCGTCGGATCTGCGAACACGTGTCCAAGAAGAGCCTTTGGCCCTCTCTCCGGATCCCAGTGCCAAACGGCCCAGAACATTAAAAAGGTAGCCCTTATTTTTTATTTTCTATTTTTAATTATATAAAAAAGGTAAATTTTGTTTACTTTCTATTTTCTATTTTTAATTATAAAAAAGAGAACGTGAAAAGAACATTAAAATTTTGCCTCGACGCCACGGCAAAACTCGCAGGGAATTTTATTTTCACCATTTATTAAAAAAATGTAATAATTATCGATGACTTATTATTATAAATAGGTTCGTCGTTGTCTCCTTCATCGTCGTTTAAAAGAAAGGGGCATGGCAGGAGAGGGAAGCCACCTGGCTATTCCCACTGTTTTCGGCGTCTACAGGGTGTTTGACTTCTTCCCCCATCTCACTAGAAGCCGAGCCAGCCATTATCCAACTCGACCAACGACTGCGACCGATGATGCCGCTCGTTCACCACCTTCCCCTCACCCTTCACGAGAGAGAGAGAGAGATGCTTCACCGGACGATCAATAAAATTCTCAGACTTTCCTAGAATGAAAAGAGATCAGAAAGAAGAAAACTGCGGAATGATCTTCCTGGATCTCGCAACGTATACAAACTTCTTCAAAAGAAGGAAAACTGTACGCGAGAACAGATCTTCAAAGTGGCCGTCTCAGTTGTGAAGGGGGTTGGGGCCCTGAGGCACCATCCTCTTGGAAGCTCCGACGCCGTACATGTCGCCATCGGCGGGGGAATCCGGCGACGGGGCTGTCTCCACGACGTGCCAGGAGTTCCAAACATTCGTCCTCCGCCGCGGCTGTTCACCTGGCATTTCCCGGTACCGGCACGGCGTCGCCGATCGGGCGACGAAGAAGAAGAAGACGACCACGACGACGAGCAGGAGAGGCGCCCGCGAACGCGGAGAGCTCCGTCGGCTCACCCCCTGCCGCTGCATGCTGAGACCCTGGTGAAGAAGAAGGTGGGGGTCCTCTACCTCTCGCTGCTAAATCCTTGAAACGGATCGCCTCTGAGGAACGAAGTCGTCATCTCTGATATGGAGGAGGGGAGCTCGAGGAAGGGAGGGGAGAGCTCGTAGGCTGCGGGAGTTGACCGCTTCAGGCGGGGGGAAGGAGGAGGGGCCAGTTTAAGAGAGACGGGAGGGAGATCCTCCCGTCACCGTCAAACCCATGTGGCTCCATCTGGCTCCCTAGTCGTTGTTTAATCTGTTCTAATCTACGCGTGTCATTATTCAAATGCCCAAAGCGGTCAGAGCCAATTATCATAGCCGTGCCCGTAGCCGGACTGTACCCGGAATACATGAAATTAATTGGGCGGTATCTGATTAAATACGAATATTATTTAACCCATTTTTATTTATTGTCTTCTCCAACTAGCCCGTTTTAAATACTATGTACCGTACCTTGTTCACTCAATTAATGACCGGAGTTTTTGCTGATTTTTTCATATATATATATTTTTTAAAAATACATTTTTGTCGTTATTTCTAATTTTAATTTTTTTTAGCAGGGATCCTGTGTTGTTTTATCCTCCATTATAATTTAAATAAAAATATATGATAATTATATATCTAAGATACTAAGGGTTAAAGCAGACGTGTCTAGACACAACGCTCTGGACATAATGTCGGCGTCACGTACGGTCCATTTTGCCAGTACGTTCCTGGCCCAGTAGGGCCATCACCCAGGCGGCCCAAAAAGCATCGTCTCTCGTCTTTGCGCCAAGTGGACGACTTCGATTCACAGGGGGACGGGAGTTTGTACGGACATCACGAACGTGGTTTTTTGTCTTTAATTTTTCGTATTTATTTATTGTATGCTATGACGATTTTATCCTAATATACTGAAAATAGTGAACTTTTAAATTATTAATAAATTGATTTCTTTAAATGGGAAAAGGCACAGCTTACTCTCCTCTCCTAGGCCCAAATCGACTAGACCGCCTAGATAAATGGGCTTCGGGCCTTGGCTAACCGACTTGGGCTATATCGTCTGAGCCCAGTTAGATGGAGCCCATTGCTTCATGGCTCTCTAATTTAGCCACGTAAGCACACGTGTTGATCGCTAGACCAGTCCAACAACCAGTCCGAGGCCGTCGTTTCAACTGTCTGGCGAAAGGCGTGATACATATGGAGCACATTAGAAGTACATAGTTACCAAAATAACCTTACATATAATCGGGGCCGTCTACAGGAATTCTCTTTCTGATCGAGAATGATGGTATTTGGGTAGTTAATGATATATTTTAGGGGCTTTATAGGAAACTAGAAAGGGCCTCCACACTCCCTCACCCTCTTTCCCCGCGCGGTCCTGGTAGACGAGGAATGGAACCATACGCAAGCCGACGGCTTCCGAACAGCTAGCTGGTCCTTGCAGCTCTCCCATTCTCTTCGTTCCTTTCCTCTTCGGTCACTGTTTTCCGACGAACGGACGCGCGTATGCCGACGGCTACCTGACGTTTGGGGGTCATTCTCAGGTTTGGTGATGTTTTGTCACTCAGACTTGGATCGTCCGAGGAATTGTCTGTTTTCCTTTATTATTCTTAGAAATTCAAGAGTCGTTCCTTGTTAGGATCGAAGGGAAGTGGTTGTTTCGAGAAGTAATCATTTATGTTGACGATTTTTACTGTATTCCGTTGATTGATTTCCAGTCGTATTCTAACTGTGCCTTCTCTGTTGTCGAACGTTCTTGAATACTGCCTTTACTAAACCACGACAGGAGGGTAAACCGGCTTCTATGATGTTTACCTGTGCTGTTTTCTCTAAACTTCTTCGTCGAAGAATGGCATCCGTCTATGAATTTGAATGGCATAATGTGGCCTAATGTGGTTTGTTCTACGATATACGAATTCATTTGCGGTTTCTACGACTTCTTCATTCTTTTTCCGAGATGACAGTTGATTTCCCTTTAAAATGGAAAAAATATAACAAATGGGGAACAATACACAAATGAAATATCATGTATATTTCCAGAGTCATAGATGCCTTTGGCAGGAAGGTGTTCCGGCTCATGTCGGGTTAGTTTGAGAATGTATTTAAAACGGTTAGTTTAGGCTAAACGTTTTTACGGCTGGAGTCAGGTTGGGTTTAGGTTTGACTTGACCCCCTGCTCATGTCGGGTTTAGGTTTGATGCGTGCGGAATCAGTCTAAGTGTGCAGCCCTACTCGAGTGCTCTTCTATGAATTTGAGTCACCAAATTCAATGCCCGCAATGGTGACTTCAAATTCAATGCCCGCAACTTTTAAAAAAAAAAGTTCTGTCTAACACGTGCCATCATTTTTTCCCCAATGGTGCACTGTATTACGCTGCAATTACACGTTACACTTTTCATCAATGAATACAATTGCCCACATTCAAATTTATTTATTTTTTTAATACACAAAAATCGAACAAACGATGATCTGGCACCGGTTAGTGTTGTTTCTCATAAAAAAGGAGGCGATTGAGAGGTTTAAGCCACGCACGGAGTGTTTGCTTCTTCTTCCTCTTTTTCGTATTTTTTCAAGAGCTGAAGGACAGTCTTTGTGCAGATATGTTGACAGGTCATACTGTCGGTTTACTGGAATACAGTGAATCTAATCAACTTCTCTTAAAAGATCCTGTATCTGAGACTGATGATGAAGAAGGAGAACTTTCACGTAAGGTACTCCATGTGGCCTCATTCGAGGAGCTAGCGAGGCCCCATCTGCAATATGATACAGTAATTTGGGTCCTTATATCGTTGCTTCTGGTTTTAGCCTGGGGAGTTGGAGTTATTATGCTTCTATATCTCCCTATAAGAAGATATGTGCTGAATAAAGATATCTCCTCACGTAAATTATATGTTACACAAGATGAGATAGTTTACAAGGTATATCCCTATTTTTTTCCTTATGTTTCATTCTGATTTTATTTATCTTCTCGTTAAAAAAGACTTTGAAACGTTATAGGTTGTCAGGCCTTCATTTCTACCTTTCTTGGGATTTACAAAAACTGAGAAGCGCATCCCTCTTCACATGGTTATTGATATTATCATTGAACAAGGTATGCATGCAATCTGCCGCTAAATTAGCCTTATGATTCGTCTCCCTGGACAAATCTGGTGCTATATTCATTGATTTTGTATCAGTATCTTATGTTCTGCTCCACAGGTTCGTTATGCTTTTGTCATAGCAGTATACTCCTGCTAGCCAGTAGTAGTGGCTAGAATATCAATAATCAGTCATGACCGCTTGGTCAACTTGTTTTTCTTCAGTGTGCTTTCACTGACCCAGGTGATCTTAGGTTCAACTGAATAGAAATCCTAAGCATTGCCTTTTGATCTTACAACTTCAATTAATTGAAGAATATCCAAATTTCTGTCTGTGTTAGTCCGTTTTAACTTTTTTTCCTCTGGATCCAATTGATCCTACGAAGGACTACTCATACATAAAATATTTTGGAAAAAAAAATCATTCCCTTCAGGATTTCCTGACAAAGGTTTTTTTCATACTCAACTTCCCTTACCTCTCAACTCAGGATAAGTATTGCCTGACTATTGGAGGGATTGTATCATTTTGGAATTTGAAATACATACTTAAATGTGATTTGCTAAATATATATTAACCGAACGCTAAGAGAAATGCATTTTCTCTCGTTCATCTGTGGATCCTGGGGAATCATAGATATGCTGGATGCATGATTATCATCGTACATTTAATTTCTGATGTTTATTGACATATTTCATCTGCTGCATTGGTAGGATTCAGTATGGATTTCTGAATAATAAATGATGAGATTTGAAGGTAATAATTATAGAGAATTTGTGGTATTTTATGGAAAAAGTAATGCTTTCTGGTTCGCTGAGCCCAGAAACGTTTTTCTCATTCTATTTTACGCACTTTGTCGTGTGGGGAACTATGTTAGTTGATGGTCCTGCAGAGAACATTTGTCTTTTAAGGAATTTCTTGCCATAATTCATTTGAACTGCTACATAGTATCTTGGATATCACCCCTGGGTGTCTTTTCGTTTTTCTCTCTCTGTTTTTCTTCTAGAAAATGTACTCTGTTAGGAGAATGTTTACTTTTCTTTCTTTACTAGAGACTCTTTACTATTTTATTCAGTGAAATTCGATTATTTTTCACTAACTTAGGACAAAGGAGAACATGCCCATACACCAGGGTATGGAACAAACCTAGCTTCCTCATTTTCACAATATAGAAGAGCACGGACTTTTTTCCCAGTGTAATTTAACAGGAAGCGGGACTCACTACTATCCTCTTGGTTCTTTGGAATAATTTGTTACTTTTTAGCCACGTGGCCCCCAGTGTATCAAGTAAAATTATCTTCCAAACCTGGAAACCACCTTCAGTGCTCACCTCAAATTTCATTTTAGGAACGACTTCTCTTATCCCTATACCTGGTTACCCTCGCACAGTTTGTACGTTTTGGAAGACTCTTCTCCTCAATTGACTACAAGAACTACGTTTTCGTAAATAGAAGGTCCACCATGCGAGAGACTAATGTGATTCATCAGTGACAACCAAATTCTTCATTTACAAGCTATTACGTGGAGCCCACAGTTAAGTGGGAACCTGCCATCGCCCTCCCCACTATAACTCCAGTAACTGTGAACCCTACCTTGGGGATGATAACCGCTGCATTTCATCACCTTGGAGGTTCTTCCCCAGTCTTGACGGTTTATTGGTCTCTACCTTTCCAAATCCATAACTTATAATCTTATGTTGACTTCCGGACAAGGGGAACCAAAATATGCTTCTTATGCTTACCTGCTCGCTCCTAACCAAGGGATTTTCTATGCATGCAGGTTGCTTGCAATCTATCTATGGGATCCATACATTTAGGGTTGAAAATATAGCTTATGGAAAAGCTGCTGCTATGGATGAATTACAGGTTCAAGGGGTTTCTGATCCTGATCTTCTGAGGAAGGTAATTCAGAATCCTATACAGTCATATTCTTCTGGAGGAGGAGGTATCTTCTTCGTATTTATGGCAAGTAAAGCAGTATGATTCAGATAAATTTTAAATGACATCATCTACACCAGTGCTCGCTATCTTGTCACTTGTGATTGAACTGTCTATAGTTCTCAGAATCAAAGAGTTACTGCAATATATTCCAGTGAAGTTTTGATGGAGATGTACAAGGTCTTTATTACAAGAGACTTTGAGATAACTATTTTGGTTCGACTGATACTCTTGTCAGGCAGATTATCGCACCAATTTCTTTATGATTTTTTTAACTAGCAATTGTTGTAGGCTCTGCCTCTGTGATAGTTATCGGCGTGTTATTCATAACTCGAGTCGTTGTATTATTTAGGATTAAGGACATGGCCACTATTTTTCCAATTAAATTGGAAAAATCAGTGAAGTCCCAAATATATGAGAGTATTTCATTTGAGTCTTAAGCACAGTTTTTTGAATATGAGGCCCTCTCGTTCTTCCCATTTCTTGAATTAATACTGAACTTTTGAACTAAATAAAGAAAGTTACTGTCGTCAAGTTCAGTTCTCCATGAAATGCCTGAAATCGAAATTTTCTTTTGTTTTTGTTTTTGTTTCGATTTGCATTCCTCTAGGGATAGTTAGTTTTCGTTCATGAATAGGCGCTATGAATAAATACTGTTATTCACATTCTTGTTTGGGACATCTCATCTGCGAGCGATGCTTTTGTCAGTGATTGGTGTCCCAATCTTATGTCTTTTTTTTATCTTCCTATGCTCTCGTTATCTCTTTGATGATTTCTTCCGTTATGCAACTCAAATCCTGTGATTATACTGTAACACTTGTCGGCACTGTGATCCACTTGAGATTCTGTAATGCAATTCGGGTTTGTAAGCCTCACCATTATTTGCCTGGCAACATGTTACGAAGCCAACTGTCGTCTACACAAGACGATCTAGACCCCCACGTTGAGGGGGGACCACAACAGAATAATGCACTGGGGCCTATAAACATAGAAGAGGCCGGAATAAGAAAGGAGGGGAAGAAAACGGAGAGTGGAGTGGGAGATCTGTCCCTGGGCAGGTCCTATTCGGGCTCTCCTGTTCCTGAGGATCGATCTGACCTCAAGAACTCACCCTACTGTCTGCGAACCTCTATTGTCTTTCCAATTTTCATTTTCAATTGTTGTCTGGTTCTTCTACACAACAGAAGAGTTGATTTCCTGAATGGAACCACGTCTAAGGTAAGATTAGGGCATAGATTCGCCCAAATCTCAAGAGGTTCGTAACACAACACTTAAAGGCCAACAGCCTATGCTAGTTTGGCTCAAACTCCTGAGTGCATTCTAAGAGGATTGAGACACCAATCACGGCCCTCTCTTTCAACTTTTTCATTAGTTTAAAATGGATCCGTTTATTTATCCTAGGCCATAGCTCTGTGAGGTGATTTGGGGCTCCTCTTGTCAGTTGCATCTTCATTTGTTGCACGAAGTGAACAGTATCTTTACTCTTCTTCCTTCTTACCTTTCATGTATAATTGGTGCATGCTGATTACTTATTCAGACATGAACATAAATATTGCTTCTCTACGGAGGTCCCGCTGTTCTCTCCTTCTGACGTGTCAATGTTACAGCAGTAACTTTGCCGTCCACAATGGGTTATTTATGATCTTGTATCAGAGTTTATGCCTGATATCTGTAGCTTTCGTTGTGTTGTATTGTGATTTACTGGCTACACTGAGGCCTGACTTGCTCATACCGTGCTTACTATAATTCTCGTGGTTTTATTCATTTGAACTCTGTGTGAATGACACAAATACCACTTGTGATGATGCTCCCATTTTTTCTCACATGAGGAAGGATCTTCATTAGTAGGTTGAGAAAAAGGATATTCATTAACTGCGCACCTTTTAAGATCTGAAATTACTTTTCAGTGCAATATCTTATTCATTATCGTATGCCACTGACATCTCACGAGCCTTGCATATTAGACATAACCGCAAAACTTCACACGTGAGAATTTTCTGCCCCTAACATCAGACTTCCGTTCATTTCCCCTTCATGTCTTGGCCTTGTTGAGGCTAGAACTGTCTATAAGCTGGCCGAAGCCTGGGTTCATCTTGGATGGGGTTGCATAAGATCATGCCAAGCTCGTCTCATAAATTTGCTGATGCACTTGAAAAGCCTGGGTCAACTTGGGCTCTATTCTTTTGATTAGAAAGCTCTCAAAGGATTTGAGGAGGAAGCATCACAGATGAAGACGGGAAACAACATTAAAGAGACCTTGAATCGTTAGGCTTCCCATCTCAGATTTTTTAAATTGCCATTGTCCGATATCTTCGCCCAGTTCCACCCCATTTTTAGCTGAACGGGAGAAGAATTGAACTCCCCAACGTATGTCTCTGAGAGTACATTGATGCTTCTAGTTGGGCATGTTTCAGTGCAGCCCATTTTTTTTCACAGCCGTAGTTTGTGGCTTGCTCGCGTGATGTTCCACTGTGAGATTCTTTGCTTAATCTTTAGCATATCATTACGTTGACCACGCCAATCTTCATCACCTGTCAGCCCACTTCTTCTCTCGTAATTTCTCAATCGCCAGTCGGACAAGGAAGCTAGGTGTTTTTTTCTCACTCTAACACTTAGACCGCCATCATGTTGTGACTGACACTTGCTATCATGAAAGTGCATCCTATTGATGACTCAATTTCTGGCAAATTTTGTCATTCGTGGGTGCACCAACCCCAAGAAGGGGTAGATATTCTGATCATCATTTCCCTGCGTTGGGTCACTTGTGAGAGATGTTCTTCTAACCTGCAGGTCATCATTTCCGAGGCCGCCAAGAGTATTCAAGTAAAGTGCTGGAATGCCGGCAGATTTCCCGGGGATGGAGAATCCCCACTGACTCACACGGGGTATCTTATGGGTGTTTCGCCGATCTCTAGGTTCCGATCTCCCAGTGGAAAGGTAGCAGCACAATACGTAGTGTCTTTCCTTCTCATCATGTGAACTCTTCTTCTTCTTCGTCTTCTTCTTCAATATCTTCTGGACCGACCCAGATGGCGGCATCACCACGTTTTGAGCCTGGAGCAGTGGCTCCCGGGGATTTCCTGCGCAAGCTCGAAGAAGTCAAGCAATCCGTGAAGGTGCTGAGAATGTCACCGACTACTTACTACTTGTTGAAAAGCTCACTATCTATTTCCTTTCTTCTCGAACAGAGACTCGAGTCACTTGTTGGAGGTTCGGAGGAGGACATCGAGGAGTGCTGAGCTTTCAACCTACGCACTTGTTCTCTGGATCATCGGTTATAACGCTTCTACATGATCTGAGATTACATTATCTAAAACAATGCCCCCAAAGGCACTCAAATATCAATGGAGGGAGACCATCCTTTACATTAGATATCGGGGCTAGCAGGAACAAGTGCCGCAGATAGTTGACCCAGACGGAAGCAAGAGTCTATTCCAGAGGATTATTAGATAAAGAAGACCGCACGCTATTCCAGAGGATTATTAGAAGCGGAACTGGGCTAGCTGCTGGCTTCCGCCGTGCCGGCGGCGGCCTCTGCTTCCTCGCCGGAGCTGCTCGCCGGTGCGCCTTCCACGGGGAGCGTCTTCCTGACGGTTCCCACCTTCACGTACTTGCTCATGAACTTGTACTCCCAGTCCTGCAGGGCCTCGAGCTCGAACGGCCCAAGGCCGGAGATGTCCCCGGTCAGGTCCTTCTCCTCGAAGGACATCTTGGCCAGGGCTCGGCTCGCGTCTCTCCCGGCGAAGAGGGCGTACGGCCCGCCGGGCCCATAGAACATCCTGTTGACGCCAGAGAAGGTAGGAACGAAAGTCAACTACTCTTGAGAGAGGATGATCAAACCCAGAACAGCCCCCCTCTTCTGAATGAAGAGAAGAGATTAGGTCTTGTGTCTGGTTTGAGAAGAGATAGGTCTCAAAAGGCTGGGATGGGTGGGCGTGTTCCTCCAAATAATTGAATTTTTCTGCAAGCACGGGGCAAAACGTTTAAGCGAAGAGAGGACTCAGTGATAGCCCAGTTGGCAAGGTCCTGAATACGACCACTGCTCCAAATCTATCATCATAGATGCATTCGTTCATGGAAATCGGGCGAAAGCGCTGTCTATGATAGTCCAAAAGGAGCGGGGGAGCGAGGAAGCTGATCGAGGATGTTGGTGTGCAATTACAGTAGCTTATAATCAAGTATCTGGATGGGGATGATAAAAGCTCCATAGAAGGAGGACGAATTGAATGAATTGATGGCGACTTTAAGAACACCAAGGTGGTTCATCGAGACAATCAGCGAGGTGCTGGTGAAAAGATTGTCAGTGGCGAAGAAATTCCCCACAAAGGTGTTGGAGAGGTATTGTTAATGCCAGAAACATATTATTTAAACCTAATTCTGAATACAAAAAGCATAAAAACCACCAAGTGAGGAGGGGATTGAAAAGCGATTCCAAAACCACTAAGAACCCTAAATGAGTCCATCCGATTTGGAGCGTACGGTAACGTTATCCGAGGTTTCCGCGATTAATTCTGGCCAATCTACGAAGGTTTCAGAGAGATCAAGGCGACGAAAGGAAGATCGGGCGCAGTCGATCGACAGTCGACGATACAACAGACATTCGGCGCGGCATACCTGCTCTGGGAGACGTCGTAGATCTGAGCCTTAATCGCCATGAGGAGAGGCTTCTTCGGGTCGGAGCCGTCGTAGGCTTTCAGCTCTTCCTCCGTGATCTCACCGAGCTGCACCGGAGGGGGCAGAGGCTCCACATCTGGCGCCTCCCGCACCCTCACAGTGTGCACCCCCGGGGCCTTGAAGAACCCCGAAACCACTTGGTAGAAAGAGACGGCCACGGCCAGCACGGTGAAGAAGGCCACCGGGGAGAGGCCCGTGTAGGCTACGATCGCCTCCTTCAGCGTCTCCCACAGCTGCAACACCCCCGCCATGGCCTCCCACCCACCTTCTCGCAGCTCGTCGCCGGTGGCGCTGCGAAGAACCAGAATGCGACCCGCCGGCGGCTCTCTGTCGGAAGGCGAAAGGCAGAAGATATGACCGGAGGGACTTCCAGTGGCCTGATTCGCCCCAGCACTGGTTTTTTCTTCCCCTATTTATTGCCCCCTTGTCGGCATTATAATTAAATGAAAATTAACCCAAATATATAATTTATAAATAATTGGAAAAACATTCGGAATCAATATATATCTTTTTAATATAAATCCCCATCGACGCTCTCATAAAGTTGGTCACTCGCCTTGCGTCGGTTCTCCGGCGAGGCGTCGCTCTCGGAGTCCACGATGTCAATCACGGCGACCCGTTGATCTTCCTCCGACCCGCCACCGTTGACTTGCTTCCCGTCGCATTCTCCTTCCCACGGCGGCGGCGGCGGAGTCGTCGCATCCACGAGCTCAGAATGGCGGCTCGAGGGATCTCCATCCGCCTTCTCCGGCGACGAGTCGGAGGAGTCGATGTCGATGGCGCCGGCGAGCTGACCGGAGGCGCCTCGTTGCTTCGCAAGCTTGCGAAGGCGGAGCGGCGGCGATGGGGTGGAGAGGTCAACCAGCGCCGCCGGCTGGTCCCGTCTCTCCGAGTCGGAGGGCCCGTTCTCTTGCTCTTCGGTCAGCGACAGCGCTAGGAGCTGGAGATCGACGCCGCCGGCGAGTGGCGGCGCTCCCTCGGCGGGCTTCGGCCTGGGCCTTCTCTTCTGCCTCCTGTCTTCTTCTTTCTTCGCCATGAACTCGGCCACCATCTCGGGGCAGGCACTGTCCAACAGGAGGAATGAAGGAAGGAACGAACCATTTAGCCGAGGGATCTGATCATGTTCATCCGTCTGTTCTTGCAAAGAACATGGGATGAAACATAGAACTATCAGATTTCGTCTCACCTCTTCACGAGATCAGCAGGCACGGTGGATGTGAGGGGCCTGTCGAAGCCCTGCCAAGAGACCTCGAAGCACGCTCTTCCAAGCAGCCTCCTCTCCTTGACGATGGCGAAGGGCGGGTAAGCGATGGGCATCTGGAGCAGATTCATCTGAGGAAGAATTGCGAGAGCCTGATAAAATGGTTCATGGGTTAAAGAACTCACCTCATGCAGAGGGATCCGAACGCCCAGATCCTCGGAGGTGGCGCGGAAGTTGGCGAAGATCCGGAGGTTCCTCTCGGCGATCTTGGGGAGGATGTACCGGTCTGAGGCAATGCAAGGAGAGGACTTGATATCGTAGTTCGTATGCTCAAGGGGGTGGGGGGGGGTAATTGATATGAAAGTCTTAATGAAACAGATGGAAGAAGATGTTCAGAGCAGATGTCAACTCACCTGTCTTGTCAGAATCCCAGTGGAAATGCGTCTCACATATTTCTTGAAGCAGAGATTGGCGAAATGGGAGGTGAGAAAGCAATCTGAGAGGGCAGGAGGAATAAATCAGGCGACCTCGGGGTTGACCAATCGGGCCACAAGAATAAATCTGGATGTTTCATGTAGTTTCCTCGGCTCAAGATTATAGCAGGCCAAGTGGAGAATAAGGCTCAGAGTGAGGCAGGTTCCACCATGGGTACTGAGTAATGAGGTCGAAACAAGCCGTAGTTTCTGCAACCTAAGGTTGACCTTCTGTTTGGAGAGGATGGCAGAGTCAGCGGTCAGACACTGGATTGCTCACCTACGCCTCATTTGGGAAACCCAGTTGACCTGGTTGCATGCATCACCCAGTCAAAGTCAAACCAGACCACATTGACCTGGCTGCATGCATCACCCAGTCAAAGTCAAACCAGAGCACATGCCACCCCAGGAACGCCAGCAGAAGCCATGGATCACATGGAAACCTCGTCAATGGAGGAGGATGGATGGAGCCGACAGACCCACAAACCCTGTTCTCGCGTTTAGCAGCAGGGAACATCAGATCATAGGAAATAGGGTGTGTGGCAGGAGCTGAGAGCAAAATCTTCCAGCAGGAAAATTAAAGCATTGAAGAGTAAAAAAGTGAGATTTGCGTTGATTCACCACCCAGCTGACAAATATCATCAAGGTGTGGAAAGAAATAGCCCCGAGATGGATTTTACCACAGCATTCTCTTTATAGTTAATTGATAAAAAACGAGTCCATATGATATAGTACTGTTTTACCTTTTAACTGCCTCTGAGTCTGGGGAATGGCATTTTGGCTTCAAATATGCATGAATCACTTCTAGGAACTGATCACTCAATTCGTGGCATTCTCTGCCTGTGAGAACGCCAGAGGACAAGTATCAACCAAAATGAAATGATGGCAGCGAATGAGAAAGACTTAAGACCCTGATAACAGAGATCAGGACGACAGATTATTTCAAATCAAAATTGTGAATACTCTGTAATAAATGATCCTAATATTCGACCCTCTCAACGGGAAAGATTGATTCCATCCTTTGTGTTCAGTGAAAATGGGATTTGATGTTGTCATAATCTAGTTTGAGAAAGATGATACTCAAGAAAACAAGACGGAATATGGATATCGAAATTACAATGAGACAAGTCGCTGAGCCGTATCGTCAACATATGTGAACTACCAGAGATCAAATGCTGTGTCACATGTATCAAAATTTGAGAGTGGTAAGCGGGATATGAATAGATAAACAATTATTAATTAAGGCAAATTATCTCATTTTAAAGGATTCATTCTCAACTACATGAATCTAACTACGCGCTAAAGTTATAAAATGCTTTTCGAGGCAACACGGGAGTCACCAAAACAAGACCAATTTAGAATTTAAAGCACTTTTATAGAGTCTTGACCTAAATTTCGCACATTCTCTGAATTCTGATTATTGTTAGTATGGCACATGAATGCCTTGCCCTTCTTCTTGGTCCTTTGTGTCACCTTCATAAATGTAAGTTTCCCTGATATAATCCTCTCAAGAATGGTATCATCTCCTATTGATTTAACTAGCTGACATGCTGTTTCCTGCATCATGAATTATCCCAATTAAGAAGGATAGGATCAGAAGGAGCAGGAAAAAAATAAAATACCGTTCTTTATCATTTCGCATCAAACATCATGTTAAACAGAACTTACTGGCCCAAACCCACGTACTCCTTGATAATAGTCACTACCGAGAAGGACGGCCAAAGAAATCTGGGAAAATCAGCTAAAGACATCGTTACACGTCTGTAATTATCAAGTAGACAGATGCCATAAACCAACGTTTCCATATCCTCCTATGTAAAAAAATAAATAGAAGGGGTGACGCCTTCTAAGATTTTCTATAGTAAACTAAAACATTATATTGCAAGATGAAGTGAACATAGGACTCATAATTTTTAATCCAGGTGTTATGATAGATTCACATAAATTAATCTTAGCATCACATGGGTTTGCCTTCACTTCTATATAGTGAAAAGGTAAAAAGTTTAGTTTAAGCTGCCAGGCAATAGGACTTACAGACAAGCTGCAAGAGGAGAAGATGCCAAGGAATGGAGTGAGTGGTACGGATTCTAAGGAATTATATATTTAGGTACCTTCTTATGTCCACGTGATTATCAAGAGAATAATACAAAACATGCCGCATGAGTAAATAGTTTGGCGTTAGTAATGGTAAAAATGTCTGGTTAACAGAGAATCGTAACCTTAAAGCAACAAATCTGCTCTGTAGCATACAACCATATAAGCAAAGCATATTAGCATACAACCGCATAAGCATATAATCCAGGAAAATTAAGAAATTCTTGTTCAGATCCAGTCAGGTTGGTTATTTTAATAAGCAAAAGCACGACATAGCAACAGTAAGTCAATGATTTGAACCTTATATCAGTGTTCATCCCACTAGATGTTATCTGTATGAAAAAAAAGTGTGCCAACGTTGCATAATCAGGTAGCGGTGATAGGGATGACAAGTCAGCAAGTTTGAAATCAAGTATTATTTTCCTCTGGTAGTAGTCGAGGGCTGATAACAGCAATTCGGTTAAAATATTTTACATTGGAAAAAGACGTAAAACATCCATCGTAATTATCAGAAACTATATATTGACGCAAACCCTAGGAGGATATATAGTAGAAAAAAAATCTGCTTATTATTCACATCATAGATGTCTACTAGATATATACAAGGGTCACGAAATAAAGAAACTCTAAAAAAATAGGAAACTGACCAACTAAGAGCAAAACTCCTAAGGATACGGTCTTTCCCACAGTAAAGTACAAATTGATTATGCCAGGATAGTCATAATAGATAAGGAGCTCAAAATATGCGACCGACTGAAAAGGCTAGTGACATTTTTGGGAACAGGTGGCAACTAAAACCCACAACAGGCAAAAAATTCACTAATGAGATGGTGAAGATAATAAAGACGAACAAATTATATCATAAATGAGCATTTTTTTTAACACATGTCAAGTTACATTAGGAACTTGTGTTGTCTAATGCAGTGTTTGAAGCAAAATTCGATCACAAGCAAAATGGATTAGATGTACTGAGGAAGATTCTAATCTACCATAGTTTGAATCGGAATGTTTCCATTGCCAACAAATGGGAAACAAAATTCTATGAATAACCAGGCCTAAGTTCTTACTTCCAGAGCTAAAAGTTTGAAACTACTGTTGGCCACCAATGTGTCCAATAGGTACAATGGAACAGAATCGTATTAATAAATCTTGTCGTCTAGTTCATTTGATACAGTTATGGAAATACTACGGTCGGGTTCGTGCCAAAGAGCCACAGCTGCAAGAAGATTTGGGAAGCAAAGTAGAACTTACCAATGTGTTCCTTCCATATCCAAGCTTTTGCTCTATATCCACCATGTCATAACAAATAACATAACCATTGTCTCCTAAACGATGAAAATAAGAAAATTCAGCAGTGCTTTCATTTGAAAACCCTCAGTCCTAAACTAAAGTTTCAATTATGGAATTCAGTTACCCAAGATGATGTCCCTGTAGACAATCCTTGCACCAAAAAGGAAGATATCTGAATCAGCAGTGAAACATCCATCCTGGAGACGATGGTTGCAATTAAAGCTCTGCACTTTGTATTGAAATTATTGAATACAGTAGTAAACCCACTTACACAAAAATTCCCCAAGTTCAAAGAGGCACACTGGGCTTCTGCTTCCTCAACTCTGTTCAAGTTATATTTTCGCCAAAAAAAATTCAATATTAAATAAAAAATTTAAGTATAACCACATCAAGGTTTTTGGTTAGTTCAGTCGAGCGTTTTCTATAAAATAAAATTCTCCCGAATTCTCAAATTGGAAAAAATCACAAGGGTTATCTTTAGATTCTATCCACCAGAAGAAGGTATGGTAAGGGGAATTAATATTATTTCTTCCCTTTCTTAATCAGCGGAAGTTCCCAAAATCAGAATCAAACGCTGATGAAATAAGACAGAAAAGCCCTTTCTCATTTTAGAAAAAAATCAAATACGGATAAAAAGGTAGAAACACCACCTCATGGCACTACAATATTTCTACAATCAACGTTTGATGAAGACAAGAATGCCATTTTAAATCTATCTGTTGATGAAAACTAACATCATTTTTTTGTTTATTAGCAAACACTGCAACCTTGAACAAAACAGTCCCAATGGAAAAACCTTTGCAACCTACTTGTTCCATCATGGAAATTAGTTAAGAGGTTTCACTTGAAAAAGTACTTACAAGATAATGAAGGATTCATGCACTATATAACTTGTTTATATGCCATTTTCCTAGAAGAGATGATGGGAAGAATTTCTACTTTACACATCGAATCAGTATCTACCCTGCCTGTGGAATCATAAAGTAGATGATTCCTCCTTAAATTGAGACTGCGTGCAAATTAAAAAATCATCCTCGGAATCATATTCAAAGTTAGTAGTTTCGCTTATAAGCTTGTCTTAAGAAAAAAAACAATCAAGATAGCAAACAGGTGTTACGACGCTAACTTGTTTATTTGATACGTTGGACATCCTGTAGTGTTACGAATTTTCTTCATTATTTCTCAGTAGGATGCGGATATAATGAAATGTAGGCTATTAATAAAAAGGGGGCATTATTCGTAATGTTTTTTTCTTGATAGTGGTACCTCAATCGCTACATTCACTTCTTATATAGTATTAGGAACAATGACCATGTGCAGTACTTCTAGAACCAGCAGAATATTAAAAAAACTATCATCCGGAAAATAAGTTGACGGTCTACAGGTCTTCAGACAAAGTGCTCTACCACAGGCGGCTAGATGATGTAACATAGCTACTGGTTATGATATTTTACATCATCTTGTCGTGAAAAATTCCCCTCGTATAACAGTCAAGGTAAATAGAACAAATGAAAATATTTGCTAACCAAAAAAATAAATAAAAAATAATAAGAATCTAGGCAATCTTGTAAAGTTTGGTGAAGCTTACCCATCTAAGCAAGGGATTCCAAAAGCCATTCCCAAAGCTTTTGCCTCTTTTATCATACATGAAAACTCAGAGCCTCTGTTTCTCTGAAGTGAATGAACAATATGGAAATTTTGTTCTTCCCCAGCAGCCTATTGAGTTCATGGTGTTTTTTTTATCAAATGTAAACAAATCAAGACAGTTGAAAAATGAGAGATAGTTCTGGAGAAATCGGCCTCAATACCTCAAAACTGGATCCCAGCCTGCGCCTGTATGCACTCAGTTTTATTGCAGGAATCGACCCATCTGCAGAAAGGGAAAGGGTAACTCTTCATGCTCAATTCAGAATCTGTCACATATGGACGCTGTAGATTTGTCTGATTCTCAACCAGACATTTTTCTCCTTATAGTGCATACCTCCATTATAAGGTGAAATGGTAAGCATGATGTGGGTCATGTACACTTTTGAAATTTACAATGAGCAACAACAAAAACAAATAAAATCAACCTACTGGATAATAGAGACAAAATATGCAGTTAGTCGCATAAATGTATTTCCACAGAGCATATTATTGATCAGTAAGATGTGTTGAGGAGAGTGTCAGGCTTCTATCCAGGTGACGATGCTGAAACAAACCAGAAATAGGAAGTCTTTTCAGACTTTAGCCATAACCTAATCCTTCAAGAACAAAGTACCTTTCAACCAACGAAGGTATAACCTGAGGGGAATCAGAATGGTTGGTCAACCGTCTGAAGATGCTCCAAGACGAGAATCACAGTCATCTCGATTTAATAGCTGTTTTTCACGTTTCTAGCTGAGCGACAAGAGAACTTTGCCTTTCCATCCTCCAGGTTTAATGAAGGTTGGCTCTTGGGATTTAAAAACCGCAGGTTAGTGGAATTCATCAAAAGCCAACTTTTGGGAATCTACTTGAGGTCGATGTAAACTCCACAAAGCCCCAAGGGGAATTATTTTTTGAGATGAAAGTCAGTCATCTGTACCCAACAATAGAGTCTTTAGTAGTTGTCTTTCACTCTTCTAGTAAAACGTCAATAGAGTGTTGTCTTCCCATCTTTAAGGCTTAGTGAAACTAGGCTCTATGGATTTGAAGACTGTAGGCTATTGGAATTCATAAAAACAGACGTTTGAAACTCTACACATAGCCCTCCGGGGAAAAACAGTATTTGATGAATTAGAAATTTACTCACCCTCATCTCACGTCCTCTTCTATCTCCCAGTTTTTAATATTGAGTGCCCTTTGTTGCAAGGATTTTTTTGTCTGATAAAAAATTATTCCTGATATTAGCACAGATTTTTCATTCTTTATGATGTATAGAAAATGGAGGTGATTTTTTTCAAAAAAAGAGTAGAAACTCGAGCGCTTCAGATCAGAAAACCAGACACAACGGAGAAAGTACAATCAAGATGAGATATGGAGAAACTCAACAGCGACTTAATCTTGTATTCTCCTATTACGGGGTACCAAATAATAAAGATAAGTAACTTTCAAAAAGATAATCAACACAGCGGTCTTAACACATAAAACCATCTCCTTATGTTAAGCACACAAATCTTGTAGTATTAAAGAGTTGAGTTCTCTCGATGCATATTTCGAAGACATTTAACAACTCCAATTTACATGCAGCGTAGAAAACATTCTGGATGATACGGAGGGGATATCTCTCCATAATTTATCTATTAAGATCCCTGCTTTTCAATCACATTTAGCCACAAATATGACTCCAACTTCCAAACATTCTACCAGCTGGATGTTCTTCAAGACAGGAGAAATGAGAGAAGTACTGATAGCCTTCCTGTTTATGTATTTGCCTACGGTGATCCTTAGGCAGAGATTGCCATCTACCTTAGCGATTCTCCAGAACCGCGCCGTAAGAAGTTCAGGAGTAAAGCTAAAAAATCAAAAGGGCTCGAAATTCCCTCTGATTGACAGAATTGAAATGTGTTCCTTTCCCTCAAACATTTCCTGTGACTGCCTGAAATTTTTGGAAAGCATATGCGCCTGTAACACAGCTTTTGACGGCGCTGTCCAGCTATCTGACATAAAACTTATGTTTCCCATCTCGGAGGTTGCGCATTCGTATTCTTTCATGAGTCTCCCGTGCATCTTACCTATGTATCAAGGAAAGATCGCATAATATTCCCAGTACATTTCTACTGTTTGTGATTTTCTCTCTTACAAATAGGAATGGCCGCATCCCAATGCCAGTCTCAGAACCATGCCCAAGCGCGTAAAACCTTTTTATTGCATTTACTCTTCCACTATCCCGAGTCACTAGCGACGCATTTGCCACTGATTGAACTCCCCAGAAAAGGTACCTTCGACGCAAAAGCATTTATCAAGAGCTGTTCTCTTTAGAAAACAATTCGTAGTAGCTGAAGGGAGAATGGATGACCTCAGTTAACCGAAGAGGAAACGAGGACTACGCTCACGTCCAATTCCCAGGAACAAACCTCAGAAAAGCGGAAGTGTGACAGAGAGAAAAAGGCAAAATTAAAAATAAATAAATATATAACGTACCGGTAACAAAAATGAGGCTGCAATTCAAAGCAACGAGAGCTCTGATCCTGTGGAAGAGGCTCTGCAGGTAAAGCTTATCTCTCACGCAGGCCGGGGATCTACACGCGTGACGAAACTGAACCATCCAACATGAGAGATCCACGCACAGCCTCTTGTTCCTGGAGCAGGACGGAAAGAACAGAAAAAAGTATACGTAGAAATAGGTGCATCAGCCGCAGATGCAAATTCCAAGCCTAAACACCCTGGCCTCGATAACACTTACTGAAGATGATGGAGAGGAAGAATTTTTTTGCATGATTCGAGGATGTCCCACAGATTCTTCACCCCCATATCTCCGGCAGCAACTAGAACATAATGCCGGTAGAGACGAGGGATGTTTCGGACATCGTCGCTCGAGGATCCGCAGGCCGATGGCGGTCTAGGCGATGAACGAGCGTCAGTTTCTGAGAGGGAAATCCCCAGGGATGAACTTTCAAAGGCCCGTTCTCAGTGCCCCTCAACGGCTCGGATTTCTGTGGAACGTTGATCGTTAGGGTTTTAATGGGCTGGCCCATGGACACATACGCTGGTCAAATCAGAAAGTTCTCTAAATGGGCTGGCCCATTAAATCCCCTCCAGTCAAACGTTCTGTCTCTTTCAATGATATTTCGACACGTATGAGGTGGAGTGGTGGGCCGGTCCCGCCATTTTGGCGAATCTCTAGTATGCGCAGTTGCTATTTGGTAGTTATGTTGACTCTCACTGGGACAAAAAAAACGCTTTAGAAAGCTAGCACAAAGATCTCTCCATGCTATTTGTCGACACAAGTTGGGATCCGGTTAAGAACGTACGGGGGTGTAACACACCGGGGATCGTCGTTCTGGGTACTGGCCTCATCTCACACTCCCGCCCCCATCCAAGACCAAGTGACTGTTTCAGACTCCGACAAGATTGACTGGGAAGTCTGCACCCGAGGAGGCGGTTTGCAGGCAGAGAATTCGACGGTAGGAGAGAACCCCATCTCCTCTCTTCTCTCTGTTGGTAGGAGAGAATGTGGGGCCTCGCACGCGTGGCCTGGAATCTGAGGCAGGCGAGGAGGTTCTCATCCGTGATATCCGGTCCTTACATCGTTCAGAAGCGGGGGACCGATATTCTCCACGATCCATGGTTTAACAAGGTCTCGAGGCGATCACTCGGTCATCTCCATTTCGATTCTTCTCTTTTGTGATTGTTTTCTCCATGCGATGGTAGATCGGGTGCGAATTCATGTTCTTCGTGCCATGATCCTCCTAACGTTGGAAATTTGAATTATCGTGTTAATTTTTGTATCTATGTGGGATAAATGTAGGGTTATGGGTGAAAAATGCGGGTGTTTTAATTAGGCTTTGAAGTTTTTGTTGACTTGGGTTTCAGAGAGATTGAACAGGGGGTTAATGTGCTTATCTGCAGCGTCTCCGTGATGATGGACGGAAATAACAGAGTTTTTCACGAGGAAAACATACCTTCTAACGAGAAGTTTTTTCCTGTTTGGACAGTGTTGGGTAGTGTGGCTGGAAATGATTCCTGTGTTTGCGGGCAATGACCAAGGAAAGCTTTGGATACCTCAACTATTCACCAAAAATGATAAATGCAATGTTGGCGCAGGGGGTTTCGCAGTATTTTTCTTTTCTTCAGAACCTAACGGGTACACACACACAGACACAACATATATTTGGCGAAATGGGAACACATGTGCATAATAATTTCTTTACTGTTTCTCGGTAATTGGCCGAAATGTTATTAAACTTAGCCCTCCAGAGGATTTAACCACAAGAATGGGAGCAGAGACCCCTACGTAGATGCTGTATGGACTTTCATGAAGAAACATGTGTCTTTATATGCGATTGTTACCTGGTGGCACTTTTTAATCACAAAAAAAATTGTGTCGGAAGAAATACATGTGATATTTATTGATGCACCGCCATTAAAATAGGGAATCAAGAGAGAAATATTTTCTTATGGAAGAAGACATGTTCTTTATCAATACAACCTTTTTTTAACAGTGGCACTCTACATGTACAATTTCATGGAAGAGAAAGCATATATCGTTATGCAATTTCTTTTGAAGGTGGTGAACATGTAATATAATGTAAGCCTCCTTTTATGGGTTGTACATGGTTCTGGTCATATATTTCATTGGCACTTTGACCTTCCCTCTAGTTCCCATGGCTTTCTAGGTGACAAATTTGTTTATGCATATCTATCTATCTATCTATTATATATATATATATATATATATATATATAATAGATATGTTTGCTCCTGTGATATGTTTGAAAGGTAAGGACTTGATATAATAACAAGGAAATTATCAAACCTCTTATTATTGAAAATATATATACAAAGAGAGAGCATAATCAGTGCAAGAAGTACAACAGTACAGACCTGGATAGTTGCACGTGAAAATAGTAATCACTTGAGGCAACTCTCTTAACGGAAACTATTATGTTCTCCTAAATTTAAGGTTGAGCTGCACACAATCTGCTTATTAGCTTGTCTGTTTTGCTCCAGAGCATGGTTAGCCATTTCCTGATTCAAGCCATTAATGAATTTTCATGCTAGGGTTTTAAAATGTGAGTTGTAGTGTTATCCAAAGTCAATTCATCTATTGTACCTATCTCAATTTTATTTTTTTGTATTTTTTCATAAAATTTATTCTTTCCCAATCTACTGCAGTTTATCTTCTCTAATAACTAGTCTCATATTTAAGCTATCATGCACCATCAAGACAAAAAATTGTAATGTTGTAATTATTTTTTTTATAGAGAAAGGGCATTTCTCTAGAAAGCAGTAGCTAATTTTATTTCGGGTATATTGGGTCTTATGTGTGTCTAATTGCTTTGTTTAATCCTGTTGGGAACTAGGACACTGCTTTTCCATTGACTGAAAGAGATCGTCTAGGGCTCCGTGGGCTACTTCCACCTCGTGTAATATCCTTCGAACGTCAGTATGACCGTTTCAGTAAGTTCCAAACCTTTTGCTGTCCCCTTTAAAACCTATTTTTCCTCATCCATGTTTGAACTTATTTTAGAATCATGTATTTGTTATATGCTTATGTCCAGTACATGACTGTGCATATTAATATCTTGGTAAGGAGAGCTCGTATTTATGTCTTTCTCTCGCTTATTTGGTGGAGGATAAAGAACAGAGGGCCTTCATTAGTTTGTCGAGGCAAAGGAAAAAGGAATTCTAACATCTATGATCGTAAAGGAATGCGTTTGTTTCTTTGATTGATAACATCTATGATCGCAGTCTACAGATCACAATGAAGCATCAAGTCGCAGAGAAGGGTAAAAGGAGAACCAATTCCACCATATGCTTCAAATTTTCCGTCGGTTTAAGAACTAAGAGACGATAACACTTCTATGCCGCTAAAATAGCTGACAGCATCTGCATAAAATATGAAAAGGGATCCGGAACTATGAGACTAACCATTGTCCTTGGTAAAATTGACAATATGGTTGAAAGAAATTATTTTCTCCATTACAGAACTAATTATGACAATCGACAAAATATTCTAACAATGCAACAAGAATGGCAGCTGAAATTATTGTAACCCTGAGCTTGTCATCCTACGGAAGAAAACGCTCTGAAACTTGTTATAATATAGATCTTGCCTGATCCGATTATGCCTCAAAACCATTGTTAGCAATGATCAGGTGCCACAAACACTTTCTTAATGCAGGTTGCAGGAATCTTATGTCCATCCGACCTTAAAGGCATGGTCCTAATAGTTTTCATGAACGAAAACGTTAATGGATCACTTTTCTGGAAAATGGGTAGTTGATATTTACTAAAATAATCCATCGTATCTCGTCATGCCATTGATCCGTTTGTCAAAAAAATTGAAGTATTTTACCTGGTCAACCACCTTAAACTTGCCCTACTGAAACTAACTTTTCAAGAGGCAACTTCTTGTGTCAAATCTTATGTGTATATGTATATCTTATTTGTTTTTGGCGTGTTAGTGGACTCGTATAGGTCCCTGGAGAATAACACGCGAAATGAACATCCTAATGTTGTGTCATTAGCAAAGTGGAGGATTCTGAACAGACTGCATGACAGAAATGAGACGTTGTATTACAGGGTAAGCTTGTATTTCATTTCAGAGTGTCAGACTTCGAATTGAATGTATGTCTGGTGTGCAGTTGTCAGGGTTTGGGAAATTGAATGTGCTAAATAATATGCGTTATCCATGCCTCAGGTTCTTATCGATAACATTAAAGATTTTGCTCCAGTAATCTACACTCCGACTGTGGGATTAGTTTGCCAAAACTATGGAGGTTTGTTTAGGCGTCCACGTGGAATGTATTTCAGTGCAAAAGATAAGGGAGAGATGAAGTCTATGATCTACAACTGGCCTTCAAAACAGGTAATCTTATTACACCTCCTCCTTGAACTATTTAATTTACAAATGCCTGCAAGTTTCCAGAGTCTATTTATATGTTACATGCACGAAAGCTACTTTATTTTTTTTTACCGATCATCGTAATTTGTGCTTCCTATTGTTGCCAAGCAGTGAACAGATAATCTTGTTTACTATCTAACAGTCATCTGTATATATGCTTGATATACTTTCTTCATAAATCGAACTCATTGAATTACACCATAGTCTCTTATTTTTTTAAGGGGGCAATTTCAGTGTTTTTCTTGGTCTGGATTGCAGAATTATATTCACAAAAAGTTCTAGATTCATGTGATGTTTTCGTTCATACTCATGTTTGTCTAGTTCTGCCACATGAAGATAAAGCAGCCTTTGGAAAGCGAACATAGACTAGCATTATGGCTGGCCTTACCATTCTGGTTCCTAAGGCCACGTGCTCTGTTTAGTATCAACCTCATTCTTTATGGAAGGACCAGGATGTGAATGGCGCTATTGGATCATGTGTATTCTTTAATTTGCTTTATTATTTTCTTCATAATCCAGGAAATGTTTACATTTTTTTTGTTTTCCACGTTATCCTTAAGACGTAAAAAAAAATCGTGCAATATTTAATGCACATTATTTGCCGTCTGGAATGGTGTCTCTTGTGTTCCTTTAAAGTTCCATATGGTTGTCACTTATTTCTTAAGAAGAATTATCCATATGTAACGAGGCTTAATTATGTTTATCTCCTTATGGTTTCTAGGTGAAAAAGGTGACTAATTTAAACATACTTTGATATTTAATACGTATGTGATGATTGTACGGCTTTTCATAAGTCATCCATTTCCATCCAGAGTTAAATGCTGGGGAGCAAAATTTGACACAATTGTCCTCATATGTTATTAATCATCATTTTACCCTCAGGAGAATAGGAAAAAAAGCTGCATTCAATGTTCAAGAAATCGCTGAATTTTTTTGACTTGAAAAAAATGCACTACTTTTCTTCAATGCATTTGTTTTCGTCATGGACTTAGAAAGTAGCCTATAGGGCGTAAGAATGACAAAAGTGCTTTGTCTATAATGTGCCTTTTTACTCAGTATTTTCATAGAGATATTATACATATGCGTTGAAGTTTTAGTTTCACAAATGTGCTGTTTTGTTTTTATTTTTATTTAAGGATCTGTTTCCAAAGAATTTTTCTCGGCATGTGGGTTGTCCAACAGAGGAATGTGGTAATTAAAGACTGCTTGATTTTGGTAAATTTATTTCTATAAGGAATGTTGTAGTGCTTTATTTTATCAATTCCTTGTTTCATCGCTACGATTGTGAAGCCCGTCAGACAGGATAGTAATACTCTTTTACTAATTAATTTTCTTGAGTTGTTTTACTCCAGGTTTAATGTTTTCCTGTGTGGTTGTCTTCAAATAGGTGGACTTGATAGTGCTGACTGATGGGAGTCGTATACTGGGTCTTGGTGACCTTGGTGTTCAGGGAATTGGCATACCCATAGGAAAGCTTGACATGTATGTTGCTGCTGCTGGGATCAATCCACAAAGAGTAAGCTTTATGTGCCCCCTAGAAAATCATTTAGAACGGAATGGTATCTATGTCATTTTTTGTCTGTATAGTGTCTTTTTTAATATATAAATCCCATGAATCTACTAGATGAGGCACACATGACAACCATTAATTAGTATTTTTTTATATCTTTACTCTGGATTTATTATGAGCAGATCAGTTTTCCATATAGTTCTCTCCGTAGGACCTCGATGGACCATTTGTTTTGAGACAGAAGTATTGCGTTCCATGATTATAAAGCATGTTTCGTGCTCTTAGTTGTTATATATTACTTTTCATCTGGCAAATTATAAAATATTTATATTTACTTTGTGCTGTCTTCTATTCATTTAATCAATGTTTTTATCTCAATGATTAACTTCCATTTTATTGCTGGCAGATACTTCCAGTTATGCTTGATGTAGGAACCAACAACCCAAAACTGCTAGAAGATAATCTTTGTAAGTAGGATTACGCTATATTTGAAGGGTTATGAAGCCTGTATCATTTTCACATTTCCTTTTTTTAAAGGGTTATGAGATTGTTTGCTTTTTTTAATACTTTTGACTGATACATCTTTTGCATTATCTCATGTTGCGGTCCAAAGACAGAATCGAGTATATACTATGCTTTGGGAGATACTTCTGGAAATTGGAATAACCTGTGTGGTCCATTTTAGCACTTGTTTCCTTGCAGAACTTTCCCATTAGGTCAGAATCAATGAAGACTAACTTGCTGACATAGAAACCAGTAAAGTACTGATTCTCAAATTCCTTTGGAAGTCAAAAATATACTTTCATTAATATTGGGCATGATTTGACTGATTCTATTCTAGCATTTATTTCGGTGTACTCTCCCTCATGAAAACTTGTATGCACTAGAAACGTCTTCTTAGAATTTACTTGAACGAGATTTTACGATGTCTCAGAGTGAAATAAGTAAGTTCCCCAGGATTCAAGGAGGGCGTATCCCTGTACGAAGTGAGCTTCAGGCAACAGTTGGATTTTCGAAAATCGATCCCAAGTTCAATTTTTCTCTATAAATCATGATATAACTTATTTTATGTGGAGCTTTAGAATAGATCAAGACATTCGTTGAGGTACCGTATAACCTTCTTAAATCAAATATTTGGCCTTTTTTCTAGCCTTTTCGCTGCACATTTGAGCGGAATGTAGCATACATTTTGAGCAAAGTGTCAAAACGTTGCATGGCTTTGGTGTTGATGCTAGAAAAATGTTGGTTGTTCCATTATATTTGATTTCGTTTAGAGACAATGCTGGAAAAATTAATGCAAGAATTAAAAGAAAATCATTGTCATTAGTTATAAAGACCTCATGGCTTAACTTTTAAAAGCAGTAGGAAATTAAGACTGCAATAGTCATGGGCTTCTCAGGTCATCGTGTCTTAGGCTTTTGGATTGGTACGTTCTGATGTGATATTAGCATGATGCTTATTTCATTTCCATCTGGATTTGTCGTTTTTTATGCACCTAATAATTTAGTGTATATTTATTGCTGTAATATTCTTATATTGTACTTTTATTTTTTGTCTTCTCATTTTGAGAAATTCTTAATTTCTCTTATCAAAACTTTGTGATATTCTGATTATATGCTGTTTTGTTAAGTATCACCTGTCAGTAAGACTTGTAGGCTTTCGTTTCGAAACCTAAACCAATTGAATCTGAGACTCTACCATAAAGTTTGAGAAATAAAAATTACAAAAACGACAGGCTTATTGTGTATTAAAATTCAATCACTACGGTCTTATACCAAATAATAGTAATTTCGTTCTGTCCAATTATTAGAAGGTGTGTGGGTTTTGTTGATCGACTAATTGCCTCTTGCCCTTGTGATGTTCCTGGTATCCAACTGTGGACATTTTTTTTGGTTAGAGAGGCAACTTGATTTATCGGATCTTTTTTTTTGTTTTGTATTGTCTCAAGGGAGGTTTTAAAAGTGTTGCTGCTACCATCTACCATCTTTGATCTCCATAGTAGTCTATTTTTCATTATTCTGCTTCATGTTGGGATAAGTTACTTGTTTCTCAAAAGAAATTATATTTTCAGATTTAGGATTGAGGCAACCTAGGCTGGAGGGTGATGAGTACTTATCCATTGTTGATGAATTCATGGAAGCTGCATTTTCACGTTGGCCAAAAGCAGTTGTACAGGTATAGTGGTTCATAGTAGTACCAAGCTTCTTTTAATGTTAGAATATAACTCTTTTAGCGATAAGAAGGCACTCTTTCAAACTTGCAGTTTGAAGATTTCCAGATGAAGTGGGCATTTGAAACTCTTCAAAGATATCGAAAAAGATTTTGCATGTTCAATGATGATGTACAGGTTAGAACTTTGATGTCTTTGATGTTATTTATGTTCCTGAGGTTTTTTTCTTGACTGTCTTACTTCTTGTGTCTTCATATATCATTTATAAATTTTGACACTGTTTAATTTGTGTCCACGTTGAACTCTTTAACACTCAATGACATGCTCAGATGTTATAGCATTGCATATTCCGATTCCCAGTAGTTTATTTTTTTTCCTCTGAATAGGGAACAGCTGGTGTTGCTCTTGCCGGATTGCTGGGTGCTGTGAGAGCACAGGGTCGACCTTTGGATGATTTCCTGCATCAAAAGATTGTGGTTGTTGGTGCTGGAAGGTATCTACTTTAGAAACATTTAATTTGATTACGAATCTACCTTAATGATCCATTTTTTTTAAGTATTTGTGTTTTTTAACTGCAGTGCAGGCTTGGGTGTCCTGAGCACGGCTAAACATGCTGTTCTGAGAATGCTTCGGAATTGCAAGAATGTGACAGCACACAATCAGTTCTGGTTACTTGACAAAAATGTAACATGTTTTTCTATATTTTCTGGTTTTTTTGGCATGTATGTCTTTGCAGACTATCAAAAGTTTTATTTTAGTTCTGTTCCAGTGATTCCCATCTCTGGATATGCTTGTCATGAGATAATAGTATCTTCGTTGGAATAAGCCTGATTAAAAAGTCTTAGGCAGCTAGACCTGCAACTCCCCCTTCAATCCAAAAAAGAAAAGATGTATATAGTTCATCCTTGAATTCCTTAAAATACTTGCATAATTTTGACTGTTTCTTTATTGAAGTCATTCCTATGAAGTATTCTCAGCTACTGCAATCGATTGCAGAGAACCCTTAAATCTCCCTCCCGATCTCTTAGTTATTCCTTTTGTTTGTGTAGCTGAGTAATCCCATCATTTACCTACTGTGTGCATTCTGCGGTATAGCTTTGTAATACCTGTTCGGACAGTTATGGCTCTAAATGTCATGGCTCCCTTTAGATTCGCATTATCTCTGCCCCGTCTGCCCTGTAGTATTTTAGCAGGTTAGCACACTGAAAAAGATGTTTGCTTTAGCCTGACATCTAGCTTGATAATACCTTTGGAGTGGGTAGGATCTGCTTTTCGCAGCCTAAGCTAACACAATGAATACAAGTTCCCTTTGACCATATCAGGCTTTAGAATGACTGGCGTGAATATGGCTTCCGGTGGTTGTAGGGTCTTGTCACAAAAGATAGAGCAGATCTTGACCCAGCTGCTGCGCCATTTGCTAGAGGCTCTGGGCCAGGAGAGGTGGAGGGTCTATCTGAAGGGGCTAGCCTCCTTGAAGTAGTAAGTCATTCGGACACGTGAAGGTCAATTTACTCTGAATTTTGTTGATGTTCTATAAATTATTTCAAGTCTCCTTCATACAAATTCTCTGGATTCTTATGAACTTGCGATATCCTCTGGAAGGTCTAATAATTGCGTATGTCGCTTGTCAGGTTAAGAAGGTGAAACCTCATGTGCTATTGGGCTTGTCTGGTGTTGGTGGTATCTTTGACGAGCAGGTAAGTTCCGCAAGAAAAGATTTCCTTCCTTCGACTTTGTTCTTTGCTCTCTCTTATACATTGAGAAAAGCTTGTAAAATTGGTTTATTCGCCATGTAACATATCATAGCTGTCAATTAATGCGCACTTTGGAAGCATTGTTTTTCTCTTGAACTTACTAACACGGGAATAAATGAATTTTATGCTAGATTTTCAGTTGATAGTGCACAAGTGCCTGTGAAAACCTCTTTTAGCTTCTGGCTTGCATTTGTGTGTTCCAATTCATTTCCTCTACCACAATATTCCCTTCCATTAACAAGCATTTTTCTTCAATTGCTACCTGTTATCAGAAAATTTTGAATATGCTTTTTTTCCATATCAGAAAATTAGATTAAACAAGCACGGTTAGTTGCTAATTATGAAAAAAAGAAAAAGACAATGTATTTTTACGAATCTATGCGGATGCGCCTGGAGGATAGGGTTCAATGATTATGAATGTTTTGCTCCCCTGAAACAGCTTCACTTTTTATTTCCTGACAAGCATATTTATCAGGAAATCATTTGAGGGGTTAATTTTTAAAAAGATGGTTGACTTGGACTCATGACAGGTTCTTAAGGCTATGCGTGAGTCAGATTCCCCACGGCCGGCAATCTTTGCAATGTCAAACCCTACAATGAATGGTTAGTTCATTCTCGATAAGCTTAGATCAATGTCTGCATAAAATCGAATGATATGATAATAAATACATATTTACGATTTTCCTATGAGATAGCCGAGTGCACAGCTGCTGATGCATTCAAGTATGCCGGAGAAAACATTGTTTTTGCTAGTGGGAGCCCTTTTGACGATGTTGAATTTGGTGAGTTATCTCTTCCTGTTTGAATTCCCTTTTTTTTCATCATTTGAGACGGAAAATCATCAAGAGTTCCTTGTGTGTGCAGGAAATGGACAAGTCGGGCATGTTAATCAAGCAAACAATATGTATTTATTTCCCGGGTGGGTATCAGTTACCCTTGCACCACCCTCATCTGTCATCGAGATGAACATTACTCTGTGAGAGCAAGAAGCTATAATTATGATAATGAATATTTTTCGGAATTTCAGGATTGGATTGGGAGCTCTTCTCTCAGGAGCTCGCATTATATCAGACGGAATGCTGCAGGCAGCAGCTGGATGGTAAGATCGCATATTTCCGATTTCCTTTAATCTTAGTGTATTTATCACGAGCGATACATGGAAATGCCATGTGGTGAGTATGATACATGCCAGGGTCACATGGTTGAGGACACTAATCTTATGTAGGGAGCATCGCCAATATGATATAATTATCTCATGTACAAACTTTGTTGGGCAGCGAACAGCTTTGATAAATCATAAGGGTAACTGGGCTCTTATCTTTCTATATAAATCCCCATATACATACATACATACATACATACATACATACATACATACGTTGTTTATATTCTGTCCTGCGTCAGACCATATTCATCTAGGGAAGTAGAAAGTAAAAGAGACCGCGCTATGCTATGCTTGGTTCCAGTTCTTATTTATTGTTATGTCTTAATGTTCAGTTATCTTACCTATACTAACATCAATAATATCACTCATTATCTTACCTTGGATAATAATTTAATGAAAATATTTGTCTTGTTTCGCCATGAAAAATCTATCCGATTATGTCGGCATCTAACTTTTTTTGTCACCATGTAGCCTGGCTTCCTACATTACCGATGATGAAATTGAGAGAGGCATAATTTTTCCCTCTATCTCCAGGTGTGTTCTCTGTCTCCAGGGAAGAAACTTTTTAAAATTCATCTTGTTTTCTGAGATTTTTTTGATGGTAATCGTAGCCGAGCTCCTCTTGCTTTAGTATCATTTAAGAGGTTACGGATTCACAGTACGAAAATAATTGAAGAAATTGCTTCCATTGACCAAGAATCACATGCCATACTCCTCTTTTCTGGAGTAGCACATCATCATATATTCAGATTATGTTCATATTGGTTAGTCCCCAATAAAATAATACAATTTAATTTCAAGGGACATAAGCATCCACATTACTGATCCCAAAACGCTGGTTTTGGGAATGCTCAGAAAGCTTAGCTTCATGGTAGAAAGTTGTAAAATGGTGAAGAGCATTCCGGGATGGTTTCTGATGGACCTTGTTTGATGCAGTATAAGACACATCACGACTCATGTTGGAGCAGCTGTTGTCCAAGCAGCCGTAGCTGAGGAACTTGCAGAAGGACATGGCGACATGAGCTCCAAGGAGTTGGCAGACTTGTCAAAGGTAGCGTAGTATTCTTATTATCCATTATTTTTTCTGAATAAGTTCCCATCTACATATCATTGACCATTAGCGAGTCTGCACAAAAAAAGGGGTCCACTCACTTGGTTGCACTATTAATTATATGTCCAGGAGGAGACAGTTGACTATGTAGCTAAGAATATGTGGTACCCAGTGTACAGTCCTCTCGTTCATGAGAAATGAAGATCAAGCCATCTGCTCAGCCACGCTGCTTTTTCCAGGGGATCATTTGAGAGGGTTTACATCATTTCAGCATGTCTTCTGCCCGGACTAAGGAAGAATATGGTAGCAGAATAAATTTGAACAGCCGCAAATGCTGTCCTTGATATGGTATAATTCATAATGGAAATCTCAACCAGTTTCCCTTTAACTTTCATCAAATGAACCAGTCGTTGACCTATTTTCTGGAGGAAACGGCAAAAAAAAAAAAAAAAAAAACTGAAATCAAGAAAAGAAAACTAGCCTGTAATTCACCTCGGAACCTCTCTACAAGATCATTCTACTGTGCATCCATGATCATACTGGATGGGAAGCTTTAGCTGGTCCATCCATATTGCTCATCATATTGCCATCTTTCATAGTACTTATTATGTGTTTGGCGATATTGTATGGATTTATGTACGAATGAGTTTCTTGTTATGTGGGATATACTTATGAAATATCATGGAAAAATTATATATCAACTCCAATTCATTTCCAAAAAGTTACCATAATCATCCACCCAAGGTAAAAAAAAACATCATGTTCTAACAAGTATTCATGGTTGAATACAAGTGTATAAACATATAGTACATCTATAATATTATAAATTAGAGAGTCAAATGCTTACAAAAATAGTTTTTTTTATTTTCACTTAAGATTTATCACCGCTCAAACTCAATCTAGATGGGAATCATGCTTTATTTTATGATTTCTTTACTTTTTTGGGTTTTTTTTTTTAGGCACAAGCATGAGAAAAGTTGGACGCGAGCTTCAGGTTTACTAAGCTCATTTCTTTCTAGTAGGAATAGACCAAGAACGGAGCCTTTTTTGAGCTCTTCTTTGGGGAAGAGCTAGGTTGGGGCCTTGCCAAATATCACTCAGCTCGAAATCATGCCCAACTGAATGACGTCACTAGATAGAGCTGAAGTGTGGCTATATTAACCCCCTGATTACTAGAGAAAACCAACGTTACATGCACATGATCTAACCAGCACAAGAAAATTAAGATGATTTTTAGGACTTTATTAAAAATAAATAAATGCCACCGTCATCTTGTTTGCATCATATCACCTTAGAATAGAAGATGGAATCAAGCAGGCCGAACACTATTCAGTTGGAATATCAAGCTTCCACGTGCGCCTCTCCGAAAGTAAGCTGAACACCGTTTTTGAAGCAAACTGGTGTAACACCAAGTTCTTGAGTCAAACGGCTAATGTCCATTGATATGTCTGCTGGGGAAGTGACCCCCCGGTCAACCTAGAAATAGGCAATCCACTTTGAATCAACAGTCTGATATCAAATCAACCCGAACCAAAAACCTATCGAATCTTCAGTAACCAGATTGAAGGAAGCTACTTTACAACAACAGTTGACTAATGAAGACATAATTAAATAATTTTTGAAAGCATGACTGTCAAGGTACGTGAGCAGATACAACTTAGCGGCGTGAGCAAACCCTTTTTTGCACAGAAAATTTATAAACAAAAACTGCAAAATACGGAATCAATCAACCACTTCGAAATGCAGACGGCGCTGAATGTAGACAGGAAAGAAGAAATAGTCTTTTTTGTCTGCGCGTTGTAATCCTTTGAAAGGATTGGCTATGTCAAAGATTGATCGAAGACATATTTAGGAAAAGCTAAATCACAATAGACGACGAATGGGAAAAGTTATGTTCTTTAAAAAAAAGATTCCCGAAGAGTGAAAAATTTTCAGAGGTCTTTGAATAATCTTTTAGAAATTGTCCAGGGATTGTTGACGTACTGAAGATGCAGATACAGCTTTAATCAGAGAACTGTCGTGCCCTCTGACATCTGCCACTTTCTCAGCCATCTGGAGACGCGAGACCCTTTCTGGCCCACCAACATTTAGAAGCAAACGCATTGGATTCTCATCTGACGCAAAAAAAATAAAATAAAAAATTAAAATGTAATGTACCCTATAATGCAACATGATGTGAAGGCTATAAATAAATAGAATATATAACTGATTATTTATAAAAACAGAAATGATTATGGATGTGGCGGCATTATAACGTTCAAATTAGACTACTGGAAACCAAAAGAACCAGTGCAAAACTTTGTTGTACACTTGCCATCATAGGTGTTCCTCTTGCGTTTTATTAGTAATCAATTCCTCTTACTCGAGCTATTATAATTATAATCTAAAGATTTCAGCGAAGGCCTGATAAATTCTGGGTCCTTAATGACAAACGAAAACCGAAATCATGCATAATATTGCAAAAGAGAGGTAGACGGGAATAACAAACCTGATACCCTTTTTTTTATCAATATTAATATGATATTGACCAAATCCTTGACATATATTGGGCAACGGAATTCATCATAGAAAAAATCAACTTCTTGCCCACGAGACAGCATACTGTCAATCCACTGCAGGAGAAAGAAAAACCCCATCATTCTAAAAAACGAACTGCAATAGCCTATTTTTGTGGTTATTATGAGATATTTTCGGATTTCCCTAAATCCTGAAAATAAGTTTCAAAAAGCTCGTCAAGTTTACAATGTTGAATACTTGAATACCGGTGTCCAATGGAGAAAACCAAGCGAGCTTCAAATATTTGCCAAAAAAAGACCCAAATAAAAAATTATGCTAAAAACGCGGCTCTCCCCAAAGGAACTTTCATTAGGTATCTAACACAGAAACACCATTTTTGAGATAGATAACTCAGCCATCAACTTGAATGATAAAATAAAGCAGATAAATAACAGGTTTGATTATTAACTACTTTAACACAAGACCGAAGATCTGAAAAAGAATCCATTGTATGAAGATAAAACTTCAGCTTTCACGCATTCCCAGTTTCATAAATAAAGCATCTATGCAGGAGGATCCGATGCATACTTGGATTGGCAGAGATTTGGAAACAGGTGACATGGTCTGCGGCCCATAAATGATACTGCTCCTCAATATTGCAAAATTAGAGTAGTTCGAAGAAATAAAATTTTCCGATGAAACTTTTGATTTCCCATACATATTGACAGGAACTGCTTCATCGTCTTCCTTGTAGAATGATTTTACACCCTCGTAAACTGTTAGTTTTTTGGGACTAAAATTAGACATAATAGCATCATTTAAAGAAGAAATCACTCACTGCAAAGAAAAAAAAAATTCAGATAACATCATACTCAAAAACTGATTCGCATGTACAAGAGAGATACTTGCTGTCCACTTATAATTTTGAATCTACAAAGAATTCTGCCTGTTACTAGCTGGTCTAATTCCCTCCATTTACTTTGTCACTTGATGAACAATTTCCAATATAAAACTACAGCAAGATTGCAATTGGTTTAATGTTTGTCTTCTCCAACACCTATCACTCCTTATGGACAGTGGGGATGGCAACGGAATCAGTCCAGCTCTTACCCGAACATTCGAAGGTCTAGTTGTAAAGGTGGAAGGAAAAAGATCAGGACATTGACCCTTCACCATCTCTATCTTAGGTGGACCTCACAGACGCACAGCTGTACAAGTAGATGGGCTTTCTTTTTTTGTGTTCTCCAGATTATCAGGGTGCCAATCTTGAAATATCCGTTTTTAATTTTACATATTCCAAGGATTATTGGGAAACAAGTAAATGTGAAAGAAAAAAGCTCATTCCAGTGATCCAAAGGAAATTAGCAAAGTTTTACAAGTTTTCGTCATACAATGATGATATAGTGGTTTGACCTTGATCTGTCGATAGATGAATCAGAAGAGAATCGTTGTTGGCGAAGCTTGAGAGCCAACCAACAAGGGAAGAAGGAACGTTAATGGCCGTAGCATATGCTGGGTTCTTTTCACATTGGAGGGGAACCGAAAGTGCAGCACAGTTTATGACCACGTGAGGCTGTCAGAAGGAAGAATGGCAAGCATCAGCAGAAAATATTTGAGGTATAGGAGAAAAAAAAGAGAGAAATAATTCGAGCCGGAGATATACGGGCATTGTTTCTCCTTTCTCTGTCAGATTGATGAATTCAACAAAATGTGGTTCTCTTGAAGTTCGTCTTGAAATATTTGTCCCAAAGTGACATGGCTAGAAGCTTAAGATTAAGGGAGAAGGAAACGACGCCTGAAACTATATAAATTCTAAGCTAATCAAAGAGATTATTTCTAGTATCTAATTCTCTAATTGCCCTTTGGCATGCATGCTGATCGATTCATAGTTTGTTTTTCCTCATTAGCGATCCATGACGGAGTAACACACCTGGCCGAATGTTTCGGAGATGGAGTCGAAACCCTGGCCCGTCTCCAGATCCACGCGGAAGGCGAGCACCGGAGCCAGGGCGTCCGTCATCTCCCGGGGCGGAGCCGGGCGGTGATGGGTGTAAGCCAGGTCATACGGCCTCTGGAGCCCCAACTCTTCCGCCCTGGATAGACCCTCCAGGAGATGCTGCCCCAGGTAGCCGGTTCCTCCCACCACCAGGACTCGCTTCTTCTCCATCTCGCGCGGAGATGGAGACTCGACGCCCGCTCCCAGCAGTCTGTTGAGACAGCCTCCAGTCCCCACCCACGTGGGAAAAGATCTCGCGTATTACGGCCCAACAACCTTAACGGTCGTCTGGAGGGCCGGTCAGTCACCACAGCCCAGAACCGGCCCAGAAGCAGAGAGAATCGGGCTGCCCAGACTGGAACCGTAGATCAGAGAGATCAGATCTCTCTCTCCGTTGATGGTCGTCGGCGCACCACCGTCCAGCGGCGCGCGTCCGTTGGCCGGCGGCGTTGCGTCCACGTCGAGGCCCGTTTTATCCGCAATGTCCGCCGCGGCGGTCCTGCCGGACCACTGAAAGATAAAGATAAGCTCCGCCTCCTCCGCCAACCCCTCGCGCCATCCCCGTGCGGCACCTGTGGACCCCAACTGATGCCCTTGCTTTGTAGAGTGCACACGCTACTGTCACCACTTCGACGTCCATGATCGCCAGTGAATGTAGGAATTTGGTCTTAGGTGGGTCCCCTGGATCTGCACCTCCGTACTCTCCGCGCGGCCCAACTTTCTTTCCCCAGTTGGGCGAGTGTAGCTATAAAAGCATGCACCCACAGATCTAGATTTCCAGTCGATGCCGGATCCAGAGAGTGAGAAACAGCAGCTGATTACAGGTACTAGTTTCTGTGCTTCATCTTTGGCTCCTTCCTGCTCTTTTTCTGTTCTTTGGCCCTCTCCACCTTGGCAGTTCCCAGTTGCAGAAAAGTATTTCCGTCGTGAATTTATTTGCGTCTGACTTTGGTGCGAGGAAGGTTCTGGTTTCGGGAATTTTGGAATTCGTTTTTTTTCGCTAATTAGCCAATCAAACGTCGCTGTTCGTTTCGATCTAATATGATCGGCGATGGCATTTCCATTGCCATATGATTCAGTGTAATATTATCTCTGAGTTAACTTAATGATCAGTAGTCTGCTCCAGTTAGTGTAAAACTAGGTTTATGTGATCGCTGATATAGAGGCTGGAGTAGTTCAGAGAATCCCTACATGTTTGTTCAGCACTGTGAGGCGACCGTTTTATTATTATTTTTCCTTGGGATGAATACATGCGGTAGCATATTGCATGCCGTCTGTTGTTAAGTTGTAATATTCACGTATATATATTTGTATCTCTCTGTGTGGGTACGAGAGAGAGAGAGAGAACCATAGTTGGGCTTGGTCTTGGTGAAAATCACTGGCCTACAGGGATGACCATCCCTATGCCCTATACCCTTAGGCAAGCATCTACAGATAGTCGTTATAGAAGGTTAGAGTAGTTGTCTGAGACCAGGAACTGCGGAAAATGCTTGTTTTACTATGGAACTATGTACATTGCCTTGTCTGGCATTGTCACGGCTGTTCCACCACCAGAGTAAAATTGGTGGGCCCAAACGAGGCAGGTTGTGACATATGGTTTTTTAATTGGTCTCATGCTAACTTTTGGTAATTGAGCTTTATATTTTTATTGGTTTATTGGGCAATAGCGACGCAGAAATCTGTAATCTAACATATGTGGTTGTAGAGGCTAGGGATGGCAGGAAGGAAGCCCGGTGTGATTGCTTTGTTCGATGTAGATGGGACTCTAACAGCCCCAAGAAAGGTTTGTTTCTCCCTTTAATCTTACGATTTATGTTGATGTGATTCTTAATGCTGCTTGTCTGCTTCATGCCTTAGATAAGCACTTTAGTGGACTGAAATTATGTAGAATATAAAGAAGTTACCATTGTACCTGTATATGAATTGCTGGAATATCTTTTGAGTATTGGAAGAATTTAGCGGCTACTGTCTCACATGAATAGTTCTTATTTAAACATCTGATGAGTGTATAATCCACAGGGGGTGACTCAAGAGATGCTTGAGTTTATGCATAAGCTACGAAAGGTAATCCCCGCATACTTTCATTTGTATCGCTTGAGCTTTGATATTTGACGGCAGAAATCCTGGCAAAAGTGTTCTTATCTTGCTTGTATACTATAGTAATTAGTTTAATCAGAGATCTTGTATATTGATGGCAGGTTGTCACTGTTGGTGTTGTTGGAGGTTCGGATCTCGTAAAGATATCTGAACAGCTTGGTAGTACTGGTTAGTCCTCCACAAGCTCTTGGCTACAAGGGCAAGAGCATAACATCATCTTCTAAGTGTTTAACTTCTTAAATGTGATATTTCCACATGTGCGTAGATAATTTTCGATTTATCAATGACCATTTTTTATATTTCCCCAACTTTGTTACTTATTAATTTGAATGTCTATTTATTTTGCTATAATTTTCTTTCCGATGAAAAGTGTACTTTTTTTTACTAGATGGAAGCAAAACGTTGTTTTCTAAATGGAGATATTGCCACCGTTTAGAAGTCCTTTTCATTATGAGTATCAAATTCCATTATGTTTAGTGCTTATTGTTGCTTGTTTTCTAATATGAACTCCTCTATTCTTCGTTGTGGGTCATTTTTTTTTAAATCCTTGTCACAGTTGAAGTCGGTAGTTTTCTTATACATATTTAGGTGTTTTCCCAATGGCTCATATTCTCTTGAACCTGGGAATTGTCAATTCAATCTTATCATGTCATCTAGATGTTTTTGCTTATGGGGAATTAATTCTATGCTCGGAATTGTATATAGCATGATCGCCTGGATTACCAGTCCCTCTTGAAGCGTAGTGACTTTCATGTCATAGAAATCCAAATCATGATTCGAGAAGTAAGCATAATATGCGCATTGTGCTCTCCGTCTCACTTCGAAGGGTGAAAATAAATTCAAATCTCTCTTAAGAATGGAAACGTTACTTCTTTAATAAAAAATTGTACTTTTCATCCCATTTTATGCATTATAATTAGCCAAAATGGCGGTAAATAGGTTTTTCAGCTTTTAGTTAACAGCTGGGTTTGTCGAACTTACTGCAACATATTTGTCTTAACCCATTAATTTTTTTCTATTTGCAGTCATCACAGATTATGATTTTGTGTTTTCTGAGAATGGCCTTATTGCACACAAAGATGGGAAGCTCATTGGACGTCAGGTATTCTTGGAAAAAGTTTCCCATGTTATGTTTTCCTTGGAAGAGTTTGATGTTTGCTCTTTGTGTCAGTAATTCTAAGACATCGATTTTTTTCTTTTCCATCACAAGTAGAATTCATCCAGCAATTTGCAAACATTCTGTCGTTCGCCTCTTTTGCAAATGCAAGATATGCGTGAGAATATTACAACAATGAAATGAAGAAAATATTTTTTTTTTGCTTAATTAAATGGACCTACTTATCACATTGTCAGTTGGTTTTGTGTCAGTGGTTTGGATTCATTCTCATTTTACAGAGCTCCAGATTTTATCCTATGCTGTCGATTTCTTTTATTTTGTTTAGTGAGAGGACATACTAGAATTATCTCGCAATAAAAGAGAAAAATAATTAAATTAAAATAAAATGTACATATTCCACGTACAGCCAATTGGTTTTCAGTTGGACAGTTTTATTCTTTCGGAATATGGAACTCTTCCACTTTACAACTGTCAACCTTTCCCTGTTCTCGGATGTCTCTTTATTTTATGAGTGAAACCTAGCAGGAATCAAGCTAAAGTCTGATTTGGTCGATTACTTTTGGAGAAATATGAGATTTGTGGAAGTTGAATGGTTAAATGCTTCGCATACAGTAAATATTTTAATTTCACATGAGGAAATTTGAAATTTATAACACTGAAATAGAAATCAAGACATGTGAAACTGCCAACAAGCCACGTCCGAATTGTTTCATGGAGAATGACATTGATGAGGAATTGATACTTGATATTCAGGCACGCCAATGCTTGTTGGGAATTCCAAAAATGTAATATTTTCTACTAAATAAACAGGTCCAATTTAAGCAAGAAGCCATGTAAAATGTCTTCAGCATTTGACAAGCGTCAGCATAATGTGGAATTTGACTAGGAAACTTATCTTATTGCGTCTAAAAGTATGGTTATTTCATCCAGCGATTTGACAAGGCTAACGTGTTTGGCTACAGTCATTGTTAAGTGTAAGAGCATTGTCTTCTGCTGAAGGCTATGTTGTAATTGTCTTCAGTCAAAATGAATTTTGGTCACCAAAGACGACGTTTTACATATGAGACATTTGGAATAGGATCGATAGATTTATCATGCGATTGCGTAGCCCCAGTATTTTACTGTCGAGCTGTCTGGATCCAATTGGATAGACACGCTCTTCCACATGGTTTCTTAATCGGATTCCAACGGATGTTTCTGTTATTTATTTTGCAGAGCTTGAAAACATTTCTTGGGGAAGAGAAGCTCCAGGTTTAGTGTTTCCTCCTTGAACCAGATGTCTGGATATCTATGCTTTTATCGTTTTGGACACTTATAGACTAACATTTATTTATTTGTGTAGGAGTTTATTAATTTTACTCTTCATTATATTGCGGACTTGGATATTCCAATTAAAAGGTCGACCATAGATTGTCTTTTTCCCCTTCACGTATGATTAGCCAAACACCCAGAGATAACCCTACTGATTACTGCTTTCTCAGGGGGACCTTCATTGAGTTCCGAAGTGGGATGCTTAATGTTTCTCCAATTGGACGAAACTGTAGCCAAGAAGAGCGCGATGAGTTTGAGCAGTATGATAAGGTATAGATGTAAAGCGTCTACAGAAAATTTCACTCATGTTTCAATTATATTAATTTTCACGCCTTCAATTTGGGTAAATTGTCTTTTGATAGGTACATAACATACGCCCAAAAATGGTGTCTATACTTCGGGAGAAGTTTGCGCATTTAAACCTGACTTTTTCTATCGGAGGACAGATAAGTTTTGACGTAAGTGTTATCCAGATATTCGAATTTACCGTCTTATAAAAGGATGGTGAAAGGAAAAACTGCTGCTGAGTTCGTCCTCCCTAATAGGTATTTCCCCAAGGATGGGACAAGACCTACTGTTTGAGATACCTAGATGAGTTTCAAGTGATTCACTTCTTCGGTGACAAAACATACAAGGTAATTTCTTTGGGCCGTCACTTTTCTCTTTTTCATCCAAAAAAAAATTAGATGGTCCTGATATTTCTCATCTTTCTAAGCCGAACATAATCATTCAGGAAACCATATGCTGTCTTGTAGTTCTTTGCATATGATTGTATCATATGATTATTGTGCTTAGCATGAACTAGTAATCTATTGGCCCACCACTACTTCATTGGGTGTATTCATTTTATTGGGAACACAAATCTTTTATTTCTGGCTGTCGTGGACACAGATGTTGGATGTACGGACAATATTGGTAGTACAATATGGCATCTACCTTCTGTGCAGTCAGGAAAAAAACCAATTCAGCAGAATTGGCGTCCCAGTGTTTCATGTTCTCAGCTGAGATATATTTCCTTCTTTTCCATCCATCTTGTCCAATTTTTTATTCTTGACCATGGGTCAACATTAGAGGTGGTTTCTTGCACCTTTCGTTGATCTCACTACGGTTTCTTACCCTTCTCTCATCGTCTATCGTTGTTGGAATTTGGCATCACATGCCGTGCATTATTTCTCACAACCTATGCTTTTATAAAGCTTATTACACTTGTTCGTGATGTACATTTTGATGTTTTTTTCGCAGGGAGGAAATGACCATGAGATATATGAATCTGACAGAACCATTGGTTATACAGGTACGCTACCATTCTTCATGTGTTTGATTACCCTCGTTTTCTTTTATTGCCAGCTTTCAGATGAAATTTGAATGGTGAGATCATTGTGTTCTTCTGACCGAGTTCTCCACGCATTTTCTTCACAGTCAAAAGCCCCGAGGACACGGTGAACCAATGCACAGCTGTTTTCCTGAGTTAACCAAGCTCTTGAGCTTATGGTTTCACACTAAAAGCCATGCAATATGATGATTTATGAATGGCACCGCTTGTTGTGCGCTGAACATCATAGTTCATAACATGATGATATAAGTCATCACCTGTTATTTGATGTAGGCAAATATTTGGTGTTGTGGCCTAAAAAAAATAATGGATATGTCAGGGCGATACCCATTGATTTTGAGCTCGAATGAGTGCATGATATTCTGCCAGAATTCATCATAACCCGTTTGTATCTATTATATCACCACCATTTCAGTAGGTTCAGACCCGCAGTAATCGATCTGATTTACTGCTGAACGATAGTCCTGTCAGACCCCGATCAAGATCATGACCGATTAGATTAGGGTTTTCTTCTTCCATTTTTTATTTTTATTTTTTACTTGAAGACTCTGGCTGGAATTTGAGAACTTCTCAGCAAAGTTGGTTGCAGAGACTGCAATGGCGATGGCAACCAAGGGATGATCTCTGAGGCTCATCAACAATTTACTATGTATCCCTGTGTATAAATGTCTACATATCTAGAGAATGGAACCCAAAAAATCGTATAAAGAACCAGCATTGCAGGCGTTCGCCGTGAGGAAAGACGGCCCGGGAAGCCAGGCAGCGGCGGGCTTCCACCGACCTACGCTCTGTCCCTCCGCCGGAAGGAGAAATCGCCGGAGATCTCGATGGCGTGGTGGCCGAGTTCCTGGTTGGCGGGCGGCGCCGCAGTGGCGCTGCCGTCCCGCAGCTCCTCCACGTCCGCCGCGCCGTCGGCGTGGTGGTCGTTCGTGGAGCCCTCGCCGGAGCGGTAGAACGGGGGCGAGAGGGACCCGTCGTGGTCGAACTTCTCGTTGTCAGAGCCGTAGAACCGCGGCGAGGCCTGCGGGCTCTCCCCCATCTCGTTGCGATGGTATTTGAGGAGGTGGACGGGGGAGAGCCCGTGGGTGGGCGTCGCCGGCCGGCTCGAGACCGGCGTCACTGTCCCCGATTTGCGGCCCTCCTTGATGTGCTTCTTCGCCGTGCGGTGCCACTTCCTCAGCGCCGACGCCACCGTGTCGTTGAAGATGGTGGGCTTCATATTGGACCCCATCTGTCAAAACCCATCACAGTCAGAGACAGAGTCAACGGGAAGGCAACTCCTGCTGGTGAGTATCAAGTCAAACCCAATGGACGACTTACCTGAGTCACCAGAGCGTAGAGAGGGAGCGTCACGTAGCTGCAGAGCACCTGTATGATAACTCTGCGGAGAAAGCACGGAGATTAGGCCTAATCGTCTTCGCGAGCAAGCCCAGATGTGGGGAGTGAAGACTCTGGGGAACGAGGGCTCACCCCATGGAAATTCTGATGATGCTGTCCTGGATGGTGTCGTGGAAGCATGAGCTGAATCCAAATTGGTACTGCAAGTCAAACACGGGCGTCAATATTTCTGCATGTTCTTGGCCAATCGAGTAAGGAAGAAGAAGGGTGGTGGCCAATCAAGTAGGGGGCTTGCTTACCCAACTGACGACGAAGAAGGCCAACTGGAACGCGTTCTGAAGAGGAAGAAACAAAGGAGAAGGTTAGAGACGCCGAGTCGGGCTCGAGGCAGTTTCTTTCTTTCGATAAATTTTGATCGACTGAAGTACCTGGAAGAGAACGAAGTGGATGAGGTAGAGGAGGAGCTTCGGGCGATTGAACCAGAAGTGGTCATCGGTCGGCTGAACTACTGGAGTACCCTTTACGACGTCTCCCCGCTCCATGATCTTCAGGGCCATCCTCGTAACGATGACCTGAAGCTTCGTCCCGATGAGCAGGATGATCTGCCGACAAAGGAAAAACCCTCCGATCAGTGCCTAGACCCCCCAAGGAAGAGACCTTCAGGTCGTTCGTGGACTTTTGCAGGCGAGTACTTACGATCAGTGGGATGAATGGAAGCCACAGATAGGTTCGCCAGCCTGCACAAGTTATCAAGAACAATACTGTCGATCAGAATATATGTTCTATGATCTGACCTAAGGCTCGGGATTATCTATACTTGCCGTGGGTATTGAAGACGAGGAAGAGCACTGCGAAGAACCATATCACCGGGCTGCAGATAAAAAAGAAGAAATGAGACGTGAAGCGTGGGATCCATGATTCCGATGCATTTGACGAGAAGAAAACCGAGAGCTTGAGCATACTTTATTCCCACGACGACTTTGAACTCCTCTTCGAGGGACCTGTTGATGTACTTCTGGAAGTCGAACCTGGCGTTGCTGTGGGGTGCTAAGTGCGCCTGCGAAATCGTAGTCAACGGGTTGAGGAGAGCTAATGGTGGGTTTCGGCATAATTTTGACGGCAGGATGAGCGTTTACCATGATGAATCCGTGCCGCAGCGTGAGATAATCGACCTTCGGGACCGACCTGAAGAACTGTCTGAAGAAGCAGACCTGCGGGAGGAGGGGGACAAAATCGAGTCGAACCAAGTAAGAACATGAAGATTATACGCGTCGTCCGAGATTCGATTGATCAGTGGAGAAACTCACGATCCAGATGAGGACCGGCGACTCGCTCCAAGAGCTCAGATGCCTCCGCCCGAACGTCGTATCCCTCGCGAACCTGAACCTCGCCGGGTCTGCCCATGAATGAGACAATTTCCTTTACCGGTTAGGAGGCTAGGGCTTAATCGACGTCTCAGAGAACTCGTCGCCAAATCTACTGGATGATAAACTTACCGTTTGAAAACTGGTACTCCATGGTTTTGGTTTCCTTCTCCCACGCCTTCCAGCTTCTCATCTGCATGGATGAGGTTGGCAACGTCATCGAGTTGACTTTCATGCAGCTTACCCGTTTTGTCAGAGTGCCGTACGTACCTTCAATCTGCCGAAGGCCAATGTGGTTATACAGTAGCCCACGTGGAATACAGCCAAGACGAAGATGAAGATGTGAAGCTGATGGATCCCATCTGTAGAGATCAACGATACCTTGCCCTGCACAGCGAGAGGAGAGGTCAGCTTTCGTTCTCAAGGGTGATGGGCGGGACCCGCCACGTGGTCTGTCGCCCCATCGAGACTAGTTCCAATTCTCCAAGTCAACCCTGACGACGCCGCGACAAAGACAGGTCGGGTTGGAAGGGTCAAGACATTCAGCCTCCTCGTTCAAAGTTGTTTAACGAGGACGGAGACGTATCAAAAGTTCAGTTGGTGGAACAGAAGAAGAACTGGGAAAAGAAGCCGGCAAGAAATAAGAGCTCTTGCCTTCTCCGCGCACTTGTCGCTACCTCCGCCGGCCAGCACCCGCCGCGTGCTGGCGGCGGCGTAAACCTCCTGGAGAAGCTTCCGGCGATTGGAGCCGCCGTCCGACGAGGACTCGTAAGAGGACGACTTCGACTTGGGGCATGGGAGCCAGGTGTTGCCCAGGCTTTCGGAGACGCATACGTTGGAGATGGGCCCCTGCCCCACCGTCAGGAGCAAGGATATGAACCCTAGCAGCATCAGCTCTGCGTTTCGGACACAGAGAGAGAGAGAGAGAGATAATCCCGTCAGGAAATGGAGCAGAAGCATGTGTAGAATTGATTTAAGAGAGGCATGAGCATCATCAACTCACCGGATTTAACCTTCTCGAGGGACTCATACAAAGCTCGTTTGTTGCGTCTCGCTAACCACTGCAGTATCAGAGGAAATGCCAAGAATTAATCACGCACTCACAAGCGGCGGCAGTAGATGCCGCGAGAAGGATCCTCGGTTTATGTGTTCCAACTTGCCTTTCCAGTGAGGACGATGAGGTGCTCGATGAGGAGGGATATGAGGACCAGAACCAGGCACACAACGGCGACAGCCCATGTCGGCGTCTCCTCCAAAGATCGCCCGCCGCCCCCTGCCATCCTCTACGCTCCGGCGAGCCTTCCCGAGTGGTCGTCGGAGATGACAAAGGAGACGGCAGAATCCAGCTGTACTCTGATCTTCTTCCTCCCCTCCGGCGATCAGACTCGCGAAGCTCTATGCCGATGGAAACTGTGCGAAAGAGGGTTTTTATCAGGCGGGGGAGGCGGGGGAGGCGGTGGGAGAGGAAGAGGAGAGGAAGCTAATGAGGGCGTAAGGTCTCCAGTGGACATGAGAAAACAGTTAATTTAGAGGGAGAAATACCATAAAAGTCCTAACCGTGTGACCTTACCACCAGACCTTATAGGGGGTTTATAGGAAATTATAACTACGTCTCTCGAAACGCGGTTGGATGAAGTGATTGACCAAATCCTATCACGTCAGTGCTACGACTTCAAAGTCCGTGGGGCGAGTTGACCCGAATTTCGGCCGTTACACGTGGGGTGTTCCCATGGGTCGACTACCCCGGTGAACATGGACTAGCGGCAAATGCGGCATCCCCATGAGGCCCTTCCAATCAGATCGGAAAAGGCCATCCCATCCGTCCGATCACGGTTTCAGGAAAACGGAGGATTCTCGAAGAAGTCCTATTGACGGCTAGCCCATAAGCTACCATTATTAGCTTTTCCAATTGATAATAAACCTCAAAACCTACGAAATGACGAAGAGCGGTGAGGTAATCGCTGAGATGTTTAGGGAAGTGGGAACATATTTTCAGCCGTCCATTAGTCAACCATGACGAAACTTTACTATTAATGGAAAAAAATCAGAACGTTTTTGATAAAAGCAACCCAAGCAATTAAATTCCCAATAAATGTTTCTAATTAATTATAGCCTCAGCATGCAGTCTACCTTGTCTTTGACTAATAGCGGTTTGTTGTGGTCCATGTTTTTCGTCAATAATAAGTATTTAGCGAAGAATATTAGGTGAGACCGCCCAAGTCAATGGTTTTTATGGCCAAGAAAAAATTTCATTTCATTTTAATGACTACCACCTAATATTTTTAAAGAGGAATAATTTTAGACCACTTAGTAAAGTTCACGATCATTTATTATTATTGGGCGCAGATCAAGATGACCTTCCACAAATCCGGTTTATGCACGCTAAACATTGATTAAGTCAAGGATAAGGAGGGCATTAATCACGGGGTTTTCGAAATTCCCGTAGAATAAAAAATATTCGCCATTTTAAGCCGCGTGTAAATCTATATTTAAATAAATAGATAGCAGATATTATAATATCCATTGGTCCCCGATTACCGAGGAGTAGAACCTTCGGTTGACGCGGCCTGAAGTCACAACCAGCGCATTCTTCGTTTCGTTATCAAATAAGTGAATAATTAATGAATAAAAGAATAAACCCACGTGGAATAATCGAATCTTGGCACCGCTCACATAGTTATCATACTCGTGCGAGGGAGTAGAAGGCGGCGAGAGGGAGAGACGACGACCAACTCCCCCCTTCCATTCCCAACGCACCAATACTAGGTGAAGCTTGACCACTTCCTCATTCCACATCACGATCTCCCTCCTCGCCCTGCACCGTTTTCTACGTAGAATAATTCTCGAATAACTGGGGCTCTCTCTCTCTCGCTCTACTGCAATAACAGCTCAAGGATTATCGGACGTACTTCTCCGGGCGTCTCCGGTGCCAACTGCGCGTCTGTGGCTGGAAGGGGAAAGGCCTGCTGCAGGAGGAGATCAGGCCGAGCCCGTATAAATACTGTCCCCGGGTAGACGCTTTGATCTCCTTTCATGGGGACGACGCCTTCCCGGAAAACTGCAGCGACGTTGTCTGGTCAAGGAACGGAGGCGACCAGATAGACCCTCCTCTCCAATCTCCAGCCCCAGAGTCTTCATCTGTTTGACTTCACGGTGGCCTTCCAAGGGAGAGAGGGATAGAGAGAGAGACATGTGTCGGAGGCTCGGAGGCTCGGAGGCTCGAAGGTGGAGGTGCCAACCGGGTCCGGCGCTGTCTGATCGGCACTGCTGTGGCTGGCGGCCGTCGTTGAGAGTGACGGCCATTGAAATCGGGAGTCGAGGTCACAACCGGTGCAGCTTTCAACTTTTAATGGTGTCCTCGTCTACTGTCATCTCCCTGTGGCTCTGGTTCGGAGAAAATGATCCCTCTTCCTTTTCACACGCCAAGAGTGCGCTGAGTCCATCGTTGGTTGACCTCCCTTTCAGCACCTGGAGGCATTAAAGAAGGAAGCAACGGGGAGCCGCAATCTGAAAGGCCGGCCATGGCGCCATCCTCGGCGCCAGAGACCACCCGGGAGTCGCATCGACTGAGAATCCGTTCTCTTCCGCCTCCTTTCCCACTCTCCGTTCGTCGGCTCTGACGCCTTTTGGACTTGGACCGAGGAAAATACGAGAAGTGGTCGTTAATGAACCGCCAGAAGATTGCTGAAGAGCTATTGGGCGGTGGAGTCGTCGAGCCCACCGCAAGTCCTCTCCAATCATCTAATATTATCATGGAAATCGTCAGCGTTCTATTCTTCGCAATTAGTCAATGCTACCTTTGACTAATCGAACCTTCGATAACGCAATCTGATCTTGCGAGCTAACAAAGCACGCAACTCCTAAGACCACTAATCACTTATTGCGTGATTTTTACGTACTCTAATAGGGGTCAATAAATTCCATAAAAGTCGATGGGTCCTGGTTGACCTTGTCAACATTGCATTGACTTTTAAGTGTCCATTTAAAATTTTCAGCTTGATTGGGTTATAGATGAGCTTATTTTTCCTCCACAACTCCTTTCGATTCCGAAGCTTCTAGAAAAAAAATGTAATTCCATGCTTACGATGTTGATCAAAATTATTTTTATAAAATAATTTGCATGCGGATAAGGGCATTATTGTTTTTATTTATTATTTTTCTTTAAGGCTAATGTCCATTTCGTGGTCTATCTCGGCCCATGTCTGACGAACCCTAATAGGCTGATAAGGCTAATAAGGCTCACTATCAGCCGTCGTCGTCGGTTGCCTACTCCGACGACCAACGACCGGAAAGACCGCGACGAGGTATGGCCGGCGAGGGGGAGAAGAGGCCAACTTTTTTCGTGGCTGTCCATGTCGGAGCTGGGTTCCACGCCCATTCGAGCGAAAAGTCTTTCAGGAAGGCTATGAAATGCGCTTGCCGCGCTGCGGCCTCCCTTCTCCTCAAGGTCTGTCTGGGATGTCACACGCTAAAATATCGAGTTTAAAGAAATATATGGTTATCTCGTGTTCTGGTAGCCAATTGCATCGAACGATCAGTAAGGAAATGATGAATGTGGGAGTTGTCTCGTAGGGTCGCTCGATCTCGACTTACGTTTGCACAAGTATGTAGCTATGTCAAAAAGGGGAGATGACCGAACACCTTGTGCTCATCTTTTTGCGTCTCCCTCCCACTAACTTAGTATCGTCGGTTCCATACTGGGCCATGCTAATTTCTTATTCTAGCATCCATCCATTCTATGTCTGCTCCATAAAACTTCCGCATATTAATTGCCACTCTGTTCACAAATCAATCTTGGGGAGGACGTCGAGTTCCCAGCAAATGTACTTGACGCCTGATGCCGATGTCATTCCGCGCGGTCCTTTGTTGGGTGATCAAAGAGTAGAATAAACGCTGGGATGTCTGTCTTTTTTTCTTTATAATGTTGTTACACGCGAGGCAATTAAGACAGCTTGGGTTCTATGATATCTACCTATCGTTTTTCCTGGTGAATTCGATAACTGGGCACCTTAGTGAGAATGTTTTCTTCGTTCAGCCTTTTCTTGAAAATAGAGAGAAAGCCAGAATTGTCTTCAATCCTGCTGTCTCTTCCGGCTTGGGTTTCTGTCCAAGAATAATTTTTTTAATTGTGGTTGACACGTGGTACATGGTTTTTCTTTACATGATTCAGGACCACGGTGGATGCATAGATGCTGCCTCAGCAGCCATTCAAGTTCTGGAGGTGAGCAGATGCTTGATTCATAGTTTCATGTGTTTACAGCATTAGTTACATTCATTATTGAGCAAATGAAAAAATTTCATATACTTTTTCATTGTATCCTTTCTTTTTCTCTTCCTCATTCCGCCTTAGATGTCTCAAAAAAATGATGACCGTGCCTCTGAATGTATGCTCCTGTTGTTCTTCATTGCACTTGGCCAGGTCATCTGCAATGCCTTTCATGGATTTTAACCCACGCTACTTCTATTACTATTCGTCTTCAAGTTTGTTTGACATCCCAAACTTTCTCTATTTTGCCTGCCTCTATTTAATCATTCTTATATGGGCTAGTTCTCTGTTCCAAAATGGATTTTCTTCGTGCCTCAAAAGTTTTTCCGAAAGCAAGAAGCTGGCTGAATTGGCATTTTTATGGAAAAAACCGTTCAATTTAATCCTTGTCAGTTGTCATCCTGTGAATGCTAGAGTTACTGCTTTCTTGGGGTACATTGCTACGTCATTTTGGAGACCTCTTGAAGGACTTTTGTTGAAGGATGGCGATCTATTTGTTTTTGTAATCAATGACATTATGTGAACCACATTGTAATTTCCTATATGTGAAGTCAAGGTACACTGTTATTATCTATGTTTGTCGTTTTTTCTTGTGTTTCCCCTCCTACCTATTATTAATGAAAACAAAGCCATTTTTGTATTAGGTGTGCGATATATGGTCCACTGCTGTGATTTGGCCTGTGATTTATAGTGGTCCCTTTTCCTGGACGTTTCCCATGAATTGTTAAAAAAAGAAAACGTCCAATCATTTCATGATTTTTCATGCCACCTAATCTTGTTTCTACTCTCCCATTATATTTTTGTCTCTTGTGGGCTTTGGCAGATTTCTTGAGAGATTTCTTCTCCTATATCGTTCCTCAACATTGACATTGAAGTAGCCTTCTGTGTTTTTGCTTTGTTCGCATAGCGTCCTGTCTTTTCTTTTTCTTCTCTTTGACTTTTGTGATGATTGGTGAACCTACATTTAGTTGCAGTTTGTAGATAAGGTTTTCATACTCGGTGATACAATCACCTACAAGGAACATTACAGAGGACTTGTATCGAAGAAAACCTGTGATGACATGTATACTTTGGTTATAGGATGATCCAATCACAAATGCAGGCCGGGGTTCAAATTTGACAGAGCGGGGACATGTGGAATGTGATGCTAGTATCATGGATGGTGTTTCTGGATCCTTTGGAGCTGTAGGGGCCGTGCCAGGTTTTCTTTTCGCTTCTTTCAAGTTTATACAGAAAAAAATTAATCTGCATGGTATTCAGAATTTTTTTGACTTCGGGACAATTTTTCCTCCCATGTTACTCCACAAAGTGTGTGCGATATTTCGTTTTGCAATCTGATTGTTTTAGAGGAGTGTTTTTCTAACCATTTATTTACTGTAGATCAGGTGTGCGAAATGCTATCAAAATTGCTGCTTGTCTGCTAAAGGAGCAATTGGTGGGATCTTCTTTGTTAGGACGGCTGCCTCCAATGTAATGACTGCACTGAATTGACGGTGCTTGATTTTTCTTCGCTTGCTTTGATGTTTTTAATTCACGCTATTATTTGATAGAATAATGAGTGATCTATTTTTCCGGTACACATATTTTTTAGAAACCATGATATTACTGGCATCTTTCGAGCCATAATGTTGAAGCTGTTCTCTATCAAACGCCGCCTAGGAGATACCTAAGTTACAAGATGCTAACCGAGGCCAAGGAATTTGTGTTCAAGGGGTAGCTGTTTCCTGGGTATTGCGCACATTGGGTTGTCATGTTTGGCGAAGTCATAGTCAGACATGATAAAATTGTCAGCATCGCATAGAATGGGCTCCGGAATTGAAAGCATTTTCTCCCTCCTTAGGGTGAACAACCGAAACCGATTATCTAGTGAAAATAGTCTAAAGATTACTGATCAATAAATAATCGTTTTCATGTTGGTGGTTTGATCAGATCAAGTTTCTATATGGTTAACATCATGCATTCAGCAGATAGTTACAAATAGGGTTGTAAATGTGTTGGTGTAAAAACTCTGGATGCTGGATAACTGAGGTTGGATGAGGGCACGCTAATTATTCTTAAAAGCAATGTAAAAAAACCATGTAGATATCCAATTTAAGAAAACATCATCCATCCTTCATTGGATAAACGTACAGTATTATGCGGGTCATTGAGACGTAACTACATAATGGAATTAGATAGGAAACAGAGGTTCACATTAATTTTTTAATGCAAATTGATCATGTACTATTCTATTTTGTCAAAGATATTCTCATCTTCTCACATGATTCCATATTTCTTCTGCATAAATCACTATTATCTGTGGCGACCTTATCCTTATATTTTTTTTCATATCTATCAAGAATATTGTTTCTTTAAGGTTTTTGGCTGGTGAAGGGGCCCGTGAGTGGGGAAAGTACAAGGGAATCTGTATGCCTGGAACAATTTCAGAGACTGAGTTGGTAATCCCTCTGCCAGATTATCTATTGTGCCATGTTTGCTTCCTTTGCAAACACTGAAATTCTTCCACTGTCAGCTTATCTATGTTAATTTCTAAACAGTGGCTAATTACGGACAGGAGTAAGGTCCAGTGGCTTAGATACAAAAGAATGCTTGCTGATGCTATGGAATCCAATGTGGAACTTCCTTCTGAAGCCAGCACAAGTGAAGTGCTGCAAGTGCGATCAGGTATTCTCTTTTTATGACATTTTTCTGGTAATTAGTGCCCGAATAAAAAAAAAACTCACATTAGGGCTCTTTTTTCTGTAGTAGATATTTATGAAAGTATTAGATATCAAATGTTGTGGATTTATTGTGAGGATGACTTGTTGGTGTCGTTTCCAAGGTTTAGTGCTCTCAACCTAGGGAGGAATGGCGAACAGTTCCTTTTTTCTAATTTGAATTATACTTACTAATTTTTTAAATAAGTGAATCAATACCCTGTGAACGTTTTAATTCTCTTTCTCTTGATTTTCACTTCTCATTTACACCAAAGTCAGCATTAAATTTTCCTTCTGAACTTTGTAGATAAAAGGAGATTGAAGATCAATTCAGAACTTTGACTTGGGTAGTAGAGCTAGTGCTTTGCTCGTAAAACTGCATGGATAAACTTCCAAGAACGTTTTTTTTTTATGTTTGCCTTTTTCTCAAAGGTACATGTAGTTGTGAACATATCATAGCCTTCATGTTTCTGGAACTAGTGTTTACTTCCCTCAGTATCTATTGATTATGACAGAACGACATAAGAAATCATGCTACATTCGCAGAGGAAAACTCCATCTTATTTCTTTCAAGGTTATGCTACTCAATCTGCCTGCCAGATTGAGCACAACAAATGGCTTATTTGATTCAACTCTATCTTGTTTTTGTACCAAACATTTATATTGACGTGACTGGTTTTTGTTTATTGGGCCTGATAACACATCGGTAATGGCCTGTGCTACATTCACATATTTACGAACTATTTATTCAGTGTACCATACTAGCCCATCAACTATACTAAAAGTGGGAAACCTTTTTCTCCATGCAAATGGGTAATGCTGCCAGATAGAGAAGCGCAGTCTTGTGGGAGCGCGAAACGGGATGATGATTCAGCTGGGCAGCAATGTGGCGGAGATAGTCAGGAAGATTGCCACATTCTGGACACCGTGGGTGCGATTTGTATTGATTCTCGTGGGCACATAGCCTCAGGTGCATCGAGTGGAGGAATCGCTCTAAAGGTGACGTCTTTACTCCAGACATGCTTCTGATGGGCAAGGATGCAATCTACTCTTCCCTGTCAACATGCTTACAGAGAGTTCTCTGTGGTGCAACGGGGGTCCTGCAGGTTGATGGCCGCGTTGGGCTGGCAGGAATGTATGGCTCGGGGTGTTGGGCGTCCTCAAAGGACCCCTTTGGATCTCCATGCATAACGGGTTGCTGTGCCTCTGGTGCTGGGGAGTATCTGATGAAGGGATTCGCAGCGCGTGAATGCTGCATCTCCTCGTCTCTGTATGCCCCTCAGCTCCTTCTTCCATTGTTTACGCACCTTCGTAGAGATGAACTCACGGATTTGCATATATTTGCAGCTCTCAGGCAGGCCCGGCCTCTGCCTGCACCAAGGTTCTCCGTGCTTCTCTTCAGGGCAGCAGCCATGGATCTCTAGACACAGGCGGAGCAGGCCTGCTGCTAGTGCAGGCAGACGTTAAGAAGGTTGTGAGAACCCTCTCCTCCTCTCCTCCAGGCCCATTTATTGGGTCTGACTTTTATCGTTTTTTCTTGCTTTTTTTGTTCATCTGTTCTGAGTTAAGTCAACGGGAAGGACTTGGAATGGATGGATTACTTATTTTGCTTTCTTTATTGGTCCATCTATTCTGGTTTAGATAACCGGGAAGGACTTGGAATTAAAAGCCGTGGAGCTCGTTGCTGCCTACTCCTCTTCATCATTTGGCATTGGCTACTTTGCGAGCGGTATGGATCAACCCAAGGTAACGCCTTTATCCACTTCGCCCCTTTCCTATTCGGGAAAATCTACCGGGTCCGCAGTTCTGAGTTGACTTCCTCCCATGCAGACACTGATTCTGAGAGCCGACAGACGGGGAAGCGGCTCTGCCGTCAATCACTTCGGCACGTGCGTTGACCTCACAGCGTCCTAGCCTTCTGACTTATTTAGATATGTCGGTCGTTTTTCTTTGATGTTCTTCCACGCTGCACGCTGGAAAATAGAAAATTCGTTGGTGGAAAATGTGACGAAGACGGGATGAAGGTTGGTGGAGCTGCCTTTGACTGACTTTTCATTTCATACCGCTAAATGGGAAGCAGCGGTAGCTCACGGATGAAGATGATTTGATGGAAGTGCACTTCCAACTTCAACCTGGAGGAAAACATGGGTTTAGGGAGGTCCGCAGGGACAACAGACCTCTAGGAGTGACGTTCCAAAAGCCCAGAACCCCTCCCGCCTTCTGAAGTTCTCCTTCGTCTGGTTCCTCGGTCTCTGTTTTCGCGCGCTGCACTCGCTATGGGGAAGCAGAAGCAACAACCCATTTCCCGCTTCTTTGCCCCGAAGACCACTGAAAACTCGACGAGCACGCGGGCGCCGGATAAATCCAGGGAGCAGGTAATTTCCCGATTTTTTGCTCCGACAGGGACGGAACTCCCACAGAGACCCCATCCTTCTACACCGCCCAAAGTCTCGGCCACAGTCTCCTTCTCCCCTATCTCCAAGCGAGCCCGGCAGCAGAAGTTGGAGCATGCCGAGTCCCTAACCTCGTTTCTCAGGAAGAAGCATAAGTCGGTACCAGCGAGTGCTCCACAAGCGCCAGTCATCCCCCCTTCCGATGCTTCTCTCCATCAGAGGTTCGTTCGCAAGCTTCTGGAATCTCCTGAGCATTCCTCTGCCTCCTCTTCTTCTAGAAAGCGTCCCTCTGAGAACCCGAAGTACACTCCTCTGGAGCAGCAAGTCGTCGAACTCAAGGCAAGGTATCCCGACGTCCTCTTGATGGTAGAGGTCGGGTACCGATATAGGTTTTTTGGAGAGGACGCCGAGACCGCTGCGAAGGTACTGGGCATCATCTCCCACGTGGACCACAATTTCCTCACTGCAAGCATTCCGACGTTTCGGCTGAACTTTCATCTCCGGCGGTTGGTCAGTGCCGGGCACAAGGTTGGGGTTGTGAAGCAGCAGGAGACGGCTGTTATCAAGGCGCATGGCTCGAACCGCTTGGCGCCTTTCTCGAGGGGATTGTCAGCTCTCTACACAAAGTCAACCATTGAGGCTGCGGAGGATACCGGAGGGCATGAGGAAGGACTGACTGGATCAAATAGCAACTACTTGTTCTGTGTTGTGGAGAGGTCCATCTCGATTGACAAAGTATTTAGTGTCGAAGGGAGTTTCGACGTGAGGATTGGAATAGTGGCAGTAGAGATATCAACAGGGGATGTTATACATGGGGAGTTCAATGATAACGTCATGAGGTCAGGGCTTGAGGCTGTTCTCTTGAGTGTGTCTCCTGTTGAGCTTCTTTTGGGTGAACCCATTTCTGCACCCACTGAGAAGGTTGTTTTGCTTCTGCTACTTCTTTCATACTGTTAAAGTTAGATTGCACCAGCCAATCTTCTAACCGGATAATAAATAATAATTATTCTCGCTGTATACAAACAAACTACATTTGGGAAAGGAGGTCGAAACTTAAAGCAAAAGCTATATTATATTTGAAAGGCTATACCAAACTCTGAAGGCATTTTCATAGTAGGTGTCTGCATATTGAATCCAGATTTGTACTTATCCTTTGTTTGGTTCCTTCATACTTGTTCTTTTGACGTGCTTTATGGTAAATTTTGACGTCCTGAATTTTGTATTTTTAGCTGTTACTGGGATACTCTGGAACTGCATCTGAAGTTCGGGTTGAACGCACTTCTCGGGATTGCTTTAATGATGGAGGTGCACTTGCTGAGGTGATGTGTTTGTATGAGAATAAAGTTGACAGTGTATCTGTTGATAACCGTCAAGAGGAGGCCGTGGATGGTAAGCGAGAGACGAACCATCATCTTGGAGTTGAGGTAGATAATCAGTTTTGCCTCAGAAACTTGGCACGGTTGCTGTTTTCCTTTGTAACAGAATTGTTCTAGGCATTTAAAAGGAATCTCTTACTTGAAGTTGTTTTTTCTTCTCAACTGGTTCCTGATATAGGGACCTAGACTCGAGTTTTCATGCTGGAAGTCTGAGGGAAATTCTTTGTGCCTTCACAGGGAATTATTGCAATGTCTGAACTGGCTGTTCAAGCATTGGCACTGACCATTCGTTACCTCAAGCGGTTTGGATTTGAAAGAATGGTACATTTGGGTGCTTCATTTCGGCCTTTATGTAGCAACTTCGAAATGAGTCTGTCAGCAAACACTCTATGTCAGTTAGAGGTAATATGATGAATGCTTTCGTTTTCCTAGGAAGCATCTATCCCATGGGCGTATTGATTCATAACTTTATTGAGGGATAAATGTGAGAAATGCTTTTAATGGAGATGCAACATTTAACATTGGCATTGTTTAGTCCTATATTCTACACCCTTTTATGAAATGAGGTTGAAATTGTCTTTCGTAATATTTTGTGTTTCGTAAGAAATGTTGTTGGTTCTCTGATGTGATTGTAATAATTGGTTATCTTTATCAAGAAGAAACAATTATATTACTGATGTTGTCTCCTAATGATTGTGATTTGAAGGTTTTGAAGAATAAATCTGATGGCTCAATCGAAGGAACCTTACTCAATGCAATGAATCATACACATACTTCATTTGGTCTAAGACTTCTTAAACATTGGGTGAGTGTGTGCAGAGCCTTAACGCCCCCCCCTTGTTTTCCTCAATTCAGTTTGTTAAATTTTGCTTCATTTCCTTATTTGATGTGTGTAAACATATCGTTTGGTTGACATGTGCGGTGCTGGTGGTATATCTGTGTCTATATCTTGGTTAAACATGCCCATTTGCACTCTGAGCACACTTAGATACAGACACATGGATATAATATACTTATATTGGTTCAACATGCCCATCTCCACTTTTAGCACACTTAGATACAGACACATGGATATAATATACTTATATTGGTTCAACATGCGCATCTCCACTTTAAGAATTCATATTAAATTTAATGTTAGAAGTTTAAGAACCTATTTTGGAACTGTATTAAGGTAGATTTTGGGCCTTTTTTCTTTTATTTTCCTGAAACTGGTATACCAGTTGATGGTACGATATCAATGTTGAATAGCTATTTATAAAATTTAATTTTTAGACGTATCGATTACTTAATCTTGGCGAGTGTTCAATTTGAGACTTCTGTAAACGTCCGTGCAGTTGACTGTAATTGGATGTATTCCCAGCATAATCGTTGTTAAATTGATGACATTGAGCAAAATTACCATTCCACTTAGTATTAGCTTGGCTACTTGAATTTCTAAAAGTCGATGTGACCCCAACACCAATTTTCTCAGTCACATGCTTCCGTGGTGTAGACATAATTTCCAGTCCGTGATCGTGACTGCAAAGCAAACTATGATGACGGCAGACCACTGTTTCCAGGATTTTTCGCAACTCTCTTCAAAAACCTGGTGTCTTTTTTTCGTTGATGTCAATAAAAAGTCAGCCTAATCTCTCCGCTGAATGCATAAAAGCAAAAAAATTGTTGCTTAATTGCTCTGATGTCAGAGATCCACCTTTGGATCCATTCCCCATCCCCACTCTATCATGTTTTACTCTCGTCGTTTTCCCGCATCAGCGACATATCTTGGTCCTTTGTATTTAAATACCCAAGACCCCTCAAAGTTCTAAAGGTATACTACCAAGACATGGATACTCACTGGAAAGGTTAAAAGTTTTCACAACTTTGATACTAAGTACATGTTATTTTTTCCGTGTTAAAGCTGTAGATTTGACGTGGTTTTGGTATACATTTCCATGTTAGATATTTTTCATGGATCTTGTGAGAAATCCTGGCTATTGTATTCTTCTAGTTTTCTATTATCATTTCACATGAGTTCTTTAACCTCTTTTCAGGTTTCACATCCTCTATGTGATAGGAACTCCATATTAGCTCGTCTTGATGCAGTTTCTGAGATTGCAGATTCAATGGGCTTATTCTCGGTTTCAGAGTCAGTACCTGAGATAAATGAAGAGGTTCCATCTGGCACAATTAGCAAGCCCAAAATCGGTCACCTGCTTTCATATGTTTTAACAACACTAGGGAGGTTGCCTGATCTTCAGCGCGGGATTACTAGAATTTTCTACAGAACAGCCACGTCGGCTGAGGTAAAAACGATTGATTATCCCTGGACATGGATGGCATTGTTATCGCTCATATTTATTCTCTTCCATTTTATAATCGTGTGCATGATTTTGGATGATTATTTGAGAACAGGATATCCAAAAGCTTATTTGATTACGCAATTTTTTTTTCTCTCCGCATTAGCTTAATTACGTAACCTCTTTGGTAGGACCTTAACTATGATGCTGTTGAATTGTTGTTCAACATTTTGTGTTGCGAAAGAAAGCTCATAGTGTTCAATGCATTTTTTCATTTTAATCTTACGAATGCAGGTTGTGGGCCTGATTAGCGTCTCCTCTTTTGAAAGTGGATTGGCACCGATTTGCTAACAAAATAGCTTATCAAGATGTGTTTACAAGTATGAGTTTGCTGCTAAATTTTTTGCTGCACAATAAACCCAGCGTCTGGAACACACCTTTGCTTAGGTTTTTGTCTCGTAATTTTGATTAAGTAAATTATCATACCTTGTAAAAAGGAGGAAAGTAAAATGCATAAATAGCCATTCGATTTGAGACAATACTCTTGTAAACATTTTAGAAAGACGAAGAAACAAAACTTAGATTAGGAGCATAGCACTGAAGTATCCTGGGTTAAAAAAGTGCTTCCTTCGTTCTGATTAGAGCAAAAAATGTCCTTCAAATATCAGCTGCATTGGCTGTCTGAGTACTATCCCCTTGAGAAAGTTACTTGGCTATTTCCTTTAGAAGTAGATACAAAATGGTGCCGATGGCAAGGAAAACAACCTTTTACCTCTGGTTCTTCTAATTCCTGGTGGCAGTGCTCCCATGATTGGCTGGATCGACCTATGCACCCACCCAATCTGGTTTTAGGTTCTATCCCCTTCACCCTGTTTTCTCCTCCTTCGTTCTTCTTATTCATCCTCCCTGGAAGGTCTCTCCTTTCTGTTTTTTTTGTTGGATTGGGAGAGGAGTAGTTTCTCCGTTAAGATTGGATTGGCACTTGCCTATTCCACAAACCTCAGTTTTTACGAAACAAGTGCAAAAGATGGCTTCTCTAGGAACAGGGACAACAATGGAATTTTATTAATTTTATTCCATATGGTAGCAGAATTTGTATCCCTATATAGAGTCACTGCATGGATTCAGGTGGTGCCTACTTCCCTGGTGCACACTCTGAATTTAAAGGGGCAAAACATTAATGCCAACTGTCTATGACCAGTTTATCAGCAGCCTTAATTAGAGCTACAGGTTTACTTGGAAGTTCACATGGGTATTAATAGGCACTACTGACTTGTGAATTTTAACCGCTCATGCTACAGTTCATTACGGTCATGCATACTATATTACTCGTTGGGAAGCAACTTCAACGACTTCACTTGGATGATGACAGAAGCAACATGGAAACGAATGAGAAGATTGTTCGTTCTGGGTTACTTAGAAGATTGATTATGACCGCCTCATCATCATCTGTAATTTCACATTCTGCAAAGCTTGTCTCTTGTCTGAACAAGGATGCTGCGGATCAAGGGGATATGTTGCATTTATTCAACCTTTCCCAAAGTGAATTTCCAGATGTATGACCTATTACGACTCTCTATTTTATGAATTCATCATGTTTGTGATAACCCCTTTTGCTCTTAAACCAGGTTTTGGCGAGCCTTACAGCTTGCCGCTTAGCAGAAGAAAGGTTGGATTTATTGATTATTCAGTACCGGAAGAAGCTGGGAATACGCAACTTAGAATTTGCAACTGTGTCTGGAACTACACACCTAATTGAAGTTAGTTCACTGCAGTTCTCTAGTTTTTCTTCTATTTCTTTGTACGCGACTGTCAATCCTCTCTATACTGTGGAGGATTTTTACTTCATTGATGGATAACCATGCATTGCCTATTGTCCTAACTAAATTACATTTCATATGTACCTACCGGATGTGCTGAGAGATGTTGACAAGTTAGTTTTTCGTTTTGCATCACGAAGATGATCTGGTTCAATACTGACTCCCTTTGTTCTCTGATACCCATCAATTTGATGCATGCATTTCTAGATCTTTCACACGCTTTTGTGTGACCATGTGAATTTCATTTTATTTTCTGTTATGGTCCTGACCTGATCTTTTGTTTAGTCCCATGCGTTGCATGCCAGTTAGTTTCCCCAGCTGAATAATCGAGGCTCATGGAGAATGTATTATCAGGGTGGACCACCCTTTAGACATTTGAAAATGATGTGTCCCCAACCCTCTCAACGTGAAAGGAGGATACTTGGACTTCGCTACCAGAACCAAAGTACAATGAATCAGTTCAGGATACCAATGTGTAACGTAATTTATCTCCCCCCACGTTTGGTTGCATCTTCTCTGTCGGATTATCTCTAGTCGGATTCTGTGTGCTAAATGAAACTAAACGCGTAGTCCATCGGACTGTCCTCCCTAATATTCATGTTCGTCACCATTTCACTAGGAGAGCATGTATTACTAGTCCATCCTATATTCTCTATTATTATTATTTTTTGTATATGAATCTCTTGTGAAATCCACTATACATTTGTCCTTTTATTTCTTGTCATGCTCATCTTCCCTTGATTTTTTCTTGACCTTAAAATTGGAGATCTCCCCCAGACAATGGATGAGGCAAATTTTGTATTTTTCAGGAAAATCAGTTACATTCTATCTTTATAGAAATCGTAAAAATCCATTGATAATGAACGTTTATTGTAAGAAGATTCTCTTACCGGAACATGAATCTGGTTAGTCATGGTATAGAATGAACCATACAAATTGACTACATGCTCTGAGTGACAATCAATGCCGCTATATGTTCTTCTAATTGCGATTTAACTGAGTCTGAATGCTGTCACAGTTGCCTTCAGAAAAGAAAGTGCCCTCTGATTGGGTCAAAATCAGCAGCACCAAGAAAGTAAATAGATATCATCCTCCAGAAGTGTTGAAACTCTTGGATGAATTGTTGCTTGCAAAGGAAGAGTTTGCAGTTACCTGCAAAGCTGCCTGGAACCATTTCTTGACAGGATTTGGTAGATATTATGCCGAATTTCAAGCTGCTGTCCAAGCTCTGGCTGCTTTGGATTGTCTTTATTCTCTGGCTTTTCTTGCTAGAAAACAGGTAAGGTGACCAATCTGGGTTTTTCTTGCTAAATCTTTGTCGTGTCTAATGTCAATTGGGAAAAAAACGTGTCATTGATAAATTAAAAAATGAGTCATTCGTTGTATAATTTTATTGTACTTGTGCCTATGCAGAACTTTGTCCGGCCAGTTTTTGTTGATGATGATGAGCCAAGTCAAATAAATATTCAGTCTGGTCGTCACCCGGTATGATAATATTTAACCTGAAAAATTTTATATGGTCTATAGTCTTTGATTTCATGGGATGGCCACTGAGATTTTGTTTTCAATCTTTACCACGATGGATTACATTTTCCTTTAAAAATGTCTCGTGAATAGTTCTGGTTTTATTTTTCATCAGATGGAGCTTATCCAATCTTTTCGTGGACTGATCTGTCTTGTTAGTTTCCTGACCAAGGACGTACATTGTGGGAATTCAAATTCCTGCTCCGTCTTAGAAAACTTGGCTGATTTCGTGGTGAAATATATGTCTAAATAACTTTTCATTTCACCTGTTATAAAGATATTTAGTGCTTCACAAAATGGGACCTCAGTTAAGCTTGAGAATCTTGACCCGCTTCTGCCTTTTAATTTCTTCTTGGATCATAGGTAAGTTGAGCAAATAAATACTAGATTTGAAACGCAGAAGGAAATGACGGATGGATGAGATCTGTTTTTAGGAGATGTGTGAGAGGAAGAAAGAATTTGATGTTTCATGTTGTTGTGCATCTGTGTTTCTTGAACATACCCAATTATATGAAAAATAATAGTAACAGAGAAGAAAACAAGACTAGCCATGCACGTTGGATCATTATAGTGACACCTGGGAGGGAACCAACACCGGGCTTTCAGGCTTTTTTGATTGCCATGGATCATAATTGAAGTTCGATCACTAAGTTTCTCTAGTAGAAAACACATGAGTTTGACCTTCCCAGCGCTATTATAAACAAGCTATACTAGTTAGTTGCATTCATTGAAAATTTTTCTGTTAAAATGACAATTCCAGTAAGCGGATATTCTTCTGGAATTGATTTCATGCTACTTCCGATTGTCTATCATCAAAAGTTATGGTTTTTTTAACAGAAGTGTACCACAATTCTCCTCCCCGAATGGATAAAGAAGAAAGAAAGAAGGGTATGATTGTGCTGATTTGGGCTCTTCTAGGGCCTCATTAATGTATCACTCACATCTTTTTCTGTTCAGAGATTTTCATTGTCTTAGCTTTTTTAAAAATCACTTGTGGGGAAACTGTCAGGGGGGAGATCCTTATCACTTTCTTTGTCATGTAAAGCAAAAAATATTCAGGTTACAATGCTATCAGGAGGTTGTCACACGGTTTTCTCTTTGGAGTTTTGGAAATATCATCCAGTGTTTGCCACTTTTAATGATTAATTGTTCTATGCAGGTTCTTGAAGCAATATTAGGGGAGAATTTTGTCCCGAATGACACAAATTTACATGCAGCTGGTGAATTTTGTCAAATTGTAACGGGACCAAACATGGGTGGCAAAAGCTGTTACATTCGTCAAGTTGCACTCATATCTATCATGGCTCAGGTACATTGTGGTATTCATCATAAAAAAAAACTCATAATTGGGTTGTTTAACGGAAGAAATCTCACGGATCTGCGTTCCTATTTATGCAAGCGAGTTGTTGATTTAGGAAAAAAGAAATTTGTTTACAGCATTTTCTTTCCAAGCTATATTTCAGCATTTAAGTTTTAGCTCGAAAGTTATGCATATACATTGCTTTTTCTGTGAATGAAGTTTATGGAAGTTTCCATTTTTTTTCCTGTGACATATGATGTAGTTAGTGCCAATGATGTCTTTCTGCCAAAGGATGGTTTCTAGTTAACAATATTTTCCTTATTAAAAGTTCATTGCACTGTTATTTCAGATGGTTTTTTTCTCCCCTTTCGGATGCACTGTGAATCTACCGTAAATTTATGATTAGTTCATCCCGTTCTTGTAAGCTTACATGTTCGAACTCCAAGCTCCTTGGTTAAGCCTGTTCCCTTTTGAACATTTGCATTTTAACGTGCTTTTGAAGCGAGGTAGAATGGACCCTGTGCTGTATTCACTGTCAGTTTTATGGAGTTGGTCATTTTATTTATCCTACTAGTTTGGTGGCGTTATTCTCCAAGAATTCTGAAAGGGTTTTTAATCACCAGTTCTGTCTTAGCCTCCATTAATGCTTTCCTTTTGAAGCTGAAAATTTTCTCCGATAGCCTTATGAAACTCACCGATTTCTCTAGGTCGGTTCATTTCTGCCTGCATCATCTGCAAAATTCCACGTGCTAGATGGCATTTACACTCGTATGGGAGCGTCGGATAGCATTCTGCAGGGAAGAAGCACCTTTCTTGAGGAACTCAGTGAAACCTCTCAAATACTTCTTGGTTGTTCATCCCGTTCACTGGTGATCATTGATGAACTCGGCCGAGGAACAAGCACGCACGATGGCTTTGCCATAGCATATGCAACTTTGCATCATCTTCTTGAGCAGAAGAAATGCATGATTCTCTTTGTTACACACTACCCAAAAATGAAGGACATCCGACGGGAGTTTGTCACATCTGTAGGAACGTACCGTGTCTCTTATCTGACAAATCAGAAAATTTTACCTGTCGGGAATGCCGTATCAAGTACAAGTGATTCAGAACAAGAGTCCCTTGACATAACTTTCCTTTATAAAGTCATTTGTGGTGCATCAGACAAGAGCTTTGGTCTTAATGTCGCTCGACTCGCGCAGGTGATCTCCAATTCGAGTGTATTTTATTTTCTTGGTTGTCTTATTTTAGCTCGATTTGTGACTTTGATATCAGTCAGTGGGAGAAAATTAATGACGACAGGTTAAACTGATGCAATAACTAAACAGGCTGACTGACTTACTATTTCCTGTTTTGTTCGCTGGTGGATAGAGTAGTAAATGGCACTTCTCTGCTTAATGACACATTCATCCCTCTTTCGTTGAAAAAAACTGGTGAAATCCGCATTATCTTTCGATTTATTCTCCCAAGGAGACATGTATATATTTTTATATATATCTCCGATTATGAAGCACGGAGATATCAAGAGACTAGATCAATATCTGCTTTCGAGTAATGTCAATCCGGGTTGGGGACAATTGGGAAGCTTTGATAGTTGAGGGATCTCATCTGGTGCAGTTTCTATCATATTCTCCGACATTTTCTGAACCCTCATCGTCCCCTTTTTGAAGTCTCCGCATTCACTTGTCTGATAATGCGCTATTGAAAGCCTTGGTCTTGGCCGAGGAATGCTTGGGCTTTCCATTTTGGGGCATCCCAAAGAGGTCGCCGTGCATCTCCTAGTTGCGGTAGTGCTAGGACGCCCCGGTGTCAGCTTTTTTACGGACTTTGACATATTCGCATCAAAATATATGTTTACCGATTTAGCATGCATCTTTGGGCCGTGTTGTTATTTACTAATATTAGGAAGACATCCTCAGACCCGATACAGGAACAGAAATAGCACAGTGTGACTTGGAATTGGTATTCTCCTTCTTTGACACCATGGAAAACTGAAAGTCATACATCGTATGCTGCTTACCCACTTTTGCCATCTTTTTTTTTTTTTTTTAAAGAATGTGATTGAGTGATTTTCCTCTGCAGCTGCCATCCTCCTGCCTCGAACGAGCATTGGCTATGGCGACAAAGTTGGAGCTGAGTCTGAACTCAAGGGTGGGGAGCCAACTCAGAGGAGAAGTGGAGAGCACCAGCCAGAATGAAGAGGATTTCAGAAGAATTGAAATCACTCTCCGCAGGTTCTTTCACCATCTGCAGTCTGCACCAGGTGATGCCAGTTCCTGGAAGGTTGCCAGAGAGCTTGCATTAGCTGGTAAGAATCCATGCATTCCCATCTCAAATTACCCCATCAGGCTGCCTGTTCTCCCTTCATCTGAGGGTCTCTTTCTAATCCCAGTACGTGTTAATCCGGCATTAACTATGATCACAAAATATTATGACGATTTCCAAATGTTTGATGCGTCGATAATCATCCGCGTTTCTGTGAGTTGCATCGCATCGCAATGTGCTGACAGTTCCTTGTGAATATCGTTGCAGCCACAGGCCAACTGAGAGGCGTTCCCTGTGGATGAAGCCTGGAGCTATTATCGTTTCTACGGACGGTAGACTGGGAACTGGTCAGTTCTCCATGGCCGGAAGACTGAGCTAGATCCTTGTAAATTCTTGGGGCGATTTACGCCATCATATCCTCAGGTCAATTCAGACCCTCCCTCAGTTCTTCGGCATAGTAGCCCGTGTGATATGAGCAAAGAGCACTGTGATTGCTATTTACGGCGCGATTTCTGCGGCTTTGACTCTCCCCGTCTTCCAGTTTTGCTTGAAGTAGTTGATTCTCATGCATCTATCCATGGCTCTAGTCGACGACTGTTGGTCTTCTGTGATTCCACAGGGGCGAGCTCAGCACAGCTGCTGTGGTGGGTCTTCCCCCTTTTACTAAAGGGTGGTGAGAGACGGCGCTTCTCGGCCTGATTACTCGACTAATAAGGAAAAGCCGCTCAACCTTATAACGCCCGTCTCCTCTGCGCGGTGGTCTGTCATACCGTTCACGAGAACCACTGCGGTGCCGCCGCCGCCGCTGAGGACCCGGCCGGTGGTCCCGACCTGCACGAGAAGCTCGATGGTGCCGACAAGGCATCGGTAGACCTCCCGCGCCTCATTGAGAATAAAAAAAGGCTGCTCATGAGTGGCCTGACGGTGTTTGGTGTTTTCCTGTCGGAGCGTCGGGGCCTCATCGCCGCATATCGCGATTCTCCGAGGGCCCCCGTGGAGATGATGAATCGACTTTCTATTTTGGGGAAACGGCAAACGTCGTTTGACAGGCATTTTAGGCAAGCGCTTACTTTAAAGTGATGAGCTTGGATGATCAGCTCTGAACCCACGTAGCTTGCATGCAAATATTTAGAATGATCGTGACCGGACGAATCAGCGGATAACTCGATGAACCAGGTCAAACCCGAAGATTAACTCCCCAAGAATCCTCGAAGATTCTGACCGCTCTTGTCCAGGTGCGCGCGTTCGGTTGGCGCGAGGAGGGCCACTAGAGCCCATCAGTGGTGGGCCGCGCAGAACTCGGCGGATGGTTGCGGCGGCCGGCGGAGATATTCGCCGTGACGATGCGGTCGCTGTAGGATTTGGGGGACGACGTGACCGGTCACGGCTAGGCGACAGAGGGCCCACCGGAGGGCAAGCGAGTACAGGCACGAATTGGTCCACGTAACGCGAGAGGTGGCCACCAGATTTGTGGCCCGCGGCAGCTCGCCAAGTAGAGGCACACGTTTGACCACCACCGGCTGTTCTCCTCCGCCACTGAAACCCTCGCTCCCCCCGGTTGACCGCCGCCAAGTGGCCCCTCCTCCTTGGCGGAGCTCCGTAATATCTCCCGTCCATGGCGATTCTCCAGACTGCCCACAGGCCCCCGACAGCGCCATTAACACCCCCTTAGAGGTGGGTGCCTGTGCGGAGAGTCCTCTCTCGCTCAGATGTCCATCTCCGCTCGATCATCTCAATAAGTCCTGGACCCACGACACCACACATTCCCTCTGTCTATCCCTCTTCTTCCTAGTCTGCCTGTCTGTCTGCCTTCCTCTCTCTGTGGCCAGGTTTAAAAGGCAGATGCTCGGGAGGGAGGGGGCAGCTAGGTCATTCGACTGGAGAGGGCAGACGAAAAGTTGAGATTTTTATATGATGTGGGTAAACCCCCGTGAGGGTGGAGCCTCCGAGGGGAAGGAAGAAAAGGAGTGATGGCGAGGACGGATTCATCTGCGCTCGCTGTATCCCCGGCACCTCGCCTCGCTGGTTCCCGTTGGCTGCCGGAGAGCCCATCGAAGTCTCCGGCCGCCGCCCATGAGGGGGCGATGAACAAGAACTCCGCCGCCGCCGCCGCAGCTCCCGGTCCCGGTGGCGCCGCCGTGGAGCACCGAGAGAGCCACTGCCGAGGTCTAGCAGCGCCGAGGGGAATAAGAGGAGGAGGAGGAGGAGGAGGAGGAGGAGAAGGGGAGGGGAGAGCAGCCCGCTGCGAATGGGACTTCCAGCTCTGCTCCGTCATCTCGCCGACGGCGACGAGGGAGGTGTCCGACGTTCTTGGGGCCATCGAGTTCGACCCCTCCGACCAGTTCCTCGCCACCGGGGGCATCGCCAGGAAGATCAGGATCTATAGCTTGAGGTCCCTCGTCCCGGAGGCCTGCGAGGGAGGAGCCGCCACCCTCTCGGACCACGCCGCCTCCTGCAGCTTCTACATTTGCACCCCCGCGAAGCTCAGCAGCCTCCGGTGGAAGCCCGACGGCAGCGACCGCGTGGTCGGCGCCGGCGACTACGATGGCGTCGTCACCGAGTACGACCTCGAGAGGCGCGTCCCCGTGTTCGAGCGCGACGAACACGACGGCCGCCGCGTCTGGAGCGTCGACTACTCGCGGTGGCTCCCGCAGCTCGGCGGCTCCGCCTCCGACGACGGCACCGCGCAGCTGTGGGACTCTCGCTGCGGCGGCGGCACCGCCTTCTCTCTGTGCCCCACCGGTGAGTTGCGGGGGGCCGTGTGCAGCGTCGAGTTTGACCCCTCCGGCGGGCCCCTCGTGGGCATGGGCTGCGCGGACAGGAGGGCTTACGTCTACGACCTCCGGATGACGGCGGCGCCGGTGACCGTCTTCCGCGGGCACCACCGCACCGTTACCTACGTCCGCTTCACCGGCGGCGGGAAGGTCGTCTCCGCCGGCACCGACGGGTGCCTCCGGCTGTGGAGCCTCCTCGACGGCCGAGAGGCGCGCGCCTACGAGGGACACCTGAACACGAGGAGCTTCGTGGGGCTGAGCGTCTGGAAATCCGGCGGTCTCTTGGCCTGCGGCTCGGAGACGAACCAGGTGTTCGTCTACGACGTGAGGTGGGGCGAGCCGATATGGGTGGGCGGCTTCGACGCGGCGGAGGAAGACGGGGGCAGGGGATTCGTCAGCAGTGTCTGCTGGCGGCAGGCCGGCGGAGACGCCTGCACCATCGTCGCCAGCGCTTCCAACGGCGTCTTGCAGGTTTTCAGCGGCAGGAAGAAACCGAGGCCCCTCTGACTTGCACTTTGGATAGATCTCTTCCACTGTCTTCTCTCATTTCTTCTTTTTTTTCACTTCCTTCCCCCCCTCCAATAAGACATTCATCATACACCACACTGATCATCTCCTCAATCGATTCGTTCATTCAGATTTCTAACCTACCAAGATCAGCCCACCTGCCTTCTGGCAGCTCACAGATTCATGTAAGAATCTCCTCTCTCTCTCTCTCTCTCTCTCTCTCTCTCTCTCTCTCTAGAGAGCTCTCTGGTTCTCCTCTCTTTGCTCTGCTCCGCAGATGATCTCCAGATCACAGATTTTTCTCTCTCAAGGATAATAAATAAAAAGAGAAAAATGTCCATACGGAGGAGTGTTTAGCAGAAGTCAAATGCCCAAACGAAGCAAGGCCGGCCCTTCGCCGTCAAGGAAGAACAATCTCCTGGCTCAAGATGAGGTCCGAGACGGTCTTCCCATGACGGTCGATCCTCCTGGAACAGTTGACGCCTCCGTCCAAGACGTTCCTCACCACAACGTTCAGGGAGTGGACTCCCCTCACCTCGTAGATCTCCACCCGCAGGTTCTCCTCCATCCACCGATCTCTCTTCTCCGCCGCCGCCGGATCAGCGGACGGCAATTCGCCGAGGAGAGGTGAGACGGCTCCCTTCACCCACTCTGGGGTTATCACCTTTTTCAACCTCTCGAAGTCCCCGGGGAAATGAGGGATGATGGAGAAGTTAAGGTCGTTGCCTTTGTCACCGGTCCTCGAGTGCGCCGCCTGGTACAGAGGAATCGGCTCGCCGGAAGGTGCAGCGGAGCTCGGAGGCCCGCCATGATCGGAATCCACAGAGAAGTTTGTGCTCCCCCCACCGCATTTCCTGCCAAAATTGGTGCTAAATTTGATCGGGAGATTGGAAGTCTTACTGTCTGGATCAGCAACTGCCCGTTTGGCGCTGGTTTGCCAGAGGACAGACTCCCGCTCGACCTGAAGGAGACGAGGAAGCTCCCCAGTGACGATCTGATTCAGAGAACTGAAGATGCAGGAGATCCTTACCAGTTCTTTAGAAAGCACGATTTGCTTCCTGTGCCCAGTGCTGCACAATACAGAAAGCTAGTTAGATGTAATGTGATAGTGATGATGACTCAATGGCAACAATGTCGATGATCTACAAGGCCAAGAAACTAACAGCTAGATGTAATGTGCATCAAAGAATAATAAAATGATGGGCTTTAGGTGATTTTCGTCGGCGTTTCCCAAGCAAAGGGTTTTCCCTCGTGAAAGCTCCTTTCTATCGCCATTCTTTGACCACGCAGAGTGGCTACAGCTCCTCCACCACCATCTCCTCCCTAGGCACATCTTCCGGTGGAAAATTAGGTCGGAAGATCAGAGCTTCTTTCAGGATTCAAGCTGGCTCAGCCAGCAGTTTTGTAGGGAGTGTGGACAGAGGGTGCTGGGGTAGTTATAGAAAAATGCAATCTTCCTATGTTTACGGCATATATACCGTTTATTGAAATAAGTATACTTCTTTTTCTTTTCTGGGGAGTAATATGAAAATAATACGGCTTCTGACATTCAAGTATCATAGAGGACTTCTGCAGGCAATAAAATTCCAGACGACCACAGTTCTAACCTGATTCCACCACCACCTGCTGGCCCATTTGTGTATAGCGCCATAAACTCCAGAGCAAAGTGAGCTGCATGTTCTTCTTTCTCGAATAGACCGTCCATTCTCAGCCTCACATCCGTTATTTCTTGCGATGATGAAGAATCCGCATTGCTTCTTGCTACTTTTAGGCTGTCAAACCCAATAATGTAGGAAACAATTCGATCTCCGACGCCAGGAAATGCTTCCTCCATCCATGACTTAACCTGTGAAAAAAAATAGAAATATTTTTGCCTTATTTTCTAATGCATGTTGGTCGCGTCCATGCAGGGTCCATGTGACATCAAGGGCAGTATTTTTATGGCGAAGGAAAAAGATATATCAGGGTGTAACAATTTCTTCGTGAAGTTTATGTTCACATCTCTCCCAAATTAATGGACTAAATAAAAGGCCTGGTCATTAGACGAACCAAAAACCTGGCAGCTTCAGCGCGCTTGACGCACTCATACCCTCCGTAAGAAATCTCTCCCCATCCTTTCCATCCGCAATCCTGAAACCACACTACCAATTAAATCGAAAGCGTCCCACCACCATTGCCGCTATAGAGCACAAATGAGAGACAACTGACTTTCCAGGCTGAAATGAATTCCATGTAATAAACATTTTAGATGTAAGCGATCTTTTAGTGATAGCTGATTTAGAAACATGATGAAAATACATCATGGGAAAATTTTGATTTGAGTGTGAGAGGCTAGACAGAATGAGCATCATGAATGCATAGTAGTCCTCACCTTTGGAACAAGCTGTAGAAGTTTATCAGGCACAGGTTCTCCAGATGGTCTTGCTCCAAAGCAGAGTATCTTGTCAGCAGACAAGGAGCAAAAATAAACATCCCGAATATCTATGACCTGCCGTCAATATTTATTGTTAGCATCGTGAATCAATTAGCTATAAATTTTCCCAGTAGTTGTTGAAAGGCTCTTACGATGTCAGGCGTTATGTAGACACTGGGATCTCCAACCTCATAAAGCAGTTGCTCAGTGCAAGTACTAGAATTTAAAACGCCTCCACTCTCCAATGCTTTTGCTAAACAGACTTCTCCATCACAGCTAACTTCAGCATAAGGAAGAGACAAATCTAGAAGTTGTCGAATGGGAAAATTCCGGTATTTATCTCCTGTTCATGTTAGGTGGATAAATGAGTCTGAATTTGAATAATTCATGAGCTTCATCAAGATTACGTACACACACACACGCATATATCTATATATATATATATATATATATATATATATATATATGCGTGTGTGTGTGCATGTATATGCGAAGTCAAAATACAAAAAATTGAGGGCAACATGGTTACCAGGATGCATGAAATATCCTCCTGTTAGCTGGCAACCACACTCTAGAAGATGACCAGCCAGAGAACCTTTTGCAAGTTGCTCAAAATCATTCCAATTCCAACCTAATTCATAAACCTAGTCACGAAAAGTATGGGAAGAATTTGGGTGGTGTCATGCGCTAGTTATTTTTTTTCTGGATTTAATGAGTAAGAACAGGAGTGAAAGTGAAGGTGAAACCACATATCATGTACATAAACATCCGAACATCATTTTCAAGAGCATCCAGTAACTCTTAAAAAAAAACTAAAAGCTGCTCGTATTGGCAGAATAACACAAATACATGACCTTAAATTTAAAATAAAATACTTAGCGTCTTAAATACTTCTCCCATGCAGTTCCAAATGTGTTTTCACTGAATAAAATAATGATTTATATTTTCAGTAATATCAGTTGAATTATTTTTAAGACATAGGAACGAAAGCATACCATTGGAGCTAAAAATAAAGCAGCATCTGCAACCCGTGAAGTCACTATAACCTGTGGTCTATATTTTTCTAAGCACTGGACAATGGGGGCTGCTCCCAGATACGTGCTGACACCCTTCAAGGTAAAGATGATGCAAGGAAGATAACAAAAATTAGTTCACCACATAATCATCACTAACTAAGCTTTTTTCATACAAGCACATTATTAGAGACCTTAACTCAAATACAAGTAAAAATAATGCCTTTTGTGGAATTTAAATGCAAAATTAAATAATATTCATTCCACAATTTAAGCACAATGGGTTGCTTTCACGAGAGTAAACTGTTCCGCTGAAAGTGCAGTTTTTGTCAGGATGTGTTATTTATGGGTATTTGCTTGTTTATGAATGCACACGATCGTTGCTCATTGTTTTCATGAATACTATGAAGCAAGGTACTCATGTGAAGAGCCCAATTAAGAAATATAGATAGATGGAAAGCACAACACATGACAGAATAGATGACTAAGAATTCCAGAGCAGCAGAACCTTACACCTTTCCTTATCCTGTCCTCTTTGTCTGGAAGTGGGGTTCCTGAGGTAAGAAGACCGTCAGATGATGAAAACATAATGAAATCATAAATTTCTAGGAAACTTTCTAGATAGTATTTTAGTAGACTACTAATTGATATCTGTATTACATCTCAGATGTCTTCCTAAAAGTCAAAGAGAGATTGAGAGGGTTAGTCATAAAATGTTACCAGATTTTGATAAGACAATCTCATTAACCACAGAGACGGTGATATCTAGTGCCAAGCTATTTGCAACCTCCAAGATGGCCTTCTGCGCACCAAGTGGATCCACTTGTAATAGAGAAGTGAGTATCAACATCAGAAGTTTGAGAACTAAAATAATGCATGACATATCAGTATATACACCGGAATAAAAATAATTAGATGCTTACCAGCACCCATGTTGGTGATTATACAGACTCCTTTTCCTACAGATAGTGGTAGAAGCAAAGACATCCACTCGACGACTGCAAAACATAGAAGGATAGGTTTCATAAGAGTCCTACCTGTTCAGGATGTAGGCATTTACCTTAAGTGAAAATTTAGCACCGTTATGTCATGCTCCATGCGTGTCTATGTTCATCACAATAGGAATAAACAAGATGCAGTACACAGCGGGAAAAAAATACTGCTAGAATTTCTCAAATTGATCTGCTAAGGTATGAAGTTGAGGATGAAGAGGATGAGTTTACTGCCAGTTGTGGCCGCTTGGTGAAACCAGCTTTTTCGTCCCACAATGAAGATAAATTCACTTATGAGACCTCTACTGAAACAGTGCACCTCTGTAAAGTTTGGATCCTATATTCTTGAACTGCACGTGTATAAGTAACCAAACAACACTGGACCAGGAGAAAGGCGGCATCATTGGGCAATGATGCTTGGTCTTGTCACCTTGATGGCTAAACAGTTATTTTGTTGCATCATTGGGCATGCTTACTGCAATGATAATGTGCACTAGAGGAGGCTCATATCCGGAACAAGAATAAGTGCAACAATCTTCAAGCTCTCAATGATTTTGAATTAAAATGAAGAATAAGAGAATGAGAGGCATCTTGTCCATTTTAAAGACGACCTTGTACGAACAGTGCTCCGAGATTGAGCGATCAAGGTAACAGAAGTTTAAAGTGCGCATTCCATCTTGTGCCCATCTATGAGCATACGGTTTATACTACTTTTTGCATGAGTACGTAACCGCAAATATCTATCAAAATGAGTGCGCCTATATACATGTGAATGCAGGTTAAAGGGAAAACCTTAACAAGGATAATTCAGTTAGCATCGGATAGCCATTAAGAGGTAGTTTATTTCCAGAAATTCGCAAAGTGAGTGCGATAGTTTTCTTTAAGTTTACATTCTCCCAATGCACAAAATAGAAGCAATTAATCAGAATGTGGACAAGGATACATCATTTTTTACTCTAAGAGCATACCAAAGTAGAGGCATGCATGACATCATGGACAGAATTATGATAGGTATCTTCTAACTTCCAATTCCCTCGTGAGTAACACTAAGAACAAAAAGATGAGTTCATGTCCTAATTGTCGTCGGTGGAAAACAGAAGATATAAAAAATGCTTCAAAGAAGCAAAAAACAAGTATAATCTGAATAATGTAGAAATGTCTGAATGATAATAGGTGCGTTAAAAAGGAAAGAAAAATAACGCAACATACTTCGAGGATCAAACCCATCACCCCCGGACATCATAATCTGATATCGATCGGCGAGAGTCCTCTCTGCCAGACATTCTAAAACAAGATAATCAAGTTTATCAACTCTTTGGAGTAGTTTGAGGGCTGCCAATGATCTATCGCCTCCAAAACCTGCCCCACAACCTACAAGAACTTTCTCCTTCCGCCGCTGGGGATTATCCCTCTGCATATTCCGTTCCAACTGCAATCAGCCTTGGTACTACTTACACCTCAAAGAAAGTTAAAGAAAATAAATAAGTTTGCGCACGTAGCTTTACAGACCAGCTTAATCTTGCAGCTTTCTAACTCGCCTATATCCTGGACTTGCATTGTGAGTGGCCTAGTATCGGCGTCAGATAAGAAATCTATGTACGATCCTCTGATTGGATCAACGATTATAATCGAGTGCTATCCAGTCCCTGCATGCACAGACAGACATGCGACGAGCTTGATCAATAGGCGTGACACGAGAAGAATACTTGGAATACTTCCAAGAAGCGCCACCATACTCGTCCATAAAAGATGGATTTCGAACTACGACGAGTACGAAATTTCCAACGCTAATCGTGGAAGCTTCTCATGGCCACTACGATTACTTCCCCGGAACGTCCGGCTTGAAACCTTCGCTGAGATAATCCAAATGCAGAAATGAACCCAGCCAAACCTGCCTTCACGTCCCCTCATCAGAATGATGAGACGCTAGGGAGAATCATCGCCACCGAGCTCCGCCAACTGGATTGGACGGACAGCGCCATCTCGATTTCTCCGCGAGGATTACTCCGACAGGATCGAAACAAACCAATGATCAAGTCAGTCCCTCGCCTCGATTAAGATCAGTGACGCAGGATCGTACCAACGGCCAGGATTCTCCTACAGAGTTAAGCCGGCGTCCTGGCGAGTCGGCGGGCCACCGTGAGAACGGGCCGGGGGCTGGCTTGAGCCCGGTCCAGTTCCCGAGCACTTCCGTATAAATAAATAAAATACAAAATATAGATTAAAACACGAATTATCGATTTATATTGGGCCGAAACCTGACGGCCCAAATAAATGTTGGTGGGCGATACCAGTCGGGAGACGCTTTGGCCTCCTGACAAGAATAGCTTAAGAAAATAAGGCAGTTGGGAGGGAGATGCCGGGTAACGTGGCTGGCGGCCGCCCCAGTAGGACTGCCCGACTAAACAACTCCCTTCTTAATCTAACTCTTGGTGACGTAGGAACCAACCCTTCCTCTCTGTCCTTCTCTCATTGGAAGACCTGCCCCATAAGATAAGGCGGCTCATCTCTCTCTCTCACACACTACTCACAGTCATGGTGGGTACTGATCACTGGAGGTTCGGTCAAAGAAGAGAGAGAAAGAGAGATGCTTCATGGAATGGATGACTACGTAACTCGAGTTACTCATAAAATATTAAGCAGTTCGAGAGATCGATCCCTATCCTGTGTACGATCCCGAGTCCCGAAGACGTGCCTTCGGTGTAGATTTTTCTTCGATGCAGCCAGGTGTCGGACAAACTCGAAGTCAACGATCGTCCCGCCACTCCTCGAGCAGTGAGCTTCTGTGAGTAGGGTCTGCAGGGATACACCTGCAGGAGAATATCGTACGCTCAGAGAGAGAGAGAGAGAGAGAGAGAGAGAGAGAGAGAGAGAGAGAGAGAGAGAGAGAGAGAGAGAGAGAGAGAGAGAGAGAGAGAGAGAGATGAAACCTGGCAACGAATCCCCGAAGTTCCGAGGGGAGAAGAGTGATGCTGTAACTAGGCCACATGTAATTCCCGGATGGTGAAGTGAGATTAGTTGTCGGCGACTTCCATCGTCCGGAAGAGGACTAGAAGGGAGGGCTGACTTTATGAAGCAACCATGAAGTAGTTTGACTCTTCAGAAGGAATATCCCATTCTAACGAGCCTCAGGGGCGAGCACGCCTGTTTGTTCCAACCAGTGATTTAAAAACTCCTGCGAGAAGACGATCGAAGGTGAGGAGATTATTATAAGGCTGGCCGGAAGCTTCATGCCTCCCATGGCGGCCCTCTTTCTGACTTCAATTGCTCCCGACTTTGGACTAATCAATTGATTTCTACTACTATCCGCAAATGATTAACGGCGCCTGCCAGTGCAGACCAGCTCAGCGTGATTCCGAGGATATGGACCCATTGGGTTCCTTCCCTATTAAGCTCCAGACGAGTTCGCCTTCGCAGGATGCCGGAAATCTGCTTGGCTTTCTGGGTTCTGCTCTCCGTCGGAGGGTAACTACTGCCATTGCTGCGGAATGGGGTGCAGGGCCTGCGACCAGCCGAAGATCAAGTACAGGAAGGGGCTGTGGTCGCCGGAGGAGGACCAGAAGCTGAGGGACTACGTCCTCAACCACGGCCATGACTGCTGGAGCGCAGTCGCGATCAAAGCTGGTGAGCATCTCTCGTCATCCTCTCCACGCAAACTGCTTCATAATCTCACTTTCAGTCGAAGAACAGACGGCATCTCAGTCGTCTTCTTCCTTGAACCCTAGGGTTGCAGCGGAATGGGAAGAGCTGCAGGTTGCGGTGGATCAACTACCTGAGGCCGGGGCTGAAGCGCGGTCTCTTCACTTCGGAGGAGGAGGAGACCATTCTGTGTCTCCACGCCTTGCTGGGAAACAAGTGAGCCCTCCGCCATCGATAAATTTATGTGGATGATAGCAGAAACTCATCTTTCTTCTTCAGGTGGTCTCAGATAGCGAGCCATCTGCCGGGAAGAACAGACAACGAGGTGAAGAACCACTGGAACTCCTACCTGAAGAAGAAGGTGGGAAGAGCCGCCGAGAGACCCTCGATCTCTCCGGAGGAAGCCAACTCCCGGGTTTCGTGTTTAGGGTCGCCGGAGCCGACGGAAACGTCCTCCGCCGACTCAGACGACCGGCGAAACGCCGAGCAGAAGCCCTCCGCCCGCGCAGCGCTGCGGAATCCCCTCCCGAGGGTGATGTTCGCAGAATGGCTGCCGGAGGAGTGCGCCGACGAGCGGAACCTCGTGAACTCGGCGGCTCCAGCGAGCTTCCGCTGCCACCCCGCCGCCACAACGGTCGATGAGTTTAGGGAGGGCGGGCCCTCTCTCGTCTCGGGGCTAAATATGGGAGGATTCTTTCCTCAGATGGGTGAAACCAGCATCTTTGGGGATCTCCAGCCGCAGTTTGAGTCGGAGGGCCAAATTGCCGGCGGCGGGCTCTTTGACTTTCTTCCCATGTCGGAGTTCTGCAGTAACTTGTAGGCTAGAGAGGTCTCTGTAACAATTGTAATTCCAGGCGTGAAGTGAATAAAGGAAGATTTAACTCATTCTGAGAAAGCATTACCAGTAGTACATTTTTAGACTGAAGGGTATAAATGGGCCGAGGGCAACCCACTATAGGCCCAATAATGGGACGGAGAGACTCGAATGTTTCACGAGGAAAAGTCGTTTGAGCCCTGGGGCCCACATAGAGTTTTCATGTACATGATTAACGGCCGTGATTGATCAGATCTCTCGTGGCGTTCTCCGGGCGCAAGCCTCGTGATGCCCGCTGCTCGCGTGGCCCGCTTCGGCCGGGCCAATCCAATCCACTCTCCCCATCCACTTCGTCCTCGAGTTCTCCTCCCAGCGCCTCACTGATTGTGATGACGTCGGGGCAAGACTGACGCTGGTTCTTCGAGCCATCGGGTTCGCCGAGTTCTGAGTACTCCCAGATCTCTTAATCGTTCCTCAAGTTGCGTATGCTGGTCGCTGCGGATATTTGAGGGAGATTCGGATACGTCTCGTTGTTATATTCGTGCCGAGGCTGTGAGATTTCCCCGCTATTTCTCCTTTTAGATCTCCAGCGTCCATTGTTATGCTTCGTAAGTTGAATTCTGTATGATATTACTGTCTGGAATCTGGCTCCCTGCGGCCGTAGGATTTCAGGTTGTGCTAATTCTCTCTCGAATTCGTGGGTCCTTTGTCGTCTGTGGCGTTGTACTTTTGATTCTAAGTAGTTTATTTTTGTTTTCTACTTGATGTTGATGAATCATTCGAACTGGTCTTCGGTTTGAAGCTTTGGAGGATACTGATGAATTTATTTATTCTGAATAATTGATGTCTCTACTTAAGTAGTGATTCTGTAAGACTGTCGCCTAAATGCATTATTGACTTCACTAAACGTGGAGGACTATCATATTTGATTCCCATTCAAACAGTCTCACTGATCAGCGAACACGGGCGGTAATTATATTTCTCTGATATAAATGTGGGTACCCTGCATTTTCATCCTGAGTTCCTGACCTCCATTCTAATCACGGAGGATTATTATTCTCCGTATTTTCGACAAGTTTCATACTTATGGCAGGTCTCAGGATGATGTTGGAATAATGAATATCCTCCCATCTCCTTATTTCATGGAAGTGTCGCGTTATTTCATGTGATTGTTCTCTTGTTATGGACATGCTCACAAAAATTATCTTCAGTTACGTAAAAATTATGGATTCACATAAATGTGCTCTAAATGACATCTGGTTTGAAATGCTTTGAAGTTGTGTTAGCAAATTATGGGAGGCGATATTTCACTGTGTCATGGTTATTGTGTGGAAGGAAAATACTGTGTCCCATAATAATTTTATCTAAAAATTTATAATGGACTATATGCCACAGATGTCTCATATATTTGATTGCTTGTTGACGCAGGAATACTGTAGTCAAGATTCCAAACACCATCACTGAAAGTCTTTTGGTTCTGGAAGAACATTGAACCTCTGACATGACTTCTTTATCGATGTCTGTTGCACTCAATGGTGGAGAGGGTTGCAGATTCTTATCTGGATCCCACTTTTTTACAAAAATTGATTTCAACGTTTCTGACCTATCAAATAGTTTGTGTAAAGCATTTTATGGAGTTCGGTTGAATCATCTTGAAAGATATCGGGTCCGAAGAAGATGCCGGTTTTGTGTGTTTTCAAGAATTAGAAAGGGACAGAAGCACGAATATCCTTGGCCAGGGGATATTGACCCAAACCTCAGAAGTGGACATTTGAATTACTTATCTCATTTCAAGCCTCTTGCTGAGAAGCCTAAACCAGTTACTCTGGATTTTGAGAAGCCACTCGTTGATTTAGAGAAAAAGATAATCGATGTAAGTTCTCCTCGAATGGTATTCTTTGCAATATTTTCAAATTACATCTCATCCTCACTCAGAATCAACTTTAATTTATTTTTGGCTCTACTTTTTATTCATGCAACAGAAACATAAAAAACTTCAGAAATCCAAAGATTAGACTTACACAGAAAAACTGAACTTTACTCTGCAACTTCATTCACGAATCATGATGGACACTCTCTACCCTACTCCCTGATTAGAGCGCACTTCAAGGGACAATTGTTGGTTAGAGAAAATAGTGATTTTTTTTTGAAAAATATGCATTCCCTGTGATGGGTGTCTGTGTCAAAAGGAAAAGACTCGAAACCGGATTGAAATGATTCAGTTGACTACTTATTTTTGGATTTACCTGTTGTCACCCAATCCTTGGTGAAGTTATATGATAAACTTGCTATTTTGACGGTAGTCTGCTCATGGGTTTTTACCAAAACCGGCCAGAAACCAAAATAAATGTCAAATTATTCATGCACAATCAGTTTTGTGCTCCTCTTTCCATAGATAAGGGGAATCAGGCCAGTGACTTGCTGAAATTTTGTATGAGCAATATTTATGATGAATGCATACGATGACAAGATTTTTGTACACTTGGGCTGTTGCTTTAGACTTTCTTTAGCTGTGTTTGAAAAAAGAAACTCTTCGGTCATATAATCTAAACAAATATGAATTCAAATTAGGGCGAGTTATTCGAAGGAGGGCACTTGTAATTTTACGGAATGCATTTATGGATGAGAGTGAATAGAGATTTTAGTAATATTTTTAATCTCACACCAAAATGATGTCAAATTGTTATTTATGCCATTTCTTGCGTCAAGACAACATCCAAAAGTTGAGGAACTTGGAATCAGTGACAGTAATAATACCATTGATTATTTCAGCTGTCAAAAACCAACTCTCGATCTCCAGGCAAGTCTCTATGCACAGCCAACTAGGTAAGGTCCAATTTTTTTTCTGTCCTTCAAAATGGAAATGTGAGTGTAAAAGGAAATATAAAGAGAATGATTCTTTAAAGTTTGTCTTTATTGCTTACCACATGATCAGTTTTGTGGTTTAGGTTGAAGGATCCAACATCAGGTAGGACCAATTCCGTTCTGTAGCTGGATTGAGCTAACAAGCGTTTGGAGATTATTGAAAACCAATCTAACAACTATGCCCATTCTCACCTGATTCTGGCTGATTCAGCTACCCTGCCAATTTTTTCGGATCACCTGCTACTTATTCTCTTCCAAATTGGCTGCTCTTGCAAACCATTGTGTAAACATCATCCACAAAGGTGGCTTCTAGATTAATCGAGTGGAATGGATCTTGATATTGGTGGATACATCCACTCGGCTTTTTGTCCGAAATGGTATCGTATGTCTGCTCACAACTTTTATGGAAGTGCTGTGGTGGGATCTCTACTGCTTGGGATTGTTCTCTTGATAAATATTAAAGAGACATTGGCCGTTTAATATACACGTTTCTTATTGGGATGATTATTTATATGGCATATCTGTGGGATTGCATCATTTGTCCCGACTTTCATCTCCTTCCTCAAATATTAGTATGCTCGTACATCTATACTCCAGCCTTCATATATGTCCCTTAGCAAGTCTATTTCTTGTGTGTCATTTTCATTTGTTTTCCAGGTAAGGAAAATGGCTGATGAAACTGGTCTGGATTTCAGTGATCAAATTAACTCCTTGGAAAACAAGTACCAGCAGGTTAGCGCTGAATGCTTTAATCTCGTAGTTCTCTTCATATTGATTCGTAATTTTACTTTTTGTGATGAATGAATTGCTGTATTTTTTAAATGATCACCAAGTTTTTTTTGCGATTATAAGTCACAATGAGGGGAAAAAATCCTGACAACAAGATTATCCTTTTCCGTTAGCATTCTGGCAAACTTTGGAAGAATCGTACATTACTATTATTAACGATCAGATACGATGTATTTTCCAATCTTCTGATGTGCAGAATTTATGGTAGCTTATGTAAGATTCCGGATGATTTAATATATTACCATACATAAATCTGCTTGACTGTATGAAAAATGACTTTAAACTGCTGGTGGTATTTTAGATTTGAGAAGTCGACTATATCGACTTTATGTATCATCCAACATTGGACTCCTTTTGCAACATATCGCTGTGCCACTATCTGATACCATCTGCCTCACCAATATTACGGTGGCTTTGATTCTGTAGACAGATAATTTATGCATCCATTTTATCAAAGCCCATGCAGTCATTTGGAATAGTTTGCCAGCTCCAGACCCGAGGATCACATTTCTCTGTTGTACTACTACTTACAACACTTCCTTAATATTCTTAATGTTTGTGCAGATATTTGGCTTACGGTCCACCATGTCAGTTGGCATAATTTTGTTCGTCTGATGAAATATACTCGTATGATCATCGTGGAAACATTTATTTCTGTTCCCAAATTCTGTAACATGGTTTGCTAATAATTGCTCCGTTTGGTTTCATATTGTCAATATGTTCAGGCTTTAAAAGATTTGTATACACATTTGACTCCAATCCAACGCTTGAGCATTGCTCGCCATCCAAACCGACCAACATTCCTTGACCATATCCTCAATATTACGGACAAGGTATTCCGTTAATTGCTTTGTTAGGTCATTTTCCTTCTGCTATTTGCTCTCCTACATAAACAAATATCTTGCTGGTTCTCTATATTTTTTAAGTGGGTGGAGCTTCATGGAGATCGTTCAGGCTATGATGATCCGGCTATTGTTACTGGCATTGGAAGCATGGGTGGCAAAAGATACATGTTCATGGGTCATCAGAAAGGTCGTAACACAAAAGAAAACATACAACGCAACTTTGGAATGCCAACTCCACATGGGTAATGTTCCTTGTCCTTTGGTCCCTGTCATCCTATCTTGATCGCATTTTGGTTCAATGCTATTTACTCTCAAGATAATGAGACAATAACTTTGACAACAATATTTGAAAAATTTATTGTTAAGGGTGATTCGGCATTATTCTCTTGTTTCTGTCTTGGATATGGCAATCTCACTTTCTGTTGGAGCTCGCCCTTGTTTTTTTTACATCTAGAGCTTTGTTAACTTAGAAACATTTTCCACAATGATGTTAGTATATTTTCGAAGGATCTTTGGGCTCAAGACATTAAAATATTGAGGATATCTTTATTCCCATTTCATAGTTTGTTTTAACAAATTTGAAAAATTAGCTTCATTGAGCTTCATCTTTCAAACAGCTATCGCAAGGCATTGCGTATGATGAAGTATGCAGATCATCACGGATTTCCTATCGTCACGTTTATAGACACTCCAGGGGCATTCGCTGATCTGAAATCTGAAGAACTTGGCCAGGTGGGTAGAAAGATATGCTTCCTGTTCTGTTGCTTGGAGGAGTATTTAATATTCATAGAAGTTTGTGGTTGGTTTCCTTCTTCCAGGGAGAAGCAATTGCCCAAAATTTGAGAACTATGTTCGGTCTAAAAGTTCCAATTATCACTGTCGTTATTGGTGAAGGTGGATCTGGTGGTGCGCTTGCTATTGGTTGTTCAAACAAATTGTTCATGCTGGAGAACTCTGTTTTTTATGTGGCAAGGTTATTCGGATGTCTTTACCTGTTTTTGTACTACAATTTGTGGCCATGTAGTGCGTAAAACCTTGAGATTTCACCCTACTTATGATTTATTCTCTCTGTCATCTGTATTAAAACTTAAAACCTGTAGTTATCTCCAGATTAAACTCTATCTTTTCTTTCAACTTTTTAAATCTGATAACACAGGATATGAAACCCTTATGTTTTCCTCCTGATCATGACTTTTGTTTTCTTCAATTTGTGTTTTTCTACGTCGGGCAGTCCAGAAGCATGTGCAGCAATCTTGTGGAAGTCTTCCAAAGCAGCTCCAAAGGTGATTCTTTTTACAGTGATTGATTCTCCCTGAAAGAAGCACGAGATTCACACTTCTTTATCTTATCTTTAGGCTGCTGAGAAGCTAAAGATCACATCCACAGAATTGTGCAAACTCAAAATAGCTGATGAAGTCATCCCAGTAAGTTATTTCTCTCATCTGCGTATCCTCCCCAATTCTGATGACATTGAAGTTCATATTTGCAGGGATTCATATGCTCATTTTTTATAAACTAAGTTTCTGTTCAGGCGCTCTGTCAGGATACTTGCTCATGTCTCTAGCAAGCCTCACCGTCGTTTTTTAATCAGAGTTTTACGAGTTGTATATTCATTTTTAAGGGGTCCAGAAGCAAAATGCTAATAATGAAGTTGAATCATACCCGTTGACTTTCTGAATCATGCTTCCTCTTATGTTTTGCTCACAAAGGGCTTGGTTAATTAAATTTTGACTTCATTGTACTATCTACAGCCCAAATATTCCTTCTGGACGGCTTTCCTTAATTAAAAAAAGCAGGCATATTTGTAACAGAACCTCTTACCCATTGCTAAGACTGTGTCTCCGGTCTTATATTTTGGGATTTATGATCAGTTGTTGGACTTACCAGCCTCCTGTGATTCTTGGCCATCAGGAACCTCTGGGTGGGGCGCATACGGACCCAGCTTGGACATCCCAACAGATAAAGCTCGCTGTGATAAAAGCCGTGGAGGTTTTTCTCCTTCTCTTGCTTTTTGGACGTCACATCTTCAAATTATTCAATTTTTTTCTCAACACCAAATGGCACGATAGTTGCATATTTTTTTTTCTCAATCCTGATAAGCACATGAAAGGAACGGGCTGTGAAGAGGGCTTTCAAAGTCAACCTTAGAGAAAAAATCATTCCAATTCATCGAGGTTTATATTTTTAAGATATTTTTTTTAAAAAATAGGACCTGAGATCAGAATGATGGCCACCCGCATTGTTTCTTCGTAGGTTGCATGTTTTCGATACGACTTTTTAAGATAACTTGTGCTTTTCTTCAATCAACTTTAAAAGATTCCGCAGGCGTTGACTGATCCAGGATCCCTGCAGGAGCTGTCGGGTCTGGACACAGAGGGCTTGCTGAGCCACCGCCACCACAAGTTCCGGCAGCTTGGCGGGTTTATTGAAGCGGACACGGTGGAACCGGAGAGGAAGCGCAGCATGAAGAAGAAGGAAGCCGGCATTGTTCAGACAACGGCTGAGTTAGAGGCGGAGATCGAGAACCTGAAGAAAAAAGCACGAGAATCAAAGGGCAGCAAGCCTCCGGGACCCACGATTTCCGACGAGGTGATGGAAAACCTGAGACGAGAAGTAGACAAGGAGATGACCGAGGCCTTCATATCGATGGGTCTCCAGGAGAAGCTGGAAGCCATTAAAATGGAGCTTTCCAAGTCCTCGACGGCGTCTGAGAGCGCCCTCAGCCCCAATGTGAAGGAGAGGGCCGACAAGCTGGCCCAAGAGTTCAATCTAGCTCTCTCTCGCCCCGGCTCCTACCTGGGCCTGAAACAGAAGCTCGAGACTCTGACAGAAGCCAGCCGGCTCCTTGAGCAGCAGGCAAAGGGGGAGAGCCTGAAGAGAGAGATAAACGCGAGGCTCCAAGAGCAGATGAAGGGGAGGATGGAGATCTTGAGGATGGCCCGCGAGAAGGTGACCAGAGGGGAGCAGCTGGACGAGAGCTTGACGGAGGAGGTGGAGACGGCCAAGGAAGAGCTCAAGGAGATGCTCAAGTCCGCAAAACTGGAGGTGATCGCCCTGGGGAAGAAGAAGCTGCCATCGGCGCCGCCAGACCTGGAGGAGAGGATCGCACAGGCGGACTTGCTGATAGGCGAGGAGATTCAGAGGGCCGTCGAAGCGGGTGGCCTCAGGGAGAAGATAAACGAGCTGAAGGAGGAGATGAAGAGCGCCAACAGGGAGAGGGCGCTGGAGCTGGAGAAGGAGATCAGAGAGAGAATAGTTGCCGTCATCGACTCGGAAGAGCTGAAGAAGAAGCTCGAGTCCCTGACCGTCGACCCACAGCTGCACGCTTCTCCTCTCGTCGACAACGGTAGGGGGTGAGATCCTACCATCATCCCCAGGAGTGCTCTTTCTTGGCACCTATTAACTAATAATATCTACTGCGAGGATGTCTGCTTTTGTGTGGAGAGATAGAGATAGAGAGAGAGAGAGAGAGAGAGAGAGAGAGAGAGAGAGAGAGAGAGAGAGAGAGAGAGAGAGAGAACCAGGACGTGAGACTTGCATTTGTATATTGGAGGGGGGGGTCGGCGAAGAAGACCAGACAGTCTGTTCCCCTCTGACTTGGAAAATTCCCAGGATTTCCTTGTAGAATTCCTTCCTGGGCCACTCCCCTCTGGAGAAAAAACCGTCTCCCCGTCTCCCCTCCCCCATTCTACTAGATTTCTCGATGATTTCAGTGCGTCAAGACTTGATTCGATCCAATATCCTTATTGTTTCATGTTTTCGTCCTCGGATTTCATATGAGACCCACAGGATCCTTAGAACATGCTGACAATGCCTGGAATCGCCGATGGCCGAGGAAGAAGGGTGATGGAACTAGCCGTTGCGCATGCCATGCAGCGGCGAGGTGGATTGAGCGCGGCGCGGCGGTTTTGCGCGAGGGGTTCCGACCGATGGTTGTGGGAGCGGGGACCTTATCTGGCATTTGAAGGGGAAGGAAGGGTTCATTCGTCTTTTCGTTGCCGATCTTCCCCATTTGATGCCCTAAAGGAAAACAGGAGACTGGGAGGCAGGAGCCAGAGGCACGAGCTCATTCGATGCTGTCTCTCTATCCACCCGCCCTCTCTTAATGGCGAGTGAAGAGGTCAGTTCCTACGTCGGCCCCTACGTCCCTCTCTCCGGCAACGCCTCATCCGGTCGATTCGTGAAACGGCGTACCCCAGTCTGACTGCAACGCTGTCGTCCGCCATCTATCAGTCTAATATCTCGCTGCTTTCGTCGATTTGGCCTTTTTGGATTCAAAGTTCTGCGGCCTTCTTATCGTCGGAATCCGCCCGGGTTCTTACGGTTTTTTTTTTTTCTTTCTCCGCCAGTGTCGGTTATCTCGTAGATATCTCGTCCCACCGCCTTCGCAAATGCGGGCGATTTAGGTTTCCCTTCCTTTTAGTGGGAGGTTTGTCCATCTTTTTTTTTTGCGTCTTTGGTTTGACGTGGTATCGTTTAACCTAGTTCAAGAGTGCCGATCTTGTGTTTTTTTTTTTTGCGATCGGGATAGCAGTTTTTTTCGGTGGAGAACCCTATGAATCCCCGAGGAAGATATCCCCCCGGTATTGGGAATGGTCGGGGAGGGAGCCCGAGCACAAACCCGAATTATTATTCAAGGGGTCCTCAGCAACCGCAACACCAGCAGCAGTACGTTCTAAGGAGTACTGTCCAGAATCAGCAGGGCCAACAATATCCGCAACACCTGCAGCAGCAGCAGCAGCAGCGGCGGCAATGGGCGGCTGGGAATCAAATGGGAGGTGATGCTGGCGTAGTTGAAACGGGTAAAGCTGTTCAAGCGAACAGTAATATGGACTCCAGGTATACTCTTTGCGTCCGTTGATAATGATGTGATTGTTCGCGCCGTCTAACTTCATAAAGTTGTTTCCGTCCTCGTTGTTTATTAGATCGCGCTTGTTTTTTTTGTTTTGTTTATCGAAACTTGTTAACAGTTCCAAGTAGCAGCTTTTATGTTTTGACTAAACATTCCAAGTAGCTGTTTTTTGGAGCATTAGCCCCGCTAGGAGACGGAAGAAGCTATCGGTGGAATTACAAGAGCGAATTTATTTGTCATAACCTTATTTCAATGCCTTTGTGGTCATTATCAAGTGTCATCTCTTGTTGCCTTCAACCTGTAACAAGGTTCATACAGCTCCATCACAATGTCTAGATTTGCATTTGGAATCGTCTCATTTCCCTCTTACTCTACATTCGTTGTAACTTTTACATAGCGCTGGGCTGCTTGATTTTCTACACTTGGTCACTGAAGTAACAGTTGCTATACGAAATGAGTACCTATCGCCATAACTTCGTGGTGCAGCAGTAATCGCCTCATCCTTTTCGTTTTTAAACATTCTAATAGCTTTAGTGAAGAAGTCGGCAGAAAACATGATTCATTAGGAGAATATGCAGTTTGGACGTCGTTTATTTCTATGTGAAGCACTTTTGCGTCATGTAACTTGTTTTCTCTACTCCTGATTAAGATTACATAATAGGATGTAGTGGATTCTTTTTGCCCACTTCAAGGCTCCCAAACGAGGCAACAAAAAAGCTATTTTGATAATTAAATCTACGATTCCTCCACTTCCCTTCCCTGCTTAACCCATCTATTGATATCCATTCTTTCTCCCAAAATCAGACAGACGTAAAGGTTTTATAACAATCAAAGCCTCCTGCTAAATTTTCTTTAATGGAAGTGGGAACTAGTTTCATTCTTATGAATAAAAATTGTGCTGCAATAATCGTCTTGAACCTTACTTGGTTATTCTAACAGAAGCTACCATTTTCCATTTGGTCTCTTTGTATATCTTGTTGCTGAAATGCTTAAACATAATCAGGCTTAAGGTGATGGTAGGCATTTCGTCTTCAAGATAACGCTTCATTCCTCGGGTATCAATATAACAATGAGGAAATAAGTTAAGCTATTTAGAAATTTCACATTCACTGGCGAATCTTATCTCTGTGATGTCAAAGTGGAGTCCGTATGAGGATGCCTCTTTCAAATTTTCATATATATGCCTTTTTTAAGGGATACGCAGGGAAATGATGGTGCTTGAAAGGACAGTCCTTTTGTTGATGATATACTTGCTTTGAATTTTTTAATATTTTACTTTATACTTTTTTGTTTACCTTCTCCACTAGTGGATATAACGTAGTGTTATTAGTTCCTTCCTTTTTATTTAGTTTTAGTTTTTGGTCATGCAAATATTAGCTTTCACTATTTTTTTAAAACAGACATGATATTCGTATTTAGTAACACGTTGATTTGACCAAATATTATTTTTCAGTCTTCTGGATTGGAAGGCAAAATTAAATATACCACCACCGGACACGCGCTACAGGACAGAGGTATGAGGCACCCTCTACTTATCACTACACATCCTACGCAAATTGTTTTTGTAAATTGCCTTTTGTCGAAATGTATGCCATTATGTTGGAAAGTTTGATGACACTTGGATTTTTTCTAGATTGGTTTTTTTTAACTGGTTAACTATATGGTACCAGTTATGCCATATTACGTATTATTAAGAATTTCTTTTTTTATGTGCATACAAGTATATAATTATTTTGATATGATATTTTCCAGGATGTGACTGCTACTAAAGGAAACGAATTTGAAGATTATTTTTTGAAGAGAGAGCTACTTATGGGGATATACGAGAAAGGCTTTGAGAGACCTTCTCCAATTCAAGAAGAAAGTATTCCGATTGCTCTAACTGGAAGTGACATTCTTGCGAGAGCTAAGAATGGAACTGGAAAGACAGCTGCATTCTGCATTCCTGCCTTGGAAAAAATCGATCAGGATAAGAATGCTATTCAAGGTCAGTTCCATTTCCTCCATTCATGTTTTCTCAATCTTTCATTTATTTTTTCTTATTTAATGCTGCGTTCGATCCAAGAAATCTTTGAACCTTTCCCGTCATTTTTTGACAATCACATTAGTATGCTCTTTTCATGATTTTTTTTATTTTGAATTTTTAACGCACACTTTTGTCTCTCTGAAGTTATCTTTTCTTTGGCATATGTTGAGTATGGTACCGACTTTATACCTCAATTATTAGTTTCTATTAGAAGCGATGATGGGGATGGATGGGTTTAAGTTTTCTAGTTTTAATGTATACTATAAAAATTTAAAGACATCGATTATGTTCTCAAAAGATTATTTTTTTTATAATTATTTTAAACGATCAACTCATAATTTTTTTTTTCTGATTTTGCTCCTTTCAAGATGTTTCAAGATGTTTCAAGATGTTTCTGATTTTGATCTTAACTTTGGTAATTTTTTAGGTTGCTTATACAAACAATTTTTTTTCGATTTGTTGGTCAGGCATTGGTTTCACGATTTTGGCAACTATTAGGTTTTTGTATTTGAGGGAATGTATGGTGTTTGCAAGCATGGATGGATTTTTGTTAATGTCGTATCATGTTGAGATGATACTTGTTGTTGCCAATAGGTATATTCTGCTTAATGTTTACTCTTTATTTGCAGTGGTTATACTTGTTCCCACACGAGAGCTAGCCCTCCAAACTTCTCAGGTCTGCAAGGAGCTTGGGAAGCATTTGCAGATTCAGGTGATGGTAACAACTGGAGGTACCAGTTTGAAGGACGATATCATGCGTTTATACCAGCCCGTTCATTTGCTTGTTGGAACACCTGGTCGAATCCTGGATCTTGCAAAAAAGGGTGTTTGTGTTTTGAAGGATTGCTCCATGCTGATCATGGATGAGGTATGCGACAAGTGATATTTTTTTTTTGACTGCATTGATCTTTCAAGACTTTGGTTAGGCTGCTCAGGCGGGGATTCAAGGAATTTAATGGTCATGGCACATTTAATTGACACATCCTGGAGAAATTTTAACTGAGTAGATTACTGAGTACATATGGCTCATACTCTTCCAGCGTCCAGTTACATAATGCTTCTGTTTTTAAATAAATGAATTTATATTATATTCTAAAGCTTTCCTAGAAATTTTTAAAGATCTGTGTCGGCTGAATTCTATGAAGGTTTTGGCTATCAGCTATTTAACGTATTCTTGGAGACTGCATTTGTTTTATGGATTAGCTTTAGTGGTTGGATTTTTTTTCCAAGTTGATGGTAATATGTGATCGTTAGATTGACAAAAAGAGAGAATGTACAAATGCCATTTTGATCCGTTTTTGTTTGAAAATTAAATAAAGGAGAACTAATAGCATTGGCTAATAAAGTGTGTTATTTCCACTTATTTATCATTTCACTCTCTTTTTCAGGCTGATAAGCTTTTGTCTCCCGAGTTTCAACCTTCTGTGCAGCAACTTATTCGGTTCCTTCCATCAAATCGACAGATTTTATTATTTTCAGCAACATTTCCTGTGACTGTGAAGGATTTCAAGGATAAGTATCTGCCAAAGCCTTATGTAATTAATCTTATGGATGAGCTTACACTCAAGGGTATAACTCAGTACTATGCTTTTGTGGAAGAGAGGCAGAAAGTTCACTGCTTGAACACCCTTTTCTCTAAGGTCTCTTGCTGGTTCTTATTTTTCGTAGTTTAATTGTTAAATGTTCTTTCTATTAGTACAAATCACTAATGGTTTACTTATCTTGGCTTGCAGCTTCAAATAAATCAGTCTATCATATTTTGCAACTCAGTTAACCGTGTAGAACTGCTGGCAAAAAAGATAACAGAGCTCGGTTACTCATGTTTCTACATTCATGCTAAGATGTTGCAGGACCATCGTAACCGAGTGTTTCATGATTTTCGTAATGGTGCATGCAGGAATCTTGTTTGCACAGGTAACTTTTGTTAGAGAAAATATTTCTTCCTCGTTTCCTCTCAGGATTATAAATTTGATATAAAGACCTTGCTGAATGTAGGCTGTTTAGACATCACTCGTTACTGTTTGACGAGTGATGTTTTGCTATGTTGGTGATTATTTTTTAAACAACGTGGAGATTTAAAATTCAAATGTTTTCAAATATTCACACATGCATAGCTCCCTTTTTTATGTTCAATGATGGCAATACATAGTGTGAATTGCTTATTACCGTTGTACATTCTTATTTACTTGGGTCATATGTAACGTGTCTGCTGGTAATGATTTGTTTCCAGCGTGAACTTGCAAACTTATTTTGAAAATTCCTTAGTCAGATCGTAAAAGGCACCGGTCATGTACTATTTTTTTCGTTGAGAAAAGAAAGGTACTATTGTAGCCTTATCGGCCACTGCTAGATTTGAAACGTCTTGCATATGCTAGACGACAACCATTAGATAGTATCAAGGATATACATGTTGAAAGAACTTGGAGGATTGGGAGGAGAACATTGGTCTAGAAAAGACCTCATTATTAGTACTACACCTTCTGCAGTGAGCTGTCATTCTGAATTCTATTTTGGTTCGTAGGGTATTGACTATTATTTTGTGTTTATCATATAAACCTTTCAAGCCTCTGTTGAGATCCAACTAAAAGTGTTACTTACTTTTGAGATGCCACAGAATAGGCATGTACCGTAGTGTAGTTCAAGTTGTCATTTCGGTTTGTTTCTTGATGATCGAGTTACTCTTGTCTCTCTGTCTATCAAATTGCTCTTTAACAAAAACCCTAAATGCCACCTTTTTGCCTCGTGGCTTGATTTTTTACGTTCTCTGATAACATGCCACATTTTATTGCTCGCATCATGATTAAAGGTGTGATTTATCTTTTAAGTGATTTATCGTATGTCTGGCCTTCAGTATTGTCATGGCAATCTCTCAACTTATGCCTTTACGCAGATTTATTCACCAGAGGAATCGACATTCAAGCGGTTAATGTTGTTATCAACTTTGACTTTCCTAAGAACTCTGAGACATACTTGCATCGGGTATGTCTTCTGGAATGCAAATCTTTTAAGTGTGATGGCCATAGTTTATGGAAGTAGGAGCATTCAATTGCATTTAACAGTTCATATATTCGTGATTAGGGTGTATGGTGGCTCATTTTCTAGGTCTTCTGGTTTTGAAATCACTCGTCTTTTGCTTGTGTCCCCGGATATTCTGACTTAGCACTGACTTAGCATATCTTATTTTACTCATTTCTCTTTTATGTTCCTGGTGGAGGTTTGCTGAGTTTGGACATCTGTTTTAACATGACTCTAAAAAGAAACTAGAAAATATTTATAATTCTCCTGCTGCACTATTGGCACCACTTTCAATAATTCACTGTTATCATCAATCTGTGCACTCAAAGCAGCACCAGAGTCGCCGGTCAAGTCAACCATTATTGTCACTCTAGTCTATTCCGTAGGCGTCTTTTCTCTATTATCTACTTTGCTACTAGCTATGACAGCTGGAAATTTTTCTCATCGGTAAAGGCATCACAAAGTCTGATTGTTCCACGTATGTCAGCTGATTAGCTTCTGATGCTTGGCTTACCTTTGTGATAGTATTTGATAGGACTAGTTATTCAAATTTTGAATTTTTCTTATTATTGTAAACTCAAAATTTTACTTCTCTCTGAAAGAGTTTCTGTTTGCCATTGCTAGGTTGGTCGTTCTGGCAGATTTGGCCATCTTGGCTTAGCAGTGAATTTAATAACCTACGAGGACCGCTTCAACTTGTAGGCACTTCTTAAACTCGGCATTCATTAGAACTTTTTTAAATTGTTCATTTAATCTTTATTTAACATCCATTCCCGTATTCATACGACAGGTATAGGATCGAGCAAGAGCTGGGGACTGAGATCAAGCAAATTCCTCCGCAAATAGACCAGGCAATTTATTGCCGATGAGAATTGGGGGCGATTTCCGGGGGTGCGTGGTGATAAATAAATTGCAAGACCTCACTTTCTGTACATATCAGCTTCCGAGTAAGTCCTGGTATATAAATTTAATCTGTAGCTGTTTTGGCCATTTATGATTGGTTTTAGGTTGGTGTTGTTTTTCTTTCAACGTAACGGCTAGATCATCCTTCTGTAGGGTATTTTTTATTTCTTCCTGTGAGTTTGTACAGCACTCTTGTTCTGCTCTTTGAGAAATGTTACTTCGACTTGACTCAGTTGATGTAATCTTGCATGCTCTTTATTCGGCTCATGCAGTTTACCTCATAGAAGCAACACAACTTCTCAAGAAAAGTCATGCACTTGCAACACCACTGTCTTTGTTGTCTCCCTCCCTTTTTCACAGTCAGATAGTGAAACGTCATTTGCCTAGAGTTGAAACGGCTCATTGATGATTTAACTCTGATTACGCTCATCTCATAAGTGGGGAACTTCTCATGATAGCTTGCGACCGTGCAGAGTTGGATCATAATGTTTTGTCGCCGTGGTTTGACGTAGTGACGCGTGGGATCTGCCAACATGACTTAATTCATCCATTCTCATCTCTAACTTATGACCCTTTCCTTGCAAGCTGACTTTTGACCCTTTTCATGGTCTCAGAGAACCCAACTCTCCTTATCCTTAACAAATTTCTTAATGAAGCAACTAGTCCATCAAACATTACATATATGACGCCATTGAACGATATATGAAAAGCCCAGTTGGTCTTTTCCATCTAAATTTCCAAATCCGGAATATTTTAAAGGCAAGTGCTGGATTCGATGTTTTTCCGCTTGCCTGATAATTCGAAAGTTGTCTACATCCAAGAACCTAAGTGGAATTTGTGCGTTTTCTTTAGGGCTTTTGCGTAAATTTACCGTTCATGTGAGCATCCCCTGTGATCATTATTTGCCCTCCTCCATCTATGACCCCCCCCCCCCCATGCTCAAGTCTCTTTATAGTCCGGAGGGGAAAGAAAGATAAAATCCTACGCGTCGAGTAAGATAATGTAGAGAGAGAGATTTCATCGAGTAAGATAATGCAGAGTAAGCTTTCTCCAGTTAGTAGGTCCAGATCTTTGGTGCAAACCTTTTTTCTTTAGTGTTGCTTGGATTGGACGAGCAGTATTCTCACGTGTGGTGGAAAGGATGATTGCACAAGCATAGACATCATGGTGGAGGAGACCTGCAAGAACAGCTTTTGACATTTTTCTCATAATCAACATCTGCCTTCCCCTATCATTTCATGGTTTGACGAAGATCGAGTTTTTTTTCCCGGGAAAGCTCTGCATGTTTGTTTCGCTTCAAGTGGCGTCCGCAGCTCATCAGTTACCACCATTTTCGTCTGTTGCGGCCTACCCTTTTCAGGATCATCTCGTTGCTTATTCTCTGTATCGTCATCGGATGTGGCTATCACGAGGAAGCCTGCGCGGGATCATTCTCTTGTGTTGGCCGTACCTTGTCTCGTCTCTGTAGAGTTCCTTGACGCTGCGAAAACTCGGCTTGAAGTTTGTACGTTGGTCTCGGTCGTCGTGGTACTTGTCCTCGGGAGCCGGCGCTGTTCTTCCCGAGCTTGGCCTCTGTATTAATGAGCCGGGGAGGGGGGGGAGGACGAGAGATGCTCGAATGTTTCGTTCTTCGTCCTCAGATGTTCGATTGACAGGACCTGTTTTTCTGTACGTCCACGGCTTCGTCCTCCTGTCGGTGAATTCAATGTTATCTCCTGCTGCTCTTCGCTCGTTCATTGTTATTAAAATAGAGAGAGAGAGAGAGGGTGTTGGGTTCGAGGTCAGATATGCACCGAGCGACAAACCCGAGAGTGGATGTTCGGCAAAGAAGCCGAGATTGGATTCCAGCAAGGGAGAGTGACGGGGAACCTGTGCGCCGTGCTTTAAATCAGAGAGAGAGAGAGTGCTGGGCTGTTGGCTTTTGTGCCAGATTGCACTGAGCTTTTTTAACCAATGGAAGAGGCTGTAGGCTTGCCGGCTTCTGTTCCAGATTGTACCGAGCTTAAACCCTGAGAGAGAGAGAGAGAGACAGACAGACAAACAGACAGACATACAGACAGAGGAGCTGCTGGTTTTTAGGTCAAACTCTGGCCTCTTGATTTTCCTTTCTAGGGACTCTCTGGGGGTACTTTCGAAGATAACGGGCAGAGAGAGGGAGAGCGTTGGTCATGCACGGACTAACCCAAGGCCGGACTTCAGAGAAAAGATGGGCTTAGTTTTAAACCCAAGCCCAGACTATCCGAGCCCATTAAGGACATTTGGGCCGCCTCTGGAGGTCTTGACTGGGCTCGACTAATTGGTAGGCCCATTTACACGCCCAAGTGGGTCTCTCGGGAACTGAATGTCGGCCGTCTTGGGGGAGGGGGGGTCTCGATCGGGCAAGTGGGTGCGCCGCCGTCGGTATTTAAGGAACAAAGCTGGGCTTCCCGCCGCAGACTTCGGAACACATAAATAGGCCCAGCCCACATAATGCCCGCCATAATAAATGGACGAAACTATCAGAATGAAGAAGGCCAGGGGCCCACACAAACTACGAGGATCGGATAAAGGGGGTATTATCGTGATTTCCTCCACCGAGGTGAGAGACAGATCTGGGAAATAACTCCGGCACGTGCCATCTTCATCAATGCGGTGGGGCCTCACCGACGGGCCAACAGAAGAGCTGCCCCATGCACAGCGTTTCCCCGCCTCTCCCACTCTTGCACCATCCTGGTACTTGGAGCGTCGTTCAGAGCGGCGCAGCCACGCCCGCCCACGACAGCGGAGGAGGAAGAGGTCACCGGAAAAGACGAGCCCAACCTCCATTCTCTGGCGATCTTTTCGCCAATTTCTTCATCATCATCTTCTTCTTGTTCTTCTACTACTGCTACTGCTACTACAATGGGACGCAGCAAGCAAGCAAATACCTTGGACGGAGCCTCACTCACCAGGATCGTGACCACCACCATCGCGCTGCCGTACCTTCAGCTGCTGCGGCAGAGATGTCTGCTGCACCGCATTAAATTGCTCCGCCATTCGGCCCTCTCTTTCCTCCTTTCCGTATGAATCGCATTTACTCCTTTCTCTCTCTCTCTTCCTGTGCCTGTTGGAAGGAGTCCCTTTGTCCTCTTCTCCACTTCTCGGGAGAATCTGCGAACCCTAGCACAGTCGGCTCTCAGGCGTTAAGATCCAACCTTTTTCTTCCTGTACTTGGTTTCGTCTGAGTGCGCAGGTGGGGGTGGGATGGGGAAGAGAGAGACGACGCAGCAGCAGACGCGGAGGGAAGGAGGAAGAAGAAGGGTAAAGCCGTCGATGTTTTGCTCGTCTTTCGGGTTTCCTGGGGTAGCAGTAAATGATAGCCTTCCACACGTCAAAAAGCTCGGAAAGGGTTTCAGCGGGGTCCTGTTCGAACTGTGCAGCTGAAATCCCCGGCATTTAAAGCTCCGCGAGGCCCACCCTGCACCCCCCCCTCTCTATCTCCCTCTTTCCTTCCCTCTTATCAGAGCACAGATAAACAGGGAGTGTGCTCCTTCTCAATTCCCCTCTCCATCCCACGCCTTGGGCCTCCTCTCGCTCTCTCTCCCCTTTCATCTCCTCTCCCAGCTCGCATTCATACCAGAGAGGATCACTAGCCAAGGCGGGTGGGGAAGGAGGAAGGGGCCGGTGGGCATGGGGAGGGCGCCCTGCTGCGACAAGCAGGGGCTTAGGAAGGGCCCGTGGTCTCCCGAGGAAGACAAGATCCTGGTCGACTACATCCAAGCCAATGGCCTCGGCAGCTGGAGGTCCCTCCCCAAGCAAGCAGGTACGCCGCCTCTCTCTCTCTCTCTCTCTCTCTCTCTCTCTCTCTCTCTCTCTCTCTCTCTCTGCGAGCTCTTCTTCCTCCCTTTCCCCTTCCTCCGCCGCCGCTTGCACCGAGAACGCCCCATAATTCCGATCTCTTTCTGGGCTCCCGGGGCGGCGCCACCTCCCCTCCTTCCATCTCGCGGCGGTGTTGTTCAGAGGGTCGCGGGGAGGTCTCGCCTGCAGGCAAAGCTCCGCCCCCGCCGCCCGCTAGGTCTCCCCTCTGGCGCCGCCCGGCTCTGGGAGAGTGAGATCCATCGCCGGCCACGTTGACGGCGGCCGTAACATCGGTCAGCGGGCAGCGGACCCGTCGGCCACTTGCGTGTTCCTTCCTTGGCCTGGTCCTCGTTGTGCCCTGCCACGAGCTTTTTGGAAGCGCCAGCAGTCGCCTCTGTTCTTAAATGCCCGTCTGCGCCAGCAATAAATGATAACTATTTAAGCGGGTCGACTCGTCGGCGGAGACGCGATCACACCAATTCTGTGCCGCTCTGCCTGAGCGATCTCCCCGCTTTGTCTCTGCCGGCGGAGGGAGTGATCTCCCTCCGCCATGGCCTGGGTTCCTCGGGATGGCAGGGTGACGACGATGACGATAATAAATGGGGGGCGAGTACGCCGCCGATACGGCCTCTGAGGCGTCGATTTGGTGCCATTAATGCAGGTCTTCTGCGGTGCGGCAAGAGCTGTCGGCTCCGGTGGACCAACTATCTCCGGCCGGACATAAAACGCGGGCCCTTCACGCCGGAGGAACAGAAGTCCATCGTCCAGCTCCACGGCATCGTCGGCAACAAGTAGGGTGGCGGCCATGGCGGACTGAACCTTCCGCCACTGCGTCTATCGCCTAAACTGAGCTGAACTGAACTGAACTGCCAACTCTGAACTGCAGGTGGTCCACCATAGCGGCACAGCTGCCGGGCAGAACGGACAACGAGATCAAGAACTACTGGAACACCCACCTGAAGAAGCGGCTCGTCCTCATGGGGATCAACCCGGAGACCTACGCCCCCTCCTCTGGTGCCACCTCCCTCTCCTCCACCGGCACGGGCGGCGGCGGCAGCGCCCCACCGCCGCCGTCCGCCGGTGCCGCCGCGGCCTCCTCGTCGAGCACCCGTCACATGGCGCAGTGGGAGAGCGCGAGGCTGGAGGCGGAGGCCCGGCTCTCAAGGGAGTCGCTCCTCTTCTCCGCCTCCGGCGGCGCCGCCGCCGATTCCTCGGCCCTCTCTGACCACTCCCCCGCCGCGAAGACGGACACGGACTTCTTCCTCCGGATGTGGAACTCCGAGGTGGGCGAGGCTTTCCGCGGGAAGGAGACAGCCCCCGCCGCCGGCGCCTCCCCCGCCTCCTCTTCCACCAAATGCGGCGGCGCCGCCGCGCCGAGGTTGGTCAAGAAAGGGAGCAGAGGCGCCAGCGGCGGAGGGGCGTCGAGCGTGTCCAGCGGCGAGCCCAAGGAGGACGGCGACTGCAAGAGCTCGGTCTCCGGCGAAGGCGGCGGCGCCGCCAACGCCGATTCCTCGAGCTCCAACGAGATGGAGGACACGTCGGAGGAGACCTACCAGATGTATCTGAATCTCGTGGGGGACGACATGGCGCTCGGCCACCTGTTCCACGGTGGCCTCGACAGCATCTCTCTCTTCGGCGGCGACCCCAACGCGGCGGAGGCCTCCTTGGATCTCGCCTTCGGATGAGCCCTTCTTCTTACTATTTTCTTCTTCTTTTGAGGGTGGCGGATGTTATTCTTACTCCGTCCCGAGTCCTCTCCTTCCTCGGAGTACTCCTCACATCTTTTCCACCCCGTCGGCTGCCGCGGTCGAGATGTGAGACGTACGGGGTATATCGATCAGTCTGACTATGTAAAAATAGCATCTGAATGTTGTGTTTTGACCCCAACCTTTGTCTTCTCCGAGTCAACTCCTGATCACGCCGTGGACTTTTCTCCTACGCCGGTTTTTCTTACAGGCTCCATCTGGAAAAACCGTCCCTCAGGCCATCAATTACGAGGCTTGCTCCGACAACGTTGACCACGGTGCACAAGGTAGAGGGAACGCCGACGCCTTCCAGTTTAAATAATAATAATAATATATTATTATTATTGTTTGCCGATTTATGCGGAGCATTCTCGAACGTCCGGGTAGTGCTCGTGGGTCGGGGAAGAGGATCCGGAAAGAGGGCAGGGTGTCGGTCCTGTCGAATCCCCACTGGGGCCCCTTGTCAGCGCGCGGCCGCGCCGCATTTACTGCTCCTCCATGCTTCCATGTTCCCGAATTAAATGCTGGCGCCCACCAGAAACGGCTTCTGTGCCCCACATCATGTCTCGGGCAGGCCCATTGGGCATATTCTTCCTCCCGCGGAAACGGGCTCCTGGGCCGGGAGGCACGGCCTGGTAAATCGAGAACCTGAATGATTGATTACCCGTGGTTTTATTATTATCATTACCAGTATTTTATAATGAGTGATTTCGATCGATTGTTTTTGCTGACGTGGGCGAGTGGGTGACCGGCTGAAGAGGACGGATAGGAACAGCGGCGTGGGGTGCCTTCTCACCTGCTACGGATGGATGACTACGCATCGGAGTATATTAATCAACTATTTTTTCCCTGTGCCAGCTGTCGCTGGTACAGGCAGGGTGAGAGACAGGAGCCGTCCGATGGACCATTTTGAATCGACAAGAAGCGTTGGATCAAAGCGACCGAGGTCGAACACCAGTGGATAGACTACACTTGGGATAAAAGATACAACCGGCGGACTTTTGGTTCTTGGAACAAATCAGGGGAGAAGGGGGAAGGGGTACGTGGACGCATCGTGATTTACAAGGGAAACAAACCCAGCATCTAAGGTCACACTCACAAGGGGAGGAAGGAGAAGCAGCAAAGGACGGAGGGAATTTACAATGGGCGGTCGAAGAGAGAAGAAGTTCCCCTCCCCTTTTTTATTCGTGTTTTCTTTTTTGTTTGGGAAGCGGTGGGTTGGGTTTAGCTTCCAAAGCAGATGAGGATCTTCTTGGGAGCGAAGCCCTTGACGCGGTACTGGGCAGCCGTCTCCTCCGCCTTGACGAGTTCTTCGCCTTTCTTCGCTTCGACGTTGGCCCGCTTCTCTTCGGCGGCCTTGTGGACGAGGGCAACCTTGTTCTTTATTTTCTCCGCGTACTCCGCCTTCTTCTTCTCTAGTGATTCCTGCCGAGCGTTAAGAAAAAAACAGTGAGTGTGCGGAATTAAGAGGCTCCCGTCGACGATGATGGGGCTATTCTTTTAGGAACGAGGTTCAGGAGTGAGTCGCAGGCCCACCTCCAGCTTCTTCAGTTCGGCCTCCAGCTTCGCCTTCTCCGTGTTCTCCCATGAAGCAATAGACGACAGCTTCTTGTGGGATCTGCTCAATGCCGCTCACGAGTGGTCAGTATGGAAGTTAGTAGCAAGGTCTCAAGAGATGAACGGAGTAGAAGTCGTCACTGCCAGAAAGATTCGAGTCTCACTTGTTCTCGATCAAGGCCTTTTCGTTCTCCTCCCAAGCCTTGGCCAGGGATAGCCTCTTCTCAGTTTCCACTCGTGCAAGAGCAGCGTCTGGGACAATTGCGGCGTGAGATTATTTCCTCGTCGATAAAAACTCGAGCCCATTAAAAGGAGGAGTGTTTCTAAAGCATATCCTTTATGGCTCACCTCTGTCCTTCGATTCTGAATCCTCTTCAGCAGCTGGAGGGAGAAAAAAAAAGTGTAATTTAGATCGTATAAGATAGTAGGGAAATATTTTGTCCCTAAACAGATGTCTTGTGATGATCCATCGTCAGTTGCAATCATCATCTCATCCCTCGACCCGGATATATATATATACATATATCGTTGAAACATTTCTTAAGCAACGGGAATTTCACATGCTAAGCAACTAAATCTGAATGGGATGCAAGGAGCAGAGAGAAAAACGCGTGGTTGAGAAGAATTTTCAGATTACTGCCCCCCAAGAATCTTCTCACTTCTACCAATGTCTGCGAACCAAGAGCCAAATGCATTTCAAACATTCTAGATGCAGGTCAATCATCGGATTTAGGGCGGAGATCGAAATATCTTCTGCCGTGGACGTCATAATTCGGCACAGAAAAGAGCGAATTAGCAACGGGAGGATCTTCCGGACCGGGGTTGAGTAAAATATACCTCAGCATCCCCACCACAAAAAAAAGGAAACGAAAGGAAATATGCGAACGGCTAGCGGACGAATTCTCTAGTCCTGATGGGACAAAAAACGGAAAGGGCTAAAAGTATCGATAAATAAGTAAAAACCACAAAGGGACCAGTAACATCGTTTAGACAGGGGTGGAAATCTGTCTTTACAGCACATCATAGATTATCACAGCACTATGCCACTTAGGAACCCTTATTTTCTATCGATGTTTCTGCGCTCTCTTTAACTATTTTTCAGTAAACTGGCCTGGGTATGCGCAGAGTTTCCAGAGTGAGAACTGCCTTTCGACCAACAAGTACAGACGTCTCAAAAAACCCACGGGCTTGGCTTTCGGGATGTTGTGGAGGTGTACATGGCCAAACTACTGGTGATATGTCCACTACAAGCATGCAGAAAGCTTAAATATCTGTCATAAAATTGGAACTAACAGAGAAGAAGGATGATTACATCCTTCCTCGGGAAGTAGAGCCATCAAAACCCGAAAAAAGTAATAACTAGCAGACTACATAAACCGCCTCACAAGCTGTGAGCGTCGTCTGAAGGAAGAATTAACTGACAGCGGAATAAGTCATCATAAAAAACACGGGCCGAAATATTGTAACATACGTGCGGTGTTATATGCTCTTCGTGCTCAATCATAGAAGCAGCCGTTCATGAACCTGATTTAATATATATGAAGCATAGACATAAGCACAAGCCGAGTAAACCAGAAACGATCTCACCGAATACCTCTAGAAAAAAATAAAAACAGAGAAGGCTTAAAATTACCAGATGGTCCGTAAAGAAAATCAGCAGAATGAATTATGGGGGACACACACACACATAAACAGACGACGACCATCACGAGGAGAGGGAAGTAGAAACCTACTCTCCACGGCGGCGGGGGCTTTGGAGTCGTCAGGCTTCTCTTCGGCGGGGGATGGAATCACGGAAACGTCCTTGGTAGCCTCGGGAGCCTCCTCGGAGGAGGTCGGTGCCTGCACATCCTTCGTTTCTCCTTCCCCCATCGACGCTTCTACCTGTTACCGTTCTGCTGCCTCCTGAAGTTACCTCCTGGAGAGGGCTCGAGCCCCCCGAAGTTCAGCAGATGCTGACACCGAGAGAGAGAGAGAGAGAGAGACTGAATCCGGACGTACTGAAAGAAGATGGTATAGCGGGTTTTGGGTAGATTTATAAGCCCGGACTCTCAATAAAGATCGTGCCTGGCAGCTGGCGGGTAGATGCGGCATGCTATCAGAGCCTGCGTATTGTTTAAACAGTAATCCAAGTTGATCAGTGTCTCGGTGCGGGGCCCGCAATAAACGTTGCCGTTAAAGATACCAGCGGCTAGCTGATTGTTGACACGTGGCGATGTCCCTCGCGACCACGTCGACCGGCGGTTCTGCGCACGTGGTTCGACCCGTTATGATTTATCCTGTTTTAGAGAAAAAACATGAAAAATACGTCTTCATGTCTGATCTCACAGTAATGGGTATCTGGCACGTTGCACTGACACCGGTGACTTGGCACTTCAGCACGTTTCGCGCCTCTCTCTCTCCTCCCCACTCCACGTCACCTCCTCCTGCTTTCTCTCTTTCCCCAGTACAATCGTGGTAGAGCGAGCGAGAGAGAGAGAGAGAGAGGAGTGCTGGCGAGAGGTGACAGAGTGGCTGCGCTGGCAGGGGAGAGAGATTAGGTGCGCCGGTGAGGTGAGCTTGATGTTGCAAAAGGAGGTGGTTGTTTTCCCTCATTCTCTCTCTCCATCCCCCCCCCGCTGTCAAATGAGAGAGAGAGGTTGACAGATCAGCTGGCCCGCCACGTCATAAGCAACCGCATAAATCAAACATTTTTACGACGGCGCATTAAAATTAGTATTAATTCATGGCAACTAAATGATTGTGTGACAGACGGGGAGGCGTATGATCAGACGGCTCGATTTTAAATTAAAAAATCTCGACGATCGAGATCTTTCCATACCGGCTGCTCCCCGGGGACGGTGGGAGGGGCGGGATCGCTCCTCTCGCAACGGACGACCCGATGATTCCTCAGCCTGACATCGGAAGATTCTCGAAACACGACACGCGAGAAACCAGATGATGGGGCCCATGACGGGTGTCTGAAGAGTGGGGCCCATCCCAACCGAATACCCCCATCCACAAACCAGCCAACAAACCAATCGACGGCAAACTGACCGGTTCGGAGGCGTCCTCTGGCGCGTGCCAATGCGGCAACCAAGGCCCCCCCCCCCCCCCCCCCCCTCCCTCCTGGGAATTGTTATCCCACTGGGACAAATCTCTGAACTTCCCGTCGCTCTCATCTGCGGTGGCGCGTGGTTCTGGAGAATTATTGATAAATATTTGCATCTACTTGTTCATAATACAAGAGGTACAATTAAAGGGGCTTCAGCGTAAATTAGGACGAGGGGAATCTCGAAAGAGTCTTTGGGAAAGCCACGCACGACTCCTTTGGGGAGGCGAATAACGACTATCACTTTTTACAGGAAAGACCCCGGGAGTTTCATCTTTAACAATTGAATACCCGGGTAGCGTGGGTCTTCGTTTGCAGAGACGTCAATGCGAGGAGGAAGGTCCCGTCGGCGCAATTCCCCCGTTTCTCTCTCTGCGGCTGCGACCACCCAAAGCAAGCCCGCCTCCATTAAGATGACAGCGAAAAAGCTCTCAGAGTTGCCCTACCCTCCTCCCCCTTCGGTCCATCTAAATGGGAGAAAGAGAGAGAGAGAGAGAGAGAGAGACGATAGATGCTCATGCGATCTAAATGCCAACTTGGGCTGGGGTTCTCGATGACCCAGCGAAGCTCCACCCGGTTCACAATGATTGCATGCCGTAAGAAAAGATCCCGAGAGAGAGAGAGAAAGAGAGAGAAAGTTGCTGTTTTTGGCCTTTATTCGCCAGGCTCTTAAGGAGGGTCGGCCTTTTGGGCTGGCAGCGTGCTTCTCACGTGGAATGCCTACCATTACGGGACTAATTGTGCCAGAACCATATGGATAGGCCCAATAATCAAATCGTGCCGGCCCAACTGGCATCGTCGGCGACTATCACTCCGTCCGCCGGCGGAGAGGATCTCTCTGCGCATCGCCACGCGAAGAAAGGGATAGCAAGAGAGAGAGAGAGAGAGAGAGAGTACTGGTGTGGAGAGGGAAAGCCCCCCAGAGAGGGGGAGGCCCACGGCAGCTTCCTCCGGCGTGAGGCAGAGCCCACCGGATTCCTCCTCCTCCTTCCTCGCGATAAATATTAGCCGCCGTGTGCAGCAGAGGAGGGCGGCGCTCGAACGGGTTGTGACGCTATGGACGTGCACATCTCCGAGGAGTACGTCGCCTGCCGGCGGAAGGAGAGAATGCAGCTCCGCCTCGGAGCTGCGTGCTCGCCGGAAAAGATGGCGGAGGACCGGAGGTTTCCGGCGTCGCCCCCCGCCTTCTGGCTCCTCGCCAAGGAGCAGGCCGGAGCTTTCCTCGCCGGCGCGGCCCGCATCGGCGGCGAGGAGATGGTCTTCAGCTGCTCCTCCCCCTAGCGAGGGAGAGAGAGAGAGAGAGAGAGAGAGAGAGAGAGAGAAGGACGGCGATGAGATGTCCGCTCCACCTGCTGTGTTTTCTCTGGTTCATCTTCTTGTTCGGGAATCTTGAAAAAATTCCGTTAAAACATACTAATTCGTATCGATAATTCGTTCAAACCGTGGGAATGAAGAAGGAAAACATGCGAGAGAGATGGTTCGAGGAGCGAGCATATCGTCGTCTTCCAACACAGACCAGGTCGACTTAGTTTTTCTTTAAGACTGTGGAAGGAAATCGGTAGATGGCCCATTATTGACCCTAAATTGCCAGAAATGGGTGGAAGGAGGATTTCTCAGAGGGATCAGGCTTCCTCTGGAACGGCCCTGTAACCCTCGGGGTCTTCGAGCTCGGAGGGAAGAACAGCGACGAGCACGACGATGGCTCCCAGGAGCAGGACGACCAGGGCGGTGAAGTTGACCAGGAAGGCCTCCGAGCCGTACTTGGCGAGGCCTGAGTTCTCCAGGAAGGTGAGCTTCTCCAGAAACCCTAGCTCGGCCGTGACGATGGTCAAAGCGTAGACGAACAGGCCGACCAGTAAGTGCCAGGGGAGGGCGCCCCGTCGGATGGCCGGCGCTGCCCCGGGGTAGAAGAAGGTGACGAACCCGAAAATCCACTGCAGGAGCGAGCGCAGGGTTAATCTCCATCGATCTCGATCTCGAAGCTCCGCCGAAGAACGATTCTCCATCTCTCCGATTCAGCTAAGTTCGGAAATCTTTCGGGAGGAACTGATCAAAAATACCTGAAGTGCGAACAAGACGATCGTTCCGAGCCCGATCCAGGAGTGCAAGCTGTACAGATTAGCGATCCCGCTCTCGTTGTGGAACTTGAACGCGGCGTATATCCCCACAGCTCCGAGCACCACGGCAATGGCGTGGAGGGTGAGATGGATCAGTTTCTTGACTTCCTTGCTCCAGGGGAAGACCTTGTAGCTGATTATCGCTGAATAAGTGCAGAAGTAGAAGAAATACTTCAGGCGAAGCGCAGACTTCATTCATCTCAACCAGAATCACTACCCCGCAGAAGCAGGGAGACGAACGGTAGACTGTGGAAGAAGGAAATCCTGCTACTGAATCATCGGTCAACTCACCTTCGCTCCCAAGGATGATGAACCCAATAAGCATGAGAACCGGGTGAAGCTGAAGCAGCAAAGATATTGAGCCGTCAAACAGATTTCCAGCAGGTTCGGGGGAGGAAAACTTTAGAACAGGGGAGAACTTGAAGGGCGAACTAGGGTTTATCCCAGTACGAGGACGCTGAAATCTGACGGAAAATCCAGCAGAAGATGAAGGCACCGAGTTTCAAAATCACCGAACGAGATCAATATTGATCTCTGGCCAAATCAACATGACGGACGGCCGAGGTAATGTCTATCTAACGAGCGGCACCCCAGGGAATCCGAGAAAGCCACAGATGATGTTCTCTTGCTCGGTGACCATCATCTCTCTCTCCCCGCTCTATTTAGCAGGCAGAGGTACGGTTGGCTCCTTAACTCTGAGAATGCCAAACACTAAGAAGCGAAGGCCTGCATTAATGGCAGGGTTATCGGCGGAGGAGAGAGTGAAAACAGTGGGGCAAGAGAGAGAGATAGAGGAGCTGAGAGAGTTTCTCGATCAGTAGTGGCTACAAGTAACTAGGCAACGCTGGGAGCGATGGTCTGTCGTGTGGATTAACGAGAATCGGCAGAAGCCGAAGACAAGAGGGGAACCCACCCTAATCAGATGAAAACAAAAAACCAGCGGAATTTCGAGAGCAGGAGATTGACGCCTCGCGTCCAGGAGCAACCAGATGACAAGGTCCACGCACCAGGCTCAGAGAGTAGGCGGGAATGGATATTCACGCAGATGATCAAGAACAGGGGAGGGGGAGCACATGGATGAGGAACCAGGCGTACGTTGAAGATGAGGTTCTTGTTGGTAGAGTCGAAGGCGAGGCCTCCCCGGAAGTGGATAGTCCACACCAGAACCAGGACCGCCCCCACCACCGCTAGCCCGTGCACCACGTTCGTGAACGGCGCCGCCCCCACACCCAGGCCCGCTCCTCCGCCGCCGCCAGCCATCTCAGGCGATCTCCTCGAACTCCGGCAATCTCCTCTGATCCGGGAAGACCGGCTTTCACGTTCCCTCCCCTCCCCAATCCATTAGTTTTCAGAGAGGTCTTACGCTACCAACCCCGGCGTGGACCCACGATGGACCAGAAGAACGTGTGGCTGACGCGGGCTCCGGCTTCCTTCGACCATCACGCGAACCTAGACAGGTTCCCGTCTGAAGGTTAGGTAATCACGGGCCAATCGTCGAGTCTCTACTCACCATTCAAAGCAAGCACGAAAATTCATCTGTCTCTCTCTCTCTATGTGGGTCCCACGAATTGGGGCAAAGAAGGAAGATTGACAACTAACGTTTTTCACGTGCCGAAGCATATATACAGCTGCTTGAAGTAAAGAATCAGGGGCATCTGAGAGGAAGCAAGAAAGAATTGCTGTACATAGACTGCCCCGCGATTACAGAGGAGATCGAACAGTTTCGGCAGTGGCACGACCCATGATAGTAGAGACGAGCGAACTCCTCTCCGGGGCGATGACATGGAGATCCGAAGGCTTGGTAGAGCTCCTTCTGGGCGGCGTTGACCGTTGGATGATAGAGAGGGTAATCCTGACCGTCGGTGCTGAGGGGGGGGGGTTTTCTTCTTGGACCGCTGGTGTGGGGCGGAGGAGCTACTTGGTGCGGAATTCGTGTCTAAATATGGTAAGATTTTGGGTGAACTTGTCCCTGTTTTTGGACTCCAGGCTGCGGCTGACGTCAGACATGAGCTTGTCGAAGGTGACTGAGAGGCGTTGCTGCTGATCCGGCGGCTGCGTTGGGCAAGTTACCAAAGAGAGAGGCATTATCGAGGATACGAGATGATCGACGCATGGGTTTGATATAAATGGTCATTCATTGAAATGGAAATATGGACGGATGCTCAGACGCGAGAGAGTCTGCGGTAGCATCAGTGTACACCATGACTTCCACGGTGCTAATCGCCATAGAATGATACGGTCAACCAACAGGTGTGATGGTGGAAAGGAGGCACGGAAAATAGAAAGACGAACATGAACTAACCTGTGATGCTAAAATCTGAACCTTCAGATCACTAAATATCTGCAAGAAAAGAAACTGTTAGGTCACCTATTTAATTGAGCTCTCAAAAAAATAAATGCTGGGTCAGATTCAGTTTTCAGGGGACATTTCATATCATTATTGGCCAGAGTTGCACAGGTAGAGTTTTTTTCTTCCTTTTTTTTTTATTTTAATGAAGGGGACGGTTCACAGTGAGGCAGAGACAACGTGAGAAGATCTAACGCAATTTCTACACTCTCCAAGAGTTGATGCCTATAGAAAATCGACCCCAGAGTTCATCTAACTCCTATAATGCTTTCACATGAGGCGCTTATTTTTATTCTTATGATTTTTTATCTTATTTTGATTTTATCATGAGGGTTACATCGTCAGTGGGGACGCTGAAATCGTGACGAACTAGAATGCAGAACGAAACAGCTAGTGTCCAGCCGACAAGAGGATTTTCTATAAGAAATCTAAGGCTTTCAGGTGAAGTAAATGAAGGAGACCTACAGGATTAAGCAAACGAGATTTAATGCATAAAATCATAGTTCATAATTTCTTTTAACAGAACTGTAAGAAAAATAAAATAAATAAATAGATATATATATATATATATATATATATATATATATATATATATACGGTGCAAGAATTGTACACGGTGCAAGGAGAAGGACAAGAAAGACTTCTTGAATAGCTACGGATAACAATAGGACTTCTTATTCGGAGTTTTTAATTTTCACGATAAACAGTGAGTGAGGAAAGACGTAGTCTCCTACTTGATAAATCCTCCAGTTATTAGTTGATGGGAGCCTTTTAGCTTTGAAACTTTTCCAAATTTTAGCAAGTTATTTTCGAACGACAGAAAATGTCAAATGTTCAAAGCCCCCTCAAAAATATCAGCATTGTCTTCTTCCTGCTCGCCTGCTTATTTTCATACTCAGAGATTTTCTATTGCTACTTTTATCAGTCAAAGATAGTAAATATACACTGGATCTTACAACAACTGCAGCAAAAAAAGTATTTTTATGCATGGGAAATGGGTATTTAATCATCTAAGGGACATGTGAACAATTTTATCAGAGTGGACTGTAAAAAAATATTAAAAGGTAATGGGAAACGAATTTCAGAAAACGATTGAAATTATGGTATCGCAACAAACAGAAAGTTATCGGCTGGCACCTGTTCGCTGATGAGTATCAAGCTAAGCATTGGTCTGCTAAGACTCCATTGGTTGCCACAGTCCTCAAACAAAACAATCTCAAACAGAGTTCTCAAGATCTGCGCGGACAAGGCAAATTCAGTGTTATAGTTTATAACGGAAGGGAGAAATAGTCGTGCACAGGATTTTCCGTAGAGAATAGTCCAGATATGCTTTATTCAAGGAATTCGATCTTAGAGTACATGCAATTCAGGATTATGGCAACAATAACTGATCAAAGATCTAATTCATAAAGACGTTAATACATATTTTTATCAAAAAATTGCTTACACTGTTATCTTCATGAGATTATCCACTAGCTGGTTAGAAAAATGTGAATCATTTGCAAATTATGCCAGAGAGTTTCAGAATTTCTAACGAATGAGGATATCGCCACAAGAGAAAGAAATGATAAACCATGGTGGCAAATGGTATCAGATCACAATCAACTCTGAAACTACGCCTGTATAAAACTCGCTTCAAATTTATACTTGGCCTTGTTTGGTTATATAAGTCTCGAACTATACTTGCTCCCATTTTTGCCCATTCTATCTTTTCCCCAATACTGATCAAGATAAAATCGCCCACATTCCAGCCGGGCATCAAGCGTACGTTAAAAAATGCATCTCACAACGTTCGCGTTCTCAATCTGAATACGACAAGAACAATGGATTTAGATACAATCTCACAAAGAACGCCCTTGTCCACTGGAAAAATTTATTATTCTCATAAATTTCTAAAGGAGAAATATGAGAAGATCACATGGAGCTTTTCTATGAATTTATCTTTGCCGGCCCTTGAATAGAATGCAATCCACAACAATTTTCGTACATAGTTCCAAATCTCCAGAGGCAGGAGGATAATCACATCTAAATGAAACACTTTCAAAGCTAAAAAGAAGAGTGAAAATAATTTAAGAGATGAATCATGACCATGTAGAATAAACTCAAAAGTGACGTAAGACAACATACTTCAGGGAATAGATTTGGACACTCAGCAATATGTCGAGCAAGGTTCATAGCAGCTGATGACGGAGGTGAATCTGCTGCAGTTATGTGGTTGAAGTAGTAAGTGGCCAGGTTGTCAACAGCAGATGCACACTGTAAAGAAGATAAATTTCCAGTTATACAGAGGGGGAAGACTTCCTCGTGTCGTTGCTGCTGCTATGGATTTGTTGAGAATTAAATGGATACACTGAGTATTCTACACCGAGCATTGTACAGAAAAGCACACAATAGAAGGAAAACTTCCAACCAGGATATGTTTAACTTAGAAGAAAAATAACAGGAAAATTTACTGAAAAACAAAGTGAGATATATCATGATATGGTTGTTGTCACAAATACATATGTTTTTTCTTATTTGCCAAATTTTTGGTGAAAATTTAAATTTTCACAGTAAAATATAGAACAAAACGCATCAGGAATAAACAAATGTCATGCCACTTACCTGGGATGAGACACCAGCGTCCAAGCTTTTTAGACCAGACTCAAGTGATCCAACAATATGCATAAAAGTAGTCTGATCCAGATTCAAAACGAAAACCAAATGATTGTTGAATAGAACCTCCATAAATGCAAAGTAGGCTCTCATAAGCTGAAAAGAAGAAGAAAATCTTGTTAAGAAACTCATTTCTCGTAAGGTTGAACAAAAATAGGCAAAGAAAATAATCAGCCAAAATCAAGGGGTGAAAAACAAAACATCACATTAAGAATGCATCATCATTAGATGTCCTTTCCCTTAGCAACATACATTACATATCTTAAAAGGTAGGGAAAGAATGATTTTAATGCTTTCAACATTATCAAAAAGGTAGGGATACTTGTCCAAGCGAAAAAAAGTTGCGCTGAACCAAAATGCAAGCCAATACTCATGCCACATTTGGTAGTTCCTTACGGACATCATTTTTCACTGGTTAGTTCCCTAACGCACCAAGCAGAGCCAAGATAGCCCAAGTCCAAAGACATGACGGCAAATGTCAATGATCATCGCATAGCAATAGAAACAAATTAAAAATTCTAAAAATGACAGATGCAAAGACAGAAATTTCATTATTTATGTTCTAAAATTTTTACATAGGATAATTTTTTTGAAAATAAACCTATATGCCTAACCTACAACTAACAGAGACCACCCAAATCATGAGGGCCAGAATAAGAGACGTTACTTAGATATTTTCAGCAAAATAGATTCAATTAACTTATCATCTGGTATGTTGAGAGGTCAAAACCTCTCAACATGCTAAATGTAGAGGAATCATGAATTATATCATAAAATAAAATAAAAGCAAATCAGTTTGATTTTGGAAGTTAAAAAAACAGGCATATTGATATGCTATCAATCTTTCAAAGAGAAAAATAAACAGAGAAAAAAGAGAAACTTATCCAACAAATATTTAACCTTTCAGAGAAAAAAGAGTATCAAATCTGTACGGCTTTAGACAAAAGAAGAGGAACAATCATTATTGTTTCTTGTGTATACACAAAGAAAATGAATGGAACAGAACTATCGTAAAGATTCTTTGTCAAATTGAAGATATAGTTCATATCACCTTTCGAAACGCCAATATGTCAGGTAGAGGAATTGACAATGCCATTTTCAGAGCTATGTCAAGAGCATCGGCAAGGGCTCTATCCCCGTATAACTCAAACACACCAAAGTTGACATAATTTCCAGCCAGTGCTGTTCCACGAAAGACAAATATTATTAAAATATGTTTAAGGGGATTGTAAAAAACAGTATTAAAGGGTGAATATTTTCTTCCTTAAAGTAATTTTCCTACTACACTAACAAAAAACCAAAGTAGAAAACGTTCAGCTCAGAGAACAAAACTGTCACATCATATTACTATTTAGGCAGGGTTTCCCACAAATTCAAGAACCTGATATCTGAAGGTAAATCAAAATAATGGTTATGAGGAAGAAAATTCATAATTTTCATAAACGCGGACATAAAAAAATAATTATAAAGGGATTCGTAAAGTATTATTGACAATTCTGGAGGGTTTATGGTAGCGAAATTTATTAAAAACATATCACCCTTTTGTCCACTCTTGTCCCTTTTCTCGAAACTTTATTTTACCCTTCATCACCTACTCGTTTGAGTTGTTCTTCAGCTCCTCTTCTGCTACAAAGGTCTTAAGCTAACTGAGAACCAGCTGAAAATCGTTTTTTCGTTACCTACTTTCAATTAAGGATATAGTTCCCCACAAAAGCCAGATTAACTAGTGATGATCCCAATCTGCATCAGCCAACCTAAACATAACTATTGTGTTGAACATAACTTGCGTGCATTGCTTAGTTCGCTGAATAAAGCATACGTTTCACTCTAGATAATGTTATAGGTTCATTACCAACGCATTTCCTCCTTTTCAAATACTAGAGGGTAAATTATTGGCCAAATGCTTCAAGAAGAAGTAGCAGGAATGCCTTCCCAATAACTCTAATTGAGTAGGAGGTTTTTACTGATGACATGAATCATTTACGACATAATTAAATCTACAATACTCAATCTAATCAATTAAAATATTTATTTCACCCTTCACTAATGGTATCTTATATTTTGATCAGCTAGCTCTGGGTGCACGAAGGGTTTGCTTTCAGCTTGGTCAAACAACTTGCGGCACTACAACCTTGCTAAAAAATCCGATCTTGAACAAGAACGATCATTTATAATATCATGGCAGGAACTGGAGATTTGCATAACTAAACATCTAGTAATTTCATTTCACATACCAGCAAGAGGATACTACGATCTATAAAACTTACCCTTTGAAAGAATAGTCAATGAAATCCACATGCCCTTATATCTGCTGGCGTAGATATCACTGCTAATGGGAAGAGATAGTATTCTTGTGCCATAAGCCACTATTAATTTGCTAACTTCCCGGAATAGAAGAATGCCATTAGGGGATGAAGAGTCAAAAGTTAAACGCTGAGCTTTATTAAATACAAATTCAGCCATAAATTTCAACAATGGGGTTGTGACCTGAAATTGTCAGAAGGAATGGTTCGTTAAAATAAAAATCTGTATATAGTGCTAGCAAGACGACTAGAAAACACCATTCGAATTTCATACAATTTTGAAGAAAACATCGTATTATTAGCCACAGGATTGCAAAAGCATGCAGTATGATACACAAATAAGGAGATCACAAAAGTGGTCATGTAAAACTTCCTTGTCAAGATAATTAGCAAATATCATTCACAAATACATGCTATTCTGAAGATAAATTAGAGTATTTGCAAAATATAGATGGAGGATTGCTAAAGCATGCAATAAAAAGGGGATGACCAGAATTATCCATGATTACAGATAAATTTGCCAAATTAAGCTTCCTTGTCTAAGAGGCATGTGTTAGAATTCATTGGCATGTGTTACCATGCTGCTTTACTTGGACAAACAAAAAAAAAATCGCAATCAGACAACAAGACGCTTTTGCACACTTACAAACACATGGTGGAGCAAAACAATGAGACATAAAATATACTAGAGTGATCCATGCTGTAAAAATGAACAGATTTCTACTTGATGAGAAAGCGAAAGTGAAGATAGAGGTAGTTTATGTTCAACGAGTCAAGTTTAGTCCACAAACTTCCAGTTGTAAGCCAAAAACCCTTGCACATTGTTTGTAAAAAGTTAGTTGATCAATACATAGAGAACATTCTTGCCAGTTCCCAGAATGGAAAGTATTTATAACAATTGGAACAGACTTTCATTACCCTCACCATAGGCTTATAAACGAAAAGAGCCACTTGAGGAAACCAATATTCTGTAAAATTAATTGGTTAGTACTCTGATAAAACTCTCAACTACATGTCATTACTTTAACACAATACATCCAACCAAAGATTGCTAGTTGGAAAGTATCATCCAATTTGGCACAATCTTTACACCACTCAATTAAGAAGATTTACAGGCCGCAGGCAAATACTCCCGAAATTTGCATTTTTGCTACACTCCCAAAATTTTCATTTTAGTATTGTTTGTTCTGACCTCAAAAGCAAAGTGCAAAATGTTCCAGGGAGGGACATGGGGACGTAAAAAGGAAAGAGAGGGATGGGGTTTCTCTCGCTTTTGGCATAGCAGGCCTCTCACTGGGCAATGTTGAGCAGTTTAAATGCATTTCACTGAAACAATTGCAACGTTCGTAAAATCAGAATGAAATAGTGGAATTAAGTTCCCTTTTTAGGATCAAAATGGACGAAAACTAGGAGTCCAACTAAAGCTGCCAGCAACATAAAAAGAATCAAGACTAGTTGATTTTATAACAAAAATGGATATAGAGATAAGATACCTCCGGTGCATCTGTAAAATGGGCAATGCCTTTTAAAAGCAGTGAAATGTGAGACGGGTACAACCAATCAAACAAGAGCCCATATGTTCTGCGACTGAAGCCAGAAAATTATGAGTACTACGCTGGAACATGGAACAGAAAGGTATCTTACATATAGAAGGTATATACACAGCTTGGATGAAAGAAAAAGATAACCTATTTGTTGCCATCGCAATTCCTCTGAGGTCCCTCATCAGACCAATAAGGGCATACTTAACAGCATCGGTTCGGAATGCAGAGTCAGGTGTCGACTCCAGACTAACGAGTACCTGCAAGTTTGCACACATTGAAGAAGGTATCAAATCAGACAATAAAGACAAAAGATGATATTCAGGAAAACTGAATATTAATATCTCATTCAAACCCATAGAGGAATTGATCACAGTGTGTTAGTATTTGAGACCAAGCAGGTCAGTAATTTTCACCCTTGAACATGAAAACGAGAAAGAATGTACCCCAAATATTTACATGTAATATCAGAATAGAGCTCCAGTAAAATTACATTCCTAAGCGAACACAATAACCACGAGAATCTTCAAAATATTAAAAACTGGAGTCTCTCAAGTGGAATAAATTATGTTAGATCCGAGAAGACGGACCACTTTCAAAAAAACACACGATTTGGACTAGGGACGCCAAAGTATGGTACCCAGAATTGTGTCAGATGGCCAGATCAGGCTATGTCCATTCCGACACAATCTAAGTGAACGGTCAATGTGGTTAAACATGAAGAAAAATCGCAGATCAGTAAATTTACAAGCATATATGTAATTTATGGTAATTAAAATATATAATCACAATAAATGATTCTAAATCTTAATGCACTACCCCAATACCAGATTCGTGCCCCTCCTATCTCAAAATCCCTGTTTTTTCGATATGGGAGGTGGCAAGTTTATATTCCACTTGACACACTGCTCAAGGAGATATTGGTACTACTTTCAACTGTCGTATGATTAAATGTACAGAAACATACACATAATCATAACGACATTATGATGCATTTATAACTTCAATCAATTTTTGGAAGAAGAAAATTATGCGATTGACAGCAAAGAATTTGACACAATCTGTCACTGGTTTGGAGTTGTAAATGGTTCAACTCAACCATTTTCCGACAACTAACACACTTATTTCTGAAGATCCTGTTTGACTGACTAGAATACGCAGTAAAAAATTAGCTTCCTATGGAAAGATGATTTTGACCAGGATTTTTTTTTATCGTTAGTCATATGACCTGAAATGGCAAAATATATGCAACAAGGAGGGCGCCGTTAAAAAATTATGTTGGTAGGGAATTGCCTGAAATAATGGATCCATAGCTGCCTTGAACTTTACAGGGCTGTCTTCCATAAAGATCAACCAGCCGAGAGTGTAGTAGAAGGTTGTCCGGCTGCGGGAGCACCTATACTCCTCCAAAAAAGGGAAGTGCTCTCTCTAAAATAAAGAATGAAAATATGTTCATCAAAGAACATATTTGAAGTTAGATCAAAGAACATCAAAGAAGCAATAAAACCTAGACAAGAGCACAGGGAATTACAGTGTGATGCCCAATTATAAATTTTACAGTATCTAATTTGAGAAGTAGCTTTCCAGTCATGTAACTGCAAAAAAAGACTAAATAGTGAGAGATAGAAAGTAAATGAAATACTGACCATAAATAGTCAGAATGATCAAAACTGACCCCGATGCCAGTTCAAAAAACAGGTTCAATGTGTGCTCAATAACCTCCTCATTCTGTATACATGGACAGGATGCAGCTTAAAACCACCTCACAGAGAAAGAAAAGTAAACGAAATAATAAGGTGGGTATCTATCACCTCTGTATAGCATTTAAGATTCGTTGCAATTTTCCCAACTATGACATTAAGCAAGACCAGATGATCATGGAGTCCAAGAAGTTCAGATAGTCTTGAGTATAGCTGCTGCAACCAAACAAACAGAACTTAAATATAAACAATAAAATGACTTCCCCTAATTGACGTTGGTTTTGGATAATCCTCTTACCTTTGATGAAAGCATGGCTTGATCACCTACATATGACTTTCGGAAGTGTTGAAAAAAAGTGATAATAGCACAATCAAGCCGTTGCTTACTTTTTTCAGAATATCTCTGCATCCAAACATGAATTATTTTCTTTCATTTCCTAAAGAGCTTTCACTTAAGGCCAACAGGCATCCACTCAACTGTTGGCTTTCTTCAATTTAAAAGCAAAAGGAAAAATATTTGCTATGCTTCACCAAAAACATTGTTGAAAAGTTATGGGAAATATTCTCATTTTCAGTACCACACTTTATTCATATCCAGAAAATCTTCGGATCTACGGATCAATGTACAAAACTAATATTTATGGCTGGAGATAGAGTATGCCAATCCGGAACTCATGGAAGTCCCGTATCAGACTCAATTTTAAACTTTCTGATACTCCGATACAATATAGACAGGAAAACTCATTCCACAGATCAGAGGCTATGCATGAAGTCCTCTCAGAGACTCTCATTGCCGAAAGATCATCTAATAGAAGAGAAGTTTTCATAAGTCGAGGCTCAAAAGTATGGTTTCCATATCACAAGAAGTTTGGATCATGAAGATGCATGGAATTCTTGCGATCCAATTAAGAGATACTAGAAACTAAGGATTTCCATCACATACTATAACCTTCGAGATTATCCAGGATGTAATGTCAAAGTTCATAGAGTGGTTTCATTTCAATACTAATAAGATGAAGTTCCCACAAGTTAAACTCAAAGTTCATTACAAGTCTCAATGCTCCAGACTGAAAACAGTAGTGTACTTCAGCGGGAACAGATTCTGGTCATGCAAGACACAAGGAAAGACAATGATGGTGAAAAGGACCTTTCTAAAAGGTAAGCTAGCAAGGCAGGCCAGACAACTAAGAATTATAACAGCAACTACCCCGATTGAATTATTTGGCCCTACTTACTCAAACAAGCAGAGTAGATTGACCAAGAATTGGTTCATTGAATGAGGTAGGTCGGTTTAATTTCAAGGTGAAATCTCCCATTGAACATACAAAAAAATTGTTTGTTTCCATAAATGTCATAAAGAAATTACTGCCCCCCTCAGAAAATAAAATCAACTAGTTCCGTCAATGTACATAGGACACCATGACGTATAAGGGAAGATGTGGAGCAATGCAAGAGATTCTATAATTTTTTTCTGAAATGTGGCCTGCGAACCTTCTAGAAAACCATAGGCACGGCATACTACACGAGAAAACAGTGTGAAAGCCTAGACCAATAATAGAACACTAAGGGAGCCAAGGATCTGATCTTCATTTTAACTATCATACAGTGACGTACAATCAGACAACATACAATAATATGACAAGATTATTAATCTATAACAGCGTGCTAAATACACAACTATAAATTATTTCACGATTCTGGTACCTGACAGTGCAGTCCACTGTCTGTGACATTAATCAACTGTAAGACACGAGCCGCAAGTTCTGCATCGATAAATTCTTGAGATTCCGCGTTGCCACTAAAGAGGTTCAACGAGATAAACAGTGATAAATATTGGTCATCCATTTACCGTTAAAATAATAGTATAAGTAAGGTGATGATAATACCTGCAACCAGTAACTTGTCGCATCTTGAGAATAGCAGCAATAATATGAACGATCCATGCTAGCTGCCCTTCAACAATACATAGCTCGTTACTGTCTCCAGGTGATTGAAGCCTAGCCCATTTCTGATGACAACAATGGTAAGTGATATTACTATTAAAAGACTTGAAACAGTCAACAATAAACAAGAAGGATATAAAACCACAATGATCACCAAAAAATGCTAGAGGAACATACTGTGTATGTCTGCATAAGGGGCTCCATGACCTTTATAATATATAGACTGCTTCTTTGATACTGGAATTAAAAAAATTATCAAGAATAAGGTGTCTTAGAAAGGAGAATGATAAAAAGATATTAAAAAAGAAAGGTTGCATCCAGACCAAAAACAATCAAATCCCTTTCATCAAGAAAGCATATATAGAAGAAAAGACGACATAAAATGAAAGAGTAATAATTCAACCTGGAACCTGCAAAGGTAAGGAAAGCTTTCAAGATGGTCCTGAAGGACTTCCACATTGTCTAATGGATTTTCAGAAAGTTCGTCTGGGAATCCAGCCTGCAACTCGCGACAAGAATAACAAAGGAAGTAGATGTAAAAAGTTAAGTTTTCAAATGCCCCAGCCCCTCTACCTAAATGAATATATGATCAAATCCCTAGAAATGCTTCACGCCTGAACAAAGCCTAATGTGAATGTTCTGCACTTGCCAAAACCGAATTAAATTTTTTGAATATGTAGGAATTCAAACTGTGCCACAAGAGTTTACCTGGACAGAGTCAAATCTTGAACTGATAAAACCCTCAATAATTGTCGGAACAGATTCATCTAGTAGACTTGGTGTATCACCTTTCAAATATGGGACAGAGGTCACCAATCTGGACCAGAGCCCTAAAAGGTAGTATACGCCACCGCTGGCCCACTGCAAAAATTAAAAAGAATAACCAGATTCTCAAGAGAAGAGCAAGTTCGTTATTAAAATCCTGCAAGAAAGCAATCAGATCTGACAAATTCCAAAGAACCAGCCTAACCTGCCAAGACTGGAGTGATTTTTCCGTGAACTCAGCCACCAAACGTATCCACTCACTATATATCTCAATATTTACGAGTTCCGAAAGCTGTGAAAATTTAAAAAAACAATACACGGCTTACTGACTCCTCCATTTCCATCTTGAAAATGTCATACTCTTTTGCACAAATAGATACGCAATCATATGCCCATACAAACAAGTAGTATTATTCTTGATATAATATAGTTATGATAAAAAAAGAACAGAAGAACAGAAAAAGGAAGCATTAAGAGCATAGGCATCTGCAACCACAGAGTAAGACCGTGGAATTATGGAGTATATACAAGAGAATTTTGACTTTCCATTCACCAAGTCATAATGCATTAAACGATAGGAAAAGACAATTTAGCAGAAAAGAAAATCAAGAAAGCAACAAACTTTTCTGCATTCGATAGAAAAAGTTAGCTGTGTGACTTATCACTTAACTTCACAAAGTCAGCCATGTGATTGATCACTTTACTTTCACAACCATCCTATAAGTTAAAAGATAGAACCATGAATGCAATTTATCAGTGAACAACACCCCTTGGGGCTTCCTATGATTGAACTAAACAAGCCCTTTAATATCTCATAGAAATGTGAAAAAAGGAACATTAACTACCGCTCAATTTATTTCTGAATCAATTGGTTCAGGCCACAACCGAGAAATCAGACCCTAACAACATAGGACCAATTTAGTTTCACCAGTTCCAACGAATTTTTCTTTTCGAAAATGAGAACAATGGAAAATCAGATTGAAACAGGTGGCAATCCCTTCTGTCCCAGCTACACCTTATCATTATTTTACGAGGTGGAAATCTCCTTATTTTACGTTTCACAACACTGCTTTTCACGCACTGAAACTAAACTTGTCCAAAGTAGCACGAGATTACAGAGAATAGCGTTACAAAGCTAAGTAAGAGAAAAAGGTGACGAATGTAAACATCTGTCATCTTATAAAAAGATGCCGGTAAAATCAGGAAAACAGTAACACCAAAAAATATATTGGCATTCGCTTCTTTCATTTTCCCACTAACTTTGCATATGAAACTCAAATTCTCAACTTTTAAAACATTTTTTCTAATTTAAGCATGATGGATTTAAAACTAAGAAAAGAAAAATAACAGTGAAGACAAAAGGCTGCCTCAAATGTTGAGAAAACTTCCTCACGCCTTAGCAGTAGAAGGATATGCCACGTTCCCCTGAAAATCCATTTTCAAACCATTTTTCGCCTCCCATGGGCTGATGCCCATGCCTAGGAATAGGTCGAGGTGACCATTTTAGCAACAGAAACCAGAGCATTTTACCAGGTTTCCCAGCACCTTTGCAGGTGAAGGTATGTGAGCTATTGCTTTTCCAAGAACCAGCGCAGATTAGCAATAATTTCCCCTAGCATAGATAAATAACCTTTTTCAAACCAGTCAAGTTATGTAAATTGTGGTAATGGCTGGGTGGAACTCTACAGTGGTATCATTGTTAACACCTGCTGAATCATTTCATAATTAAACGTTTTCTTTCGAAATATGGAGTACATCCGTCACCACCCTTTCTTTGATGGGAGAAAAGGGGGGGAAACAGACTCTTGTTTTTAGTATAGAGATGATTGAGAAGAATACAAAAAAGGTTCTATACATTTCGAAACAAAAAAATGACCATCGGAAAAAGGAAAATAAATTTACCTGATAGTTCACCTTAAAACGTCCCAAAAGACGGCAACATTCATGGTAATTATCATGGTCAGAAAGTCCTGAAAAATTTAAACATTGAAACTGTAATTTCAGCCCGTCGGGAATGGCATGTGATAGTTTTAAAGTAGAGAGCACTACAATCAATTAAAGGAAAAAGTGATAATGGACATGACTTGGGTGCACGCCAAATGAGTCCCGGAGAAATACAACAAATATTCTTCTTAAGATCAATCATAGAATAATAAAGCCTCGAGTATACGAAGCACTTAGCAAAAGATTTCACCAAAAGAAACTCAAAGGTTAACCATGATATAAATGTACATGATAGAGGAATAGATCAAACGGTGATGTACCCTTCCCTCATTCCGATAAACATTTAATCTAAGCAAACAACTAGACAATATTTTTACTATCACTTTACTTAAAAATGACAACTTGCAGATGTTTCCAATTGATACATTCCAAAATCAGACATCAATAATTTAATCATACCGATCAACAATGCTCCACATGCAGTACAATCCCTAGTTTCCTAGGGACAGAAAAACGCAGTCTTCTCTCTCAACCTCACCAAAATGCCTTCAGGGAGATTGTGCATTGAACCTGAACAAAAATGTAAGGCAGATTCCCAGACCCTCCTCAAAAGCCATTCAAAGGCATCTTTTATGTGACACAATGAGTTCGATCCACAAGGAATCTTTATTCCCTCATTTGTCTCCTCCCTATCAAATTTTGACAATTCCGAGGCCTAACTGGATACAAGTCTAGTGATGAAACTTTTTCCATTCTGAGAAGAGTGCACCACCTTCATATAACAGGGATCCAAGGACCAGAGATAATCATTCACCAAGGTTTGCCACCAAACTAACAACCAACGAAAAAGAAAGGAGAGATTCATACGAGAAGAAGAAAAATATGAATATCATCTCAGAGTGAGTCTATCACTCAAAAATTTGTCCTCTGCAAAGCTAAAGGGTTTGGTCGATCTGATTCAGAAAGATCTCCACCAAAGTTGTCAGCAGGATTCTAAACGACAAAGAGAAGAAATTTAAGATGCAGAAAAAACAGGAAAACACCAAAAGTATTGTAATGATTTCCGAATATTAAAGAAAACCTTAGCAAGCTTACGATTTTTTCCTTCAATCATTGACATTACAAAGGGAATTTATTCTTTGAAAAACCACTGTCATTTCTAGTAATTGATTTTCTGTTTCACGATTCTCTTCACCGAATTAATTAGCTTCTTCAGAAAGAATACAGAAGCTTAAGTGAGATGTACATTCACTATATCTCAAAAACTGTCAACTTTGACTCAGCAAACAGAATAAATGATCAAAAAGAACCTTGGCCTTTTTGCAATATTTCTTTGGTTCCTGACATTAAATGTGCTAGGAATCTTGACCGTGCTGCATCATCTGTGAACAAGGATCTTCTAACAGAAGCCAGGCGTACCAAGCAACCAAGAGCCTGAAAATATAAAAGAAATATGTTGAATTTGCAGTTCCCTGTGTTCACAGCAAAAAATTCCAGTTCCAGGGCAACTGACCCAGAGACTTGGAATTGGTTGTCTCACATATAGGAGTAAAACTTCAAAAAAATAGAGTACAGAACGTCATCATCTCATGAAACATCTGTTAGAACTCAATGGAAGTTAAATTGCATAACAGTTTTAAAATGAAAAACTCAAAAACAAATGTACGGATAGTTTTGTTCAAATGGGCACACTACGAGTGAGAGGATCGAAATTACATTTTCAAAAAGAGCTTGAGTTAATGTCCAGTTCATAGAAAAAACTGATAAATTTAAGAATTAATAAGAACCTTTCCATGCAGCTAGTTTTAACACAATTCTTTGATACATCGAGCACAATCATGTTGAGTGCACACCGCCATTCTTATCTATGGCACCAAGTACTAGTAGAAACTGAAAGAGTGGAGCGCTTCCACATTCTTTGAAGGATAGAAAATTGCATATTTTTTCATGGGAAATGCCACACGCAAGTATTGTCTCTGGAGCTCTTCATAAGACTAATTGATATCATTAAAAGATAACCCATAAACATTCCTAAACACCACAAATACTTGTAATTATATTTATGCGTAAAACAATGATAACTCCCTTATGCAGAAAAGATCCGTGGACAATGTCATAACCAAAAAGTTTTCTTTCGTTTTTCTGCAGTCTTCTTAACACAGTTGATATCAATACCAAAGCCAGTAACTGGAAACTTAAAATGAAAGGGGGGCTCCTTCAGATCATCTACAAACTTCGCCTTCCACCGAGAAATACGGATCAGTTAGCTCATAATTTAGAAGAACAATCATGATTGGAACATATAAAAGACAAGAAAGAACAACAACACGATACGAAGTACAAATGTAAGCAATTTGAATCATCTTCCCACAGAAACCACTCTTAGAAAGGAACCTCTATAAGTAAAGGTAACAGGGTATTAGGAATGCAACAAAAAATTATTAAATAAAAACGGCGAATAGGGTTACAAGAATAGTTTGCAAGTGCTTACCTCTTTTGAGAGGGGTGGTTCAGTAATTCCATAGTAGTCAAAGAAGATTTGAAGAGTAGAAGGGTCTTCTAATAAAGCCCTCCAAGCGGATGGAATCTGTGGAGATGTAAACCAGGCATTACTAAAAAGAAACACCAAATGAAACATGACACCTAGAAATTGAAAATTCATATCTTCGTAATCATAAGAATATTTTCGATGCCTTTGTACCTGCACTGTACCAAACTCATCTGAACTTTCGTCCAAGGATGTCCCAATAAAATCAAAAGATAGACACTTCAATGAAAGTGAGAGAGCCAGTTCCTTCAACATGCTTGAAACTGTACACAAGCAAAGCTATGTTAGCCAAAGCCCCTAACAATTTTAACAAATATTCAGCCTCATCCATTCAGGATAAATGTTAGCAAAAGCAAAGGTATAGTTACCATCGTCTTTTAGATGGCGTAATGATGTCAATGATATCTGGAAAATATGATAAAGTGACTGATCCCTAAAAGAGCAGGCAGCCCTCCTATGTTGTGTCAGAGGCAGTCCAGAGGTAGGCTGAAAAATTCAAGAATCAGGAAAAACAGTCTCATCTCTGAGGTTAACAAATAACAATCAGAAGCATAGTTCATATTTGAGCGAAAAAATAAAGCTACAGCTCAACAATAGTAAAACACAAAAGAGTGCGAGAGAGCACTTAAAAATGATCAATGGCATACCAGAAGCGAAGTACTAAGAAAGATTCGCATTTATACTGCCAGTAAAATCTATTAACAAAAAGACCTAACATCGCATGGAACTTTCAAAAAATAACAGGGTATTTGTCCATGAACAGATATCTGAAAGTAGATTTTTTTCCCCACTGCATCGCTTTTTCACATAGATATTCGAGGTATCAGGATCATATAGACCAGACGTGACTGAAAACCTGATTCGGTTTAAAAATGAATATTTTTGCAGCTTTATGAAGTAAATATATAAAAAACGTCAGGAATAAAATCAAAGTTGGCTAACCAGATACTTCATTCACAAGCTAAATCATGCGCTGATTATCACTGACCAGGACCGACGATGGACAGAAGATTTTGATTGGATGGTATAACTAAATTAAGTACGAATGAAAATTGAGCATGAACTACATGTAACATGATAAGTTGTACGGTAAACCTGATTCATTTCAGACACGAGCTGATTCAACAACTTCAAACCAATGGAATAATGATCCGGTGTCCCCTATTCAATGTAGAAAATAGACGTTAGAAAATTCACAAACAGTACCATCACCATAAAAAATGTCAAATTTCAGGAACGCAATTTAAACCTGAGCACCCATTAAAGTAAACTAGAGATGAAGGACATCCGTGCGAAAAGTTAACATAATGTAAGGAGCTACGACTTCCATTGAAAACAAGACGATGAATCAACAAAATTAGCAATAAACCTACATGAAGAATAGGTAAAGGGTGGTATAAGCAAAATGGTAACGAAAATCAAAATTAATTTCTGCATGTGGCCTAACCCATTAGACAAATTAAATCCAAACTAGGAGATATGGCGTGTGTAGAAAAAACAATGTTACATGATACAAAACCACTACATCGTTGGGGACCTATGATACGACATCACACGGTAAAACGGTCTAAATAACACAGAAACTTAGCCCAGTCTGCACCGATGAGTCTCAAAGACAAGAAAAATAGGGGCTACTACTGTCTCTTTAAAGGTATAAAGAGTAGACTGAAGCAGAATGGTCATATTCAGCAATAATTCACAATGAAGACAATGTCATGCATACAAGGCTACAGAAGAAGGAAAAATGGATTATAGTAACTAACACTCGCCCCCCAGGCCAAAATGGGCAATCGAAAACTGAACCCCTAGTTTATATCCACAAGTGTATCAGTCTTTCCCAACAAATGACTTAACATCCCTTCCCCAGTCCAAGAAAGTCAATACATGCGAAACACCTAACATAAGAAGCAGATACATGATTCAGACCCCACCATTGCATACCTCATGTTCTTTGACAACTATAGTTTCAGTTGAAAGCATCAAAGGTTAGTATGCAGTCAAGGCTGAAATGAATACTCGATAAGATTAGGGACAATTAAGCATCTGGTTAGAACCTAAGTTGAATAGCTAAATGTCATATCGCCATAATAACACAATTATATTGTCTGTACCATAGTATGACACCAGCACTAACAAGCTCACGAATGAGACTACATTAAAATATCAATTATAAATTTTGTATACACCTAAGGGATAAAATTTCATCGAAAGAAAGATCTATGACAACAACGACAAAATGAAAGAGGACACACAATTAGAGGAGCAATAGTAAAAGAATAAAGATCAGCCCTACACTGACACAGGGGTTCAGCAGGAAAACATGCTGCCATTTAAGAGGTTTCACGGCAACATTTCTAAAATGTTTACAACGCAAGAGGTTTAAGGATCACGTTTCCATAACTTAGTGAGGAAAAATCTCAAGTTCTATATCAGAAGAGCTTGAAAGTCAGTAAAAAGAGAGGCATTCTCCATTCTCTCTGAACTCACATTTTCTAAACAGAATTAATTAGTCCAAAACCTCTAGATGCACATTTTTAAGGAAAACTCTGTACACTGTCCATATACAAAATAAATACCGCACTCTCCATTCTCTCTAAATTCAATAGGCCCTATTTCAAAAAGAATCATAATACATCGGCATTATTTTTCTAGAAACAGGATGAAGAATTGGTTCAGGTGACAAAAAACAAAATAAGACGTGTTTGCACCTAAATGGGCTGTTGTATGAACAAAACAAAGTGTAGCAGTTTTTCTTTTTACCAAGAGGAACCATATGACAGTTTGGTGTCACCTGACTGCTTAAGTTAGGCAATAAAAATATTTAAAACTTGCGTGGTTAGCATGCATAGTTTTGAGTCAGTCTTCTGCCACAAGTTAAGGCCCTCAGGTCAATTTTCCACTCAGGCCAGACGCTGAGGAGGCCGGAGTCACCTCACCTCTAATTATTTGCATGTGCTCTCTCTGAAACATAAAATCAACAACAACATTTCTTGGAGGTGAAGACACCAGAAGCGTGCATTCCCTTGGGAGTAAATGTCATTCAATACAAAAATTTGAAATGGCATAATGTCAAAGAAATCCTTGAGAAAACATAAATATAAACGGAATGAACCAAAAAAAAGTTTTAAAGCATAAATAAAGGCATCATAAAACAAGCAGTACATGCAAGTGATTAATGTGACTGTGCTACACGGTAACGACATTATTTTAAGAATGGCTTAAATAAAGAATATGGACATCACATCACCTGGTTGAGGAAGCTCATCAGCTCTTTAACAACATCTCTGAATCTGTCATCATCAAACCAACTGAATTTTGTAATTCGACAAAACAGTTGGATCAGTGAACCAGCTACAAAGGTTTGCAAATCACGTCCTCGATTGGCTAGATAGGTTATCACATAGTTCCCTTCATGAAAATTACAAAAAATCAATTCAAGTGAAATGATAGTCTGACAAATCAAACATCTTCCTACCCAAACTAAGAAAATTGCATATTAAGAAAAAGTTTCCAAGCATAATATCTATCTATAGAGATGCAGTTTATGCAGGTTAAATAGGAGCATTACGGATGTCCAGTCGTAGCTGCAGAGATAGTGTGTGTTCTGTGACTTGCTTCAACAAGCTTGAACTAGCCATCATCAAAGCATACGGGCTTGGAGAGTTATCCAGAATATACTGGCACTGAGAAATGTAATCCGTATTCAGAGAGAAACATTTCAGCATGCTCTCTGCATGTGCTCGTTCAGCAGAATCCTGAGAATTGTAAAGCCGTTCACAAAGTGCATCCAACTGAGCCAAGCTCTCCATTGGCAGAAGCACAAAATTATTCTGCAATTTTCAGATGTTCAATTCCCCATCAACGATGTCACTTGTTTCTCCTTGCAATTCCAAACAAAAGACTAGAATTTTTTTGCGATATTGGGAATTTTGGGAGAAACTAAGAATGTGTTTTGAATCAAATCAAAACTTTAGTAATGACAACAAAATGGAAAAGCTGGAATCCATTGTAGCACTAAAGGATTTCTTTTGTACATATTATACAAGCCATTATATTCCAAACTGGAATCATCATATTGCAAGTTGAAATCGGTTCATGTTACATTAAGCTCGACAGAAGCTCAAAATACAATCCAGATCTCTAGAAATAAATCCAACTAGTTATCTGTAGATCTGCCTCAACTGATCCTGAGGAACCATCAAACCTGTGAAGATAGGAAACAACAAAGAATCAGTTTTCCCAGAAAAAGTGTAGAGACCAACAAATCAGTTTTTCCACCAAACCTTGACAACCTACAATACAGTCCACAAAGTACAAATGCATTTGTAAACAAGCTTGAAATATACTGGAACTGAATCCGTATTATGTCACAAAAGCATTCACAAAGTTGACTACCTTCAGTTCCCACCACCAAAACTTCTTGAGGGCAAAAAGGAAAGAAGTTTTCTACAAGCTAGATCTGTTGTACCTTTTAAGGGAACTACAAGGGAGTATTGAGGAAATCATTGGCATCTATAAGTGAACAAACCCAGTAAATTTACATCTTCCCAAAATCTGCTTTAGGGTGAGACTTCTGCAGCCATTGTCTCATTTGCTTACTGGTCTTTATCAAATGCGTTTTAAGTTCTGTACACAATGATATTTGTGAATTGTTACTTACGATCACTGTCATGTCCAAATTTTCGGCTTCTACAACCTACATAACGTAAACCATATGCATTTCCTGATAAACATTTTCAGATCCTGAAAGATAAGTTTCCTTAACCATAAAAAGCCCACCGGTAATAGGATCCCCTTGCATCATCAAGCCAAAGCACCAACTGAAGGCATTTGCCTGTAACCGAAAATGGAACTTCTAGTTGTACGATACAAAAAATCACAATGCACCAGCAAGCCAAACATGAATATGCAAGTATCTTCTTAAAGAATGAAGTATGGGTCATCTCCAAAATAGAAGGCATTTCTCAAAAGAATGATCATTCCCATGTATACAATTGGCCAGGGATGCAACAGTCGTGGTAAAAATTTATGATCCTGTGTTTCGTTTTTGGCTGAGGATATCATATTGAGAGTAAGCCCTGATTGTTCATCTTCTTCTCGTGTTATGTAAGGTAGGAACAAAGATTCATGTTCGTACAGCGTCAGTGAGGAGCAAGGGCCAAGCTACGGGAATGAAGGAATTACGATTCATTCATGAATATGTATCCGTTCAAACTGATAAGATGTCACACTCCAAAATTGTCACGATACCGTAATCTACGAAAGTCTCCGGCCATCTCTACGCGGCAGAAACCTGTCATTATCAATGCTCCTCTTTGAACTCTAGTTTTCTTTGGACAACCGAATTCTTGACGAAGAATTAATGGAAATAGGCTCTTATAACTCCAACCGGACCCAGAAAACACGAGATTCCCGATCGAGCCTAAGAAACTTGTTCCAACAACCAAAGCCCAAATAACCCCTGGAATCTAAAATTCTGAAACTAACGGCGTCCTGGTCGCGGTCCTCGACGGATCTCGATGCACTCAGGATGCCAGCGGAAAACAACAGTCAGGAGTATTCGCCCAATTATCCGACCACGGAAACATGAACGGATATCTAGAAACACAAACCAGAAGATTCTGCATATTTTGCATAATTTTATCTTACAAAATGCTAAAAAATCGTAGGAGAGCAGGGTCACGGAGGCGAACGTTCTAGTCGATGGGAACGTCTCTAGCTCCCGCGGCGTGCTCTCTCTCTCCCTCTCCCTCTCCCTCTATCTCTCCCTCTCTCTATCTATCTACACGTCCCTAGGGAAAGCCGGATGCGAAAGAGATCGATCGACAGAGGTGAGAGCTCCTGAATTTATAGATCCACCGATATTAACCGGCGCTTTTTTGGTGACCTATTTCCCCAGAAACTTTGGGGAAAATCAAGACCGCACCTGGCAACGGAGACCATCATCCTGAGCCTCACAGCCGTCCGATCAAGACCACCCTCCTTCCTTCCGCCTGGGAGGCGTGCACGGATCCTCTCCCTTCTATCGGGCTATCGGTTCCCTTACATTCCAATTCCATCTAGTATTATTTAATTCAAAATTAAATTTATGATATATTGTGGTATTATTGGGCCGTCTCCAGCCGCTCGGTTTCCAACTGAGCCAAATAAAACAACATGAAGCCCAAATGAGCAGCCCACTTATATGAGTCCGTAACTTTGGCCCATTGGGCGGAAACGACGTTCTTTTAAATCCCAGTCGATACCGATTGTCGGCGCCGCCGCCCTCCACGCTGTTCCCACCTGGAAGGCGACCCGTCACGTGGCCTCCACGGACCCATATCCTCGGGCCGGACGACTTTCGAATATCTGAAGCGGCTCTTATGGCGAAAACGATCGGGGCATCACAGGACAACGCAGAAAGCTCCTGCGCGCGTAGGGCATTTTTCCACGTGCCGATCCCAAAGTAGGCCCAATGGGTTCTCATCCCGTTTGCCAGCTCACGGATATGGGCCTCTACTGGGCTTGCCCCATCAATGGGACTGGTCTCTGGTCCTCCCTCTCTCTTCTCTCTCTCTCGCCGGCGTTAAACGGGCCGCCGGCGCGGGCCACGGCGGGCGCATGAGCGTCTTGAAAGCGAAGTAAAGAGGACCAAAGGACACTGCCGGCCGCTGTGGGCGGCGGCGGAGGCGCTGTCCCGGAAGGGAAGACCTTTTACAGAGGCGTGCGCTGGAACTTCCCGGCGAAAGCGAAGAGTGGCGACGGCAGTTGGCGGCGGCAGCGTGGGAGGGGTTTGACGTTGGAAGAGATCACGTGAGGATCTGCTGCGTCTGCACTAGTTAAGTCCGCGTCTCTGCTTCCACTCGCCAGCGTGGGAGGAAGGGGGGGGGGGGGTCGGTCTTTACCGCTCTGATGGCTGCAGCAAATGACGATCAGAGCTATTATAGTCTTTATCATCCAATATAATATTCAGACGTCGGTTTCCCGTTTTAAGATCTCGTGGGCACATGGTCATGTGTTAAGGACTCGAATGCTGGATTGCACTTCTATTCGTCGGTTTCTCCGGTCTCGGATTCTTCGTTAAACTCTCTGCATCTTTGTCAGTGTCTGTATTATCCGCAAAGGCGTACCTTTCTGCAGCAAGCAATATCACAACCCAGTGGTAAAATTAACTCGTTAATCTGGTCGCATGGGTCTGATTGCTAGTGGGTTCAACGAGTGCAAGATTTTCGATGCCTTTTTCCCCATTCGAGCTTCACATGGATTAGTTGGTCTCCTCAGAGGAACACTCGCCGGGATCAGAAGATTTCCTCGTGTCGGCCTTTCGGCGAACATGGCACGTGGCTGAGCATCCGGGGAGAGGCTGCTGCAGATTATCTGCTCATTAGTCCTCGCCGCCGTCGGAAGCGTGCCGTTGAAGAATGAAGAAGATGAGGCACTGCGGGGGAGGGTGAGGTGAGTGTGACGCCATGGATTTCAAGTGTCGGTGAAGATCGAAAACGCTGTTCTTTTCCCTCCACCCGAAGCAAACTCCGGCGACGTGCCCATCTCCCTTTCCTATGCCGGACGGCAGGAGATCGCCGCTCTCCCCGAGGCCCCCCACCTGATGGGCGGAGGCTGCACGAGCGGCGCGCCCATATCCGCTTATGGGCTCTGGCGGTGGTGCTGGCGGAGCCACCGGGCGCGGCATCCAGTGGATCGTTTTAAAGCCGACAATGACGCAAATAAAGAAAGGATTCCACTGGGGGGGAGGGGAATTAAAAGGGGGTTCCGGTCTGGCAGATCGCCGCAAGTTTAGATGGACAGATAAACCCAGGGTGGAATTTGAGAGGGGGAAAGCTGGGGTGATTAGAAAGGTAATCGATCGAAAGAGGAAGATGGTGCGTCGGCATTCGATAAACAGGTGGGGAGGGAGGTCAAACGAGGGGGGAAATTATTGTTTCTATAGGTTGTCTCGCGCATAATAAATATTCTGGGAATTCAAGTTGTGATGTCACTGTCTCTCCAACGAGGGTCTGTGGATGTAGTTGCCGGAAGGACCCAAGAGAGAGAAATTTTAAACTCGAGTAAGCCTTCTAGAATAAAATATTTCTGAGAAGCTTCCCCACCCCCGAGCTTGAACAAAAGGATCCATTTTTCTATTCCTGTACTACGATACACCGAGGGGGAGAGACCTGGGCGCCGGGCTGCTAGATCTATCTGCTCGTCCTCGCGCTTGACGTTCGGTATTGCTTGCCTTCTGAAGGCCACCTGCTCCGAGGGCCATCAGTTTTCCTCTCTGTCACTCGCCTTCTTCTGCCAGGACAATGGGCAGGGGAGGACTCCGGTAGCTTCTTTTTCCTCCGGCGAGCGGCGACCTCTGCCGGGAGCTCTCCCTACTGCCATGGAGCGCCGGGGGAGAAGGCCGGTGCCGCTCGCCGCCGGCACGGCGGAATCTGGGCTGTGAGAGTCTGCGCAAGGCAAGAGGAAGTTATGGTTAATTGACGAGCGGGTAACGAAGATGTTCAAGGGGGCAAAATGGAGGAACGAGAGGAACAGGATCAAGGTCGTGTTCAGGCTGCAGTTCCAGGCGACCCAGGTACCTTCAGCTTCGAGTACTTGCATTTATCTGGTTTTGGGGTATCCATTGGGGGGGGATCCTGGGCTCTTCCATGCAGTGGGGAGGATGATTTCCCCCCTCCACCCTCGGTTGATCTCTGCCAGAATTCGAAGCCGTGGGTCGCGATCTCGTCGATGCGAGGATGTTAAGAATCCATCTGGTTTATCTCGTGATTCACAGGTACCTCCGTCGAAATGGGAAAATCTGGTGATCACTTTGATCCCGGTGGACGTCGGTAAGCCCACGGCGAAGTCGGAGAAGGCCGCGGTCTCCAGTGGAGCCTGCCAGTGGGAGAAGCCAATCTATGAAACAGTCAAATTCGTCCGAGAGCCGAAGACCGGAAGGATCAATGAGAAAGTCTACCACATCCTCGTCTCCGCGACTGTGAGCACCGGATCTTCTTCTTCTTCTTTCTCAGTGGATGGGCGTCGCCTTGGAGGGTTCCTCTTACCTCACCTCGTCTGCAGGGTTTCCCGAAGGCAGCCCTTCTTGGAGAAGCGACCATCGACTTCGCGGGCTACGTCGAGGCCATCAAGCCTTCCTCTGTGTCTCTCCCACTCAAGGCGTCTGATTCCAATGCTCTCCTGCACGTAAGCATCTGTTATCTAACAATTTTGTTTTCCTAAATGACTCGACAGTATTGTGAGTCTGCTCTTGATCTCTGGGCTGCTGGTCGAATGGGCAGGTCACGATCCAAAGAACGCAGGAAGCAGTCAGGGGAAGGTAAGAATCGGACCGATCTGAGGAAGGTAGGTCGATCTCCTCTGCTCTGATAATTTAAATGGCATGCTTCCTTCGATCTTTCTGTGCAGAGAGACTGAACGGAATGGCGAAACCATGGCGAAGCCCCAAAGAAAGACGTTGATGAGCCAGCTAAGCAATTCTGATGTGGTAGAGGACCCGGAAAATGCCAGAGACATCAACGGATTCGCCAATGCTGTAAGGGTCTTCTTCCCCTTCTTCTCTACCTCAGGAGAGGTGCCATATCAGAGAGGGCTTCCTTCTTCACTTCATGAATCCTCCAGGGGAAACATAAGCAATTCTAAATGCCAATTGATATCCTCCTCCCCTCTGCAGGAGAGACCATCAGCCAATGGGGAACGGATGAGGTTCCCATCTGCCAGGGCCGTGGTTCAGGACTTGGAATTCAATGCTGACCTCAGAACATCAAGAAGCTTTGATGCGGTATCGGCGTCGTGGTCGGACACCAGCTCAGGAAGGTACACGCCAGGGGACAGCACACATAGGAGCACCATTTTCCGGCAGGATTCGACGAGCCTTCTGTCGCCCTTGGGGAACACTGAGACTCCTCCAAGGCCGATGCTCAGCCCCACTGATTATGGAGATGATCGGAGGTCAAACGTGGAGTGGGCTGCCAGTTCGGCGCCCAATGGGAGTGGGGAAGAGGGCACAGGCCATTCAGATGAATCTTTCAGGGAGCTCAAGAACGAACTCGTTGCCCTGGCGAGGCAAGTGGAGGTGTCGGACCTGGAGCTGCAGGCTCTCAGGAAGCAGGTGGTGAAGGAGAGGAAGCTGGTGGTGGACCTTTCAAAGGACCTGAACAGTACGAGAGAGGAGAGAGACAAGTTTAGACGGGAGTGCGACGAACTCATGGCCTCAGGTGGGAAGGAACCTGAGGGGGGGGAGCTGAGATCCATGCTAGAAGAGGTCAGGCAGGAGCTGGATCATGAGAAAAGCCTGAACGCTAATCTCTGCCTGCAACTCAAGAAGATGCAAGATTCTAACTCGGAGTTGATGCTTGCAATTAGAGATCTGGACGACATGTTGGACCAGAAAAATAGGGAAACATCAAATGGTGGCTGTGAGCGTGTGCTGGATGACCCGGCAAGAGATGGCGGTCGTCACGAGAAGAAGCATGAAAATGGCTTCTCTTATGTCCGGCAATCGGAATGCAATGGGCGGTCATGTAAGCCTCAGTATGTAGAGGAGGAAGAGGAGGAGGAGGATGATGAGCAATATGCTCTCGAAGCACTGGTCAAGCAACGGGAGATCAAAATGGCGCTTTCACTAGAACAGAAGATTGTGGAATTGAACAATGAAATAGAGATGCACAGGAAGGATCGTGAGGAGCTGGAAATGCAGATGGAACAGATTGCGCTGGACTATGAGATCTTGAAGCAGGAAAACCATGATATTTCCTCGAAGCTGGAGCAGATCCAACTGAGGGAGCAGCTCAGGATGCAGTATGAGTGCTCGGCCCATGTATCTATTATCAATGAACTTGAAGGCCAAGTAGAGAAATTGGAGACAGAGCTTGAGAAGCAGGCTGAAGCCTTTGAAGCCGATCTAACTGTCCTCACCTCTGCTAAAGTTGAGCAGGAGAAGAGGGCCATACAGCTTGAGGAGGCACTGAGAAAGGCAAAGCAGAAAAATGTGAAGATTGCTGAATGTCTCATGGAGGAGCTTCAAAGACTCTCAATCCAAATGTCATCTATGTTTGGCAAAAATGAGAAACTGACCGTTCAGGCCCTGGCCGAGGCTGGTCAGCTACGCCTGAGGAACAGCCAGCTTGAAGAATTGCTGAAGAAAGTCAATCAGGGGGCTCTATCAGTGAAAGATCGTCATAGATCACAGATTGAGGATTTTGAGAGTGAGGTAGATCTCAGCAAGGGACGCATAGAGCAACTAGACGTGAAACTTAGACAGAAGTCTGAAGAACTAGAGAAAGAAAAGAGATCAAAGGCCGAGCAGAATGTAGCTTTCACTGAGGAAATTATTAAACTCAAAACACGGATAGAATCGCTAGAAAATGAGAAAAACGATATTTATGGGCAAGTAAAACGGAGAGATGACTCTGGGGACCGTGTGAAGCAATCAAATGAATCAGTCGAAGGAACTGGTAGGTTGCTGCCAAATGGAAACATCAAAGGGGAGGTGATCCAAAGAGAATGTTCATCAACGAGAGAAGAAGCAGGGAGGTTACGTGATGAATTACACGACCCGAGGTTTGAGAAAAAGGACGGTGAATTGATAACTAGGACACTAAACTTAGAACCGGCCGCCTTGGAAACGGAGAAGAGCAGCTTAGGCTCCTTGTTCGAGAAGGAGCACCAGAACAAGACCCTGGCGATCCAGGTATCACACCGGAGAGAGGATTGTCATCTTCGTGCCTCCCTGCCCCCCCTCCTCTCACCTTCCCACCTCTCCAGTCTCTTGCTCTCCACATAGTCAAGCAAAGAGATAGTAATCACTTTCATGGCACAAACTATATAAAATATAGATGAAAGCATTATTTTGTAAACCAGAAATGTACTTATCTTTACCATGTTCTGCAGGCCGAGGCAAAGCCAATCAGTGGATCATCCGAGGCTACAAGAGATTCACCTTCGGAGATACGTTTAACCAAGGTAATTACTCAATCTCAGAGGTGCATCATTGGAAATTTCTTCTGGTATATTCCTCTGGAGAAGAGACCTTGTTGTCGATAGGTCTCTCTTATAGCACCACAGACTAGTGATTCTTTGACCTGCTGTTTTGTTCGTCTCTAAGTATGGTGCTTTCCACCCAACTTCTTACATTTCATGGAGAAATCAATGATTTATAGGGCCATCCCAGATGAATATGAAAACAGATATATTCTCCTCTGGATTAACAAAACGAAAATTATTACTAAACATGGAAATTTTGAAAAAAAAGGAAAGAATATATTCTACTGTCATCCATTTACGCAGAAACAACTCACCAAAAGTAAATGATATTCGATGTTTTTTACCGTCACCTATTACACAGACCCTGGAATGTGTATTCTAATTACTGGACGCAATCGCCGTTTTTGCTCATTATGTATGGCGAATGTAAGTTACAGGACCAACATATAAGGTAATAAGCAAGATTTAGTAAGCGACAGTGATATTTCAGCTTAGATAGAGTGCAGAATATTATGTAAGAGTATCGATTCTTTCTTTTCCCTGACTGTTAATTTGAAATAGGGGCACAGTCATCAACTGATGAGAACTCAAGAGTAATTTGATTTGATGCAGGAGGTTGTGAATATAGAATTTGGGCTTGATGATGAAATTCTCCTCTCGCCAAACCCAGAAGGGAGAAAGTTCACATGTGCTACCAATGCAATGCATGAAGAATCGATCGATAGGTATAAATTTCATGAGCAATAAACTGCATATTAATCCTCATTGGAAGTCAGAGATTCCCGTGCAATATTTTGTGATGCGCGTGAATCATTTGCCAGCGTCCTCATAAACACTTAAACATTTGCCTGCAGCAAAATTGGATTCCGTTCAAAGATAGAAGAGGAGGCTTCAAATGGCTTTCCTAGTGACCAATGCCATCTCACTGAAACACTACGGGAAATGGCAACGCTGAGGGAAGTGAACAAATCAATGGAAGCAGAGCTGAAAGAAATGCAAGAAAGGTACTCGGAGATAAGCCTCAAATTTGCACAAGTGGAAGGGGAAAGGCAACAGCTTGTGATGACAGTCCGCACCCTGAAAAATGCACTGAAAGTTTGATCCAACATTTTCCAATGGTGGAGAACGGATTCTGTACAGGTAGAATCTGCCTTTCTCCGGGAAATGCGTTGCCAGAAGAACTTGTGAAGAAACAATATGACATGTATAGCGGTAGTATATTCTTTACCTCATGTCGACCTCATTTTTCTCCTTGGTGGAACGAACAAGCGCGAGCTGGGTCACAGACTTGGTGTCCTTCCACATGTTAAGAATGTAAAATATCACATTCTTTTTATTTGAGGATAAAATCTGAGTTTCCCTGTCAGCTATTACTTTACTGAGCCAGTCACAGATGCCGGGGCAAAAAATTTCGATATGTGAATTTAACTGTAAAGGCAATGTCCCGTGAGAGATTTCAAATCTAAGGACTGGCACCTGAGTACTTTACCGCAAAAATCCTAATAATCTTAAAGAAGAAGAACATGGTACGTTCTATGGGAGTCAAGACCGACCTATTCTGTGCATTCGACCATAACAAGTTGACAACTGTCAGAGCAGAGTTTCGAGCACGTCAATGATATTTAAAAATTTTCGGACACCAGAAAAGATAATTAATTGCTAAATGAATATCCTCAATTTCCGTGAGAATTAAAACCGATAGTTCTAATGAAGATATAGAAAAACAAGCATCCTCTTCCACGTGTCACCTAAGTTTCATCACGAAGACTCTTTCGTCCTTTGCCCTCTGGACCTGCAAAGTTTCTATTTGTCCAAACCAGCTTGCTCTGCTTTTCTTGCCCATATCTTGTGAAAGAAAGATTCTGCAATCGTCAGATAGCTGGTGTTAGTACATTTGATACTCACTAAACTGTGTTCCCCCTCCCCACGGTGCAGCGGTCATCATATGCGCAGGTGTCTATATATTAATGCTTTCTGCGATCAACACGTCGCTGGTACTAGACTATCCCTCTATCGGACATCTAATGGACAGATTTTAGGCAAAAAATTACAGAAAAAACAAATAATTTGGAAACAGAATAAAATTCGTGAATATTTTGCTCGATAAGAGTAAGAACCCCGAGCTAATTGGCTTCATTATGGGGAATATGTTGTAACAACTTTTTTTGAGTTCTACACCTCAATGATGTATTTTAAAATCTTACAAGTGAAAGTAAAATATTACAATATTTAAAAAGTTACCAGTCTTGCTCGCTTGTCAGTGGGTGTCCACGTAGGAACCATGACTGCGGAAGGATTTTTCTCTTTGGATGGACCAAGTGGCTTCCCGATATTTCTATGGCACTTTTGCCGGGACGTTGTCTTTTGTCTACAACCTCCTCGATACCTGTAACTGTCAACTGTGGACGGACTTCGTCTCAGAGAGCACTTATCTCTATTCTTTGAGCTGCCAGGACGATCAAAATATGTATTGGATGGGAGAGGCTTCGGTTTCATTTTGCTCTTCTCTTTGATTCGGTTTAAAAGATCAGCAGTCGATGTCGAGCCTTCCTGCTCTCTGGACATATGGTTTCCATTTGTAAATAAATTTCCGCAAAAATTAGTCATTAGTTTTTGCCTCTTGGCTGATTCAAGAATATTAAGATCGTGGGGGTAACTTTCTCTTTTGAAGTTCCCATATCTGTTTACGAGCAAAAGATCCTCCTTAGAGGCTGCATTATTCTTCCTGCCGATATTTTTCATCTCTGGTACTTGATAATGATGTTTCATGGTAGCCCAGGTATCATCACAGTTGATATCTGAGGCGGGTGGGAAGACATTGTTGGCACTGCCATATCTATACCTGCTGGTTAGCTGAGACTTTCCTGTAATTGTTTCAGTTCTTGAGATATCAACATTATTTCCAGCGGATTGAAATCCGTCGTCTAAAAAGTCAAAGTTCCAGTTGATTACTTCACCGTTTAAATCTTCACAAACATGTTCACAGCCTCCAACACCATTCTGGTCAAGAATATGACTATCAGAAGTTTTCAGGTCCCATTTATCACCTAGAACCTCATCAATGCCGGGGTTCTTATGATTTCCAGCTCTTTGTAACATTCCCTTCATACTGAAGATATCCCCCATCCGAAATCGGTTGGGTTGCTTCGAAGACTCAAAGACGTCTTTGTCAGGATTACTTTGCGGCCTGAAGTGTAGGCGATCATCCATAGGCGATTTAATTGCATCGGATGTACTTCTGCGTTGCCCTTTACAGTGGAATTGCACTTTGCCACTGCTAAGATCAGAGTCAATGGAAGAACACTCTGTCGTTCCGGACTTGGATTCCCCCAACTCACCATATCTGCACAGGTAACTGAATAAAGTCATACTTTCGTCTGGTACCTGATACTTGCCAACAGCTTGAATTCTTTCCTCCAAGGACCAACGAAGAAATTCTATGAGCATGCCACACGATGACAATATGGCATGAGCTGAAAGAGTATTTATGGAAGGAAATCCTGTAAGGAACGATTCTGCGAGTGTTTCTGACTCCATCATGGCAGGATAAAGACCTTTATTAATTCTACCGCTGTTCTTGATGCAGCCGTGAACTATTTCATCAGTTGACTCAGGTGAATATGAGCAGAAAAGCTGGAAGTGGATATCCAAACTAGCAGCCGCAGCATAGAGTGCATCTGAAAATTCCATTACTGCTTCAAAGAAGTTGCTTTCTCCCTCAAAGATCTGCGAAGGTAAAGCATTGATGGGATTCATTTTTGTAGCAACTAGTTTTATTAATTAAGCTCCACATCCAGATATGCATAAAGGTCGAAACAAGAGTGATGATGACAAGGTCCGGATCAATAAATTGGGAAGGATTTTTTTTTAAGTTGAATACTTAGTGAGGCTTGTGAGTCCCCACAGAAATAAAATAACTCCAAACAATCAATGACATTTTAGTTAATTTTTTGCCTGCATACCAAGGTATGATCGTAGTCACAAAAGACTAGAGGTTCAATGTACAATTTATTTTATTTATGAACCACTTGAAGGTAAACAGCGGCAACTTACCAACTTAGTTATCAGTTGATTACAGAGATGTAAATGAATTTTTATAGTTGGTCATTGGAAAAACGTGAAAGCACGGGAGAAGGAACATGAAATGATGCATGAAGAAATGAGTTATTGTCTTTACAGACCATGATCCACTAACAAGTAGAAACCATTACCAGAATGCAACCACTAAACGCAAAACTGACCGACATCAGAATGCTTGTTGCAAGAGTCTCCATGAACCGGGATATATTAGAACTTTCTTCAGTTTCTGCAGCTGCGATCCTCACATTTTTTATATCATACCATATCAGGCAAACAGAAGCGGTCAATATAAGGTCCAAAGGCAGATCGACCTCTCGTTCCACAACTTGGACCCCAGCTTTCTCTGTTTCTAGGATCTTTTGGTATGAGCTTCTTCGAGATATAAGCATTTCCTTTTCAGAATTTTGAATGTTTACGATGATAACAGTTTCAGGAGATGGTGACGAGTTTGCAGAGGTATTGTTAGGATATGGCCCCCCTGATGTCGACTCAGCGTCACGTGTGGCTTCAACTTTGTTGGCAGATTCTGAGGATACTGCATTTCTAATCTCTCTGCTGGGCGAAAATTTTAGGAGGTCTGTAACATATTTGCTTCTGATATCCTGCAAGAAAAGCATCCGTTAAGAGTCCCCTTCCTGGTCTAAGAACGAAAACTCTGCCGTAAAATGTGACAGATAACTAGTATCTCTACCAAATGACTTGAAGAAGAAAGGTCAAGAAGCCCAGGAAACACAAGGTCCTGATTGGCCAAGAAACGATATGAAAACAGTACGACGCCTCGGGAAAGAATGTCTCATGGGGCACAGATTATGAGAATCAGGTACTTCGGATTTTTAAACTTTACATGGCACATAAAGAAGTACATCGGAATGTTACGCCATCCAGCCCCTCAGATTATTTGACTTAACCCCTCGAGTTCTTAACCAAGAGATCGCACCGTTGACTGGCAGAAGAGGTAATTTGGTTCCTAAGGTAGATCGACGACTGAACTTGGGTTTAAGATGACTGGGCCCTCTTTTAAAGAAAAGAAAAAACTGCTCCTGGAAGGAAAATTCCAGGAAGCCTCATCCTTCCTCATTAGATTGATTAATTCTAGACTTTATCCGTCGAAAGTCAAAAATTGATGATAACTATTAATAAGACTATTTCAGAAAAACAGCGGCTAGTCCTCTCATTTGCGCATCTTCGCGGTTCAGAAGATGAACTTAGTTGGATGGATGTAAATAAACATGTTTATTGACTTTAAAAATAGTAATATCATGTGGAAAAATTATATAATAATAAATAAGCGAAGATGCATGCAAAGAGGAAAGGCTGCTTAGGATTCTCTGTTGAAGGAAATCAGGGCATCCTCTGTTGAAGGAAATTATGGGCATTAACGGTGGGGACAAAACTATGGTTCTCTCAGGACAAAGAACGAGTGATTATAGCAGACATAAAAAACGATAACAATAGACGGTATCTGTGAAAGATGAAAACACCATGGATATGAAATAACTTCAACGAAAAAATGGATAAACAGGGAAAATGAGAGTACCATATAATATTAAGGATTATCATGGAATTATCATGAAAATGAGAGTTTTCCTTCCCAAGGGATATTAATCGAGTTTTAAATTTCAGTTAATGTTTGTGAGACGAACGTTTTGGATTTAATAAAACAAAGAAGAGGAAACGAGACAGACAGAGGGAAAGAGGATGCCAGAAATTTTGCAGCATGAATTCGAACTCTAAATCTATATTCAATACTGTAGAAAATTGAACTCTAAAACTTTACATGGGACAAAAGAACTGAAAAAATTGCATAGGTCTTTTTTCACATTTAAAATATCCATATGCTAATTTAAATTCCCATTTACTCATAAAACCTGTAAGTTTTTACGACGTCAATAATTTATTCAGAAAATTGTTTAGGGTAAGACTTTGGAATTCAAGAGTATTACCATCATATACTGAGGTGGCTGAGATCCTCCTTCACAGAATGACACCACATCCGCGTGGTCTTCCAGCTTAACTTTGATAAAGTCAACTTGAAGCGAGGGAACTAACTTTGCCGTATGATTGCAGATTCTAGATGAAGCATGGCATCCTCCATATTCCAAGATATGGCAGAATTTATTGAGCGGAAATGTTTCAGACACTTGCCTTGAACGAGTTAAGGAAACGATCGTCAACTTTAGGTTCCATATGTCAGCAGACAGAAGCATAAGCTCTTCTTTTTGTAAAGAATATCAGGTAAACCAATACGAAAATTCTCCACGCACATGCAATCGTACACAATAATTCTGCGTATCCATTAAGTTCATTACCGACGGAAAATATATAGAGCTAATAGGACGAAAAGTGTGTAAGGAAGTAATTTTTTCAATAATATAATTCATTTGGATAATTGAGAATGTTGCGTTATTTAGAAATAAGGAGCACGTCATAAAAATAATCATAATAATAACCGTGCTTAAATTACGATGTAAATGCCTGACTTTAGAAGTTAAATAAAATAACAGTTTCAGTTCAACAGCATACCGTTAAAGAATGTTAAAAACCACAAGAATATCTCCAATAAATTGTTATATTTCATTTCAGATTGACAGGATAAGATTCAATGGCAATGAAATTATGAGCGTTGAAAATTTTGGGGTTGATTATCAAATCAGTAATACCGACTACCAAAGTCAATCCACAGTTTTGTAGTAATATTAACAGAGGTAATGGTGGCTCACACCTGAACAGAAGTATTTTAAGATCTAACGACTGTAGTATAAAATAAAAATGAGAGGGTGTATGATATCAGAATAAATAAAAAATAAAGCAAGGAAAGTCTATGTCCAAGAATCACGGCATATATGTTCAGTTTCTCAAAAACAACACGAATGATGAAACAGATATCACCACGCCCAAAAAAAAAATTGTTATCATACAAGAAAGATTAATGTTTTAACACTAAAAAAATCATATTGCCTATTGAAGTCCAGTGCAGAGATCTTACTCGAGTGAAACAATAAAACAATCTGAATGTGGAAGAGCTTCCAAAATGGAATTTCTGAGTTCCTGGTGTCGGATATCTGGATGTTCCACAACATCATTCGAATGAACTAATTCATGAAACTTTATTTTCATGGAGGTTAACTTTCTACTTAAAGGGTACCAGAAAAGTTTCTCGGCCACAATTAATGTTTTTTCCCGCTTTTGGCGTGTTTTTCTCTTGAGTATACCCTCAATAATAGATAGCACAGGATGTGATTCTAAATGACCCTTTTCAGCCTTCCTGAGAGCGTCTTTAACCAGGTAGTACGTAGAACTTAATCTCGTCTTCAGGTACTCACTTTCTTGAGATATTTTCCTCATGTAGTTATGGGCAGTATGAATCCCAAAGTAGCATAAGAAATGCGCTAACTGTTTCATCACGCCGAGTCCGATAAGAGGTAAAAACCCTTCATTTTCAGAGGACATTTTTGTAACAAGTGCCATCATCTTCAATGTTGGAAATTTTAGGAGCTCCAAGTCTTCCGGTACTGGAAATGAATGCAGGTTCTGTTGTAAATCTGTCTCATTTTTCAAAACAGCTAAATAAGTTTTCTGAATGTTACGAACTATCTCCAGAATGTGATCAGAAAGAACAGCCAGGTGCTCTTCAACATTCCCATGGTGAACTACAACTACAGCAGAATCCGACAAAGCAGCTGTGCCGGCGGAAGCAGAGGGAGGGATTGCAACTCCCCGAGTACATTGCTTCTCTGTGTCACCTGAACTAGTTTTACTAGTAATGCCTCGACGAGCATTTACAAAAAAATTCAAATCATTGGATTGTGACATGGTTCCAAATAGGAAAGAAACCCTGTCAGTATTTTGATTTCTTAATTTCTGTTCAATTTTGTTTTCAGTTTGAAGGATATGAGAGGATGCACAATTTGCAAGAACTTTATCGGTGTTCAAGGTAGAACGATTTAGCTTTCTGGGTGATTTTTGATTCTCCGAAATGTCGGAAACTTCGAAACGATCATCCAAGATGTTTATGTAAAAATCAACCGACTCTTCTTCCAGGAGTTTCATGTCTGGAGCAATGTGATACGTCTGCACTGTCATCAGTGAATTGATATGAGTAGAACACGTTTTCTGGTTGCATGTGTCTTCTGTCAAGGGATGCCAATCCAAATATATTCCATCACTTGCAGAAACAGTATGCATTCTCTGGGCGCCTAGAATATTATCAAGTATCAAATTTAAAGATGTTAACTTCTTGTCCTCACAAAGGATGGGCGTAGGCAATGATTTAAAAGTATCATCCACCAAACATAGCTCAGAACTGATAACAGATTCATAAAAGCTCTCGATTGGAAGAATATCCTCGTTATTTTTTGGGTTAAATGTTTCTTTATCCTCGACTGTTTCTGCAATACCAAGCATCGGAAAGCAGTCAAAGGTAAACAAGTCGAGAATCTGAACCTCCTGCAGACTAACTAAGCAGGGTGTCTGAAAATAATTGCCATTTGATTCTCCTGGACATAACGCTGTACCTTTTACCTGAAAAATATTACCCTTCAAACTCAAAATATCCATGTCTATGATAAAATTGAGGGATATGGGTATACAGTCAGGAATTTGCTCTGCTGGAGCTTTCACTGAGGAATATTTTAGAATATCGTAATCTATTGGCTGTGTATTGAAATCCTTTGGAATGGCACTGTTCTCACTACCTTGAACGTGGTCATCCTTCAAATAGGGAACCAAAATATTGAATGCTTCTGAGCATGGACATTTATCATGTTTGAAACATATCTCTCTCACTTCAAATCTAGGTAACGTGTTAAAGCCCACTAATGTCCCATTAAATGTGCAACTATCCTCTGCAGGATGAAAACCTCCACGATCTAGATTCGAATTCACAAGGATGTTCTCAACTAAATAAGTTGAATCATAAACTTCTTTCGGATAAGGAATTGTTTCAAACGGTTCAACGAAGACCACATCCTGCAGATAACGACAAGATCGATTCAGATGATTGGAGATCATATTTTCGTCCAAGGAAAAGCTTTAATGTATTGAACCTCCTCAGCCCTCAAGTTGCTTCTTTTAGCACTGTACATCATCGGTGATTTTTTTTATAATATCAACATCAACAATCTGTTCGCGTCTTTTTTCCGTACGTCTTTATTAAAAAAGTTTCATAACACAAAGCGAGGCTGCTTTAGTGATTCATACTGGAATATTAGTTTCCGGAAAGAACGACTTTTCATGTCAAACATGTATGCCAAGTCTCTCATTAAATATACATATTGAGTTTATACTTATGAAGAAATAAATAAAGAAAAAGACGGCGCACTATTTTGTATGGAACAATGCGTACATGAGAGCAGAAGATCACGTGTAGCATTGCAAGAAAAAAAAGTTAAATGTTGGATAAAACATGCTGAATCCACTGAGAGAAAAGATGATTTATATCTGAGTGAGAGTTGGTAATAACACGTTTTTAGACGGTAAACCAGAGGGAACTTAATTATTATTTTGATCTTATTTTGATCTTAGTACAAGAATCCCTCTCTGATGATTTTTGGATTTCTAGCTTACTGTATTCGGCAACATCTTACAGGTTATTGCACATCCATATGAGTGGATACAATCAACCGAAATTTGAATGTCTAGACAAATATGGACACTACCCTTACAAGTATCAAACATTTAACCACATAGATACCTAAAAGAGACGCATGCCTTCCAACCACTGCTTATCACCAGATAATGATAAAAATGACAGCTAAATTAATAACTATATTATTTATATATTAAAAATAAGGAAAGGAGAAAAGCTCTTCTCTCGTCATAGCAAGGCACCGCGCGGAAAGTGCTAAAGAAATAATGAGCTACACAATTTTACAACAAAAAAAGAAGCTAACGACGGTGTTCGGGTCCCGAGGTCGAAGGAGAAACGTATATGCCTATAAACTTAATGCTTCTATTCGTTTTTTCTCGAAGAACCAAATGAAATGTAAAGTTTCATACAGGAAACACCTACAGAAAAAAAACACATGACAGATGAGTTAGAAGAGGAAAATTTACCACAGAAATTCCAAAGCCCGCAGTGCCAAATCTGATTCCTTCATCATCAACTTTAGAAGGGATAATATCCTCTCTCTGCATCATCAAATCACAAGAAAAGTACCCGAGTATTTAATGACAGAGAACAGAAATGGTAAAATTGGTACATAGAATCTTACTTGGAAAGAGTCCACTTCGACTATTTCAAATTGGATTATTTCAAATGATTCATTTCCCTTGCAGCCAACGAAACGATCGTGAACCTATGAAAATGAAACAAAGAAGATAGAATAATTGAAAAGGCCATAGAAAGCAGTACGAGGGGGATCTATATTCAAAATCATTCCATTCGGAATCTTTTGTTCTATCAAAGCGTCGGACTTCCAAATTTTCATAGGGTCCCCCCGGAATTCCTTCTAGAGCCTGTTGAATTATTTTTATGAATTCCCTCATTTCACTCATTCGTACTAAATAACGAGTTAGTGAATCCCCTTCTTGTTGCCAGTGGACTTCCCAATCGAATTCATTATAACATTAGAAGTGGTGTTTGTTGTTTTATCCATTTTTTTCTAGGTAAGCAAGAACTACATTAAAAGAAATAAAAAAACGAAAATAGGAGGGTCCAGGGGCTGTCTACAATAGATCAAAGAGGCCAAATTATCAATTCCACCTTCGTAATCTCTGAATGATAAGTTTGTGACTCGTATTTATTGTGTCCTGCGAGTTCCTTGCCTTCACAGAGGAAATCATCGGCTTCCTAGAAAATAATATTCATTAGACTCCGAAAAACCTACAGCACGGACGTCTTCTCCTTATTGAGGCGAAATCTATCATAAAACAACGGAAATCAGAAACAACAGAAGAATTTTGCGATAGTAAAAAAATTTATTCATATTGTCGCATTACCTGCGATATCACCATCCCACTCTCTTCAGATCCCGCATTCTGAGCGCTTATCCTCGGGGATTTCTGCTCTCCGGCGGATGAAACTTCCGGGACTACATCTGAGAGGAACTGAGAGAGCGCTCGATCAAATGGAAACTTATCGATCGTCGATCCGTTCGGAAAATCTACACAGATGTCTAAATCGTATGAAAACATTCCTCCCGCACACGGAGGATGGAGAGCAGGAAGACATGGAGCTGGGAGCGTCAGGAACGCAAAGCCTCGCAGGGATTCAACAACGCCGTCAGCAAAGAAGTAGTCCTTGCTTAGAAACCGAGTCCTCATTCCTGACCTCTCCCAGGTCTCCGGTTTCTTCTGCTTCCAATCCTCCTTCCCCAGGACCGGAGAAGAAATGGATTACAGAGCGGGTGGAAGAAATCCTTCCGGAATACGAAACCGCGCGCTTGATTCAATTTCCTTTTATATACCTTCTGACAGCGTGAACAACGGCCGAGCACCCGGGGTCCCACTTCGCGGCCACATCGGCAATGGATTTAGTGGGACCATTGGATTACTTATGATCCTCGATCTCAGATCAATCACCATCTTTTCAATCTCCGCCGTTCGTCTCTTCCCATTAGACTGGAACCACTTGCCACCAAATGAAGGCGCCACGGCTGCAAGGGAGCGACGTGTCCTCGCTGACGGAAGAGCTGGCGAAAGCAATGACCGCCATGGGAACTCTGAAAGTTTATCTCTAAGCTCCAAGCCCTTATATCTATCTAAAGGCCCCGTTGCCGGTTATCTCGTCCCCTGTTCTTGTTATCATCCTTGGCTAGTTTCTGGACAATGGACGCCCCCGAGCACCGCCATGTACTCGAAGAAGGTGAAGAGAGAACGAGCTCACACCCTTTTTCCTGCTTGTGGCGAAGTCCATCAAGTTCTTGCTCAAAGATCTTCGTTTATGGAATCCGCCCTTTTTCCTGCTGTTTGTGATTCGTTTGCCGTCTCAGGCCACGAGGAAGAGCACCATGAGAAGAAATCGGTTCTAAAGAAGGTGAAGGAGAAGGCGAAGAAGATAAAGGAGACGATCGGTAAGAGGAAGCACGAGCATGGGGAGGAACACCACCGCGACGACGAAGAGGAAGAGGAAGAAGGACTCTCCGAGGAAGAGACGGAAGAGGATGCAGAGGTCCACGGCGCCCCGGGTATGCCAAATCCATCTCCTCCTTAGAAGCAGGATGTCTAATCACCGGGTTTTAGCAGTTGATCATGTCTCTATGAGAGTTGCAGTGTACAAGAGTGAAGCTGCATGGAGATTCGTAGCGAGTCACGAGGAAGCTCCGCCGGAAGAGGGGGTCAAACTAGGCGCCGCCGCCGCGGGGAACCTGGAAGAGGACACCGGAGCGCCGAAGATCGGAACCGAAGCGCCGCCGGTGCCCGGAAGCGACCGGTCCACCGGCCTTCCTTCTGCAGGTACTGGAAAACCCTTAGTAACCCGCCTATTGAGCATCATTATTTTTCTCTTGTAATGCGTGCTCCTTGTCTTACAGGTGAACCCGAGCCTGGATTTATCAGTTCTTTCCAGGCCATGTCGACGGAGGATGGACCCAAGAAGGAAGAGGAGAAGAAGACGGAGCCTTCACCGGCGGAGTCCCCCGCCGCCACCATTCGTGGAGAAGAGGCTCAGACTGCATCCAAAGGAGAGACCGAACAGCTGCAGCCGCAAAGCGAAATGAGCTACAAGGAGAAAATATCGTCGGCCCTCGTCGATAAAGCAGTTCACGCGAAGGAGGCCGCCGTCTCCGCGGCGGTGGAATCCGCAGAGTACGGGAAGAAGATTGCCGAGACGATGTACGAGAAGACGACGGGTGGGGGGACGGCTGCGGCGGCACCTCCGCCGCCGCCGCCGCAGCAGCAGCACCAGGAGGTGGCGAATGAAGAACAACGGCGTCCATCTGGAGCTGAAGGAACCCAACCAGCGGACATGTGGGTATCGATGAAGGAGTACCTTGCGGAGAAGTTGAGCCCGGGGGAGGAGGACAGGGCCCTGTGCGAGGTAATATCGGAGACTATCCAGAAGCGGAAAGAGGACGAAGGTGACATCCGAGAGGAAGGGGAAGAAAAGCCGCCGCCGCCGCCGCTGGCGGCGGCGGCAACGCCGTCCGGAGAGAAGAAGTCTAGGAAGGGAGTGGTGGGCAAGATAAAGGGTGCCGTCGCCTCCGTGTTCGGAGGACCGTACTCGTCGCAGACGAGAGCTAGAGAGGAGGCCACTCCCTCCTCTAAAGAAGATGCTCCGAGACTTCAGGAGTCGACCAACTGATCGGGGAGGGTTTAATTTACAATTTCTTTTTGTTTGGGGTCTTCTGTCGCGTCGACTTATTTTTTCTTGGTGCTCTTCGCAAATATAGTTTCTGCGTAGGTTCATAAATATCCGATAAAGTGCCGTCATGAATTTGCTTCGAAACCAAAACAATTGGGAATTTATTTAAATTATATTTTAAGATTATACCAAATTTATGCAGGCATGAATCAGCCGAGCATGGTCACATCATTGATCTATGTTGTGATGAAAATCCGCATATAAATAATAATATATATTTTAAAATAAATGAGCATCTTAAGTAATTTTATTTTAATAATATGTTTGGGTAAACGGATGGCAAAAAAAATGAAAGATTCAGGTTGACTCGTTTAGGAGCCCCGTGAGAACTGAAATCTTATTATTAAAGAGAATTCTATATATCACGTGCATATTAAAGGGGGCAAGATCGGCAGATGGAAGTTTTATTTTCTATAGCTAATTAATTAATCACTGACATTTTCCACTAATAATTTTCATTTAAGGTACTTAAAGTACAAAATATTTATTTATAAAAAAGGAGAGGGACGAAAATTGATGGGGGTCTGAATTCTAAGGTTTTTCGAAGCCCTAGTGAAGAACCAGGGGCTCCTCAGCGTCGTGTGGCCTGTAGCGATCTGCGAAGTCGGAAGGGGCCGTCCTGCCGCAGGTGAAAACTCCAGAGATGTCGTTGTGGCTACAGGAATGGGCGCCCGCGTAGAGGAGCGGATTCGAGGAGCGGCGTCTATCGATTCCTGACTTGCTCTAGAGTCAGCAAGGGCCGAAACGTCTCAGGGATCATGAGATTTGGAGGTTTTCTGGGCCTCTTCCCCCCATGAGAGCTGCCATCCGATCTGGTAAAAGAGCCAGCCTCTCCTTGTTCCACTCAGGTACTCGGTTTCCGAGGGAATTCTACGGCGATAGGCGCGGAGGAGATGATGGCAGTTCGAGTGATAGCTTCGGAACTTCGGATCTCCGCGGCGACCACAAGAGTACACTCATCGGCCCTACGCCAAAGGACGTCGAAGAGGATGAAGAAAGAGGTGACCTCTCCGACGATGATTTTGTCCCTCGCTGGAAACGCGCCGAAGAAACCCGATCTAAGGCAGATCAGGTGTTCGAAGTTCTTCTACAAGAGGGACCGGGCTTCAGCGCCAGGTCGGAATTAGAAAAGATGCATCTGCAGATCTCGGCTGATCTGGTGAGGGAAGTTCTGTTTCGGATTTTGAAGTTTATCGACGCCTCTAATAAGCCCCGTTGTGCGAAGCTGGGCCTCAAGTTCTTCATGTGGGCGGGTGACCAGAAGGACTACAAGCACACCTCCAATGCATACAATCTCACCTTGAAGATATTTGCCAAATGCGACGAAATCAAGGCAATGTGGAGGCTGCTAGATGAAATGACCCAGAGTGGATTACCAACAACGGCTCTCACGTTTAACATTCTCATATCCACCTGCGCTGAAGCAGGAATGGCGAGGAAGCTGGTGGAGAGGTTTATGAAGTCCAAAACGTTCAATTACCGCCCTTTCAAGCATTCCTTCAACGCAATCCTTCATTCTCTCATCACCGTGGATCAGTACAGGCTGATTGAGTGGGTATACCAGAAGATGCTGGTTGACGGGCACTCTCCGGATATCTTAACCTATAACGTGCTGATGTGCGCAAAGTACAGGCTAGGCAAACTGGATCAGTTCCACAGGCTTCTGGACGAGATGAGTAAGAACGGGTTTGCTCCTGATCTCCATACGTATAACATCCTCCTCCATGTTCTTGGAAAGGGGGACAAACCGCTCGCTGCTCTTAAGCTCTTGAACTACATGAACGACGCCAATTGCACTCCAAGTGTCCTCCATTTTACAACTTTGATTGACGGATTAAGCCGCGCCGGAAATCTGGACGCTTGCCAGTTCTTCTTCGACGAAATGCTCAAGAGAGGCTGCGAACCCGATGTGGTGTGCTACACGGTCATGATCTCTGGGTATGTGGTGGCGGGTGAGCTCGAGAAAGCCCAGACAATGTTCGACGAAATGACAAACAGAGGCCAGCTTCCCAACGTGTTCACGTACAATTCTATGATCCGGGGGCTTTGCCTGGCTGGGAAGTACGACAAGGCGTGTTGCATGCTTAAGGAGGTGGAGAACAAGGGATGCACTCCAACTTCTTCGGTGTACAGGGCGGTGATAGCCAAGCTCCGGAGCGCCGGCAAAGATTCCGAAGCTGACGAGATAATCACCCGCATGGAGGAGAGGGGATTCCATCCCCAGCTTGCATCCAGGTTCCGGGCGTATCGCAGATGCTAAGTTTCTCTCTCTAAAGGGGGAGAAAATCATCTGCACTGACTGGGGTGCTTTGTATTGAATTGGCTCCGCTACACTTTCAATTATGCTCGATAATTATTATCTTTTATTTTAGGAAGGAAAAAAAGAGGGAAGAGAGGAGAAATATTTCTGTTTGATTCGGATGCCCATTTGTTATTCTCGATTTTGTATGAAAGCACTTGTTATTCAGCACTGCCTTTTATAATTATAATCTCAAAGGAACATCTATATGGCTGCTGACGGTGTTACACAGAGAGAGAGAGAGAGAGAGAGAGCGAGAGGCAGATTGGTTGACGTTGGGAGACTGCCGATTTAGAAATTTCCCCCACTTGTGAATGATTCTAAACGTTGACTGGACGCATTTGTAGAATTCTGGTCCGATTGCGTGCTATCCATGTTAGGACGTCCATAAAGAGCTGGGGTCAATATGGGTTGTTGGGGATTTGACTGAAGAATTCTCCTGTCCGCGCTTTTAGGTTAGGAAAGTGCGTGTCCTCTGCGTCTTTCCACTCCAGGAGGATTCGTGGCCATGGTAGACGAGAGCCAATGCGTCGGAACACTCCACGTGGCAATTTTTTTGTGGTAGGGACCTCCTGGGGGTCTTCTCTAGTCGGTCAGAAATGGCGGCGAATGATTAGAAAAATGGTCATTCGGATGGGTCGGGGTTGGTTGGCCTGCTCGCAGCTTCTGGACAACTGTCAAGCACCGCAAGAAATTCCGTTTCACATCGACAGATACAGGAGTAAGATTCAGATGTATAGAACAAGATGTAGTCTCCACCTCGCGGGAGTATCCGTGTCCTCCGGTGGTAGGAGGGGAGGAGCTATTTTTTCTTCTCATCCTTCTTCTCTTCGTTGGCCGGGCCTACTGATACTACCTCTACCTTTCCAATCTTCTTCAACTTCATGACGACCTTTATGGCGTCTATCGCTCCAACGGCGGTGACCTTCTGATCCTTCAGTTCAGCAGCGATTGAATCAACACCTATTTTCACGAGACAAACCGGTGGGAATTTCAGACTCGGTAGATAACTCTGGTAGTAATGAATCGTTCGTCGAAAGGATCTCCGAAAGGAGCCGAGAAAACGGACCGAGGTGGGGAAGAGAAGGACAGGAGTCGATACCATCGATTTCGGCGACAGCTTCGATTGCCTTTTGCTTCGTCTTCTCGTCGATCATCCCCGACACCTTCACAACTACTTTCTGCCGAGGAACACCGAACAAGGACGGGGAATTTCAAACGAACGAATCAGGAAAGACGGCAGCCGAAGGAGCGCAAATGGACTATCATCTCATACTTCGTAAACCAAGGAATCGATCAAGAAATCCAGGGATGATTTCCGCTCACCTGAGCCATCTTCCTTGGAAGGTCGGCACGACGTTGCTTCTAGGAGAGGGCACGGACGTCTCGGAGGCTGGTTTAAAAAGGGACTGAAACATGTTGCCGTGCGGTGTTCCGCTGGAACACGTCGGAGAGGTTATTACCATTTCCGACAAAATAAAGCCATAAAATAAATTCGAGTGGGGCTGAAGATGATAGTCTTGTTTGCTGACATATTAAAGGAAAATGAAACGCAGTACACAGGACATCGGACGGCTGGAAAGCCACGATATCCATGTCTGGTTTTCTTCATCCGGCCACTGACGGTTTGCCTCGTGGCCGACGACTGCGACGATGACTAAAAACCCATGCGTCGCCCAGTGGAGAGCAGAGGGGAACAGAGAGGGGAACCAAGCTCCCAACTCGCGGGAATAGAGAGGCTTTCCGAGGAAGAGGAAGGAGAAGAAGCTTGACGAGGTGGACGGCTGGCCCATCTGACAGTCTCGTGTGGTGACTGAAGGGAGTGGAGGTACGGTGAGAGAGTAAGATGACAAGGATTTGCTGAGAGCGAAGATTTGGACCAGTGATCTGCAGTTTGGGACGAAGATTTGAGTTTCTCTGATTATCACTTATTCTTTCTGTTTGCGGAGTATGGTTTGTTCGCGAAGATCCTTGATGGAAAACCTGTGTGACCTCTGCTACTGGTAAAGCGCCTCCGAAGATTCCGGAGAAAGGTCTTCTTTCGTCGTCTCTCGTTTTTCCGTTTATCTTTGGAGAATCGATGATTCTATGAGGGATGCGAGTGGCGAATTGGATCTAGAGGACGAGAAATCCAACTTCTCTGTTCCTCTGGGTCAACTTCGGCCGCTTCGATTTAGTGGATTTTAGAGAAGCCAAGACAAGTCTTCTATGAATTCCTGCCCCCTAACCAAACCTAATGGTTTATCTTGATGCAGAGGACGGAAAAGTGGAGACAGAAGGATGGATACACGGAGTTCTGCCATTGTGTCGGGGTTTTGTCGACGTCTCACGGAAGCGATATCCCGGCGTCTCGGTCGAAGGAATCAGAGCGTTGACTCCCGTTCTTCGATCTGGCCGCCCTCCACCATGACGCCACTGCTGCTCTTCTTCATCCTCGTGATTGGCGCCTTTGCTGCGTCCCACTGGATAAGTACCGTATGTCTGCTTTGCTCGTATTACTCTGCAATCCCTACCTCCTTTAAGGCGATCGTATCCAAAAAATTCAACGTGCAACTACATTTTTCTCGGATGCTTTACTACTTGTCGATTTTGTTTCCTAACTTCTCGGACTTTCGTCATTGTCTGCATCACACGCAGAATAATCTCAAGACAAGTGAACTGGCTACACAGATTTCTACAGTGAAGGACTAATCTCATCCTTTTTGAGAGCTCATGATCACTTGGTCCCCTTCTTCCTCGCCGTCCTTCGTCGTTTTTTACGGTCGGCCATGTGACGACGGTGTCTGTGACTCCGTATCCTCCAGCGGCTCCGAAGAGAGAGAAGGGGGGGGGGGGGGGTGTTGGGGTTAACCGGCACTCTTCCATCTTCATCATCGGGCTTCCCTGTCTTCCTCTACCAACATCAGAAATTCTGCGTCCGTCAACTCCAAGACTTCTGCGCTTGATCTCCATTCGGAGAAGAGGCTGTTTTCTTTTCGATGAATTTAGCTGCTTTGATGGCATGTCAGATAGTTCACTGATTTAGACACGAACTTATCGGTGAAATGAGACTGATCCTTCGATTTTCCTGAATTTTCTTTCTTCCTGTCGAGTAGATCACAGGCAGGAGCGTGGGAACGATCCCGAATCCGATCACTGGCTCCACTGCAGCTCCCGGCGGGCTAAAGTCGCCAGAGACGATCAGCCCGCAGCCTTCGAAGTCGCCATCCTGGCCGCCGTTGATCTGCCCGGAGGATAACCAGGTAGCCCATAATCGCACCTGTTCCTCGCGTCCACCTCCCGTCTCCCTCGCCAATCTGTCAGATCCCAAGAACCAGGAGTCGGCGTCCTTGTGTCCGGACTACTTCCGGTGGATTCACGAGGACCTCCGCCCGTGGAAGGCCGCGGGGATCACGAGAGAGATGGTGGAAAGGGCGAGGAGGACGGCCAGCTTTCGGCTGGTGGTTCTCAGCGGGCGGGCCTACGTGGAGAGGTACAGAAAATCTTTCCAGACGAGGGATGTCTTCACCATCTGGGGGATGCTCCAACTGCTGAGGAGGTACCCCGGCCGGGTGCCGGACCTGGATCTCATGTTCGACTGCGTCGACTATCCGGTCGTAAGAAAAGCCACGTACGCCGTGGAGAAGAGATCGGCGGCGGTGCCGCCTCTGTTCCGGTACTGCGGGGACGACTACACCCTCGACATCGTCTTCCCCGACTGGTCCTTCTGGGGTTGGTATGAAATCCAGTGCCGCTAATTTGCAGTGAGTCTCCGCAGGGCGATCTCTGGACCATGGCAGAGGTAGATTCAACGTATGACGTTGCCTGCAGGCCGGAGATCAACATAAAGCCATGGGAGCATCTGCTGAAGGAGATGATGGAGGGGAATCAGAGGGTCAAGTGGATGGACAGGGAACGTTACGCATACTGGAAGGGGAATCCCTTGGTGGCTTCAAAAAGGCGGGACCTCCTCCACTGCAACGTCTCCGACGCCCACGACTGGAACGCTCGGATTTTCGTTCAGGTGACTGAAACACCCATCCCTGACAGTCTCTCCCGGTGTCCTCAAATAACTATTTTTTTTTGTGAAATTAACACGGCCCTTTTAATGCAAGAACGCGGCCAATTTAACTAATTATTTTTCTTGCTTTAAAAGAAATCTATCGGTGGCCCGTGCCCTTGTTGTCTAAACAGAAACGATGAATCTTGTAGGACTGGGAACGGGAGTCCCAGAAAGGGTTCGAGCACTCCAACTTGGCGAAGCAGTGCTTACACAGGTGAAAGGATATGCGCATTAAAGGAGAGGCTTCGTCAATCGCATTTTTCTATGTATACTTACTTCCTCGGCAATGGGAATATTGGCGGCCAGGTACAAAATTTACATAGAAGGTTCGACTTGGTCGGTCAGCGAGAAGTACATCCTGGCCTGCGATTCCCCCACCCTCCTGGTTAAGCCACAGTACTACGACTTCTTCTCGAGGGGCCTCTTCCCACAGGAGCACTACTGGCCGATCAGGGACAACGACAAGTGCCGCTCCATCGAGTTCGCCGTCGACTGGGGAAATACCCACAAGCGTAAGGTGGGCCCTCGCTGCCTCTCCACTCTCTTCTGCGCCTACTCTGTTTTCTTCCTTCGGCTCAGCCCTTCGTCTGCTCGAACTAGGCGCAGGCGATGGGGAAGGAGGCGAGCCGGTTCATCGAGGACGAGCTGAATATGGATACCGTGTACGACTATATACTCCACCTGCTGACCGAGTACGCGAAGCTCCTGCGGTTCCAGCCCTCCAAGCCCCCGGGGGCCGTTGAGTACTGTGCGGAGTTCATGGCCTGCGGCGCGACGGGCCGCGAGAGGACGTTCATGGTGGAATCCATGGTGGAGGTTCCCCGGGAGGCCGGTCCCTGCGCGTTGCCCCCTCCGTTCGATCCTGAGGAGCTAAGCATACTGGCCAGAAGGAAAGCTGATTCCATTAGACAGGTCGAGATTTGGGAGGACAAATCCAGGGCGAAGAGAGAGAAAACCAAGATCTAGTTATAATTTCCTCGTTTGTTTTGGGCCGTCAATCTGAAAGCCCAAATAAAGACCCAAATACAACAAATCTGGTCCTACTGGGCGGTGGTGGGGGTCTGCTCCCAACAATCACCTCCGCTAAGCGACTGATGGGGAAACCCCTAAAAAATGTCCCCTTTGGTGATGAAGGAAGCTCCTTCCTGTTCAATGGCGTGATAAGGAGGAAAAGGGAGTTGGTTTCCCTCTCTAACCCGGGAGAGAGACGTGGCATCTACCGCCGTCCCTCCAGTCCAAGCCTTTAATGCTCGCGGGACACGGTGGGCTGCAAAGGGTCCACAGCCCTCGAGAAAGGAACAATAGACGACAGACGAGAGGAGGAATCGTCACTCATAAGAAAAAGCAGACTCCGGCCGTCGTCCTCCTCTCGAGGTGGAAGACAGCACATGGACCCTTCCTAATCCGAGCTCTGAGAAGAGAGAGAGAGTGAAAGGGCCCTCTCATCGCCTTGCTTTGGCGTGCATTGCAAACTAGCTGTTTTGGCAGAGCCGGCAATGGCGTTCGACTGGTCGGCATGATCCGTCCAAAATGGCCCCAACTGCCCGACGGTGGGCCGCTTATTTTATACGACCTCGAGACCCCTCTCCGCCGCTGCCCCCCCCCTCCGTCCTTCCGGCGGAGCGCCGCCGGATTTGCGGGAATGAGGACAACCCGCGGCCTACTCTCCATTAATTCCCACCGCGCCGCCGGCTCCGGTGGCCACGTGGAGGCGCCGTCGAGCTAGTACTCGGATCAGAACGAACGCGTTTCGGAGTCCCTTCTCGCGCTGTGGGGGGATGAGTCCTGGAGAATGCTGAATTATTTCAAAGAAGACTTTTTTGAGAGCCCCTGGGGGCAATAATGTCGGCGATCGTTACTGGAATACAATTATTAAATATAAAAAAATGAGTGACTCCTTACTGTTGTTGACCTGACATTTACTTGACTTAATTAGAGTCCCCAACTCAAGGCTCAACCCTCCCCCGGTGATCGCGGATCCCACCTGGCGTGGGCTTCCACGTCCCTACGCAGAGATGGACGCCCGTCTCTGTGTAAGAGAGAGAGAGAGAGAGGAGTAAAGCGACGGAGAAGAAAGGCAATGAGTAAAGCGTGACGCTCGCCGCCGCAGCGGTGGGCCGCCGAGGGCAAGCGTGGCATCCACTAGAAGCAAGCGCCGGTTAGACGCCGGGGGGGGGGCGGGGGAGGATGAGGGTGGGTTCGGGAATGTGACCCCTTTGGGAACCAGAAACAACTGCGGCTCCACCGGCCCGCCCTCAGACTCACCTCTCTCTCCGAAAGCGGAGTTTAAGTGCACCACTCGTACCGCCTGCACTCTGTTGCTATTTTTTAAATCCAAAGCTTGTGCTGTTGTTAGCACCCTCCTTCGAAAAGAAACACAGCCGTCTACCCCTCTCTCTCTCTCTCTCTCTCTCTCTCTCTCTCTCTCTCTGAGAGTGCGGAAACACGGAAGATGCGGGTTATCTCTTTGCTTCTCTTCCGGTCACTGTGTTCTCTCCACTGATCAGCATTCCTTACCTGGGTCGGCGCCTGCACTCGGGGTCACACCAGGGGGGATATGGGCTGGGGAAATTGGCTACCGCGTATGGTAAATGAGAAGTACATTGGATGACCAAGGTGGCCTTTCCAGTATCTCTGTTTTTCTTCTAATCCATCAACAGAAAGGGGAGTCGTGAACGACGAGTTTTGGCCATAGTCTTGTAGAAAGGATGAGGTCCGTTGGGTTCCTTCAACTGGTCCTCCCCTCGATGCTCTGGGGTCTTCTATTCCTGCCTGCTTCTCAGTCCGCGATTACCGAAGAGGGTATCTTTCTCTCTCTCTCTCTCTCTCTCTCTCTCTCTCTCTCTCTCCCCTCCAAATCGGTTAACTCTTGCATCCCATCCTCTGTGTAGAATGATTTGAACGGCTGACATTCTGGGATTTGGGCTTCCTGGACCTCAGTTGTTGATTTTAGCTTACCAGGGTTTCGGGGTTGCTCCTGTTCTCTCTTCTGTTCTATCTTCTCTCCTGTTCTGGATTTGATCCCAACGACTTTGCTACAAGAACTTTTTCAATTGGGGGCACGATACTCTTGCAGTTTTCGCCCTCAAGGAGATCAAGAAGGCCATCTTTGAAGACCCACTTTCTCGTCTTTCTGATTGGAATGTCGATGACGACGATCCCTGTGGCTGGTCCGGCGTCTCCTGCTCTGCCGCCCGAGATCATGTTGTGACCCTGTAAGTGCTCGTCTCTCAACTTATTTCGTTTCCTCTTTGATTCTGTCCAACTGAGATCCACGTTGTATCTGTGCAATGTCAACGAATAACCATAGTCCGCATACGTGCCGATAAGTTGTGCAAGTTTCGTACATCGCCTTCATGATTCGGCGATTTTTCTCCCCATACTTTATTGTACTCTTCTATAGTAGTGCATCCTTCCGTAAGAATCACGATGAATGGTGCAAACATGTTTGTTTTGAGGTGCCGCTTACATATATATTCGGTGGATTTGGTTTTGCAGGGACCTTTCTCATTCATTCTTGGAAGGGTTCCTTGCTCCGGAACTCGGCTCGCTGAAGTTCCTGCAAGAACTGTATGCCTCCTATTAGCGTTGTCTCATCTAACTCTTTTGGTGACCTCACTACAGCTTTTCACCAGAAGTGGTTCATCTGCTTGGCTCTGACGGTGCCTATTGTTTCAGAGTTCTAAGAGGCAATTCAATTCGAGGGGTGATTCCTAGTCAAATTGGCATGCTGAAAAACCTCAGAGTGTTGGATCTGAGCATGAATCGGCTCTCTGGCCCTATCCCTCCAGAAATTGGAAGCTTGGATAGAATCACAAAAATGTAGCTGGCCAACTATTTTCGTTCATGTCTGATTGGCTTTCTTTTTTCTGGCCTTGTCTAAGACTTTCTTCTTTTCAGCTACTTTAATTCTAATGGATTGACGGGCGGTGTGCCATCCCAGCTTGGGAATTTGTTGAACCTTGTGGAACTTCGATTAGACAGAAACAAGCTTCAAGGATCCATTCCCGGGAGTAACCATTCAAATTCCCCTTCCAACGTGCACGACATGTAAGTGAAATTTTGCGCTGCAGAGCCTCAAAACACTGGCACTACATTCCTTGTTGAGATTTCACGGACTTACAGTTGGATGTTTGATACATAAAAAGAAGAAGAAAGTGCTATGTAGTATAGTTTCCAATTACTAGTTTCCTCTGCTGATATGAGATATTTTGTTTCTCGATATGAAGCTGTTCATTTTTTTTCTGGTGTGGATTTCGAGAGGATGGGAAATTCAAGCATTTAAGCTGTGAGACTGCGAACAGTGGGAAACAGTTTGTCATGATTGGGCCGTGGCTTATCTAGGTTCTTCAGTTCAGCTTTACCTGGGATTGTGCGCACTTGCGAACTTGTCTGAACTTTGTTACCCATATCATTTTGGTGGATAGCTATGGGATTTAGGAGCTCAGCTTTATGTAACGAATCTTGCTAGCTTTGCCTCCTTTGAAAATTTCTCCATGTTCTTGATGATTCAAGGTTTCCTAATCTGCTGTGTTTTCTATTTTCCCTATTTAATCATTGTAGATTCTATAGATATATTTTATAGTTTGTTGAAATCAGAGTGTGCACCCGAATCAGAAGCCTGGAGTCCATCACTTGAATGCTTTGCTTGTATTCTCAGGGGTCTAAAAACTTTCTGACTGTGTTGGCGTGTGGGGGAATTCAAAATTGGACCAAATGTATGCATTAGTCAACCCCCAAGGGAAAAAAAATGTCTATATAAGACTTTATCCATTGCATGGGAAATACTATTTTGGTCATGGAAAACCTTGGCTTACTTGGGCCCTTTAGATACCTCGGTAGTGTCACTTATGTGAGAAGTTTGTTCCTCCTGGCGTCCTCTCGGCCATCTGACTACTTTATGTTTGGCACCAGCAACAGTGGCACTGGCGTTTGCCTCTCACGGCAGCTAAGGGTAGCGGATTTCTCATACAACTTTCTTGTTGGAAAAGTGCCTCCATGCCTCAACTACATTCCAAGGTGTGAATGAGTAGGCATGAATGCCATTTAGTGATTATTTTTCCTTTCCATGCGTCCCCATCACCTTTGGAGTGCTTCTTAGACACTCTTTTGTTCTCAATATAGAACAAGCTTCCGAGGCAACTGCTTGCAAGATGAATCCGTCGCACAGCGTTCAGCTCAGCAATGTGGTATGTCTGATTGGACATTGGCATTTGTTTTGATCTGTCAAGATTAGAGAAGAAGTGACTTTCCCTTTTCATAAATATGCTGTTAACTTTCAATTTGTTTTGACGTTCCCAGTATCAGAACTCGGTGATTAACGTTTCCTTTGACTCTAAGAACCAATAGATAAATAAACTGGTTGCGGCTGGACAGCATTTTTGGAGAGTTCCTCTGGATAACAGATCGATTTGCAAAGAATGACATGAAGAATTCTTCTTTTTCAGGAATTATAATTTACCAGAATGTTTCGACTTTAAATCTATTGTGGATCGATGTGGACTTGCTTTCACGCTCGATCGTATCTGATGAATTTAGTTCGCTTAATGGCTTACCATTCCCACTCTAGCCTTGTGACTTATAGCATTTTCATGTTACTTCATATTTTTATGTCTATTTTTTTACTTTTAGTTGTATGTATTGTTTTGATTCTTTGAGAGTCTCATGCAGACTTATATTTTATGAAATCTGTCCTTGTAAATTCAACAAATTATGTCGTTTAAGTGGGTATTCTTTTCTAGAGTTAAACTGGAAACAATGTGGTTGGTCGATGAAGGAAATAATCACATCTTGTGTTGAAGGATGCTCTGGCGATTAACATGTGGTACATGCCTGTAAAATATTGGAATTCTATCCAAACTGGCCAGATCTGGTTCAGTTCTGTATGTAAATCATAACACTAAATGACAATGCTAGAAGTAAATATTGGTTGATAAGAAGGATGCAAACCAAGATACAACACGATTTGTGGCTCATGGCAACAGTTGAATGGGGTGCAGTAATTTTCCTTGATTACAGAAGGGTTACATTTGTTTGGCAAGTCAGATCTTGGATTGCCCCAATTCTGGACGAGATTTGAAGGACAAGTTTTTTGTGCTTTTTATTTTATTTTATATATAGTTCATTGAGGATGAAGGGAAAAGTCTAAGCGGCACTCATTCATAAACTTGCCTAAATGATATGGTTCTCAGGTCGACTCCGACCAGAGGGAAGTTGTCCCGAAATATTTTAGCGATCATTCTATGTTTTTTGCTCAATAGAAAAGCCTCATGTTGATTAAACTGTCGATATGAGTTTCTCCAGTGACTATCAATATCAGGACCTCCCTTGTTCTTTGACCAACGTGTCCTTGAATCAGCCTGTCCACATATGACCCCTCCAAATCATTTTTTTCTGGGCAGAAAGGAAGTGAAATTTCGTTGAAGTTATTTCTGTGGTGAGAAGGTTGATTCATCTCGATCTTCGTATCCCAAAAATATATTGAATTCAAAATGTACGTCTGATGAATCTTGCTGCTATTCCTTTAATTTTTTGTGTTGTCTCAGTTGAAAAGAAAACCTGACCCTGGTTCCATATTCTCTCATATTTCGATTTCTTTATGCAGATTTTTTTCTTTATTTATTGAATGTGGCTTGAAGCCCCGGGGGTTCCTTCAGTAACCTAGTGAAAAGGGAAAAAATAAAACCTGCGTAGAAAATTCTGTTTGGAAATCATTATATTTTTAGGGAAGTGATCATAAATCTCTGCTCTATTCATATTAGGGTATGAAAGACGACTTTTGCTCAAAGCCCAATACCGGAGTTGATGACTATTGGTTCCTACATTTATGTTTTATTCAATCACTGTTACTTCCTTGGGCCTTTGGATTCTTGCTTTTAATATTCTAATGTCTGTCTCATCGTTTATTTACTTGTTCACATAATTTCTGGTAATATTGGTTTCTATGCATCTCTTTTCTCAGGCAATTGACAGACATCTTTGCCAATATAACATCAAATCCATGATTTCTGTATGATCATCAACATGAATTTTTGGCAACCTAAAATATAATCTTCCAGAACCCACTTATTATGATTCATAGTCTCCATTGAAAATCTCATAAAAGATGCTCCTGTTCGTATTATTGACCATAAATGCCTGAATTCTGTCACAGATCGGTAAACTTTCATTGACTAATTTCGTTGAAAGAATTTTTTTTGCCAGTAGCTTATTCTTCCATACTAAGTTTGCTGTCTAATCCAGTGTTTTACATGATCATGAACCTAAGTTTTCCTTGTTAAGGGCTTTTAAAAATATGTTTTTCTCATTCTAGGGTTCACTGTTCTATTTAAAATTTAGATTATTCATTAATGTTCCCGGGGAAATATCGTATCATTTGATGTAGGGGGTCACCAATTAGAGAAAGATCATGGGACTGCTACTGCGACAGGAAGACATAGAAAGGATGATTTCGACCACCAGAAAGCGGGACAACCCAAGTGGCTTCTGTTTCTGGAAATTTTCACAGGAGCTGTGATTGTAGCGTTCTTAATAACTGCTATCTATACAGCTATTAGGAAACTGAGTCCTAAATCTTTGCCGATGGTCCCCTGGAAGAGAACTACAAAGTCGAGGGATCCAATAATAATTACAATCGGTTAGTGACGAACTTTTCTGTATATCTTTTTTTGAGACATGCTTTATTATTTTGTTACTCTCTATAATTTAGTTACTGAATGGATGACTTTCTTCACAAATAGATGGCGGCATGCTTAAACATGTACCGGGGTTTAGTCGGCAGCAGCTTGAAATCGCATGCGAAGATTTTAGCAATTAGAACTTCTCGGACATCATACTCTATAAAGGTATTATGAAAGATGGTCCAGAAATCGCTGTTATATCCCTTACAGTGGCAGAAAAGGACTGGACAGCTTTCCATGAACTTCATTTTCAGAGTGAGACTCTACAAAATTCTAGCAGAGTATTGGTGGCAATAGCCATTGGTCACATTCAGAGGATTTTCTCCTGAGATATTTGCCAAATACTTGCAGGTGGCAGACTTGGCTAGATTAAACCATGAGAACATAGCAAAGCTACTCGGCTATTGTAAAGAGAATGATCCCTTTTCAAGGATGCTTATCTTTGAATATGCATCAAATGGAACCCTATACGAGTACCTTCACTGTAAGCTAGCTTTTGTTGTTTCTTGGGAAAAATTATTTTGCTAGATTTGGGGATTGAAGAGCAATATGGAAATTTCACTGCAGATGGCGAAGGTTGCCAGTTATATTGGACCAGACGCATGAAAATCGCAATCGGTATTGCTCGTGCGCTCAGACACCTGCATAATGAGCTGCAGCCACCTTTCATTGTATCTGACTTGAACTCGAGTGCCATATATCTCACTGAGGATTTCTCACCCAAGGTAAATTCTTAGCCCATGCTCTCGGAGGAAAAGGAAATATTTTATCATAGTACATTGCTTGTAAACCAGTGACAGCATGCCCCTTAGCCTTATGGTCTTCCAGAAGATAAATTCTCTGGCCACTGAGTTCTTCCCGCTTATTGATCCTCAATTTTCGGTTCAACAGTATGAAGTTATCTTCTGTACTTTCGTTCCATGTAGAAGTTACCATAGCTGAAAACTCATAGGGAATCGGTTTCTCCCTACCCTTAAATGCCTATATCTCGTGTCTGACTCATGCACATGATTCTTCTGGGTGCCCTTGTAGTTGGCGGACATTGAAAGCTGGAAAATGATGCTCTCAAGATCGGAGAAGAGCGCGGGTTATGTGTCGAATGGTGGGGCTTTCCATTGTTTTTCGGATTCCTTGGAAAGAAGGCACACCGGAGCCCAGGAGAACACATTCGCTTTTGGAGTTATTTTGCTGGAAATCGTCAGTGGAAGGCCTCCGTATTGCAAGGACCGAGGAAGCTTGGTAAACTGGGTAAGGCTTGTTGTTTCATGAACACCCTTTTCTGCAGAAAACCAAAGGAAGAAGTGACAGTCTGTGGTATCAGCATTAGATTCATGCCCTTTTCCATGATAATTTGCATTTGTCCGATCATTTGCATGTGTAATCTTCTACACAGAGTGTTGACTTTGTGTGTAGAAGCCACAAACTGATCCAAAGGTTCGTCGTTTTCTCTCTAGGACCAGAAACTTTTATTTGCCCGTTTGTAGCTCTGCCTCGAGCTGGTTGTTTTGGGAGAGAAAAAGACAAGCCTAGCTTGGTCAGAATTGTCCATTATTGGGTGATCTAGGATCGTGAAATAAAGACCATAGCATGAATGCGCCGCAACCTCTGGGAACTGATTGCGAGGAAATTAACTAAATGAATAAATAATTCTCTCCAATGACTGCTCTCCCATCGGCTGTACCTTCATTCATGTCAATCGTTTCATTTCTTCACACTTCGCCGCCGGAGTTTTTCTGCCGCAACCGGGATCTCCTGCGTTTGCCTCATTCATCTGCTCGATGCAGGCGGTGGAGTACTTGGAGCGACCGGATATGATGTGTCACCTGGTGGATCCTGAGCTGCGGTACTTCAAGCACGACGATCTTCGGGTTGTCTGCAACGCGGTGAGTCTCTGCATCCAATCAGACCAGTCAAAGAGACCGTCGATGCAGGCGGTTTGCACGATACTGGAGAACGGGATCGACACCTCTGCGGCCGCTGACCTCAAGGAGTCCCCCCTGGCGTGGGCGGAGCTCGCCCTGTCATGTTAGCTGTAGGTTATCCACATTGTAAATGTGTACCGTTATATCGATGGATGATGTCTTCTTCTTTAATTGTCACTGTTTTTTCATTGTTCCTTTTTTTTTCTGGGGTCAATGGACTTAAGATTGGCTTGAAATAGAGCTGAGTTAAATTTAAACATATAAAGTGGCTGTAGTTTAGTGGTAAGAATTCCACGTTGTGGCCGTGGAGACCTGGGCTCGAATCCCAGCAGCCACACTGGAAGAACATTTTTCTTTCTTGAATTTCCTTCCTATTTTGGGACAATAATCCGAACCCGTCATGGAGCCACTTTACCGGATCAGCAATTCCCTTTCTTTCTCGCGTTTCCAGAGCGAATTGGAGTGGCGCGCTTCCCGCCAGTCTGAGAGTTAGAGACATACACGCCCGAAGCGACAAGGTCTCCGTCGAACTTAGCCTGGCGGGGAGCACTGGCAAACCCATCGACGGTAGCTCAGAACTCCAGAGGGGTCACTCAGGTTTTAGGGGAAATCCTTTCCCTTTTTTACAGGAGCTATAAGATCAGGTCGGGATGAGTGATCTCTCTCTCTCTTTCTCTCGCTCTCTCTATCCCACATTTCTAATCTGTCATGAGATGTAGCCAAAGATTAGGCCAGGTTTGGTGTTAGGAAAAGAGCACAGTGTTGCTCTGATTCAGACGGATTGTCGTTCAAAGCGATCCCACCACATAGTTACTTCAGTTGAGCATCTAGCTTCTTAATTTTGGTTTTTTTTTTTTTTTTTTTTTTTTAGTGTTCAGGGCGATGAAAAACGAAAAAGTTCATTTTTTTTACTGATTCTCTAAATGCTGCGAAATTCGCACGCAGAGTTCTGTACACGAGACAAATAAACGGAGGATTCCGAGACTATTTCAGAATATAAGTAGGAAACATAGAATAACCCGCATCTAATGCCGACGGGAGAAGTGATTATTGTTCGGATTTGTTTTCCCCGTGAAGACCAAGACGGCCTTCCCCACCGGAGGCTTCAGCGGAGCTTTTCTCTCGGATCCATGTGAGAATATGTCCTCGGCACCGAAGCCGTCCTTATCCTGAAAGAAAAAGTCAACATGGAGGTCAGAGAGATGGGACAACAGTAAATAATGCACAAAACGTCCGGCGTGAACGAGGCATCTTCAGACAAAAGTAACCTGAATTGGGAGAAGGATAAAAAAAAGATAGCAAAAAGGGAAGACGAAGAGAGGTGAATAATTCCCTGTTTGTTGCTTTTCTTCTTCCCTTTTGGGTAGAGAAGCTTGCGCGGGACCTGATCCTCGCGCAGGACGAGGTTCTTAGAGATGCCGTCTCTTCCACCTTGAGGCAGAGGGATTGAAAACTGTACGACAATGAAACACGTCATCAGCGTATCATAATTTTAAATTTGATGATGTGCAGACGACAGGCAGACGGCAAGGTGACCAAGAAGATCATCAACGTCTGCAAGGTGGGCAGTATGCAAGTGATGCGATTATGCTGGAAAAAAAACGTAAGACGTTGGAGGCTTCTTGAAACAAGAGATCAACCAGGTAAAGAAATTTGTTCTATGCTTCGGATGAACATCACGGTGCATTTTTATTCTCATGCAACAACGAGCCAACCCCCAGAACCTTCTGCCCCACCCAAATAACCGCTCATCATTTTTCGAAGGTCAAAGTTTTCTTTTTCTAAGAGTAGTACATCTTCCGAGCTATTTTTCCAGAATTAATCAATGTGAATCATATCATTCCTCTTTGAAGGCTTTGGTCAAACGTAAACTGAGAGCTTTAAAGGGGTTTAAACATCAAGAAAAAAGAAAACAAAATGAGATGATCAATGGGAAGACTGGTCAGTCCTCGTCAGTTGTCAATGAATTTTCAAAGAGAAAAAATAGGTCTGAAACAGGGATAAGACACCAGGGGGAGACAAATGTTTAGCTGTTAAGAATTGAATGAAAATAAGTAACTTGACAAAATAATGGTCCTCATATATAATTTTTCTGAGAGTAGGTCCATGGTTGCAAAAATACATTCAACAAAGTATCGTATCAGTAGAAAATATTATCAACGGCATGAGAAAGAAACGAGAGAAAGTGTGAAAATAAATGAATAAGAATAACTTCTTGACGTACTTTGGTGCCACGAAGGTTGACGTGTGGTCGACCTGATGCTAGAACTAATCCATTTTCACCCATTGCAACTGATACTTTGCGCAAGGTGCCCCCGTTACCGCATTTGGGACAGAACAATCTCCCTACTTCAGACGTCACTTTATTGCAGGCGTGACATTTTAATACCCACCTGGAATAAAAAAAATATTTAGGACATCTATCCACCAAATGACCATTGAACCTCTTATATAAATACACTTGAAACAATTCCACTGAAAAGATAGAACATAAATCTACGTTGCATCACGATATTTGGTCAATCTCAAAGCCAAGAAGAATCTCCTTCAACATTGAAACATAACGTACCTATGCAATTGACGTATCTGCAATCCACTTGGTGCCAGTAGTCGCAGACCCATCTCTAGAACAACATTTTGCATTGCAAAATCCCCGGTAACACAAGCCACACTCGAATTGAGAGGGATTGCGAAATATAGCTCGTTTTTCGGGCATCTTCATCCACAGGACTCACATTTAAATTCAGATCCTTCAGTGATAAAATACTAGATCCACTGTTCGACTCGCTTTCTGCCGGTTCAAGAGCTTCCCATTCTGCCAGATTAGGCACATTTGAACCCCAACCAGACATCTCTGATTCAGGTAAAGACTTCCGATTTACCATTTGGATGGGAGGGGGAACGCTTTTAAGGTGACCTGTGCCATGTATCTGTGCTTCTAACATATAAGTAAGAGCAATGAGTTTGATATCGACATCTGATAGCGTCTGTAAGTCCCCAGTTTCTCTTGCAAATTTGACAACTGCAAACCAAAAGAAAATGAAAATAATTCCATTAGTCCACACAATTTCACATGTGACTAAAAAACTACGCGCATCAATAATGTGTCATGTGTGCAAATTTATGTTCGTCTGTAATACAACAAAAAAGAATGCTCATTTCGAACCACATTACTGGCCCAATTTGATTATAGCAGCGGATAGTAAATACAGAAAGAACTAGAACGATGCAACGATAATATACACGTCAGAAAAAAAAAACTTTGACTATAAGACAATCAACAGGAAAGCGTTCATAATTCATATTTAAGCGGTCCCCTTAGATTATAGTCAGTTATATCCGGAAAAAGCTCACCTTTCTTTATGGCATCGGGGGCGGGCTCCATGGTTTCAATCGTGAATGGCAGAAAAGAGAGCCTCTGGCGGGAGGTGGGATCTCTCACCTCCTCCAGCACTTCACGAACGGTCACAAACCGGTCAGCGGTGCTTGACATTTTGTCCCCCTGGACGATGGCACTGGCATCGAGAACTGCCAGGGAAACACCCTCGCTCGATCTCCAGTTGCCGAACAAGCGACCCGAAACTGGTTCATCAGTCTCTCGTGGCGCCTTCTTCTGCAGTAGCTGGCTCCACTGAGGGGCTTCACCGGAGCCGGGAAACGAAGAAAGGGGAGAAGGCTCCATCTTCCGCCACCCGGCGGGGATGCCGAGACGGGAGCGGGGAGGAGGACGCTGGTTGTTGCTTCTGATTCCCCTTCCCTCCGCGGATGACGATGGGGTGATTCCCCCGCCGAATCAAGTCGGTCCTCTCTCACTCTCTCCACCAGCTATATATGAAGGTGGCCTATCTAGGATCACTCCATGACAATGTTGCAAGAAAATATACTAAATGAAAAAATAACTCATATATGGAAAGATAGAGAGTTTAGAGATAAACCTGTCACCAGAGCAAATGACTTCTTGATGAAGGATCACAGGAAGAAACAGGGCGTTGATTTGAGGATAGTTGACTTTCGTTGACTATTGACAACAGTTGACCGTTGATCAATAGTTGACATTGATAGCGTTGACCGGACTATAGTCAGATGGTTTCGAACCCGGTGAGGCGGACAGACACGGACCAAGTAGTCCGGAAGGCTTCGGACCGGCGTGAAGGACTGTCGTGAATATGATTCGGGCCGTGCTTTCGGCTAGCTCGGACTAGTCGGTCGAACCGGTTTGGTCCGGCAGCTGGGCGGCCGGATTGGGTTAAACCGGACCGATTCGGATCAGCGGTTCACAGAGTCTCAAATCAGCCGGGCTAAATCCCAAATTTTACTTGATGAAGAGGCCGTTCGGGAATACGGTGAAGAGAGCGGCGGCAGCTGCGAGAGAGGTTTGGAAGAGGTTGGCGGTGGTTGTGGCAACGGCGAGGGGGCGATAAATGGCGGAGATGGTGGCGATAGAAGGCGGAGGCGGCGGCGGCGAAGCGGGACGGCGGCGGATGGTGTTGGCGGAACGCGGAGGTGGTGGCAGCGGACGGTGATGGTGCGGCGGAGGAAAGCAAGGTATGGCAGCGGGGACGATGATAGAGGAAAGTGTTGGCGGCGAAGGTAGGGAGGGGTGGGGATAGATGGTGGTCCTCACGACCTCTCCTTCACGGAGCGAGTATGCGCGAACTTCACGGTCACCCCTTCACGACGCGGTGATTACGAGAGTATTTATAGAGTTAAAAAAAACACAAATACAAAAATTAATAATATAGAAAATCACTCCAAAATTTGCTCCGGTCGCTAGGTCCGTCTTCTTCGCTTCTCACAAAATAGGAGAGAGAGAGAGAGAGAGAGAGAGAGAGAGAGAGAGAGGAAATAGGAGAGCCAAAACTGCCGGGCTTTCCGGAACATCGTCTTGCCGTCTTGCCGTCGTAGGACGGAAAACAGGATGACAGCTGTCAGTACCGGCCCCACCTAGAGCGCCGAGCTCGAAGACACTCTGGGCTAGCGCGACATTGGCATGACGGATCCAATATGACAGGTCATGGGGGCGACAGATGGATCCGGCGGCAATCCAAGATTTGGCCGTTACATCGGATCCTAACGACTAATCCAATGACGGTCGGGAACAGCCCGTCAAGCATCGACAGAGAGCGGCTATATTAACAATTAAATAGTCACACAAGAGACGGAGGAGAATTCTGAGTGATTCTAAAAGGTGTTAGAGATTGACCATCTCGCATCAGACTGTTCTGAGACCTGAGAGGTCTCAGTATTGTATCCCCTTATCTCCTTTGTGTACTCTCGTGAGACTTCTTTAGATTCCTTTTGCCTTATTTCCCTCTGTCTCTCTTTATTCACTTGGTCTGTGTTGTAGGCCCGAATGTAATAGATAAGTTTATTTTACAGATAATTGCTTTTCTTCTTAAGAATTAATCAGTGGGTTCTCATCTATTTTACAGAGAATGTAATAGATAAGTTAATTCATGGGGCCCAAATCCAATGATTCGAAGCTCAACTTGATGAAGACAAAGCTGGAGAAGATTTGTCACGCCCTCTTCAATAATTAAGTTGTCAAAATTGAAATATTATAGGAGTTGTAGTAGGAATAAGTTAAATTCGCCAATTGTTGGGTTATCTCTCCTAAATGTTGGATGACCTTCATCACCAACTTCTCCCAACATAAGGTGAGAAAGGCAAGAAATAGACTCCTCTAGAACCACTAGAAGGCTAGGCTCCAAGAGAAGCCAAGGTGACCCAACTTTGTTACATGTGAGGCAAATCATATAGAGGATCATTGTTGGGCCACAACCCCTCAAGAGGCCCAATGGGCTTTTAGACTTCTAGATTGCCACCATAAATAGGGCCCTACTAAGGCCTGAAAAATTTCATCTTCTAAGGGATGCACCCCGAAGGCTAAATCTTTCATGCAAAATTCAGTTGAATTTAGATGACTAGATGATGACAATCTTGACAACATCTCAAAAAGTCGTCTTCACTATAGAGTCACTAGAGCACAACATGCCCCTCATGCTTAAGACTCTAGTAAGTTGTCCCTACAAAGACGAAGCTTACTTTAAATTATTCTACCTAAAGTCAGCATAGGAGAGGTCTTCAAGACCATTGGCCATTGAGATACAATGAAATTTTTTACATTATTCAAAGAAATCACCAGCCTTCTATCAACATAAAGTTAGGATCATTGAATTACACTCGATTCAGGGAGTCAAGCATTCCATATAAGACCTTTCCTATACCTAAACTTTCAAAAAATTAAATCAGAGAAATAAGTGACCAAAATGCCTACAATATGCCTCATTCAATAGTCCCACAATCTCTTCTCAAACTCAACCCGCTTAATTGGGAAAATATGTCACTTGACAATTTTGTATAGACTATTGTGCACTAAACATGGTGACCTTCTCATACCACTTCCCAATTCTGATCCTTGAGGAGTGGATTGATAAATTACACAAAGCGATAATCTTCTCTAAGTTAGATCTTCACTTAAGATATCACCAGATTTACATATAGACAAAAGATGTCTTGAAGACTACTTTTAGAATGCATAAAGGATATTATAAGTTCATCATAATACTTTATCGACTTTTCAAACAATCATGAATCATTTATTCTCTAAATTCTTGTGAAAATTTATTTATCTTTTTTAATAACGTATTGATTTATAGTAGGACTTATGAAGAACATATCATACATGTTGTCCCAAAAAGTTTACTTCTTTTTTGACAAAATTGCATTTGGAGGGGTTCAAGATAGACTATTCTTTCAAAATAGTTCTAATATTCTGTGAAGATGACTGAGGTGTTCGCTGCATATTGCGATTGTAGATCAATATGTTGCCTAAGTAAACCACTACAAACACATCCAAATATGACTAAAAAATAGAGTTTATTAAGGTGCAAAAAGTAGCTAGGGCATTGGTGAGCCCAAAGGGCATTACCATGAACTCAAATAACTCATATCGAGTTACACAAACTATCTTGAGTTTGTCACCTACCTAGATCCACACTTAGTGGTATTTGTTCTTCAGGTCTAACTTTGAAAATATCTTTATCACACTTAGTCGGTCTAATAGGTCTTTGACGTTTGAGATTGGATACCTGTTGCAGATAATGAACTTGTTCAAAGCTATATAGTTTACACACAGCCTGAGACTTCCGTCTTTCTTCTTCTAGAATAGCATTGGTGCACCAAATGGTGACTTAGACAGTTGTAGGTGTCACACTTCCAATAAGCCTTGAATTTGTGTGCACAATTTTATGAGGTGATTCGGCGACATCTTGTATGATGCCTACGCTAGTGGGTTGGCCCTTGAGACCAGCTCTATGACATGGTCTATCCCTCTTCTTGGAAGTAGTTTGGCTAGTAACTTCTATGACAATTTATCAACAAACTTTGTTGGTAGTCGCTAAATTTCTATAGAGATCTTGATTTGCTCCACCTGTGAGCTGGTTTAGATGGTCAACAAGACAGTCTCCTCCCTTTTTTTTATCTTTTTCGTACATGTTGTGTTGAGATCACCTTGTCATGTGATCGTGTTAGTTCATGGTGTTTTGCAAGATTTACCTCAATGGTTGGGACGAAGTGTGGTCTTTTGCCCCCTTAGATTGCCACTATATTGGGAAAAACTCCCGCAGTCATCTTTGTGAGGAAGTCTGTGCCCAATAATGTACCAAAGGAAGTAAGAGACATCACCATGTACATTAGTCATTCTTCATCAGTGTTCTTCTCTTTATGCCATCATTTCGTAAAGTTTGGACATATTTCCTTCAAACACCCTTTCGATTATTTGGAAGGACTCTTACATGAACTTTAGTTCTTACTTTAGTCACACAATACATTGCCCTTGCCCCCTTTCTCCCATGGATCTGACACCACTTTTACACCTTGGGTGAGATGTGGCACTAAATAGCTAAGATTCACTCTCTAGTTAGCCCTCTGAATATTCAGTAAAGCTCACAAAGGGGTCCTTCCTCTTGTTCGCTCTCCACCTTCCTCAGTTGCGAAGGGGAGGAAAGTGAACTAGTTGTTACAAGGGTTTCGGAGTAGCCATTATGCATGGGTTATAGTTAGCCATTGGGGTGTAACAGTTGTCTCGCTCGCTAGTTGTTAGGGCACCTTGGGTGCCCTGCTAACCATTCTGCCTGTCCAGGCGTTATCTTGCTTGTCAACATCCATTATGTCTCATGGGACTACATTCGTGTCATCACGTAGGTGTATTAGTCTTCCTGCCTCCTACAAGAGTTCTGCATGTTTGGGGACCCATTTTGTCTTGGGTCTTGTGATGCTACACCTTGCTGCCATGCCACACAAGTCTGTCATGTTGCATGCGTCCACCATGTTGCACACCCATTGTGTCGAGTGTGCCTGCCATGCCACGTGTGTTTACCATGCTCTGCATGCTTGTCCCACCACATGAGCTTGCCTTATCATGGGTGCTTGTTGCCCCTTGTGGGTCTACTATGCTGCTCCTTCCTCTATGACACCAAGAACTTAAATTTTGCCACTAGAGATTGGGTCTACCTCGACCTACATAATTATCAATAGAAAACTATGGTGTGAAGGCCCTATTGATCACTTGTTAGATTAATGTCACAAGAAGTAGATAAAATCTAATAATATAGCTTAAAGTATACATGAAAATGACAAAAATACATCAATATCTATATGCAATGCAATGTTAGCTGATAA